ATAATAAATATAACTAATAATTTATAGATATAATTAAGGATCTCTTTATTTAGTCTTAACTTATAGAAGCTTTAATAGATCTTTTAGGTATTATTAAATCTTATACCTTTATTATAGATATAATATAATAAGAGGATAACTATTTTTATAGACTTTACTATATAGAGTAAATAAAAGCCTTTATTAAAGAGGGTTTTTTCTCTCTATCTTATAGTAAAATAGCTTAATATAATTAAAATAATTACTATAATATATATAATATTCCCTTTATTATAAAGATAATCTTAGCTATTATAAGAGAGTTTTATAAAGTCCCTAAAATCTATTAGAACTAGCCTCTTAGAATTCTAATAGTTAAATAAGAGGAATTTGAAGTAAATCTAATTTTCTCTATATTAGCTCCTTTATAATTACTAATTACTCTTTAGGGTAATTTATAGATTTATTATTAAGATAATAAAGAAATAGAACTTTTAGATTTACTTTTAACTTTAAAGTTAAAAGGTTTACTTAATAACCTTAATATAGAATAGATATTTTTTTCTCTTAGAGGAAATATTTTATTTATCTTATTATTAGCTTATTTTTAATATCCTCTAGCTATAAATATAGTAAATTATTCTAAATATCTTAACTATTTAAAGCCTCTTAATAAGTATAACTATATTTATAAAGAGTATATTGATTAAAAAATTAATTATTAAAAATAGATTAAAGAGAATACCCCTAAAGGTATTTAATATTATAACTTCTTATACTTAAACTATTAAAAAAGCTAATTTTAGCTTTATTAAAGCTTTATTTAGGATTAAATAAATAAAACTATAATAGAAAATAATTAATAAAGCTTTTAATATAGATTTTATAATAAAGCGTTAATATTAAAATAGCTTATTTAGCTAGAGTAATAAAAAAAGTATAAAAAATATTAAATTTAGTTTATAAATTAGAAATAAATATTAAAATTTACTTATTTTACTTTTTTCCCTTTATATTTATATAATTTCTAAATTTAGAGATTAAATTGTATTTAATAGGATCTTTATAAAGCTTAAGGGGATAATTATAAAGGGATAGATAGCTTAAATATTAATTAGGCTTAGCCCTATTTATACCTATAAAATAAAAAGGGGCTTAAGAGCTAAAAAAGTATAAATATTATTACTTCTTTACCCTATAGAAATAATTTTTTAAAATTTATAAATATCTTTATAAACTTTATTTATATCTTTATTATTTTTACTATATAGATCTATAAATTACTTTATAGATTTTATAAATATTTCTATTTCTTTTTCTAACTTTATTTAAGTAGTTAAGTTATTTTTCCTCTTATTTATTAGGCCCTCTAGCTTACTACTATTTTTATTATATAGTTTAACTTATTATTTATATTAAAGTTTTTATTTAAATTATATATTATAATAACTTTATAGTAATAATTTAGATCCCCCTTTATAATAATTAAAATAATAAAGTATAATATAATATTATTAATAAAGGGATTTTAAAATATTATTAATTCTTAAATAGAAATTAATATTTAGTATTAATAGAAGGTATAAAGATTAATAGCTTTATTTATTTAGTTTTAATATAAAGGTATTTTTATATTTTTATATATAACTTATATCTCTATTAAGAGATTAAAGCTATTTTTATTATCTTATTGTATACTAAAAGTTTAATATTACTTTAGTAAAAGTTATTAATAGCTATAATTATTAAGAATTAATATAAGTAGAAAACTAATATTTAGATTATATAGTAGTATATAGTAGAATCTAGAAAGTATATATTAGTATATATAGCTTTCTAGAGGAAGTACTTATCTAATTATATAAGGTTATTTCACTTAATAGTTGAGAAACAATGAAATATAAAAAGGGATGAGCGAGAGATAATAAGACTATGGAAATAGCAGGTCGCTGCTATTGATGCATTATTGAGTTCCTGATCATTTCGGTCCAGGAGCGGTGGAAGTTCGTCGCTTCTTTGGAGGATATATCCGGCCAATGTTGCGTTCACAGGCGACTTCGGATGGGCGTTATAGGCATGGTTCAGAAGCGAGTACGACGGCCAACCTCCTTGAATGACTTGGTATGCACCTATGTCATGGGGAATTCCCCTTCTCGCTCCCACATCAGGGATTTGCACGATTCAAACAATAATGACACACATATGGCAATCCGTCTGGCCCCAAAAATAAGCCCTCCCCGCAGCGCTTGACCTGTGAGGGGGGGACCAAGCCGTTTCAGTGTTCGTCGGCCCCTGGTGGGATGGGCAGGCATTTGGAGGTGGGAAAATGTGGGAAAAGCAGGCCAACACATGAGGGCCCAGTAATTACGGTAGGTCGAGGCTACGCTAATGATAGCTAAGCAACGGGTGCAATATAATGTAATCTACCTTGTTTTCTTAGTCGATTCTGTCTTTCCGAAGGGTCCGTTGAAAGGGACCGGAAGACGCATGTCAGGTTGCTTATTTTGAAGAACCCCGGGCCTTGCAGGTTGTCACTCGTGTCATGGCCGCTCTGCGGGCGTCTTCCAATGTCTATCTTACTCATCGGCGGCTCACCCACCTTAAATACTCGGGAGTACGTGTTTCCGTCCAAAGACCTAAATTGAAGTTCATGCCATGTCCCGTTGCCGACGGGAAGTGGTGTTCAGACAAAGAATCAGTTGATTCAGTTGACGTGTTGTCAGACTTGACGTCAAAAAAAGTTTCGCGACATTGGCGAAAGATGGGACGAATGTCCGAAAATGTCTGCCCACGGTATTTCGAGGATCTCAACACAGCCTACCCGATCTTTCTCGTCTTCTGGTCGGCGTGTTTGGGATCTCCAAGGGATCACCGACACAAGAGAGCCCACATCTCTCGCATCATCCAGGCGGTGACGGCCATCATCTCTAACCAACTTCTCCCGCCTCCGCCTCCGCCCAGCCTGTGATAAGAGGAAAAGAAAAGCCATGACGGATGTGGGCACGGACAAAGCTGGTGCCGTTGCAATGTTCTCCTCCACAGCGTCTGAAAAATAAGCTTGGCAGTATGAAGCAGGGGTCGTGAAACTCCCCTGGTGGTGGAGAAGCTCGGAGCTTTCCCGCCATGCAGCTCAATCTACCAACGAGGCATGGGCGGAACTCTTCTCTTTGGTCAACCATTGCAGATTCAGCCGTGTTATGGCTATCAAGCGCGACGATTGATCAGAAAGGAGACCCAGGGTCCTGGGTTGGAACGAGGCCGCCGTTGGGTTTCGGTAACACCTCCGGCTTGGTCGTGCTAGCGAAGACCTCCTCACAGCCCCGGTTCCTCCTCCTAGCGTCAACTCCGTACCAACCCCGGGCCCATCTTTCCATCGTCCTCCCACTCGTCCCGGCCACTCATAACCTTCTTTGTATCTCCAGCGAACTACTCCTCGGAGCCTCACGAGCCTCAAAGTTGTAACGGCAGCCGCTCAGTCAGGGTGTTCCCTGTCGCGCAGGCAAGATCCGGTCGTAAGTTAGCTGCCCGATCAGGTATAGCAAGAAGCAGCCGCAACGTCTTGGCAGCTTCATCTCACCCATGCGTGACGAACTTCGCGGCCTCCTTCGAGGCTTGCGCGCTGCCTTTGGGACGAGATGTTCGCGACGTTGACGTCTCAACCGCCCTCCCGAACCCTGTCATCCCATGTTGAGGCTATTGTCTGAGTGGTGCGCTTTCGGCGGCCGCTACGACTTTGCGACCGCGACAGGCTGGGCATCTCGCTTCGATGGGGGCAAGACATGATCGGAATCCATCACGAGAACGAGGGGGCCACGGCAAAAGTGGGAATGATGGGAGGCAAACATCCAATGATCCAATGTAACCATGCACTTAGCAGCCATCACCTAACGTGAACGGACAGCCCGATCGTCTGAAGAAAGAATCTATAAAGATCAGCTGGATCTTCCTCTTGGTATCGCTTCTTCTTCCCTTTCCTCATCACGCTCTACAATCATTACAACCTTGTTTGTTTTCTTCTTCTCTTCAAAACAGCTGTGCTGTCTTCAATCTCTTCCTAACGCACTTGATCGTTCATTCCATTCTTCCGGGTCCGTGTCCCTCTTTTCGTCTCTTCTCAACTTCGACAACTTCTTCAAAAGTCTTCCAACCAAACCCCCTCAACCTTTCAAAATGAAGTTCTCCGCCGTCCTCACCGCTGGCTTCGCCGCCTTCGCTGCTGCCGCTCCCCTCGCCGCCCGCCAGTCCAACGTCTTCTCCACCCAGACCTTCAACGACCTCTCCATCTCCGGCGGCACTGCCGGCAACGCCGAGCAGGAGGCTCTTGACAAGCTCTCCGGTCTTCCCACCGACCTGAGCTCCGTCAGCAAGGCCGACCTCGACTTCCTCAACAGCGTCAACTCGATCGCCAACGACGCCGAGAAGGAGGCTTTCAACCCCGCCATTGAGGCCGCCACCGGCGAGGAGGCCGACGCCCTTCAGGTATGACTTCCACCCAGAAACAGTTCTCTGCGATTCATCGAGCTAACAACGTTCCCAACAGCGCGGCAAGATCAAGAACAAGGTCCTCAAGCTCACCGCCACCATGCTGAAGCTGCAGGCTCAGCAGGCCCAGGGCGAGGACGTCGCCGACAAGATGGCCGCCGAGCAGAAGAAGCTCGACAACAACATCAAGCAGGACAAGGATGAGGCTGGCAACGCCTCCACCGCCCTGGACTTCAACGCCTCCACCGCATAATTGGCTTAATCACTGGAGGACATGGCCTGGTCCGGCGTGAAAACCGACCACCTCATTGAAGGGGAGGATGGGAGATGAGTCGGACATGAGATAATCACGAGACGACTAGGCGCTGAGTGCCGGACTCGGATGATTCGATCAAGTGCTGGCCATTTTAATGTTATTGGAGTGTATTGGTACTAGTTAGTACGTTCTAATAACGAAAAGAGATTAAAAACCTTAAACATGTTCATTGTGAGGTCGGGTCCCAATACTAGAAACATTCTGCCCAAAAGGCTGTTTGGTTTCATGGCTTCTTCCCCTGCAGCTTAGCCCATCTATCTTTGAGCACGCGAGCGGAGCTTTTGGGTCTCCTATCCCGGGTAAAGATCCCCTTTTTGTTTCCGTCCACCCGATGTATGCCGGAAGTTGTCTGGAAATCAGCGAAATTCCACACGTGCTCCCCGACCACGCTATCAACTCTGTCAAAAACGCGATGGAACATCTCCAGGAACTTGGCCTGGTATTCTTCGCTCCATGGTAAATCTGCCACAGAGTGCAGACCAGCTAGGGCCTCAGCACCATACTCCGTCATGATGATAGGCTTACCGTACTTGTTATGCCAGCCCATCAAGTCATCCTCGAGTGCCTTTTCGGCAGACTCCAAGTCTCCCGTCTGAGTATACCACCCTTGATACCGATTCAAGCAAATCACATCAAACAAATCAGTCACCAGATCGGTCTCAAAGGTCGCGAAGCCCATGTTCGCGAAGCAAACCGGTCGCGTCGGGTCAAGTTTTCGAGTCAATGACACTACCGGCTCCAGATATTCCCTGACACCAGGCTCGTTGGATGCCGGCTCGTTCGTGACTGTCCACATCACCACAGATGGATGATTCTTGTCGCGCGCGACGAGCTCCCTGACTCCCTGCAAGTGCGCAGCTTGGGTGTTGTCACCGCAGGCTTCGGGGCAGAAAGTCGGGGGCGGCTTGAGTCCGAACATGCCCGCGACGATGGCCAGGTTCAGTCCGACCGCGGCCGTCTCGTTGATGACCACGATTCCGTGACGGTCGGCATAGTCGAGAACCTCTTCTGCGTATGGGTAATGGGAGGTCCTGAAGGAGTTGGCGCCTATCCAGGACATGAGGTTGAAGTCATGGATCATGTATGCAGCGTCGAAGCCTTTGCCGCGGATGGGACTGTCTTCGTGCTTGCCGAATCCGGTGAAGTAGAACGGCTCGTTGTTGATGAGGAAGCGGTTGCCTTCAACCTTGATTGTGCGGATGCCGAAGTTTAGCTCGTAAGTATCGAGTATGTCGCTACATGTAGATTCAGATCCTTGGAGTATATCGGCTCGGAGTTGGTAGAGGTAAGCTGCGCCGGGCTTCCAGAGATTGGCCGAGGTGATCTTGATTTGGCCTTTGCTACCGTTCACAGAGGCAACAACATCACCCTCTTCGTCTATGATGGAGACCTTCAGCTTATTGTCCTCAACCGACTGCGTTGTTTCAACCTCGAAGTTGACGATACCTGTGTTGCCATCGCCAACGTCGGTAACAACAGTGATGTCACTGACTGAAATCGAGGGCACCGCATACAACGAAACCGATCGCGCCAGGCCGGCATAGTTGAAAAAGTCATGCTGGTAATGCTGCTTCCGCTTGCCACTCTGAAGAGTTTCGATCCGACCAGGAGGGATAGTATCCCAAGTGAGTTCGTTGCTCACGGCCACAGTAAGACGAAACTTCTGGCCGGGCTTGACGCTTGCTGTGATGTCCGCTTCGAACGGAGTGTATCCGCCAGAGTGATCGGCAACCAGCTGGTCGTTGACATAAACGCGTCCACGGTGTGTCGCAGCGTCGAAACGCAGGAAGTATCGCTGTTCGGACCAGCCCCGAGGGACCGTGACCTGCCGCTGGTAGTAGACCCACCCGACGTGGCTGCGAATCTTCTCATCGACAAAGATGTCGTTGTAGCTGGCGGGCACCGGGACCTGAAGGGTTGACGGAATTGGCTTGGCCCAGGGCGCATCGGTCTCAATGTCTATTGAGTCTGCAATTGCAAAGTTCCAGATGCCATCTAAAGAGACAAGCTCTCGGGTTGAGTTGGACTGTGGCTTAAGCATGTTTGAAGAGGTCGTCTACTATTTGTTGTGGAATGTGATTGAACAAAGTAACGTGGATGCTGAGAGTTATGAAAGCCAGTTATATTCGGAATGCCTCATTCGAAACTTTATGGACTTGAAGTTTTGCTAAGGAGAAAGACAAAGCTCCCCGGCGCTCGGCTACTCCGCACAACCATCGGCCGGTTGATGGCCGATCTGCCGTTACCGTGTCTCACTGCCGGAATTCCCGCTCTCGGCCGCCACCTCGGATCCTCCCCCACCATGTTGCCGGCACTACACCCACAAACGTCGCAACCAAGGCCGCAAAATTCGAATCTGGGCACCCAGTCACAAGCAATATAGACGGAGAAGTCCAGCAGATTGCGATGGCCAAATTTAGTTAGAGAATGATTCACGGGGACAGCTCCATCTGGGGTAAGGAGTTCGTGCGGGGAGTGGGGGAGATCCTTGGAAGAGACAACTCAATCTGGGGAAGCTGCTTCTGTGTCCGGGGTGCATGCAGAATCTAGTCGATAGCTCTGCGGCTGTCAAGTATAAAGAGGATTTGAAGCATCACTATCTCTGTATGTGATGGGGACCTCATTACCGGGTTCCAGCTTGTCTTTGTTTTCCCTTCGTTGACAACTTGAGGTTGACAGCGTTAATCATGGCACACCAAGTCGAGCCAAAGCCAACAGTTCAGATGGTCGAGGCCGCAAACCAGAATGAAGCGACTGCTCCGGTTGAGCGGCCTTGGGGGGCTATCTTAGCCAATCGAAAGTTGGTTTGGTACGCCATCATCGCCAATATTGGTCCGCTCATGTTCGGATACGACCTCGTGGTTGTCGGTGCCATTTCAGCCCTTCCAAAGTTTCGGTAAGACATACTGGCTCGACAGACTTCCGTAGTCAGTCTCACTAATGAGACATGTTTGACTTGAATAGTGAAGACTTCGGAGATGGCTTCGGGATGGCATCCATCCTTCCTGCTCTATGGCTTGGCCTATGGAACGGTTTGGTTCAAGCAGGTGCGGCTGGAGGGTCGGTCACAGCTGGCTGGTTCCAAGACCGCTTCGGTCGCCGTGCGGCCTTCTTCCTTGGCGGTGTTCTAGGGCTAGTCGGAACCGCAGCAGCATACACTTCCGGCATGCCATCAGGAGTCACCGAACGACGAGTGTTGTTCTTATTCGCCAAGATCATTATCGGAATGGGCTGTGGTGTTCTCATGTCTGCATGTCAGACGTACATCTCTGAAATCGCACCCAAGAACCTTCGCGGAGTCTTGCTCGGGTTCTACGCCTTCAATGTGGTAAGTATCACCCTGTGAAGCGATACGAATTGTGCTTAACTTCCGTATCTTCCAGTCTTTCGGGCATCTCCTCGCCATCTCGATCGTTTTCGACCAAGTCAGCAACCTATCATCGACATCATACCAGATACCATTCGCTACGCAGTGGGCTTTCGGAGGCGTGGCAATCATTGCGGCCTTTTTGCTTCCAGAAAGTCCCGTCTGGCTCATATCACGAGACAATATTGAGAAGGCCGAAAAGTCTCTGACCAAGCTGGGAACCGCCGGAGGCCAGAACATGCTTCAGAGGATACAAGCCACCTTGGCGCATGAGGATGACGAGACTGCTCAAGGAAGAAGTCAGCCGACATACCGCGAATGCTTCCAGGGCACCAACCTTCGCCGGACGAGGATCATCATCTTCCTGAATATCCTCCAGCAGTTCGTAGGTATGGCACTTTTGCAGAACGGAGCGTACTTCCTCACCATGGCTGGCATGCCTGCCAAGTACTCCCTCATGGTAAATCTCATCGGCGTCGCCTCCAACATGGTCGCAAACATGATCTCGTGGTATACCGTCCCAAGATTCGGCAGGAGGACAATGATTCTTTTCAGCATCGTCTTGGACATACTGTCTTGGGCGGCCATGGGTATCGCGGCTTGCTTTTCTACCTCGGCGGCTCAATGGTAAGCATGCCCCAACACAATCCCACCGGCTGCTTGGTACGTGCAGATTGTTAACACAGGTACCAGGTTTGTCGGGGTCGCTCTTCTCCTGTTCGGCTTCTTCAACAGCTTCGGAGTTGCCAGTGCGGTGCCGGTCATCGTTTCCGAGATCTCGTGTGTCCGTCTCCGATCCAAGTCTGCAGGTATTGGTCTCGCGGCCCAGTCCATTGGGGCCTGGATCTTCAGTTTTTTCACGCCATACATGTACAACCCCGATGAAGCAAACTGGGGAGGGAAGATAGGCTTCTTCTTTGCGGGAACGAGCGTCTTGGTCCTGATCGTTTCATGGTTTGAGATTCCGGAGACGAAGGGCAGGACCCATGCGGATCTCGACTTTCTGTTTGAGTCGAAGGTCAAGTCTTCGGCCTTTGCAAAGACTGTCATTCCTGAAGTCCCGCTACCTGAGGATGACTTGAAGGGACTCGGTGGTGAGAAGTTTTGAGCAATGAGAGGACTCATTCAAGCAACTCATTTTGGGCGTCGTTTCTTCGTCGTGTGGGGGGCGCTCATTTCATTTACGTTACTCAAATAAAACGCACACGATTCTTACAAAACGCATTCCAACATCCGCTTTGTATGAGATGTTTGACTCAAATGCGTGAGAAAAGCTCATCTTCCCATCGCCAGAAGCGAATCTCATGAGCTTTTGCCAAACACAAAACTCATCATACAGCTGAGTTGAGCGCGAAAAAGGCCAAACAGCAGCAAACCCGCATGTTCAGGGCGCTGAAATTACCTGAGGGGCTGATTCCTCGCTTGGACACACGGCCAATGCTAGTTCCCTGCGGTGTCCACACGTCAGGAACGCGATGACGAATTGCTCGCTCTGTTTGGTCAGAAAACCCTGCCATTTCTCTCGACTGCCGGCATTCGGGCCCGCTTTCTAGGGTTGAATCTCGCCGCACAGCAATACGAAGAAATCCGAGGAGATTCATAAAGGCTTCTCCCGTCTCCGGACCCCAACAACAACTTGTTCAGCTCACAACGAGCTCATCCCCGATGGCACAATTGGCTAGCGCGTCAGACTGTTAATCTGGAGGTTGGTGGTTCGAGCCCACCTCGGGGAGATTCAGTGGTTAAATCCCACCGCAAGACATTCTTTTTGGGCTTCATTTATCTTGTTATGTGCTTATGCCAAGGGACATGGGTTTCCAAAGGCGCCCTACCTAGCATCCATCTATCTCGCTCAGGCTGAGATTGAATTGGGTGCGATTCTTTTCTTCTTTTACTGGACTTGGTAACTCGTAGCTGCAGAGCGGGTACTTGAATTCGTGGCCGCATGAGGTTCGCCTAAGCATTCGTTGCTGGCAAAGACTGTGTCGTCAGAACGGTCGCGTTGTAATCAGATTCAAGTTCCAGACTGACCGCTTATTTGTCTGTAGGTTTCGACTGGTTTAAAGAGCAACGAGTTCACCCGAAAGTGGACTAATCAGAGGATGATATCAGCATGGTACCTGTGTCTTTGGACGAAACCGCAAATACCTCGCAGCCACCTGTGCCTCCGAAGCCCGGGAGAAACCCACCACATTCATGGTCTTCGAGAACAATGACTAGTTCGCTCTTTTCCTCTCTGCTGATTGGTCTATGCACGGCTCGTACTCCCAAGCGACGCCATCGTAGACAAGGGGCTGGTCCGGTCTTACAGCCGCTCCTCCGCACACATTCCTATCCCGAAACCAAACACCAATTGTGTAGTCTGATAGGCCGAAATAGCACAAAGAACAGCGCCTACCTGGTCCTTTCCGTCGACTTATCTTTCGCAGCTAAGCATCTATCCGTACAAACTTCAATATTAATTGGGCAGAACAGAAGCAGGCGGGGCCACGATAGGTTTGAGGCTCCCGTACTGGGGTGATCCCTACCAGCATCAATCTCCCCCCACGAGTCGATTGCCGTGTCGGGTAAGACGTTCGTCCCGGCTCCATCCCACTGATGTGTCTCTTTTCCTCATATCCAGTGGGTTTTCACCGGCCCGTCAGACGCGGACGGTTATGGAACCTCAAAAGGAGACCCACGCTCCCACCGGGGCCTTAGGATCGTGAAGAAAAACGGATGAATGGTCCAGCCCGATTCTCCGTCTCATCGCTATACACTCAACTGTCACCGTCACACCCGCAAGCTTTCGATGATTTAAAGAGCCGTGCCGCCGTCAGTGACAACGTGGATGTGAAACTTGGTCTTGACGTCACAACATCGGCAAACTTGACCTCACCCTCGCCACAACCATGATAGGCGCCCTTTTGCCTGCCGGCTCACTGAGCCAGGCAGGATCTACCGATGCGAACCTCCTCACCAAACCATACGTTCTTCTATCTATCGCAGCTATGTTTCTGTTCTATGGCTTTTACAGATGGGCACTGCCGAAACCAATTTCCGACATCCCCTACAATGTGAGCGCTACGAAGAACATCTTGGGAGATATCCCATCACTCCTGGAAGGAGTGAAGCGCACCGGCGAGTTCAACCTCTGGCTGCAGGAGCAAGCCGCCAACTTCGGCTCGCCTCTCTTTCAAGTTTTCATTCGACCCCTCAGCAAGCCAGTCTTGATTCTCTGCGACTTCAGCGAGGCACAGGACATCATGATGCGCCGCAAGGACTTCGATCGATCCCACATGACAGCCGACCTTCTCGAGGGCGTCGGACCGAATCACCACATCCACATGAAGACGAACGGAGAGTGGAAGCGACACCGGAGACTTCTTCAGGACCTGATGTCACCCGCTTTTCTGAACGAAGTCGCCGGCCCTACAGTTTATGCCGGTGTACAAAGGCTCATCGACCTGTGGGCAGATAAGACGCGTCTGGCTGATGGTCGACCATTCGCAGCCGAGACGGATATTTACTACGGCTCCTTGGATGCGGTGATAGCTTTCACCTTTGGCGGTGACTTCCCTAACAGCGCTATCCGCCCAACAATAGATGCTGTTCGGAGCCTCACGGCCGAGGACATCGAGCGCCTACGAGGAGTCTCGGCGGCAGCAAAGGACAAGATCATGGACTTCCCTCAAGGCGAATGTGACGAGAAGCTCACCGCCACGCTGGATGTTGCTGGCTCTATTGAACATCTTATTGGGTCGCCGATTCCGAGGATCAAATGGTGGTTCGTCGAGAGGAGACCTGAGATCAGCAAGGCTATTCAGATCAAGAAGGCGTACGTACTCGAAGAGATTGCCAAGGCGCTGCAACGACTCAAGGAGCACGGTGGTGAGGAAACGAAGGTCCTGTCGGCAGTCGAGCTGGTGGTTCTCAGGGAGAAGAAGCTCGCGGAAAACGAGAACAGGCAGCCGGACTATTTCAGTTCTACCATGATCGACGAGGTGAGTCATAATTATCTAGCTTTCGTCGCGGCGCTAACATCGATGTAGGTCTTTGGTGTTGTCGTCGCGGGTCACGATACGACAAGTACGACGATGTCCTGGGGAGTGAAGCTCCTGGCAGACAACCCCAGTGCCCAGACCAAGCTTCGTGAGGCGCTTCGAGCAGGATTCGCCGATGCCGCAGCCGAAGGTCGTGCCCCGACTATTAAGGAAATCACAAACACCAAGATTCACTACCTGGACGCCGCTATGGAGGAGATCCTTCGTTGCGGCGGCGCTGCACCTCTCCTCGACCGCGAGGCCCTCTGCGATACCGAACTTCTTGGCCACCACATTCCTAAGGGAACGGTTGTGATGTGCCTCGGCCGAGGACCCAGCATGATGAAGCCCGCGATTCCCGTCGATGACTCCAAGCGAAGCAAATCCAGTATTGCGGCGAAAGCCCGTGTCTGGGAAGATGAGGATATCGGCCAGTTCAAGCCGGAACGCTGGTTGGCCGGCGACGCGGAGAAGGACTCATACGAATTTGATCAGCAAGCTGGCCCCCAGCTCGCTTTCGGTCTGGGTACGCGCGGTTGTTTTGGAAGGAGGCTTGCGTATCTTGAGTTGCGCATCATCGTGACGCTGATTGTGTGGAATTTCGAGCTGTTGCCTTGCCCGGAGAAGTTATCTGGGTATGGCGCAAAGGAGGGCCTGACGTACAAGCCTAAGGACTGCTATGTGCGTCTGCGGGCCGTGAAGATGGACTAGACATGGCATTATGGCGTTGTGATTTTGGGGCCAGCTAGGTGCCGATAGCTTTCATGGTCGTTTCTCAGTCTCCTCTCAGCATAGCCATTCTATTTTGTATTCTCATTACGAAACAAGAATACTTATGAGCGTTGCTTTGCTCATCTTTTCAAGCAAGGTTTCCTCGACAAATACCTTCACTGCTACGTCACGTCCACTCCCAAGTGTCTGATGTCTCCAAATAACCCTTGAGGCCAACGGTCTGAACCGTGTGACGACTTCAAGCCCAAAATCTAAGTGAAACACCAATATTGAGCTTTCATACGAAGGGAGGGAAATCTGGCCCAGGCCCGAGTATAGTACGAGGAGCTTCACAGAAGGACGTATGTCTCGCAGCTTTCGAGTCTGCGACATGAGAAGCCAAATCGCCTTCAATCAAAAGGCATCGTGCTTAGCCCCTCCAGGGAGAAGTGAAACTTTAACCAATCGACACATTTTGGGCCTCCCTTGACAAGCTATTGGCAGTGACACTGCCGAGAGTCAGGAACACCCACCGATCTAACCGGCTTGGCCATGGAATACATCAAGACCCCGACCACCCCTTGCGGCCAAGTACGTCGCTGCTCTCTGGACGGTTAAGATGTAACTTCTGACATGAACAAGAATAACAAACGTGGTCCGATATGGTTGAATCAATGTTTCCAGAGCCACGTGCTCTAAATTCTTGCAAGTTATCGAGCTACGGCTTTCAAAACTTCAGCCCTAAATGAGTATGCAGCCCAACGACAAGTTCACATGACATGCAAATAGGTTATCACAGCGAACGCCTCATTCGCCACAATCCACTCATGTTCTGAGATCGTGAGTCTCAGGGGTTTGCATCGTGAGAGACAGTTCAGGGCCAGTTGAGATCTAGACGCGTGTCTCGAAACTACCAGACAGAGCGTGTAAACATACAGCCATTGCAGAGTGAGTAACTTTCCCCGGATTTCATTATAAAACACGGGGTAAACCTGGGGTCAAAGCCTGGGATATCTCTTTCATTGGGTACTTCATTCTTCTGAAGTCCATTGAACTGGATCGACTTTGCGATTCAACCACTCTCGGAACTCGCTTACTTGCTTTTCCCCGACATGAGAAGCTCTCTCATATTTGGCGTTGCCATCGGACTGCCATGGCTTGGCTCAGCTGCCGCCTGCAATGATAATTGCGGCCGAGCTGTCGCTGGAGCAGCCAGGCAGAGTCCGCCGCTCGTTTCTCGGAAGTCTCAGTGCCAGGCTTTTGTGTCGGCAACCGTCACAGTCACGCCCGGGTAAGTCGAATCCATTCACCTGATCTCCTCGTCCAGGTGGGAATCCAGGCTCTGACACTCTCCGTAGATCCGTCACTATCACCGCAAACTCCTTTGCTGAGCGAAATGTGCATGGCCCACGCCAAGCCGGATCAGCTCCTCAGATCACCGGCAGCGTACCCGGGTACGCCAGTGCTTGTGCCGATGTAACATCTTACTGGCTTGCTTGCCAGTGCTTTTCTGGAGTTACGGCTACCACTGTTACTCTCACAGCCGCACCGGCTTCTACTATCACCGGGAGCCCCGAGAGCTCTTCAGCTCCGACTAGTTTTTCACCGGCAGTGACATCTTCCAGCTCATCGTCAGCTAGGATTTCCAGTTTGGCTACTTCTTCCTCGGCGGAGCGGTCTGAGGTGCTTTCCACATCCACGGCACCTCCCCCAACAGAAGCTGTGTCTATACGAAGCTCGCCCTCACAGACACCGTCTTCCTCCGCAACCTCATCTGGTGGATCCTCATCCATCGAATCTACGTTTCCAACTAGCACCATTTCTGGCCCTGGAAGTACATGCAAACCAACGGCGATACTGCCCAATCCCATACCGCTGTTCGAAACTGGCGACGAAGAATTCACATTCGTCGTGTTACCCTTTAGCATCGGCGTATTCGGCACATTCGACACCAATGTCTACGTCAGTGTCAACGGGCGCCTCTCACTGTACGGGGCCAATTATGCCCACACGAATTACCAGCTTCCCGATACTTACCTACCCTCCGTTTCCATGCTCGCCTACTACGATGATCTGAATCTCACATCCTCTAACCATATTGTTGCCTACCAGGTACTGGGCTCGGTCTCTGGTAGTCGCAACGTCACTTTCGAGTGGGTCACGGAGCACTGGCAGTTCAGGAATCAGGTTTATCACTTCACAGCGACGTTCGAGGAGGCCCAGCCCGGTATTGTCACCTACCGGTATTATACCATATCGGATAAAGGTCGGAGTGCGACTGTTGGCGCCCAGAACCTTCTCAGGAGAAATCAGCCAAAGTTCACGCAGTACACCTTCGACACCCCGAACTCCGTTCGTGATAGAACATTTGTGCGTCTGAACACCACGGGTGCTGGCAGTTTCACCACGGGTAATTTTGAGACTTCTGAATGTTAAAAGGGGTGTAACTTGAACATCGATGGAAATCGCTTGGACTATGTTTCCCTCTAAACGTTGAGGCTTCGTGTCATGATAAACCACCAATACGCAACGTTCGTCATCAAATCTTTGAGTATGTCGGGATGATTATACCCCAGAATATGGTATAAGTTGCAACTTGTCTTCTCAAAATGAAATCAAGTCCATTATGGGCACTTTTAGAGATAGGCGAGTAGAAATTCAGGCTTATTGAAGTCAACAGGAATTGGAAGACATCGAACATATATTCCTCAACATACATGTATCAGGAAGACTCATGGGAACTTCGAACGAACATGAACTGACAACAGTCATTAGATAATCGACTCTGTTTATCTTTCAGAGAAGTGATGTCGGGGTGGGCATTCCAACCAACTTTGATGTTATCTTCAGCGGCACAAACGGCGGAGGCGGACACAGTACCCGGCCGTTTCTTCACGGCTACATCAATAGTGCATCCTCTGACCATCTTGGCGAAGAGGGGAAGACACGCCTCCATGCAGTTTGCTATCCACATTGGAGTAGAAGTTGCAGGAGAAAACTAGACGGAATGATTTAATTGGCTTTGAGAAAGGCCCCCAGCCTTGTTGGGTCGCCGGCAATGATCCCCGGTGCAAGACGTTGGTTCAATCCAGCAGCGGGTCTGATAATCCATGCTCGTTCGAACAGGAGCAACTTCCAACTGCGGACATACCCTGGCTACTTTTCTAAGGATTGTCTTCTCTTTAAAGCAGCTCTTTCCCCGCGCGAGATTGCACTTGCTGGGCGCAAACTGTCACTTTCCCGGCTACCTTGCTCCCACTTTGTTTGGTCTGCACATTGTAGATTGTCGTTCACGACAACCAAGGTTCAATATGGGAATCGCTAGCGAGCCCTCGGTTCGTGCGGCTACGAGTTCAGCCTCAGTACTTGCTGGAAACAATCAGCATGCCTCAAATGGGCCGGAGCACGCAGCCACCCAGCCTAGCGCGGATGACCCAGTCACGATCGAGCCGTCACTGCTTGAACCTGAGGACGAAGTTGTTAGTTGATCCACGACCGCCTTTTTCTGGCACTCGTCGCATTAACCATTTGCCCAGGCTGATGACCGCTCTTCAATTGACGAACAAATGTATGCTACACCACATGACAGATACATGTAGTCGGCCACGGACAAATTCTCAGTTGCTTACTTACTTCCTAGTTCGACGTACACTCAATCGTTGGCCTCCAGTACTGTTGATTATCCCATGGATTATGGGCGAAGATATCATGCTTTTCGGCGCGGAGGTGAGTCTTACACGTACCCTGACCCGATTTCTACGAGACCGCCTCCTAACTTGCAGCCCAGCATACGTACTTCCCAATGATGAGGTAATGTCTTGAAAGCAACGGAAGTTCCGATAGAGCCTGATTTTGAACCAGCTGGAAATGGAACGGCTGGATGTAACCCATGCAATGGTGGTACGAGCAATTGGCAATAGGCTCTTCCTTGCACCTCTTGAGAAACAGAAGGTGACCAGAATTTTGGATGTCGGTACCGGTACCGGAATCTGTAAGGGATTCTTCTTCATTCGACTCATCCAAAGAAATGTCGTGGTAACCATGCTCCAACAGGGGCGGTCGAGATGGCAGATGTTTTCCCGAACGCAGAGGTACGTTCTGGATTGGAACGTAATGTAAAATCATGCGGCCGAAACTGATTCAAGTGCAGATCATTGGGAATGACTTAAGCGCCATTCAGCCTTCATGGTACTTCTGCTATTTCAACTCCTTCCGAATGCTAGCACTGACACAAGTCAAGGGTTCCCCCAAACGTCAAGTTTGAGATTGACGACGTCGAGAGTTCGTGGGTCGGCACCAAGAAGTTTGACTACATTTTTGTCCGTCACATGCTCGTCGCCATTGCTGATTGGCCAAAGCTGGTCAAGAATGTATACAAGTAAGTGATAGGCTCATCTTATGCTTGCAAAATCGTTGCTGAAACGGCTTGTCGTCTAGGCATCTGGACCCCGGTGGCTGGGCCGAGTTCCAGGATTTAAACTCCGAATACTACTCCGACGACGGCACCTACACTGAGGAGCACGCGACGCGAAAGTGGAACAAGCAGTTTGTAGATGCTTGTGAAGCTATGGGTAGAACAGGTTGTCCTGGCCTGAAGCTCCAAGATTGGGTGAAAGACGCAGGTTTCCAGCGCATCACCCACCAGAGGTTCAAGTGCCCCGTGGGTCCATGGGCGAGGGATCCTCATCATCGAGAGGTTGGAATGCTTAACCTCATCCAAACTTTGGATGGACTAGAAGCGTTTTCCCTCAAGCTCTTCTGCGATGTTCTTGGCAAGACCAAAGAGGAAGTGCTTGTGATGTTGACCAAAGTTCGTTCGGAAGTCAAGAGCAACACGTTCCATGCCATGTTTGATCAGTAAGCTTTTCATTCCCTTGATCGTACGGACACTAATGATATCACAGTCACGTGGTCTATGGACAGAAGCCCGAGGATATCGAAGATGAACAAGCCGATGAGTGAGCAGAGTTGGAAACACCCATCCGCCCTCGACTGCACATACTTTCGTCGATATTCGATTTAAGGTAGATTGACAGGGGATTTAAACATCCATCGTTCCGTTGATATTCATATTCAAGTTTGTTACAATCACTTGTGATGGACCATCAGGTACCTTATTTTCAACCTTGAGTCAAGGTGACTTCAATTTCTAATCGCTTTGGCGAGTGGCTCGTACCACGCCGCTGCCAACTTCTCATTTCCCCTATCATTCGGATGAACTCCATCCCTCGTCATCGTTTTGGCGTCGAAGTCTTTATGGCAGTCGACCACAACAAGTTGACTCTTTTCGTTGGACTTTCGTGGTGCCCACTCGGCAACAGCGTGGTTCAGGGCTTCGACTCTTTGACCACACTCCTTACAGCTATCGACACTCATCGGAAGTATTTGGGCAACCTGGTGAGGTCAGTTCAAGGCCCATGTTGAAATAGCGTCCCGGCTGGGCTCAGGGTTCAGTTTCACTCACCAATATTTTTATTGCCTCCTTACTCGACCTCATCTGATCCACGAGCTTATCAAAGGCTTGAATGATGTCTCCCGTTTTCTTGTCACTCCACACGTCGTTAGTCCCAAGGTGCATCATGACGATGTCGGGCTTCGTTTCCTTCAGCCACACTTCAAGCATGTTTTGACGCGCGACGTCTAATGCGAGTACCCCGCCGTGGCCATCATTTTCTCCATCGTAGTCGAATCCGCACCCTTGTGCCTTCAAGGTTCCCACAAAATCGGTGTTCTTGATATTATTGTCTTGTAGCCTTTTCCACAGGAGCGCCCTCCAGCAGCCCTAAATGGCATCAGAAAGTCCCGGTGAATTCCAGACTCGAGGAAGAAATACTCACCGGGCTGCCGGTTATCGAGTCTCCGAGGGCCATGATCTTGACCTTATCCTCTGCGTAGACAGGACATAGTCGAAGGAGAATCAGTGCCAAAAGCACCACTGCATACCGGGGAAACATCGCCACGACTGATGAGAACGGCACCACTTTTCATCAATGATCATATGCAGTTGAAATTTCGGCGTTTGAAGCTGCAGTTGATACTCCCTTGCCGGATATTCTTAGTCATCGCCGGAAACATCAGATTCCCGAGCCAGTTTGTTTCCAGCTTTTGTCGTTCCCCTGCCTATACCGTCCTGAGAACCAGTCGTTACCGGTTCTGGTGGCAATACAACTGGGTTATCCCAGCTCAGAAGCACAAACGCCGTTAGAACGTCGTCACTGCAAGGGTCTTTTAGGGTTCTCATCACTCAAATATTGGATATACTTTGGCGGAAAGACGGGATCCGACACAAAATGCTTCAGAAGCTTGAGCCTCATTGCAAGACTTGGGACGAATGGGGTTCCACTGCGGGAAGATCAGTAACGCGCCTCGAGATTAGATTCAGCTCCCCAGCTATCTCCCGGATGTGCTTCATCGTAACTCATGAAAGTTTACAGGTCCCTGAAATCCTCCAGCCAAATTCGAGGATGACCAATAGAAAGTTTAGACAGTGATGAGGACTTCTGCATGGTCAACCACCGCATAAACGCTGATAGTCGCCGCTGCCGCGATTGTTGTGAGACCGACACCGTTCGTGTGGCTCGAACCCAATCGGCTCCGGTCAATATCAGGACACATACATCAGCTCCGACCGCGCGATGCGATGGTTCGCTGTCACCAACCCTCGACGCTGTTGTGTTGTGGAGGCTCGAAGCACCGTATCCTGCAAAGCATTCCTATTAACTTTCACACATCAGACAAGAGGAGTAACCTTGGCTTATTCTAGCAAGCAAAGTCTGCTGGTTTTGGCGCATGCCTCGCCGTTCGTGGAAAAATGCCTTCTTCTTCCAATCTGGTTTACTAAACCCGCAAGGAACGTAGACTGGCGCGAAATGATCGGAACTCACATGTTAAGAGTCGAGTTCGAGAGGTCTTGTGCTAGGAATTCCGAATTTGGAAGAAGTTTGTTCTTTGCGATACTGGAGCTGGAGGCTGCCGCATCTAACCCCCTACTCCTAGTCCATACTCTCCCACCGGGAACCAACTGACGCCAGTAGAAACGGGATTCGAAGTGCAGGTAGGGTATATCTGTACAGTCGGCCCGGTGGGATATAGTTCGAGTCCAGGTGCTCCCGGAACTTGGATGCTATTCCCGCCTAACCATTCATCCATAACATCGGCATTATGCTGCGTCTGAGCACACTGACAGGCTCACTGACAGGAACTGCAGAAATGTTCTTCTACCAATTAACAGTCACGCTTGAACGCAGCATTGATACTTGCACCGGGCGCCTGACATAATGTACCAGCCGGCTTGCTTAGGCTGTGAGACGGCTAGGGATTCGATGCAGATTCAATGAGTTTCCCATGAGCGCGAGCCATCAAATTCCAAGATCAACAGGAGGCAGAGTTCTCCGAACTACAGGTACATGGGACGATGAGGGGGTCTTCCCGTTGCGTCAGGCGTGCTGTTCATTATTCGAAGATACGCAAGACTCTGATCAGCGGGCTGCAAGATTGACTTGCACTGAGACCATCACGAGGTTGGTTTCGATCCACAGCTATACCATCACATACTCGTCGCGTAAAACAGGGAACCTGGGTACAACGGAGACGACGTAAATACAAATCGACGACTTAGGGTTCAAGGTATAGACCTCGGCCGGAGGGGCGTTTGTAGGTGGACTTCTTCCCGGTGATTAAGTGGGTCTTCGGTCCGTTAGGTCGGCCCACGGGTCCCGGTCACGACACGGGAAATCGGGAATTTGCGGTCAACTCATTTGTGGCAAGCAAAATACTCGCTTGACTGCCCAGAACAGGAAATATTCAATGTTGTAGCCAAGGTTTGAAAGTCAGAATAGTCACATCTGGAAAACATGGGTCGTACGTTTCTTACTTGACAGCCTGAATGGGGTGAATGTTGACCGATGAAGCTGCGCCGACGCAATACGAAAATATGATTGAGATTGCCTGAAAGCGAATGAAATCTTTATTGCCACATTTTCATGTCATCCCAGTTTCCTCTGTTGTAGTACAACATGGGTATAATGCGTGTCCAATCTCTTACGGGCCGATTCCGTGCAGTCACGAATACGGCATCAACGACTTATCCTGCATAGGAACTCAATCTACATTCACACATAGAGGCCTACGGGATGTTGAGTAATTGAGAAAAGACGTGATTAGATGTAGTCCTCAACCGATCGCCACTGAATATTTTTGTCCCCTTCAGGAACTGGAACCACAGAGTGCAGAATGACGGCGTCATGCAAGGTAGTGCTGTATCATGACCAATGTGCGCATGTATGGTCATCTGGGGTGCCCAGCTATGATTTGCTCTACCTAGTACTTTACTCTTAAGTTAGGCCGACTCGACATCGAACGTTTCCACGATGCTTCAGCAGGCATCTACTTCCAACCCCATCGTGTCTTCTGCATGTCTACCCGGCACTAATGCAACTTTACTGCTAGCTCCATCGATTCTGAAGTTTTAGAGGTCCTCTGCCAGACTAGGTGAGTACTCAGAGGTGGACTACGCACTACGTTGTAGACTTTGCAAACAGCCTAAGCCTTATTACTGAAGGTCTGCCGTCATGCTCGTATCTTCCTGCTGCAACGTATCTAAGTAATCTATGGAAAACCGAGATTATAACTTGTTCCAAAGCCATTATCCCCTAAGCTCCAACGTGATGACAATGGAAGTCAGTGGAGATCGGAGGGAATCAAGCTTAAAGACGGCCCGCTGACAAGAGACTCTCATGAATTCCACCGAAGGATGTCAAACGTGCAAGACGCATATGCAACCTTCAAGGTAAAATTTGTGACTCTAGCTATCTCAGGTCACTATGGCACGAATTTACATGAACTGAAGACCCGTTTCGTCGCTGTGTTATCCTCTTGTAGAATACCTTCGCTCAATACGTGGCTATTGTGTGACATGGACCCTTCTCAGCGCGAGAAACATCTCGCTAGCCATACATCAATGAAACAAAAGGCCCGGCAGTAAAGCAGTTAGACTGCTGGGCTGGTGTTCTAGATAGCCGTTCGCAGTGCATTTGAAACCTTTCGGAACATAGCGAGGAGGAGGAGCGGAAGGTCTCGACCTGCTTTGAGTTGTGGTTCCTGCAGAAAAATTCAAATCGATTCCCAGAGAGTTCTCACAGTCTACGTAGTAGGGGTGGAAAGCATCGTACAACTTAGTAGGGGCTTCCGCCGTCGTGCGGAATGCTCTGTGCTTTCGGCAAGCAAATCAAGATTCGCCGTTTCCGCCTGCCGGTTGTGATGATCGGCTCCGGGATAGTGGGCGTAGAAAGTCCGGACGACCCGGCAATTACGCGGTTCGCTCGAGAGCCACCTCAAGAGAGTCGTGGGGGTAAAGGCCCATGCTTCGAAGGTTACCGAAAAGTTATGCGTCCCACGGATCGGGTAGCGGTATAGTTGGGAGAGCCTCATCTTCGGGAAAGGAGGAGGCTCACAAATCAGGAGACAATGTCTTGGCTAGCGCGTCTCCACGTGCGACAAGCTTGCTGTTCCGCGATACACGACACAGCCTCCGCGATATAGCTCGCACTTTCGATTCCCTTTGATAACCTTGAAGGAGACAGCGGGCAACTGGTGATTGGTGAGGAGGCAAGGTTGGACAGCGGTCCAGAGCAGCTTGGCAACTTAGACTCCGGACCATCGTTACGACTACCTCCGGCCGTCTCTTTCGCCTATTGGTTCCGGCACATATACCCCGCAGCAGGAGATATACGCGTCCTGCGAACATCAGGCACGCGGGTGGTTACTCTTTCGAGTTAGTTCGGGCTCTTGATCGAGTCTAAAGTTGCCAACTCTCGCCTACCCCGCGTATCGACTCAACTGCTGCGTCCCCTGGCACGGTGTCTGAATCATGGAGCATCCCGCAGCAGGCCGTCGCGGGAGATCTACAGGGAAACAATAGTCGCTGTCAGAAGGGATCGACACGAACGGCCGCATCGGTTTCGGTTGCTACCCTGGGGCCCTTGCGGGAGAGCTCCAAGCTTTCCCGTCCGATGTAATCCGGGACACTTGACGACAAAGCTTACCCGTCACCACCCCGCCGATTCCGACCCAACGGCAAGGCTGGTGTCCGTGGAAGCCGCCGACGCGCCTAACTAGCTCTACACACGCCGGCGCCGTCCGCCTCGTTTTCGGTCGGCGGAGAAAACAACATGGAGATCAGGTCAGGAAACGACGATGTGCCGGAGGCAGAGCTGAGGTCCAGGTCGTCTCAGGCCACCAACTTAACCTTAACGGGGGCTTTTAGACTTATTCACTAGTACGGGTCGACTTTGCCAAGCTTGGCATAAACGGTATCTTCTGAATTGGAGATGGAGACGATGTGCGAAGAGGACGAAGTATTAAAGCCAACGACATATCTCCCGGCCTTTACTCGATAATGTGCTTGTCACAGGCGACTCATCCTCTACGGGTTCATACTTTCTTCGTACTACTTTATCGTCATCTCCGTGTTGTGAGAACATCTCCACAATGTCCTCCATCAAGTCTGTCCTCATCGCTTCGCTCATCTCTCTGAGTCTTGGGGCGCCTCTTGTAGCGCGTCTGGACAGTCAAGATGATTCGGTTGGCACTGCTATCAGCGCCCTCCAATCTCGGTCAGAGATGGAAGAGCAGTTTGCTGAACTTGACATTCGTCAGGAAGAGAACAACAAGCAAGACGAGTCTGGCGAGTGGGAGTACTACGAGGTAGCCGCTCGCGACCTGCACGACAACTACCTCGGTGACACCGAGGACAACCGTCTCGACCGCCGGGACGAGTACCTGGGTGAGGAAGATGGACAGTCACTCTCTACCAGAGCCAACAAGGGTTCTTCAACGTCCAAGCAGAAGGCCAAGGAGAAGGCGGAACTGGATGAAATCCGCAAGGCCCAGGCCAAGCAGCACACGGATGCTCGCAAGAAGGAAGATAGGGAGCGCGAGGAGATCAAGGACGCCCGCCTGGACCAGAAGAACGCCAAGAATGCGAAAGAGAAGGCCGCAGCTAAGGCACAGAAGGAGAAGGAGATTAAGTCATTGAACAACGTTAAGGATCAGAATGCCAGGGATAAGGCCCGGCTCGCTGCGGCGAAGGAGCGGGAGAACAAGGAGCTGGCCGAGATCAAGAAGAAGGAGAAGCAGAGCAAGAAGGGCCCTCGGGCTATCGACACCTCTGAGACGTACAGCAAGGATGCCAACGCTATCAAGCCTGAGTACAACAACCGGGCCTACGATGGCAAGGACTACGACAAGGAGCGGGAGAGAACTGACGAGATCATCCGGAAAGAACAAGAGGCAAGGGCTCGTGAAGACGCTTTGATCCGGAGTGGACAACTGGACAAGGCGAAGACCGACCAGCGTCTGAAGGAAGAGGAGCGGGCGCGTCAACGCGAAGAGGCAGCAATCCGCGAGGCTCAGAAGGACAAGAAGAAGACGGACGAAATCCTTCGCGAGCAGGAGAAGCAGCGCCAGCGTGAGATCGAGGCCGCGAACCGGGCATCCAAGTCTGATGAGCAGCGTCGCCGCGAGGAGCAGCGACGTCGTGAGGAAGCCAAGCGGAAAGAGGACCAGCGACGTCGTGAGCAAGCCAGAGCGAGAGAGGAGCAACAGCGTCGTGCGCAGCGTGCCCGCGAGGAGGCCAAGCGCCGTGAGGAGCAACGTCGTCGGGAGGAAGAGAGACGCCGCAAGGGCAAGCCTCCTAGGGCTGAGAACGTCGAGGTTGACGTCTAAGAAAGTTCATTCGCTTGTAAAGGTCTATGGCAGGCACCACGCTGTGCAGACGCTCCTTAGTTTATTGAGATAGGTTACGGTTACGATTGATGAGAAATGAATATGAGTTACGCTTACCTACTTCCTTGTGATGACTTTGTGATGTGACAGTGAGAAACACTTTGTGGAAGAAGTTTTGCTAAGTACAGTTACTAATCGCTGTTTTGATAACACACTCAAGACATAGTTAAAAGGGGTTTTCAAGACATGCCATTTCAAGTACCTAAGTAAATGTCTTCAAAACGTGGGCGTCAAGCCTGCGCTTCTCATCCAATAACTGTCAAGAAAAGCAAAGGCGATGTCCTGCGATGGGTGGTCTTGCATGATGTGTTGACTTTGCTTCAATTTGCGGGAAGAAGCTGGCATTGTCGTGTTAGTTGAATGATACAACCGACCCTTCATCGCCTGCTCTGGCCCGGCCGAAATTATCGTGTGAGTGAAGTAGCCAACGTCAGTGGCGTCCTAGAACAGGCAATTTTGCTGCATTCGCCCATTTTTTGATCTCGCCATTCGTCGTACTGAATCCAGTCAACCAGTCTCAGGGATATGCATGGCTTTGGGGGCTGTAAAGGCCAGGGTCCGGATCCTTTTGATCAAGGGATGCCGATCAAGCCAAAAACCGGGCCAGCATCTGCGGGCTCCCAGCACCGCCCGCCGGCCAGCAACAGGAGTGATCTTTGAAGCTGTGGTTTAGACGATAATGTACTACTTATCAATCTATTAGCGCTGTGAGATTCGAGAATGGAAATTGCCATGGAAATGGACATGAGTCGCATTAGGGAGGTCGCTGAACTTTGCTCTTTAAGCAGCAAATTGAGAGACCAATTGAAGACAAATCGTAAAGACCATTCTGCGGCAAGTTCTCTCAAAATACGGCGGCCGCTCACCATAATGCACCACGAGAAGAACGGCAGTGAAGACGCCGATCAGATCCATGACGGCACGCTGTAAGCATGTCCCACGGCGCAGCACCTCCAGCCTGATGAAATCTGGAATTGGTCACTCGACAATGCTTATCATGTTGCTCGAATATTTTTGCCATGCAGTAGCGCCAATCCTGCCGGCCATGTTCCACCGCGCAATGTCGATGATCCCTACGGGACCCGTCGACGGCGATGTGTTTGGCTGGAGGAGACGCGCTCCATTCTCGTCCCCCCGGTCGGTTGCATCAGGCAGCACTCAATTGAGATCCCGACTCCGACGCCGTGGGTTCGCCGTCATAAGGAACGGACTGCCGGGCTTGCGGTATCGCGGGAGCGATTGAAATGCGGCTGAACCTCTGTCAAATCTCTTTTCACTTGGACAAAAGGTATCGAAGGGTGAACGACATGACACGATAACATTGAGAACTCGAGCGCGACTTTCCATTCCTGGGAGTCGGACCACGAAGCAAAATCCACTCTGAGCCATGGACCCCGGGTTACGGAAGGCCAGCGGCCTGAGCAGTCTCACCGTCTCATCCACCAAATCATTCGCTCCGCTTCTCATCGACGAAAGCCAGTCAACAAGGAAAAGAAAAAAGTCTATGCGGCGATGCGCGAGTTTCGGCTCAAAAGTACGGAGTCTGCGGAGTAAGGAGGCGTGGGTGGAAGCAGCAATCGAAGCAGTCCAAGACCTCATCAACCTCAAGTGGCTCATGGTTATCGGGTGGCTCTTCGTTCTAAGTTGGCTCACCGGACTTGCCATTTTGCTGAGCAATGTCATCGATCAAGCTTTGTTTAATGCTAGCTCGGAGGCTTCGGCTTGCCAGCCAGATGGCAGCTTCAACATCATCATGAATCAGTACAATTGGTGGGGTGCCTCCGGCTTTTTCCAGATCACCATGGCATGGGGCGAGATGACATTTGCGAACGCCAAGATTGTGGACGTTGGATGGGATGTGGTGAGACCTCAGGTGCTTCTTTCAGTACTGTTGACAGTATATTGATATTATTGCAGATTTTCAGTCGAGGTGGACAGGCTTTGATTGCCTGGATCTCGTGGAACGTCTTTTCCGACTACGTCACGACGTCCATCCAGGTCAGTCCCGTCACGTACGAGACGTTTTGGACCATCTATCTCCAGGAGACGCCGAATTTCTACTCGACCTGGTACTTGCTTCGAGACTTTACCCGGTCTCACGGACTGCGTTCGCGGGTCGCCATGACGTTCATGGTCATCGTCGCCATCTTCATACTGGTGTTTCCCACGCTCGGTAGCGCCATGTCCGGATACCAGGCGAACAGCGGTGCATTTGTCAACGGAATCGACGGAGAGATGCTCAAGTTTTCGGATTTCCACATGATTGCCTACGTCATCCACGATGGAGACAGGCTAAACTTGACCAAAGACTACCCAGTGACGTTCCTCCGAACCAATTGTGCGTTTTTTGGACAATGAGTCCTCGTGTCCTCTCAAGACCTGGTTGTTCGTCGAGTGCTGACCATCAATCAAAGCCGAGCAGTTGATTCGCGAGTCGGGGAGTGACTACGTTCCCTACACCTCCTACAGCAGCTACTACGGCTACGGCGGTTATACCAGTAGATTTGCGTATTGCATCAATCCGCCCTACAGCGAAAACGCGGACCGCATGAGAGACTGGGAAAAACAGTACCCGATGAATCAAAGATGCATCATGCATGGAAACGTCTCTGACTGTAGGAGCAGACACTTTTGTTCGGAACACGCGAAGCGTAGTCTGCTAACATTATGATGACAGACGTCCAACAACACGGTTTCTTTGGACTGAAGAATGAGAAGTCAACATGGATGAACAAGACTATCGAGGCCCCGACCCTGAATATCTCAGCCTACTTCCTGCCGGAAAAGTACGACGCCCTCTATGGCAATAATTGGACGGATCCACGAACGGGCACGGAACCATTTAGCGACAAGACTAAGGTCGCCTACTCGTATAAGCTGGGTAACGGCACGTATGGACTCGACTACATCAAGGCCAACGGAAGCTGCCAGCCGGTGACCGAGCTCGACAACCTGAATAGCTCAGTACGCGAGACGTACCAGTGGGGCTTCTCCTACATCCAACTCTTCATCATGCTCATCCTGCTGATGCTATGGACGATCGGGATGTCCGTCATGTGGATCAAGGCGCACATGACGATGAGAATGCGCGGGAGGTTCGACAAGCCCAAGGGGTTCAAGGGTGTGCTGGAGCTTGCGGCGGCGATTCGGAAAGAGCTGCAAGAGACCAACCCCGACGATCTTTCGCATGACCAGCTGTCCGAGGAAATCCGGAAGCGTCTCAAGGGTGGCAGCATCGAGCTCGAGAGTGCGGGCTCGCCGGCCATGTACGGTATCCTGAAGGGATTCTGGGGATGGATCAAGGAAAGACGGTGGTGGGTGGCGGCGTGGTGTCTGCTCGTTATTTTCGGCTCGATGTTGGCCACGTACGAAGAGGGGACGTACTCGTGGGTTCTTGTGTTTATGTCCTCGACCCTTGTCGCGATGGTGGTCGGAGGCTCGCCGAGAAGTAGAGCGATGCTGTGTCTCTGGGGAAGCATCATCGGGATGAGTGTTTGGGTGGCGGTAATATCTTCAATAATGCAGCGGCACAAATACGGCAGTTTCGGCGAATACATGTAATGAATAATAGAGCAACAAGCAAACACAAATTTTGACTTGTCTTCGCAAATATGGCGTAGCATTGCGCGTCACGAAATGGAAGCATCACTTGAGATTCTGAGTATGTGTGGATCAGATGAGCAGTTCCAGTCAAATTTTGTGCCTCAAGAAGTGAATTATCATTAATCGTCTAAACAATACGCTAAATAGGGGAATGATGCGGGTTTATGGTATCCTCGTGCTGTTTGCCCGTGTGCTCGTCGGCGATACAAGATCGCTGAAATTTGATATCTGCTTTCGTAACGCCGTCGGACTCTGCGTAAACGTGTCGCTCATGGCCGACACGGCCGTGTCCTGCCTCTTCGCGGGCGGTCGGGTGACCACCGGCGGCGGCATGGGAGAGGTCGGGGGGACGGGAGACGGCGACATGGAAGTATCCGCCAGCTCGTAGCTCTCGCCCTCTTCCGGCGATCGAGAATAGTAAGTCATGTTCTCCCCTTGAATGGAGTTCATACGGGGCCACTCCGACGCGCGCGAGTACGCCGGAGCGGGCTCTTCCAGCTCCGCGCGCCTCGTGCCGAGGTCGCCTTCGAGCTCCATGCTGTTATCTGGGTTGACGGCGTGGTAGTTTGTGTAGCCGGCAAATCGTGTCGTGGAGGACTTGGAGTCGGGGGCGTCACGCTTCTCGGTCCGGGGGATGGATCTGGAGGCGCCGACGAGCGCCGGGTCGGATCTTCGCTTGCGGTTCTTCACCCAGAACCAGAGGGCGACGAAGAAGATCAGGGCCGCGCCGATGGCTACCGGAACGCCGACCTTGACGCCCATCGCCGTACCACCACTGCTGCTGGTGCTGGTTCCGTTGCAGGTCGAAGATATGTGATCCGGTAGCGTGCCGTTGGCGACCTGAGGGCTAAGCCAGAACTTGCCCGCATCGTAATCGACGTGAAGGTAGTTTTGAGACAGATATACGCCACCAAGGATGGGGACATTGTTTCCCAAGTCGCTCATGCCGGAGCTCACGGTGGCCTGAATGTGAGTATTGTTTGTGACGGCGTATCGGCCGCGGGAATCTGTGCCCCGCTGATGAGACACCAACTCGTAATGAGGGATAACGGTGGTGTACCCGTTCGTCAGTTTGATGGTGAGAGTGCCAATCATGGACTCGAGGCTGGAAGGGTACGTTTGCTGGTTGAATGTGGTTCCGTTGAATGTCGTGGTGTGGTTGGTGAAGTTCTGGAACCGCGAGAACATGTTCGGTGTGAAGGTGAAGTCGTTCTGGACGGTATCAATGCACGCGGATACTCGGGTGCCCACGTCGGTGAACAGGGAGTGCTCGCCGTCTTCGTTGGTCAGGGTGATGTCTGCGATGAGAACCTGCAGCGGGCAAGGCACCGGTGCGCCGGCTCCCCACATGCTGAATTCGGTCTTGAGCGTTTCGTTGAACCGGGCTTCGTTGACACCACCAAAGACGAGTTGGCCATCGCGGGGGTAGAGTTCGGACGTTGAGCCGTAGTCGAGACTCCAACTTGATGTCGGTGCAAGCTTGTGGTCCACGAACAAGTCTATCGTGGAAGAGTCGGGGCCAAGTGCAAGAGCGCTCTTGTTCATGGAATCAAAATCCGCCCAGACTTCGAACGGATATCCGTACATGACAGCCGGGCCGTCGGTGAAGTTGGCGACATCATAACCATGGAGCACCGTCGTGATGCCGTCGGCAGGCTGTGCATCGACGAATCTAAACACGGAGTCAGCAAGCCAAGAGATAAAAGGTTTCAGCAGGGAGCACGCACGAGACGTTCCAGTCCTTGATGTTGTAAACTTGGCTGAATGACCCTTTCGTATCGTACACACTACCGGACGCGCCTTGGCAGCCGATGAAAGCCAATGTGTCCTCGTCCGGACAATCCAGAATATTCCTCACTCGCGTATTGTTCAAAATAGTAGACATGCGCATGCCTTGAACCTGGCCTCCAAGCGTGAGCTTGACGCCGCGGTTGGCACCGATGCCATTCGGAAAGGTAACGTTCTGCGGGGGGTGGCCGAGGTCAGTACTCCACGATCACAACAAGGTGCTCCAAACCCACCACGACACCGAAAGAAGAAGAACAGACGAGGTCTGAAAAGTGACGGAATGACTCGTGAGGAGGAACGGCAACAAAATCCTTACTTTTACGGGTAAAACTAACGGGTCGACTGAACAGTCGTCCGCCTTCGCGGCGGAAGAAAAGACGCTGGCCAGCAGGAGCGCCGCCCAGGGCGTTGAGGGCAACAACATCACGAGAGATCGCGATTAAGAGGCAATATTCTGCTGTATCGAGGCATGACGGGCAGCCGGCCGAACAGAGTTTACGTTGGGGGTCGCTTTTGACGGCAGGGCGCCCCTTTTGACTGCTCTGTTCTGCCCACCCACCCCCAGACGAGATGCAATATGAAGATGTCGACACCCTGCAGTCGGGGCCAGGTTACCTAGCCGGAAGGGGGTGACGAAACCCACCGCCAAACTCCCATGTTATTAGAAGGGGCTCGCGATATTCCACATTTGTAACTCTATCCCCGCTTCAGATGAGTTGGGGCGGTTCCGAGAGTTGTCGGAACGCACTCCGTGAAGGTTCTGGTTGTCAAGACACACACACAACTCGACGGCATAGACGGTCTTGAAAGGTCTCAAATGAACAATATCAGACGAACTGCTATAGAAACATCCCAATCTACTCGATATTGTCATGCTCGTTAGGTTCAGACGGTGCCAAAAGCTTCACGCAGCGGTTCCTGTCGTTGGACGACACACTAGTCATGTACCATGCTCAGGCACCACAACCGCATGCAGTCCCATACTCTTGGCGGTCGGGGCGTCAGGGTAAGATTAGGGTCGTATTACAAGCATTTATACAAAGCCACGAGTGCCCGGCGAGGCGAGGCGAGGCGTCGCGAACGTCGAAAGGCGTGTCTGTAAGGCGTGTGTTCCTGACATCCCGCGTTCCGGCGGCTGCAGCGAGTCGCTCTCTCCGGACGTGTGGCTTGGGCAACCCTGACAAGATCTGCGCAACTCCCTCGCAAATGCCGCGATCAACATCGATGCTGCCAGGAAGTGTTAATGAATCCTGTCTCAGTTATGGTGACAGGACCCCAGATACTGAATGTTCATAGGGCTATAATCCTCCGTGCTAAGACATGTTGTTTACGGGCTGATATGAGGTTGTTCTGCCGACGACAGGTTTCCTATCACGGTCCGAGTTTTGCTTCCCTTGTTGAAGTCTGACGTCCCATGTCGCGGGGCAGGGATATGGGCTTCGTCGCACTCGGGAACCCCTAGCCTCGATGGTAAGTGGGAGGACGTTGATCCGGCTCTATGGCCGGGAGCTGGGCCGGATCTGATCTCTTGTCCGCGAATTTTTCTGGAAAAGATATCCATAGGGTTGATATAAAAGTTGGTTGAGCTGATTGCGCTAGGCGCGAGTTGCCAATTTGCCACCGCCCAATGTCGTATAAGCGCATCAACCAGGGATCGGCTGTGGTTCCAGCTTCCCACGGGGTCCGGATGGTTCCAGGACTGCCGCTAGCGAATGGGTGCGAGATGATTACGTTTTCAATGAGATGAGATTAATCAATTGCGGCGGCGGAGGGTTGGGCAGGTGAGCACGTGGGCTCTAATCCTTCGCTGCCCATGTTATCGAAGAATTGAGGCATGACTTTCAAGAACCAGAGTCAACAGCAATGATCAGCAGTCTTAACACATCGCATATTGTTGTTCAAAATAGCTACGCCTCTTCCCGAGCAAGCCGCTCATCGATCGACTATCCCAATTTCATCGATGCTACTTCGTCAACGGTTCCGGCAGTCCGGTGAGTCCCCGAGCTTGGTCCATAGGTTATTTTTCGCGATGTGGAAACGATGGAGACGACGAGCACACAAGCTTGGACGTGTCCACTTACATGTCGAATCCAGAAAGGTATCAAAGCCGGTTCGGCTACAGATGCCACGCGAAATCAGCGACTCGATACGACACGCAAAGAAGCTTTCATTCAGCGAGACTTTTCACCGCCGAGTCGGGCTTTCATGTCGGGTACTTGGCATTTCCCATGGTACAGTTGACACCGGTCTTTCGCCCTGATGATATTTCCGTCTTATCGCCAAAGTTGACTTTGACAGCAATTGCGATAGCGAAACTCAAAGCCTCGCAATTCCACCACCTTCTAGAAACTGAGAAAGTCTAGACGAACATATTCTGTGCTTCGAACTGTCTCCCGACGAGTTAGCGGCGCGAGCTGCTCTTCCTGAGAATGCATCATGGTGACACGCGCAGAAGCTCGCCAACCGTTAGGCAAGCCAACATAGCCCGCAGAATTGGCCGCCCTGGCATCCACCGCATTCGGTTCCTCAGGAACTGTCAGCCGTTCGCGGCCCAATGGTCTAGTGGTATGATTCGCCCTTCGGGTTGTTCAACCCTTACGCTCAGCGTAAACGTGAATGGGCGAGGTCTCGGGTTCGAATCCCGATTGGGCCCTTTCCTTTTGCTCCGGTGCACTTCTGATGAAGATGTTGCGATCTTGTGGATTTTTGCTGCTTGAGACATCTCAGTGCGGTGTGCGTCCCTTTTTGTGTTTGCGGTGGTGTGGTTCAATTGAGTTGCGGGATAATTAAGGTGCTGTATTTCACAACTTTGCTTCAGTTCTTACAGGGGACACCTACCTAGACTCGGTCTGTGACTGGGTTCTTACGTCTTGTCAGTGTAGGTTGGTTTTGAATGAAGGAATGGGTACACGGGTTGGCGGTCTGAAAGATGCGAGTGAGATGTGAGAATTGGCGCTGTTTGGGTATTTACGACCCGATGATCTCTTGCAAGAAGGCGTGAATTACGCATGTCTGTTCACATTGAAGAAGTTGCAGGTCAGTCGATTGAGGCTGCCTTAGAGACGCTCGTGTCAGAGACCCTGGCCGACCGACAACAGTCAACCTACAACGTCTTCACCCTACGCTGCGACTGTCGTCCCCAACATATGGGAACTGACAATCGGTTTATCAAATTCAATTCGATAAGTAAGAGCGTCAGGTGTATTTTTCCATGCATTACACATTTGTTGACTGCGTCGTCACGCCCGCTCACTCAAGACCAACGTTCAACGCCGCCTTAATCCTCGCTCTCATTCCACACTTCACGCAACTCATCCCGGCCTGCTTGCTTCCGACCTACTAGGCAGCGACCAACTGACCAAGTGGCAAGCGGGGCAAACCCCAGTGAGCGGAGCCCGTGTTCTCCGCCGTGAAAAGTCACGATGTTGGCTACAGTTACAACAAGGACCCATGGCGCAACGGTAGCGCGTTCGACTCCAGCGATGCCTCTGGTTGTCAATCGAAAGGTTATCCGTTCAAATCGGGTTGGGTTCAAGACCTGACGTCTCTTTTTGCCTCTCATTTGACGCATCGTGGTGGTGTTTTGGTGGTGGTTGATGATCTCGCGATGTCGGGTGTTGAGTCGCCTCACAACCACCACTCACAACAGCCGGCGCAGCCCAAAGCTAAATGAGCCTCAAAGTGTCAAAAACAGCAGGAACTCCGATGCCAAGTGAGATTCGCTTCATAAAATTATTGTTTTGCCTCACTTGGAGGGGTTATCGCCATGCAAGACCTCGCCAACCCAACGGCGCCGACTCGGCACCTCACGCCGGCGCACAACGACCGCTTGCCGCGCGAGAACAGCCCTGCGGACACGTCGCGTTGGGACGAAACTGCCAGTTGAAGAAACCATCCGTCTCCTCCGTCAACACCTCGCCAAGGAATCCCGTCTTGCGCGACAGGCTCGACGACTGGTTGAAAATCTCCTTGGAGCCGATGGTGATCTGGCCCCAGCCGAAGCCGACGAGGGCATCGATGCTCGTGCCGTAGACGTACTCCTTGAACCCGGCCCAGCGGATGGCCGAGGCGCACATGGGACAGCTCTCGGCGTTGGAGTAGATCGTCAGGTCCTTGAAGGCGGCGAGCGACGCCGCCGGCGTCATGTTGTACTTTCCCTGGGGGTCGGTCAAGATGGCCGAGCAGTTGTTGATCGCGACCATCTCGCCTACTTCGCTTTTAGCATATCATCTCTCACAGCAGTCGTCGAGGTTGAGTATCTTGGGCTGCATACCGTGAAATGACGGGTTACCCGAGCCCTGGGCATTGTTCGCGCCGGTACAGACCAGCTCGCCCAACCCGCCGATGGTATGGTTCACGACAACAGCCCCAAAGGCCGCGAACGGGCATGGGTTCGGCAAGGCCAGGTTCGCCTGCCTCATCCAGTACGCGCGCGTCGAGGCATCGATCCCATCGTCAGTCGCCCACGTCGTCTTCTCCTGCGGGATGCACTGCAGCGGCGGGGGGACGGGCATGGGGACCTGCTGATGCGGGGTCGGCGTGCCGCAGGTGCCGCCGCAGCTGTGCCTCTGCTGCTCGGCCGCCTTGCACTCCTGCTTCTCACAGCATCGCCCTGCCGAAGACAGCAGCAGCAGCAGGCCGAGCGAGCTCAATCGCGCGGAGAGAGGACGCATGTTTCACGTGGGTGGCTCGTAGGGCTCTCAAGTAACGGCCAAATGCAGCTTCGGAGGTGGCCTGTTTTGGTTAGGTCGCCCTGTGTTGCGAAACTCGGGTCAATGCTTGTTCGTTGTCAAAGCTGCTTTGGTGCTTATTTGTGCTTCATGCTGGAGTTCGGGATGCAAGGACCGGTGGTTTTTGTATCCCCTCGTGGGACGCTTCACGGATGGAGCGAGAATCCGGAGAGATTGGTGGAGATTGGAGCGCGGCGTCTATGGCTGCTTGGTGAGCGTCATGGAATGCCGATGTCTATCTTGCCTATCGTTTGATACCCCGCATGTGATAAGGACCTCGCAGTCTTCGAGATAAACACCTTGATATCGGAATCACAAAGAAGTCGACCAAGTATTTCGTCTATGAAGATAGGGACTGGAAGTGGAGCTCTTTGATGATTTCGCTGGCCAAGCCGCACGCCGGGCTATCCCCGGAGCAGTCCGGTATCCTTCCGGGAGAAAAGCGGGGACCCGGAGCCGTCCAGATTTGACAGCGGTAGTGAGCCGGATCCATTTAGATGTCACGAGTACTGCGGGGATATTGAAATGAGATTTAAGCATATTTGGTATCTATTAGCTACTAAGAAATTGTTGTTTCAGGTATCTCAAGTGGTCACACATCCGCACAACGATGTTGACCGCAATGCGAACATCTCTCTGATATTGGCGATATCGGGTGTTCACCCTTCGAAATCGCCCGGCCGTAGTACTTCTCTTCGGGGTGTTCTCCGTCAAAGTTCCTCTCTTTTCTTTCCAACATCTGCATTTCCAGGTTGTAATTAGTTTTCCCGACCGCGTACGGATTATCGACTGAAATGCCGTACGGGTTTGTGGATCTCCACGACAAGTCGTACGGCTGAGGCGGCGAGGTCGGGGGCTCGAGAACCTTTGGTTTTGACCCGCCGTAGGCATACATGTCGCGGTACTTGGTCGACGACGACTGTGCCTCCCCGCCCTTTGTTGAAGGGCTTCCGATGTGGTCGCGTACGTAGTTGTCGCTGAATTGCGGGGGACTGCGGCTCCGGCCGAACTTTTGATATCTCGGCAGCTTGAACGACTTGTCTTCCGTCGTGGAAGACCCGAGGCTGTCTTTCGAGGGTTTTGGCGAGGTCCATTTGAAGAACCTCAGGTTGGGGAAGACCTTTTCCACCAAGTTGCGAATCATCGGTAGACACGCGCACACGATCACGACGCCGAGCTCAATGACCGTCCACCACACCACGGGTACATAGTCCCACGTCGGATCGATTGAGTTGCCGAACACCGCAAGGACTTGGAGGCGGACAATGGTGGATATGAACCCGACCGAGCCGAGCAGGAAGATGATGGCGACCGAAATCTTCTTATTGTTGTTCATCTGTAGGCCTGGGAGCATCGCTATCGGCAGAGCGAGGATGATGAGATCCTGGAGAATGGCCAGCGCCGAGTTCGCGTATGCTAGTTGATTAATGTCGAGACAGCCTCCAGTGTGGATGTCTTTATTCCAGAACAGTTCGATGGGATGGCAGGAGAAGATCGTGAGGAATCCGATGATGACTTGTCCCACCACCAGAAAGGCGATTAATGCGTATGCGGAAATGCGAAATCTCGTGACCGTGAAGATGCGGAGATAGAAGACTACCAACGACAGTTTGGCGAAAAGAAGGACGAAGACGTAAATGATCTCGGCGGCGTACAACAATCGCAGGATCTCTGATAAGTCGCCAGATTGTAGGTCGTACAGATGAGTTCCGAACCCTTTTGTTGCCACTTCAAAGTATTAGCTCACATCTTCATTCATTCAGCAACTCCACGTACTCAGTATGACAAATGAGAAAGGCCCGACGGCGATGACCTAGATTCACTTATTAGCGCACCATCACCTCATTATTTACGTAGCGCAGAAACTTACAATCGCGGAGACGATGAGTGCGTCGTCTATGCTCCAGATCCTGGCATAGCTTTTCGCTACAAGTCGCAGACCGATCGCTATCAGAGCCGTCACGTATACGGTTATGAGAATGGCCAGCAACTTGGTCGTCTCAGACTCGTGCGGTAGGTTGCATTGCGAGGCCTGCAGTTTTGCGAGATCTGGATCCTGGTCAGCTGCCCCAGCCCATCTAAGACGTGTGTCATCTACATACCTAAAGAGTCTTGCATCGTGCAGTTCGCAATCAGGCAGCTCGCGGCCAACTGGCCAAGCTGAGAGCTGGCACAGGAACATGTCGTGTTGGTGATGTCGCAACCCGACCCTGTGATGCTCTGGACTAGGCAGTTTATCTGGACGTGTGAGTCGCTCGAACTCATTCTGATGTTCCTGATTTACTCACTCCACAGGATGAAATGTTGCTCAGATCCGGTAGCTGACGCTCGACCAGCCGGTGCTCCGGCATGTGAAAGCCTTGCCCGTTCACCACGGCGATCCCAACCATCGAAAGCGCAATGGTGAACCACACCAGGCCACGAGAGGCCGTCGACGATGTGGAGAACCACATGTTGCTCGGTGTTGATCCGCTATCCTCACCACTCGTTCACCACTCCATGTAACCCAAGACTCGGAATCGATGGCGCTGTAGGTAGTCTCGAAGTTCGCGGCAGGGAACTAATGTCGCCAAGTCGCCGCACCGGGCGGCATGTAACTTGTTTCCCGGGATATCAGGTACGTCGAACCTAACGCCTCGCTTTGGACTGAACGATGTTGACAAGCGGGAGGATTACGCTACTGTCGAATGTGGGGAGGAAACGTCGTTATCAACCCCTTCACCCGGGAAGCCGTTCGCCGTTGAGCCTTGACACATCAAGGATAACTGGTCTTGCTTCAGATGCCATTGGAAGGGATCAACGGGATGCGTCTCCGGGAGGGGAGGACAAAGCTCCTATCTGACCTCTCGCTGCTCGTCGACAATGCCCCCTTCACCAGGTTTTGGATCTCAGGATGGGATGGGGGTGGGAACCTCAGAAGTGCGGCTCGTGTGTGTATGGGTGAGCAGGAAGGTGTGCGCGCGTGTGCGACTGTGCGCATATGCCAAGTTGGTGTGTAAGTGATTCGTGATCCAACACCAAGGATCTCGAGAATGACTTGCCGCCATATCACAGCCGCATAACAGTCCCCTCGCCACAGGACGACCAACACTCGGGTCGTCTGCAACGACATTTAGAGTTCGGACGTGCCAGGCTGGAAAGAGATGCAGCAGCCATGGTGTCGGTTGTCAGGTTTCACGGGAATCTGAGCTCTGCCTCTCCCCACTGAGCCGATCATTCATGAAGCTGTCCAAACGAACCGTGCGCACCCATCATCCTGCCGCATAGTCGCCAGATATTGTAGCATTGGAGATCTCTGGTCCTTTTTTGGAGAAGACAGCCGTGTCGTTCAGGTCCCGAGCCAGTTCCCCGCTCGCAATCCTTGTCCCATCCGGATGTTGCTCCGGGGTCAACGCTGTGATGTTTCAAACTTGGTGTTTCGAGACCGCCTTCGAGAAGGGCTGCCGCCAGCCCAGCCACACACCAACACCAACAATAATAATCATAGACTCAAGGTAGTCCTACAGTATGTAAGCGGGGATGTTTGGTCTGTGGTGTCTGCCGCGTCCAAGCAGAAACTCTATTTAGACTCCGCCATCCTTCCGCACTCTTCATTCACACAGTTGTCCTGCATTCTCGACCACCCTCCACCCTCTCAGAAGACGTTTCTGACGAGGACGAAACTCGACGCATCCCAACGGCAGTTGCCCAAGTTGTGGCCTACCATACACAAAACCTTGATGTTCAGGGCCGATTGCCTTCGGTGTCTATCGGGCATAGGACTTTGTGGTGAGTCCGATCTGTGACTTTTATGCCTATTTGCTTGCTTAATTCTTTGCCAAGACCATGTTTAACTAAGTCAATAAAGCGATGAACTCGACGAACTTGATGCCAACTTCCACAATGGCATCCTCAGCAGGGTTCATCACCACCGAGCACCCGGACTTCATCCCGTTCTGAAGCCTTCTGGAAGCCCGAGCACGCGATCGAAGATCTCACGTCCGTTCTTTGCGCAACCGGGGGCCATGATCTTCCCATTCCTCCGAGCCGAAGCGGTGATGTCGCTTACATGTTTTAGGCAGTTGTTCGCTACGCCGACTAAAGTCCTCGGAGTCTCTAGCCACTTTGGTGAACATCTCCGACGGACATGATCACTACCGGCGTGAACCTGCGACAGCATCATTTCAAGCCAGACCAGTTACCTGCGCGTAAACCTTGAAGATATCTGAGCGATCCTCGAGACCATAGTTCGTGCGTTGGATCTCAAATCTGGCGAGGAGAACGAATGCTGTGAGAAAATGGTACACTCCAGCGACACGAAAATAGTAACCCAATTGGTCGAGAACGAAGATTCAAATGCTCGGCGGAGCATTCTCGGCCCTCCCGCCGCGGACACAATTCAGAAAAAACCTTCGAAAGAAAGCCACCAACAGCTGGTCAGGGCTTAGAGGGCACAGACGGCCAACACTTGGGATACTCCTCGATGGACCGCACCCATTCGAAGGAAACTTCCACGTAGGGGCCTGGAATAAGTATGATCAACATCGTTCTACCACTTATACGAAGTCCTCGCCATCCTCGACAGTGTCTAGACTCGACCAATCACACCACGCCGTCTTACTGCCGGCGATCCTTCGGACATGAGACCTCGTGCTTTTCAACTCAAAGTCGGGTGACGCCTGGAAGTTTGTGTGAACCTTGATAACATTAGATCGCTTAACCTCCCGGCTACGATGGGGAATTATCCCGCAAATTCTATGTACACGAAGCTTAGTTGCTGGCCCCTCGTAGGCTGGCAATCCTGAACTTGGTCCTCTCGATCACGTTGTCCTCATTCCAGATGTGCGTGACGCTGGGGGTCTTGTTGACTGCCTGTGCCCACTTGAAGAAATTAGGGGTCTTCTCCTCCAGGGAGGCGAGGAGGCTCGGTGGAAGCAGCTCGTGCTTAGCAAACGCGAACAGCCTCAGAGTGAAGGATCCGACCAGGACCTGGTACGGGATATTAGCATCGTGAACACGGGGTATTGAAGAAGGTTCCGGCATCACGGAGCAGTCCGTCAGGACCAAGCACCCGCGATGCAAACATCAAGACTCAAACTCACCTCAGCCAAGGTCGGCTTCGCGCTGCCACCAAAGTAGGGCGCGGCGTCCTTCAGAAGCGGCTCAATCTCCTTGGCAATGGCATCGACGTAGCTGGCCGCGACGGCGTCGACCTCGGACTGGGACTTGGCGGTGTAGACCTTGAAGATGAGCGGGTTGGCCTTGGAGACGTAGGCGTCGACGAAGAAGCCGATGCGGGCGCGGCGGAGGGCGCCGTCCTTGGAGTTGGAGGCCGGCAGGAGGTGCGACGGGTGGGCGTCGGCGAGGAACTGGGAGACGACGGCTGACTCGGTGATGATCTCGCCGTCGTACGAGAGGGACGGGACCAGGCCGCGCGGGTTGACTTTGAGGTACTCCTGCGTGCGGGGGACCGAGAGGTCGATGATCTCCTCCTCGTACGGGAGGCCGAGCTCGATCAGGGCGATGTGCGCACGGTGAGCCCCTGTTTTTTCGGGTTGGTTGCCCACTGAATCAGTCCTTGGTGGTCTTTTTTGTGTGTGTCTCGCGTCTCATTTGATGGAATGGACATGCTTAAATGTTTCTCGCACGTGGATGTGTTCAGGTACGTTGGAGAGGGGCGAGTGCGAGGGGAGGGGGTCAGGATGGGACTTGAAGTTGGTGATGCGCCTGAGGGTGTGAGGTTCACGTACATGGGCAGCCGTGGTTGGTGTACAGCTTGATCTTGGGTGCGGAAGACATTGCGGGGTTTTGTTTGTGATTCTCACGAGAAGACGTGCTGTGTGTTTACTTTCGTGTGGACCGAGTAAGTTGACATGCGACGAGGGCGATGACGAGGAGGCTCACTGATTTATGGGAATCGAGCTCGATCAACGGATTACCAATGAATCTATAACAGAAGAACTCACACCATTGGCGAATCGATGTCGTGATAGATGACTTCACATGAGGGGAAGTCCACAGTCGAGGAACCGCGGGGAAACCGGGGGCGGGCGATTGCGACATTGGCGAGCTTGGCTTAGAAATCAGTCGGTTGTCGGTGCTTGATGGGGACCGAGACTCGCACCAACACGTCCTAAACTCCGATATCTCTGTTATCCTGAAGCTTCCCAAGAACCCCTGCATATGCATTGGGAAAACAACCTCCACCACAGGCGAAGAAGCGAGGCGAGTCTCTTGACCCCCGTCTCCGATAAACTTCCGCCGTTGCGGGCGGAATCGTATCTGCATCCGTGCGACCCGTCTGAAGAAGCGAGCGGCGGTCCAGACCCGGATGATAGTGTAGGGCTGAGAATCCTGGACGCAGGTGGACACAAAAGACTTCGAGATCCTAACGATGGAGTCTCTGCTTGATGATCGGAAAGAAAGTGGTGATTTGCAGTTACTAATTACTGAAGTTGCAGGATTCACGATACATCTTGGCGACGAAGTCTGACATTATAGATTGACAGTCTGGTTTACGCTTTTCCAAGCATTTCCCTGAGAAAGTAAAGAATAAGACCACATGAATGTCGTTCCAGCGCGTTATTCATGCCGACGTCCTTGAAGCTCTGTCGTTGAAATAGAGTCAGCACGCGAAGAATCGCGACCAGGCGCTTGTGCTGCCTCCCCTGCAGAAATCGAAGAAGTGAGGACGTTCACATGAGGGACCAAAGAAACTTCTTCTCGAATAATTCGAATATCGCGATTCCGTCAAGATTCCAGAAGCAAGGACTACTAAAGTAGTTGATCACACCAACTGGAAAGTTTCAACCTCAGCTCCCGGAGTAGCCCGTCGCCATCCACTGCACGTAATAGCTAGGCTGTAAGCACGGTATTCATCGCTACTAAAACCACTTATTGATCATCAGCATAAACATGCAAGAATATTGAGTCAGTAGCTTGATGTCGTCGATGCTTTGCGAGACCGAGCTGGTACAGACCATAGCTTCACTGACGACCGGAACCATCACTCACTATTCAAGCAACCTCACCTAGCATCAGACGACTGATTCACAAAGCATCAACCACTTTGATATTGACCCAATCCCAATCAAAACACCCAGGAAGCTTTTCTTGGCGGACAAAACGATACAAACCCGTGCTCTTGGCAAACCAGTCTAACCATCAACACCCCGATTCCCCCATGTCTAGCGGTAACCCATCTGCCTGGCCCCTTGTTCCACCGCAGCTTAACTGATCGAATCTTGGATCACATTCTTCATCAATTCGTGGTTGTGCGAATAATCAATATCAACGTCCACGACGCACACTCCCTCATGACTCAACGCCTCCCTCATGACGGCCTCGAGTTCCGACGAACGGGTGACCCTCAGACCCTTGGCCCCGAAGGCCTCGGCGTACTTGACGAAGTCCACCCCGCCCAGGTCGACGCCCGAGCTGCGGCCGTACTTGTCGACTTCTTGAAACTCCACCATGTTATACTTTCCGTCGTTCCAGATGAAATGCGTGATGTTGCACCCCTGCTGGACGGCCGTCACCAGCTCCTGTCCGCTGTAGAGGAAGCCTCCGTCGCCGCTGATGCTCACGACCTTGCGGGGGTTCGGGTTCTCCTGGGCGAGGGAGGCACCGATGGCCCAGGGGAGGGCGACGCCGAGGGTCTGCTGGACGTTGGAGACCAGGAAGGACTTGGGGCTGTAGGCGAAGTAGAAGCGCGAGAGCCAGATGTACATACTTCCCACGTCCGAGGCGACGATGGGGGATGACGGGAGAAGCTGTTGCATGAGTTTGATGAAGTGGAGGGGATGAACCGGTCCGTCGCCGGTCTGGCCGAGCGCCTGTGGGCTTTGCTCCCACGCGTGGAACTCGGCGAAGATTTCTCGCGATGACTCGAGCTCCTGCGGTCGCGAGACGTTTGCGAGGATGTTCATGAGCGCCTTGATGTTGGCGGCAATGGAGCCGACGAGCTCGAGCCTGGGGTTGTAAAAGGCGCCGTAGTCGGCAGGGATCCAGTCCAGGTGCAGGATGTCGAGGTCTGTTTTCTTGTGCCAGGCATCTGCATCGTACTCGGACTGGTCGTAGCCGGCGACTATTACCAGGTCTGCGTGCGACAGGAGCTTGTCGCCGGGCTGATTACGGAACAGGCCGATTCGGCCGTAGAATAAGTGAGCCAACTCCCTGCTGATCGATCCGGCGGCCTGGAAAGTCTCGACTACCGGGATAGGGTGCTTCCGGAGGAATCCGTGGACCGCTTCGACGGCCTCCGGCGTGGCTGCCCTGGCTCCGAGGAACAGCACGGGGAATTTGGCGTTTTGGATCATTGATGCCGCTCGGCTTAGCGATGCAGACGGCGAGGTGCCGTACTCGGGCGGCACGAAGGCTCTCGACGGCAGGGCGGGAATGCTCGTCTTGGTGCCCGCGGTCATGATGTCGATCGGCAGGCTCACGGCCGTGGCTCCCTGGGGATACGCACTCGCAGTGCGGAACGCATCCAGCATGATCTCCGCGATCTGGTCGGGATGCACGGCGCCGGTGGCCTTCTTGGTGACGGGTTGGAGCAGCTGAACGCCGCGCAGGCTCTGGTGCGTCTTCTTGGCGGCCTGCACACGCTTGACGTCTCCGACAATCGCGACGACGGGAGCGCCCTCGTCATTTGCTGTTACAAGACCCGTGACGAGGTTGCTCGTTCCGGGGCCGGAGGTGGCGATGCACACCCCCGGTCTGCCGGTGATCCTGCCGATAGCGCCGGCGATGAAGGCGGCGTTTTGCTCGTGACGGCATACGACCAATTTGATTTCGGGGCGGTCGATCAGAGCGTTGAAGACGGAGTCGATCTTGGCACCGGGGACGCCAAAGATGTGTCGGACCCCGGCGGCGATAAGGGAGTCTATCACGACGTCGACTGTTTCTGTTGACGACATGGTGAGGGGTAGATAAGCTGACGAAAGTACTATTATACGATTGTGATTAGGGTGAAGAAGGGGAGAAGAATTATCGAAGAAAGTAGCCAGCCAGACAGGCAGAGGGAGGACTGATATCCTAGGCCGTTTTCGTCGAATTATAGGACCATACTACCGGGACAACGGGAGTGGAATGAAGTGATCTCACGATAACCAAGTCGCCGGTGTGGAGAAAACAACATTCACACAAACGCCGCAAAGACCGCAAAGACGCCTAGCGCTTTCTCCTCCGGTCGACGCTGCCGGCGTTCCGGCACGTCTGACTGACGTCAGCGTCTTCCGAGGTGGAACCCAAAGCGCAGGTTGCACGGTGATGACTCAACAAATTGCAGGTGCAGGTGAACGAAAGGGACTTTGTGTCTGTTGAAGAAGCATTTTGCACGGCAGTTCCGGGTCGTGAGGAGGCCAAAGTGAGTCCACTTGCACCTGCAGGCATCGAATCCTTATCAAAAGTAAAAACGGAACCTCGCTTCCTTGCTCTTCCGGTCTCGGCGTTTCCTGGACTCGAATCTGACATTGAAGAGTTGGAGGAAAACACCATCAGACGATTGATCACCTCTACATTCATCTTAACCTTAAGCTTCAAACATGGCAGTCAACGAGATATACCAGTACTCCATCATTTCGGCCCTGATGGACGGCATCGCCTCCACCGGCCTACCCGTCTCAAAACTCATCACACATGGAGACCACGGCCTTGGCACGTTCCGCCACATGTTTGGCGAGATGATCATCCTCGACGGGAAGCTGTACCAGATGAAATCCGACGGCACCGTCAGCGAAGTCGACACCGGCCCCTCAAGTGAAGCCGTCTCGCCCTTCGCCATGGTCACGCGGTTCCGGCCCACGACGACCATCAAGGCGAGCTTCGACGACAAGAAGGGCCTGTTCGAGCACCTCTCGCACGACTTCCCGGACTCCAAGAACTTCTTCCTGGCGATCCGCATCGAGGGCGTCTTCAAGAACGTGACGACGCGCACGGCGGGCGGACAGAGCAAGCCCGGGGAGAGCATGGTGGTGGTCGGGGCGAACCAGGCGTCGCACACGTTCGCGGAGCCGATCCGCGGGACGGTCGTCGGCTTCAGGTCGCCGCAGTACGCGCACGGCATCAACGTCGCCGGCGATCACCTGCATTTCATCACCGAGGACCGTAAGCAGGGCGGCCACATCTTGGCCCTGGGGACGGACGGCGAGGTGGAGATTAGTGCGGCGCAGATCTCGGAATGGCGGATTGAGCTGCCCACGAATGACCCGGAGTTCAACAAGGCGAAGCTGGAGATGGATTCAGAGGGAATCAATAAGGTCGAGGGCTGATGTTCAGCCAGTGAAGATAAACCTAAAAAATAAAACTACAAAATACACCTAGAAGCAGCAGTTTACAAGTGGCCGATGATACAATTCAGTTGTTTGGCCAAGCATTATTCAATGCTGTTATTCACATGGCGAAGCACTGAGGATTCACAGTTGGACTGATTTAGGTAAAGTTTGAAAAGTGACATATTAATTCATGTACAGAGAAGTAATGTTGCCGCGTTATCGCGATGTACAGTTACCCTCGGGTCGTGAGGGCATGCCATAAATACATAAGCGCCATTCTATAGGATATCCCGGGTAGTCCCAATGCCTTTTACCGAAGCCAATTCAAATGCCCAAAGTGTTCGCACAAAAGACCGCTTAAGAGGTGTAAGAGCAGCTGTTGGGAGCAGAGACGGCGACGGCGCGGACGGAGATGCCCAGGCAGTCGGTGTTACCGGCAGGGTTGGAGACGCCGGAGGAGACCCAGACGGACCAGGCGCCCTCGATGCTGTTGGGGCAGGCGAGGAAGCCGGCGCCGTCGAGGGTGAGGTCGCCGTAGGAGTCGACGGTCCAGCCGGTGCGCTCGCCGTTGCGGGGGGCGGGCTGGGCGCCGGTGGTGTAGCCGAGCTTGCCCTGGCCCATGCCGGAGCGGTCGGCGTAGAGCTGCTGGGGGGTGGCGGAGGCGGCGTAGAGGTAGAGGCCGCCGTCCTGGGAGAGGTAGAAGGTGGCGGCGTCGGTGCCGTTGCGCTGGTCGCAGGTGGCCTCCTGGGAGGGGAGCTGGAGGAAGATGGACGACTTGGCGGCCTGGAAGGTAGAGAAGTGAACCTCGGAGGCGGAGCGGAGGGCCATCAGCTGGAACTTGGCGTCGGCGGGGAGGCCGGGAGCGGTGCCGTTGGTGGTGCCGTTGGTGGCGGAGAAGGTCGGGAGGCCGGAGACGGCGGCGACGAGGGAGGTGAGGGCGGTGATGGACTTGAACTGCATTTTGGCGGTTGTGGGTTTGGGTTGTTTCTTAAAGACAGGAAAGGTTGGTGTGGTGTTTGTTGGTGTTCTGGAAAGACTGTAGTGGTCGGTAGATTATCTTTGTGTCTTGAATTAGGTTGTTGGTGTGAGTGTGATGAGGATATCTCTTTTTCTCTATTCCAACAAGACGGCACCGTCCATCACCTTATATATCAAGTTGACGATGGCAAGGGCCCAACTAACTCTGGTTGACCGGGTGCCACACTTCATTCACCCAGGGATTCCCGTTCCTGGATGATCAACAGCTCGTAATCATTGGCGGCACCAAGAGGCAAACTGCAGGTGCACTGCCGGGGCACGAAGATCTTCTCGTAATGCCGACCAGGGGTTCATTTCTGCGGGGCCCAGATTGACATCATGGGCCTCTCTGGTGGAGAGCCGGACAAATACGAGAGGAGCCTCACAAGGAGCCGTCAACCCGTCGGGCTGCTGGGCTCTCTTGGCGATGGAGAATCCGTCCAACTGGCATCCCGTCAGTGCCGTCCCAGCCACACGAGCACTCCGAAGAACTGGAGACGGTGAAAGACAGATGCCAGCTGAACCCGTCAAGGGACCTACCGGCGGCCTCGGGAACCGGAGCTCGCGAGAGCGCCGATTGGTTCGGTTCTCTCGATTTAGCACAAGAGACTCTCTCTTCTGGACTCGGGAGGCAACGTTAATCGAGTGGTTGGTTGGTTAAGGCGTGGCACTGCCAACAAGCTGCGCCCCGGCTTCAGTAGCATACTGATGACAAGAAGACACAGCTCGGTAGGGACGGGATCTCGCATGTTAGGCCGCGCCGCACAAGTTGCACCAAGACCTTAACATAGGGCAGAGACAGGGCAGTGATGTCACAAACAAACGACCGAGGCTCCACGTCCCCTATTTTAGAGAAGAGGGTCTCTCCTTGGGGTCCGACGCTAGATTAAGGGGGGTAACGTAGCACCAGCCGCCTCTTTTCCCACGCTTTCACTCACTGGATGGCGATATCAACGTCAAGTATGGCTTGGGGAGGCAAGGAGGCAACAGAGTCAAGACGCCAGAATGATCACGGCTTGAGCTCATGGCCGCTCTACGTGAAACCGACGCTGCCCTGCCCGCCTTGTGTCCCGCCTTCGATAAGGCCGAGAAAAACCTTAACTATTATTAGCTGAGTCAAGAGACCGACGAGTGACAACCGCTTGAGCTCGTAGAGTGTGCCGTTTTTTGCGTAGATTGGTTTTCTGGAGACCGTTTTTGGCGTTGGACAGGCGCTCGGCTGACGGTAAGCCTCGAAAGCGAATTCATCATGAGTCGTGCGCTTCTCCAAGGCCGCAAGATCGCCGTTGCGCCGTCTTGGAGAGACATCGTATTCTCGGTGTTTCTCATCATCTAGTGCGACTCGTGAAGGAGTTGGTTTTCCATTTGCCGCGCCGTCTCTAGTCACCCTGTGCCCTTTTCTCATTCCCGGTTGATGGTCTGATAAGCTCGGCAACCCTTGGGCCGTGTTCAGACGATCTGCCAGAACATTCAAGTTGGGACGATATGGAGAATTCTATGGAGAAGCAAGGACCCGTTCACTATCCCGCGTCCCCAGTTTACCTCCTCGGTTTCTCTTTATTCTTGATGTTTATTTTTGTTTTTCTTGGGCTTCAGTGGAGACGGGGACGAGGATTCTGACAGGAATCAGATTCTGAATGAGCCGGAACCTTCGAGAAGCATATGCGATGGCTAGGAACTGAGCCTATTCATCCTGTTCACGAAGCTTGTGACATTGTTTGGTAATTTACGATGCGATGCCTTCGTTTTCACGCCATAACTGCCCCTTCTCCTCCAAACTTCTCTTCTTCTCTACTCTCCTCTCTGCCCGCAACCATCGCGATCGCCCGTCTGGATGATCGACAGTCGCTTGGAAAGACCCAAAAATAAACAATAAACAACCTTGAAGAGCACTCAACGATAATTTACGCTTGAAAGAAATTCGCTCACCGGGCGGTCGATCGTTTACCTGAAGGGAGCTACCGACCGAGATATGCGACCACCCAGTTCATCACATCACTCCAGAGCAGCACCTCGTTGGGCCATGATTCAGCCGAGGGGAGGTCGACGACGATCAGGTCAACGAGTCAAACGTGCACCCATCCGCATCCCCGATTAATCGTTGAGCTTATATGCGTTTAGTGCGATCATCCCAACATCTGTCTTGGTATGCCGGCGGTTCGGCCCAAGGTTGAGTCGGTTGACCGCCCCGATAGGTTTTTTCGATCGTTGCTTTTTGCTCCTTCAGACGGGCGAGACATTGCGATGTTCGGGCAGCCGAGATTGATTCCACAACGCCATATGACATGCATGCATCCCTCCGTGCATCCCGCGGGTGGCAGATAAAGCACCGGCGCATCTTGCTGGACTGATTCTTGTTGTTCTCAGCTTCAGAGCTGGCAAACTCGTTTCCAAGTGCAATCGCAAGATGCAGAAACTCTTGACTAACAGCACGCTCTAAAGCTGCCATGCTGATTGGCAAACTCATCGTCGTATTAACCCCGCAACATCGCCGCCAAAAATGGCCTCCTTCCATCGGCCAAACCGTGTCGGAGTAACGCGAACACCGCACCGGGCTCGCTTGATGAAACCATCCACCTCCATATCCATGTGAAAGCCGGAGTACAATCCCGACCGACCAATGCCTCCAAAGTTAGCAGCGTGCGATCCGTGCAGGCTATCCAAACTGGCCTGCGATCATGCGAAGCCCGTATGCTCGAGATGCCGCGCCAGGGACCAAGCCTCCCGCTGCGCGTACCGCGACAGGCCGTTCAAGAAACGGAGCAAGCGGCGGCAGCAGGAGACGTCGGGCTCCGCGAGCGGCGTGATTAGGTTCGGCGACACACTGCTTTTGTCTTTGCACGGCCTCGCTACACGAGCTGATTGATGTCGTAGTAGCTCGTCGATTGCCACTGACACTGCCATTCCCACGGCCACCTCGTCGGCCGCCGCCGCCGCCGCCGTGGCGCCGTTGACGAAGCCGAGACGGTATCCGAATCCGGGATATCTCGGGTCTCTGAGCTACACCACTCTCTTCTACCAAATCTCATCCGCAGGCGTCGACAATGAGATCGGGAAGGACACTCTGAGAGAGCCCCCCTGTCGTATCGACAGCGCGACGATCTCTCAAGGAGCGAACTTGATCGAAGAGCTCGTAAACCACTCCGAGCTGTCTCGATGGATCTCGTTGGTGAACTGCTGGCTCGGCAAAGGAGTTAATCTTGCTTTGGCAGGACCTTTCACGAAGCAATGCATCGGGACAGCGCAGTTGATCATAATTGACCAATGCCTCGGGAAAGCACGTCAGGACTTCGAGAACGTGTCGAGGAGTTTATTCTCGAACTCGTGTCGCTCGCCCTCCTTCAGCGCCGCCGATACTATTGATGAATTCGCACTGCATCTTGGTCCGACGCAGCCTCGGTGGGAGGCTTTGGGTATTTTCTTCGCGGCTATGACGAGAGCTGCCATTGATTTGGTCACTTTCGATCACTTATATGTGACCGCAGAGGAAAGACGATCAGTTCAGCGAAAGGCAATGCAGTACTCGGATCGTTGCTTGGAGTGGAGTCTGTCTCTCGACTGCCTGAATGACCTCCAACTGTTCTTGCAATATGAAAACTTCATCCTTCACTCTTTTGTCAATGGAGATCAAAGTAAGTGCACCTTTCTCCTACTTCACTCTCCGCCCCTTCCTGCTTTTACCCATGCCTCCCGTTCCCTATCGCCGATTCCCACCTCCCAGATGAACCAACCTGACCGTTCTCAAAGGCTATCTGTCTTGGAGAAGATTAGGCGACGTCGCAAGCTCCCTCTTCGCCCTCGGCTACCACGAACAGGCCCGAGGTGCTCCTGAAGCCCCCGAATTTCTCAGGAGCCTTAGACAAGCAGCCTTTGCACGAACCTACTCGGCCGATAAGAACGTTTCCATCTTCCTAGGTCGTCCCCCGCGTATCCTGAGAAAGTACTGTCCGATAAACATATGGGACTGTCTGTCTCGCGACAACAGGGCGCAGAGCTTGGAGGCCTTACAGCTCCAATTCGAGCAGACTCCGGACGGAAAGTTCGACTACATGGCAGATACTCGCTGGTCTGCACTCTGCGCCGGGCTGAAGGAAGAAACTCTGGAACTTTTCAAGGAGAAAGATCCCGAGGAAAAGATTAGACAAGCCAAGTGAGTCTGCCCCGTAATGAGGAGGATCATGGGCAGACGTGCTAATTCCCGTATCCTAGCATCATCGAAGAGGACGCCCAGGCAATATGGGACGCCCTCCCCAATCGTTTCCGCCTCGAATCAGCCCTGAAGCAATACGAAGACCGGTCTGCCGTAGAGCGCGACTTCATGGTCAGCGCAAAGCTCAATCATCTCCACGTCCTCTTCCTGCTTCGGTTCGCACTCACCCGGCGGATGCAAGAACCAGACACCCAGCTCATCGACCTTTCAGCCAACATGCTGAAGGTGATTGTAGAGTCCGTTGTATTGAAGAACAATCTGGCGAATTCCGGCACCTCGGTCGTTTGGAGGGTAAGTCGGATCGCACCCCTGTCTTTCGGGTCTTGGGAAGCTTGAACTAACACATCATAACAAAGGTCGCTTACTACGGTCTGGCATCCGCCGGAGTACTATGCGTCGCTCTGCTCAACCGCTCTCTGATGAGTCAGAATTCTACTCTAGACCTGGCCTCCATCATACAGGACCTGAATGTGCTGGTCGCTGAGGTTGAGACGGGAGCTCTGCTTCACTTCGACGATCCTAACTACGCTTTATTGGCAGAAGCCACGAGCACTGTGAAGAGCGTCGTAGGCCGGTTCATCTCAGGCCAGTTCTCTGCAAACCCTGCCGGCGCGTCATTCGAGGGGAACAATCCGTCTCTGGATATCAACGAACATTGGGACCCATGGGATGGTTGGAACACGGGCGATTTTGAGACTGATTTCTGGATGAGTATTGCTGAGCACCCGTCAATGGCATGAGGTATACCAGGCTCAGGTGCGTCATTGACGCACCTGGTGGTAGATAAACAGGTCTGTGAGTTGAGAACCGGTACTCTACAATATTCCAAACTCATCCCGCACAGCACGTCCAAAAGCTTCTACAGCTGTGTCCAATGCATCCTCAGGCGCCGCAACAAACGTCAAGCGTAGAGAAGCATCCCGTATCTTGTCCGTCTCCGCCGCGAACCAACTGCCCTTTGTCACTAAAGTCCCATTCTCGGCAGACTTTGTGTAGATTCTGTCTTCGGTACCAAGTATGAAGCCCGACTCTAAACTCCCTTTTTCTCCTGCAGCAGGATGCTTCGAGATATCCAGCTGCATCAGCAAGAACATCCCGAAGGTCGGCAGAACCCACTTACACACATCCGACGGGAGATGTTTCCGGCAAGCCTCGACGAGTAGGTCGCGTCGCCGACTGTACTGCAGAGACAAATGGCCCAGCCAATCGAAGAAACCACGATGGCCCCAAGACTCGGCCAGGAGCTTGTACATCATGACCTGCGAAGGTCCGGCCGGGAAGGTCGAGCTGATCTCGGTGTCGGCGAGGAATCTCCTGACTATCTCAGCACTGGCAGTGAGCCATCCGACACGGAGTCCCGGGGCCAGGATCTTGGAGGTCGAGTCGAGACGGATCACTCGTCCGGATCTGTCCAGTGAGAGATACGATGAGGGGAGCTCGGCTAGGTATTCTTCAGCGGAGAGCTGGCCATCCTGTCTGCTACCAGAATCGGATGGATCTCCGAGTTGCAGGTAGAAGTACGGATCGTCCTCGATGATCAACAGGTCATGCTGCTCCGCGACCTTGTAGATGGCTTCTCGTCGGGAACGTGACTGGGCAGCACCGGTCGGATTGTGACCGGACGGGATCATGTACAAGACAAAGGGCCTCGGTCCTCTGGCTGCATCCCAAGTGGCGAGAATGTTCTCTAGATCTTCGGGTACGAGGCCCTCGCCATCCATGCCGACTCCGACCGGAGTGAATCTCTGCGCGTGCGCGATCTCAATGGTGGGCGGATACGTCTGGCTCTCGAAGAGAACCGAGTCTCCATGCTTGCAGAACATCCGGAAGACAATGTCCAGCGCGGATGTCGTGCCGCATGTGAGACACGTCTGGCAATCCGCGTACGGAGGCTTGTGGATGAGGTCGACATGTTCCGATACGAAGCGCACGAGTTGATCAGATCCGGCAGCGTCTCCATAATTCAAGGCTCGGGACAGACCGAAGGGATGATCATCCTTGCTGCAGGGCGTAGGCGTGGTTCCCTCCCCAAAAGTTCCATTGGCATGACGTGATTTTCCGTGGGCAACAAGCGATTCCCATGGGAAGTACTGAGGATTCGGCCTGCCGGTCCCCAAGCTGACCATGTCCGAAGACTTGAGAGTTGCCGCCGCGGCTTTCAGCTTCGACGGTTGGCGAGCTTCGAGACGGTGGCCCCATGACTGAGCTCTTGGCTTGGGCTCAGCTGAGTGCGGTTTGAATCTGGTCGAAGACAAGTTGGAGGCTTCGGTTGGAGGCAAAGCCCGAGCTTGTTCTAGACTCGCTAGTGTTTGGAGAAGCATGTTTTGGACCGAAGTGCGTCTGAGCCGAAGGTTGCCGATATGCGAAGCTACTGTGTGTCTGGCAATGTACTGATTCACTTCCCGTCCGTGTCTCATGTCTCAGGGCCTCGTCCTCCTATTTATTTCCATCAGCTGCCAACGCTGTCTCTTACGAGTATCCACAAACGCTCACCTGAAAAGATCACTTCGCGGCGTGAACGTTTTTGATAGGAGTATCCGGTGCGCTTCCCCGGCCTGATTTGTCGGAGTGTCGGAGTGAAACGACGGCAGAGCCCCACAAATCTCGGCGTCTCGGGGTAGGGAGCGAAAGGGAGCACATGAAGAGGGGGTTGTGCATGATCTGAAGACATCATCGGCCTCCCAACGGGCCTCCCAGCGGCTTTTTAAAGGCAGCGTCGAGGAGACATCGCTTTTTATCCTGCTCGTCTGTTCCTATCTTCCTAGCAACAAACATATTCTCAAGATGACTACCGTTGAGATTAACGATTCACCTGCCACGGTCAAGCTGGCGGAGTACCTCTTCACCCGCTTGCGCCAGCTCGGGATAGACTCAGTCCACGGCGTTCCGGGCGACTTCAACCTCACTCTGCTCGACTACGTCAAGCCGTCGGGCTTGCACTGGGTCGGGAACGCCAATGAGCTGAACGCGGCCTATGCGGCCGACGGATATGCGAGAATCAAGGGCATCAGCGCTGTCGTCACCACATCGGGTGTCGGAGAGTTGTCAGCCATCAACGCCATCGCGGGTGCGTTTGCGGAGCGTGCTGGCGTGGTCCATATCGTGGGCACGCCAAGTAGGCAAATCCAGGACAACAGAGTCCAGATGCATCACGGGTTCAACGACGGGGAGTACCGGCGGTTCGCGCAGATGCACGCCCATGTCACCATCGCGCAGGCCAGTCTTCGACATGCCCAGAAAGCACCGGAACAGATCGACGAGGTGCTGAGGCAATGTCTCGTACACAGCAGGCCGGTTTACATCGAGGTTCCGGGCGATCTGGTATCCGTCCCTGTCCCGGCTGAGAATCTCCAGTCACCCGTTTGGGAGCCCGACTACACGCCGACGTCTGCGGATGACGCTGCGCTGGAAGTAATCATCCAGAAGATGTACTCGGCAAAGCAGCCGCTCATTCTTGTTGACGGCGAGATCAGACCTCTCGGAATTGTCGAAGACGTACAGAAAATCGTCAAGTCAACCGGCTGGCCCACGTGGACAACGCCTCTGGGCAAGTCTCTTTTAGACGAAACACTCCCCAACTTCCATGGTATTTATAGAGGCAAACACGCCAACTCCGAGGAGAAGAAGCTCTTCGAGACCTCAGATCTGGTTCTCTTCTTCGGTCCCCATTTGAGTTCTACCAACACGAACCAGTTTACAATGGTTCCGAGATCCGACGTGTCTATTCTCTTCCGCGACACCGAAGTAAAGGTGGGCGACCAGGTATTCCGAGACATCACCGCCCGCGCCGTGGCTCGTTCGCTCTTGCACAGGCTGGATGTCTCCCAGATCTACCGATACGATTCCTACCCAACGCTTCCCAAAGACTACAAGATCTCTTTTTCTGAAGTCTCGGCTGAGGGAAAGATCACACAATCCAAAATCTGGCACCTGGTTTCGAACATCATCCGGGAGGGAGATGTCGTCCTAGGAGAAACAGGCACAGCAGGCCACGGAAGCCGCGTGTTCCCCATGCCGCCGCGATCCAGGCTCTTCCTCCCAGCAACGTGGTTATCGATCGGATACATGCTCCCGGCATCCCAAGGCGCAGCGCTTGCGCAGAGAGAGCTCGTCCAATCATCCAAGTATCACGGCGTCAAGAACGCGCAGACGATCCTCTTCATCGGCGACGGCAGCTTCCAGATGACGGTGCAGGAACTCTCCACCATCATCAGCAACGAGTTAGACGTCATCGTGTTTCTCATCAACAACGACGGCTACACGATCGAGCGGTGCATCCACGGATTGAAGGAAGGGTACAACGACGTCGCTCCTTGGCGGTACCTGGAGGCACCGAGTTTCTTCGGCGCTAAAGAGGGCAGCTACGTACGGTCTGCGAGGACGTGGGGCGAGCTGGAGGCGATCTTGGGCGACGAGAAACTCGTCAACGGCAAGGGTTTGAGAATGGTTGAGATTTTCATGGATCTCGACGACGCTCCGGAGGGGGCTTTGAAAGACTTGATGGACGCGGAGAAGAAGAGGGTCGGCGCTTGAACGCATGCACGGCCAGGGGAGGGAAACATGCAGAAGTACCAGAGAGAATTTAGTGTTTATTATTCGTGATTATCATAAGTCCATCGACTTTCTATACATGACCTTCATTCAATTGACTCAGCCGTGGCTGCTCTTACGCGACCGCTCCGGCTGGACCGGCTGATCAAGACATGTTGACCTGCTTCTCCCAGCTGACTCTTGACATGGGCATCACTAGACTGTGTGGCCCCTTCTACTATCCAGGCCGTCTCATCAGACATAAGTTGCGAGACGCCTTGCCAGTAGTTGCCCTGGGTGGAATAACGGCACTGCACCATGAACATGAAGATCACCGTCAACCCAACGGCCATGTTCAGGGCAACCACTGCGTAAACTACGAGAAGTCCCCGAAAGCTTTGTGGGGTCAGCACGTTGACGGAAGAAGTCAACACGGCGTTCCCGACAACGTCAAACTGCGGAAGAGCCTCGTTGATGATCGAGCCCGATAGAGCAGTCAACGTGGACTGCATCGCCACACCGGGTCTGTTGGTCGCGTTGAGGATGTCGGCAAATATGGCTTGGTACTCCACGTTGGGCTTGACATGGGAGATGCCGCTCCCCAAGGGATCTAGAAAGATCGAGACATTGTCTCGAGGCGAGTTGTATAGGTCGTTGATCAGCTTGTTGGTGAGATACTGCGTGGCATTGAGATGCTGCCTGTTCGTGATGGAGTCAACGGTGTAGACACCCCGTCGCGTCTTCGAGTTGGATCGAGGACCAATACCCAGTTGCCGTCGAACCTTTCTGGTGTCCCATGCTTTTGCATCGATATCCCACACCACCTGCGGCGCCTCCAGGTCTTTCTTGGTCGAGACCTGGACGTCGGCAAAGTTGACTGCCAACTGCTGGAAACACATTGACACATCCAGCCTCAGCGCGCCATTGTTGACCAGTTGGCCAGCAGCGTTCGGCACACCTATCCCAGGCTCGTAGGTGATCCACTCTCCGTCGGTGCGGGTGATGCTCTCAAGACGAACACTGCCATCCCGAAACTGTCCTCCAGGCGCTTTCCATAAGTCGTGAGTCCCGTTAGTTCTGAAGAAGAGGAAGGCTTGGGACCAAGCGGCTATACCTTGGTCAGAGATGGTGAAGTTTTGAGCGCTGGGTCTGGCGTTAACGCCATCCGGTAGACAAAGGCTGTTGGTAAGACCCTGTTTGACCTGGGATTGGCTGTATTGGAACTGAGGGAGTGAGCAGTTGAAGGATGATGGGAAACATCGCCCATCTTCGCAGCCTGCCGGTAACTGCAGTCCGGCTTGTCGGAAAGTCGTCGCCGGTGACAAATTGCCGACGATTGCCAAGTAGAAAGGCAAGAACGTTGTTCCTGGCGGTGGAATGGTAACAGTAAGGATAGCGGACATGGAAGGACGCATGCATACGAATCGGGAGTCGAAGCCGTAGCCTTTCCCATCATACTCGCGCAAAGAGGCCATTTTCTCTGTCGAAACCGGGAGGAAAACCCTGTTCACGAATCCAGTGTCGCTGACGCCTAGATCGCTAGGCGTCGGATCTCCCGCGGAAGGCGCTTCACCAAACGGCACATATGCTTTAGGCCGCAAGATCCAGTCATTCAATTGGCGATTCAGAGTAATCACGTCCATACTCATATGGACCCTCAGAGAGGTGTCTCGAGGATCTCCGACAAGAGAGTTGAAGTCGAGATCAGAGACCAAAAGTGTCGAGGAGAATTGGACCGCAATGGTGGTCAGAAGCAGGGTGATCGCGAGCGTCGCCTGTAATCGCGATTTGCGCGCAGAAGTGACGAGAAGCCATGCCAGTCCGAAAGGGCCGTCGTTCGCGCAGCGAATCATGGACACCTCGGCGACTCGGTATAGCGGTACTCCATGCTTTTCCAGTATGATACCAGCGATGAGGCTGGTGTAGATGGACGATTGGGCCGTGACCGCACTTCGGAGTAGAACAGTGGATATGGTGATTGCTTGGGTTATGCGCTGATCAAGCATGATTCGTCTCCAAGCAATGGAAGCCTGCCTTCCGTCGTCTTTGCCTTCGGCTGTCCAAAGAAACAGGAGAAAGCCGAGGATTGCGAGTATGAGGGCTGTACCGCCACCGATGACTATTATGCCGTATTGCCCCAGACCGTATTGCAGACGATGAAGATTGCTTCTCGGCTCGTCTCTTGTCTCGTCGAATTCGGGGTTGAATTTTGGTTTCGGGGACTTCTCGACAGTCACCTTCGGCGGTGGTGGGACGGCCGGGTCTGCCCGGGGAAAGAAAGAGTAACCCATCTCTTCATCACATGGCGAAGACTAGACAGCGCTAGCAAAATAAAACTGATTACCACCGGTAGCTATAACTGCAAAGACAACAGACTGTCATTAGACTTAATAAGCTCAGTGTCGCCTGTATATAATAGGTATGCTGTCTGGTCCGAACGGAGGAGTTCGTTCCCGTCAATGCTTGTCGTCTAAGAAGCGAGCAAACATGCATAAACCAAAACGCCCACCCCGCACTCAAGAACGACAACGTCAATAGCAGGCCCTTGATAAGTCTGCCTTGCCGTGTTCGACGACACGGAGCTCCTACGGTCGGTTCCAAGCAGTCGGGGTCGACAGTGGCCATTCCACCCGATTTGAGTTGTTCGTCCGTCAATCCAGCCGTACCTTATCGGCAAACATTGCGACGCATGAACGACAAGCGCGAACTAACACGCGGGAGAGGGGCGTTGGCGGACGTGCGTGGGCGAGTTGCAGGGGTTCTCCGGCAGGTCGCGTCGCAGAGGCCATGAAAAAAGCTCAGAATGCCTGCACCGATCTAACATGATGGGTCTTGAGTGTCTTGACAAACGAGACTCTGATACAGGTGTGTTGGTGATGTGGCTTTGTGAGGGAAAAGCGAGTCGAGCCAACGTGATCGCGGACGGCTGTCCTAGCAGTCTACCCAAAAGGGCATCCCGATTCATAGACCGTCTTCGGGATCCAAATCATCAACGTTCCCAGGCAGGATGCGTCCACGGCGAATTGTCACCTAAGTCACTAACCAGTGTACTAAAAGACGGCGAGCGATAAGGTTGAGAGGAGCATGGAAAGCCTGGGCTGACCGAAGTCAATAACTTGCAGCATGTTTTTAGATTTCAATTCACATCAGACGCAGAGGATTTAAAGCGCAGACTCGCGCAGTCTGAATGAAAAGGTTCTGTGACAGCTGCCACCCATTCGAACAGCATCACCATCACCAAAAAAAAAGTTGACGCATCACTGTGGGATGCAAAAGTGAAGGTCGTGCCCGGGTTCGAACCGGGGGTACCAGAAATCACAAGGTGATCAAAATCTGGGGTGCTAACCACTACACCACACAACCGTGGCTTGTTGAGAGCCACAGGAAACCAGCGTATCTATTAAGGGCGCTTGCGTGGGGCGCCAGTGTTTTATGGGTCCCGACTCGCCCCGCGCCATTTCAGTGTCGCTTTACGCGTTGCTCGTTCCCTTCGCCTCAATTCTTTTCGCCTCGCTTGTAGTTCGCGGAGTTTCTCACAGGTGACGCATACCGCGACTTTCGATTCTGTACAACTGAGATTCTCACGTTTCTGCTGCTTTCACATTTACCGGGAGTTACTCCGCTGTCTCTCCACGTCCTTTAAGCATGGATCAATACAGGCACCCCCGTTGCAGTGCCTGGTGGTGATCGAAGGATGAACAAGCTTCTCCGCATACTTCCCCCGCAATCCATCCGATGGCCTCTCGGCACTGATGCTGATACTACAGATTGAATGTGGTGAATCCTATTTACCGGCCCGTTACCTCACCCGGGCCCGATCATGACCTGCGTCGGCCGATCCGATTTGAGCGTCTTTTAGGATAGCCTTACCCGTGGCTGGCAATGTGTAATTTGACGCTGGTCCTAGAAACGTTCTTTGGTCAAGTCTTGTTCTGTTAGCTTCACATTCGGATGACAACATGAAGGTGATCTTGCAACCCCCATCTCCAAGAGTTGATCGAGACTAACAGAATACTTCAAGTCCTCCATGTCACTCTCGATGGTGTCTGTGATCGCTGTCTTGTTCCAACTATGCTTCGCAACGGTTGCCGACATACCGGGCGCCTTTGGGCCGGTATACCCGCTTACACCTTCTCCAGCAGGTGACATTTCAAAGTTCCTCAAGAGCCGGCCCAGCGATTTCGTCCATCCTGGAATCTGGCACACCCACGAGGATCTCGAGCGTATCCGGAGTGGCGTACTAGAAGGCAAAGATCCCTGGATGTCTACCTACGATGTCTTCAGTAAAGATAGCTACAGCCAAGCCACGTACGAGATGAAGGGACCAAAGGCAGTACTATCTCGCGGCAGCATCAGCAATCACACAACCTTCACCTCAGACTCCCGAGCGGCATGGCAAAATGCCCTGATGTGGTACATCACCCGCGACCAAGCCCACTGGAACCGCAGCACCACGATCTTGGACAGCTGGGGCTCGACGCTCGTCGACATCATTGGTACGGATCGCTCGCTTCTCATCGGTCTGGAGGGCGACCTTTTTGTCAACGCGGCGGAGATCATGCGCTGGGAGGGCAACTGGACCGAGGCCGGTGCCCGATGGCAAGGCGGCTCGGGATTCAGTATCCAGCTGTATTGGCTCTTTTCGCGCCAGTCCGTCGCCATTGGACAGGCCAACTACGGCATGGCGAGCATCAAGGCGCTTTTGAGCTTCGCAGTCTACTTGGACGATGTCACACTGTACAACTACGCCATCAACGAGTACCTGAATAACCCGTGTGCTGGGCTTTATTCCATGTTCGAGCCAGAGACCGGTCAATCATCTGAGTCCGGGCGTGACCAAAGTAGGTTCCCTAGGAATTGCATGAATGAGTTGACTGATTTGCTGTAGGCCACACGATGACAGGTATTGGCTGGGCTGCTACTGCTGCTCGAGTTGCCCAAAGTCAGGGAGTCGATCTGTACAGCCAGGGCAATAATCTCCTGTTGAATGGCGCCGAATATACGGCTAAGTACAATCTCAACGAGACCGTTGACTACGATCCGAAGTGGTTCCGCTGCGAGGCAGTTCTCGTCAACGGTCCGTGGGCCAATATCTCGCAGGAGAGACGGGGGGTAACTGCGTCGAACCCGATGTGGGACATTGTTTACTACCAGTACGTCGTGAAGCGAGGATTGGAAGCGCCTTGGACTACGAAAGCAAAGCAATCTGTTGGTACGGAAGGCCGATTGACCGGGGCTGATCATCCGAGCTGGGGTGGTCTGATATGGGCTTACTGATGTCAAGAGATTAAAGTCTAGCAAAGGAGAGCATCAGAACCCGGATACATAATTCGAGACTTGACTGGTAGCGTCAATAATAGAAACAAGACTTCAGGCAATTCCGTATGAATACAGGAAGCCCTACTGAACATTCAGCAGCTAGTGACACGCGCGAGGCCACAAAATCGCAAACAGGAATTCGACACATCAAAGACTGATCCAGTGGTGAACTCAACGGTGAAACCTTAGCCACCCATGTTTTAGCTTAGAATTATCATAGCAGACTCAAGAAGAGAGCGTCCTCCCAGTCATCGTTTATATTTGTCTGACATATTTATTGAGATAGGGGACTGGCTTGAGTATCCTGATATCATAGCTTCTTCGTGTCTGTCCTGCCCTCTGTATGAATCTACGGCTAAGACTCAAACCAAGTACCGTAAAAGAACGTCGTGTGTGGTTATTTACAAGTCAAACTAGGCAAACCCGCCTCATGACTTGACTAGTGAAAAGTTATGAAACAAGAAGAAGATAAGTACAGACGCCATATACAAATGAGTGTCAAAGAAGTAGAAAGATCCTGCAAAACCGATGCGCTATTCGAAGCATACCATGCAACCACTACTCGAGTCTGTAAAGGAGGGTACCGAAGCCCAACTGATCGTAACCACTGCTGTTCGGGCCGTAGTCGCCTCCGCCGCCCTCGGCACCACCGGCATCTTCGTTCACTAGGTCGCGCATTTGACCAGACCAGGAAGCGTTAAGGCCCTTGATAGAGTCGTAATGACTGTGAATCAACTCCCAAATCGGCCTAAGTCCTCCACGTCCTGCTTCGCTGATGACTTCGGCGGTGCCATGGCTGTTGGTGAAAGTGGCAAACGGGACGTCGTGGCCAAGGTTGTACTTAGCAACATACTCGGCGCTGATCCATTGTTAGCCAAGTATCTATATGCTGGAAACTTCAGATTACTCACCCAGCCAGAATTCTGTTGTCAAGATATCCAAAAAGGTCCTCCCCCTGGTTGTACGCTTGCTGCGCGAAGACTCCGAGGAAGGCAAAGTCAAGAAGAGCGTGTCCTTGGTCACGCCCGGCTTCTTGACCCTGACCAAGAGGCTTGTTCGATCCCGCCTCCTTGTGGATCTTCCATACCGCGTTCTCGATCTGACCATTGCCCTCCCCATTCTTGAAGTAATTGTTCGCCTCCTCATACATGGTCGTGTTATCTGACAGAACGCCGATGGCTTGCATGGCACACATATTGGCCAAGTCCCAGTTCGCCCAGTAATGATCGATAGCCGCGTCGTTGTGGCGGACCAGGAAATCATGGTTCATCGGGTAGAACACACTGGTCAACATATCAACCAGAGCCGGAAGGCCCTTCCACCCGCTCCAGTCGCGAAGAAGCTCGCCGGCGTTGGCGAGCTGATACCCATAGATGCCGCTGGCGAGGAACTTATCGGACGAGCCCCAGATCCGGGTGAGAGTGCTGCTCCAGGCGTCGAGAATCCGACCAGCAGCTTCGGCGTGCGTCTCGTTGCCGGAGATTTTGAAGTGAACGGCATTGGCGTACGCCGCAGCCGCGTCGCGGAAGAGAAGCGAGTAGTTCTCCGTGCACTCGGAGCCTGCGCCGCGGCAGAGAGTCTCAACGGGGCGCGCGGTGTAGTCTGCGTTGGCGCGCGCGGCGAGCTTGTCCCAGCCTGTCGTCCATGGCTGGCGGTTGGCCTTGAGGAACCCGTTGATGCGTTCGAAGTCTTTGGAGGTGTGAAGGAGACCGGGGTGGGTGAAGACTTTCTGAGAGGAGACGTCCCGGGTCGGGCATGCGATGGCCTGCGAAGCCAGCGCAAGGGCCCATGCGAAGAAAATAGAGACGAACCTCATCACAAATAACAGAACTGTCAAATACAAGGAGTACGGAGTACCGCTGACCCGAAAGTTAAGAATCAGACTTGCCAGAAGGCCCGGGCTGTCATGAGATTAACTGGGAAATCAGAATACGTTATTTAAGGTCCATTCCAATGCTGTGAATGACACCGTTTCTCGAGCTGGAAGTATGACCGACGAAGAAGCTTTACCACACACAGCAAGAGAAGCGCCCGACCTTTCCTCCGACATGGTGTTCAGTAGTGGATTGGGATCGAACACTCTCATTCCCATTATGATGTGAAGAGTCAACCATGGTAATCACAGTTTTCCCCCGGCTAGCGTCGAAAGCTCACCAGATCCGAAATTTGAGGGGCGTGTCAGTTGAGGGTAAGGTTCAGGAGGTGGGCCGGGGTAAGGTACCCAACCCGCCTAACTGCCGATCCCGGCCGGCCCTCCTGAAATTCATTAAACGTCCGGAGCCGGCTCCGGGAGATGCTCCGGAGTTGTGAAGCCTTTCTTGATCAAAGATCAGATCATGCTCATCAACCAACAAACGTAGGTATCGTTCCTTGAAAGATACTACTCTCGTTCTTCTTGTACTGTTCACATACTCTGGAAGACGCATTGTGCGCATAGCCTTTAAAGCTTGCCCAGTGTTTAGCTATTACTTCCCCAAACTATCACCAAGCCCTTGAAATAATAACGAGCGGGAATCACGTTCGGGTAGGTAATGTTATACTTCTTAATGAGCCGTAAGTTGAAATCATTCTACTCTCAGTTCATAACGTCCAATCTCCGTAAAGGCTCGGGGTAAATCAAGAGCAGTCTTCAACCATGATGTGCCATAGAAAGTCGCCCGCAGGTCAATTAGTATGACGCGCTAAACCACATCGAATTCCCAGGCGATGGATATATGATGGAATCTGCACATCAAGATTTCATGTGGGAACGTGGAGATGTTTATCTGCTGAGCATTGATTTAGCTGTTTACTTCAATAAGTTGTCAAAAGCGGTGGGTGTTGACAGTCAGTTTCAAAATATCTTTTATCTCGTGACTTGAGGCAAATAGACGCCATGTTGATTTGGTAGGATATTGCAATGGGTTTGTCGCGTAGGTCGTTAGGTTGCAGATAGCCATCTTCATCATATCCAGCTCCAAAAATACAGAGAAAGAGTCAGAACTGTTTTAAACTATTCATTAAAGATATTAACAATCTATAGGGACCACACAATTAGGTCAAGAGAACAAGGTCATGAATAAACATGTCTATTACACAGTGCATAGCATCGGTAAGTCGTTATCCCGGATTGCGAACAAAAGCAAAGATACCAGTCTAAGGAGGCGCAATTATTCGATTAAAGGGTCGCAGTGACCAAATCAGCGCTACTTGACAGCACAGCCACCTCCATTCAAGGCATTAAAGCCATCGCCTCGCCTCGGTGCTTGCCTCAGCTACTTTTAGCCTTTCCAAAATGGTCCCAAGTCGAGTCGAGTCGAGTCGAGTCGAGTCGAGTCGTTCCAATCTAAATGAAGGAGGACCTTGCCTCGCCATGTCGTCTGACACAGGCCTAGCAGCAGACGTCATCTGCCACCGCTGTTGCCGTCTTGTTCCGTCTGACCCCGACCGAAAACAAACCCCCGGGCTGGCCAGTTACAATCTCACGCGCACCGCACTGCATCACAACGTCGTGTTTTCCTACATGACCTACCAATCTCATCCTATTGTTTACTGCAACTCCATTGACTTCCTTGTCGAATCGACGCACGACGTCTCATGGGCTTCAATGATTCCCTCAAGCGCCTCTTTGCACAATCTTCTTCCACCCTAAGCAGATACCTTCCTCCGCTCAATTTCATCACCCTTCACTATGCCTATTTCATTGTCATATGTCTCATTTCTTCCGTCATCTTTTGGGGATCCTCCGATCCGTCCTTCAAGGTCAGCTATACCGACAGCCTCTTTCTCGTGGTATCTGCCATGACCGAGGCTGGCCTGAACACGGTCAACCTCAGCCAGCTCACGACATGGCAACAAACCATTCTGTTCCTACTTCTTCTCCTTGGCAGCACCATTTGGGTTTCCATCTGGACCGTCTTGGCCCGCAAACACGTCTTCGAGAAACGCTTCGATGAAATCGTCCGAGCAGAGCGCGCGCGCAAGCTCAGCCGTCAAGGCAGCACCTTATCGCTGGCTATGCCGCGCCTTCCATTGAACTTACCCAAGTTACAATTGGCACTGTCGTTCGGCAGGGCCCAGACTGTCCCGCCGCCGGAGCAGGCACTCAAAGGGACGGGCACACGTCTTCCGGAGACCGGTGACTCCGCGCCAGAATCCAAATACCAGGACGCGAATGCTACTCAAGCCCCTCCTCGATTTCGAAGGACCGCGTCCATGCCGAATGACGAGCACAGTCAGGGGTCCAAAGACATTGATGAGGTAGTTGACTCCCAGAACCCAGGCCACATCACTTTCGACGACACACCCCACCCAAATGCCAACAACGCCGGTCACGCCGTGTCAACGGCTGTCTCTTTTCCTGATGATGGGGCAGCGCTTCCATCCAGAAGAGTCACCAAAGCACCAATGGACTCGGCCGATGTCGACCTTGACGCTCGCCATTTCTTGAGGCATCATTCTGCTAGTCGCAATGGCCAGTTTCATGGGCTGAGCAGTGCCGAACGCGACCATCTTGGCGGCTGCGAATACCGTGCTCTCAAGGTTCTGGCTCTTTTGGTGCCGGTGTACTTCTTCCTCTGGCAGGTTCTTGCTTGCATAGCTCTCGGTGCTTGGATGAACAATTATATGCCCAACACGGCAAGAGCCAATGGGATCAATCCATGGTGGCTTGGTATATTCAACGGCGTCTCGGCCTTCAACAACTCGGGCATGTCACTCTTGGATGCGAACATGATTCCTTTTCAGGACGCTTACTATGTCTTGATCACTATGGGACTGTTGATACTGGCTGGCAACACCGCATATCCTCTCTTCCTCCGCCTCATCATCTGGTCTTCCCTCAAGATCCTAAACACAGCCACGCCCCAAGACGCCTTCAACGATCTCAAGGCTACTCTGGAATTCATCCTCAAGTATCCCCGTCGAGTCTACACAAACCTCTTTCCGTCAAGACCAACCTGGTGGCTCTTCTTCATGCTACTATGTCTCAACTCAGTGGACTGGGTTGCGTTTGAGATTCTCAATATTGGAAATTCAGTTATCGAAAAAATCCCAGTCGGATCCCGAGTCATTGATGGTCTCTTCCAAGCCTTGGGTGAGTTCGTCTTCGCTTCAATTGACAGGCCAGAAAGGACCAAGGATGATTCTAACATGCTATCGCAGCTGTACGTTCCGGCGGCTTCTACGTAGTTCCCATCTCGGGGCTCTTCATCGGTCTGCAATTACTCTATGTCATCATGATGTACATCTCAGTCTATCCAGTCGTCATTACCATGCGCCACTCCAACGTCTACGAGGAGCGATCGCTGGGCATTTACAGCGATGACGTTTCATCCACGTCCGAAGAAGACGTCGAAGCAGCCGCGTCTTTGCTGCCGATGGGAAGCCGTCCACCAACACTCGCCCGTACCACCAGCTTTAGTGCGGCTTCTGCACGACCTTCTGTCTTGGCTCGTCGCTTAAGCCAGTCGAGAGGCGTGTCTGACGCCCGGCGCGCGTTCAAGAGTACATTCATGAGCTTCCACGGCGTTGGCGTTGCGCCCTCAAAGCCTGGCTCCGGCGCGGTAGATCCAAATCTCCCCGAGAGCCGCATCAGCTTCATCAGCCAGCAGGTCCGCGGACAACTGGCCCACGACCTCTGGTGGTTGGTTTTGGCGGTACTGATCATCACAATTATCGAAACATCCAAGTTCATACAGGATCCCGTCACCTTTTCCGTCTTCAACATCATCTTCGAAGTTGTCTCGGCCTATGGTACTGTGGGAATCTCTGTTGGAATCCCGACGGATGCCTATAGTTTTTGCGGCGCTTGGCATACTGGGAGCAAGCTCATACTATGCCTTGTAATGCTGCGTGGCCGGCATCGGGGCTTGCCCGTTGCCTTGGACCACGCGGTAAGGCTGCCGGGACGGAAGCTACATCGCGACGAAGAGGAAGATCATCACATAAGACGGAGCAGGACGATCGAACTTGAACGATAGATCACGATTACTGGTATGATTTTAACATGAGATATGGCAACTAGAAGAATAGACGATGGCATTGTGCACTGCTTCGATGACGTTCGTGACTGTAAAAGTTTGCATGTCTGAGAATCACTATCGGGACAGAAAAGCGATGCTTGTGTCGACAAGAACGACCATGTAATGCATGATATGACCGGGCCAGATGCTTCAAATGAAAAGACGCGACATGAATGCAAAACGAGACGTATGGCCGAATGAGAGGAACAGGAAGAAAAAAATGCGGCAAACCCGGAACTCCGACAACGATGCGATGCCTCAACCTCCCGGCCCAGAGCCTCCACCAGAAACATTGGAAATCTTAGCGAATGTACATGTCTCGCAATATTGAACGGCACCCTTGACGGCGCCGAAGAAGTCATCAAGTGGGTAGCGCGACGGGCCTGGGAAAGAATCTATCGCGCAGCATGAGCCCCGTCTTCGCGATGGGCACACTCACACCATGAATGACCTGTCCGGCGTCAGCATCACGGCAAAATAAATACCAGACGATAGAAGCCGGAGGGAAAACACTCACAACACTGCAGATGATCAAGAACCAAATCACGACTAGCATGGTATCACCTAGCCTCTTCGCATCCGCCCGCTGTCCATCGCCGTCGGTGACGCCCTCGAGGAATTCGAGCCCGACGTAGAGGTAAAAGATGGCAGAGATGCCGATGGGCCCGAAGTACCCCACGAACAAGGCCTGCGACGGACCCCGGATCTGGCGGATGTAGCGGTGTAGGCCGAGAATGACCGGAAGGCGTCTCAGGAGGAGAACGAGCGCGCCGAGGGCGAACAGTCGGCCGGGCTGGACCAGCTCCGACGTCCAGAAGCTTTCCCACGGGCACACGGCGCCGATCCACATGAAGATGGCCATGTTCAGCAGCATGTCGAAGGCCGGTTGGATGGGGTCGTTGAGCGTCTCGAGGCGGAACCAGTCGTTCCAGGTGAAGGCGTTTCCGGCGATAAAGCACGCCAGCACGTCGTCGCTGCCGACCATTCCGCAGGTTCCCAGGATGAAGATGGCCATACCGATCGGAAAGAGGAGGAAGCTCTCCCGTTCGACGTACTTGTAGCGTTCGGCCCAGTGAAGGAGCTTCTGCGCGAGCCAGCCGACCACCCAGCCGTAGAAGACGCTCATCAGCACGACGTAGACGCAGGTCTGCCCGAAGAAGAGTCGGATGGCCGCCGCGACGCCCCCCTCGCCGGAGACGGGGTTGCCGTCGGCCTCGGTGTACTTGATGAGATACAGGGCCAGGAAGAGAAAGGGGTATCCCAGCCCGTCGTTGGCGCCGGACTCGGCGACGATGATCTGCTGGAGGTCCTCGGGCACGTTCTCGTCGGCGAAGCGGCCCTTGACGATGGTGGTCGAGAGGACCGGGTCCGTGGGCGTGACGCAGGCGGCGATGGCGAGCGCGTGCACGAGGGGCAGGTCCGGGACGAGGAGCCAGACCACGGCGCTCGTGCAAGCCCACATGCCGATCATGCCGGGGCCGAGGAGGAGGGAGAGGGACTTCCACTCCTTGCGGAGGTAGCGGCTGGGGAGCTGGACGCCGGCGAGGACGAGCTGGACGCCCAGGACGAGGCGGCTGAAGTCCAGGGTGACGGAGGCGACGGCATCTTGGGACACGACGTACTCTCCGGGCTTCAGGAACCCGGCGACATGGGTGAAGGCCACGCCGCCCAGAAGGGAGACAACTTTGCTCGCAGGTTAGCTGGGCTGAGGCTGAACGTGTCGTCGGACTCGTCTCCTGTTGGTCACGAGACTGGCCGTCGGGGAAGGACGCGACGTACGGGCTTCAGACAGGTAACATGTCTCTTTGATGAGATAGGAGAACGTGCCAAAGAGGACGAGCCAACCGCCGAGCACGCTGATGACGACGTTGAAGTTGGTGACGGCGGACCAGTCCATGTCTCTCACCGAGCAGGCGATAGGCCAGAGTCGACTTGGCCTTGGGTCTGAAGGACTTGGGATGGACAACAGGCTGCTGGTGCTGCGGCCTTGGGGACATGAAATTGAAAATGCCTCAGCTCCAGGGGACAGAACCAACCAACTACCGTAGGCGTCGTATCAAGAAGAGCCGTACGATGAAGGATGCTCTATATCACAACCGGAACAGCTGAAAGGGAAAAAAAGAAGAGGAATATCGAACCAACAGCGGACAGGGCGGTCAAGGAGCAGACAGCGGACTTGGAGAGCCGGGTGGGGGGGGGGGGATGGAAACCACTTCACCTGATCTGGCTGGACTCACACAGCACGTGCGCCCGTCTTCCTGGCCTGCTTCATGTTGAGATGATGTTCACGGATCAGGATATTCTTACCCAGTTGTTGGTCATGTTACACGGCGGCACGGGCGGTGTACGGACGATATTGAAAGGGGAGGCAACCCGCGCGCGGGATCAACACAAGGAGAGTGAGATCTTAGGCCGCCGCGGACGCTTTTGCAATGAGGTATTTTAAGTCTTGGCACTACGCTGGTGGGTCGGACGTCGGCAGCGGGCGCTCAGCTCGCGCTAAAGCCAGGTCATCCTGTCCTTCAATCCAGAGCCATGTGCCTCTGTCTTGATGCAACGTTCTGCGGATGGACAATGCATCCAGGCCTTTTTGCGACGAGATTGAACCCGTGAGGAGGTTTTAAACGCTCAAACGATCAAAGTCTCGAATTCCGGGGTCGAAAATATGCGATGAAAGGTCGATCATCGCATCACACGAGGGGCGCAGGGATACGAGAGGAGAGGACATGAGCGTTATGGAATTAAGAGTAGTCTCACAAGCTAAGGGTACGTTCGGTTAGTTGCATTACCAACTTCTCCTCCTGTCTTCTTGAGTGCATGTTTACGCCCTGAAAAGCCTGAATACTGATTTAATTAGTGGATAGGTATCATGAACTTGTCTTTGAAACTTCATCTTCTTGTCTGGGCTATGCTCCGCAACAAGCATGATGTTTTCCAGGCCCTTGGACATACGATGGCGTCAAATAATTTTAGCTAATAGCATGTGTGGATCGTGAAGCTTTCTACAGCGACATAAACCACATTTCAGCTAGCAATACTTGCCCTCTTCGGTCAACAGGACCGCAGTCGGGTTAAATGGTGACATGTTTCCGCAGCGAAGCCTGAGATCCGGCGGCAGGAACAGCATGAGAACCACTTCCGAATCCTTCCTTCGAGCCATGTACAAGCCCTCAATATTTTGCCAACGCAGGAGCAGTCATAAGAGCAAGAGCCCCATCCGTTGCGGCCTTCGCCAGCCTATCCTTAGTCTCTGGATGCTGTTTCTGTTGGCACAAGCTGTCAGTTCAATAGCTGCTGCATCCGTCGTCGCGACCAACACGGGCAAAACATGGACCCTCGCAGCCTCGGGAGACGGGCTCGGAGACGCATTGGACTCGACCGACGCCACGGTCCAGGCGGTATGGAACCTCACTCGGTCCGCCACATTTTCCTTCTTCAACATGGAAGGTCAGCTGCTGCGCGATGCCGAATTCACCGGGCATCCGTCTTCGGAGAACGGCGGTGACAATACGGCGGCATCGGCGGTGGTCCCACGTACCACTCCGGCCAAGCGCTGCTGCTGGCAAAGGCCGGCTTCAACATCGCCTCCCACGCAAATTACCACGCCTAGGACGATGACATCGCCGGCATGGAAGCCACCCTAGCTAGCCTGACCGCCGCCGATATCACCGCCGCCGGCACCGGCTCGTCTCTCGCCGGGGCACGGAGCGCTTCCTTTGTCTAGCGCGGCGGCGTCCGCATCTCGTTGGTTTGCGCTGCAGGAACGCTTACGCCCCAGTCCGCCGCCGGCGCCGGGGACGCTCCGGAGCACCCTCTGGGAGCCTAATGTAGACGACTTCTCCGGAATTCTCGACTCACTCCGCGACGAAAGTCTAGGTCCGACGCCACAATCTTCTCCCTCCACGCTCACGAATCAGACTCAGGCGCCGCAGACTCGGACATACCCCTATCGCTCGCCGCCACGACACCTGCGTCGTACATTCTCAACGTGAGCAGATCCGCGATCGATATCGGCGCCGACGTGGTCCTTGTCCACGGGCCACACACCCTCCGCGGGGTCAAGACCTACCGCGGCCGGCCCGTCTTTTACGGCCTCGAGTCACTGACGTACAGCCTAGGGCTTGACTTCCGCGGGTACAAACTGCCGATTGAGTGGGATGACGGTCTGATCGCACGGGTGGCCTTCGAAGACGGACGCCTCTCTGCGGTGTCTCTTCATCCCGTGATTCATAACCAGCTCACGAACGACACGACTCTGCCTGAGCGGACGCTGCCCAAGGCGCCGCCATTGGGCGTGGCACAGCGCGTGCTCATGCACTTGCAGAAGGTGTCTGCGGCGTTTGGTACGTCTGTCCGGATCGAGGGGGGTGTTGGATATGTAGACTTGACGACGTAGAGTTTGGACTTGAATGCCTTCTACTTCTCCTCACGATGAGTGCATGGCTTTTGAGCACTGTGACTGTTTTCTTACGTGCGCTAGCGTAAAGAGAATTAGAGAGTATCTCGTGCACATCTAAATGGATGCACTTCGGAAAAGTCCATCAATTTGAATGTTTCAACATGTATTTGACCTTTCGCCACCAGCATTAAGTGCTTCAACATGCCATCTCGATTATTGTCGGCGGACAACCATCGTCATCTGCCGCAAATCAGAGGCCGTAACCTCTACCCGGAGGCGTCCGGGATACTAGCCGGGCCCGGACGAGTAGTTATGGGGCACTTCGGCAAACCGGCCCCACAGTTTGTTCCCGCGCACCACCAAATGCAATGTGCCACGCAATATAATGCAGCCACCCTCATAATCTAGTCATTGATATCTCGCCATACCCAACGAGTACACATTTAAGCATCGGGTTTGCAGCTGAGGAACGGTATGTATTTTCACCTTCCTTATGAGGTGACCCAGACCGCGTCTACCGATGACTTCCCAAAGTCGTTCGCGATTACATAGCACCCCCAAGCAGATGGAAATTCGTAGGGCTCTGGAACACTCTTGTCCACAGCTCTACAGACCGAATCAATATGTCTGTCTATCCCTACGGCATTGGCCGGGCCTACCTGTCAACCGTTGCCCTGACCCTATTCACACCTTTCGTGAGAGCAGGCAATACCGCACCAGAGCCGCTTGTGGCCGTGACAGAGTACCCGGAGAACGGAGCGCTACCGGTTTTTTTTTTGTCCGTTTGGTCAATCAAACAGCGGAAATTCGCAACAGATCGACGCCTGGGACCTCCGGGTTCATAGACTCTGTGGATGGCGAAGATGAGAGCCACCTGTTTTTCTGGCTTTTCGAGAGGAAGAACTTGGCAACAACGGATTCTGCCATTCTGTGGATGACTGGGTAAGCCTTTTCCTACAACATTATTCCTTAAACCGGAAAACACTCAGAATTCCGATTAGCAGAGCTAACGTGATCGCCGTTTTCGAATCGAAGGGGTCCTGGGGCTTCTTCCACTGGTTATGGCAACCTCATGGAGCTTGGTCCCTGCCGCATTGCCAGTGAGAATGAGTTCGGGTGGAACAAGAATGCGACTCCTCTTTTCGTAGAGTACGTAAAATCCAACGGAACCTTTTCGGTATTACAATGGAATCGAGCTAAGAAATCCGTACGATCAGCCAACCTCGGAGTGTGGGCTTCTCGACAGGATCCAAAATCCCAAACGGGTTCGTCGAGGCGTTAGAGGCAATGGACATATTCCTGCGCCAGTTCTTAACGGGTTTCCCCCAACTAGCAGCCCGTCACTTTTACATTGCTGGTGAATCTTACGGAGGGTCTTGGGTCCCGACTCTGGCATCCACAATCCATCGTAAATAGCATCGAAACAAGAATGAGGGCCAGATGAACGCCGATTGGATCAAATCACAGCAATTTGAAGAACAGCAGCATCTTTCCGAAGACGACCAACCATCCACCTTGCTACTGCAGATAGACATCAAAGGCATCATGATCGGTAACGGCCTCGTCCGGCAGCCCGTGCAAAATGCGGGAGCGTTCGAAGCTTTGTGCTCTGGCCCAGAAGGCATATTCAATATGTCTCAGTGCCTTCAATGGGCTCCACGGGCCCTCTGGTGCGAGAAACATCTTCACATCTGCGAAACCGCACTCTGATCCAACCGCCCGCTTTGTAGAAAGATGGGCGAGGTTGTTACGGGCGAGATGCATCGCAACCCCTATGACTAGCGCCGCACATGTGGTGATGATCCTCTTGAAAGTTACGCCTAAATGCCGCATATCGACAGCTACTTGAGCAGCAGCGACGTAAAAAAGGCTCTCGGCGTGGCTGGTAGTATCCATTTCAAGGGGTTTTCCTTCGACGTCTTCAATCGATGGGAGGAAATTGGCGACCTGTGGAAGTCCAGCGCAGAATACATGAACTATCTTTTAGATGAGGTGAGCACAAAATATGGCGGAACTCACGGCCGACTAAATTTCTCAAGCAATTACTGATGAATTCTCTCTGCAGGGCATCCGTGTTCTCATCTATGTCGGCGACAAAGACTTCTACTGCAATGCTCCTGGCATGCGTAGGCTCGTTAACGAGGGACTCAACTGGCACGGGCATCCGTTCTTCCGCTTTCGTGAGCTTGTGCCGTGGTACTACGAGGCCAGGCGTGTCGGTCGGTGGAAAGCGTACGATCAACTGACATATGCCGAGATCTTTGACTCTGGCCATCTTGCGCCGTTTGACTTGCCCGCCGAGGTCCTGTCTTTAATCAACGGGTGGTTGCTGAATGGGCAACCGCCGGCACAGTAGCACCAGAGCATTAGCGGTCTCTATGTATGTGCGTACGTGTAAATAACTCTCCAACCAGAAGCAAATTCTACGTTTACTAGAGTCGTCAGAATCAAACTGTATTGGATTGAGGCTGGACTGCAGTTGGAAGGTGTTAATGGAGCCCGACGATGCGTTTGGGATCACCTGATTGGGTTAGACTATGTTGGTAGTTGACCCGGGTAATCAGGATGAGCACACCCTGCGAGAGACGACACGGTAATTGTGGTGCTTATTAAACGTGTGTTACTTTCAAGTTCACTGTAAGCCGTCATGTTGTGTAGAAGGCCGTTTGGTGGGTTCTGATATTCAGCAAGCTTACAAGAAGATTTGGAAAGACGCATTACATGTTCGTTGCTGCTCCAGCTCGCTTTTTCCATGAAACCAGCACCTTCTCAGTAATTTGCGTTCAACTCTTTGTATCCAATTCAACACTACAATGGATCCCATCCTTCCTCTCTGGTATTGCCAATCACACATTTTCTACGTTCCCAGTCGTTTAAAAACCGAGAGGTATCTAACATATCTCACAGCTGTTCTTTCTTAGGCATCACGACGATCTACCTCATTTCTAGTATCGCGTATCTGGTTCGAGCTGGTAGATCTAGTGGTACCGCTAGACCAAATACATCCAAGAGCAGTTTCAGTGAGCGATTCGCCAGAGTATGTTCTCTCTATCTCCAACTTCACAGCCTTAACCTTCCCCTCAGACAGGCTATCGTGCAACATTGTTGTATTACAACCTAGTGAGGATCAGGGTTGAAGCTGACTGGAGCGAGCTCATCTGCGTGCCTTCCTACTTACGTATCCATCAGGCAATCTACATCTTACTCATCCTCGTTGATGCGGCAGCATTGTTCTATGATAATTATGGCTTCACCGTGGCCTTGCCTCACGACATGATTTTCTTTCGATTACCCGTCGTCAGTGCCATCGCCATCGGCTCAGCACTATATTTGGCCTTGAGAGCCTTTCGACTTACAACAAATTTAGAAGCCTGCTGGCTTTCTGCATCATGACTCATTTGGATAATTGCTTTACATCTTCAGCGACGTGTCGTCGGTACATATAACTGGGCTGTTGCGTTTCCCGCTCTTTTCTCGGCCACACTCATGGCGATATTGGGTATACCGTCTGCAACGGATCGAGGGTCGTCAAAATGGCACTCAATGACGAAAGCACCATTCTTGTCATCAATGTCACTATCTTGGCTGGACCCTATCCTCGAAGACGCCACCACTCGAGCTATATCTCCATCCGACCTGTGGGACGTGGACGAAGACATGAGCTTTCAGTGCACCACAATCTCAGTGACACCGAAGTACGGCCAAGTTGGAGAGTTTTCATTCCTCAAGTCATTCGGAAGGGCCTCATCTGGATCATTGCCGGCCCTTTCCCACAGGTCACGCTCACGGGTGTCGGTCTCGAACTGGCAGGCCTCTTTGCCGCGTTCACCCAACCCTTTCTACTCCGATCCTTGTTAGAACATCGCAATGGCGCATCGATAATTGTTCTCTTTTGCGCAGCCATACTCGGGGGAGTTTCTGAGGCTCGCATGAAATACCAACTACGAATCATCGGAATCAAAATTCGGTGTGCTCTCACCGCAGCGATCTGCGATCATAGCCTGAGAGTTGCCGCAAAATCATTCGCGACTGATGGCCCTGACCCCTCAGTACTCATAGACGTGGACTTGTTTCGAGTCTTCGAGTTCGTGGAAATGTTTCATACCATATGGATGCTACCGCTTCAGCTTCTGGTATGCCTGGGAGGTCTTATCTCTATCCTAGGTTGGCAGAGTATTCTTGCGGGATCCTTTATACCGGTGAGTCTACACTGCATATGATATGTGATGTGACGTCTACTGTCATTCACCAGCGTACAAATCCAGCGTCTGTCAACTAACATGTTCTGAAGCTTATCGTAATTCCGCTTTTGGGCAACATCCTGCGCAAAATGTCACGCCTCATGGGTGAAGTAATGAGTGCGAAGGACGTTCGGGTAGAGCTCATCAGTCAGGTTGTGCGGCAGATCAAGCAGATCGAGCTGGCCGTGCTACAACCAGTTTTCCGCGAAAAGCTGGCCACAGCCAGGGACGAGGAGCTGATGCGGCTGGCGAAAGTTGGAAAATTCAACGCAGCCATGGTGTTTCTCGTGTCTTTGCAACCAGTCGCATTGATTCTAGTTTCACTACAGACATTCGCGTTCCTCAGGGCGGTGCGTTGACAAGCAATGTCATTTTCCCGGCGCTCGCATCCTTCTTCACCATCACGAGGTCTCTGGCAATGTTTCCTACCATCAGCATGCGCTATCAGGCTTGCCAGGTCTCCTTTGACCGCGTGCGACACTTCCTATCTACAGATGAGGCGGACGGCGGCAAGGCTCGGGACCAGTTTCAATCCCAGGTTGAGCGTGAATCCCATACTGAGTCTCGACTAGGCAGGGTTTCTATTGGATCGTAAATCCAGCAATATTGCGTAGATATAAACTATAATATATTAGGCTTAGAATACTAGCGTAAATAGGTAGTATTTAGGCTTATATAGTATAGATTTATTATTATTATTATAACTAACTAACTAGTTATAGTAATAAGATCTTATTAAAAGATATTAGGGGTTATATAATATAAGTTATATAATTATTAATTAGCTAATAGAATTATAATGCCCTACTTATAGGCTAATTATACTATATTATTCTAATATTAATAATTCTTTCTTTTCTATTATATTATATATAATATAAATAGCCCTTTTTATTTAATAATAATTATATTAATATAATATAATTTAAGCTAAACTAAATAATTTAAATAAGCTAAATAAATAACTTATAAATAATAGTTATTTTAATTTAAACTTAAGCTTAATACTAAGCCTAACTACCTCTTTTAGCCTCCTTTAGTATAGTTATTAAGTTATAATCTTAATATTTATTTCTCTATTTAAATAGTTAATAAATTTAAGTTAATAAAGCGCTCTAAATAGTAATTAAATACTACTTTTATAAATATATTAATAAAGTTATTATTATTATAAATCTAATATATCTTATTAAGCTTTTATTATTTATATTATTATTGTAGAGCTATAATATTAATTATTAATCTCTTCTCCTTTATTATCTCTAGTTTAACTAAGTATTTATATAATAAATATAAATCTATATATATAATTATTTTAACATTAAGTATCCTATATAGCTTAAAGATCTAGTTAATAGTTATAGTAATTATATAGGTAATATTAATATTTATAACTATACTATAGATCTCTAAAGTAAATATACTTCTTATAACTTATTAATATTTTATTAAGCTATAATAGATAATATTACTATTAATTATAAAAGAGTTCTTATAAGTTATTTTATTAATAAGAATAAGTCCTCTATTTAGTAAATAGGGGACCCTTTAGTCTATAAGTAGAGAAATATAAATATACTACTTTTAGTTTAAAACTTATTTATACTATAGGGATTTTCTATTTAATAACTAATAACTTTATTCTAAATATATATAACTATAAAATAGTTTAATAACCTTTATAACTAGTTAATACTTTTAATAACCTCTCTTTAGTTTATAACTCTTATTTTACCTCTAATATAACGTTCTTCTATATATACTTAATATAATTAATATATATAATTAAGTTACTTTTAATATATATTAATATAATTATATCTAATATATATTTAAATTAGAGTATATAGTAGGTATACTATAGCTATTAAATTATATTTTTTTCTTTTTTCTCTAGCTTTTACCCTATTTTTATCTTTTTTTATATTACTTAGTATTATTTGATTAGGTTTATATTCCTCTTAAGGGCTATTTTCCCTTATATCTCCTTCTATAAGATAGCTAGCGCTATAGTATTAATAGAAAGAAAGGTATCTTTATCCTTATATAAAGCGTAGTTAATATAGAAAGGAAATAGTCCCTTAATACTATATTATAAAGTATATATTACTTATTAGCTTTAATTACTAAAGATAATAAACTAAATGCTAAAGTTATTTTATTATTATTACTTTTTATATAGATATTAAGGGGCTATAGAGAAGTCCCTAAAGAAGTTTATAGTAATAATATCTAGATACTTATTAGAGTTATTATTTTATAATAATATAGTATTATTCTTATTTAGAGTTAGATAGTTAAGGGGGGTTTATAAAAGATATTTAGAGGAGTTTCTTTTTAAAAAGTCTTTATAGGTATTTATATAGATAGGAAGTTATAAGAGATAATAATTAGACTTTTTAATACTCTTTTATACTTATAGCTATATTAAGCTTTTCTATAAGCCCTAGAGGTAGTAGTAAATTAAAGCTATTACTATTTAGGTTATAGCTAAAGGTATCTCTATTAGGTTATAGGTAGGAACGCTATATATTTATACTATATATTTACGCTATATATTTATACTATACTATAGAAAGCTAGGTTATAAATAATATTAAATAAATAGGAGCTAAATAGGAGCCTAATAGTATAATAAGTATATTAAGTTATTTAGTTAAGGCTTCTTTACTAGGTATATATAATATAAGGTATTATACTATTTTATAGGTTATTTATACTAAGTATTTACTTATTAAGTTAATTTGTATAACTAAGACTATATCTAGCTTTAGCTTAAGCGTATAGAACCTTAATTATATAAATTAATAAGAATAAAAATAAATTTAATTTAAAATAATAGATTATTATTATTAATAAAAGATCTATTAATAAAGATAAATAACTTAATTATAGCTAAGTTTAATAGAATAAATATAATCCCTCTTTTAAGATTATCTTATTATTATTATAGTCTCTTATTTAATATTATAATATAGTCTTTTAAGGGGTTTTAATATTAAATAGTAGTTAATAAATTAAAACTAGCTTCTAATTAATAGATTAAGGTAATATAGGTACCTCTTACTCTCTATTTAATATATTACTTCTTAATTATAGCGTTATTATTACTATTTATATTAATAGTTATAATCTTTTTATTTTATCCCTTTTAGTATAAAATAAAATTATCCTTTTCTTAGTTAATAATCCCTCTATTAAAGACTAATAGATTATTATAGCTAATTTTCTACTTTAGCTTTATTAATAATTTAGTATTTTTAAGCTCTTTCTCTTTTAAGTTAAAAAAAGACTTTATTAATAACTTAATTATATTATTAGTTTAATAACCATTATAGTAATACTATTAAATAGTTTTTTTAATATTAATAAGTATAAATTAAATAATAATTATACTATGTAGAGTCTTTCTCTATAATACTTACTATATATTATAAACTAATAGGTTTTAGCCTCTATAATAATATAAAGTAGTTTAATAATATATATTATTATTCCTTTTAAATAGCTATTTTTAATTTATTTTAATAGATATATTAAAATAATTTAATTTAGCTTAATATTAAATTATATATATACTTAAGTAATATCTTATATCTATAGAATATAACCCTACTTTATTAGAAATAGAGTAATTATCAGGATTAATTTCTAGCTATATTATTAAATTATTAGTACTTATATTAATATATTAGTCTTATTATAATTACTATAGCTTTATACTATAAGTTAAGACTTCTTATATAAGATATCTTTTAAGTAATATTTAACTTTATTAATAATATAAAATTAAAAGATTTTATACTTATTATAGGTTTTTAAGTTATAAATAATAATCTTAAAGACTTTATACTTTTTAAAGGCTTTAATTTTATTTTTTATTAACTACTTAAAGGGCTTACTTAATATTATAATCTTATTACTTTTATATAGCTTACTTATAAAATTTAAAGCGTTTTCTTCTTTTATAGAAATAAAGTTTTTAATAGTAATTTTATTAATAAATATATCCTCTATTAGTATTATAGTAACTAGATTTACTATAAGAATCTTATTAAGTATTAATATAAATACCTTTTTAAGTCTTTTATATTATTATCTCTTTAGTATTAATAATATAATTAAAGCTACTTTTATATTTAGTATTTCTATTTCTAATAGATTATTTAGTAGAACAATTAGGGTTTTAATATTAAGATTATAATAATATAGTTATATAACTATAAATTAATCTTTTTAAATAATATTATATATATAGTAGAGATATATATAAGATCTCTTAACTTTATGAATTAAGTTATAAGCCTCTATAGGGACTTTAATTATAGTAGTACCTATAGATATTATTAACTATTTGAACTATTATAATATAAAATCTATTTCTATATTTATAATAAGATAATTTAATAGTTTAATATATATATTAATTTAATATATCTTAATTATATTTTAAATAATATTAATAGAAAAGTTATAAATAAATCTTATAATATTAAATCCTATACCTCTATTTACTATATAGATTATAAAGTAGCTATTAATATAAAGAATATTAATAATAATTTTATAATTAAATTTATAATTATTCTAAATCTTAAACTTAAAGTATTAAAGAGTAGCTACTTTTATTTAGTACTAATAGTAAATCTTTATTAGCTTTAATATTAACTATAAATTAATATTATATTTAGCTCTTATAAGTAATTTATAAAAATAATTAATTAATAGATAACTAAATCTATAGTATAATTATTAAAGTTTAGTCTCTATTAGCTAAATATCCTATTAATACTTTAAGGATAATAATATCTAAAGATAACCCTATTTATAGATAATTAATATCTAAATCTATTAATTTTAGACTAACTTATCTATTAAGTTATTATATTTTATATTACCTTAATTTATATTATTTAAGCTAAATAAAAAGAATATATTTATTATTAAGATATAAAAATAAAAGGGGCTAAATAATATAGTAATTATAATAGTTCTAAGGGATAAATTATCCTTATTATTATTAAAATAGGCTTCTACTTTTTTAGCTCTCTTATTATTTAGCTTAACTAAGGGGATTATTTATTATAATACCTTTATCTATTTATAGCCTCTTATTAATATATTTATTACTTTAATATTTAGTAATATACCTTAAAATAGCTATTTAAAATACCTCCTATTAAATAGAAATTAAGAGGTAGAAACTAAATTTAAATTAAAATAAATATCTAGGTCTTTATAAGCTATAAATTAGTATGATAATAATTTATGATTTATTATAGCTATAATTAGTATTTAGATATAAAACTATTAATTATTAGCTTTAATTTAATCTTATTTAGTAATATAGTCCTCTTTTAGCTATTTAGAGTAATAGTTTTAAGCTATTTCTTTTATATTTAGATTATTATTAATATTATTATAGTTATCTTAAATAGGATCTTCTTAATATTAAGTTAGAAATTTATTATATAACTTAATATTAATATTATTATTTATCTTTATAATTTTAAACTTATTATATACTTATTTATACTTATTAAGAGTTTATTTTATTAATTAATAGCCTATCTTTCTATATATATAGTATTTTAATAGTTTATTAAGTTTTAATCTCTATATAGGTTAGCTATATTATTATTATTAGCTATTATCTCTTAGCGTTTTATTAGTAATAAAATAGTTAGTCTTTTAATAAGAGATTATAACTATAGAACTAATTATAGATTATAATTAATTATAAACCCCTTTAAATATAAATATAAATTAAAATAAATAGAGTTTTACTTTTTTTATTTCTTAATAAGTATTAAGTATTTATTTATAAAGAGGTTTATTATTAATCTATCTAATTAATAGAGCTTATTAAATAGTTATTAACTTAATAATTAATAGATTAAAGTATTTAAGCTTTATTTTCTTTAGGTTTATAGTAATAATCTATTATAATATAAGTTCTTACTATTTAAATAAATAAGCTTATTATAGTTTTAATATTTTAAAATATAATTTAATATATATTATAAAGTTATAAAAAGAGAGGTTTATCTATTAATAGAGATAATTATAATAGTAATTAATAGCTATATCTTTTAATATAATAGAGAAGGCTATTCCTATTTATAGTTATATAATCTTAATCTTTATATAGAGGTCTCTAAATATAAAGAGTTTTAATTTAAATATATTATATATCTCTCTTTTAAATTTAATATTATTATAATATAACTTATTAAAGTTAATAAGTTATCAAGGAGTTAATATAATTAATAAGTTAATATTAATATCAAGAGCTAATATAATTAATCTTTAAAATAAGTTATAATAGCTTAAATTTATCCTTTAGTTCTCTTTAAGTTTATTTACAATTAATATTATTAATCTATTTAGTTCTATAGTTATTAATAGAGTATAAAGTCCTATATATAGATCTTAATTATTTTATTATTATTAATTATTTATAAAATTATTACTATTTATTAATAATAATAGATTTATTATTTAGGTTTTAGTAATCTTACTTTAAAACTCTAGAACTTTTAACTTTATTAATAGCTATTTACTATTAACTATAGCTATAATCATCTCTTTATTAATCTATATATAATATATAGTAAGTATAGTAATGTTATATAGATCTTATTAAGGTCTTATTCTATTATTTTTTATATATATACTATTATTAATAAGATATTGAATAACTTATTTTATAATATTTATATCTAGCTTATTCTAAAAGTTTTATAATTAATTTTAAAACTTATTATAAAAGGATTAATATAAGTTATATCTAAATAGATTATTAGCTTAAAAGATAATAATAATATAATTAATCATAATAATAATAATAGTTTTAAATATTATTATAAAGTTAATCTTATTTATAAATCCTTAATAATATTTATTTATTTACTTCTTAATTCTATATAGAATAAGGTATTTCTTAAGGAGTTTTATATTCTTATTTACCTCTAATAGAGTTAATAAGTATATATTTTATAGAGAATCGTTTATTTTATTAGTTATAAATATAACTAAAGATATTATAAAATTTAAAATATATTAAGTTTCTATTTATTATTAGATATTATTTAGTATTATTTTACTCCCTCTTAATAAAGTAATTAAGTAAAGTAATTAAATAGCTAATAGTTAAAGATAATAATTTTATAATATTATTAGTAATAGCTTTATTATTATTTAAGTTATTCTTAATATTTTATATAAATAGAGACTTTTAACTATTTAGTATTTATATATTTAGAATACTCCTATAATAATAATAATAGAGAATAATAAAGATTATAATTAATATATTATTTTAGCTATCCCTCTAGATAATAGATAATAATATATTCTAATTTTATTAAATTAATTTAAAGTTTTTAAGAATCCTTATAAAATAGAAAGTGAATTATTACTCTATTTATCTTATTATTAATAATAACTTCTTTTTATAGTCCTCTAATTATAAGTTCTTATTATTCATATAAAATATATTATCTTTAGTATTAATAGGATCTATTAGACTAAAATATTATAGTATTTTATTATACCTAATTAAGCCTTATTAAAATAAGTTTATTATTTATAATAGCCTCTTTAAGGTTTTATTTAATATAGAATTTATTATTATAAATATTATTTATTTTATAAATACCTCTAAGAGAGATAATTAATATTAAATACTCTAAAAGTAATAATAATAAATATTAATAATAAATAGAAGTAAATAGAATAATATATTATTATTAAGGTTATATAGACTTATAAGATTTTAAGGCTAAATTACCCTTATTATAATTATATTTAGTTATTTTTATTAATCTATAATAGAGATCTTATTATAAAAGTCTTAATAATATAATTACTAATTAATATTAAATTATAAATCTAATAATATTATATAGATATAAACTATAATATATTAAGCCTAAAATACTAATATAAATAGGTAGTATTTAAGCTTATATAGTATAGATTTATTATTATTATTATAACTAACTAACTAGCTATAGTAATAAGATCTTATTAAAAGATATATTAAGGGTTATATAATATAGGTTATATAATTACTAATTAGCTAATAGGATTATAGCGCCCTACCTATAGGCTAATTACGCTGCGTTGTTCCAATAGTTTCTATGCATTGCTATAGCATCAACCTAGCTAGTGCTGATCTAGGCTCAGTTGGAGAACTAATCCTCTGAGATTGTTTCCTCACTGCGTCCCCAGAACAGTTGGTGGTGATCAAGGGCCCAGTTGGAAGCGGGAAGACGACCTTTCTTCTCGCGCTTATCGGTAACATACAACCGTCTTCCGGGTTACTCGAGGTGATCGGTCCAGTTGCGTACGCCCCGCAGAAGCCGTTCCTTATCAATGGAACGGTGCGAGAGAACATCCTGTTTGGCCTGCCGTTCGACGGTCCCTTTTACGAACAGGTAGTCAATGCGGTTGAACTTAAGGAAGATCTGCGCAGGCTGTCAGACGAAGACGCAACGGATCTGGGGGGCACCGGTGTTACCCTCTCCGGAGGCCAAAAGAGCCGCATCGGCCTTGCCAGAGCTATATACGCCAGAAGGAAAGTGGTTCTTCTCGGCGAACCTCTCGCTGCTGTGGATGCGAGAGTATCCAGGAGCCTTGCCATGAACAAATGCAATACGCCGCGCAATATAATATAGCCACCCTTATAATCTAGTTATAGATATCTTACTTTACCTAATAAGTATATATTTAATATTTTATTCTAAAAGAATAAAACTTTATCCTAATAAGCTTTATAGTATATATAGTAGCGTATTTACTTAAATAGCCTCACTTAAGGTTAGAGGGGGTAAGACCTTAATAAGGGATGCTAGTCTATAAGAGACCATCCCTTCTGCTAAGATTGTACTATAAACTTCATTAGCTTTGCCATAAACGTCTTGGGGCCGGATGGGATCCTTGAGGATTCCACCAGAGTTGTCTTGTCCAACTCGAAACATGTTCTTGGCATTGCAGATGCTGCATACACAATTTTGGATGGTACTCTGAAAGAGATATCGAAGGCATCTGCACCTTATGTCGACGAATTCATGGTAAATCAAGACCTTGGGTCCTCAGCAACGGACGATACAAAGAACACGAGCACCAGCAGAACCTTTGCCTATGGCGCCATTGATAACTCGCGACTTAAGCCGACACCCGAAGTGACCCAGACGGATTTAGATCTCGAGGAAGGGGCGCCATTGCTAGGAAGATCTCTTCCTGCACTCCAGGAGCCCAAGACGAAGCCGTACCTCTCGCCACATGCCTGCGATTCACGGGCTTGGCAAAACGGTATGGATGGTGCATTGTCATTCTCGTTGCTTGCATCGCTAAGCTGGTTGAAGTCACAGGGATTTATTTCCTCAAACTGTCAAGCAAGGAGTTTGAGACGAGAGGCTCCTCCAATAAGCTCGCACTCTATGCCACCTGTGGTTTTAGCAGCGCTATCCTCTCGGCCACCTTTATTGTTACAGCGTATTCCAGATGTGTTATTCCTACTGCGCGTTCCATACACGCTGACTTAGTGGATAGTCTCCTCAGTGCTAAGTTCCAATTCTTCGACACGACACCCACTAGTTAGATCCTGAGCCGGTTCACAAATAATCTCAATAAGACTGCTTAATTTAAGTTTTTACTATATAAGTCTATAGTAGGTAATAGCTATAAATAAGCTATAATATAAGGGTACTCTAGCTAATATTAGATCTTAAATAATTATATTAAATAAAACTATAACTATAAAGCTTTATTAAGCTTTATTAAATTATAATTAATAATAATAGCTTTACTCTTAAGGTTCTTAAACTATTTAGAGGTAAGTTGTAAATAATAATATAAATATATTTTCTCTTTAGAGAAATTATAAAGTAAATTAAACTAAATAATATACTTTTTAAACTATCTATTTTTTCTTTCCTTATTTATTATTTATTATTGATATAATAGATCTTAATAAGATGGACCTTATAGTAAGCAGTGGCTTTATCTCCCTAGCAGCCACGTTTGTGTCGGCCTCGGCCTCTATTCTAGTTATAGTAGGGACCTCATGGCTCAGCTTGCCATATTTGGTACCTCTCGGCGTTGTCTACGTCATGATCCCGAGTTACTATTTGCACGCGTGTCGCCAAATTAGGCGACTGGAAAATGCGGCGCGCGGTCCCCTCCTCAACGTCGTCTCTGAGATGAGAAATGGTGCTGCGGTGATTATCTCATTTGGACAGCTTGAAATGTTTCAGCACAGCGCAAGACAGAGAATCGACGATTATGTGAGGGTATGGGCCCCGTTTCTGGCACTGGACGTCTGGCTTCTACTTCGACTCCAATTTCTTTCCAGGTAAGTATGATTGGCTTGCGATGGAGACTCGGAATGCGATACTGACCACCATTGTTCCTAGTTTGATTCAATTTCTCTCCGCCACTCTGTTGCTCTGGCTCGACAGCACACCAAGCACCCTAGGTCTCATCATGAACTTTGTGATTCAAATCACGGCGCAATTCAACGTACTGGTTCAGAACCGAGCCAATCTCGAAGCAGACATTACCTCAACAGAGCGAGTACTTTCGTATGTCGACCTAGAGCCCGAGGAGCGTTCGGATGAAAAAGCCGCTGTACCCTTGACATGGCTGCGGACTCCAGTTATCCAGTTCAAATCCTTTACGATGGGCTACCAGCCCAACCAACCTCCGTGCCTGCGCGACATTAATATCACCATTAACGCTGGCGATCATATCGCCGTCGTGGATCGCACTGGAGCCGGAAAGTCTTCTTTTGCGCTCGCTTTACTTCGTGCCATTGATAGCGAAGCAGTTCATAATGGAAAAATTGTGGTGGATGGGCAGGACATCTCGAGTCTCAGGATTGATGACGTCCGCCAGAGAATCACCCTTTGGCCGCAGGAAGCTCCCATATTCCGAGGCACACTACGGGACAACGTTGACCCTAGCGGTATGGTAGCCGAAGAGAGAATTCGGAATATTGTCAATGACTGCCTCATACCCAAATTATTCGGCATGGAGACCAACCCGAATCCTCTGGAGCTACAAATTAACAGCTCAGGGTGAGTCGTCGAAACATTGAATGCTTGTGCAACATCAGTATCTTGAAAGAGGTGACAACTGAGGAATGATAGGTCCAACTTGTCTGCGGGACAGATACAAGCTATTGCGCTTGCTCGGGCGATGCTGTCTGAGAGCAAAATAGTGATACTAGATGAAGGTGAGTACGTGATCTTTATGTCTCCTGCAACTCCGAGAGGAAAACGCCTAGAAAGCTAGGTATAAGACACAAAGACCAAGCCTACAATCTAAAAACACAACAGGAACCGCGACTTTTGACGCTTCCATCTGCGGTTTGGTTGAAGAGGCAATTCGGACCAGGTTCCAAGGGTGCACTGTCGTTTCCATCACGCATAGCATGCAATCAGCAGTGAGTCGGGTCTCATATATGACCGATTAAAAGACGGGAGAGGCAAGTTCTAACAGGCTTTATGATATAGGTGACGTATGATAAAGTATTGGGATTGGATGCGGGACAGGTGGTTGACTTTGGCCCTCCAGTGCATCTACTTGCGGAGAAGGAGTCATTGTTTTTCCAGATTTACAAGGAGGCACAGGAGATTCTAATTGACAAGATCATGAGTTCTTGTTGAAGTGATGATGTAGCCTAATCTTTTACATGGAAAACTATTCCTCAAGTGGTTGCATGAAACGAGTTTTCCTTCTTCTTTCGTCCCTCCCAATCATCGTCACCCTTCTTCTACTTAGATCTTTGCGCTTGTTTATAGATTCATGTAGTCTATAAATTTACAATTGGCTCACTAATCTTTCAATCAAAAAAGGGATATCTTTTGGCATTGGGAAAGAAGTGACATTTAAGAGCGTGACATAATAGAAACATGAAGTGTGGGATTGTGCTGCTGCGTCAGATTTAACTAGACTTTGTGTCTCCCAACCATAATGCCAAGGCGTTATAGACTGACTCGACGCCATGGGAGAATCATTGAGTTGAAAGCCAATCTTTGGGCTTTGTATTCAGGACAAAGCTGAAGCAGAAAAGACAAGCCTCAACCTTCTATGAAATGGAGACTTCTATACTCCTTTTCACTCTGTTGGTTGTATGTATATGTAATATCCACCGATGCGAATCATTGCTGGTTTGAACACCCTTGACATCACATAACATCCCCTTTAAAACATGCACTTTCGATTTGAAGTTGTACCTTCGTCACCACATGCAGCCATTGTTTACTCATTTAAGACTCTATGGAAAATGCTATGTTGGTCTACAAATGTACAGTATGTTACCGATCACCTGGCTTGCTGAAGTTGAGCTGCCCGACCCGCACATCAATTAATGGAGGCAACGGAACTTCGCATCTGACCACCATTTAGAACAAGGCTTTTATTATTACCTCTTATTCCGCCATTTTCAGCGTGGCGGGCTATGCATGTGATACCTAAAGTGCACAACGTGCCTCCAATAGCGAACAAGAAGCCTCGTTTACCATGTGCGTCGCTCGCCTCACTTTTCACGCGTAAACCAATCAAGATCAGAAGATGTCAGTTCAAGTGGCTGTGGGGGTTGCCTTAGTCGTCATAGCATGGCAGGTAGTTAGGCAGCAACGCGGCATTTTCTAATCCTTCCGCGATCTTGCGCATAAAGCTAAGCTTCTCGCTCTGTTCATTCATTATGCCTCACAAGTATCACCCTTTAGGCCACCTTTCGGCATCAGTGCAGTCTAGTAGTCGAACACAAATGCCAGTCGTCTTGAAAAAACAAAAGCACACGTCTTCAAGCATCTTCAAGTTATCTCTCATACTGGCTATTGCCCGCCGTATGAATCTACGGCGATCATTCAAATCAAGCAGCTTTACCTCTCGTAACCGATAGGAACAAGATGTTCCCAGCCCTGGCCCTCCGTCATACATAGGTCATAGCCATCAACCGAGAAAGGTAGCAATCTCCAGCGATGGGGTTCGATAAAAGCCTCCTGGACGCGGCGTTGAAACGTCTGGGCTTTCCGCTCTTCACCCTGATTACTGGGCGCGAATCATCTCCATCTAAAGAAGTCCAAACTGAAATCGAGGAGCTCAAAGTATGGAAGATCTTGGCAGAGGCCTTCAAGTATTCCCCAGACTTGAAACCTGAGATTGAGTTGTTGAAAAGAATATGTGGCCAATCAAGCATGAAGGATATGAGGAACAGTAGGGATGGGGATCCCCAATTAACAGCGTGGCTCCACGACGTGGACCAGGAAAATCGTCCTCGCTCTTACAACGGCGCGATGTCCACAGCTTCACTCTACTATGCTCTCAACCTCAAGGTTGTATTCCATGTTACTCTTAAATTTTCAAAATAACTGTCAAATAATGGCGCTAACCTATGGACGATAGCGCTCAGGCGGAGAAGAGTCCACAGATGCGGTTAGACGTCGTCTGTAAGTCACAGCATGAGTAGTCAACTGCGCCTATGCGCAGGGCGAGACCTTCGAATTGATTGAATGCTTCAAAGGTACATACCGCATCCAATGCCATCTACGCTGGGTGCACTGTTACTAGCGACGCCCCAACTTCAACTGCCGGTCGTCAATGACTTGGTTGCTAAACATTTCAGTGCTTCCACCTGCGTCGCCCTCAATACGTCTGTGAGTCAAGGTCAAAACCAGCACACCGTTGCATGTTCACACTGATGTATTGGTTGACTGATGGCGGCTCTAGCATTCCGAACTAGAACTCACCTTGGAATTCCATTTACCTCACTATGTCTGGAGAGCGGGTAGTGTTTCCATGCACGACAATCGCAAGACAATGTCTGGTGATCCTATCAGGCTGTCACTACAACTTCCCTCATTGACGTCTTCGACCAGTGAAGGTAATGAGTTTCTCTGCGAGAGTACTACATCAATCTGCGTGGCAGCTTCTTCGTACTTCTGGACGGCTATCTGTCTTGCGGACACATATTGCGAAGATCTGGACGATGATCCGTATTCATTGTCCCAATATGGCTACGGTAACGACGAAAGCAATGCCACTGCTTCTGATGTCGACATCGGAGACGGCATTAGCTTGGGTGTTCTCGGAGCCAATCTGGTTGAGGATTGCCGTGTATATTTTCTACTTGTTCTTTCGACGCAACTGATTCGCATCAAAGATGAGTGGAAACACCTGGAATATAACCTCCGATGGAGAGTCCATGACCAGGTAAGAAATTCCTGTCCAACTATGTCTCGATCTTCTGCCTCATGTTGTCCCGCTGAATCTGTTGTCGCCGACAACCATTGCTTCTAAGATGCAAATGTTGAGAACAGACTTCATGACCATGACACTAAGATCAACCTTTTAGCTACAGGATCCCTATGCACGAGCGTTACTTCGAGAGGACGTGAACGCGGCCACCACAGATTGGGTTCAGCAAGCCTCAAGAGCGGAAACATGGGCACTTCAAACCAATGAACTCCTCATGAAGCTGACTAACCTGCTTCGCAAAAGCATTGGGGCATGGGAACAGTTCGTGTTGAACCAGTGGGATCAAATGACAATTCAAGCGGACCCTTCGACAGACAGTCGTATTGAGGAGTTGTACGACATTATCACGGACTCTTTTGAATCGTTAGACTGGGATTCTCGAGCTCTTGCTCGGTTGAAGGACGAGGTAGAAGTGTTTCGAACAAAGGTAATTTCACTTCCTGCACACGAGCACATCGACAGGAATACTTCAAGAACACACCGAAAACTAATCAATAATACAGTTGCAAATTCTTGCGTCGACTAACCGAGCAACTATGGGGGGAATTGATATTGCAGTGTCAGAGGTTGGCTCTAGTACCACCAGTAGCGACGGCTTATCTGGTGTTCCAAGTACGCTTCGCACTGAATTGCAGCAGTCTACGAAAGCCTCCTCTTTTTCCACCGAAACTGAAACTCCGATTGGAACTGCCGCAACTGAAACCGTACAGACTTTCTATCTTCACAAGGATGCCGCGAAAAGTATTGAAGAAGAAATCAACAGTGAAATCGAGTCAATTGTCTCCGACGACCAAGACATACATTCACAAAGCGAAGTTGATCAGACAAGATGGAAGCTCATTCGTGCCGCGACTAGTTACTTAGCAGAGATGCTAACCGACAATGTCGAGCTGGCTGCCTTGTATGAAGAGGCTGCGCTCAGGCTGGAAGAAGATCGCTTTATTCGTAACCACGTCAGAATCCTGAAGAGGTACTACACGTACTTGAGGTCAGAAGCAGTAACTCGCAAGCAAGTAACAGCAATCAATTTTCTCCGACCTCGGATGTACCGAACAATGATTTCCAAGGATATTTGGGACAGAGTCAGGTTATTCGACGCTACAACAAAACAGCTGGTGAAGGCTCAGTTGCCGCAACAAGAGGAAAGAAATTTAACCTTGGAACGCCTGCTCAAAAGCGTTGATGAACCATTGGAACCCTGTACTCCAGAGAGTGCAGGGATTTCAAGTGTCCATGCGGACAACTGGGATATGAACGTGGATGACAGCGTGGGCTCTACTGACGACGAGTGTTCTGATCACGATGAAGTTATTGAATATGTGACGTTGGAGGAGGCTAAAAGCTTTTTCCTCACGGGAACACCATTGCAAGAGTTCAAGACAGAATTGCGGGACTTCGTCTATCCAAAGCCTCCGACTCATCGTTCTGCCTGCACAAAGACTTTATGCACCTGGCAGGTTGAACTGCACAAGTGGTTCATGGGGTTTTGGTCTCCGCCCCGGTCTGGCTACCGAAGAATATGGTTTGAATGTGTAAGTCGCGAAAACAACCCTATTTTGGAGTCCCGTGTTGACAGAGAACATGAAAAGTCCTGTGGAGAGACTTTGAAACTGGACGTTCTGGAGATTAGTCCCGGCGGAATCCAGAGATTTCAGGCGCAGCTGATGGGTCATGGGCGCGATGACACTGAAGGGGTGAGTCGCGAGGCAGCATCCGCCACCACGAACGTTCCACCACGACCCCCTCCCCGTGCTATTATTCGGGATCAGCGAGACCGCAGCAGTCTAAGTACGCCTTCCGACACCGAACATACTGCAGACATATCCGTTACTTCTGAATCCTCGTCAGCGACTTCTTTGTCGCTAGACGAATCGACGCCTGAATCTTATGGGTCAACACCTCAATATCTCTTAGTATGCATCAACCAGAAATTCCTTCCGACCCTCATCCAGATCGATTGTGCCGGCTTAGAAAACGATCAATATGTCTTCCAGAGAATAATGCAAGAATACCGCCAGGCACGCCTGGCATCCGAGTGGAAGTTGTCGTACATCATACCCTGGTCAATCTGCGCAACCTTCTCCCATTTATCAGACTTGATGCGAAGTCGGTTTCCCGCTTGGCTGAAGGGTATGATCAAGTGGTTGCACGCAGGTATCGATATTGAGTTATATCGCATGAATTCGGCATATTTTGTCCAGGTATGTCACTACAACATGTTGGATGCAAAACATCTCAATTTGCTGGTCTGTTAACTGACGTTTCAAAGTTTGAACTTGTACCTGTCTGCGAGGTCTCCGTCCCAACCGCTTTTAAGAAAGGCGAATTTCCCCCACAGAGCGAGGTGGAAAAGGGGAACTATGTGTACAGACCAGTCCCGATGAGCGATGTCAGATTCAGCTCCATTCCACTTGCTCATCTAACGAGACACACACCGCGGCCCGCAAGACATATGGACAAGTTCTGGATTACTAGGTTTCCAAAAAAGCTACAGTCTCAACTGCTTCGTCAAGCTGGGGCTTATGAAGAGCCGATCATAGGTTGGGGCATACGAGTGAACGAGAGTTTCAACTGGAGCCATTTCTTTTTTCTTTTACTTCTCATTTTCCTCCTTATCGGCGCAATTTTGGGCATTTATTTACTGTCGCGGCCAGATGACGCATCTGTGTTTGGTCTGGGTGCTTTTCTGGTTGCTGCTGCTGCTATCTACATTCCTCTCCAGTATTCCGCTTGGAGGGAAATGCTTGATTAAGGAATTCGATGTAGTCTAGCGCAATTAGTGGTGAACATCTGAGAAGAATTCACAATGGTTGTTGGTGTTTTATTCAGACGACTCGGAATAATGGCAAGCGGAGCTGTGTTTGCTTTCATCGTCCGACCCTATGTCTGATGCCGTTGTTCGTGGTGTCGTCCGCGATTCAAATAGGGCGATTTGCCTCAAGTGCTGCGTACTTGGCTAGGTTGCCTATGCGGTGTTAGCCAGCTAATTAAGTCCAGCTATCAATACAATCCAGGCCAAGTTACAACTAGCTGGCGGCAACTAGACCAGTCAAAAACGACTCGACGTCGCCTGCATGGACGCACATGATGAACAGTACAATAACGGGCTCCTTCGCATCCCGATACGGCCCACCTCCGTACGACGTCGTTCAGTCGCACTTTCATCGGATGAGGACCCAAGTGGTTCGCATGGGCCCTATCGTATTCGTTCTTATGCAAGAATGAGCTCAACATCCCGACGATCCCGGACTTTAGACTGCCCGTCGCGCCCCGTCTGCCGAGGCGACCCACTTTCATCCGCGGGGCACACGGGACGGTCGGCCAAATAGCAGGCGGTGGACTTTCACCCCGGGACATGATGATGCAGTTGGGATGTCGAACTCCGTACCACGGAAAGTTTGATAAATCCCTGCACGCTTTTGAAGTCCCCGTGCGGGGAGATTTATAATCCTTCGCTCCGTTCCGCATGTGCAATTCACGATATACTTCAGTATCCCCATCATCTAGTGCTTGTACGGTTGCTCGAACTAGAGACGAGCAGCGTGTTCGACCGATGCGATTTCCCTCGACATCCCACCACTTCTGACTCACCAAATTCAATATACCTGACGATATTTCAGCATGGCTCACGCATTTGGAACTGTCCCCAAGGGTGCAGCGAAGCAGCCTGAGAAGTACACTCTCCGGGTGCCCGATGAGGAGATCGATGACTTCAAGAAGCTCCTCGCCTTGTCCAAGATTGGACCAGAGACGTTCTACAACAGACAAGAGGACCGCCAATTTGGTGTAACTCGCAAGTGGCTCATTGAGGCCAAAGATGCCTGGCTCAACTACGATTGGCGCAAGCGGGAGGATCGCATCAACTCATTCCCAAACTTCAAGGCAAAGGTCGACCACAAGGAAATCGGCACCACGGATCTTCACTTCGTCGGCCTCTTTTCATCGAAGCCGGATGCGCTCCCAGTCATCTTTATGCACGGATGGCCTGGCTCTTTCCTCGAGTTCTTGCCTATGCTCGACCTCATCCTGAAGAAATACACTCCAGAAACCCTCCCATACCACATTATTGTTCCCTCTCTGACTGGCTACGGGCTGTCAGCATCGTCAGCCCCACTGGATAAGGAGATTACCGTGGATCAAGTAGCAGGTATCATGCATCAGCTGATGCTGGACCTCGGATTCGGAAGTGGCTACGCAGCTCAAGGAGGCGATGTCGGGAGCTTTCTGGCTAGATTCATGTCGGCGAACTACAAGGAATGCAAGGCAGTTCATTGTAAGTCACGGAACGCGGGCTGATCTGTCATGAGCTAATGTGTCAAAGTGAACATGCTTTATCCCAGTCCCGATGACCAACCTGGAAGCACTGACGATCTCACTGCCGAAGAGCAGAAGCACACTCAGCACATGCTCCAATGGAGAACTACGGGAATGTCGTACGCGTTGGAGCACGGTCTGAGACCGGCAACCATTGGGCTTGTCCTCTCGGCCAGCCCAATTTCCTTGCTAGCTTGGTATGGCACCTGAATTCCGGACAAAGGCGTGAAGCCAGCGCTAATCCAGGTCTAGGATCGGCGAGAAATACCTGGAGTGGGTTGACAATTGCTACCCGCTGCAACTTGAAACCATCCTCGATCTCGTCAGCCTGTACTGGTTTACCTCCACATTCCCCAGGAGTATTTACCCGTACCGGGCTCTGGCCCAGTGGATCACCGCTGGGAGTGTAATGCCTATTCCGACATCAAAGGAAATACCACTCGGGTACTCTTTCTTCCCGAGTGAGGTCAGTTTCATGCCCAAGGCATGGGCTGAGAAAACTTACCCCAACCTCAAGTTCTACCGAACTCACGAGAAGGTGAGTGATGGCCGACCTCATATGAATCTTGAATAACATACTAACACTGGCATTCAGGGTGGACACTTCGCTGCGCTCGAACAGCCCGAGCTTCTCTTGCAAGATGTCGAGGATTTCTTGAAGTCGGTGAAGGCTACGTCGAAGATTTGATTTGTAACACATGTTGAGCTGAAGGATACTTTCACATGATTGTCAGTCAATTGAGATACATGTACAAACGAATCGGAGATATGATTGGCCCTGATTGCATTTGTCTTTCACGTTGTGTCAAACACTTAGCACTATATTGAGAAGTGAATACGAGTATTGGTTAAAGTCTTATATCATAGGTTAAAAGAAAACTCATAAATATCTCATATCTAGTGAGTTAGAGCGCGTAGGACTAGGGAAATAGAAGTATATATTTAGGTATATAAAGCTATCTAGAATAGGTATAGGATATATAGCGTAATATATAAACTACCTTATTATATATAGAGTTATATAAAAATATAACCTACTAAAAGGCTAAAGTAGTAAGTAAGGCTATTATAATATACCCCCTTAGACGTTAAAAATAGCTAAATATATAATTTATACTATATTAGGCTTAAAATACCCCTAAAAAGTCTATTAAAATTAATCTAAGATATCCTTTATAATTAGAAAAATAAAATAATAAAAGAAAGATATTTCTAGTAATATTTATATATTATTAATAGGTAATTTTTTATTACTCCTTTTTATTATTATTAAGGCTAAAAAAGGCTATTAAGTACTTAATAAGATAATATAAATAAGGTATATTGATAGTCTAAAGTATAGATATTAATAAATATCCTATTAGCCCTTTTACTTTAACTTTTTTTCCCTATTTATATTATAATAACTATTATAAGTTATTCAAATCTCCTCTTTAATATATATCCTTCTATATAATAATTTTTTTATTATAAGATAATACTTTTTAATATTATTTTAAATAGCTAAATTAAAGAAATTCTATATTATATTTAAATATAAAGAGTATAAATATATAGGCTATACTATTACTACTATTATTATTAAGGTAGCTACTAAAGTAGCTAAAGAAGCTACTAAAGTAGCTATTAAAGAGGAAGAAAAGAAGAAGTAGTTTACTACTATTAAGAGTATATCTTTATTACCCTATTATTTTAAAACTTATTTAGTAATATTTATAATATTTTAAATTATTAAGTATTAATATATTAAAATATAAATAAAAAGTATAAAAGAGAGGAGGAGGAGGAGCTTAACCTATATTATACCTACTCCTATAAGGAGTACCTTTAGTCTATACTTTTAAGTAAAACCTAAAGTTATTATTATAATTAGAAAAAGCTCTCTAAGGAGGCTCTTACCTCTTATTATTATTATAAGAACTATTACTATAAGTATATTAATCCTATTTATATATATCTCTATATCCCCCTTACCCTATTAGTTATACTTTTTACTATAAAATTCTAATAGGTATATAAAGCCCTAAATAAAAAGTCTACTTAGACTATAAGTTATTTTATTTTATAGGTTTAATTTATATTTTAATATATTTCTATATCTAAATATTATTTTAATATAAGGAATAAGACCTAAATTATCAATATTATACTATTAAGTATACCTTTAAGCTAGTTAAAGCTAATATTATTTTTATACCTATTATTAGAGTAATTATACCTATAGTTACTCCTATTATACCTATTACTCTTATATCTACTTTTAGTCTTACTATATTTCCTTTTATACTTATTACTATTATTCTTATACCTACTTCTATTATAATTACTATTTTAAATATACCTACTATCTCTATTATACTTAGTAGCTAGCTTTTAGATATTATATTTAGATGCTTATATTAAAAGTACTTTTCTTACCTTTAGGTAATGCTATTAGGGTAGCTACTATTAGTAGTCTTCTTTATAGTTCTTTTAATAAGTAGGTAGAGTTATAGCTAGAGGCGTTATATACCTATAAGGGCTAAGTCTTTTTATATTTAGTTCTCTTTTCTATTAATATATCCTTAATATTATAGTTAGGCTAATATACTCTAGTTAAGAAAATATACCTTTAGGCTTTAGATTTACTTTTCTAGCTCTTATAAGCTATATTTAAGCTCTCTAGCTAATAAGCTAAATAAAACTTCTTTTTTAGTTAATATATTAATAATATAAATACTCTTTTTACTCTAAAATATTTATAATAAGTAACTATATATTCTAGAGGTTTAAGAGAGTATAAAAGTATTTAAACTTTACTCTTAAAAGGTTCTTAATAAGTCTATTAGCTAACATAAGATCTATAGGTATATATATAATATTAAAACTTCTTTTTTAGAACTCTTATTATAGCTATATATTCTAGATATTAATATACCTTAAGTAGGTTAAAATATATTCCCTATTATTAATAATTAGTCTTATTATCTATTAATTATTATAATTAATCTTTTAGGTACCTTTCCCTACATATAGAGCTATATCTTAAAAGAGTTACTTAAGAGCTATAGTTTCTTTAATAGTATTCTTAAAGCTTAAAAGCTCTACTTCTATTATAGAAGTTAAAATAGTATTTTAATATATAGCTTTATAGTAAATAGCTCCTTTAAAGAGTAAAATAATATATCCCTAAGAGGATCTATATATTTCTTTATTATCTATAAATAAGGTATCCCCCATAATTACTAAGGCTTATTCTATTTTACTCTTTATATTTCTAAAGTATATATAGAGAAAATATATTAAATATAGATATTAAATAGCTTAATTAGCTATTATAATATAAGCTATAAAGGGATTTATAAGGAAATAAAATAGATATATAGCTATAAAAGCTATATTAAGGTATATTATAATAATAAAGTATAAAATAGATCTTATTTTCTCTTAGTATTCCTTAACTTATATTAGAAAAGCTTAATTTAGGTTCTTTTTAAGCTTTATAGTTAGAAGTAGAGTTAAAGAGAAGAGCCCTTTTAAGAGATTAAAACGCTTTATAACCTTTTTAGTATATAAATTATATATAAAAAAGAGTTTATAATTTAAATAGTTTTATAGAATATACATTCTAAAGTAGTAAGATATTAAATCTTAATTCTTAAGTTTATATATATTTATAAGGCTATTAATAATATATTTTCTTTTTTAAAGGTAGTCTTAATAATATATTATAAGTATATTATTAATATAAAATAGGATTATAACTTTATAGTCTAAATTAGTAAATAAATATACTTCTTCTAGATAGAGCTAAAGTCTAAAGCCTTTAAGAGTTATAGCTAGGTATTTATACTAAAGAAGTAGTATATCTTATAGTCTATATAAAGTATAATTTAGTTTAATATACTTCTTAAGCTAATAGAAACCCTCTAGAAGCTTATAGTAGATTAGAAGTCTATTAGGATCCCTTTCTATATTTAGAAATATATTATTTATATTAAACTATTAGACTTTAAGGTTAAACTATATTATAATAGCTATTATAATATAAAAAGTCTTTATAGCTAGAGTTATAATATATATTATTTCTAAAGAGGATTCCTCTTATAGGTTGCTATATATATATATTTAAGCCTTAAAGTATTTAAGAAAGCTATTCTTATTAATCTTATATATAAAAACCTATTTTAGAGGTAGAGGTTTTAAGGTTATATTATTTTAATTAATAATTCTCTATATACCTTTCTTAATAAGCTTATATATTTTAATATATACTACCTTAATATAGTATTCTTATATATACTTAGGGAGCTTTTTAAGGTCTTTTTAATATATAGAAGGCTTCTAAAGTTCTAAAAGATAGATTTAATAGTTTAAAACCCCTTTCTATTTTAGCTATTATTAGCTTCTAACTTAACTTTAAATAAATAAGTAAAGTATTTTATATCTTAAATCTCCTTCTTTAATAGCCTTCTTTTAGTTTAATATAAATATAATAAAAAAGGTTTTTTAAGTAAGTTAGTTTTTAATTAGGATAAATCTTTTATTATATTTAATTTAATTAAAAAGTTATTTTAAAATTATTTTTAAGTTAAAATTATCTTTTAGACTAACTATATTATTAATATAGAAAATTATAATATAGAATTAGTTTAATACTTTTTATTTATATTAACTTAAGTAGATAGTAGGGCTATAATCCTTCTATTTATAGCTCTATTTTAAAACTATATTAGAGATTATTATTAGGGCTAAAGGCCTTTTTAAACTATTAATATATAATTTTAGTTTCTCTATTAGAATAAGAGCTTTATTTTTAGTATCTTTATTTAGAATAAGTATTCTAAGTCTAACTTAAAGTTTATTAGTCTCTTTTAGGAGATTATATTAATTATTAAGAGATATACTAAAAGTATTAATCTCTATATTATATATAGGAAATATTATATTAATAGTCTTTAGTATTTTAGCGTCTTTTATAGGCTTATCTTTAAACCCTATAGGGTTAAGAGTTAGCTCTAGAGTAAATAGACCCTTTAGAACTTTATTTCTAGGTTCTATATATATCTTAACGTCTTAAAGTAATATATTTAAGATCTCTTACTTATTAAAAATATCTTTTCTAACTATTTTAGTTTCTTTTTATATACCTCAAAGCTTAAGAATTTTATTTAGAAATTATTTAATCTTTAATTTATCTTCTATAATATAATAGATAATATTAAAAGTTAATTCTATATATTTATCCTTAAGTAAATAAAACTTAAACTTATTAAACTAAATATTTTAAGTAATAATAACTCTCTTAAGTATAGATACTTAGATTTAATAGAGATTATATATATTTAGTATATATCTTACTAGATATTTAATATATTCCTATAGATATACTTTATAATACCTTTTTCTTTAGCCCTTTTCTCTTTTCTTTTTAAGTAGATATATATAGTAACTATAAGTATAGACCTATCCCTAATAGGGCTAAAGGTCTCTTATAACTATAATAATATATAAGGGTATTTATTAATAGAAGTACTAAAGATATTATTCCTCTTTAGCTTAATTTAGGGACTTTTAATTAGACTTTTTATATAGACTTATATTATAAAGGTAGATTACTATAAGTATAGCTTTAATTACTATTTCTAGAGGTAAGTTTATATTAATCTATATCTTAATACTATATATAATTACCTCTTACTCTATATATTTATTACTACTAATTAGTTCCTTTATATCTAAGGGAGGATTCTCTATATTAATATTATTATTCTATACTTATTATTAATACTTTATAAAGCTATTTATAATAATAATAGCTATTTTATTATTATAGTAGACTATATATACTATTAAGCCTTAATACTATTTAACTTAATATTTAACAAAGAAAAGTATTAAAAAGACTTTCTTAAGCGTTTTATTAAAAAGGGGAAATCCCTAAAGTCTTTTAGTAAACTTATTCTTAATTATAAGGAGGTAATTAGCTCCTATATATATTTAAGGGTAATAAAAGATATTCTAAAAAATATAATAATAAGGTTAAATTGCTTTTCTTTTTAATATTAAATATAAAATAACTTATTTAATATAGATTTTAATATAGTCTTTATATTAAATATATATTAATCTTTATATTTTTACCCCCTAAATATTATTAACTATATATTTAAGAGCGTTAGAACTAAAGTATCTACTTTATAGGTACTAGAGGTAAGTATTATTAGAGCGTTCCTTATAATAGTTATAAGAGTTATATTTATAAGGGAGCTTAATAAGTTAGGTAGTTATAATAATAGAGGTAAGGCTTATTAAAATATATTTAAAAGGGTAGATAGAAAGTAGCTTATATTTAAAGAAAATAAAGCTATACTTTTTATATAACTTAATAAGAATAATATTTTAAGAAAGCGTTCCTATATAGAAAGTATAGTCTAAGCTATAGTATTAAACTTTACTCTTAAGAAGAGTACTTTCTAAAATAATATTAATATAGAAACCTTTAATATATATAACGTTCCTTAGAGTAAGGTCTATTAATATCCCCTTATTATTTAGAATACTCTTTATAATATAGATATTATATTTAAAAATAGGAATCTTAGCTATTTTAGCTTTTATAAAGTTATTTAGCTTAAATAAAATAAAAGAGTTATTTTAGAGACGTTTTCTATTATTTACTAAGTAGGTTATACTATAATTATTAAAGATAGTACTATCTAAAAGCTAATAGGGAGATATAACTTAGGTTAATAAGAAAATCCTAAAAAGTATAATAAAATTAGTATCTTAATTCTTAATTAATATATTAAAATTAATAAAGATTATAATAATATTTTTAGAATATTAATCCTATTTACCCCTAAGTTAAAAGACCTACCCTAAGTATTACTACTCCTTCTACTACCTTATCTATTACCCCTCCTATAGGCTCTACCCTATTAGCCCTATTTATAACCCCTATTATAAGCTAAAGTTACAAATAGGTCTTAAAGCTACTCCTTATAGATTAGAGTAAACTTAATATATAAGAATTCCTAACTATTAATAATAATAAGGGTTTCCTAAATATATTTCTCTTCTATTTTAATATTATAATACTTAAAATAGCCTTAATATATATATTTAATATATTTATAGTTTTTAAGAAGCTAATAGTATTTATCTCTATAAGGGTAAATATAAAGTTATCTTAATAGCTAATCTATTTATCTTATAAATATAGTAAAAATACCTTAGGATCTATACTATCTTTTAGCTTTATATTTTTAAATAAAAGTCCTAAAAATAAGGGTATATTCCTCTATACTTTATATTAAAAAACTACATATTATATTAAATTATAATTAATAAAGTTTCCCTCTAGCTTATTTTAAGCTAAGTTATTAACTTACTACTTTTAAGAAGCTTTAAGCTATAAATTCCCTTTATATTTTAGGGATTATATACTATTAAGCTTCTAAAAAGTTATAGTTTTATTTCTTAAGCTAAATAATAAAATTAATATTTAAATTTACTTTTTATAATATCTAGAGGAAAGCTAAATAAACTATATTAATTATTAATAAGTCTATTAGAATTAATTACTTTTTTAGAGTATAAATTAGGTTTTAAACTATTACCTTTAAGTTAAATAGGTCTTTAAAGATAAGCCTCCTATTTATAAGTAAGTTCTAAATATAGATTATAAAGAAAAGAGCTATTATAAATATAACTTAAGACTAAAGATTAAAATAATATATTATAAAGACTTAATACTCTATAGCCTCTATAGTTTACTCTTTAGTCTCTACTTTATATTTATCTTTAATATTACTAACTAAATATAATAGGAATTAATTTCTTTAGCTTATAAAGCTATACCTAAATATATTCTACTTATTAAGCTTTAGTTATATTTTTAAGAGGTTTAAATATATAAGAAAAAATCTTTAGCTAATTAAAGACTTTAGCTTTATATATTACTTATTATTAAATATCTAACTTCTAAATAAATATATCCTTATTTAGTTTCCCTATAAGTATATCTAAAGGGTTTTTCTAATTAAATCTTTTAGGGTTAATAAACTTCTAGATATTTCTTAAATATATATAAAACTTAAGTTATATTTACTATATAAGCTACTTACTTAGAAATAAAAGTATAATACTTATAGTTAGAATTATATTATTAAGATTTATTATTATAATAAAAAAAAAGTTTAAAATATTAAAATAGTTTTTAAAAAGAGAGTTCTATATATAACTTATAATAGAGGGGTAATTAAAAGTAAAAAGGTATTTTTAAAGCTAAGCTTATAACTCTAATAAGTTAGAGCGTATAAGACTAGGGAAATAGAAGTATATATCTAAGTATATAAAGCTATCTAGAATAGGTATAGAACGTATAGTATAATATATAAACCACCTTATTATATATAGAGTTATATAAGAATATAACCTACTAGAAAGCTAAAGCAGTGAGTGAGGCCATCACAACATCATATTTGCTAGGTATGCCGTTATAAAACCTCCTCTGCATAGGCAGAAACTTCCTATTATGTACCTAAACGCTATTAACTAACGGGACCAGCTAGTACTTATCATTCTATTCCGATACCATTGGTCATGGTCTGACGTAGACATTGACCTGAGGCTTATCCTTGATCTGATTGTATTCACCCAAGGGAAATGAGTCCCTTGCATATGCGATCTCTCCAGCGGATTTCGCTACAGGAGAGTATTTCTTCTTCTGTCTGAAGTATCTGCACAGTTTACTGTCAGCTGGGTTCAGAATAGCTTGTGAGGGGAACACATACAAGAGAGCTCCAACAAGGACACCCAGTCCAAGAAGACCAGCACCGACGCTGACGCCGATGACGACCTTGTTGTCAACACCGCCGACCTTGCCATCAAGAATACTGGTTGGACTCGATGTGCTGCTGGTCGAACTGGTTGTGGGCGGAGGAGGAGTAAAGACCTGCGGAGTACCACTTGTCGAGATCATGGATTGTACTCCTGACCCGAATGACTCCACGCCCTGTACAACGGCATTCGTTACCGTAGGGAATGTGGCTGTCACACCAGATGCCACAGCAGTAACAAAGGTCTCGGTAGCAACGAACTTCCTCAACGTCTGCAGCGCTGGAGGGCAGTTGACGAGGCCGGTAGTCAAGCACTCGACGCCGGTATAAGTGAACTTCTCTTTCAATGTTGTAGTTGTTAAGCCCTCGTCTCTCTTTGCCTTGGTGGTAGTAGCCGAGACAGTAGCAATCGTCGTAGTCGGCACTCTGCGACTAGCACAGCCATCCGCGAGCGTGGTGTAAAAGATTGGGATCTGGGTGTTTGGCGTGGGGCCCCAGATGCGATTTCCAATCTCGACCGACGCACCTGCAGCAGCACCCAAGGCAAACTGGTAGGCATTGACGGCTCGGAGAATGCAACCGTCTTTGTCGGCTTCCGGCAGGACGGTCACGTTGGTGCTGAGCTCGGCAATGTTGGCAAACACGGCGACCTCGATACCGGCGGACGCTCCAGGAATTTCGACCGTCTTGTTGAAGAGCTCGATCTCCTTGCTGTCGACGGGAGAAGAGATTTCGATGCCGGCGTTGATGCCGACTCGGAGAACGGCTTTCATGACTGCGCCCGCGCTTTCGATGATGACGGGCAGAAACTCAAATTTCCCGCCCTTGCTGAATGACAGTCAGTATCAAGTATGAGAACAATGTTCCGGGATGGAGGCACTTACAAAGCAACACTCGAGACATTCTTCGAAAATAGAGCGATGTCAAACATGACACCATCATCCATCTTGATGTGGAAACCACTGCTCATCTGAATCTCAGTCTCGACGCTCAGAATCAGATCAACATTGAACACGACTCCAAGCAGAAGATCATCCCCAATCTGCGAACCCAGGGGAGTCTTTGAGCTGTAGATATTCAAAGTGTACGTGAGACCAGCGGACAAGGTAGTGTCGAGCTCCATATACATCTCGAAGTCGTCGAAGCCGAATCCCAGACTGCACTCAGGGAATTCGGGGACGTCGACATCGAAGGTGATGTTGAGGGGAGGGAAGTCGAAATCCTCGGCGTCAAAGCCATCAGATAGCTTCTTCGCCACCCCGGAGACGTAATCCTTTGCGTAGGTAGTAAGATTGTCGAAAGTCTCGACGAATTCGTTGCCGATGTCCTTGGCGACCTTGGTCGCGTTGAAAGTGCCATCTATGGTGAGGTGTGCGGTGGCCTTGCCCTTGACGTAACACTTGACGCAGACAATGTTGATACCGGCTTGTACTGTGGCATTTGCAGTGCCGACTTCCACGTCCTGCTCACTTCCATTCGAGTACTGTCAGTAATTGCAGTCGACGGGAAAGGACAACTAAGCGCACGTACAACTTGAAAAGGACTGCATTATTGAAACTCTTCTCCAGTGACGTGCTGTTGCTGAACTTCTTTTCTCTGCCCTCAAGCCTCGCGTTGAAAAGGTATCGGCGGATTGCACGAAGCGTATCTGAAGGTGACCGGCCAGGGCTGCTCCTTACTACCAAATCAACTGGTGTCGGACTTGAAGCAGCCACGAGGACGAGAGTGATCGCCAAGACAAAGGTGTAAATGAATCGCGGAAGCATCATGATGGCAACTGGTTCTCATCAAGAGAATAGTGAAGCACAGCCAGCCAGGATACTTATGTCATTGAAAGGTGCGAACCACCCTTCTTTTGAACAGGGCACCCTACATCACGAGAAGTGTTCTGTGGCTGTTTGATGTGCAAAGGGATGAACTCCTGTCGGGACCACGACTCTGGTCTGGGTTAGCCCCGCAAGTCTTGGCAGCCCATGCGAGTTGATGTTGTTGGAAAGGTTGACGGTGGGCGCAGCAGGCTGGGTTCAGCTTCTTGGCTGAGCACATGCACGTGTATGTAGATGCAGGAAGTCACTGCATCTGCATGCTCCGAAATAGACTGCAAGAATCCTTCCCATCCCACAGCCTTATGATAAGGCAGTCGAAGAAGAGACTGGAGCGGTTGGGGCTTTCAAGGGTAGTTCTCATGATTTTGGGTTAGTTATCGGCGACATGGTCATGGACTAGGATCAACAGAAACGGCGCCGTTGACAAGCGGCTGTCCGTGCTCGCGAACTAGACGAGATCGCGACATGAGATGGCGTGCGCGATGCCCGAACTGGCCTTCGAGCAATTAACAGTTTAATCGCTGAGAGTTCTGACGGCTCAATCAGGCAGCAGTTTGATCGAGTCAGGCCGGGGTTCTCGGTTCTTGGCTGTTGTCGAAGGGGATGTAACATGGTCTGGCTTCCTCGCTGTAGCCAACGTTACTGAAACATTGTTGGCACCAAGACAACCCTCTGCGATTTCACGATTCTCAGTAGAAATAGCGATTTATTAGCCGGAGTGACCAACAGCTGTATGCACGGCGGCGGCGTTATCAGTGCAAAATAGAAACTCATGCTTCTGTTGGCCCCCACGTCGTGTTGGTTGCTACCCATTTGCTACAGCGCCTCCACTGCTGCGACCCCGAATCATGGCACTGCATGCTGTTGGTTTCAGGCATGTTTGCTTTGTCTTCTTGGAGGGCTGTTGGAATTGAAAGCAAACTTGCAGCTCGAGATGGCGAAGCCGGGGCGGAGTACTCATTTGGCCGCCACAGCTTTCGAGCCAGCTGGTAGATCGAAGACTTTGCCCGGGTTCATGATCCATCTGGAAAGTTATCAACGTTGAGCTCTGTGGATATTATGACAATCATAGATGGACTTACTTTGGATCGACCGCCTGCTTCAGCGTCTTCATGAAGTCAATTGCCTCAGATCCGAGCTCATCCACGAGACAATCCTGCGCGCATTATTAGTCTCGCTCTGTATGCAATTAAGACCCCAACAAGGCAATCATACCTTCTTGCCAATACCAATGGCATGCTCGCCCTTTAAGATTGTCAACTCACGAGCACAAAGGTCGACTGGAAGAATAACGAACCGATACTGTTCCCTCCATCTCAAGTGCTCGGCTCATCATGTCGTGAACGCATTGGGACACCGAGCGCTGATGCTGTTCGTTCTTCGCATCGTACATGACAGCCTGGTGAAAGTTTCCGTCACCAACGTGACCAATGACAGACGCAAAGAGTCCAAGTTTGCTTGAATCCTCCTTGGATCGATCTTTACGCGATACCAGTATGTTAGCTACGAAACGATCTCTCAAAAGTGAGGGTAATGCCGTGCTCCGCAGCTGGCTTCTGACTTACTGATAATCTCTGCGAGGCGAGAGATCGGTACGGCGACATCTGTCGACCACATAGAGTAACCCTCCGGCTTGATCGAGGTCATGGTCCAAAGCGCCTCCTTTCTCGCGGCCCACAAGTCTGCTTCTTCTTGCTTATCCCGTGCAAAGAAGATCTTCCGGGGTTGGAAAGGCTGCACGATACCCTTCACCCTGGAAATATCGCCCTTGATCGCATCCGTCGTGCCCGAGAACCTAACATGTGGCAATCAGACTCTCAGCCCTGACCAGATGGGAAAGTCAACGTACTTGAGGAATAAAGTCGGACTCTCGTCCCACGCAGTCCTACGCACAGCCTCGCTCCCGTGCCGATTGATGACCTGCATCTGCACTTCATCCATGAATTCTAGTGCTCCCAGCTGGATTCCGGATCGAATCAACTTCGTCGCCGCCTTTGCAGCCTCGTCGATACTCGGGAACGAGATGACCGCCACGCTGGTGTCCTGCGGCACGACAGCAAGCTTGAGAGTGATCTCCGTCACGATCCCCAACGTTCCCTCAGCGCCGACAAATAGCGATGTCAGATTGTATCCGGCAGAGTTCTTGCGAGGGCGCCTTCTGGTCTTCAGAACGCTCCCATCAGCGAGGACGACAGTAAGGTTGATGACCCAGTCTTTCATGGTGCCGTAGCGGAATGCGTTCGTGCCGCTGCAGTTGGTAGAGACCATGCCGCCGACCATGGCTGTCGGTGAGGGGTCTAAGGGCAGAAACAAGCCAGAGTCTTCGATGGTCTTATTTAGGTTTACCCAGTTCACTCCAGGTTGCACAACAACGTCCATGCTATGATGATACCATCAGCACAGGAAAGCATACTGACACAAGAATATGGAAAACTTACTCGTCGGGGTGAAATTCAATTATTTTGTCCATGTGGACAAAATCAATGCAGATTCCGCTGTAAGGAGATGAAAAGCTTCCCTCGACAGAAGAACCCGCTCCGAACGGCACTATGAGAGTGAGCATGAGTTGTTACTCAAGACTAGAGCGTGACTCTCACCCATTGGAACATTATACTTGTGACAAACTTTTGCTATCATCGAGACTTCTTCCGTAGTCTTTGGATACACGATAGCAACAGGGCGTCCGCTGGAGTTGGACGTTGACCAGTCCGAGTGGCCGTGCTGCTCAATGACGTCTTCGTCAAAGCTGACCGCATCCTCGGGTAAAACAGCCTGAATCTCATTTGCCGCCTATGCGAATGAATTGTGAGTTTAGATGGAATCGCCGAGGAGTACGTGAACATCACCTTCAACATGTGGTCCCTATCCGCAAATTCCACTTGCGAGGACAGGCCGATCTGACGTTTAGTCTCCGAAGGAGAGAATATATAGGTCGTGTAACATCCAGCAACGAATGCGGCTAAGATGAAAGGGGCGGCTGCAAGGCCTGGGTTGCGTCTGTCTTCGGGCTTGGTGTGAGCTGCGCGGTATTGCTGAGGTCGTGGGAGGGCCGGCCTTGGCCCCGCTACTCGGGGTTGAGGGCGGCGCGAAGTGCTTCGCAGCGCACTCAAGTTAGGACGCATAAACGCCCGAATTGTCATCCTGGTTTATTGTATATGAAGTCAAGATCTGGAAAGTTGAACGATGGAGATGGACTGCTGCGATCGCGTCAAATCTCCCACTCGGCGGGGACGGACGGAGTTGGGGGAGCCGCGTAAGGACCTGCCTTGAAGCGCGGCAGGATCTGGTCGGCACTGGAAAGTAGGCAAATTAGACGTGCTGAGAATGATGATATACAAAGACTGGATCGCAGACGAAAAGAGGGATTGCAAGGCCGTTGATGGAAGGAACATGCGAATGCTGGGCTACGATGCGTCCGGGACCGGCACAGCGGGGGCCATTCGGCTCCGGACGAAATTAGGCCGAGGTAAGCCGCCCTGAGGCGATAGTAACCAAGAATATTCATCCATGGCATTGAAAAGGAATACATCTATTATCTATCATCTTGAATCGAATTGAAATTGCTATTTACGTCAAGAAACATAGAATACGCTCCAAAAATTGCGAGTATTCAAACTTTGGCCCCGAAGAACCGGACCGGCGGCGATGAGTGGAGCCGGGCTCCGATACTTCGGCACCGAGACCACCGTGGAACGGCATGCCAGAATCTGATTCGGCCGAGATCTGAGGATTCAGCAGGTACGCCATCCGACCTTCCTCTTACTGCGCAAGTGACTCACATTTCATACCTCAAGATCACGACCTAATATATCTCGACTCCAACCCTCACGTGAAAATCATCTGGTGAACGTGAGCATCAACCCAGCGATGTCCAAACCCACCAACATCATCCTCCTCCCGAAATCCCACCCCTCCCCGTCTACATGGCTCCAACTAGTCTCCCGCTACAAAGCCTTCCGCCTCCAATCCCTCCTCCTCTCCCCCGAAAGCTTCGGCTCGACCCACGCCCGCGAAGCCGCGTTCCCGCCAGAGCGCTGGACATCTCGTCTCGCGAACCCGCAAGCGAATACCATCATCGCAGTTAACAAATCCCCCAATTCTCTGTCTGAAAACACTGAAGGAGACATTGATCTGGCCTTGGAGTCAGAATGGCTGGCTTCGCTGGTCATCACCGGGCCTCTAGACGCCGGGACGCTCGCATCCCAGCTTCATCTTGAAGAGTCCTTTGTAGACTTTGGAGAGGCGCATCGGGATGGTGAGGCGAGGGCCCAGTATGTGCTGAACGGGATGTACGTTATCCCCTCTGCTCGAGGAAAGGGCATCGGCGTCCAGATGTTGGAGTATGCAAAGCGCTTCGTTGCTGCTGAAGTCAAGCGTTCTGGTGAAAGGGGGCGGATATCTCTGATTGTGGACTATGAGAACCCCCCGGCGAGAATTACGTATGAGAAGTGTGGGTTCAACATTGTGCACCGGTACTGGTTCGATGATTATCGCGAGGGTCGAGAGGCTCGGACTGAGGCTGCGGTCATGATGATTGATCTTAATGATGATGCGAAAGTTTAGATGGTCTACGAAATTGTACAGAGATATTGCAGGCACGGGGTCACTTTAGCACGTGGATGGCAGCCTAGGTAATAATTGTTACAATTTTTGATGTTATTCTTTAGCTACTACAGACCTCTTTTGGATCTAGCATAGAACTACGATAAAACACTGCAAGTTTGTGAAGTGCATTCTTTCTCCTCATTATTCCCAAATTTCCTCCTGTCCACACGTCTGAGACAAGAAATCAGAGCAGACCTTCAGCAGCGGTCAGCAGCTGCTCGGTTCTCTCATCTCCCACCTCGCCCTGAAGCCATTGGATGGCTTTCTCTTCCATCATGTCCCAGCTGTCCTGCTCTTCAGCGAGCTTCTTCCGCAAGTAGGCAACAGCCAACGCAGTGGCCATGGCATCACCCTTGCTCAGCAAGATGCCCAAAACCTTGGTGACATCCTCCTCGGACAAGCCAAAAACGTTGAGCAGCTTGGACGACCAGCTCCAGAAGCCACTGAAGTCTTGCAGAGACACAAGAGCCGAGAACTTGTCGCTGCTGTCAAGCTCTTCTCCGTTTGAAGACGTCGTCTTTCTCTTTTTCTTCTTCTCTCCGACGGACATGAAGCCATCCAGATCAGCGTCGTCATCAGAGTAATCAATAAGATTAGCGTCGTCTGACAGATCCCGCTGATAATGGGCCAAGATAGCCTGGTCGATATGTGCCTGGGGGACTGCGGGGGCAGCGGCTTGCTGGAGTTGGGGCGGAACTGCGCCGAATGCTTGCGTGCTGGCAGCGCGAGAGGCGAAAAAGCCTCCCGACGGAGGCGGGGGTTGGGGCGCGCGACCTGGAGACGTCAATGAGTTTCCAAACAACCCAGACGATGTAGATCTGCTTGCAGAGGCAGAGGATGATGCGGAGCCAAAAGCAAACGAACCGCCTACGGCAGGAGTTCCGGTTGGTGAACCAAACAACCCGCCAGCAGTTGGAGCTCTGGAGTTCAAACCGAACAGACTACTACCACTAGTAGGAGCTGCTTGGGAGGATGAGCCGAACAAGGCAGACGTAGTCTTAGCTCTAGGGGGTGAACCGAACAATCCACCGCCAACAGGAGGAGGAGCTGCGGAGGATGAACCGAACAAGCCGCCTGCGGTTGCAGCTCCAGATCCAGCGGATGAACCGAACAAACTACCGCCAACAGGAGCTGCGGGGGGTGAACCGAACAAACCACCACCGATAGGAGCTGCTGCAGGGGATGAGCCGAACAAACCACCCGCAGCCGGGGATGTATCAGGGGAGGAATCGAACATACCCATACTTCTGGTTTGAACAAGATTGTTCTGGGAAAGACGAAACGCACCTCTCTTCTGCGCCTGGTGTTGTTGTTGCTGCGCCGGCTGCACTTGCTGCATCTGTTGCTGCATCTGTTGTTGTTGCCTCTGCATGATTTGTGCTCTCGCAGACGCGGCTGTGTTCCTTCGCCTTATGTCCTCTTGGAAGGGGTCGAAAGCACCGTACGCCGGAGTCTCCGAAAACGTCGACATGTCGTCGGCCTCGTGGTTGTTGGTACTGTCGGCAGTGTCCTTGTCGTTACTCTCCACGGCGACGAACGAGCACCATTTGCCTCCGACCTGGAACCCAACTCCGAGACGGACTGCCTCGCGCTCAACCATGGAAGAGAAGCGCCCGGGGTGGCTCTTTTCCAGCAGCTTGCCATCTCGGCCCTTCGCGTGGTAGATCCATCCGCGTCCTTCCTCAAGCTCTTTGACGGCTTTACGGGCGGCCAGTTGGTGAATAGTCTCGCCAGCCTCGGAAAGAAGGGTGATGGGGATCTCCAGCTCGAGGGGACCCTGTGACGACGTTCCACGGAGAATCACGGACGCCGGAGTCTTATCCCTCATGGACCTCTCGGGTGACAATAGAAGGTAGACACTTGTCCGGCTGTAGGGGTAAAGCGGAGGAATGCGGAAGGGTGCCTGGAGGACCTTGGGAGGTCGGACCGCGGGAACATGGGAGAAGCGATCAGTGCCGGTGCCATCAGTTTTCGCGTCGGTATCCTCCATCTCTGCGTCCTCGGAACTGGGGTCGAAAAGAGAAATTGGGTTCTTCGGTTCCTCGGTCAGCCTTGCCTCAGAGGCACCCTCCTGAGCTGGTCTGGTCTCGATGGTTTCGAAGTCATCCTCAGGCTCCGTCTCGGACTCGGCGTCGGCGTACTTGATCTCCAGAGAATAGTCGTTGACGTGGGGAGTAAGAGCTCCCTTGAGCATGCGGACGACCTTTCCAGACATCTTCTCTTGTTCAGAGACGGACTGCGAGAATCCATTACCTGCTCGGGCTAGGCCTTCGATCAGGGCGTGACTGACGCTACGACCAATACCCAACGTGAAGATGCGGACAGCTCCCTTTGACTTCTCGATGTTCTTGTTGACCATGTCAAAGAGGGCCTCCTGGTTCCAGATCTCGCCATCAGTGAGGACAAACACCTCGAGCTCCATATCCTTGTGGCGACGCTTGAAGGTCTCCTCGATGGGGGCGTACATCTCTGTGCCGCCAAAGTTGGAGGCAAAGGTATCAATGTGCTTCATCGCCTCGTTCGAAGTGTCTTGGTCGTAGGTCTTGGAATTCTTGAACAAAAAGGAGTGGCGTGAGCCGAAGCTGCAGATGTTGAACATACACCCAACAGGCAGGGATTTGATGAAGATCCGCAGAGCGTTCTTTAAGTCGTCGATCTTTCCACCCATGGAGCCTGAACGGTCACAGATGAAGACGATCTCGGGCTTGGTCGCGGCCAGCTTGAACTTGGGTACGAGGGTAGCCATGATGGCTTGCTGGTCGGGGATGGTAGGGTGGGTTTCCAGAACGGCGATGGGGTTGGATGTGTTGGTTGCGATAATCTGAACGATGAAGTCGTTGTCCAGCTCCGTGGTTCCCAGAGAGAGAGTAGCCGATGCGAACTGGAGGGAAGGGGTGGCGTTAGCTGCCATGGTCGAGGTCGTTCCGACAGATACACCTATCGGGTGGGAAGGTGACTGGATGGACTTGATGACGCTCCCAGCAGGCATCTCGGCGTCAACAACGATTTGAATGCCCTGGTACGAGGAGACATTGGTAGGCTTCGCCATCATAGTGCCGGGATAAGAACCGTAGCGAGGGGCGATTGAGGTGGGAATGGTGAATCTGATGCCGTCGACCTCGGCATCGTGCTTGAGCTCGCCAAGGTAGGTGATATCGACTCTGATCTTTGCACCGGGCGGGACGTTTCCAATTGTAGTAGTGAAGACATCGCTGGCGTCGGGCAACTGTTCGAAGAGGCCGGCAGTCTCGCCTTTGGCAACGGCCTTGTCGTACGTCTTGCGAGCGGTGTTTTTCTCCTGGACGACTCCATGGATGACGCGGTCGTCATTGATGGTGCAGGTGAAACCCACAACAGAAACTCCATCGAACAAGGGAAAGGTGTAGCGGAGCTCGGGGATGGCTTCTTTGGTGGACGAGTTGACGTAGGTCTGTGTGAGAGTTGTGCGCGAGGTCGAAGCTACGACGCGGGCGTGAATAGACTGCGAGACGGAGGGGAGATATTTCCTCCTGGGGTGGTTGAAGATGGAATTGGGCTCTCCGTTGAAGGGCTCCAGAAAGTATAGACCGCAAATGTAGGGGCTCGCCATATTGTTTCCAAGCGAACCAAACAGACTGCCGGGGGTGTTCGTGCTCTGGGAAGAGTTTCCGAATAGGCTACCGCCAGAGGTCGAGTTGGAGTGGCCGAAGAGACCTCCAGAGGAATTAGCTAAAGCGCCAAATACCATCTTGTTGATGGGCTACTTACGAACAGAATCAGGAGAAGATGTGTGCTTGAGGTGTGCTGAGGAAAGACACCGGCTCGTTCTCGTTTGCTCTGCTGGGTGTGTAAAGTAGGTAGCCAGGTGCTGCCAGCTGAAGTGATCTGGTATGTCGTAGCAAGAGTGACTGGACCGTCACAATTCTGTCGAAATGGAAAGATGGATGACGATGAATGCTCAGGAGGAAAGCAAACAGATGAGCTGTCCCTACCTTACTTATAAATTAATGGGATGGGATACGTTGAAAGGGAAGAGGCATCCTTTGACTGTCGGTCTTGAGCTTCCAGGCGCAGCCAAAGTGCAGGCAACAGCTAAATTGGACAAAGAGCCAATCACAGCTCATAATTTTCGCCAAGACGGCCTCTCATTGGTCAAAAATCTAGATGGACGTCTGCCTGCTGCGCTACAGCAAGGATCAATGATTCCTCCCAACGTTTTCCGCCGCCGCGTATTACACACAAAGCTTGACTTTCTGCAGTAAAAGGCCAATGAACGAGACTGCTTTCTTCAATTTATGTCTATAAGGGTTCTTGCTTAGAAATGCATTGCAGTCTGCCTTATGAAAAAAGCTTTGGATTTGATTCATCTCTTCTTTACCCCATTGAATTCAAACTCAATCGGCCGAAGCCGTCTGCTGCCCTCTGCTGTAGCTTAGGGTCGCATACCATTATTGGGCGCCGCCTGGCCGCCTGTAAGGCACACCAGATCCCTCAATTGGTGACTCACAACTCCAATGGCTGCACCCTCATACGAGCGATGTTGATCTGAGCACTCTAGACCAAGATTGTGTATTTCTAAGCGTCTGATGATTTAATTCAACTTGGCATTGGAATACACGTTTTCTGAATCCGCATGCGTCTTCTCCTCCTTCAAGGTTGTCCAAATCCTCCTCTCAACCGTGACTCACTAAGCTTGGCTGCAGCTATCGTGGACGACTTCGTCATGTTTCCCATGGGCTTGCTCAGAGTAAAAGCTTCCATAAACTTGGATTTCAGACGAGAAGCATCCAATAGTTGGGTTGAGAACGAAATGGCTACATCCTCATTGATTTTGAAGAGTCACTTTCAATGAACAGTGCCCCCGACAATCAGGGACGCGACCAAGCTTGCTTCAACACTAAGATTTCACAGAATAGTGAGTCTACTGATCTCTCATCAAAACGATGTCAACCTCGTCTCCCGTAACCTCCAAGTCAATCCCAAAGCTTTCGCTCCTGCCGCTCATCTCGAACGTTAGCCGAAGCTTGCCGTTGTAATACAACCCGTAATTCCCCTGCTCAAGTCCAGATACACGAGGCGTGATCCTAGATCTCCATGTTAGAAACTTTCAAAACAACGGCACTACAAGACATACCGTGTGCTCTTCCCATCCCAAGTGCGCATGGTGATGGCCAAGGCCTGCATCTCGCTGTCCCAGCTGCCACGCAAGAAGTCCACCCCGTTCGACAAGTCCACGTCCATCACAAACGGGCAAGTCGCAAAGTGTTCCGCGTCCCATGGTTTCTCGTAAATCTTCCTCTGTCCATCGATCACGTTGAATCGTCCATACGCGATGCCCGCATTCCCAGTGACTACGTCGACAGCTGGTGACTCATAGTCATACGGCGTCGCAGACTTCCTGTAAGGGTAGAACAACCCTCCGTTCTCCCAAGTAGGGTTGAACTTGGCATCAGCGTATGATAGCATGCCCTCCAAATCAGCGCGATCGCCGAGCTCGGACACCCACATTACCCCGAAGGCGAAGTGAGGTTTAGTAAATGGTATCATGCTCTTGGGCAGTCCCTCTTCTGCCACTGCCTTAGCCGCCTTGGTATAGGTGACTGGATCCATGGGGTCGACATGCTCCGAGGTGACTAGCTCGCGGATCTTGAAAGACACCTTCGGATGCGGTATGAATACGTGGTCGTCGGATGGCTTCGCGAGAAATCCCGGCTGGAGGTTTCTGCTGGTCTTCTGCACAAAGGTTGGGTTCCATGAATTCATGAAAGCGAGTGCCCTGAAATATCACCTTAGCTGCCACCTCCGAGGTATCGAGTCTCGTTGTCACATACCACGAGGAAAATGCCAAATCATCTGCCGGCTTCTTCTGGTCCTGCTTGGGCGAATACCAGTCGTAGAACAAGCCGTCTTCTTCTTGAACCATGCCCTTTGCCTTCCAAGCAGCCTGGTATTTCTCCAACACTTCCGGTGAAAAATTAACCTTGTCCCTGACATCGTTGTATCGGAGTGCGATCAACTTGACCGACGTTAGCTTGGTTGAAATACCACACTCGAATACTGGATTAGTCTGCTTACGGGAAATTGGTTACAAACCACAAAGATACTATTGGGCTCGCAGCAGACACCCATCCAGTTCTCGCGTTCCATTTCTCTCAGAATGGCTGCTTGCAACGACTTCCTCGTGTAGGAGAACTTTTCCGGGCCCATTCCCCAGAACACGGGGTTCCAGTTGAACGCGATGGCATCCTCCTGATCGTACTTGCCCTCGTTGAACAGCATCTCATGAAGTGACACCATCAAGAGTAGATGACCGGAGTACTTGAAGGCTTGTCAGCGGATGGTGTTGGAAAGAATGTTGAGTTCGACTACAAACCATGATGTTCTCTCGAACCACAGGATCCGCCCAGGGCTTCCTCAGTTCCTTCAGGTCCGGGTCAAGCATAATCCCACTGTGACTCGTCAGAAACCAGTAGCCCCAGACGTCTCTCAACAGCATCTTGTGGATGATGTTCTCTAAGAGCGCCTTGAACATCGACCTCAGTGCAGGCATGTGGTGATAGTGCGCTGCGCCAGCGGTGTAAGCCATCGTGGCCAGCTGATAGCGATACGCATCGAGCCATTCCTGACCCGGTTCCTGACTTCCCATATGTCTCCATTCACCGTCGGTATGTGTCGTGAGATTATGGAAATGGCGTAGGTGTCCTGCCTGCTCTCGTGAGAGTTTCGGGCAGCGGGCGAGGAAGTCGGCAGGGAGGGTTTCTGGGAGGTTGTGAGGGAGGTCGCCACGGAGCCGGAGTTCCGCCTGCTTGTCTGGCAACTGGGTTAAACTGGTCGTTGTTAGTTTATAGTCATGGTATCGTGATGGAGGCGTACGTTATGGTGGCCATGGTCAGATTGTACCGACACCTAAACCGAAGATGAACCTGGAGTAGGCTTCCGCTGTTCAACGCGAAGATAGGATTTGCCGTGACATCGACGCGATGTTTTCCACCAGGATTAAATACACTGCGGTGCGTGGACGGACTAATACACCACTTATACATATTGACTTCCACCGAAATGGAGGAAATGCAAGAGGATCAGATCATTAAGATGTCGACCCTAAAATCTGACTGTGTCCACCAGCCCGACCGACGCGAATAAATCCGTGAGAGAAACATCGTCACTCGTCGCTTTCGCGAGAATACCAAAGTCCCTGATACGCAAGCCATCTCAGAGAACTCTCGATGCATCACAGCTCCACGGGACCGGGAAACAATGGAACCATTCCCACATTGTGGATGAACGGAGCATGGCTGACGTTACTTGAGTCCCGGCAGGCCGACCCCGCAAACAAGGAGCACGCGGGTCTGAGGCACGGAGTGATTGTCCTATTTAGGATAATCGTATGCCAAAGTCCTTCTTCGCCATTCAAACTCCTCCACCAAACACAATTTTCGTTTGTGTGGGAAACCCGGGGGTCGTCTTGAAGGGGGGTATGGCGAGATATCAATGACCAGATTATAAGGGTGGCTGCATTGTATAGCGCGGCATATTGCATTTGGTGTCTATTCATCCCGATTGTTCTCGTGTGGTTGGTCGCCTGGCACGATGGATGAATGCTTGGTTGAGGCTATTGTGGATGCGTCGTGCCGATACGGCAATGCGGACTGGGCTTTGCTTGCATGATGGATACATATAAATATGTTTTTTTCGGCACTCAAATCCCTCGAGAAGGGTGTCTTTCTCGTACTATGAACGAATCAGAAACCATCATTTCTTCGATTTCGCGAGGATCAGGTTCGCCCACACTCTGTCATGCTGTAGGCTTCACCATGTCGCCAGCCTTGCAAGTCAGTGAGATAATCCAAAGATGCTTCATTAAGTACAACCGACGAGGTAAACCCACTTCCCTCGGTCTCCGTAGATCCCCTACCCATAACGCCCGACATGGAACGGACGACCATCAACCGCCGAACCCGAGAATATGCCTCTCCAGTTCCCCAAAGTCTCCCAAATCCTGCCCAGTAAGCTCAAGATCCTGATTATGATATATCGAATAACAATTGTACGCATCATCAGGCAACAAGTCCATCCCATTCGCCTGCTCAGACGGCTGCGGGTCGTCACTGCTCGAGGGCTGTATCCACAGATACGAGATGTCATTCCACAGGCTCGAATCCAACAGACTTCTCGAACCCAGTTGACTGCTCCGCCCAGAGGGCGTCAGCACTTCGACCCCGCCCGAGTTCCTCGGCGTCAAGCCCGGGAAGGGTTGCTGTCGCATTTCAGAATCCTCTTCGTTGCCCGTTGACACTGTTATGCTCGAACCTCCTTGGTTCACCGCAGTCTTGGCTGCTGGGTCCGGCCTGCTGGTGCGCACCTCGCTCGGGCTGTTCTTGGGGATATCCAAGAATGTCGATAAGTGGTCCCTCATACGGCGGACTTCGCGGGCTCTCTGTAGCGCAAACTCGTTACCACAGCCGACCAAGTAGTCGAGAATTTCCAGCGCCTCAGAGAGCCCAGGAGTAGGCGCGAGCTTTTGGCTTCCATCGCAGGTCGAGTCGATAATCAGGGTTAAGATCATGATGAACGCAGCGGAGAAGATCGCGTCGAGATCGAAGAAACCGAATGTTGCTGAAATGCAATGTTAGTATCAATTCTCTGAAGGGACAACAGCACTGACTCAGCATGTTTCCCTTCCGTAAGGCCATCAGTACTTCCAACAGTCGTCTCGCCGCTTCAGAACAAGTCCGACTTAACCGGTTGAGTGGCGATGAGGCAAGACCAAGATTGGATCCATTCTCATCGTCGAATATGAGCTTTGACACGTGCAGCATGACGGGGCGAATCGTGAGAAGGATTGCCTTCGCCAACTCGTCAGTAATAGAACGAAACTGTCGTTAGGGCTTGGGCAACATACTTGGTATAACATCATGTGAAGATAAGCCGATGTCCTCAACGACACATCTCCCTCCATGGAAGGAATGTCGAACAGCTTGCTCGAAAAGTCTCCGGGGACCTCTTTCGCGATCCAGTAAAGCGACTGCACGATTTCTTGGACGTTCGGTACGAACATCTCTTCTGGATGGTTACCCGGGCCGTAGATGGCTGTTGGTAGAATGAGCAAGTTGCAAAGGGTAATTCTGGATCTCGCGTCTTACTGGATAGAATTCGACCCGTGACCCTTGCAATTTTGATGTTTGTTCGCAATGGTAATGCCGGAGGGAATCCAGGTGAGTCGATTGGCATCTCGATCTCTATGACATCGTCCACGATACCAGAAGGGTTGCCAGTCGCAGCAGCGAGTCGCCTAGCGAAACCAAAGCGATTAGTAACTCAAGCTGTCGAGATCATTCATGCAATGTGTACCTCTCTTGCATATACACCGTCCACCACAGTCGATTCAAGTGTACCTTCTCCGACTGCAACAAATGCTTCGTCCCCGACTTTCGGTGGTACCCATGGGTCGTAGCAAGTCGAAGAGCAGAACTAATCTGCGTTCCAAAGTCAACCGATGAAAAGCATAGCACTCGGGCGCGACAAGTACTCACATATAAGTACGCCTCCTCCTTCCTGTTCGCATTCTGCAGATACACCGCAGCCAAGGCATGTATCTCAATCCCCAGCTTCCCCAAGCCGTACAACTCGCTCAAGCTCGGCAGCCTCGTCTGGACATACGTAAACATGCCCCAGCCCGGCAACTCCGTTCTCTCACCACCGTCAAACTTCCCCGAGAACAGCTTCCCGATGGCGAATACCAGTATCATCTCCAGATACCACGGCGTCTGCGTCTGCGACGGGTCGCCGAGGTTGGCGTAGAAGAAGGCGAGCCGGTCGGAGAACTCTCGCGTGTCGATGTGATGTTGCGTGTAGCCGATGAAGAAGGACATGCTCTCGAAGAGCTTCCGCCCTTCTTCTTCTGACGGTAGAGAGGGTGCTTCATCTTTCGGACGAGGTGGCGGGGGCTGCGATAGTTGGCGACGAGGAGGCTGGTTGTTGTCTACGCCGCTTAGACGTGGATGCTCGAGGAGGTTCTGGAGGCGGGATCCGAAGTTGTGGCTTGAGCTCAGGGTCGAGTCTGCGGGGATAGCTGGTGGATGAGGTGCATTAGTGCTTGAGAGATGGGCCTGGTGAGGACACTCATGTTATCTTACTTGAACCCGGCGAAGACTCGACAATGTTGCTCACACTTCCTCTTGGTAATGTGCTTGTCGACGGAGGAGAGGTAAGCTGGTCCAAAGCCAACCCAAGCAACGTGGAGGCAGCATTGACCTGCGTGGCATTATCAGTAGGTGTATGCGCCGTAGCGCTGGTCGTAGGTCGGCGAGAGTTCTCGGTCGGTTCTCCAGCTACTCTGATTGTCTCATTATCTCGGTCTGTGAATCGTGTTAGCAAGCGACGGATCGGTCTTGTATATCTACGACCACCAACCCTCTGTAATCGCAAATCCCAGCCCGTGATTCTCATATCGCGCCAACCGTTCCTGGAGATCCTGGATTCTCCTGTCGAGACATTAGAGAAAAGATGAAATCTGTGATGACATCTTGAACTGACGTGACGGAGTAGACCCGCTTCTTCCCCGGCTCGGGGAAGCTGCACTCCAGGTCGCGTTTGCTGCAGTACGTGCATGGCTTGTCGCCGGAGCACTTGACCTTCTTGCGCCTACACGTCAGACATCTACCGTATATTTCATGGCGTCAGTAGCTTTCTTCCAGGCGTTTCGCGACGTAAAACAGCCCGCCTTCCAGCATCGGGGGGCCTGGTTGCCTGCGTCACCGGACGGTCGGCGGAGGCCATTCCCGGAGTGTATTTCGGAGACTTACGCCGAAATGGCCTTGGCCGCGTCGCGGCTCCCGCCGATTCTCCCTCCCAGAGACAACCTCCTGGGCGATGCGCGAGACTCCGCGTCCATGTGTAACTAAGGTTTATGAGATATGTCCCAGCGGCGACGGCGGTGAAGAACGGTTCTGCCGGCTTGATCTGTCGTTTCTGTTTGTTGATGGGAGTCTCGGATGTTGACTGAATGAGGGGTCGGACAAGGATTCTTGGCGGGGGGCTCCGAGGCTCGGAGCGGAGAAAGCATCGCCAGCAATCTGCGCGATAAGGACCAACATCGCGAGATGAACCCAACAAGTTGCGGCTCTGTCCAATGCTCAAAGAGGATTAACTCTAATAACTCGCGATGTTCGCGTACGTTATCTTAGATATCTTATTTCCATATTTGAATCGAAGCAATATGTCGATTGTGCCCCGCAGCAGCGATGCCACCGGGCACGGAGTCTCACTTTCTCATCAACACCACATCGACAAGCCCTTAACCCTGTGTGGCTCGATGCGTGAACTCGTGCTCACATGCGGATAGCTTTAAACTATTCTTTCTTCCATCTACAATTCATTACAAATGTTGGACAGGAATGAAGTCGATGAACACAGCCCTTCGCCCATGATTTCCCATGATTGGCCAGCATCGGTCACCTGCCTAATCCGGCAACCACCCGAATCCACTGCTGTGACGAACACCTACCTAGGCATCAACGGCATCTTCACATTTTTCCACTTTCAAAGACCACGGAAATTATGACAAGTCCTATACATCTACAGTACTAATCAGCGTGAAAAAGAAGCCGCCTCTACGTTGATCCCGTGCTGTCGACACTACCGGTGAAAGCCAAGTCCTAGTGATAAGTGTTGAAACTAATTGGACATGACAGATCCGTCTTTGGTATCCAGGTTTGACGAGAGATTTCAATTTCAAGATCCTCAGTATGAATCCGCATATCGACAATAGTCAGAAACCGATATATCCCATCATTCTCAGCCCGCAAAGAAGAATACGTAGCCAGGATATTGGCGTGGGACACTACTGACTGCGTACGCCGTACGCGTACGACAAGCCACCACGGACAACATCTCAGCCAGCAGGAAGACGAAAAGGTGGAAGTCATGGCATGGGTCAACAGAAGGACCGGAGATACGGTGAGGGATTCGTCCAGGCGGTCGGGGGACGTGAGTAAGCAGTTCGAGCCCCGACGCCGTTTTGTGCCCCGAAAGTCAGATGAACCTTGACTTGTATTTTTTGGCTCCTCGAGAGGAAAATGATTGATAGAGTTGTGGACTTGGACGTTTGGGTGTCGAGCGTTGGGACGGGTTCGGTGGTGTGAAGCGGTCGGCGGACTGAGGTTTCGTGTGCACCAACGCCGAATTCGGTAGAGTCTGCCGCGGATACCTTTACGTTCCAGTCAAGGTTTGGGTCCGTTGATATCTTTCACTCTTGAATGTTTCTGAATAAGTGACTTCGCATGTTCGTGATGAGATCGCCTCTGTGTCGCATTGCTGAGGAGTGTTCAGCAATAGTGAGACTGATCGTCAAGTGAGGAGGGACGCAAACTCGCATCACACTAGGAAGATGAAGATTGTAAAATTTGCTTGAATTTCTTTCCACAAATGACCCGATAGTTACAGGTCTTAAAAAAGGAATGATGCATTGCCAAACATTCGTAAACAATATCAACCATCCGCCGCCTTCACCATGACCTTCCCAATGTCTATGAGCCCGCAAACTCCATGCTTAGTGCCTAAGGTATTGAGGTTCCAATTCCGTAATCCCTCACTCCTATTCGTGTATGTATATATGCCTGGTTGTAGGATTCTAGAAAACCCTCTGTGATGCGCGCGCCTAAGTCTCATCGCTAGGGATCTGCTCGCCGCGTAGCGCCTGACGACTGTCAAACATCCTTGATACACGGTTCTCTTCCAGTGTGTGCTGAGTCTCGTGAAGCCTGTTGAGGTCGTAATGACGAATCAGGAAGCTCAGGAAGAATGCGATGACGGCCAAGGAGACATAGACGCCATGTACACCCTTGAAGCCGAAAGCGTACGACTCCAGGATCGCATCCTTGAACGTGCCGTCGGGCAGAGTCTTGATGACGAGGAGGTACTCTTCAGCACGCTGGGCAATGTCCTGGGCGATACCCTTGCGCTCGAGCTTAAGCGCCATGACGTTCTGGAACGTGGTCGAGCCCACGTTGACGCCGATAGCGCAGCCGAGCATGCGGAGGAACAGGTACATGCTCGCGGCATGGCCCGAGTTTTGAGGGTCGACAATAGCGCCCGTAACGAATGTCTGTGCGTTGAGGATGAAGCCGTGGCCAATACCGCCGATAACGAGGGTGATCACATGCACGGCAACGGGAGTGTCAACGTCCCAGTAAATGAGGAGACCAGAGGCGAGGGCGAGCAGAGCCCAGCCGATCCAGATGGACCAGCGGTAAGCGTTGAAGCGAGAGACAAGAATGCCGGAGATGATGGAGCCCGGCAGAAGCAGGAGGGTGACCGGCAGCATTGCAACACCAGCCATTGTCGGGCTGTACTGCGAGACCGAGAGGAAGTAGAAAGGGACGTAGTAGAGTTGACCGTAAAGCTGGAAAATCAGTAAATATCAACGGAAGAAGCAGGATATCAACTTACAATGAAGCCTTGCAGGGCGCCGAGGATGTAGACCGTGATAGCGCTGACATCCGCGAAGAGGACCTTCTTCAAAAATGGCACCTTGGCAAATCTGTGCTCGTAGAACAAGGCGACTGCCAGACCTGCAGCGCCAATGAAGACGGGCACAAGCGTCTGGGCGCTCCTCCATGGGAAGTCATTGCCTCCCCATGAGATTCCGATGAGGAAGGTAACCATAGAGCCAATGAAGAGAAAACCACCAAGCCAGTCAACGCGCTTGAGCTTCTCGCCAAAGGTGGCCGTGGGTGGCTTGAGGGTCAAGAGGACGGGGACGGCGAGCAGTGAGTAGCCGCAGATGGGGAAGTTGATGTAGAAGATCCACCTCCAGGTAGTGTGCTCGGCGATGGCACCGCCAAGAATGGGGCCGACGAGAGAGCCAATTGCCCAGGCCATTTGACTGAGAATGTTAGTGAAAATCGACAAAAGACCGAGAATCGCAACTCACATGATACCGTACAGCTTGGGTCGATGGCGCAGAGGCACGATGTCGGTGAAGACGACCAAGCTAAGAACGTACATACCACCAGCACCGATACCCTGGATGACACGTCCAACCAGAAGTAGCGTGATATCGCCCGCGACGCAGCAAAGAATTGTGCCGACGGTGAAAAAAATCAGACTCCCGATGAGGATGATGGGTCGGCCGAAGATATCGCTGAGAGATGCCAGGAATGGCATGGCTACTGCACAGGAAATTAGGTAGGAAGTTCCCACCCAGAAGGCTTGTGTTGATGAGCCTCCGATATCTTGAATGATGGCCTACGATTTTATCAGTACCATGATCAGAGTTACACTCAGTTGGTTTGCCAAACTTACACTCAGAGACGTGACGATAACGTTAGCGTCCAAGGCAATGACAAAGGACATGATAGACAGGGTGACGATGATGATCATCTGGTGCTTCGAGGCCTTCCATGGTTGAATGGTAGCAGACTCGTCGATCAGCATGGGATCCGAGATGCCCCGTTGCTCATGTTCCTTCAATTCTTGATCCTTGATCGCCGTGTATGCCGCCGGATCATACGCCGTGGAGGCGTAGGTCGACGTCGAAACGACGCTGTCGTGATTGTTGCGCTCTCTGTACTCCATCGTGACAGTTGCTGCCCGAGACTGTCCTACTCGAATGGAATAGAAAAGGTTGAATGGTTGACAAACTATGGAACGGACGAAGGGAAACCTGCAGGTACTCGCCCTTCTATAGTATCTTCGCAAGCACACACGCTCAGTCGGTGCTCAACGGGGACTAGACGTGGCAATCACGTCGTCGGACTGTGCTGCCGTGCGCTGGCGTCTGCGACGAGCAGGGGAGCAGACTAGCGCATGGCAGGTAGCTGAGGTACATAATGACATTTGCACGCTTCTTGCAGGTTGCAGGAATCGTGGGCCTCGAGGAGTATCATAGATCGGCCCAAAAGGGAACTGACAGCAGCCAGAATCCGAAAGACGACCAGCGGTGTTCAAAGCGACAGACAGGTTGACGCCCACCACTCCCGTGTCTTGAGGCTCGCTCGACTGCGTGCGGCTCGGCGTTTGCTTCGTTGGCTTCCACACTAGTCCGTTGTTTGTTTCATTGGAGACCGCCGTGTTGATCAGTGCGAGATAGCGTCCACTGACGCCACATGGGTTTAAAGCAGGGCTGAAACTCGTTTGGGGTGTAAGGGCACTGGATGTGCGTGGTCTGGTACCGACTGGTCTGGTTCGCGGGTGCTGACTAGATTGATATCTTGGGAGCAGGGCTCGGGCATAAGCCACTCGTTGATAACGTGGCCGAACTCGAATCGGTTGTTCGTCAGAATCCATCAAGATTAAGCTGATTATGTTGGAAACATCCACCGTTGCGATGTACATCCGCTCCAGTCATGGCGCGCGATAACCTTGTGGCTGGGCCTTTGAGTGCTGACGGTCTGACAGAACCGTGTTGTTGTCATGAGGCTCAATGCTGACTTGTTTGGTGCCCACACAAGCTCATGTCAACCCAGCTCCATGGGTGGCTTGGCCGAAGAAACCCAACGACTGGGTCGTAGCCGCTCGCTTCCGACCACTTTCGACTAAGGTAGTCCGGGTATGTGGTGTTGTACCCGAACCCGACACTCGGACACACCCTGAGTGGCGGCAAACCTCAAAGCTAACTTCCATCTCGCTGGAGCAGCCGGTTGGCTTACTGTTTTGATGTCTCAAGATATCAGACGATCGGACCGGGATCTCGAACAGACAGCCTTGGGACAAACCCAGTGCGAAGCTGCTAGCTGGCCGAAGAGGTCTGATGGCAGCTTCATTCGTTCTCTACCGATGCTTTGGGTCTCGTCCGACTGACACACGCCTGCGCTCAACCGTGGACGAATTCTCGAAAACAGAATGTTGTTGCCTATTGCCTGCTGCCAGCTGCGAATCGTTCGAGGAATTGAATTCCAATCATCAGCTGTCGCCGCGTTTAGCACGCGAACCTGGCCCAAGAAGGAGCGTCAGCATATGCATCTGACATGCTCCCAATTTGTCGCCAATAATCGAGACTTGCTGCTACCCATTCCGGCAGCCCCTACATGTCATTGCTGACAGACAGCGCCCAACCGTGTAGTCTCACCACACGTCATGGTTGATTGGAAACAATACACAGCCACCGACATTGCTCAAGCGGAGAGATCTTGAAGGTCGGTTCCTGTCCCAGGCGGAGAGTCGGCGCGCCCGGTGGCCGGCAGGGGTTTAGACTTTGCGACTCGGCGTACGATGTTGGTCCCATCTTCGGGTGCGCGGACCCTTTTGAAGGTTCGGCGCTGCCAGATGCTATGTTCATGATCCGATGACGCTGCAGGATGCCGAAGTGCCCTATTAGACGAAGGGTTTCCTTGCGAAGGAGCACACTTTCAACGACGATCGCACGTCTAACTTCAATTACTGAGATTGCCGGGCTGCGTTGTTCGACTTGGGTGCTGATGGCAGCGCCAAAAGAAACAAAAGCCGTTGTACGACAGGTAAGGCTCACGGACGAAGATTCGCTCGACGGTCGATGCGTAACGGTTACAGAAGCTTGGCAACTGCATCTTCAGACGAAGACGCTCGCCAGCACGGTGCGTGCAGATGAGTTTCATTGCAAAACAAAACGTCTCAACGAGCGCGCTTGAGGCGCGGCCTGATTCCGATTGTCCGTACAGCAGGAGAATCGCAGGATCATGCAATTCATGCATTCTTGACAGGTAAGAAAACGATCCAACCACTACACACCAGGGCTCTGAGCTCTAGAAGCACCATTCTCTTGCGCGTCTCCCGTTGAATTGGTCCATTGTCGGAACTTCCTTGCCGGTAGCCTCGACTCGAACATGCGATCAATCTCTGCTGGCGTTCGTCCCTTCATCTCGGGAATGCAGAGGAAGGAAACGACGAGCCCGAGAGCACACAGCCCCGCGTACACGAAACCGGTCTTCGCTTTAAGGTTCCCTTTGTCGGGGTTGAAAATGTACGGCAGTACAAATCCGAAGATGGCATTGTTCGCGCCGGCCGTGAACCAGCCGATACCTTGGGCCTTGGATCTCAGATGTAGAGAGGAGGTTTCGGCACCTACGACGTGCGAAGCAGGCCAAACACCCAAGCCGGCCACGATAACAACCACTATCAGCGAGATGGAAGTGTACCTGCAATCTTAGGTCAGTCCATGTATCGGGACCCCCACAGCCTAGAACGACTTACCAAACGGTCACAGGGCCCGACCAGCATCCCGAAATACCCACGGCAGTCCATATGACAGTTAAGAGAGACAACGTGCTCAAGATGAGTTGTCTGCGTCCGACCTTGGAGAGGACCCAGACACTGGCGATGTTGGCAATCAGGCCACAGACGATTCCGAGGATGAGCACGATGATACTCAAATTGGCCTTCATACCGACGACTTGGACGAAGTAGCTTGACTTTGAGAGAATTGTCAAGCCAAAGATGTTGGGCAGCGAATTGGCGAACATGATGATCAACGTCCGTCGCAGATTCGTCCCTCGAAAAGAAGCGAGATATGTTGCGTCTGTCTGCCGGCGTTCATGCTCGATGTTCTGCCGGATGACATCGAGCGTCTTCTCCGGATCCATTCCCGGCGCGTCCAGCCGCCTCTGCGCCTTGGAAGCCCGCTCGTCCTGGTTCCTTCGGATTAGGTATGTTGGACTCTCTGGGATGATGAAGGCCATCAGCAATGGGATAGCCGAGAAGGGCCACTGCGACGCAAAGGCAATGGTGTATCCGTTCGAGAGGTTGAGGCATGCGAAGATGACGGCGGCGCCGATCAGCTGGCCCAGCAGCGTAAAGATGGGGAAGAATGCTAGAAGGGGACCTCGAAGGTTGGGTGGAAGGATCTCGGACATGTACGTTTGGCTAGTTGCCATCACCATGCCGATAGCTCCGCCCTGGAATCCCTTGCCTGCGAGAAAGATGCCCCGTCGCTCGTGGATATCGGAAGAGAGGTTCGAGATGAAACAGATTGCGACTCCCACAGCTGACAGAAAGGAGCCTACGGCGAGAGAGCCGCGACGTCCGTACCGGTCTTGGAACAGACCACCGATGAGTGCGCCGACCATGGAGCATCCAGGACTCACGAAGTTCCAGAGTCCTAGCCAGAGAGACGGCAGGATCCACTTGTCTTCATACTGCTGGCCGAAGTCTCGCCTTGCAAATTTGGGTTAGCCGTTGAGGACAAATCTCTGAGGCAGCGGTCATACTGAAAGCTGGGCATCGCTGAGACGGTACCGACAATGACATAATCGTATCCGTAAAGCAAGATGGCAGATGTCATGCCGATGCAGTAGAAGACGACGCGACGCCATTTCTTGATGGATTGCCACAATGTGAGGTGGCCATACTGGTTAGTCTCCGGCTCCGAGGTGCTGGCTATACTGTGGACGGTGTTGAAGCGGCCCGGGTTCGCCGACTTATCGCTTATGCTGCTTTGGTCCGCCATGGCATCTCTCGTCGGTAGAGCAGAAGCGTCGAGAGAGGTCGGGAGGCTATCGGCTTGTCGTCGAAAACCGGAGATGGCGCTTGTTCGGAATCGGGCTTGAAAACAATGAAGGGGGTGCGTCGAATTGAAGAAGAAGGCGTCTAGAAGAGCGAGAAAGCAGGCGCCTTTTGATGAAGGATATTGGCATGCGATTTGCGCCAACAAATCTAACTTCACATCCCCTGGCTATGCTAGCCCGCTCCCAGAGCTTGGCAAGCCTCTTGGGGGCATTCGCATGCCTCCAAGACAGATTTTGGTCGCACTGCAGCAGCGCCAAGATGGTGTATTAGCCAGGATGAGTTCGTGGCTGCAAATTCCCCTCGAGACCATCCAAAAGCTAGCCAATTACAATAGAGTGACTTGGGCGAGATGCTGCAAGTCATTGTCGGCCGAGAGAAAGACTACTGAGCAACTGCGACATGCAGAGGCGGCCGTTTGAAAATAGAACGACCTGCATCAGCCTGGCAAAGTTGCTGTGGAAGATGGAAGCACGAAGCCGAATTGTCTGAGGCAAGACACTTGCATGCGGTCGTATTTCCACGTTGTATTCTGGAGAGACATACTGGGATGGTTGATGTGTCCCCTAGGAGTCCTCATTCCAGCCGTGGAGAAGAAACTTTGCGCCAGGGAGACAGACTCGCACCGAGTCGCCTCGTGGCTTGTGGACTTTTGTCTCGCCTCGACATGTCCAGGACTCGCACCGAGTCGCCTCGTGGCTTGTGGACTTTTGTCTCGCCTCGACATGTCCAGGCCAGAGCAGTGAACGGCATCCAGGCATTCAGGGTCGTGGATTTGACTGCCGGGCGATTATCCAACGCGTTCACATTGGAGAGGGCGGACAAATGGGAAATGTGTCACGGCTTCGGTCGCCATGCTCGGTCTTTGACGCATCAAATGGCAGCATGTCGGCGCCGTACGACGAGTGCTCCCTTCCGTGTTGCAGTAGGTCGCCGGTCTGAGTCCTGGAGTTCCACCGAGTGATACGTGATACCGGCTTCTCTGGGCAAGACTGTCTCTTGACATCCGATGCCCATCCCGTCTAAAGTGTCGTCGTAAAGTTGCCATTTTCAGAGCAGGTGACGGCAGAGGCCCGCCAGTGTATCGAGTCGCATAGTAGTAGAGGTAAAGTGAGCTGTGAGCATCATGGCCTGTTCAGGAACTGGTCGAGAGGTTTCCGTGACCCCTGTAGCACGCCCTCTCGTACCTTACGGCCGCGACAGTGGATCGACAGGCATTTCAACGGGCGAATATGCACGTGGCCGCGGTGCCGTATGCAGAGATGCGGAGAAGGATTGACAGCGAGTGCGAGATGCGGCGGTCAAAGGATTGGCGCGAGAGATGGGTTGGCGGGGAAGATTCCGAGGCCTGTCCATCGACGGCGATGGTGGCTTGCTGACGGAGGCATTCACACCTCGAATCCCGGCTCGGAATGCGTCGTTGAGGAGGAGCGGAGACTGTCTGTTGACATGCGAGTGGCCAGCAGACAGATGAGATGCATATTTGTGATGATTTGGATAGAATTGCAGGAGGGGAATGATGCGCCAAGATCGACCACGCTGCGGGTGAAGAGCAGAAGGAAAAAGCAAAACTCGAGTTGGTGACAAATTACTGGGGGAGAAGTTTTTTCGGCGCAGAAGACCGGGAGTCTGCGTTGATGTTCACCAGGAGGCGGTCACGCTTTCTTTCCTCTTATCGAGCGGAATTACAGGAGCAGGAAGGTGCAGCAACCGGACCGATCGTGCCTGCCTTGAATTCGATTATTCCAATTCAACAGAGAAGAAGGAAGTCGCGATGAAGCAATCGCAAGTCGCGCCTTCCTCGGATTCTTACTACCGGTACGTACAGTTGCTCGGTGGAGCTGATTCCACTTTCTGGACCGTCCTTCTCTCTGAATGGTCAGAAAGGCGCGCTAAGTGCACGTACCACTGGATCTCGCTTAGGATAGCGCTAGTCTGTAAACGGGTCTGGTGGATCCAACTCATTGACATCACCACTCACAATGTAGCTGCGACTGAGGCTGATGATGCTCCTTTTTGATCTTCAGGTTTGCCCCTGGATTTCCATGCAACTTCGAATTCAACTGCGACACGCTTTCGTAACATCCAACTCCTTCACTCAAAGTATCGAATGATCAATACATGCGCTCCAGCATAATCAGCATGGCGAGAGCGACACGGTCCAGTGCCCGTTTGGCCGCCAGTGCATCGTTGGCCGACAGCTCCGAGGCCAACTCCAAGGCAACTACCAAAGCCACCACACAAGATTCAGCCAAGAAATCAAGGTCCTCACCACTACAATCAGACAAGAGGAAACGTGCTTCTTCCAAGGCGGCCAATGGAACACCAGCGAAGAAGGTGAAGACGGAAGACGAGGCCCACACGTCGTTCCTCTCCGATGTTCCTCCTTCAACGCCTATCAAGAAGGAAGACATCAAGTCTGAAAGCCCTGAGAAAAAGCCAAAAGTACCCAAGTCACCTCACGACTTGCAATCGAAGAAGCTCAAGGCCTACTCCCAGTATTCTGACAAGTCTCCCTTCCCGGACTTCCTACACCCGACACCGGAAGAGTGCAAACTGGCCCATCGTATCCTCGCCAAGTTGCACGGCAAAAGAGAACGTCCCGCGGAGGTCAAGGCCTCGGCGGACCGAGCCGGATGTGGAGACTCACCCAGTGTTCTCGACGCCCTCGTCCGGACTATCCTCAGTCAGAATACGAGTGACACTAATTCCACCCGCGCCAAAAGGAGCATGGACTCCGTCTACGGCGGCAGTGATGAGTGGGACAAGATCGTTGAAGGAGGCATACCGAAGCTCCAAGAAGCCATTAAGTGTGGCGGCTTGAGTGCGGTGAAGAGCAAGGTCATCATCAGCATCCTCACTCAGGTCAAGGAGAAGTACGGGTCGTACTCCTTGGATCATCTCTTCAACGCCAGCAACGAGGACGCCATGCAGGAACTCATCAGCTTTCAAGGAGTTGGGCCAAAGACAGCAAGCTGCGTGTTGCTTTTCTGTTTACAACGAGAGTCTTTTGCTGTTGACACCCACGTGTGGAGAATCACAGGCTTGTTAGGGTGGCGTCCCAAGAGTGCCTCTCGAGACGAGACACATGCGCACCTGGATGTGAGAATACCGGACGAGGACAAATATGGGTTGCACATTCTTCTCGTTAAGCATGGCAAGGTATGCAGCGAATGTAAAGCCGGTGGCAAGAGTATTGGGAAGTGCGAACTGAGGAAGGCCTTCCGAGAAGAGAAGGTCAAGAAAGAGGAGGGAAAGCCATCTGAGCTCGATGAATAGTATCGAGACCTTAATATCAACAACATTCAAGTCTAGGCCTGTTTTCTATTGACTTCTCGGAGTCGTCGCTTATCCATCTCGTGCTCCGTAGACTTCGGAGTTCACTAGAACCAGGGTGCACTACGTCGAGGTCGGCCTGGGAAACGTTCAGGTCTTACATACTTCTCTTGACTATCAGGTGAGTTCTGTTGATGTGTCTAAGGCAAACGGCGTCTATCGGACTACGTAGTGCGATCACCAACGCACTTGACTACATGTACTGAGAAGGAGAACATGGCTCTCTTCACTGCGAGGCCTCAAAAGTAGCCAGAATCCTGCTGAAGAACAAGTTTATCACATGCGCTGAATCGCTCAACATCATGCGTATTCAGTTTCGGGGACTTGACGATCTGTTGTCACAGCCAATATCAAGACATGACGGCTCAAGACAACCTCTCATAGATCTGGGCTCACAACACCACATGGCAGTGCACATACTGCTCATTGCCGACACCGTTTATTGCCAACAATTGCATCTATTTCAATTCCAGACGTCATTTCCAACTACACAGGTTACTCAACGAGAAGACATTAGATGCCAAGACGAAGGCAGAAATCACCGAGTGCGCCCTCCAAGCCTCCCGCTCTCAGCGGTCACGCCCGATGAACAACAATTCACTCGATCGTGAACACTGAAATGGCTATTTATGGTCTATGACCTCAGCGCCAAGTAATCTTCTCGTGATTGAAGCTTTTCAAAGCGCTAACTGGTGAGGCTACATCAAGCCACAACGGCCTCGGTGCCACCGTGCCTTGGAGACTAAGCGCGTCGTCAGAACTGTACAGACTAGTTCGTTCTGGTCGATCTTTCTAGTCAGGTGTCTAAGCGGCCGAGCTATCGCGTTCTTGGAAGTGTGCTCGAAGCTTTTGGTTTGTTCACGTCTCATGAGCTCTGTGTCTCGACCAACTCAAACCATCTGGCCGGTCTTGATTGACCAAGTCATCACGGTGACTGACAATGACACTGGAAGATCGACAGGCAGGCTACCTAGTCTCTCACCTGAATAGCTCACGTGTCGTTTGACAAGGTAAATGTGGTTGGAATGTGGTTTCCTACATCGTCCTGCTGCCATCTGAAGAGCTCTGATTGCTTGAGTGTATGATTGAAGGAAGCCCTTGCTGTGTGAGCAGGTTAGTCCAAGAATATGACACCGAGCAGCGTAGCGATGCAGTCAACTTAATCACTCTTTTCAGCTCAGCTGATTTCCGTTATCCCTGTGTCATCCCGTCGTTCTCGGCAGAAGCATGTTTGACTTTGGTTTCCGCAAGCTTGTTCACGATTCATCGCAGGGTCTGCCTTGACTCGACAGCCGCCTTGGGTCGCAACAAGCAACGGCACCCTACCCGACGTCGTTCCAGTTCTGAAACTTGACCTTCCGGCTATACCGACAATGCCTATAATGACTGCTTGCACGGCGGCTGTTCCGCCAATTGGCCGCTGTCATCTCAACTCTTCAATGTTGACATTTTGACACTCAAGCAAGCTGAGGCTTTGGGTGCCGCGTGATTCGCGTTCTCTTAAATAGCAGTCAAATAGCACAAATTCGAGAGCTATCTGGGTCTAATGATGTTCCTTGAACAGCAGCGACAGTAATGATGTTCTTATAAGAGCTGCAAAGGACGTTTGGTGGCATTTCTTTGAGTCCGATAACATCCAGTATGATGAATGGAGAGGCATGCTCAGCCGAGAGATTTGCGTCGTAATCGGCAGCGAGTATGGAAACGGATCACCGTGGTATTGCTCCATTAAAACGATTAAGCATAGTGTTAACCGTTTGACACCTGCGAAGCCCACCAGCGTCGATCATACCCCTCAAAGCTGGAGATAGCTGAGACGTTTCACTGCTCCCGACGGACTGGAACTCCAGCCAACCAATGGTGTTCCAGACATGTCTAGGTCATGGAGGAGCCCTTTTTTCCATACGCGTGATAAGTTGTATAAATGTTGTCATTCCGCTACTCTATCACGACGTCTACCAACATCGACATCTCAACTTCTAATCAAGCCTCATATTCAGTCTTCTTCTACGGTTGCCGGTCAACCCTACTTTTCTCGCTCTACTTTAGTCTCTTACATTCACCAAAATGCAGCTTTCCATCGCTTCTTTCTTTGTCGCTCTTTTCGCCATGAGCCAGCTTGTTGCTGCCGCTCCTGTGAGTTCCTCTCATCTACGCTCAAGACATTATAAACACAACATGCTGATGATTTCATGCAGCAGCAAAACAACGCCCGGCAGAAGTTCAAGAACGAGAAGTGTCAGAGCCAACCTTGCAGGGATTCAGTCGACTCGGGATGCCCTCTCAGCAACATCAACTTCGTCCTCGGTGGCTGCGATGATCCTAGCCAGTAAAGAGGCCAATCTTTGAGAGGGGGCTGCGGGACATCTGAAACTTAGCCGGAGAGCCCAGTCTCTAGCTTGAATACAAGATTTTCCAAAGCCAATTCTCGCAGCTGTAATGCTTGGGACTGTACTCGTTCTAGCTTCGCCCAATCATTGACATTCAGGCTTTCTGACACGAACGGATATCTTGTGCGGGATATGCAACTCCACAAGTCAGGGACTGTGTAGTGCTCGAGCCGGACAATTTGTTCACGGGAGTTTATCTACCAAAATAGGCATTAAATCAAAGGGTCCGAGATTTGCCTCGGGCGGGTATCATTAGTCCAGCAATCAGGTGATAAACTGGGTGCAGCGACCCGGCCCGATACGAGTTGGACTCAACGCGAAACCGCCGCCAACAGTGACCCTTTCAGGGACGGCGCGGGTCTCAACGTTCGATTTCTTCTTCTACGGCGATCACGATTTCTTGACGGGAAGTAGTCACATCGCTCAAACAGACGACTCGCGCCACCTACGACAAATTGACACAGTCACCGGCCTATCGCCAGAACTTCACCAAGCGGCACAAGCCAGTGACGTTGTTGAGCAAACTCTCAACAACCCACTTCATTTAGCTGCGACCCGCGCCCAGCCGGATGGGCTCCGGTCAGGTATGGCCCACGGTGGATGAACATTCGGTTGCGCGGGAACGCAGGGGAAACTAAGCTTATCGCTCCCGGCCTCTCTCCCCATGGCCTGGGCCGCACGATCATGGAACCTTCCGATGACTATCCAAATCAGCCAAGCCGCTCGTTAGCGGGGAGGCTTCAACCGGCGCCGTGCCATCGGTGCACCGCGCTACTGCCAGGAGAAACGTCCAGGATTTGACGGGCCACGTGTTTTCTGTTTCGTTTTCGTGTAATTCCAGATTGCCAGTCCTCCGTTTGCCGTATTGGTGCCAAGAAACCCGTCTAGTCTAAACCTCCTCGGGTGCAGTCCGCCATGATTTCCACATCAGCTGTCGATGCAGGGGAGCACAGATGCTTCTTTTTCCCTCCCACGGGATTTGTTTGCCTTCACCCATGTTCACGATGCAAGGTTCCATGACGATGGTGTGGATGCGCTCTAGCTAAGACGGCGGGGGCGTAAGCCGTTTGCTTTTCTCGTCGTTGCCGAGACGCTACTCGGTCCCTTGCATGACACTTTGTTTTCTGGGAGAGAGTGAGGCGATAAGCTCGAAATAATTTTCAGATATATAACAAGAACTTCTTGCGATGCCCACTAATGATGAAAGTCTCATCAAGCAGAACAGCATCTTCATCTTCACTCTCACTCTCTACCCAACAAGAGGATTTCCTCTGTGTCTTTCATTTTTCACATATCCCACAATCGTTTAAGATCTCACCATCGTTTTCAACACGATGAAGTTCCTGGCCCTCTCTTCACTCGTCGTTGCGGCATCCGCTGCGGTTGTTGACAAGCTGGAGGCCCGCGGCGACGGCTGCAATGCCGACAACTGCCTCCGCGCAGTGAGGGCAACCCGCTTCGGAACTGCCACCATGGTCCTCCGCATGGCCGAATGCAGCTCTTACCTTGCCGTCACTGAGACTGCGAGTGCCTCGTAGGTCCATCCTCTGCCTGACAGGAGTTGCCACCAGACTAACCCCATCCACAGAACCATCTTCGTCACCGAGACCAGCATCGCGACAGTCACAGCAAACACCACCCAAACCATCTACCAACGCGCCGTCGAGACTCCTCTCCCGACCAAGGAAATCCCGGCCTATGCCACCGCGTGCCCGGACGACGCCGCCTACCGCAGCGCCTGCTCCTGCTTCGGCGCCACCGCGGTGACGACCACGGCCCCGGCCCCCATCGTCACCTCCACCGTGTCCTTTGTCGCGACCACCACCGTCGCCCCCTTCGTCAACGTCACCCGTCCCGCCGTCTCGTGCGACAAGCCCTGGACTTGCGGTGACAACGTCATCCCCACCTGCTCTCTCGACTTGACGGCTGGCGAGAAGGGCTGCGTTTGCTTCCGTACCGTGGAGGGCCGCGATGTCTGCGCCGTGCCCAACGACTGCAAGCCCTCTTGCGACACTACCAACGACTGTGGCAATGGCGAGGTCTGCATCAAGCAGAGCTGCTGCTTGGGCGGAACTTGCATGAAGGTTGATGTCTGCCTGAACCAGGTCCTTCCTAAGATGCTGTTCAAGAAGCGTGCCGGCAACCGCGCTTGGGTCAAGAGGCAGGCCAACGCTGACTTCTCGAAGCTCAGCTTGATGCCTCACGATGCCAGCTCGGAGGAGGAATGAGGTGCTCACCTGAATGGAAGAGATGGATGATGATGTAGTTGTTGGTTTGGAAAAGTTGTGTACACACTGGATACCCTTCACACTTGCATATTTTTACGATGGATTTGCAGATATGCTGAGTAAATATCTGCCAATAAACATGAGAATTACTTCTACCACATGCGCATACCTACTTGTATGATCCTGCAACTTCATGCAGGGAACTGGAGACCCAGCATGATTGACCACGCCTTGATCGCTTGGTGTGGCGGTGTCCGGGGTACAACATGCGCAACATGCAAGCCGGGATAGGTGTTCCACCTTATTGACATCTTCTGTCAGACGTGAGTCACCTGAACAGTGGCTTCTTCTCTTTGCGTTGTCATCCCAGTGATGAAGGTCTTGAGGCGTTGAAGTTGCCGGCCACGGCCTGCATTGAAACTCTCACTTCTGGATTCATAGAAGATATGGACACCGAAATACGAACATTTCGATTGGACGCGGTTTGGGGACCGCGACCCTGGGCTGTCAGCAAAGTCGACGAGCTGCGATCATTTGGCAGAGCATTCACCCAGGACCCAAAACCGGTCCAATTCCAAGATGGAAGCGAAGACATCGTCAAGAGCATCGAGGCGTTGGAGGAGCTGACTTGGATACTTGCGACTGCCGCGGCACGATTGATCGAATTCTTCGAAGCTCCAGAGGGAGACAACGCAGTATTAGAACTTTGCAAAGATGCTGGAAAGATCTGCGAAGAGGTGCAAGCGCTTAAGGCGAAGCTCTTTTCATTACAGAATCTTCCACGCATCCGGGCTTCTGCAACTGGCGCCCATGACATTTGTCAGTTCTGTTGGTGGGCATTTCAACGGATATTGAGAGGGCGGGAAGCCTTGAAAGAGGAGCGACGTGAGTGGAATTTTTCGCAGATAGAGAGAAATGCCTAACTTCATCTTTTTAAGCGGAATATGTGTATTCATACTTCAGCGTTGCCCATCTCTGGCAAGCAGCCTCTGAGGCCTCTCTCCATTATCACGAAGAATCAACGAGAGATGCTTGCCAGTCTTGCTCGTGTGTACGAAATACCTTAACGCCTCATGTCGACGAGCTTGGCCAAATCCAACCCGTGACTACTTGGATTAAATTCTGTTGGCGGGTTGTGTGGCTTAAGAGTCCCCAACCGGAGGTTCACCTCTGGTATGTCAGCTTTGAGAGTCTCTCGTTGCGCACGGGAGATTGCAAACAGTCATACTTCCATGTCGAAACGACCGGTGGTAAGCTTGAAAACCGCAACTATGTTCATATGATCCCTTCTAACCAGAGAGGAGCTACAGAGCCAATGCAATACATCGATAGACTCTTTGACAGAGTGCCTGAGCCTGAGCCTCTCTCCGAAAGAAACATTGAGTTCATTCGCAGTAAAGTCGATAAAGATCTGGCTGCTCACGTTCCCGGATTTCAGCCTTCCCGCGTTATTGACTTGGGAACGAGTAATGATGCGTGCCCGAGACTCAGAACCACAGCAGCCGAAAAGGATGCCACGAGTCCACATCTGTCGGGGGCATACGCCGCCCTCAGCTACTGTTGGGGACCTCCCGAGCATGCTGCGAAGCAGTTGAAATTGACTAGAGACAGTCTGTATCGGTACCGCGAAGGCATATCGCTTGACATAATGTCGCCAGTTATGCAAGATGCGGTCAGAGTTTGCCGGGTGTTTGGTATCCGATACTTATGGATCGACTCCGTCTGTATCGTCCAGGACAGCAAGGCCGATTGGGAAGTACAGAGCTCCCAGATGAATGAGATATACGCAAATGCATTCATTACGATTTGTTCGGCTTCTTCTTCATCCTGTCTTGAAGGATTTCTCCAGCCGACCCCAAGCCGTATCAGTCATGGTCTCCAAATCGACCTGGAGCCCATAAACACGAAGGATGCATCGCCCTTAAACTTAACGCTGAGATTCGAGCCGAGAGAAAGGGAGATCATACAGCTAAATGAGCCGCTTGCTCTAGATCTGTCCACGACTTTGTGCTCTTGGAACCAACGTGGATGGACTTATCAGGAGAAGGCCCTCTCTCCGCGAAAGCTGGTCTTTGGAAGCGCTAGACTGCACTTTATTGGGTTCAGGCAGCTCTGCTATACGGAAGGGCACCGCAACTACCTCAAGATCAACGCTACCGGAGACTACATAAAAACCGTTGATCCAATGGCTGTCATCTATCCATGGTCACTGGAGAAACAAGAGAACCTCGGCCATTTCCGTCCGTTGATGTGGATACACCTTGTGGAACAATACACCACGATGCAGTGGTCATTTCGAAGAGACGCACTACCAGCTCTGTCTGGCGTCGTCAATTGTTTCGTGCAACATATCCCCGACAGGTGGGGATGGGAGAAGGACGAGTATCTGGCCGGCTTGTGGAAAATGGACCTTCATTGCACGCTAACATGGTACGGCTCCGACTTACACGAATTACCAAGCAAAAGTCTTCACGAGCTTCTGGGCAAGACACGCAATCAGTTTCGACAAGAAGCTCCAATGTCGAGTTCACCAACCTGGAGCTGGGCCAGCCGAGAACATCCCGTCAAATTCGCCATCGCCAAGGGAGACGGAAGACCCGTCTGCAGTAACAGATACCACATGCGGCCTGAGTTCGAAATCATCAGATCTAACGAGCAGGCTGAGGGCTTGAACCCCTTTGGAAGGCTGAAATCTTCTTCCCTGCAGCTTTCGGCGAAGTTGCTTCCAATGAAGCCTGGGCATATGACCACGACATGCTACAACGTCAATCGGCAGCATTTACCAGTATGGAAGTACCAACTCAGTCCCGAACAAGTCGTGCACAATGTGACAGACTGGACGTGGTCTTCCTGTGAGGGAGCAGATCGGTTTGCTATCAACGAATCTCTGGATGGACTGCAGCTTCTGCTGATATCAAGCTGCTGCACCTACACAGCGAACCAAAAGCCGAAAGCAGGATCTTTGCCCGATGAAGAGGTTACGCCGGGGAACTTTATGCACCCTTTCATCAGCGAAAGGGGGATATACCCTCATTATCTTCAGACCATATATACATGCCCCTGGCCGCAGCCGCTGATTTGCATGGCTTGTAACTACGACCCCGCGTGGAAGAAGGATATTTGGGGCTTGCTGGTCTATCCGGTTGACACCGAGCCTGGATCCTTCTATAGAGTGGGTATGTGGTTTTCGTACGCAGATATGGGCGGTTCACCAGTCTTTGAGGGCGCAGAGAAACAGGTCGTTACATTGGTTTAGAGGACACAAGGTCATAAAAGACTGGTGCTCACGTGTTGTTTCAGATAGTTGGAAACGAACGGGCTTATCATGTAAGCATATAAAACTATTGAGAGAGGTTGATGTAGTGAACCCAACAAGTCCACAGCGTTAAAGGGCATGGCAGGCATATGCGTGTTATGGTTGCAACAACATGAAGCTAATTCAAAGCCCATTTCTTTTTGAGCAGGGCTCGTTTCTTCGTTACAACCCTCCGCTGCCGGATAGTACAATGTACAAAACATGTTATTACATACAGGTAGATTATCCTTCATTCAGCTACGAAAAGTCTAGCTGCGCCCTGTTTCTTTTCATCAGGTTTAATCATGCAAATGCCGAAGCATGTATGCACTTTGACTGCAAATATGAGCTTCCCGAGCCCAACCACACTTTCACACTTTCGAAATCACAACATCTCTTCTGTCGAACCAGATTAGGCCGGAGGCGCTGCTGCGGGAGCTTCCGCAGGGGGCGCGGCCGGAGCAGCGGCGGGGGCTTCGGCGGGAGGCGCAGCAGGGGTGGCCGGAGCGGCCGGGGCGGCAGGAGCAGCTGCGGGAGGGGCCCCTCCAGCTCCACCGCCGCCGCCGCCGCCACCACCTCCGGCACCCTGGGCCGGCGCCGGAACGAACGCTGCGTTTGCCAAGGGGATCTGTCCAACCGCTCCACCAACCACCGTCTTGCCGTCGACGTTTGCCTTGGCAGCTGCTGCGAGTTTCGAGTACTGAACGACTTGTTGGGCGTTTGTACTAGTCAATTGTTAGTTATGAACCCCGAATAACTGGTGAGAAGGCACTCACGGGTTGATGACCAGCACCTGGCCCTCCTGACAATGAGGTCCCGTGGCACAGTACATGAACATCGTTTCGGTACTCGTAATCGGCATGTTGAAAGTTCCGACCATCGCTTGACCGTCCTTGAAGGGAATGTGTCCGCTGTGAATGGCGGTGGGTACGGTGTCCTGAAGCGGTTGGCACGCAGCGCCCTCGGCGCTCTGGGTCACGGTGTGGTTGCCGTTGCTGAACTGGAATTGTACGACATCGCCGACCTGGGCCGTGATCAAGTTCGGTACGAAGGTGTCTTGCGGTCCGCCGACAATCACCGGGATGAGTTGGTTTCCTTGAGGAGTGGCCGGTGGTGCGGCTGCCTGTCGTCTGACTGATGAGATTGTTAGCTGTTTGTAGCGAACGTCTATAAGCCCGTGTTACTTACTTCTGAAAGGACGATGAGGAACGCCGCCGACGACGGTTCCATCAGGCGGGAAAGGGTCTCTCTTGTGAAGCGGTTGAGGGATCGCGGTGACGGTCGCGGCTGCCATCAAGGCCCAGGCTGAGAGAACTCTCATGTTGAAGATGATCGATCGCTGATCGAGAAGAATCGAAGGGAAATCCGAAGGAGTGACTGAAGTTAACACTGCGCAGCAGCGACCTGTGTCCGAAAGATTAAAAAGGTAAATGACAGTCAATGCCGATCAGGAAGATATCACGGCTTGTCCTCACTAGGAGGTAGGAGAAGAAGAGAAATGAGAGTGAAGATGGAGACAAAGATCTGAGACCCAACTTCAAGTAACTCTAAATTTTGAATTATATTAGCTGCGGCGGAGGGTACATATTTGCATCCGAAAAGAAGCGAAGCCAAGACCCGAGAAGCCTTTTCTCGGGTTTACTAATGAATGATGAATTGCCGGCGCCAGGGGAGCGGAGATGGGGCCCGGTGGCTCTTCACTGCAAAGTCAAGACAATCCAGGATGAACTACTCGAAGGTTCGGGCTCGGCGTCATTGAGGCTCGTGCTGCCAAGATGTCTGATGGTGTTCCGTGACGGTTTGAGGCTCTACACGACGATTCCTCTTCTGGCAGTCGGAGGCTTGCAGGGTGGGTGGCGATCTGGCGGGAGATCATGTCGATTGGATCGTCGCCGTCTTGTCTCTCCACCGAGGATCATGGGATGGCGTAAGTCTGCGTTTCCGAGTTGAGATGTCAGTGGGGCCGAGGTGGGCGGACGGATCCCGACGAGGAGGATTGTCGCGCGCTTCTGGCGTTTCAAGACGACTTCAGGTTGTCCTTTTCGGCTTATGTGACAGCCCCTTCTCCCTCCAAGAGACACCAAGAAGTTCATCCATGGCGGTTTGGTGGTCTGGGAGGGTATCCACCCCCGAGACTGCGACGGCTTGTCAGTGATGGCATGACAGGCCTTGACAGCTTTTCTTCAGACTGAAGTTGTCGGCATCAGAGTTCGGCACTGCTCAAGGAGGGCGCCAAGATGCTTGCTTTGACCGCTTAGTCAGTTCGGTTGACGGGTGAAACGATGCCAGGATGAGACGAAGAACTGATCAATCCATGCTTCGGTAACATTCCGGGGCGCGCGGACTGCTCGGTCGCAATAAATGCTCCGCGGCCCTCGTCAAAAGTTGGGGGAACTCGCCAAAAGTTGAAAAACATCGACGGGTCCCCAGGAACATCTTGCTGAAAGATCGACGGCCGGCGCGTATCAACCAACTCGTCTTCGGCCTTGGTCCTTGAGGAGCCACGACGGCCATTACGTCCACCTCTTTGCTTTTGCGACAGAGGCTATGCTCTTGTCGGCTCAGAACGAGCTGCCTCCTCACTCCTTGACGGTTTCTGGATGTCGCTTCTGCCCCACTGCTTCACTCGCCAAGCTACCCATCGCTCTTGGTAAAATCTCGGAAATCCCGCTCGGCCTTCGTTTCTTCAATGCTTGTGTCGCTCTTTGGGCGAGACGAGGAGCACCCTGCCTCATCCAGCGCCCGGAGCAGCCCGTCAAGGGGAGTCTCGACGCATGACTTCATTTTTCGAAGAGAGAAAATCTGCAACGACGAACGCGTTGAATGTGAGGGTTTGTAAGCCATGCCCGCGGGCTGCGTCATCCAGCATCAATGATTGACTTTGCCTGCCGGTAATCAACTCTTCGAGTTTGCTGCGTGCAAAACTTCCCATAACCCACAGTCGCAAACTGCCATTCCTCTTACGCTGCAACGAGGAGGAACACGTTCGCGTCAGGCTTACCCCTTGTAACGCTGCCAAGGGACATATCGACGCTTCCCCGGCGGCCGAAAAAACCGGCGCCGATTCCGATCCACCTCTGCCCTGTTGATATTACTTCCGTTATCGATTTCCGGCCGATTCCGACTGGACCCTGGGGCACTATGATTTCACTCACCGAGACGAGATAGAAAACCACCACGCGAACTACGAATGGGCCGCAATACTGAGCACTGACATTTCAGCTTTCAGGGACTGGCTCTGCGGATGCTTTGAGATCCTCATTGTCCGCTCGCAAAATGAGTGCAATGAGTCTTCAAATGACCCCCGTCTCGACATCTCTCAAGACCATATCCAACTAAATGACGAGAAACTCATGGAGTTCTAAGTGTTGTCTCCCAGAAACATCTCACACATAAGCTTCACATTTCGATCTATGCATTTCATCCTTCTTCAAAGGGCTTGATTAAGTTGATCACTCGAGGCGTAGTACGTCACATAAGCCCATAAGTGTGGTGGGGACTCCATGTCGTCCAGGCTCATTCCGAAGGTCCATTCCGAGCCTGTCGCCGATGCCACATCTTATCCCATCTCAAGTCTTTCACACCTGCGATGAACGTCTCCTGATTTCGCCATCAGGATAAAACAATTCGGACGGGTACTAAACCATCCGCTGTTAGTTGCCGCAGACATGCGATGAGCTCTCGTCAGTTAGATGGACCACGAATCCACATGCATGTGTTTGTACATGTTGGTTTCATGCGTACATGTCGTCCTGTCAACGCCGGCTTACAAACTCAGTCTGAGCTTGCGCGATATGTGGGTTTATGCGACCAGAGCCTGATCGATGACTACCCACATTGCCCCGTTTCTCCTCTGCTCATCGAACACATTACTTCTCGCCAATTAGCAGTCCCAGTCTCTATTTCATCACCTTTTACTCTACTGGTCGACGAGCTATCGAAGTCCAGGAAGGCTTACCGAAGAGCTTCAGTCAAGAGGATGGGTACCTCATGGATCGTTGTTGCTGTCGATCGCGTAAGTGGTTACTGAGCAGAAGTTTCTGCATGTTTTGTCATTCCAGTCTATGTTGCAAATCTAATGCACACCATTTACCCCGTTTGCTTTCTTCGCCTGAAACTCCTTCTTGAAGATGCCCTCCATTTCTTTCCGGAAAGCCACCGCCTGGGCCTTCTCGCTGTACTCAACATCCTGCCAGCTGAGTCCTTGGTCTTTCTTAACATCGCGCTTCAGAACGAAGCCGTGAGCCAACCCGATTGGCAATCCTTCAATTGCCATTGAGTCCTCGGCGGTCATCAGTTTGCCATAAACTGTAAATCCGCCTTCACCATCGAGCTTTTCTCCTGCTTTCAGATCACGCTTCGCCGTGGCAACGACGTCACCAGCCCAGGTCTTCGTCTGGCCAGTCGGCTCACCGCGAACCATGATCGTGGCAACAGAGATGCCCAGCTCCAATCCAATGAGATGGTAGGGCTTGTACTGCGCAGCATACCAGCCTGAAGGGTCTGTCTTGAGGCCATACTGCTTGAAGCATTCTCTCTGGTACTCTCCGGGTGCTATGTAGAGGCGCCATGTTAGCGAACTGGAGTTGACAGCATTCGGTAGGACTTCTCACCTTTGATGATCACATACACTCCCCAACGCAAATCGTTGAACACCCATCGTCCGTCCTTCTCCATACAAGAAACAACCTCGACAGTTCCGTTCTTCTCCAGCTGGCCTCCCTCGCTGGAAGGTTTCAACACAGTTGGAAGGTCCCAGACACCACAAGGAGGGAACCTCAGACCGTTTGTTGGAGGACTCAAGTCACAACCATTGGCAACAGCCGCCATCTCCAAGGCGCTCTTAGTGCCGTCGAGGAAACTGTTGAACATCTGGGGGTTGAAATCTCCGCCGGCCAGTTGCTCTTTGGTGAATCCGTAGTGGTTCCATACCGTATCCGGGGTCGAGTAGTGGTACTCAGGCAGATGCTTTGTGCCCTTACCCGCGCAGACGACCTCAAAGCCAGCTGTCCTCGCCCAGTCAACCATCTCAGCAATCAACGCTGGCTGGTCTCCGTAGGCCATGGAGTAGATGATGCCGGCCTCCCGGGCCCTCCGAGCCAAGAGCGGTCCTGCCAGAACATCGGCCTCGACATTGATCATGACGATATGCTTCTTATGCTCGCAGCAGAGGAGGGCGTGACGGATACCCGCCGCCGGGTTTCCAGTGACTTCGAGGATCACGTCAATCTCGGGCGTGGCGATCAGGGCTGCGGAGTCTGTCGTGATACCGGTCTTGCCGGCGGCGATGGCTTCAGAGATGCTCAAAGATGCAGTGGCGTCGAACTGGCCTTCGGGATAGCCAGTGCGCTTGAGAGAAGCAAGAGCCCGCTCGGGCGATAGATCGGCGATACCGGCAAGGTGGACACCGGGGGTGCGGTGGGATTGAGAAATGTACATGGATCCAAACTTGCCAGCACCGATAATGCCAACTTGAACCGGCTTTCCAGCCTTTTCAAGATCGGCGAGTTTGGTTGAAAGACTCGTCATGTTGATAGATGTGCGTATAAGCTTTTGTTTTAAAAAAAATTGAAAGATGAGCTTCCAACGAGTATGCGAAACCAGTGATTTACCGAGAGCTTCTCATGAGTGTGTACTCAGCTACTCATTCAGTCATAAGCCTTCCTGCGCACTCGACACTTTTATCTTATTTCCTCGGCATGAGCTCTCCATCCGAACTTCGTGAGGCTCTCGATGATGTGCAGCTTCTCCACCACGGCCTCCAATAATGCTCGGTCTTCCCCATCGGCGTTTCCCCGATTTCCCGTGCCCCCCTGCGCCAGATGGGAAATGGACTTAAGACTTCATGTTCTGCAATGCCGATGACACATCCTGGCTGGAATGATAGTATTTCTTTTTCCGGCTAAAGGAATCAACTCATGAATGCTAGCCTATGCCGGCCGTGGCACTTTTCCACGAAGCCGTCTGAGGTCATTCCCTTCCGTCTGGCCGACGGTGAATCGGTCTTTGAAATCATTCGGCAAAGCTTTCCCCGGATTCTCTTACCCCAGTGGTTCATAGGTGTTCATGGAAGCTTGGGAACAACTGCCTTACAGTGCACACGTAGCCGGGAGTGTTGGTAATTGAGTTTGAAGGCCGAGCCTGATTACCGGGTATAAGATGGATGGCCATCTCATTTAGATACTGCCTTACTTTAGACAACCTTGTGTTTCTATCGTTACCTGAGCGAATGTGTGTCAATTTCTACGTCTCGCGGAACCCTACGATTCTTTCCGGAGACCCTATTCCAGGCGCGCCTTTCGTGACAAATTTGGCGTAGAGAAGAAACTGCTACCAACATGTCGAAACCTCAGAATGAGGCCGTCATTGCCGCATCTCCCGTGGACTTCGCATCAATTGTCGCGTCTTGGTCTCCGGAGGAGCGCGCCGATCGAGAAAAGAAGCTTGTTCGAAAGATGGATTGGAGACTCCTCCCAATATTGGTAGGTTTCCTTCGCCTCCCAGAGGACGTTTTCTATCACACTTGTTGGGTTATAAACTTGCTGCAGAAGTCCTAACCGATTGAATAGATCATTGTCTACATCATGAACTACATCGACAGAAACGCTGTCCGTAGGTTGTCATGATCTTTCGTGTGTTAGAAGCATAATCGCTAATAAGAAGTAACACCTAGCGCATGCAAGAGTCCAAGGGCTTGAAAAGGATTTGAACATGTCAGGCTATGAATACAACATTGTTCTTTCGGTGACATTTGTTGGATACATCTCCATGCAGAGTACGCGACCGTCAAACACGAAGATTACAAGCGAAGCTAATGAGACTTAGTCCCAAGCAATATGATTCTCACCAAAGTGCGTCCCAGCTGGTATCTGTCTGGTTGCATGGTCGCATGGGGCATCGTCAGCGGCCTTTCTGGCGCGGTTCACAACTTTGCTGGACTAGCTGTGAACAGATTCTTTTTAGGAGTTACGGAGGTTCGTTTTGCATTCCGTTCAGGGTTTCTCCTTCTTAAGCGATGACACTAATCCGAAATCTCATATAGGCACCCTTCTTCGTCGGCTGCGCATTCTTGTTCAGTGGCTGGTACACTCGGAGAGAACTTGGTTTCCGTCTTGGATTGCTGTACTCCGCGGCCATGATCTCCGGAGCCTTCGGCGGTCTCTTCGCCGCAGGCATAGCTGCCGCATTCGCCAACAACCGACTGGAGTCATGGCGCTGGCTCTTCATCATCGAGGGCATTGCGACGGTCGTGTTCGCCGTAGTGTGCGCTTTCATCATCCCGGATTGGCCTTCCAACACGAAGTGGCTTTCTCCCGAAGAGAAGGCCATCGCCGTTATGCGCATCATCGAAGATGCCGGCGAGGAGGAAGAAGACATCAGCACGGGGACGGCCTTCAAGCTCGCAGCGAAGGACTACCGTGTCTGGCTCTGTTTTCTGGGACAGACTTGTTTGCAGGCCGTGGCTTCATTGACCAACTTTCTACCGACGCTGGTTCAGAACTTCGGCTACAGCACGATACATACCCTTCTTCTTACCTCCCCACCGTACATCTTTACTGCCCTCTTCTGTCTTTCCAACACGTGGTGGTCGGACCGCACTTCTAAGAGGTCAACCCACATCATTTTCCCGTCTGCCGTGGCCCTTGTTGGAATCATTATTACGTTGGCGACTACCAATACAGGAGCACGGTACTTCGCCTTGTTCCTGATGCTGCCAGGAACCTACGGCTGCTTCCAAATCTCGAATGCCTGGATGGCAAATATTGCAGCACGACCTCAGAAGAAGAGGGCCATTGCTCTCGCCGCCAACAACTCTATCGGCAACCTGGCCCTCGTATGGACTCCATATCTCTATCCCGCGAGCGCGGGACCACGGTACACCGCAGCTTGGTCAGTCAATCTCGTGTTGATGGTCATCACCATAGTCAGCACCATTGTATTGGCGTTCTTCCTCAGAAGATGTAACCGGCGAGCAGAAACGGAGAGAAATGGCATCAACTTGGAACACGGACAAGGAGATTACAAAGACAACAGTGCCCACATTGAGGACAGTAATGGCGAAGGGGACCACGTAACCCCGGTCAGAGGTTTACCAGTGGTATACCAGACATAAGTCAAGGGTTGAACCCTTCAGTGCGACTTGGACATTAGACGACGTGGCGTGCACATTCTATCATCTACAAACATCGTAGAAACTCAGACTTCCAGACTCAGTTGCAAAATGCATAAACGAACAGTTCACACAATTGCTCAAGTTGAATCTTCTACCGGAACATGCCTCTAACTATCATTCAGGTCGTACGACAACGTCTGATAAGGATCCACAGCTACAGCACTAACCCCGCGTTTTCATCGCAGCATCATCCTCAGTGTGTCAACACTCTCCACTTTCCCCGCCATCCGGTCTCGGTACACGTCTTCCAGGCCTCGGTCTTTTCCCGATTTCCCGTCAGCACGAAAGTGAGGATGGGGACTCGTCTCATCCATTGCACCGTCTGCGATATGCGTCGGAGGAGTGTGAGCGACTGGTGGAAACCGACGAAGCAATGCCAGAATCACCGGACCACTCATCGCAGCCGGCGACGACATCCAACATCAGCCCCCGACCGGCCGAACCCAATAATACTCCGAAAGATGGCCGGTTGGGTGGCCCGGGAAGGAAGTCAAAGGCTTGTAAGTCGGGAACACAAACGAAATGCTTCTGGTCCATATTTTAGATGCTGACGATGGCACCGCTCAAGGTCTCGATTGCAAGAAGCTCAAGATCAGATGTGAGGTTTTCCCCGGGGACAAGAAATGCAAGCATTGTCTTCGACGCAATGTCAGTTGCATTATCAAGCGATCTTACGGTGCGGATGTCGATACGGAGGAGGATTTCTTGAGACCCGCCGATGTTTATGAGTGAGTTTTCTCGTCATGAGAGTTCAAGGCAACTCATTGACGCCTGGTTTCCCAATCAAAGCAACATCGACTCTATGAGATCGGAGATTTCGCAAATGAGGGCTAGCCTTGATTCTGTTTTAGCTGAGGCTTCCAGACTCCGAGCAGAGTCCGTGAAAGACACTCACTCACAGCCACGAGACCAAGACGAACGACAACCTCAGCCACAAGGTCATCCTATCCATCTCTTTCTAGATGATCCTCCCACAGCAAGGTATCATGCATCGCCGCAGCAGCGTGGACCTCCTTCTGGCACCCCCGGAAACACGACTAGCCCTGCTGGTCTATCGGCAAGAGAAGACAATATGCAAATGGCCATGACCCGAGAGAATTCTCCAGACCTGGTGTCGAATGGCGACCCTGGCAGTGGCTCGGTAGCTGTGGAAGAACCGATGGGCAGTCTCTACGAAGTCACTAGGCTACGCAACATCCGCAGCAACAAGGCGAAGATGACGAGACCCCAACCGGCAGGTCAAGAAGAGTTGAATGATTTCATCTCAAGGGGGGTCATTACAGAAAGCGAAGCTGAAGAGTTGTATAGAATGTGGGTAATATCGAGTCTTTGGGGTGGCAGATGGCTGACTGTTACTAGTTTTCACACTTCGTTGAATCACTACCTATGGGTTGGTCTGGAGCAGACGCATCCATCATTCATCTCGGTCCGAAGGTCTTCTGAGCTTCTTACTGCGACGATTCTGACGGTTACAGCGTTGCATATTCCGACATCCTCAGCCGCAGCAACGTTCGACATTTGCTATAAGGAATTTCTGTCCCTCATATCCTCGTCCATGTTTTCTCGGTACCATTCCATAGATGACGTTCGGGGTCTATGTATCGCTGCATTCTGGCTGTCCGAGGTATCATGGAAGTTGTCCGGCCACGCGATACGTATCGCCACGGAACTCAACATACATCAGTCCTTTACAAGCGCCCTGGAAGGGGATCGAGAGCACTTTTTGAGAGCACGGTTATGGTATATGCTGTATGTCTGCGATCATCACTTCAGTATTGCATACGGACGACCGCCGATGATCGCCGAGAGCCTTCAAATCCGGGAGCACGAGCTCTTCCTGACAAGCCCCTTCGCCAACGCCCTAGACGCAAGGATTCTGAGCCAAGTCAACCTGATGCAAATACTGACAAGAGTCTACGACCGGTTTTCAGAGCGCAAAGTTCCTGTCTTGAACCAGATCAGAGCAAACGGAGGCTCACTTGGATCTCATAGGGAGACTCGCACAGGGTCGAATCAGAGCAGTACAATGGGCGGCTTGCCTTCGGGCGGGGCGAACGGGTTCCCTTACGATAGATTCAACGCGAGCGAGGATCGGCGATCTAACAACGATCCATCAACGGCCATGCTTGCCGAGTCTGACTTCGAAGCCCTCCGGTCCTTCAATCTGGAAATCGACCAGTGGCGCATGCGCTGGCATCCTCTCCAAACGCAGAACTTTTGCATTGGTAGTTTCCCTCCACTCGGAATCATACTCTACTCCTACTTCGCAAAACTCCAGATCAACTCGTTAGCAGTGCGCGGCATCTCTCTTACGACTTCGTCGCCGGACCAGTTTCTCTCCACTGAGCGCAAAGAATTCGCCAACCTTGCCGTGTCTGCCGCCGTCAGCATCATCACGTTCGTCCTGGAGGAGGATGATATGCGCAGAGCTCTCGTTGGCACGCCGCTTTACGTGCATACGATGATTGCGTTCGCGAGTGTGTTCTTGATGAAGGTAGCAACTAGATGGAACTCGGTCATGGGGCTGAAGGTGGAGGAGGAATACGTTGCTAGACTTCTGGGGAGGATGATTGGGGTGCTCAAAAGCGCCGTCACATCTGATCGACATGTTTTGAAGCACATCGCTACAGGCCTGGAGAAAATGCTGGACAGGATGGAGGAGTCGCGAGAGCGGAGGCATTGCTCTGAAGGTGAAGGAACAGTCCGAGAAGGTATGGATGCGCGACGGGCTGCAGATCAAGGGGGAAGTATGGCAGGTTATCTGTACGAAGGTGGTTATGGAGGCAACATGGCGACACCTCGCGGAAACGAGTCTGGATTTAATCGGCCTGTGGGAGGGCCTGCCGCACTGGAAGCGCAGTTTCTCACACCGGCAACATGGGTTCAGGGAGGACTGAGCCAGTCTTCACAACCTTCGGGACAGGACATCTTTGACGACGACCTTGCTTTGATGAACGACAACTTGATCTTCGAGGCTTTCGGCACGGGGTCAGCAAATGATGTGTATAATCTTCTGTCGAGTCAATTCTCGTTGGGATAATCACCGCTCCTACGCGGAACATGGCTTTCTATTTGAGAGATACTTCTGACGCTATCAAGCAACTCTTTTCCTGCCTCACCATCACTGCAAGAACATCGTCCATCGCATCGGACGTTTCCTGCTCGGCTGGATTGTGATACCATAACCCCTTCCAAGCCAAGGTCCTACATGCCATTCTTTGCTCTGGCAATCGTGACTAGTCGATCACTCCTCCTCGGTAGGCTCGCTGGGCCAGTAGAACCACGACAAGACAATGATGAACTTCATCACGGCCGCAGTCCACAACGCCCCAGCAATGCCGACGGAACTATGCGCAAACAAGCCTCCGCAAATGGCACCGATGAGAAGCAAAACGGGTGCGCCCACTCTACGGTTCCTCTCCGCGTTGCGTGCCGTAAACAACTCGGCGTCGGAGAAGAGATCGCAGTAGATGCTAGTCAGGACGACGCTGGTGAGCGCGTTGTACTTGAGCGCACGACTCGTGACGGCCTGCCCGCAGCTCTGGAACGCGATCAGCGCGATGGGGATGAGCACGTTCCACGCGATCTCGTCCTTGCCGGCCTTGGGGCCGAAGGTCAGGATAACGGCGGCGGCGACGCAGAGCAGCGTCTGCAGCATGAAGGACGCGCAGAGAACCCAGCGGCGCTTCGGCGAGAAGAAGCGGTGGAAGCGGCTGAAGACGAAGGATCCCAGGCAGAACGAGCCCAGCGAGGTGGCGGACTTGATCCACCGGGTCGATTCTGTGGGGGCGGCGAGGCCGAGGCCGATGTAGACGGTGTTTCCTGCGTGTTCGTGTCAGTTGAAACGTTTGCTTTATGCATGATTGATGGGGGGCATGTTTACCTGTTTGCATGGAAACGAAAGAGCCCCAGATGGATATCGACGAGCTGTCGAGGAGGCCGGTAATGATGTAGCACGCCAAGAGGACGAGGTCGGCCCAGTCGCGCTGCACGTCGGTCGTCAACTTCTTGCGAAGGGACTTGGAGGGAGGTTTTCTGCCTCCCGCGAGGAGAGGTGCTTCTTCATCGGCATGGGCGCGTGAGTCGCCGTTGACGACCGGCGCCGCGTTGGTGACGGAGCCGTAGCTGCCCCCGTTTGAACTCATCTTGGGATCTACCAGAGTTGTCACCGAAGCTGAGAAGTTCTATCGTTTGGAAGATGGCGGGAAAAGCCTGAGAACACGAAGTTAACAAGATATCGTCACCGAGCTATGACCTCAATCCGGAAGCTTACCCACTGAAAAACGTCTGACCGGGTGACGGAGTTGCAGTTATGAAATAAAATAAGATCGATGTTACAAACTGGCAAGACGGGACGCGCAATTGCCAATGCCGGATCTGCCGCGAGTCCACAGAGGCCCGCGAAAAGTTTCCAGGTTTTCCAGCCTGGTTTATATGGGCCAAAGGAGACGCCGAGGGTCGACGATTGACGAAGGACAAGACGAGCGCGGATAGCAATGCCGAAGAAAAGCCAAGATCTCACCCCGCCCTGAGTCGACACAGATGCGCGGTTCTATCTTTGAATGAGGGGTGAAGGATACCAGGGACCTCACAACAATCAAGGGGGAAAATGGCACATGGGATTCAGTCATTGGAGAAACGAAAGCCACTTTGACTAGATTGGATGAGATATGCAGCAGCTCGCTGCAGATGCAGTGAAACCAGTGATCCCGGAGCCTGGCCGGGCCAGCTTCTTCTCCAGGATCCCCGACATATTCCCCGTCCAATTGCAGCGGGTGGTGGTTCTTGGAGTTAAGCTCAATCCGCAGGAACCTGCGTCATGGCCGCTGCAGAGTCCCCCCATGTTGCATGGAGTGGATTCTCTCACAGTCTCATCGCGCGGAAGAACGATTGCGAACGAAGGGCAGGAAACAAGTGGGATTCAAAGTGATGAGCATTGAGAAACGCTGAAGCTTTACCGAATCAGGGCCTCGGTGACTCGGTTTGCCCCCCTCGTTCCCCGTCATTCCCCCTGGCTCGCTTCTCACGAAAAGAGACAAACTACGCGGTCCATCGTGGTTCATCCCCGCACGATGAGCGCTCGCTCGCTCTTTGCCGCGTTTCAGCCTGTGGGAGGGGCCGGTAGTTCAGAACTTCAGCTGTGCCAGTAACACCTGTGTAAGTCAGCATTGAAGCAGATATGGAGGGTGACATGGAGATGCAGTGTGTGTGCCTCGAAGCTACTACCTTGCCATGCTGCTGTAGCTGCGGGGGAGCTTTGGAGCTCGGGGGTTCGGCATGTGCGTCGATGATCTCTCGTTGGTGGTGTTGGATGGACGGATATGCAACCCGTTGTGAGGCGTGTGTGACGGCCTGCAGCGATGGACAGGCGAGGTGATGCGCCGATGACTACGAGGTCGACCTTGCCCTTGGTAAGCTCATCCCTCCGTGTTTACGTACCATAACACGGTTCCGACGGCCTGCGACGAATTGGCAGAGCCGAGGAAGAGGTCAAGGCAAGGTTCTGGACTGGCATGACATGACAATGAGCTGCGAAGAGAGGAGAGATGACGCGACGAGAGGAGGTATAAAGCCTACTTGCCTTCCTGCTGTCACAAGCTTTGTAGACTGTGCTTTGCATTCGTAAATTCTCTTCCCGTCCCTCTCGTTCTTATCGCGAGAGCTTCCTCCACCAAGTGTTCCCTGCCGAGGTCGTTTCTTGGCAGAGAGCTCGATTTCACGTCGCATCCCTTCTGAAGCTCCATCAATCCGCGCCCAGCCATGCAGCTCACCCAACCCACGGCAGCCAAGCTGCTGCTCCTCTGGGCGTCCGTGGCCTCGGCGATGCCGCACTTCGACAGCCCTCGCGAGCGTCTGCTCCGGGGCATGGAGATCCCCGAGAGCTACCGCAAGAAGAGCGCCTTCGCGGACGACTCCAACCCGAAGAACCCGTACACCCCCGGGTTCCGGGACCCCAACGACGGCGCCGTCGACTCGGTCGGCGACGGGCTCGACCCGCTTCCCTACCGCAACGGGCTGGGCTCGTCGGTCCTGGGGCCGTGGAACAAGGAGCGCTCGCGTCAGAACCCGGATCTCGTGCGCCCGCCGTCGACGGACCACGGTAACATGCCGAACATGCGCTGGAGTTTTGCGGATTCGCACATCCGAATTGAGGTGAGTTGCGACGTCTCAAATGGTTTCATTGCAGCTCCAATTGAGTTGTCAGAGAGGCATTGAAGCTTAGGTGCGATGATGGCAACTAACAACCCTCTCTCTTCGATAGGAAGGCGGCTGGACTCGCCAGACGACTGTCCGTGAGCTTTCCACGAGCGTCGAGCTCGCAGGCGTCAACATGCGTCTCGGCGAGGGCGTCATCCGCGAATTGCACTGGCACAAGGAGGCCGAATGGGCATACGTCCTGGATGGCGAGGTCCGCGTGACGGCACTCGACTACGAGGGCGGCAACTTCATCGCGGACGTCGGCAAGGGTGACTTGTGGTATTTCCCCAGCGGCGTCCCTCACTCGCTGCAGGGTTTGAGTCCCAATGGCACCGAGTTCCTCCTCATCTTCGACGACGGCAGGTTCTCGGAGGAGTCGACTTTCATCCTGTCTGACTGGCTTGGTGAGTGACCCCAAACGCACCTGAATTACCCCTGCAACATGCTTCGGATGCGCATATTACAGCGGTTTCGACCCCCCGACCGTCGTCCTTTTAGCGCTTACAGCATGTGTTCGCGCTTCATCAACTTCAATGCGTGAATATCTCCATGGCTCAGATTGACTAACACTGTCAAGCCCACACACCAAAGTCAGTGATCGCCGAGAACTTCCACCTCGACCCCGAGATCTTCAAGCACATCCCCGAGGGCGAGAAGTACATCTTCCAAGGCACCCTGCCCGGGTCCATCGAGGACGAGAGGCCCACCGGCAAGCACGCGAAGAAGTCCAAGTACAACTTCGTGCACAAGATGCTCGCCCAGGAGCCCGAGATCACGTCCGGCGGCGAGGTGCGCATCACCGACTCCAAGAACTTCCCCATCTCCAAGACGGTGGCCGCCGCCCACCTCACGATCCAGCCGGGCTCCCTGCGCGAGATGCACTGGCACCCCAACGCCGACGAGTGGTCCTTCTTCATCAAGGGCCGCGCCCGCGTGACCATCTTCGCGGCCGAGGGCACTGCTCGCACGTTTGACTACGTCCCTGGTGATGTCGGTATTGTGCCTAAGAACATGGGCCACTTTGTCGAGAACATTGGCGACGAGCCGATTGAGATGCTGGAGATTTTCCGGGCGGATGAGTTCCGTGATTTCTCTCTCTTCCAGTGGATGGGCGAGACCCCAAAGAAGCTTGTTATCGATCATCTGTTCAAGGGCGACAAGGAGAATGGCGAAAAGTTCTGGAATGAAGTTAAGGAGGCACAGAAGGATCCCATCACCAAGTACCAGAAGACCGACGTCAAGGCTGGAGGTTCTGTCCTCGACGGCGCGTCTGATGAGCTTTGAGTGAGTGGTTCGAGGGATGAGTTCACGGAAGTCGGGCAAAAGTGCATTTAAATATGTAAAGTAGACTATGGTCATGACAATCACACGTGTTGAGTTAAATGGAAAATAATCACTTCATATCAACATTGCATACGCCCCTATAACAGCTATGATGGTAAAGGTAAACCTCAATTGGAATTAACGTGGTAAATACTAGTACACCACAAAATGACCAGCCCTAACTATACAGAACCTTTCCTTCACAACGCTGCCTTTAGTTCAACTCATGGTTCGACTTGATGGCCTTCGATTTTCCGGTGTCCAATACCACTGCCGGGTCGTCAGGGTTTCCGTCGCGCGACACCTCGTTTCCGCGCTTCGTCTCGATGGTTGTCCTAGAAGATTGTTAGCACCAAGAATCACCACTCTTCGCCTGCTTCTCGACTTACTTCTCTTCCTTGACGTCGAGCACCTTGCCCTCAGGCTGCCCATTGCCCCAGTTCCAACTAACGGTATCACCCTTCTTCGGTCCCTTCTTGGTTGTCTTGCCGCTGCCATTCTCCTTATCATCACCCTCTTCACCGTCGTCCTCCATCTCCTCGTCGCCATCTTCGTCACCACCCTCGGCCTCGGCCTCTTCCTCTTTCTCATCATCTCCGTTCTCATCGGACTTCTTAGCAGACTTGCCCTCGCCCTGGCGAGTTTGCCGCTTCTTGTTCGATCCATTCTCCTCAGATCCGTTCTCCTCGGTGGACTTCTTGCGCTTGTCGCCGGCCTTCTCTTCCCCCTCATCCTCAACCTCCTCTTCCTCTTCCTTATGATCGTCGGTCTTCTCAGCCTTCTTGCTACCGTTCGACTCCTTCTTGGATCCATTGGACTCGGCCTTCTTCTCATCGCCCTTGGACGACTTTCCGTTCTGCTCGCCGCCATCCTTGCCTTGTGCCTTCAGGAAGTCGTGGCCCCAGTTCTTCAACGAGGCGTATGACTTGGTCTCCTTCACCTCCTCGGGGGACTTTTCGCTGTTCGACTTGGTTTCTTGGGCCAGGTGACGCTTGCTGCTCCCGGTCAACACGCGTCATCCCGACACAGCATGAACTCGCACGACTCACCAGTACGCGACCACCTTACGCATGTGTTCGACCTGCTCATCCGTGTACTTGTCTTCCTTCTTTTCCGGGTTCTTCTTGAGAATCTCCACAATCTTGCGCCCACTGTCGTGCCCAACGGTCTCTCCGTCTCCCTCGGCATCGTCCTTGGGCCAGCCGGCGCTGTTCGAGTCGCCCGACTTGAGCCATGTCTCGAGCTCCTCGGCCGTCATGTTGACGTACTCGTTGAACTCGGAGATGACCTCTTCCTTGCCCTTCATTTTGACGGTTTTGCGAGATGTAGTGTTTGATGAGGTTGTGTAACTGAGGCTCGACTCAATTGACGTAAATCACGGCGGCAGCAATATCAAAACGGATGAACTTAGCAACCCCCGGCGACAGCGGATTCGATAGCTATTTGAGAGAAACTCAATTCACATTTCTTGCTTCCTCGTTTTCCCCTCCCGGCCCTTGTGTCACTGTTCCCAATAGCCCAGCCTCCTCCACAACATCTGAACCCACCGATGCGTTCACACATGGACCCGGCCGCAAACGACCAACATTCGTCATGATGTCTCATGTGGAATGGTGTCGTCATAGAAACACCAGCGCGACCCCTTGCATAAGTGGCTGAATTGGCCGCACCAGTGCTACCGTGCCCGCAAAAGAATGAGCTGACTTGACTACATCTGACTACAGCTATGCCTCACGAAGTAAAAAAAAGCAATGGACGAGCTTAAGCTCAGCTTTGAGCTTCTCTTCCCCTCACTCCCATTGACCAATGACGAGCTGTCATCGCAGAGCTCCGTGAGCTTGATGCTTCACCTTGTTATCTGAGCCCCTCCACCCCATCGTCTGTCATTTGCCGTCACTGGGTTCATGGCTGCTGTCATGGCAATTAGAATTTCCACGGATCTTCCGATCATTACGATGTATTAGGTATGGAATGTGTCTAGATGCCACCCGACCGCTGCTTGGACCCTTCCGGGTTCGCGTCTCCCCTCACTCATCTTCACAGGTTCAAGCGCCAGGCACTGGCTTCAAGTTACCCCGGAAAGTTTCATTCCTTAGCCTGCCTGTTTTCTCCATGTCTCAGGTGAACAGGCAACCGGTCTGGTCGGTCTTGACAACGTCGTCGAGGTTAGAGCCGAGCTGGCCGGCGCGGGCGATCCAGGCCTGGCGGGTAGATATTAGCGGCTGGTTTCTCTGCGCGACGTTTCGCATTACTCACATCGAGAACCTCGTCCTCGGGGTTCTGCTGGCGACTGAGCACAAACAACGTGCTGAAGTTGTAGGCTTGGACGAGCGCGAAGTCGGGCGTGTAATCTGCGGGGACGCTCTGTCAATGACCTATCCATATGACGGTACCTGATACTCCGTCGTCGGGGTGGGATTATTCGATGTGTGTGTGACTCACCTTGGACAATGTAGTTTGGTCCGGCGCAGGCGGGCCCGGGCTGGCCGGGGAACTGCACGCGCAAAACACCCTTGGCTCCGTAGGACGGGTCCGCAGGTGCGGCGTTGCCGAGAATGTTGATCGGGCGGTCTCCGGCCTGGCAAGTGTTGTTTACCTGCACCGTGCCGTTGTCCTGGGACAAAGTTAGCATACCTTGCTCTTGGGAATCCAGGACTAAAGCGAAACCTACATTAAGAGAGTACTGCGCGAAAATGCACTTGCAGCCGGCGGTGAACGGCGCGACGGTGCCAGCGACCTGGTACCATCGTCCAAGATAGGACTCGAGATCGAAAGCAGCGTCCGGTGTAGGATAGAAACATTGCCCGTCCCAGACCGAAGGCACGACGTTGGGGATGGCGGGTTCCGGGGATGTCTCGTTGGTAATAGCGGCCGCTGTTGCGACAGCAGCGCAGGAGAAGACGGCGGACAGGGTTGAGGGCTTCATTGTGCAGTCTGATAACTTGGTTCCAACTCTAGAACAAGTCTAATAACTTCTTGCCGGCGCGTCTGATGTGTGCGAGATGCAGCGTTCGTCTCAAATACGACTGTAGTGTGAGGTGAAGGATTCTATTGCCGGTTCATCCCATCATTCCCTTTTAACTAATTCCTCCCGACAGTCTGACAGGCCTCCATCGTGGAGTCGTCTCATGGCGGTGTTGATTTTGTGTAATGATGAACGCGCCAATGTCGACCTCGCACAACTCAACTGCCCGAGGTCCGAAGTCAAGAAATGAGCTGTTGGATGATTTCTCTGCGCAGAAGCTGGCGGGACTTTGAAAGTGGTGACGCCATTGATGCCTCTTTTGGCTACGACCTCGCTGTCGCCAAGTCGGCTGGCTGCAGCGATGTGGTGCTGGTCCCTGAGCCGCCCATTCAGGGCGGTCTTGACAAACGGCAGACCCTGTCTTGGGTGGATTTCCAGGCTTGGAGGTGCGCCGATCATCATGAGGTTACCCCTGTTAAGCTGGCCGTTTCTCCGCATCTGATGGGCTTTTCCATCGGCGATTTCAGTGTTGGATCTGGTGGTTGGTGACACAGGCCCACGACGACCAAGATTGCCCGTTTTATGAGAGGATTTTTCATTGGATAGATCTAGACTTCCGATGACTTGAGGTTGGCTTCTTTGACAGCGGCACGCACCGTTGGCACGTGGCTTCGCATGTGTTCGTCGGAGTATTGATCTTCAGGTTCCAGGGGAACTGGACGCAAGTTCGATCCGCAAGGCCAGAATCAGTCTGGAGAACAAGGCCGACACAAGCAATGATAGGAGCTTCCGTCCGTTTGCTGGACATTTTTATCCCGCACGTCGAGCGTCATGGAGAATTGCCTCGTTTTTCTCATGGGATACCACATGAGTGTGGACCTTTTTGATTTTCTGAACCCATTGGAGGCCATTGGGGGCCATTGGGGGCATCTTACCGATGGACCATTCAAACAGCGCGCTTAGACCGTGATAGCTGTCCTGCTACGCTGGAAACCCTCGAAAGGGGATGCCCCCGAGCGCCCCGGCATTAGCACCGGTCGGTACCCGGCGAAAGTGGGGCCGGGGCCGTGACGCTCGGAGGAAAAGTGGAAAACAATACCCGCCAGCCATGGCATCACTTTACCCGCTGCTGCAGCCCGTCGGTTGATTAGATGTCAGTCAAACCAGGACATGATCTCGTATTCCCTTACGCAAGATCCCGAACTCTAGAACTAGAATACCACTATGTGCCCAAGACAGACATAGGAAACCGGAACGGTTTGAGAATATTTAAAAACGCATCTGCGCCCGGCCGTTTCTTTTAATTTATTGAGTCTTTCGGCCGTCCAAGACCGGAAAGTCATTAGCCGGCATACATCCGAGCGATATACTTATACTCAAGGACTGCAGCTTTCATCGTCCGAATAATTTGTGCATCAGTCTATCTTGTCAAGCAACCATGGGCTCCAACGTGGCCGATATCCAAGGCCCCGGCCTCCTCTTCGTGAACTCCAAGATCACTCGCCCTGGCCTCATCGATGAAGATGCGTTCTTCAAGTGGTACGACGACGACCACATCGTCGAGATCCTCCAGACCAGCGGCATCCAGTCCGCCTTCCGCTTCAAGGATGTCACCGGCAGTGATGCGGATAGGCCCTTCCTGGCCATGTACCCCATGAAGGACATTGCGTTCACCCAGACCAAGGAGTTTCGCAACATCAGCGTTCATAGCGAGATGCTCCCGCATGGTGGTCCCGTCTACGACATCGCGGACTTTGACACGCGGTACTACAACCTCGTTCAAGTGATCGATCCGACGAAGAAGGGCAGAGGTATGTTCTTGGACCGGAAGGATGGTGAATGCGTACTGATAAACTCAGGTTCTGTGAAGAGCGTCGTGGTGGCTCAGTACTCCCTTGATGTGGCCGATGATGAGTTTAAAAGCTGGCTTGAGAGACGGGTGAGATGCCCCCACAGCATAATGAAGACATCTCACTAACTTAATGAATAAAGCTCTTTGAAGGCCTCGCGGGTACATCGGGACATTTGCGGACAACGATGTACAAGCTCGTCTACGCCAGGTCAAACGCCCAGTCCCGCGCATTGAAGGGTCTGTCAACGACCAATGAGACCTCTGAACGACCGCCTCTATGGCTTGTGGTTCATGAGTTCGAGTCCGCGGACGTGAACCCGGAATGGCTTGAGCGACTAACTTCGTATGTTTACGGACCGCTAGCTTACGATCTGGGAATCAAAGTTCGTCCAAGTGCTCAGAAGCATGGTGTTTTCAGACTTGTCAAGACTCGTGGCCAGGGTGACTTCTTCCACGGGGTCGATATGTAGTAGCATCTAGCTGGATTGAGAGGGCCTGTCGCATTCTATCTTATGAAGCCGTCGTGAAGACTTCGAAATAGACTGATTATGCAATGTCTTTGCTTTGGACAATGGTACCAAATGCGTCCCCAATTTCACTCAGCGCAACCTTGGTGAGCTGCGCAGCATCGACTCCGGGAATGTCCCGATCGCCAACTGCATCTTCAGCCACAAGAACATCGAATCCTCTCTGCGCAGCCTGTCTAGCCGTCGTAGAAACGCAAACATGCGCCTGTAGAAACATCAACATCTCATCCGTCACACTGCCTCAGCGGAATCAGCTCACCATGTAGCCCGTCAGAACGACCTTCTTCCCCTGCGTACCCTTGCCTTCGAGATGCTCCTGAAGGTCCGTACCCGCGAAGGAACCAGGGAAGTTCTTGCGGACGACCTTCTCGCCGTCCTTGGGCTTCAACTCGTCAAACTCCTCCGCAAGCCGCGTCTTGGGCGTGAAGACGGGCGCGCCCTCGGGCGTGTCGTGCACGATGTGGACGATGCTGCCCTTGGCGTCGCGGTACTTCTGCAGCAGCGCCGCGATCGCCTTGCGAGAGGTTTCGACGTTGGAGACGGTCAGCTTGCCCTCTGCGTATTCATTCTGGGCGTCGATGATGACGAGAGTGCTGTCGGTGGGTGAGGCGGTTGACGGCGGGGCGCCGATGATTTGACGGAACGAGGTTGCTGAGGCCATTGTCGTGTACTTTGAAAGTGCTAAAAGTGAAACTCCAATTCTTTTTCTTCAAACGAGATGCCGCAGGATCGATAAGCTTATTTGAACGAAGAATTGATCAGATTGATTTGGTTTTATGAACTACTCGCCTACGGCCAAGCTGTCATGTCTCCGCACTTTTGTCATTGTGTCCCCCGCATTTGTCATCGATCCCGTCATCCAACCCCGGTGGGAGAAGCAAGACATCCAGCAGCCCCGCCCCGATTCCGAGCTCGCTTTCCGAGACCATCGAGGTTGAACTTCACTACCGGGGTTTGACAAAGACGCTTTGAGAAGTGCATTGTCCCCATTGTCACTCAGGTTTGGAGCAACCTAAAGGATGGCGTTTATTTCAAATTAGCTTGAGTTGAGCTATTATTACAAGCCAAATTGGGTCAACAAAGCCTGGGGAGGCCAGTCTCCTGTGACCTCCTCGCCCAGAGCGCTCTCAAACATATAGTCGCCAGAGCCTATAGTCTTCTCACTTCCATCAGGAAGAGACACTACCGCAGAAGTATTGGGAGGGACAGTCAACTCCAACACCAGCTTTCCCTCAGACGTGATCGCCCATCGACTTCGAACCCGACCGTTCGGGCTCAAGTACTCAACCTCTGCGTGCTTCAAGTCTCCACCAGGCCGCGGTCTGACCAAGAATTTCTTCCACGCCGGCTCCAGCGGCGACAATCCGCCGATACTAGCATGCATCCAGTTGGCCACGCTTCCCAGAGCATAGTGGTTGAAACTGGTCATCTCGCCGGGGTTGATGGTGCCGTCCTCCAGCATACTATCCCATCGCTCCCAGACCGTAGTGGCACCCTTGCTGACGGGGTACAACCATGATGGACAGCCCTTCTCCAGCAACATCCGATAAGCGTGCTGTGTGTAGCCCGTCTCGGACAAGGCGTGCAGGATGACCGGTGTCCCCGCAAAACCCGTTGAGACTTTGAACTTGGAGTACTGCACCAGCTTCGCCAGCCTCGCCGCTGCTGCTTTTCGTTGAGCAGGGGTCTCGTGTAGGCCGAACAACAAGGCCAGGGCCAGAGCCGTCTGCGAGTCGGCGACGACGAAGCCTGCCTTGGTGATGTACTTGTCCTGGAAGAGCTGTTTGAGACGCTGGTGTTTAGCGGCAAACTTCTCCGCATCTCCGGTGATGTCCAGGACGCCGGCGATCTGAGACATCACGCCGGTAACGTGAACGAGATAGGCATCTGCGACAAGAGTACCATCCGTTCTCGCGAGTCCTGGTTCGGCCGGCGGGGCGTTGGGGTCCAGCCAGTCTCCCAGTTGCCAAAGCGAGCCATCCCAGAGTCCGTCTTCGCCTCTCTTGATTGAGTTGAGATAGTCTTTCATCCCGGGGTAGGTCTCCTGCAAGACGCCGGCGTCTCCGAACCACTTGTACATCGTCCACGGCACCAGAATAACAACATCATCCCAGACGGCTTGCGGCAGAGCAGGGAACGGTCCATCTTTCATGACGTTGGGAACAACAAGCGGAACAACTCCGTTAGCATCCTTCTGGTCGAGAATCACGTCCCGCATCCAGTTGCTCAACATCCCGCCGCAATCATACAGGAACGACGCAGTCGGGCTGAAAATCTGAATGTCGCCCGTCCAGCCCAGACGTTCGTCGCGCTGAGGGCAATCCGTCGGGATAGAAACGAAGTTTCCTCGCATGCTCCACACGACGTTGCGGTGCAGCGTGTTGACGTCCTCGTTCGAACAGTTGAAAGACCCGGTCCGCTGCATGTCGGTGTGCATGACGACCGCGGAGATCGAATCCAGAGTCACCTCGTCCGCCGCCCAGCCGTCGAACTCGACGTAGCGGAAGCCATGATACGTGAAGTGCGGCGACCAGTTCCCGAGGGGCCGCCCACCGCCAAAGATGATAGTGTCGGTCTGCTTCGCTCTGCGCAAAGGGCGGATGCCGAGATAGCCGTTCTCGAGGACCTCTGCGTGGCGGATGGTGAGACGGTGACCGTCGGGCTTTTGGAGGTTGTGGATGACCAGCTTTCCGACGAGGTTCTGGCCGAAATCGACGAGCGTCTTGCCGGAAGGGTCCTTGAATACTTTGATCGGTTTGATCGTTTCTGTGATGCGGACCGGCGGAGATGAAGATGCTACGAGTGCGGGCTTGGGGAACGGAAGAGTCTCCACTGCAGACCATGTGGACTTGTCATGGTGCCAGTCGTCTACCTCGAGACCAAGATCATACGTCTCGCCGTCGTAAATATCGCTTCCTACGATAGGCGAGGGCCGACATTCCCAGGTCTCGTCTGTGGCGAGGCGAAAACTCGACGGGCCATCGAGGACGTCGAGCTGGGCGAGAACACCGATCCGGTCGCCGTAGAAGCACGTCAGGCCGTCACCCCAGAGAACACGACCTGCATACCATCCTTCGCTCACTTCGACAGAGAGAACATTGGGTTGTCCGGGCTTCAGAAGCGAACCAACGTCAAAAACCTGGTACTGAATGCGGTGCTGGTACGCCGTCCAGCCAGGAGCGAGCCACTCGTCTCCGATTCTCGTGCCGTTCAGGTACGCTTCGTAGATTCCCAGGGCGGTGATGTAAAGTCTCGCACGGTTTTGGCCGATGTCAGGCGCGTTGAAAGTCTTGCGGAACCGAACGGGGCGAATGCCGCGTTCATCGGCATGGCGGTCTGATCGTATCGGAGCGGTGATGGGCCTGGCTGTCCAGTCGTCGCGGGATTGAAGACCACTCTCGACGGTGGCTGGCTCAGACCAGTCGGTATCTAGAGGCCCGTCCTCGGCGATGCCGTTTGACTTGACGCGAATGGTGACAGCTTCTGCGGAAGATAAGGGGGTGCTGGGCCATTTTACGAGGACGGTCGAGTCGCTTTCGACATGGAATGTTTCGGGCCCCTTCCCTTTCCGCGTGACTTCGACGTCGTAGCTCTTTTGCTGCCAGTTCTTGGGCTGCGAGCTGGACTTTACTCGCCAGGACATACGAGGGGTCGGAGTAGGGACACCGAGCCCGCTTGGGAGTTGTTCGAATCTTAGGTCTATGATTTGCAGAGAAGACATGATGATTTGATGTACAAAAGAGGAACGTGAAACTAGAGAGATAGAGCTAGATCCGGGAAATGGTATTTAGATACCATGGGCTTCCAGGGGTCCGAATACCGCGAGATCTCGTCAGATCTGACCCAATACCGTGCATCGGCAGGTGGTTTCGGCTTCCTCTTTCGACTCAACGCTGGCCGAGCCCCGCGGCCGGTGACATCAGCACCGAGATGCCGAGCGGAGAGGCCCACCGGCCCGGGGGAGTTCAGGCCGAAAGTGAGTGTTTCTAGCAGGCATCTCAGCTTCTACAGAAGTCTTGGGTCTCGCATTCTTCAGGTTCGTGGGAATACACCATCGAATATGGTTTCGCCGAGAAATCTGAGATGCACAACCCCTCTTCCGGCCTGGTACTCCCGGCATCAGAAAGCTTCCGGGGTCACCAACAGGGAGGCTCAGCCCCGGACCTGACTTGGCACCGGCTGTCATCAGATCATCAGCAGGAGTATCTGTCGAACTGAGTATCTGTCAAGACAAGCAAACTTATTAATCACCACCACGATATATCGGAAAACATCCTTCTCACCGACTCTCACCGGCCACCCCTCGGCATGTAGCCCCTTTCCGGCTAACACGCTGCCAAGTGGTAGCCATCGCCGGCCCCCCCTCGCAGCAAGTGGAGATGACAAGAATTAATGGTCTTTTAGTCTCGGAGAACCGAGGAGAATACATCCATGACACCCAATCACCAACGCTCAGTTCCCCCGCAGTTTCCGCTAACTTGGGTTCCCCGCAGCAATCAATGCGTTGCTCCATGCATTTGCGACTCTCCAAAGGCCCCAGTTGTGAGAGGTCCATTGTTTTTCTCCTCCGCATGACCATCCGAAACCTTCTCGTCGTGGAAAAGGGTCTCGAGAACGTCGACTTTCGGTCTATCAAGGTGCTTTTGCAGATGTGTCGATCACTGCGCATACTACATTACCTTCTACAGGCTGTGTTCGTTTAGACTGGATTAAGCAGAATGCTTTCGCCGACGACGGTGAACGACAACGACTCGACCACGGCTCCCCTCGACCGAGTTGAAAGCTCCGGTTCTCAAGCAACCCAGGCTCAGTCCCAGGCTCAGTCTCACGCCCATTCTCGATCCCAGGGCCCCTCTCACTTCGGCGGCGGCGCCGTCACTCCGGCGGCCTCATCCACATGGGGCCTTGGCGACCCGACTCCATCACAGCACCTGTCTTCCGAGGCCTCGACGTCGCCGGCCGAGTCATGGAGGCTGGATGAGTTTGTCACGGACCCCGGTTACCTCGCTTACCAGGAGGAACTGAGATGCCTCATCTTCAACACGGCTCAGACGGCCGCCCCCACGAGAGAGGGCACGCCCGAGGCGGCTGATGGCGGGTTTGCCGCGGGAGGCTTCGCTGCCCCGGGGTCCATTCTGGGCGATGATTCGGCCTCGAGACGGCAGGCTGGGCAGACTTTGGGAACGGGACGAAGGCTGGAGTATTTGAAGAACTACGTGGGCGAAGTTGCACCATGGGTAAGTGGGCATACGTCGCAATGATACCATGTTGGGGAAGCTTACGCCTATTTAGCTGGACATGTTTGATAGCGATCGTGCTTTCGGCATCCAAGTGCCGGTACTGGCGCGCAGCTCACCGGCTTTATTATACGCAGTTCTGGCGTTATCGGCTCGCCAGATGGAGCGGAAAGAAGGAAAACAGACATCGTTCGACAGTCTAGAGCTTTACCAAGAGGCCATCCGCCTGCTGACGCCGCTGCTCCAATCGCGAGACCAGAAGATTATCCCCATTTGCACCATACTGTGCTGCCTGGAGATGATGTCCGCCAGTGCTCAAGATTGGCGGAAACACCTCGAGGGATGCGCAGCTCTCTTTGACTCGTTCTACGTCCACGGATTCAGCGGCGGTCTCTTGCAGGCTGTCTTCTGGTGCTACGCCAGGATGGGTATGTGTGGCCTCTTACTACCTACATGCTAGTTCCGAACTAATCGTCTAGATCTCTGCGGTGCACTCATTTCCGACGGAACGGAGAACACTCTCCTCACTCCATCAAAATGGCTCCCGAGCGGCGCTTCTCACAACGAGGCACGAGAGCTCTTTCACCAGTCCGGCACACCCGACATGCACGCCAACTACGCAGTCTATCTATGCGCCAAGGTTTGCGAGCTCGTTGCAGACCGGACGAGATACTTCGAGCTCGGCGATGCCAACGGCTGCAGTCCAGACGAGTTGACCGAGCGCTGGATCCGCCTCTGGGAAGACCTGCAAGCGTGGACAAGAGACCGTCCGCCAGAGCTTCTGCCCGTTCAAAGCATCCAAAGCAGTCCTTTTCCTCAGATTCTGTTCCTCCACTGGGCGGCCATTTCTTCCAACCAGCTCTACCATACGGCTTGCACACTCCTCCTAGGATCAATGCCCAGACCCCTCAACATCAAGCTGGGCGTCACGGGCTCGGCGATTTGGCATGCAAAGTGTATCTGCGGCATCTCGCTGGCGAACCCTCACCAAGGATGCTTGAATAACGCCATCCAGCCTCTGTGGGTTGCCGGACGGCTTCTCAGTCACAAGTCCGAGCACGCGCTTCTCGTCAAGCTTATCCGCAGCATCGAAGCAGTCACTGGATGGGGCACATGCTGGCGAATCGATGATCTCGAAACCGCTTGGGGCTACAAAGTACGCAAAGAGCTTAGAGATGCCGGCATGGCAAGATGATCGTATTTGACGTCATTTGATGCGAGTATTACTATCGTCGAGGTTTTGTCCAAGGCCGCCTGGTCATTACCTCATTTTGATTATCACGCCTACATCAACCCCCAATCCTCCCGGACCTTGGCCGAGAACCCGTCCACGTTCCAGCCCGTCAACGACTTGACACGATCAAAGCACTCCAGTATGGCGCGTTGTTGCGGCTCATACGTCATGCGCTGCGCCGCGAGATACAGCGACGCGACAAGACACAAGTCCCAGCTGTCCCTCCGGTCATTATTCAGGGCGATACCACATACGCGCTGGGCGTGCCACAGCGGCGACATGGACGACGACTTCTTCCCCGCCGCCTGCAGCGTGCGCGGCTTGTTCTGCAACAGGAGGAGCATGGCGGTGTGGTAGAGCTGGTTCGCGAAGACGGCGGCGCCGTTGGTGAAGAGGATCGTGGGGAACAGGTTCTCGTCGCCGTCGATCTCGACCATCGGCCGGAACTCCTGCGCCCGGTTGGTGTACCACGCGTTCAGCGCGTCGTTGAGCATCGTCCAGCGGTGGACGGGGGTCAGGGGCACGCCGAGGTCGGGCGTCTGGGGCGGGAAGCTGCCGGCGCAGAAGTTGACGACTTTGGCGCAGAGGAGGAGCGGCTCGATCGTGTTTTGGAATATTTTCTCTGCGACCGGGGAGGAGGTGTTCCATTGCTGGGACATGGGGTTGTAGTTGAGCTGTTCGGGGACGGATATGGGCGAACCGGTTACGAGGGCTGCGGCGAGTTCTAGGGCGGAGTTAGCATTTGTTTTGATCTACAAAATTGGAGGTTGTTGAAGGATTTATACCCAGTCGTATTAACACAGAGAGAATCGAGATTGTCTTTTGACTTGCTTCGGCAAGCGTCATTGCCCAGAAGTTATCGCCGGTGACGATGGGAAGTTCATTCCAGCCATTTGGAATATTTGCGATAAATCGGCACGCCGTTGACAGAGTCAAGTGAACAAGTTCTCCGTCACTGATAGATTGGACGCCATTATGCTCCATTGACACATTCCCAGCTAGAGATTTGAGGTATTCGACATCGTTGGAAATCGTTCGCAAGTCCGCCTGTTGAACAGTTGCTGCCACCGCTAGAAGAGCATGAAGGACACCCTCAGACTCGATTGCGAGGCGGGGAACATATAGGCCGAAAGTCTGGCCCATGTCGCAGAGGTCAAGCTGGCATGGTGTCAGTTGATCCGCAGCATTATTCTCTCAGTATGACGAGGAACCTACCCAAGGCGCAACTTGGTACCTGAAATGACGCAGCAGCTGCAGTAACCTGTCCTGGGATATACTGTTGCTTGTCGGAGCATGTACAACACTCGACCCTCGTCTCTCCCTCGCCGAGTTTGGCGAAACAGACATCAGATCTCTGGGACTCAAGCCGATTCCATCTGTGCTGATCGCAAATGCCCCGGAACCATGTTCGGGCGATTGGCCGAGGCCATTCGTGCCTTCGCTACCAAGTGACAGTAAGACATTGAGCGCAGTCTCATATGCTGCGTCGTTGACAGGCAACGCGCCGTTCACCTTGCCTGCGATGTCTAGATTCCGCACCGGAGATGACAAGCTCTCATGCCCGAGACTCGGCGCACGCCATTGTGTCGGCGGGGGTTGTTGATTAGGTGCGATGCTCGGTTCGATGGGATTCGGCTTCGGAGTCGGTGGCTCAGATGGCAGCGGGTGCGCTTGGAACGTTAATACGGTCGGCGTTTGCGCTGAAGGTGGTAGCGGCGGCGGCGGCGGCGGTAGTGACGGCGCATCCTTTGCGACGGTAGGATTTTGATGCTTCTGAGCCGGAGATGAAGGCGACGCTTCTTTTGCACCCTGTTTTGATGCTCCTGGGCTGACAAACTGGCAACAATGTGAGTCGCGGTGACGATGTGGTGAGATCGGGCGATCATCTCATACGCGTACCTGAAGCCTCGAGTACTTCGGCGTCGTCGCCGCCGCTTCAGGTGCCCTCGGCGAAGGCGAGACGGTCAACGCATTTTTGTTTAAAAAGGTCAATCGAGGACCATACTGGCAATCGAAATTCCCGTCGATGCATCGCTGGCAGCGTGGTTTGCCTTCGTCGCCTGCGCAGTGGAATCATGAGGTCAGTTCCGTCTTCACCGAGTATAACCGAGGGATACGAGGAAGTGAGTGAAGAACACCACACCACGGTGGGTATACCTCCCACGTTCTCAAATCAACCAGCGCAACGATAAACAGGACGACGAAATGAGACGGTGATAAGAAACTCACATTTGCGCCGTCGGATCCGACACTTTAGACAGCCGGTGCGCGTCCTCTTGTGTCGGGGCTTGGAGGTGTTCGTTTGTTGACTCCCACCGGTGCCTCCGCCAGCTCCTCCTCCCGCCGCGGTTCCTGATGCTGATTCTGTGTCGTCGGCCATTATCTGTGACGACCGTGCTGCTGCGCTGGGTGTGTGCCATTGCGGGAGGGATAATTTTGTCGGATTGGGAAGGCAGAAGACGTCCCCAACAAATAGTGGAGGACGCGGAGAGACGCGGGTGAAGGAGGGTACCTGACGAGGGGCGAGGAGGAGGAGCAGGGAGGATGGCTCGAGGCGTGATGGTGGTGTGGCGGGGAATAAGACTGGAAAACTTGGGGTTTGATTTCACGCGATCACGGCAACAAGGATGGCGTTGACAGGGAGATGAGCCGCAGGATGTTGGATGTGGGATGGGAAAGTGAGCTGGCAAACACGGCTGGTGGAGGGACTCACTCACCGTTTTCTCAGAGTGGACTGAATGTCATCTTCTTCAGCCTAAATTGAGACGATGATGACGATGATGATGAGTTCTCACAGAGCCCGGCGTATTATCGGCGAATCTTTGACACCAACACCAAGTCACATCTCCGAGATGCCTCAATATTTTCCTTGAGGACATAGGATCCGTCCAAATAGCATTTCGCATTGGATAATTGGCTCCCATCTCATGTGAGCGGTCTGTCTCTTCACCAATTTGTTACCCCTCGTGGAACCCCGTCGAACACAAGTCAAACAGGGGGCCGCTAAGCGCGGGGATGCTTGCCCTTTTCTGTTAAGAGTGCTTAAGATTACCGAAATGGGCAGTTCTTAGCACCGGCGAAGATGCCCCTCCAAGACGATGCGTGAGAAATGAGGCCGGGCTGCGACGCAATGAATCTGCCCTGAGGCGGGGTCGTTGTGAAAGGTTCTGAAATATTTACATTTGCAACAGAACTACAATCTGCTCATCTTCAACCAACTTCATCCTCCTCACTCCAAGACAACTCTCGTTCTGAGCTTCTTCCCAACGCATCTTCTTAGCATCTACACCCTTTTTTTCTTTCACATCTTTCAATCACAATGGGCAAGGACACCATCACCCTCGCTTCCGGCCGCGAGATGCCTCTAGTCGGTTTCGGCCTGTGGAAGGTTCCCCGCGAGACCTGCGCCGACACCGTCTACAACGTGAGCCCCCATCATAGAGACCAGAATCTGTGAGAAGCTGTTCTAATTCGATATCAAAACAGGCCATCAAGACCGGTTACCGTCTCTTCGACGGAGCCTACGACTACCAGAACGAGAAGGAGACCGGCGAGGGTGTTCGCCGCGCCATCGCCGACGGCCTGGTGAAGCGTGAGGACATCTTCATCACCACCAAGCTGTGGAACAACTACCACCGCAAGGAGCACGCCCTCGAGATGGCCAAGAAGCAGAACGAGACTCTGGGTCTGGGCTACATCGATCTCTACCTCATTCACTTCCCCGTCGCTCTCAAGTACATTGAGCCTTCCAAGATCCCCTACCCCGTAAGTCTCATCGCGCAAGCAGTTCCAAGCTGGCACGCTCAAAACCACGCAAATACTAACAAGTCATGTTCTGCAGGCTTGGTGGCAAGATGAGGCCCAGACCATCGTCGAGACCGACAACGTCCCCATCCGTGAGACCTGGGAGGTCCTCGAGTCCCTCGTCGACCAGGGCATCGCCAAGTCCATTGGTGTCTCCAACTTCCAGGCCCAGTCCCTCTACGACGTCCAGTCCTACGCCCGCCACCCCATCTCCGCGCTTCAGATCGAGCACCACCCCTACCTCGTCCAGCCCGACCTGATCGCCATGGCCCAGGAGAACAAGATCGCCGTCACGGCCTACTCTTCCTTCGGCCCCCAGTCCTTCCTCGAGATCTCCAACAAGCGCGCCATCGGTGCCAAGGGTCTCTTCGAGGTCGACGCCGTCACCAAGGCCGCTGCCGCTCACAACGTCACTCCCGCCCAGGTCCTCCTGAGATGGGCCACCCAGCGCGGCATTGCCGTCATCCCCAAGAGCAACAGCCAGGGCCGTCTCCAGCAGAACCTGGAGGTCAACGGCTTCAACCTGACCGCTGAAGAGATTGAGGCCATCTCTGACCTTGACCTCGGTCTCCGTTTCAACGACCCCGGTTTCTACCTGCCCCAGAAGCCTCTGCGCATCTTCGCTTAAGCAGCATTAACCTTGTAATGACTTTGGGATGAACGCTAGGAAATTTAGAGGGTTTAATGGTGGGCGGAGGTGTTAAGAGGACCATATCAGGATCATTTGGTATCATAGAAGCGGCCCTGAAGAGGCCATGAATTGACGAAAAGTTTCACGCGCACAGATTGTCGCAAGTCCGAGTGCCCTTGGATGATTCAAGTGACAGTGTCATCAACAGTATTCGTAGATGTACTGGAGAAGCATCTTTCATGTCAGTGTGATACACGTTGATTATGTTTGAAGAAACGACAGATCTTTGAACATGAATGGACTACAAGATCGGTTTCACAGCATTTCATCGCAAGAAGCTCAAGATCTAAGCTCCAAGCTCCAAGTTCCCGCCTCCAAGAAAGCTCGGAACTCGGCCGATGGAGGGGCGGGCATCGGCACCGGAACCCGGACCTAGCAACCCCCGGCGTTTTGCCGAGTGACATTTGTTCTAGAACTGCCGGGTGCTTCAGATTACCATATTCGGAAGTTTTTACAAGCCAAGAGACGATGAGGAAGTGTTACTCGCTCGGTCAGTTCCCCGCTCTTCCTCACACTCAATTGGCATTGCCCAGGCATCTCCCCGATTGTCCGGTTCTCGACATTCTTACCGACCGGGACATATCACACGACGAGAAATATTTGTTTAGAGCGGGACGGGACGCATAAGTTTAGACTTGCTGAGCTAGCTTCTCATTTCTTCTCAGCGAATCGAAACGTGGGAGATTATCCGGCTGAGCTCTTCTTTAATACCTTTTTCCGTTTCAACTCTGACCTTCTCACACACTTCTACCTTTTTGCGACGCGACTCTTGGTAACGAACAGCTCCTCGCCGTCCACCTTGAATACCATTCGGCAATTTCCATTCTGTCGCATTCAATCCATACCAAACGAAATCCAGAATGTGCGGCACAATAACCTCAAGAGCGCCCGTCAACGGTGTCGCGCCGACTAAGAACGGTGTTGTCGTTGTAACAGAACTGGAGAAGCCCGCCGAGATCCTGAAGGCGCCGCTCCCGAACCCTTCGCTGGTGGTCACGGCCGACCACCAACTCAAGGCCGAGGAGGCACCCGTTCTGGCGCCCAAGAAAGGCGAGGTTTTGATTCATGTCAAGGCGACTGGTGTCTGTGGGTGAGTACAATGATGCGACATACCTTGCGCCAGCTTGCGCGAGCCGCGAATGGCACACGGGGGCTAATAGTGATCCTTCATCAGTTCCGACATCCACTTCTGGAAGACGGGCAAGATCGGCACCCTGGTCTTCGAAGGTGACTGCATCATCGGCCACGAAGCCGCCGGCGTCGTCCTCCGCTGCGGCGAGGGCGTCAAGAACCTGAAGCCCGGAGACCGCGTCGCGATTGAACCCGGCGTGCCCTGCGGCGAGTGCTTCCTCTGCACGGAGGGCCGTTACAACCTTTGCGAGGACGTCCAGTTCGCCGGCGTGTACCCTTACCACGGCACCATCCAGAGATACAAGTGCCACCCGGCCAAATGGGTTCACAAGTACGTTTTTTCAATCACTCTCGACGAGGGAAACCGCTTTGACTGACAGGATCCAGGCTCCCCGATAACATCTCCTACGCCGAAGGCGCCCTCCTCGAGCCCCTCAGCGTAGCCATGCACGGCATCCGCACCGCCGGCCTGGCTCTCGGCGTCGGCGCCGTTATCTGCGGCGCCGGCCCGATCGGCCTGATCACCCTCGCCGCGGCGCGCGCATCGGGCGCACACCCGCTCGTCATCACCGACATCGAGCCCTCGCGCCTCGAGTTCGCCAAGTCGCTCGTGCCGAGCGCCATCACCTACCGCGTCGACCCGGCTCTCGGCAACGAGGGCAACGGCAAGGCGATCCGCAAGCTGTTCGGCGACGACGAGTACAGCGCCCCGCGAACGGTTCTCGAGTGCACGGGTGTCGAGAGCAGTATCTGCACGGCGGCATTCACGGCGCGCCGTGGTGGTACGGTCATGGTGATTGGTGTTGGAAGGGAGATTATGAACAACCTCCCTTTTATGCATCTTTCTCTTGCTGAGGTGAGTTCCCTTGGTGGCTGCAGACTATTGAGACACTTTTCCAGGAGACTGACAATTGCGCCTTGTAGATCAAGCTCGAGTTCATCAACCGCTACCGCGACACGTGGCCCGCCGGCATCGCCTGCCTCAGCAGCGGCATCCTCGATCTGAAGAGCCTCATTTCGCATACCTTCCCACTCGAGCAGGCCGTCGAGGCCCTCACACTTGCCTCGGACTACAGGAATGGCAGCATCAAGGTGCAGATCGTGGATGAGATCGAGGCTGAGATCTTCTAAGGCCGGTGCATGATACATGAGGTGCGGCGTAGCGATCGGGGGTGGAGGATTGGTGTTGAGGGGTTGTGTACTCTTTTGGCTGGGCAATGAGGTCAATCATAGCATACTTAGCGTTATCGGTGTTACGGTTAATGGATATAATTTTGAGATTTGACTGTGCTTTGCGGTCGGTTCAAGATGGAGTTGCTTTCAACATGGAAGCAGGTTAGCGCCACTCACCACCTTTTACTTTACCCAGAAGTATTGCTTTTTTCTTCGACCATAGTACCATGGAGGTCTTTTTATGAGCCATGAAAACCATATTAAACCTGAAGGGCTACTCTGTTGCTAGAAGCAATTTCCATTCCTGTGTGCATGCGCACTTGAAAACTCTCCTGCTGTTGCCCTGATCTCTTGACTCACCAAGCGATGTTGCCGATGTTAAAACCATCAAAATCAACAAACCCATTACCTCTTGTTCCTTCCCTTCGCTGCTCCTGTGGTTGCCCTCTCGTTTGCTCCCTTTGTTGATCTCCTGGCTCGTTGATGGGTTCGTTCTCCAAAGATCTGATACTCAGACCATCCCCGGTGTATGTGATCTCCACTTGCCGCTGGTGCTCGCGGTGATCGGACCATATGCTCATATCCCAGGGCAAAAGGAGATCAGTCTGCATTTCATGGACAGGCTCCACCAATTGTAGTCGATACGTCCGTCTCGTATTCGTGGCAACGAAGGTATGAATCCATCGGTAGAATGACCTTGTGACGAGGTCGCCCAGATCGTCGAGACAACGTCGAAAGTCGTCTCTGAGAGCGATCTCATCTCCGAATCTGCTCAACAGATCTTGGATGGGACTTAAGTACCCCAACGTCAGGGCGGATTGCCCTCCGGTAAGTCTGAACGCGGTGACTAAGAGCTCGAAGGTGGAGCCACCATATCTGATGGTGAAGGTGGCTTCTGGTTGTCTGGTGAGATAGTTGTCAGGAAACCGAGCGCCTTGATTACGCCAGACGCGGGTTAGTAGGGTTTGTGCTGGGGTCGTGGACGTTCCAAGAACCACAGACGTAATGATAGATGGCTGAGTTTGACCACCATCTTGATCGCCTGGGGCGACAGGTTGACGAGGGCGATCTGGCTCGGGATCCATTGGGGTTGTTGTTGTGGTTGCGCAGATATGATTCTTAGAGGGCGAGCTCTCCGTCAACCAGTATCCTTTCGCTTCAAGGGCTCCAGTCAACAAGACAGCTTTTTTGCCCTGTTACTGGCTCAAATTTATGTCAATTCACCCCGCAAGGCTGCTTGAGAGTGAATCGCACAGCACGGTCTTCTGCTCGGTGAATGAATAGTCGAACGACTGTTGGAACATCGGTGAATGAGCTAACCAGCCAGATCGCCAATGAGGTTGAAAAGTTAAGATTGTTCAACTCAACGTACATGGCAAACATTTCTCTAACAGTTGTTTCGGTCTTAATGTGCTGGGCCTGTTAGAATATGTTAATGACTAGCTAGGCAACTCATGGTCGACAGCCGAGGAAGGAAGCAGAGGCTGGAAAAGGCATAGCATTTGTCCGAGAAACTCTATAGCGTGTCTATCTCTATGGTCTATTTTCTTTTTCAACACAGGCAATGAGAATTGCTCTGCTCATGTGCGCTCAGTTGAAGGCCTCCGTGGCCCGACTGGGATGCCACGTACCGTTACTTCAACTTGAGGTCTACGCCAAAAAACCACCAAATCCCAAATCAAACTTTTGTTCCCATTTTCTTCTTCTCATTCTCCTCCTTGGCCATCATACGCTCAGCCCTCCATTGATGACCGTAATTCCAATGGATCACCGCGAGCGGCGTCATTGACACAGTGATCAGCGCCAGGCCTAAGAACGTCGGCCCCACGCCCGTGAGGGCAATCATCTGCTCAATGAAAGCAACGCCAATAGCACCGAGACTGCACCGTACCAGGTTGTTGATGGCAGTAGCGCTCGCACCCTTGCCCGGGCAGAGATCAGACACCAGGGTCTGGTTGAGCGCGAAAACAGCGTTACTGGTAGCCGCGATGAAGAACTGCAGGACCAGCGGGACCGCAACCCAACCGCCCAGGCTTGTGATCGAGGGGTATGCCAAGGTGAAACCGTAAGCTGCTGTGGTGATGGTGAAGATGACTACGATCCATGGGAGGCGCATCAAACGGGCTCGTTCGATGGGGAAATCTGCGGGCACGTCCTTGGACGATAGCTTCTTTGCTGACGGTATGTTTCGCGCAGACTTATATGCGGCCTCGAAAGCTGCAAAGTCCTTGTTCATGAGCTTGCCAACAATAGTAGAGCCCACAATGGTGCCGATACCTATCAATGTGAGAAACCGGGTTAGTCACAGGCAACACTAATTTTAAAGACGACCTAAACGTACCATTTGGAAGAAAGCAAAGACCGATCTGAAGTTCGCTCAAGCCAAAGCTTGTCTTGAAGAGACCGCTTGTGCTTGATGTTACCATACTCCAAATAGCATAGATGACGCCTCCAAAGACAAGGTTGATGAGAATGTCTTTCTGAACTAGTAGCCTCAAGGGCTCCAAAAATGTCGCAAGAGTAATTCTTTTCTTGGGCTTTGTTGTTTCATGACTCGGCTGAGTGTAAGTGGGCTCCCCGGTGATGTACCACACCAAAGGCTTGTATATCCCGTTCTGTTGAATGGAGCCATTGCCGGCGATACTTCGCATCGTCTCGGGGAGGAACACAACAATGACTGCAAGAGTGATCGTCGAGATGATGAGGAGGAAGACGAATATCGAACGAAACCCGAGGAAGTTGGACAAGAGCCCTCCAAGGACGGGACCGACTGCGATACTGAAATTTCGGACTGCGAAATATTCTTAGTGGGCATCCAAAGAATAACATCAATACTGGTGAACATACTCGCTTGGTAGAAGCTGATGAAGCCACCTCTTTCCGAAGACGGGGAGATGTCCTGGATAACACCATTTCCTGTTAAAGCCCTATTGTCAGTCCCTGTAGGCCACGGCTAGCAAGACCAGGATTACCTACCAATACTGACAGTCGATGCACTTCCAGCTGCTTGCAGACCCCTGAACACAAGTAATATCGTGAAGCTTGGAGAGAAACTCAAAGCAATGTTTGAGACGATGTATACTGCGAACGAAGCGATGTAGATAGGCCGACGTCCAAGAACATCGGAAATCGAGCCCCAAATCAGAGGGGAGATTCCTTGGATGATCAAGTACGAAGTTATGGTCAGAGAAACCATGTTCAAACTAACATTCAGATCCTGTCACAAACCAAAGATGAGTCAACCAATCAACAAACTTCTGAATACACTGACAAACATACCTGTGCAATAGCGTTCAAAGACGGAAAGTAGATGTTGGAGGAGAGGCCCGAGAACAAGCCAGCGACTCCAATGATCACAATAACCATCCATTTCTCGTTCTTCGAAAAGACGTGATACGGCACCTCGGGCGGTGGGCAAGGGGTTGTGGCTCCGGAGGAATCGGAGTCGTAAGGCGGGAGCGGGCGATCGTTGGATGGTATGTAAACCATAGGCGGTTCAGAAAGGGACTTGGCCGACTTGTGATGACTTTTCTCTCTAGGGAAGAAGTCGTATTTGGTAGAAGCGGTGGGGGACTGTGAGTCCTGACCGGAGAGTACATGATCAGATTTGGTAGACCTGTGGCCCAAGTCCTGCGCCGGGCGGACTTGGGCATTGGAACTTGACGACATGTTGCTAGGAACATCTTTCCTGAACTTCGTGTCAAGAGTCGTATCTCGCGGGAAAGCCATCGTTGACTTCTCTAAAGACTTCAAAGGGAAAGAAGATAAACAAAAGACACCAACAAGACTGAAGAAAGCAAAGAAAACACAAACTCAAGTGAATGAAGAGCGAGGCATGGAGATGGAGTACATGGCTTGATAATATTTCACCCGCCGCTCTGGAGTCTTCTAAATATCTAAGCCTGACAGCACGTTAACGCCAAGAAGATAAGTGACGGGGGCACTCGGACAAGCTTTCTACAGAGCCCGGTCACATAGCCGGGGGGCGTGGGCCAACGTAGTAGCCACGCAAGTTCTCCCTCAGCCGCTTCAACGGAACGGCGCCGGTACGAGTATGGATAGGCCCCGCCGGCGGTGCCCGTGGGTCAAGCAAGGAGTCTTCGGTTACCTTAAACGGAAACAGCAAGGAATATCTACCGTCGGGCTCGAAGCACGTATCTTCTCGTGTTGCAGGTGGCGCGTGTCATTGGTTGGTACCGTATCTTCTCTTTTGAAATTCAGAGGCTGAGCGTGTGTAATATTCTTCCGTGTAAGGGTCCATCAAGACAAACTCATGTCTTGCACACAACTGGTTCAGTGGCTCCCGACACGTCCCGTTACAACTACCGGCCTACCCGCATCTTTCCCGTACGTCGAGCCTGTTTCGATCTACGCCGAAGACCGTCTTGGCGCCTGAATTCTCTTCTATTCTGATATTAAATTATGGACCGTTTACGCTTAGCTTGACGTCGTGCTCCCAGAGTTGAAAACTCAAGCCGTACAGAAGAAGGTACATAAGTGCAAGCATTATCAACACCGACACGGTTTGCACGCCAGAAAGAAGTGACAGGTGTCACAGCAGTCCCTTCCAGAACCCAGACCCGGACACTTGAGTATTCAGAAACCGCAACTTGCCCTCCTTCACAGTTCAGTCTCCTTATCCACATACTTTGACAATGGACAAGCGATCAACATACGTACCGAACACGGGCCTTGTGTTAGTGGTGATTCTAGGGAGTGTCGGTAAAGTAACACCGCTGGGACCGATTTCCGCGAGTTCTGTTTCTAACGGTCTCATTCAGCTGGCGCGTCGATCTTAGCTGGAGTCTTCATGCTCTGGCGGAAACGGGCTAGAGGGTAAAACAACGGGTGAGTTGCTAATCTATCTCCTTCATTGAACAGGCCATATCCGTGACAATGCTGATCCAAGCCCATCAGAAGGGAACCATCTCGGGTGACCGGGATAAGTTGGCCTCAATGACACAATCAACTCAGTCGGGTTAGTGGTTGTAGGGGAATATTGTGTGGAGAAACACTTCAGTTGGGTATCTTCTTTAGAGGAGATCATGGAAATCCCTTACACACGCATATGTAGCCGCGCAATGAAAAGCCTCAGCTCAGAGTTCATCATGTCTTAAGCCGCGTGTAAGACTCAGACGAAGTGGAGATAAGCATGATGAGCTAGAATATGAGATGCTCACATCCTTGCTCCGGGATGTGAGTGTTTTGGAGGGGTTGAGGGGGTCCGCGCCCAGCCCGGGGCAACCTAATTTTCAAGCTAGATTGGCTGCCGTGGCGGAGTGGGTGGTGCTATAAATGGATCTATCTGCTTCACGAGTATGCAAGATGAACGCTGTTGACGCGGGAAAGGGGAGATCACTGTTCGCCAGGACTCAAATTCCCGACGGCCGTGTGGGTATAGACGGATCGAAGCTTGTCCGTACATGCCTCTAGATGCGCCTAAGCTGAAATGGGACTCGGTGACACTTGCGATGTGTCGAACAGGACGACGTGGAATCGGTCTTGGAGACGGGTGCCGATGCAGATCGTAGTCCACCTCTACCCGCACGCTTGAGGTCAGTGTGCGTTGGAGCGATTTCTATGTGCCAAGGAGTGCTGCGCGACAGTCTCCGGCCGGATCTTGTGTGATTAGAGACGGCCTGGAACTTCTCACATCTGTTGTGTGATGCGGGAATAAATTGCGTATGAGACACTATCTCCTGCCAACTGATGCCTCAAGAGTAGGGAGACGGAAGGCTAGAGCCCGTTGCCGATCTGTTTGTGTTATGACAGCTTATAATAGAACATCAAGGTAGGAAAGACCCTGCAAACATGGTATCGTTACCGAGACTAAGGTAAAGGTTTGAGGAGACAGGACTCAGGTCAAGATAAGCCGCGCCCGGACAGTCTCATAGTTCGGCCCAAGACCTGAGTCAAAGATTGTAGACGAGCCAAGATTTCATTGATCGCTTCCCTCTCATTCGGAGCCCGGGTCATGTTACGGCACCTTTGGGGAAGGGGCAGTGACTCTGTACGAAGCCACCTTTGACCTCCAAGACCAGCCAAACGAACTTGTCCTCGTCTTGGATCAAATTTATTGACCTGTGATTGACTCACGTGTATCTCCCACGTTCTCAAGAGGTCAGGATGTACTGGGGTGATTGGCATGATGTTATCTCAAAAGTTCAGGACGAACTGATAGTTCGGAGCAACAGCTGCCCAACGAAATCCTGACGTTACGTTCGTCTAGTGTTCTTCGCATATCATGATCCGGGATCGACAAATTACGTTCAGAAAAACACATTAATCTGCCCCAGAGTTACAGTTTGGCGGTAGTCGATATCTCCTTGCAGAATTTTCAGGGGCTTGCTATGTCATTCAGGACTGGGAAAAGTGTGAAGCCAAGTAGGATAACGCAGCAAACCACAACGTGCGGAAATGACCCATGTCTCTACCCGTGCAGATTCTGCAGTCACATTTTGATTTACGTTTTGCTATGTCCCTTCGGAGTTGTTCTTATTCAACGATGTGGTCATTGTGCTTTGGCGATGTTGGCTGCAACTTGTTAGCCGAGAGAGCAGGCCGCAAGGTATGAGGTCACATGCTCTTCGACGAGTTGGGATGATGAAAATGTACCGAAATAATGGCCGGAGTAAAGTAGGTAGACAAAATGACGATTTTGACGCAGCACGGCCTAAAGACTTTAATGAGCGAGCCCAAAGCAGGTCGGGCATATATCAGGGGGCGATTTTCGTCCTACACAGAAGCGAGACCGAGATTCTTCTGTCGATAGAGATACTCGCCTCTGATAGATCTCGCCATTGCCACGTGCCTGTAAATTACGTTTATGGGACGTAACGAATATCATGACGGTGCGAGGTCTGTAGTGGGCAGCGGACGCGGACCAGCTCGGCGTTACCCCTTGATATCACCGAGGTCTCCGAGGGCTACGCGATGGCATCGGGGACTGAACTAGGGCCCATATAAGACCGTGCCTGTACTGGAAGGTTCCCTTGGTACCATGAGCTTCGTTCATACCCTGCCACAGTGTTTTGTTTTAGTTATTTTGGTCGCATGCCTGCGTCGGCGAGAATCTAGCTTCAACTGCCAGGGATAAGCGTCTCCCGTTGATGAAACAATCACACTTGCCTCTCTGGAGTAAGTGCTCGGTTAGAGCCGAATAAGTGGTCTGATTGCTTCTTAGATACCTGTTCCAGGATTGAGATGACAGGAAGGTGCTCTAGTCTAAGACTCTAATGTGATGTGACAAACATACAGGCGGGCATCCGACGGCCGTGTCTTCATCCTGTCACCTGTGTCATATCCGAACCATCTTCCGAACATCGTGTTCGTTATGACTCGTACAATCAACCTGATTTGTACTTGGGACGTTACCAGTTGTCTGGTTTGACAATGTGGCTATGACCTGGAGATAACTAAAGTCACATTCCAAGGCACTGAAAGCCAACCACTTTTGCGCCCGAGTCGGAACCCTTACGTGGGATATCGGTGTAATTTTCAACAGAATCCGTCTTTCGGTGCTGATCATTGGAATACTGCTTCTTCTACCTGACTATTTCGTCTCTCGCCGCCGGCCGTGCTTGAACCGTCTTTCGCCAGTAAGCAAACTGGTCATCACCAAACCAAGATCTACTCTAGCGCCTGCCATGTTTGCAAGCATACCCTGCAAGACTTTGATGCAGATCATCTGGAAGAGGCCGAGACTGTCCCGTTGTCAAACAATAGTGAACAACGTCGGCTTCGTCAGCTGCTCAGCCCCTAAGCAGCTTCCCTATACCCAGCCGGGAGACACTAGTTCCGAGACCCCCAAGGTCCTACCTGGCGAGGCTGCCAATATGATCTGTGCGAATGTCAAAATTCTTGGGAAGGGAGTCGGCATAGAGCAAGGGGGGAAAGCTTCAATATCTTGTAAGTTGGATGGTTAAACTGAGAGCTCGAGAAAATGCCAACACATGGTTCCGGCAAATATCTGGAGCGTGGGTGTACATAGAAAAAAGGGGGCTCGCACCACAAAATTACCCCAGCTCGGTAGGCATCTGTGATACTGAGAGAATCTCACAGGGAGAACCACTTGATCCCAGCGCCTTGCCTGTCTAAGGACCTCTTGTGCGTCGCGTAATCCTTATCACCGTCAATTCCATTCGTCCATAGCGCTTGGTCTCTTCGCCTCGATGGCTTGAGAAAGATGCCCACAATACACCCTCATTCCCGAATGGGTGTTGCTGATGTGTCGAACTTCATCTACAGGAAACAACCAGAATAACATCTAAAAAGGAAAGTTGATGTAATATTCGTAAAGCTGAAGCTAATAAACTATATCGGCTTGTGAAATTGTAGCTGGATTTGAGAGTCTAGCGTGAGCATGAGCATGACGCCTGACATCAAGCTTCCACAAGATCTTCATTGGAGGGTATCAGCCAGACGCCCGTCACAGCATCAGTTAACGGTTCAGGGATATTTGGAAGTCAAGATAGCCACTTATGGCTAAAGACACGACCAAAGTGAGCACGATCGCTGTGTCCTTTGCTCACAGTGTGGTATCAGTCGAAGTGTTGCCAAGTTTGAGAGGTGAAATGTTCATACATGATCCAAGAAATAAAACCACGAACCAGGGTAGCTGATTGCAAATAGATTTTCCTTATAAGACCAGAAATCCAGCAAGACAACGGCGGCGGACATTGCTAGAATCCGTGAGAGTATCTCTGTCCGCTCACTCAGGCCCAGGGAGCCCTGGCCATCATAGCCACAAGGCGGGCGATGTGATGAGCAGTAGAGACACTCCTGGGACCAGGGCAACCATACGTGTTCCATTTGAGTTCGGCTTATCGTATCCCGGGGAGCTGTATTGGCCTTTGGGGATCATGGACAGTTCTCAGTCCGTTTCATGTAATTGACAATACCCCAATAACGCTGGCGACCACAAGTTTCTTTAAAGCTGGTTCTTCTTGACACTGACAACCCTGTACAAGCTGTATCATTCCTGATTCTTTTTGGGGAGCGAATTTGAGCCATCGCCGAGGCAGGCAGCAAATAAAGTCACGGCCATGTCACGTTTAGTGGGGTCTCAACCACGCAGGCGGCACGCTGGCGAGGATGAGTCCAGGAGAATCACCCACGCCAATCCTTAAATAAATAGCATCCCAAGGAAATCCAAACTATTTTATTGTTTTCTTCACTGTTCACTGCAATCAAAGAGATTCAAAATAATCCCCGGCACCTTTGTAACATCGAAATTGGGGTCTCAACGAGACCATCCACGGCAGCCATTCTACACCCAGCGACGAGGGCACCGGAGAGTAGGCCTAGTTTTTCGAGGTCAGCTACAGAGAGTAGGTAGATAAGGATGTATTGACACTGAGTTTAGCTTGGTTAGCACGTTTTCAAAGGACCACGCGGTAACTTGAATGTTGCTCGAAGTGTTGGAGTGACATTACTACTGACGTGAGGAGCCAGCAGAATGAGCCACACGTCTCTATTAGAGCTGGTGTCTGACGTGTTGACACTTTCTTCACGCTACCTTTGGATGATTTTCATGGTGTCCTGGTGCGACATGAATGATTTCAAACTTTCTGAAGACTTCGATCTGACTACGGACTTCGCGACGAGACTATTATCCACCGTGAGATTGCCAGAGAAACTACCCACACGGGCCATAGAGTCATTCTACCTTTCGACACGGGCCCAGGCGAAGGATCTATTGGCCCTTTTGCCTGCGAAGTTGGTAGCCAGCAGGGGGTCATCGAGCCTGTCGGTTTCCCCAGTGCCTGCATTTAATCTCAGTTCCTCCCATGTCTTTAGCTCGTTCTCTGGTGTTTCCATAGACTCGCTCGCGTCTGTATCTGACTTCTCTTTGTTCTCGTACATCAACCATCCTGACAACGGTCGAATATTAACAAGGTCCGCGGACTCTGCGTGGCTGTCGACGCTCGATGAGTCGTCGGAAGAGCCCCTAACAGCTTCGGGCCTGGAAAACCCCTGGATCCCAAAAGAACCCGCCAGGATGGTGCACTTGAACTCGTCGCCGTGGTCGCGGACCGTGACGGGGACGGAAGCCATGCCGGTCGGGATGTCGTCGAAATCGACCGAGGGGTAAGGAACACCATCAAGCACGATGTCTTGCCTGAAACGCGGCTTGGCTATGCCTTGGGGACTCCAGTAGCAGAAGGCCGTGATCCATCCGGAAATGTAGTCCATGCCGCTTCCCACTAAATTGCGCGTCGCAATCTTGTTCCAGAAGTTCACGACCTGTGGGTTAGCAGGAGCTCCGAAGGAGAGAATCATGTAGCGCAATATCGGCCTCAGCATCTCGGCAAACTGCGTCGGCTCGTCTCCTAGCTGCTCAATCCTGTCTAGTCGCGCAAGAATGTTCTCGTAGTCCGCGACCTCGCCCAGCAGGGTAACCGATGGGATACCGCAGTCCAAAGTCCAGTTGTACGAGAAGTACTTCTGCATCGCGCCCATGAACAGAACCGAGGCCACGACCTGATCGGTGGTGGTCGTCGTAGAGAAAGACGGCATGACCCAGTCGCGCAGTCCGGGATCCTTCACGTTCTTGGCAATCATGTGTGTCATGCGCTCAGCGAAGACACTAAAGTCGGCGTAGTCCATCGACCCTGCGTCGACAACCTCCAGCTCTTTGCTCCCCTCATGTTCCACGAAGAAGTAACGCAGCTTTTCGGAGTTGCCATTGATATGAAAGCTCAGCTGGGTGAGAATGGCGAACCAGATGTCTTCCGGGCGGAGGGTAAGGTGGTGATGGTCGCTGTACGCCCGGCACGCGGCCCAAACGAAGCCGTTCTCGGAAGGGGACGTATGGGTCTCGCGCAAAGTTCGGCGCGTCAGTGAAGTTTGTATGATTCTCTCGCTTTGTGGGTAGTTTTCCGGACAGACCCTCGCGAACAGTTCCTCCGGCGTGGTCGCTTTTGGAACCGCCCACGACGTGGCAAGGTGATCGACGATTTGCAAAGTGACGGGCATTTCGCTCGTTGTCTTAATCTTCAATTAGTCTTCTAGATTTCAGACTTTCTCTTCATAAATATAGCGGGAGAATGAAGTTTTACAGAGCAGATTTCACCGCGTATCATCCGCGTTATCTTGAGCAGGCTGTGGAATTCTGCTGTGTGCCCAAAGTGGATGCTGCATGTCAGATGGTTGCCCGACTGGATACTGCGGAGAACTTTTCAGCCAGTCAGATAATGAGCTTACTTCGATTATTTTATCTACCGGTGTTGCTAAAGGAGACGTCACAGTTTAGAGACTATGGGCTTGACGTTTGTCCCCTCCGTCTTCCTCAACGACGGCCTGCAAATTGTATTCAAGCTTATTCGATTTACTCCGTCTTTGTGGCATGAAATCAAGCAAGGAAGAACGCGCGCTGAATCCGCCGGTCCTCCGCGGCCTGTTGCGTGATTTTCACAGCAGCACCAACGTACTCGAGTGGACCGGAGTTGTACATGTAGGACCCGAGCGTTATGATCCTTCGTCGGAGGGCGCTCAAACTTCCGGATGGTTGCTCACGTACCAGGCGGAACGCCTGCAGAATGAGACCTATATCGAGTGTGGCACGGAGAGGTTTGTGAAGTTTAAGCCTCCCACAAATCAAGAGCTGGTGCCGCACACCCCTGGTCCTGGAGATGCATGCCTAGCTTGCGAGGAGGTTGAGCTAGAGAAGCTGCTAACTTACTTTCCCGGGCGAAAACATCATCTCGGCTGGTTCAGAGACGTTGCTGCCTGCCGCAGCTGTAGCCTTTGTCGCCTGCTTTCGAGGGCGCTCACGAAGGAAGTTTCCAGGCACGTCGCCAGTCACCCTCGTCCTCAAGACGACGACTTTGTGGTCGTTACGACGAGGCCTTCAGCAAGGCCACTCCCGTCGCGAAGAAAAGACCGCACGTACGAGCTCGAAGTCCTCTTGATACGATCCAGCGGAGTGATCATATCGGAAGTCAGCCTCCGCCTTCAAGGCGACAATGCAATCCGTCTCCGAAAATCACCGCGGTTCTATGGACGGCAGGTGGAACGGGACGTTGCCAACCTGAGCCTTGCGAAATTCTGGATGCAAGAGTGCGCTCAATGCCACGCCGATTCCAGACCTTTAAAAGAGAAGCGCGAAGCCGAGCTGCAGCTCACCGTCATCGATACCGAGAGAAGCTGTCTCGTCTCAGTCAATTGGGATTCCGATTACGTGGCATTGAGTTACGTCTGGCCCCTTTTCGACACCACGAAACTGTGCTTGCATAATTTTGACCGACTACACCAGCCTGGATCCATTGATTCGTCTCGCATCAGTTTACCAAAGGTTATCATCGACGCCATGGATGTTACCCGGGGCATGGGAATACGATACCTGTGGGTCGATGCCCTGTGTATAGTCCAAGACGATCCCATCACCAAAGGCCGTCTCATCGAGTCCATGGATCAAGTCTACGGCAAGTCTTTTTTCACTATCATAGTAGCCTCTGAGTGCGACTCCAGTCAGAACTACGGTATTCCTGGCATCAATGGACTTCCTAGGGCCAACAAGCAACTCTCAGAGCAGGTGGAAGGTCTTGACATCCTTGTCGCTCTGCCAGACTATGACCGGGCACTAAATCGCAGTCGTTGGTCGAAGAGAGGGTGGACATTTCAAGAAGGCGTACTCTCACCCCGGTGCTTATTGTTCACGGACTATCAGATGTACTTCCGCTGTCCACACGATTCGCGGTGCGAAGATGTCCACGCTGAAGGGAAGGACCGATTCGAGCAGCACACCGCCAAACCCGTCGAGCGCCGTGGCCAGCTCGACTTTCTCGTAAACTCCGACTTCCTCACCAGGGTGTCATCACATCGGAGTTTCTCGGAGTACGCCTTGCTGGTATCTGGGTACAGCTCGAGAAGCTTGACTTTCGACACGGACATCCTCAACGCCTTTACTGGCGTCATGCGCCGTCTCGCGCCCCATATGGGACCGTGTGGTTTCTTCCTCGGCATGCCACTGGATCACTTCGACACGGCGCTGCTGTGGTATCCCATCGACCAACAGCAGCGGCGCTTGGAGGCCCATAACGTGGTGGAAATGACACGGTTGCCGACATGGTGTTGGGCGGCGTGGAAAGGCAAAGTGGACTACCAGGGAGACATGATGATGATCCAAGACAAAGAAACGGTTTTGACAATGGTGCAATGGTGGGCGAGAGGGGGAGGAGGGACGGAACTTGGGCGGAACTTGTGTCCCATCAGAAACTATACCGGCACTCAGCGCCCGGAGTGGGCGCTCAGCTATGGAATGTTGGAAGCAAGGGTCACAGAACTCAGTATTGGATCTTTGATTTTCTGGGGGACTTGTATCAAGTTCCGAGTTGACCCTCGGCCACGTAAGCTGTTGAACTGGTTGGTCGACTGGCTCCAGGAACTGCCTTGCTTTTCCATTCTGGACAGCGACGGCGACGTCTGCGGGTTGCTGCCCTCCCCAGATCGTTCCTGGATAGATGATCTTCAAAGGCAGGGAAACGATCAACTGTACGAATTCTTGCTACTGTCGTTCGGCAACCAGTCAAAGCATGATGGCATCGCTGAGCGTTCTATCTTTCTTCATGAAAAGTATAGCAGCGAAGGAGACGCGTATCGCTGCTTTTACTACGTCATGCTTGTGGAACATATTGGGGACGGCCGTTATGAGAGGAGAGGTATCGGCCGTATTCACTGGGATGCTGGAAATGAAGAGTTATGGGATAGGTGGGAAAGGAAGATAATGGTCTTAGTGTGAGCCCTGGTATTAGTTCATTCCCGTACTATCCGGTGCGCAAATTCAATGCTAGGCGAGGACTCTGCAGCATTTAATTTGTCGCAAAATTTCTACATACACGACATGATCGTCAACTACCAAGCAAACGGTTCCTCGATCAGGTCTACCGCATAACCATCACGCACGCTGTTGACAACGTGCTTCGTGGCTTCATCCGCCATCCCACTCGGCCCGCAAACCAGTACTGTTGTTCGGCACCCTTCTTCCAAGTAGTGTCTTATGACGGCCTCGGTATCCATTCTGCCAAATATAACCCCTGTCGTGATGGTCGTCTCCGTGTCCCGCCTGCTCGTTCCCTTAAAGGCCGCCATTGGAATGCTGGCTCCTGTACACCAGAACGAGCATTCAACTCCAAGGGCATTGTCCAGAAACCTTTGTCTGACGTGTTCGATGAGTGACATTTCTTGGGCAGACCAGGCTAATATGAACCGCTTGGCCTTCTTCACAGCACCACGGCTCTCCTCGTCGCCATTGATCACTGTGCTGGCGTACTCTTGGACGTACCCAAGCACACCAGTGACGCCAATACCTCCAGCGATGCACAGTACTGTATCGGCAGTGAGCAGCGGCCAGTGTCTCGCTCTGTGGCCTCCGTAAGGTCCTTCCGTGTAGACTGACAAGTTTATGCTGGAGGACGTCGAAAGAGCTAGTCGACGATGAAGGTGTGCGGTAGTACCAGAATGTGAACGAATCAAGAAGCTGACAGATGCCGGAGTCCCCTGTTCAACCTCACTGGTGGCAACCTTGACTCTTGGATCTTTGGCGAGATCTTCTTGAATGGCTGCGGTATCAACAGACACAGGATTCGTCGCCCCCTTCCAGCCAGCTACACTGAAAGGATGGTTCTCCCAAAACCTGCCTAGACCTGGAAAGTAAAGAACGCTGTGCTGGCCAGGTCGAAACTCCCATGCCACATGGGGATAAACCGTGAGATGCATGACGTTAGAGTCCGGTATGGCCTCCAGGACGGCTTTGGAACCGAGAAGCCGATTGTAGTATGCGACCCGAGTTATCCTTGCTAGGCGGTCGAAAGCCCAGAAGGCGAAGCAGATGTAGAGCCAGGTCTGGTAACCGAAGGCATAACCGAAGTGAGGAACTATGTGATACCAGCACGCAACCAAGGCGAAGCCGACTAGGGCTATATGGAGGGCCAGAAACGCCTCATAGAAGTTGATACGCATCGGAAGAACAGAAAACCCTGCAACCAAGCAGAAACATATTGTTGCAATAATACCCCACCACTAATACGATACGTCAGCGCACTCTCTTGGATTGAGGCCTTGGGAAACGGGGTACAAACATAGAACGGTTCAGCTGCTTTTGCGACGTAAGCGGAGGCTCCGTCATATCCCGGCTGCCAATACGCCAATGTGTATACGATAGAGTGGACGACGGCTTGTACGACAGCGATTCGCGCGGTCCAACGATGCAAAGTGAGGAACGTCGTCAAGCTCCATCCCGTCCAGGCGATCAAAAGATTGTTGCGTCCCGCAAATAGAATAGTAATACTCGCGTTTACGAGGCTGAGGATGCCTGTTCGGTTGCCGACGTACTCACATAATTCGAACCCCTTGGACTTGAAGTTGATGTTCGGCTGGAAGCTTCCAAAGCCTACTGCCGAGAAGATGATATTGAGAATGACATATACGAATATGAATATACTCAAGGTTCTGCGCGGGACGTATCCAATCTGTCCTGGCAAGGGCTCGAGGCGCCGCGATCCGGTGAGAGCAGGTAGAAAAACATGTTGACGTAGCTTAGGCCAGAACTTCGAACTTTCAAGCCTTTTCTGCAGCACAGGGAAGCCGACGGCTATCTGAGACAGAATGCCGCAGGAGACGCAGGCTCCGATGATGAATATACACAGAGTTAACCTGAAATAGCTTTGTCAGTGACTGCAAACGACGACGTATCGGGTAACGGTTCCATACGCGTATTTCGAATGTAGATATTCAGACCTTGCGAACTCGCCCTCGCTGCCATGAGTGGCATAATAAACGTCCCTATTTACCAAGCTCGTCTCGTTGAGCCACGTCGCATTGGCGGTCAGCTCGACCGTGGGGGCCATCGCTGGCAAACTTTGCTGAAAGGTTGGGGTCGGAGCACCGTTCACAGCCTGGTTCCGAAAGCATTCAGCCTGTTTGTTGGTAGGATAGCCGTCGAAATCACAATTTTGCTGGATGCAGTACGCCATCGTCTGGAGCCACGGCGTGTTGGAGGCGTAGCATTCCGGACTTGTCATGCCCATTGACATCATGCCCATCGGCATGCTCATCTCTGGCATACCGCTCATACTCGACATGTTGCCAAACGTGGTGCAACTGAGAAAGAGAGTGGAGAGTGAGTCGTGGCATGCCTGGCAACATAGGTCCTCATAGAGGGTGATGCCGAAGCCGATGATGCCATTTCCGCTTTGACCGTGGGTATCGCGAACCAGGAAGGCAATGAGAATGACCAAGAGAGATCTTACGTTCATCATCTTGATTGATGCGAAGTTGCCATTGCAAGTTGGCCAGTATTGAAGCAACTGACGATGGCGAAAGATAGACGTGCAATCAGCTGCAATCCTGCTAGCTGTGAGACGCGCGCTCCCACGTGAGCGGGGAGCAAAACCCAACTCTAATACTGCTGCGTCTTTTAGTAAAGCACAAATAAAACACTGCGAAACGTCAGTAACTCAATCAAGAAGTTTGTCTTCATCAGCCACGTTGAACGCGCCAAGGGTGCGAAGGAGCAGCATTTACGTTTCTAAGTAAGCCAGGGTAAGCTATCATCCTCTCTGGTTTGAATCGACTTGATTCTGTCTCTCAACATTACAGCCAGCGGCCGCTGCGGCTTAAACTTTCAACCATGTGAATCAATACGCCGGGCAGAACCTTCCCCCCAGATCTTGGATGGAAGGGAAACCCGTTGACGCGGTTATGCGGCTGAATGCTTAAAGTGCCTTTGTAGTGGTGATTTCGGCAACGGCGACATAATCAACTAAACAAGTTACCTTTCTAAGCGGCTTTTCGTCTCATCCATCAGACACAGAACAGGACAGGCAGTCCAAACATTTCGCCGGCGATCCCCACGGAACCGCCCGTGCTTGGGAATTGGAGTGGGATCCTGGACCTATTGGTGCATGAGCTTCGCTCTGTAGAGCTCTCAAAGTTTGCTTTTATGGGCAGACGCATGCCAAGACAACTTCCGCTGATGTGCCATCCTTCTCTTGCTTTCATTTCCTACAGGTTGTTATCGTCAATTCTTTCTTATTATTTGCTCTCATTATCGGGTGCACATATGTCAGTATGGTGTCCCGGGTCTCGATCGTGGGCGCAGGGCCAGCTGGTTTCGCCCTTGCTGCCGACCTCCAAAATCACGGTCTCAACACACTCGTTTATTCGCACCAGACTCATTTGCGGCATGCCAAGGATGTCATGAAGAAAGGCGGTCTGCAGCTGAGCGGCATGATGGAAGGGTTCATGTACCTGAGCTTGACTACCGATATTGGCGAGGCGGTAGAATTCTCGAGAATTTTGATTCTCACGGTCCCTTCCACTGGCCAGCAGACAATCTTGGACGAGTTGAAGCATTACGACTTGCGTCGCCACACGATCATTGCGGTCCCGGGGAACCTCATCTCTCTGCTGATGGATGCTGAAATCGAAGTGGGGAATATCCTGGAGACCAACCTGTCACCGTACTCCTGCCGCATGGACGAGAACAATTTGCTTGTTTTCGGGAGGAAGAAAGTGGTCTTCATCACAGCCTTACGGAACGACGTTCACCCCAGATTCTATGACGATATTCAGAGCATCTTTCCAATGCGGCTCAAGTGGTGCAGCAGTGTGATCGAAGTCAGCTTGTCCAACGTCAACGGGGTTTTCCACCCGGCGATGATGTTGATGAACGCTGGTCGTATCGAAAGCACTGCAGGCGACTTTCTCCTGTACCACGACGGCCTGACTCGATCAGTGGCCAACACGATGCTTGCCATTGACCAGGTCCGCATGAAGATCGGCGCGGAGTTTGGACTTCGTCTCGGAAGCGCCGTTGACATATCCAACGAATGTTACAATCAAGGCTTCACTGACCTGGTTGATCTGGCCCGTAACTCTCCGCCTCACAACAAGCTCAAGGCTCCAGGCGATATTGAGAATCGAAACATTTCAGAGGACGTCCCGGACCTGCTGGTGAGCTGGCATGGCTTGGCCGAAAAGCTAGGCATCGATGCTTCACCCATCGCCGCGATCATTGTTCTCGCCGAGATGGCTACCGGTATGGACTTTCGGAAATCGGGCAGAAATCTCAGAAGGCTTCACCTGGAGGGTGTAGGACGGGGCGAGCTGGTTGCGATGTTCAGCCCCTTTCTCGCCACACAGAGTGAGGCCCGATTGTGAGAGACTGCACGTCCTTTCTCCATGGCCTAACGCGTGCATACTGTCACGAGCATATATTCAGAGCTTTTGAATGTACATAATACATAGGCATTGAGCTTTACATACAGAAAAAAAGAGGTTGAGACATCTTGAAATAACACACACGAGAGTAATTGGTCATTCAGTCTCTGGCCCATCAAACCATTAATCTTCCGCAATCTGTTACTTTCTTAACCCCATTTTGTTTTGTTTGTTTGTTTCTCGATAGAGGAAAGTTCTAATATTTATTATCTACAACTTGACTTTGTTGCAGCCCAAGTTGCGTATCTTAGCACCATAAATAGCTAATGTCCATGGTATTGGCGCACATGCTAACGTTAGGAAAGCCAGTAAGCTGTTTCCCCATCCCCATCCGAGAGCATGATACATGCTTAGGCCGCTCAACGGGAGAAAAGCCCCGACAAGTCCCCTTAGCACCGCGTTCGCTCCAACAGCGCTGGCAGCATAGCCCTCAAACGCATCAATGAGATACGTCTGAATGCCTGAGAAGATGAGGATGGAGCCAAACCCAGTCACAGCCGTTCCGATCTGAGGCACGATCCAATGAACGTGATATTCCACGCACCACCCGTACATCAGCAGGCCGGCAGGAAACGTCAATGCCGCAGGAACCGTGATGATAAGTGAAAGGCGGTCCTCGGGCGTGCTCATACCCCCGGCAGCTATTCGCCTTCGGACTATCCTGTCGCTGAGCGTCCCAATGTAGTAAGCCCCCATCAATGTGCCAATCCCACCAGGGAGGAATACCAGCCCATCATACAGGGCTGAGAACTTGTATACCTCCGTGAAGACGAAAGAATAAGTTGCATAGAGAAGATAAAGAGTACCATAGGGGATGGCGACGTAGGTGCACATGACTGTGACAAGCGGGCAACAGAGAAGCAACTTCACAGGCCGCACAATACTTCTTCGGAAAAGCTCGCGAGGAGTCAAGTCTGTCGCGAGATAGGACCGATAATTCGGGTTGCTGGTTTCTTTTCGCAGCTTGGCTGCCTTCCACTCCAATAGCACAGGAGGGTAGGTCTCCCGGAGGACCAAGAAGGTGAAGATTGTGACAACAGCAATCTTATCCAATTAGCCAACGCCGAAACCATCAAGACGGAAGATCTATCGGTGACTTACAACGATCGATATTGACCAGAACACCCATCTCCAACCAGCGCCCCTGTCGACCACCTCACCACCGATGATAGGACCTATTGTCGGACCCAGGATAGTACCGACGGACCATATCGAGACAGCCTTGCCTCTTTTCTCCCTGGGCATGAGGTCTGCAATTGTCCCTGAGCCTATAGTGATCGTTGCTACCCCTGAGAAGCCCGCAAGGAACCGAAAGAAGAGCAGCATTCCCTCATTTTGCGAGAAGCCACAGAGAATAGTTGCAATCATAAATATGACGTTCGTGACATTGTAAATGATCTGACGGCCATACATCTCACTGAGCGGAGCGAGTATCAATGGCCCGCAAGCAAAGCCCAAGACGAAGATGGATACGACGAAGGTTGCGAACAGGCTTGAGGTTGTGTTGAAGTCACTCATGACCTGCGGTACTGCTGGTGCGAGCATGGCCGACACAACGGGCCTTACTTCATCAGCTAATGAACGGTCCAAGTAGATGCCTAACTTACACCAAGAAACTAATGGTTGCTATCGTGAGCACATGAGTCCACTTCACCAGGGGCGACCAGTTCATTGGGTTCTCAGGGTCCTGGTCTTCTGGCTCGGCCCATCGAACTATGAAATCTGAGCTACTCTGGTGTTCATTCTCTTCGTCAGAGGACTCGATTTTCGAAGATATGCATACTTGAGGGTGGTTCGTCCCAGTGTTATTGTGCTTTTCCTGGGAATGTATGCCAGACTCGGCCTCCTTAGGTTCTTGCTCGGTTTCCATGTCCAAGAAGCAAGCTAATCGGCAACGAGAAGACCAGCCGTCAGCGTTAGTTCTCGTGATACCAGAAATGAGTCAAGCTATAGGAGGGAAAGTACTAGCTAAACGCACTTAGGATCGCCCGAATTGAAACTTTTGCTGAGACTTACAACACCGCGTGGACAGACAGGGGCTATTAAGTCTACCAGAATTCCTCTTTCGCAACAACATGCCACACAGTCTGAAGTGGCAACTTATGCCGTGTCATCAAAAAGCTCTGACACTCCGTCACAATCCCCTGACTAACCTTCCGGATTCATTATATGCATAACATACCAGAAGATACATGGTTTCTTACCTCGAAAATGAGATCTCACGTTGCGTCCCTGGCGATAGCGGCCGCGTCGCCTATCGTTCACGGGAATATTTTCCGTCCAAAGAAAGCAAACCAGTCATTCTACTAACCAGACTTCAATGCAAACACCCAATTCCAGAAAGCCTACGCGAGAAACCGTGTCCGAACACATCAGATTATTAAACTCTGTTGCAGAGTGGAACGAAGGGGTGGCACGGATTCGGCGAGGAGCCAATGACTTGCATGATCAGCAGGTCACATAGGGAAGATGAGCTAGCTTTGCGATCAGTCCAAAGCTTGTCTGAACATCTCTCGCCGGGACAAAGCGTTCCGACAACTTACCCAGCGATCATGACCCAAAACATGACAGTATTGACAACCGCGTATTCCGACTTCACTGACTAGTCGTTCTACATCAGATCCGAAACCGAATTGATGACAGCAGTCATGTCGGTCAGACGTTGCTGTTTAACATCACAACTTGAAGTCACGATAGCTTCGTCACAAAATCACTCTATGATAGTCAGTTTCTAGTTGCCACAGTCACCAACAGTTCCATGTCCATGTGAATCCCATCCTTCGTGGTAAGCTTATCCCACTCCTGTAGCATCTCCTCCCGCACCTTCGCCTGTAACTCCGGAGGAACACCACCGTAAGTCTTTCCAGATGAGCTCGTATCCAACCAGTTTATCATGGCATCTCCGTCTTTCGCGATCTTCACGATCTTGTTTATGGTGAAGTCTTTCTCGTGAAACCCAGCATCCTCTAAAAGACGTTCCAAATCCCCCCGTTTGATGAATTTTGGTCCGTTCGACACTGGGAAGTTCTTGTAGGGTTCTCTCGACAACACTTCCTTCTTGATCTTTTCGTGTGCCGCAACGAAGTCGCCGGAACCGCCAGACATACCGAGTCGGCCCCCCGGTCTCAGGACGCGCGCGAACTCCGCGACTGCCGCGGGCTGGTCCTGCACCCAGTGGAAGGTGGAGTTCACGAAGACAATGTCGAAGCTACCCGAGGGGAACCGCGACAGGTCCTCGGCTTTGCCCTCGTGAAAGGACAAGTTCGGACTCGTCTTCTTTTGCGCGAGGGAGATGCGTTCCTTGCTTGGGTCGACGCCGGTGACTTTTCCATCAGGCCCGACGATGTTCGCAATGTGGGCTGTCAGGTCGCCGGGTCCGCATCCGACGTCAAGAACGCGCATGCCCGGTGTTACATCTAGTCTTTTGAGGAGAAACAGCCCCGCGTTGTGTTGCGTGTCGTTGACGAGGGTGTAGCCTCTTGCGAGCTCGTCGGAATCCGTCATGGCCGCTGCGTAAGGTAGTACGAGATTGATGTGTCCAGGGTGATCCGGTCACAATCACACGATTTACCGGCCGCCTGGTTGACGGTCAATCTTATAGCTGTTTGAACACATCAGTCAGTGCGTTGATCCATCACGGGAAACGCTGCGATGGGACCGGAATTCAAGTGCCTCGGTAGATGCAATATGATAGTAGAGTTACAAGCCGGCGGGATGGTGCCGCTTGCCGCCCTGAGAGTCCTTGTTCATGCGGGGATCGTGGGTTTAGGTCTGTGTCTGGGTATCCCAGGGGATGGTTTAAGCTTGTCCCCGGAATGTTTCTTTGGCTAGCATTGTTTCGAACATGTTTTGATTAGAAGCATAGGCGCGCCCGCCGCCGGCCACTAAGGACAAGATTCAGCTTATCTAACTGAGTTTTTGTTGTTGAGACGTTTTGGATAACTTCCTATCCTAGAGAGGACGCACATGACGTACACCATCCGTCGACTCTGACGCGATGAACTGCCAAGTCGCCAAGTTACAAGTCGTATAGATCTAATCATGAACTTTAGTTCAGTACATAACGTCAAGTCCGCTCTAATGCTTCTCTAACGTGATTTAATTCTGTGTCCGCCTATGGACAAATATGACCCCCTTCAACTTCGTATGAGTTAGGATTGCGATTCTCTATACTGCGACGTACTCATCCTAAATAGTCACCTCTATAAAGTAAGAGGCAGATGTAGATTAGAGATCGATTTTCCACAAGTGTAATGACGCCATTGAGCCTTAATTTGGGCTCAGTTGGCTACATAGCTGTGGCATCTTGGCATCTTGATGGACGGCCTTAGATCACGGGAGTTTAGACGCGCTCCCGGCTCGCTTCTCATGACTCTCCAATCCTAGAACGCGTCAACATATCGGTTGACTGCATAGAAATATGAAAAATGCGGCAGGCGAGCAAGAAACATTTCGTTTTGTTTTCTCGCGGCCGGGTACAGGAGTGTTCCCGTGTCTGATGGCCATCGGCAGGCAGGCCGTCCCCTGAAAGACGACGCCTCCCGTCCCGGCCCGGTCTCCACCGCATGTGGGGCCGGACTTGGCGGCCGCCGGACCGGATATCTGATCAAGCCAGAACCTTCGTAGATATTCAGAGTATGCACGCCTGAATTAATTGAGCCCTGAAGATTTCCGATGCAGAATACAAGGGTGGTTTGCTTCCGACTTTCATCGATACTGGTTCGGTAGCATTATGAGACTTCTTGTGGTGGAATACTATCAAATCACCGCTTGAAGCTCTCAGACGGACCCAATCCATTTGCCTTCACACCACCAAGATCGACAACAACCTTCTGCACCACAACTCCCGGCTCAAGCAGCCACAACCCCAAAGAATGCTTCCCAGCCGCCAAACCCCCCTCAACACTCGTCGTAACATTCCACCCACCAGTAATCACCGAATCAGCCCATCCTTCGGGGTTGGATCCCAACGGGCTGTCCCCGACAGGTTGGACCGTGACCACCTCCCCATCGTCGACTGCAAAAGCATATTTCAGCGGCCTTGTGCCGTCGAAGTTACGCGAGCCGCCTAGATACACCCGTACGCTAGCATTGTCGTGGTCTGAGAAGGTGTAGAAGTCATACGCCAACCTTGGTGCTGTCTCCTGGGAGAGCGAGGGAATCGTTACAGGCCATGGTGTGATCCCCGAAAGCGTCTTGCCGTAGTACGGGATCTCGACGTACGACACCCCATTCTTGGTCTCAGCATGGGTGAAGTGGGCCGCCTCCATCGAGACGATTCCATTCGACTCTAGAAACCGTCCCTTCAGACTGCCCTCCGGGACGGAAGGATTGCGTAGAGGGAGCAGTGCTGTCACCTCAGTGTCGTTTCCGTCGGTCTTTCGAATGGTGAGAGAGATGATGCTATGCCCTGTCGGTGCTGCTTTCCAGTCGACCTCGATGACAGCTCGCGCATCCGAGTGATTGCTCGCTGACAACACCCCCGTAGATTCACTCACCGACACCCATGAAGCGTTCGCATGCACGCTGTAGGCGAACGTCCCGTTGGCCCTCGTAAACACATCAATCCACCGTCTCTCCCCGGGCGGCATGTACGGGTCCATCGGCAACAAGCTCAGCTCCGTACTCTCCGGATCGCCCACCTCGCCCTGCGCCGCTACACCCATAATTCCCAGCCCCGCCACGTCGCCGTCACTCACGTATGATAACGTAGGCATGATATCCCGGCCCTGCTCATACCACCTCGTGTACCCGATGTGGACCTGGCACATCATTCCGCTCCATTCTCCGCCGTTCAGGGCGTTATACTCAGCCGTAATCTCCGCGTCGCGTGAAAAGGCCGCCCGCGCCTCCGCGGCAAGCTTGTTGGTGCTCGTGCGGCGCTGAGCTGCGTATAACTTCCCCAGCTCTGCTTTGATATATAATTCGTTGACCGTCTTGCCCGCGGTGACAGGGTGGAGGATCATTTCGTAGAAAGCAGCCCTTGATGTTTCTGGGAGACCGTCGTAGACAGCCTGGGTGTAAGCTACAAGCGAGGACCATTCGGCCAAGGCGTTGGTCGCCTCGTCGTGATAGATCGTGCTGTATACGAAAGGCGGCATATTGAGCGTCTCGTACTTGCGGCGGTTGACGAGGCGGCCGTAACGGTTGAGGACTTCCGCTATGGGCGCGGCGACATCGGCGGAGAAGGTCTTGGAAGCCCACGTCCGGAGCCAGGATGTCGTGCTTGAAGGGGTTTTGTGGAGGGACATGTCGTAAGCCATGTCTAGAAAGTGTGTTGCGGGGATTTCCTGGTGATTGTCAGCGTCAGTAAACTGATAGTACGAGATAGAAACAGGGAGAACAAACGAGCGGCTTGATATCCCCTACGTTGACAATCCAAACCTCTCTCGCTCCGGCCTCCCATGCCAGGTGCATCTGCTCCCACGTCTTGACGAGCTGAATCGTGTTAATCCATTCGTACATCTTCGGCTCTCCGACATAATTGACGTGATAGTACACGCCTGCCCCGCCAGCACGGGACGTTTCATTGGGATACGGTATGCGGAGGAGGTTGCCGAAGTTGTCGTCCGTCCAGAGCAGGGTCACGTCGTCGGGTGCAGTAAGCCCTGCTTGGTAGTACTTGCCGACCTCCTTCACAGCTTGTCAGCTTTCCATATGACCAGATCAGACCAGATAATGTTAAACTTACTTTATATAGAGCCCAGACTTGAGGGGCTCCCACGTCAGAGGAACCGTTACGGGTGAAGGCGATGATGTCCTGCTGCACGGAGATGATCTCCTCAAGTTGCGGCGCGGTCAGGGTGGGCGACTCGCGGTCTCCCTCGCCGCGCATCCCAACAGTGTACAACGTCTCCCAGCTTTTCGTCCTCTCCGCCCCTACACGCATAAACTCCGTGATGTTGTCCTTGTTCAGGCTCCAGTCCCAGCGGCCGTCGAGTTGATACGTCTGCTCCGCGTATGCGCGCGCCATCGGCTCGTGGTGACTCGTGCCCACAACCACGCCAAAGTCATCCGCAAGCTCGCCGTTGGCGTCGTCTAGGTAGAACATGCTGTACTTCATGGCGGGCCAGATGGAGTTGGCCTTGAGGCGTAGGATGAGCTCAAAGACGCGCGCGTAGAAGGGTGAGGTGAAGGGGCGGCGAGGGTCAGAATCTGCGAGGGGGAAGCGAGTTTTGGCCCAGGAGGTCAGGCACTGTTCCTCGTCGTTGATGAAGATGCCTCTGTATTTCACGGAGGGGGGCCCTTGAATTCTGGGAAGGGGTGAGATGGTAAGTGTGGGAGATGTCGCGACAGGGACGTTGGCCCAGGAGGACCATGGCGATACACCGATTTGTTCAGAGAGGGCGTAGATGCCGAAGACTGTGCCGCGTCTGTCGGAGCCCGTGATGGCTAGGGCTTGTGCTGAGGAGGTGCCCGGGTCGGAAGGGGTGACGAGCTCGTGGGTGTAGGATTCCCATTTCCCGGAGATTGAGGAAGTTGTTATGACATCTGCCGGGATCAGTTGGGAGTGAGAGAGCGTGCCAACAATGATGAGTGGTGAAGTTGTGTTTTGGGGGAGAGTATCGTAGATCAGGGTTGTGTTTGCGCCAAGGACGAGAGTGATGTCTTTTGCCAAAGAAGCCGCTGCGAGCTTGACGGCTTTGGCTTCATTAGACGACAGGATGATAATTGGAGGGTGTTGGGAAGTGATCGTGAACGAATCAACGGTTGCAACTACACCGAAGCTGGAGGTGAAGACAGTGACGACAGTCACCAAAAGAAGTAAAAGCTTCATCGTGACGAACTTGTCGCGTTCCTTGGGAGATTAAAGAAGAGTTAGTTCAAGGAGCATACATACAGACTTCCAGATTTCAAGGCTGATATTTATAAACACTCATGCCAAGAATGTCTGACGAGGCCTACATCTGGTGATAGATCCAGGATCAATCTCATGCCTATCCGGGCACTTGATGTTGTCCCGAAGAGTGAAGCCAATATTGAGGGCTCCCCTCCAGTTCGGCTCTCTCTAAGACGATAGAGCGAAGCTATGCTCATCCATGTTGCGCCGCCAAGAGATCATCCCCACGATTGCGATGGCGTGCAGAAGCGCGCGGGTTGATCCGAAGGGAACGGAGCTGCCCATGGCCGATCATAGCTGCACATCATGTCAGTAAGGCATTTTACACCATGAACCAATCAGAGGTAGGCTTGACCACGCATGGGTATTCAGCTATCGACTCTGGCGTAACGAACTGCTAAGTCTTTAATGCCGGCGAGATGCGTCTCAGGTGTTCGTGTCTGACAGCTTTCAAAATCTTGACGATATCGAATTGCTACATTTTTTCACACACGGAAGCTCTTCCGAGAGAAGGCTTCTAGCCTTGAAGCAACCCAATCGGTTATGACTTCAAGATGTGATCTCATCTTTGAGGTCTTCATGAATCTCTAATGAGCCTTTAGGGGTGCCCGACGTGACTATGTAGATTCCGAAATGACCTTCGGCTCCATGCTATGAGTTAAGACTAGAAATTCTGCTGGATATCTTGTCTTTTCAGTGAATGGTGGTTGGGACTAACCACATCATCGTATGCTTGGCTCAGAAGCGAGCTCGCAAGTGACTGACACTTTCATCTGAGTTAACTCGGCAGCTATAGTGAATCTCCAACACGCATCGCAGAGATCCCACTTCGCTGGTGAATCATCATGATAGGGAACATACTTAACCTCGACAATATCTGGCTCGATTCAACTTCCAACGCTGCGGACAAGTCAGAACCCGAAGGACCTCATCTACGCGCAGCCCTTCACAGCCTGTGGCACCCATCTCATGCCAACTACCCAACGGATCATCAACTTCACATCAAGCATGCCTTTTGGCGGTCCACCTCTGGGTGGTCGCGACAGAACCGCCTTCATCCTGTCCAAAATCTCCCATCTCATCGGAGAGGCGGTTCTCCAAGCAGAGGTTCGCAAAATGCCCAGAGATTGGTACGATGCCATTCCTCAGCTCGGCGACTTCACTTACCCTGAATTCTTCGACAGACACAAGGGTCAAATCCTCGACGAGTACCTGAGATATTACTGCAAGTTCTGGGGTGACACGCAGCCGAGACCCGCGAGGGAGGAAGACAGACTCGCTAGCGGCGCCGGTGGTCTGCGCCTGTTCAACTATGAGGAGAAGTTGGCCGAAGACGCGATGATGTGTGTCAGACACCGCTTGCCACTCAGCAGCTGGGAGAAAATCGTTGATTACTTTATCGACATCGGTCACGACCACGAGGACTTGGGCCGACACAAGTACTTCATATTGGATTGCTTCCTCGCTCACTGGGCCGACGCGGTGTCGAAAGACCTTGTCCGAATGCAGTTTTTCCTACCGAATGGCGTCGTCTCGGCTCATGGCACCAGAGACTCGGTGTACCTGGTTGCGGATGTCGATAATGGCGAGCCGCGCATTTCGAGGCGCCATGTCCAGAACATGCGTCTCGAACACAGAATTCGCAATGGCAGCATCATGTTGGAGTGTCGGTTATTGGACAGTGCACACATGGGAGAGGTGGTGCGGATGACGTTCGGGGTTATGGACGCGGAGGAAGCGGTTGATCTGTTCCGAGACGGGGTCTGTGTTTCCTCCAACATGGAGCATTGGGGAATGCGACGGCGGCCTATTGATGTGGAAGAGATTGAGATTGAAGAGGTTTGAGTAGAGCTGAGGGTTGACAATACTGAATAATGAGTGTAACCGAGGCAAACAACTAGAACTCACGGGGCATGAGAGAGAGATGCAGATTGACAGCGCTTGAAATTGGTATTACTATGTATCCATCATAACTTTTTTCATCATCATATCATAATCATCCTCTACAGACCCAGGGCCTTGACAATGGCCTTTCCGACACCGTGGGCAGAAGCGGGGTTCTGGCCGGTGATGACAATGCCATCAGTGATGACCTTCTCACCCCAAGGGGCGTCGGCAAGGGCGTAGTTGCCGCCGACCTCCTTCAGGCGGTTCTCCAGCAGGAAGTTCATCTCGGGGGTGAAGCCAGCCTGGTCCTCCTCGGTGTTGGAGAAGCCGGTGACGTTCTTGCCCTTGCAGAGGTACTCGCCGTCGTGGGTCTTCGCGCTGACGATGGCGCCGGGGCCGTGGCAGACGGCGGCGACGGGCTTGTTCTGGGCGGCGAAGTCGGCGATGAGCTTCAGGGACTGCTCGTCGAAGGCGAGGTCGAACATGGGGCCGTGGCCGCCGGGGTAGAAGATGGCGTCGAACTCGGAGGCGCGGCCGACGAACTCGGAGAGGGGCTTGGTGTTCTCCCAGATCTCCTTGTGGTTCTCGAGGAAGTTCTTGGAAGAGGGGTCCTCCTTGAACATGTCGACGGAGACCTGGTCGAGGGGAGCGACGCCGCCCTTGGGGGAGGCGAAGGTCATCTCGACACCGGCCTCCTTGAGGACATCGTAGGGGTGGGCAAGCTCGGGCTGTAAAATTGGGGGTTAGACGTGATCGTTGAAATAGTACGAGCGTTGGTTTCAGCTTACCAGGTACCAGCCGATGGGCTTGCCGGTCTTGGGGATCTTGTCGCAAGAGGTGAGAACAACGAGGACCTTCTTGGCAGCCATTTTTGATGTGTTTTGTTGGGGTTTAGATGGCGGGTTTCAAATAGACGTTGAGGGGTATCGAATGGGTATCAAATCGTAGGAAAGTAGAGAATGCTGGATTTCTTAGACAAAACCTCCTCTCTCTTAGTCGCGGGGTGTCGAGCTCTTTTGTAGTCGTGTTCTCCCACCCCCGTCAGCTCCGTTTCCATCACGACCAACGGTGGTCTGGCCATCACGGTAGAATTCCGCCCTCTCCAGCTTACCCCACCATCAAACAAGTGAAGTCGGTAGCTCGTAAGGTGTTGGTAAGAGTGGCATGGCACGGCAAGGATTGGAGGAGCACATAGCTTCACCCCGCCAATTGGTCAGCTTGACGTCACACCGATGTGATTTCCCCTTTCCGTATGGCGTCTCCGTGGCCCTAGACGGCATTGACATGTGTCGGTCATCGGGTTTGACTCAGTTCATCTCTCGTCGACCCCACCGATTCACTCTCCAGGAGAACGTGGGTTGCAAATTTTCTTCAGTGGTCGAGGCCAACTCCACACGTCGATTGTTGACAAAGCATGCGGACGATTAAACTCTCCGGCTGCTTCCATGCCCTGCCACGTCTTGCCATAATCGGCATCCGGAGACCAGGGACCTGGGGGCGGGAGGAGGACGCCGAGTGGGTGAAGCGGCGAGAGCGAGTGGGGGTTTTTGGAGTTTTGGAGGGGGAAATCTCCATAGAATCATGATAGAACTGTGTCCATTAAATCCGATGGGGCAAATCGTCATAACGCCGACGATCATGTCCTGGAATTTTCTTCGAAAACGAGCCCCGAGACCCCCCGGCAAAGATGCCGTTTCCGGCACGCATCCGCCGAGTTGTCGGGCAACTTGGCAACCGCTTTGTCCATCGTTATCGGTTCCCATCAACCCATCCAATGTGGATCTCCAGCTCATCGGCCTCGGCATCTCTTTCGTCTATGCAACGGCTACACCCGATCATGCCGCGGCTGCCGTGTGTTACGCGCCTTGCGTGGAAGCTTGCTTGAACATATCACTCGCCAACACCCCGCGTTCTCATGATAAAGTTGACCATGAATCGTGCCTTGCATGCGTTTTGATATTCCAAGTCTTGGACGACAGCTATCACGACAGGAATAACAACCCGAGAACGAATTACTCCGCGGGCTAGCGGAGTTCAACACCAGCAAGTCACGATAACGTAGTCTCACGAACCCTTGGCTTCACATATAGTATCTCAACGTTCTTCCGGCCTATCCAGCGGTTTCGGATCGCGTCTCAGCCGCACGATGAGCCCCTCCTGCATTCAGAGGCTTCTGGCCCCAGACCGCCATGCTTCAAAGCGTCAGCATTAACCACGTAGTCATCAGGGTCGGACTCACATCGTCAGATAGGCGTGGATGTTTCTATCCGCCATGTCCCTTCGCACATCCACGAGCAGCATCTCGGCTTCCTCGCGAGTCCATCCCAGCACTTGGGTGAAGATCTTCATCGTGATGCCCTGCACTCCCTCGAGGTTGTTGGTCATCTGCATTGCCCCGAGTATCTTCTGGTTCCGTCCTCTGGCCCACGGCGTCGACGGGACTGCGTACTTTCTTTGCTGGATATTCTGGAACCCGGCCTCGGCCATGTTCTCCGCGAATCCGAACGGCGATAACGCGTTGCGTCCAGCCCGACGAATGCCCTCCAAAAGAGAATCGTTCCAGCGTCGCAGAGCAGTGCCCTCCAGCGAGCTGTCCACAGCCCTGAAGTCGATCACCGTCTCTTGGAACTCGACCCATCCCCCGGGGTTCAGGTTGTCGTAGATCTGGCAGAACAGCTTGGGGAAGTCGAAGATGGAGGTGCACATGTAGCGGCCGTGGATGTAGTCGAACTTATGCCCGTACATCCACTCGTCCTCGGCGTCATCGATCTCGAAGCGGCAGTTTCCCGGGACGTATTCGGGCTGGATGGGACTCAGATCGCTGCCAAGGACCTCCGACTCCGGGTTCAGGTCGGCGAACTCGATTGCCCAGATCCCCGTGCCCGTCCCGATGTCCAGGACGCGGTGGGGCTTATCAACGGGGGCCAGGCCGAGCTTACCGTCGAGTATGCGGAGGGCGATGGCATGCTGTAGGTCCAGACGACCCTGCTCTTGCTGCGGACGAAGCGTGTCAAATTCTGTGTTTCCGCAGCGTGTCTGGACAGCACGGTTTCATACCTCGTCATTGGGAAGAAAGTATTCTGAGAAGGGTCAGCCAGTGATCGATGCTGGATTCAGACGTCAACTTACTTCCTTCTTTATACCTATGGTACGTCCGTCCAAACTCTTCTACAAACCTGTACACGCTTGAGGCTACCGACGCCGACGACGAAGCTCTTTCTCCGTCGATGCCCAGAGCCGAGTCGGCGTCACTGTCATCGGTGTCGATACTAAGCTCAACGGACGAAGCGCTCGCGCCGTTCACGGAATCTACTTCGTCCAGGTTCACGAGGGTTGTCGCTATGCTGTTTCTATCGTTGCCGGTTACAGGGTCCGCAGCCCACTCGCCCCCAACGACGTGACGGTCCCCGTCAACCGATCCGTGAGCCGGTGTGCTCCGGTCCCCGGCCCCGCTCTGCGCGTTGGAACTCTCCATCAGTGCCGTTCGCCGTTTGAATCGCCGGTATGAAGCGTCTCAAGCTGTAAACATTCAACGCGCCGGCCAGAAGAAAGCTGGCGAAATGATTATATGCGACTGGTAACGTGAAGGCATCGTGGGGCTGAAGAAACGAGCGCGACGCGACCGCAACCACTTCCCAAGGAGACCGAGGATTTCCCAGGGCGACGACGCCATGGCGTCACACCATGACCCAAATGCATCCCAGAATCTTTGGTGGCTAGAATTCCAGACCGCTGTCGACCAGCATAGCGGCATGATTAAGCGGGCGAATTAATGGCTGCATCGGGAGAAGGATGTCACCACATCCGTCGCGCTAGAGATAGCGTCAAAGATCGTCCTGATACATCATCTATCCTTCTTTGCCGTCTTTCTCATACGGTTAATCGATGTTGGGCGCGAGACCATCATATCCGTAATTCAATGAGTGAGCATGAGGTTTTTTACATATACAGACAGTTCCCAGATGAGCCCTGATCAAGTATCCTTGTTATCAACAACTTCATGCTTAGGACATCTACGACGATTACAAATGCGAGACATTGATCAACTCTACCAGGGTACCATTCTTTGCGCCCGCACGCTGCTATTCTAGAAAGGGAATGGCATTTTCGGGACGTACATCTCCTCGAGATACTTCACCTCCTCAGCGCTCAACTCGAGATCCAGAGCTCCAACAGCTTGATCTATCCTCTCCCTCGTCTCCAAACCGCAAATAGGCATGCATCCCTTGGAAATCAGCCACGCCTGGGCAATCTGAGCCATCGAGACACCCTTCTTAGCCGCGAGGTCTTCCGCCCTTCCGACAATCGCCCTGTCGGCGCCATTCTCCGAGCCCCGGAAGAGCAGCTGCAAGAACGGGTCCTTCTGCTCTCGCGGATCGGTGCGGTCGGTCCATGGGTGCGCCAGGACTCCGGCGGCCAGCGGCGACCACGGGAATAAGCCGACACTCGTGGCGTTGCAGTACGGGTTCATCTCCCTCTCCTCCTCGCGGTAGAGCAGGTTGTACATGCCCTGCATGGAGATGAACTGGTGCCAGCCGTTCTGCTTGGCGACGTTTTGGAGCATCTGGAACTCCCAGGCGGCCATCTGGTTTCACTCGTTGTAAGTTACACGATTGGCACAGGGACCAGGAGCACATGGCCCATCGACGGGAGGGAGGCTTTCAATAGACTTACCGAGCTGGCTCCGATGTATCGGACCTTTCCACTTTCAATAACATCATTGAGCGCTCTCATGATTTCCTCCGGGGGAACATCGCGGTCCATCCGGTGAATTTGCAGCACATCGACGTAAGTTCCGAGCCGCTCGACGCTGCGGTCTACAGCATCAAGAATATGTTTTCGAGACAGCCCGACCTGGTTGACGCGGGGTCCGTCGTTGCTGGTGAGGTTCGCAGGATCAATAGGGCCCCTGTCCTCGTCGACGAACTGGAAACACTTGGACATGACGACGAGCTTCGAGCGCGGGATGTTGTATTCCTTGATGGCAGCTCCCACGATCTCTTCGGACCTGCCGTTGGAATACGTATCGGCGACATCCCAAGTGTTGATGCCCCGGTCGAAAGCGTACTTGAGAATCGGCAGAGCCTCGTCTTTGTCGAGGAGCCATGGTTGCCAGTTCTTGTCGCCGAAGCTCATGCAGCCGAGGACGATCTGGGAGACCTTCAGGCCGGACTTGCCCACGCTGAACGACAGCTTGTTTAGCCTTTACTTTGTGTTCTTTTTGTGCGCTTTCCACTCACCGGACGTATTTCATGGATTTTTCTGTCATCTTGAGCTGCTGTAGACGAAGGACTAAAAGTAGCAAGATGTTGGTATGCGTCTCGATAGTAGATGGAACGATTGCAGTGCAGAGGGAACATCTCTGACGATAATCCAGACCTACTTATACGTCTTTCATGAAAGACTCGTCTCATAGCACTCGATGCTCCGTTCCAGTCTCAGCAAGAGGTTCATAGCATCTAGACCTCGATGTCCCAACGCCGAACATGGGTCAGCCCTCCGGCCCGGCCCCGGCGCATGTCCCACAAAATAATCCAAGTGCATTAGTGCCGTGCCGTTGAGCTGGCGGGGCCGTCGGTACTAAGAATGGAGATAAGGGAACTTGCTGACAGCCCAGTCGATTGCGGATCTTGGGAATGGCAGAATTGCAGCATGACTCGCTTGATTCAATGATCCCAGGGAAGGCGGACTCTCAATGTCCAAGCCAGCGAGAACATCATGTATGCCTCCATTGCCTGTGTTCCAATGCAGTCTACGTCATACCTAGAAAACAATCATCCGCTCTCCGCGTTTTGCTCTCCAGTGATTAGTCGCCAGCAGCAGTCCTGGACATCCTCGTGTCAGGAACCCCCATTTTCGGAAGAAAGCATCGTTGGCTTCCCACGCCGTCTGGTCCCAAGAGTGGCCCCATACTATCAGCGACGGCCTACCGCTGAGCTCTTCGTCCTTCACCTCCAGTATATCGGCACACAGCTCATCGTCATCCACCACCGCAGCCTTCATCCCGAGAAGCACATTGTCTCGGAAAGTAGGAAAGGGGAACAGGTCAATCCACGGGTGATGAGGGACCGTCTTCTGCAGAGGAGTTGGACATAAATCCGGGTGTATGGACTGATCATGTGTGACATAACCTGGTCTAAGGGGCCCATTCAAGTTGAACACGGATACGGAGTCTTCCCGGCAGAGACCATCGACGGGAATTCCTATGGCCGTGGCATTATGTGCCAGGGCAGCGAGAACTCGGAGACGAATGAGAACATGCAAAGCTGAAGGCCTCGGGGCGTGTAGAGAGTAGCCCTCGTATACTTCTCTGATGCGGCTACGAGCCAAGCTCAGTCTTTGAGGGCATGCTATGAGGTCGCACCCTCTGAGAAGGCCTGTCATAACGCTTCTTCTGCATGTATCCGGCGTAAGACTAATGGTGTCTGATGTCGCTGAGCTCTGGTCCCCACAGGACCCTTGGTTCTGTTTTCTTCTCCTGCCTTCACTTGGTCAGTTTCATTATCGTCTTCTGGTATGAGTGAGAACGAACGATAGGCGCGCTGGTTGAGTTTGTTCTGCAGCTTCTTTCTGCGTACTTGGTTTGAGATGCCCGTCCAGACATCACCTGGCTCCCATACATCGCAATGCATCGACATGATGGGCTTGTTGGACAGGCAGCTCGGGGTTAGATCCGAGTGGTATTTGTGAGATGGTGTGTGTTCGAGTAAGACCGTAGAGGCAGAGTAAACTGTGTCTCAACTTCCAGGGTAAAAAAGATGCATCACCAACGTCAAAAGAGTCAGCAACTCTCAGAAGCAAAAGGTTTGGACGAACAGGGAATCGAACCCTGGACCACTCACAAGTTCGGGAATTCTTTCCCACATGCTAAGCGAGTATTATACCACTAAACCATTCGCCCAAGATGATTTCGCCCGGACTTGAACCGGAGACCTTCAGTGTGTTAGACTGACGTGATAACCAACTACACCACGAAACCATTTGATTTGTTGAGGTGGTGTGGACGACAAGATGGTCATGAAGGGTTGGATGTTGTGGGCGAGTAGGGCAGGGCGGGCCGGGGCTTGAGATGGCTTCAAATTTGTGGTTGCACGCGTCCGAGATGGAATGCGGGGCAGCAAGCTGCAAATCGGGTAAATTGGCTCGAACAACGGAATGCCAGTCTTTGAAAACCAACCCTTGCCTGAAAATCCAAGCTAAAGTCAAGTGGACCGGTGGAACCAGATAACAGGGCTTTTGCTGGCGGAAATGAACCTGTTTTCAGCCCTCCGACGCCGATATGGGTCTCTCCGGTCCGGAGCCGATGAAAGGTCGGACGAGGAGTCGCGCAGGCCGATGAGACTACGTCTTCCCAAGCAGTCTGACCCTAAGACATGCGAATGCGAAGAAGATCAATTGTGAGCGACTCTCCAAGACGTCAGTCTCAGCCTAAGTGCAACAGAAACAAGTGATGTGTCGAGCGATCGAGCGTATTTACGCTCAGAATAATAAGCACTCGACAGCACTAGTTCAGAAATCTGCTGGCTTGGCGAAGGATTTGGTCTCCTGTGAGAGGCCGCTCTCGAACTGGATTTGAGGCTGGGCGTGGCGGTGGCCGTAGGATTCTGAAGATCCCTGAGATCACAGCCACGCCTTGTATCTCACAATACGCATTTAGTGTCACAAGCTATGTTTGTGGCTTTGGAAATCGAGGAGAAGAATGACATTCGACGTATCCAATTTCAGTATGTCGTCCGCAAATCCATTGAGACGAAGGTTCATCTCAATTGTTGCGACAGGTAGCTAAGATGAACCAGCGGGCAGCCAACCAGCTCGATACGCCAGGATCCTTGCTGCTTTCTCCAAAGTGACCGATACAGGGGTAGCCATCTTTCAGTGCCGATATCAACTCAGCTGCTGCTTCGGTCTTTACGGTGACGCAGATGAGCGACAGAATAATGCGATAAAATCTCCTTGGCCGAGTATACGGGCCACTCGCAAGTCTCTCGTCTTAGGAATGTCATCATTTGGACAAGAGGATCTCTGCCTGCCGGATAGCGTAACCGCATAACAGGTACAACACAGTACAGACCCTGCAGATCCAGTCAGCAAAGCCAAGAAGAGAATCCATCTCAAGACACATCTCTTGAATACGACTCTGATTGGGCAAAGTAAACAGGCAGCCGGCGCCCTCAGCCCTCTCGCACTCGAACCCCGGACTTTCGCACTCGCTTAATCCAATTCAGTGGGGCCAGATCCCGCTCAAGCTGCCTCCGGGGGCCGAACGTCCAGGGCGCCGCGACCCGATCTTCGGGACCGCCTCAAAGGCATCGCATGCAGGACATCATCCATCAACATATAACATAAAGGGAACTGCGGCTTCTATTCATTGTATTTTCGATGCTATCAGTCAAGAATCGTTTCCTCCCTCAACTAATAATTATTTTCCGACTTCCACTTCAAATATAGAGCTACAGTCCCTACTGCACTTACACCAAAGTTCCACAACCATGGCCGTACGCGAGTTCCGCTTCCGCGACGGCGTAGCCATCGCCCAGATCATAGTATTCGCAGTCTTCCTCGCCTTTGGCATCCTGTTCCGGTTCCAAAAACGAATGGGCTGGTTCGGCATCTCATTCATCTCGACAATACGAGTCGTCGGCGCGGGCTGCATGCTCGGAACGATCTTCACCTCCTCGAAAGGCCTCTGGGCCACCATCTTCGTCTGCGAGTCCCTCGGTCTCGTCCTGCTCACGTTCGTGCTGTTGGACCTGCTGAAGAGAGTGTAAGTCTATTCATCAAAGGATCAACATGACATAATAACAAAGCCCTCGCTTACACATCCCTCAGAAACCACTTCGTTCAAGCCCTCACGCAGTGGCACTTCCGCGTCCCCGAGCTCATCTGCTGGGCCGGCCTCGCCATCTCGATCGCCGACTACGTCCTCGCCAGCAAGAAGACGGAGAACGCCATGGCCCCGGGTTCCCTGACGAAGGCGGGCGTGGGTCTCTTCGCCGCTCTGTATTTCTGGGGCGTTCTCCTGTTCCTCTGGCTGGCGCGTGAGTGGAAGAGGATTCCCGAGGGCGAGAGACGCTCGATGATTGGCTTCGGCGCCTGTTTCCCCTTCATGGTCGTCCGCATCTCCTACACGATTGCGTACGTCAGCACCGGCGAGAGACGGTTCAGCGCCGTCAACGGGGATACTATGCTGTACCTGTTCATGAACTTTTTGATGGAGTTTGCCATCTTGGGGTGTGTGGTGTGGACTATCTGGGGGTTGGAGAGGTTGCATCTGCATGAGCGAGTTGGTCAAGGTCGAGACAAGAGCAACAGTATGGATGAGCTAGTTGGTTCTGGTAGAGGGGATCGAAATGATGAGACCGACGCGGTACATGCGAATGGAGGGCAAAGGGTTTAGGGGGGATGCATGGTTGAGTAGTGTTTGTTTTTTTCTTGTCTAATTATGATACCCTAGACTTTTCGAGTCCGTTGCCTGGCTTCTCTCCTGAGTAAGTCTTCGAATTGTAAACAACTCGTGTGGCAACTCATGGAGTTTGTTAGCACATACCGATGGTATAAAAGTGATCCAGATGATAGCTTGTGCAAGCAGCATGGGTGGACATCACCTACGTCCAAGTTGGTTCGGACAATCCTGGATGTCTCGAAAATCGAAGAACTTGTCGTCAAGGAAATGAACAACTCACACGAACCACGAAGCTAGAGAAAGTGATGCCAGTACACCCATCGGGCTGCATAAACCACACCAAACTCGTGCAATCATAGCAGCCAACGCTCGTTTCCACTTCGCCCCCACGTCCCTGCTTCTTCTCCAGTAGACCGGCACGGCAATCAGTGCAGCGACGGTCATAATGACAGGGGCGATTTCCATGTAAGTTGTCTTCGGCGTCATGTAGTTCCTGATCTTGTAGTTGGGGAACCGACCCCAGGTGACGCCGATGAAGTCGGCGGACAGGATGTACAGGAGTATCTCGGCCACCAAGGTGCTGCGGTATGAGTCGACGTATACGTCCTCCTTTTCTAGGATGCCAGAAACGTGGAACTCCTGGGGTGTTGGCTTCTCTGGAGATATTTGGTCGATGTCCTCCTGAGGTGACATGATGTTGCTTGAATACGTCGTCTGTCCCCCGGTCTTGACGACGGCCAAGCTGTAGAATAGGTTCCCGAGGAATAGGAATGAGATCATGAAGCTGAAGATACACACGTACCGGAGTCGTGCTTACCGTCGGACATTGAACTGAAGATACACTGCTGGGAGCAATGATTCATTCTATGGGAATTGGTGGAAGCTCGTCGGAGTCGGAGTCGTAGGAGCCTTTGCTGCCGTGGACCAGATATCCAGCGTGACTTGATTCGAAGTCGCCAGCCCTTTTGATATCCGAGAGCCCTTGATTCAGAGCTTTCTAACGTGCGGACGGTCGAGATTCCGCTTGTCTGAACCCAGTTGAAGCATCGTCATTTATTTGCTCTCGACTCTTGTGTCCGAGCAGCGCCGCTAAGGGACATTCTGCGTTGCGACATGCATACATTCTGCACCGCTTCCGAGTCACCAAGAGATAACTTCAGTTGACCCGGATTTCAATATCCGATTGGGGTATCAGTTACACTGAAGTATTCAGTGGTTCGATACCGACTTTAAAGATGGACTGGGTCGGTAGGAAGAGTTAAGGTACGCTTGAGAGCATAGGAACAATACCCCCATGACCGTCATCGGAACATGAGGTATCTGTAATAACAATACCAAGAATGAAGATTGCCATCCGGTTGATGTATGAGTAACTCCGATTTGATATGAATCCCCGCCTCATTGAAGTGAGCGAGATGGATTGAAAGGTGAATTCAATGGTTTGTGAGATTGACGTTGACTTCAACTGTGCTTCAGGCGAGCCCATCGCAACTGCCACTGTAACAGACCCCGCTTCAGCACCTTCCTCAGCAAGGTCCAGCGAGCTGTACTGGCTCCACCGCAGCATCTCCTTACCCCAACTTTTCAGCCTCGCCTTCAACTTTACGTCGACACCACTTTACTCTGCGCCTCGTCGCATCACCATCACCCGTCGAAGCACGCCAATCGAACGACGCGATGGCGGCCAACGACGCGCCCAAGCTCCTCTGGAACCCAGAAAACGTCAAGGACGTCGCCGAGTCCGTCGGCATCTCCAACCTCAACGACGACGCGCAGCGCTGCCTCACCCAGGATGTCGAGTACCGCATCGGCCAGGTCATCGTCGAGGCCCTGCGCTTCATGCGCGCAGCTCGCCGCACGACGCTGACCGTTAACGACATCAGCACCGCTCTCAAAGTCCTCAACGTCGAACCTCTGTACGGCTATGACTCGACGCGCCCGCTGCGCTACGGCGAGGCCAGCTTGGGTCCCGGCCAGCCGCTGTTCTACATCGAGGACGAGGAGGTCGATTTCGAGAAGCTCATCAACGCGCCCCTTCCCAAGGTCCCGCGCGACATGAGCTTCACAGGTGCGCCTTCCGTTCAATTCACGTCGATGATTTGACTAACGCTTACCTCGTACAGCACACTGGCTCGCAATCGAAGGCGTCCAACCCTCGATCCCCCAAAACCCGACCACCGCCGAGTCTCGAAGTCAAGAACTCGTACCCAAGGGTCCAGGCGCTAACCCTGCCCTGGCCGCTCTTGCCGGAAACGATTCCCTCTCCTTCCGCCCTGCCGTCAAGCATGTCGTCTCCAAGGAACTCATCCTCTACTTCGAAAAGGTCCAAAACGCCCTCCTCGACGATAACCCCGACGAAGAAGTCGTGCGCCTCCGCCAGGCCGCCCTCGAGTCCGTCCGCGACGACCCCGGCCTGCATCAGCTGATCCCCTACTTCATCAACTTCGTCGCCAACCAAGTCACGCACCGCCTCGACGACGTCTTCACCCTCCGCCAGTCGATGGAGCTGACCCTAGCCCTGATATCGAACAAGAAGCTTTACCTCGACCCGTACGCCAACTCCATCGCAGCACCAGTGTTGACCTGCATCCTCAGCCGCAAGATTGGCAACGAGGACGGCGCCAACTTTATTCGCGAGCAGTACGAGCTCCGCGAGTTCTCCGCTTCCCTGCTCGGCCAGATCGCGCGCAAGTACGCCGCTTCGAACAACCTGCTTCGTCCCAAGCTGGTGCGCACATGTCTCAAGTTCTTCATGGACCCGGATAAGCCGCCCGCCACGCACTTCGGTGCCATCTCGGGTGTCGCGTCTGCCGGCGGGCCTGAGGCTGTCAGGGTGCTAGTGCTCAAGTGTCTCCGGGCGTACAGCGACAACATCTTGCAGCCGTTGAAAGATAAGGAAGGCATCGAGTTCGAGATGTTGGTGGGTGGCATTCTTAAGGCTATTGCTACCATGGTCGAGGACGAGAGGACCGCTGTCAACGGTGTCAATGGCAGCGTCGACAATCACGCCGCAGAGCTCAATGAGTTCATCGGCCCCATTCTGGGCGAGCGGCTGATTAACCTGGGAAACAGGAGACTGGTGCGACAGGTGCTGGATGCTCGCAACATTGAATAGAATTCGTCATTTCCAGCATCCGAGGCGTATGGGCGTTTGGGCTAGGCATGGCAAAACAGGATTGGGAGGCATACCATATTAGTTTGCACACGTTGGTGTAGATATTCAATCAGGACTTTCTTGACGCAGACCGTCTTCGCATGGTTCCGGGGACGTCGTTATACATTCCCGTTCGCGGGCCAAGTATGCATGTGTTTGAACGGATGAATGGATTAACTTGCTTGTTTAACTCAAGGGAATTCATTTTACAACTTTCAGTCTATACAGTCCCTTGCCTTGGGCAATGGGAGGCCTTACGCCCGATAACCTCGAAGCAGGGCGCCGCCCGGTGAAAAACGCCAGTCGCCCCCATCTTCCTCGCAATATCCCGCCCCTCATCCCCTATTACCATTTGTCTTCGGAATCTTCCGTCCTGAAAGAACCTCCTCTTCTCATAAAGGGAACCGTCTACCACGCGAAAGCAAGACCGAGCGCCGAAACCAGCGAGGAGGTCCAGATGACCCAGCCCCACTTGACGATCTCGGGCTTGGCGAAGCCGAGGGCGAAGTCGTAGGTCAGGTGGCGGATGCCGTTGAAGAAGTGGAAGGTGAAGGGCCAGGCGACGAGGAACTTGAGGGCGGCCTTGACGGCGACGGGGGCGGCGGCGGCGGCGCTGACGAGCGAGGCGGACTCGACGTGCCAGCCGAGGAGGGGCGCGACGAGGTAGGTGCCGAAGTAGACGTAGAAGGCGGCGGAGAGGCCGCCGCCGGTGATGCGGGTCCAGATGGAGGCGCCGAACCAGGTCTGCTCCATCTTGTAGATGGTCAGGTGCGGCGAGATGGGGCGGTTCAGGCGCTGCTTGGCGAGGATCTCGTTGCCGTCCGTCGGGGAGAGCTTGGCGGTCGCGACGGGGCTGCGAGGGGCATGGACGTTAGATTCTCATTCTGAACTCTTTTTCCGGGAGATGTTCCTTAATCGAGGAGGGGGAGAGAGAGGCATTGGCGTACCGGATCTGGGTCGTGGACATGCTTGAGGCGACGACGGCCTTGGGGATCTGGGAGTTGAAGAAGACGGAGGGCTTTCCTGCCGCTGTTCGTGCCGCGCCTCAATCGTCAGCATCGCCAATTCCTCTCATAAACCTGCTTCATGACGTTTACGGACCTCGGCGCAGGGCCGACACGCCCACCCGTTGCGCAATCATGTTTGATATCGATGGAAGTTCGAGAACGTAGAGGTGATTGAAGCCAATCAGTTCGTGCGGTCGGGGAAGGGCGGTCGTTGGTCTTGCGGCTCGGCGGCGCTGCTGCAAGGGGTCGGAATCGGATTGTGAGGGTGTTGATGTCAAGCTCTCTCTCAATGGGCGTCGCCGGAGAGGAATCGCTCCTCGGCTTTTCGGCTGCGATCGACCAATCAGCGCAGACTACTTCCTAAGCTTCTGTGCCCACGTGATCATCGCGCAGATGGGTGAGGTCGGAAAGCCAAGGACCGATTCATCTCCCTCTTACCTAAGCAGGACCTTCCGCACAGACCACATCGGGAAAAAAAATTCGAACCTCTAAATTGGCGCGAGGCTTGGGAAGATTCTTTTCCCTTTCTTCTTCTTCTTCTCCTCAGATAGATAATGGCCGGCCTGCCGCAGCATAACTAATGGGTTTCTTCGGGGACCTGATGAAAGGCGCTGTTTGGTGAACCTTTGGGTTTTTGGGGCTGGCCAGAGAGTAATTCTGGGAATGGATCCTTTCGTTGATCTCGGTGCTGGTATCTTTCCGTCTGGACACCGTTTCATTTATGGGTATCTACATCTTTTCGCCTGCTGCTTCGTGATGTTTGTGACCGGACCTCGCATCCACGGGTCAGTTCGTATTCGAGGGGTATCTGCCTTGGAGTGACCGCGTAGCACTCCGAAAACCTCGTTGCGCGTATATTTTTCGCGGCCTTCCCATGATTGGCAAACAGTCGCCAGTCGAACGCCCGCAGGCATCTTGAGGCTGGTCGAGTCATCACGTCGAGCTTTCCGCCGAACGCAACGCAACGTATGGGCAGTCCTGTCATTGGAGGTCCTGTGCCGCCTATGACTTCTGGGTGATGATTTACCCGAAATCACGAAAATCCCGCCGCTGTCTGGCGTCGTTGCCGTCTTCGCTCAAGATCACAGTTGAATACGCGACGGACAACGCTCGTATGGAACTCTCCGGCGTCAAAGGTGTTCATCGTCGTCGGTCTGTAACAGCGGTGGAATTCTTTGGATGAGGCGCCCACTGAGTGCACTCAGCCACCACAATATAGGTACTTTCATCGGGTGCGACCTCGCAATGCTGTCACAGGCTTTGGAATATCTCCGACCCGAGGATTAAATGGGCCGTAGTCTTGGCCCGACGCCGCCTGCTGGATCATGGACGGCAGCTGACGACACCGCATTGGTCTCTTACTTGAGGGCTAATACATTTGCAATTGCGACAGGAGCAGTCGACAGCAGCAGTCTAAGGGGGGTTTAATAACATAAAACATTCCCCAGTCCATCACTGGTGAACCATTTTCGTCGTTCCCCAGATTCGAGTGTCAACTTGAAGGCGAGTTGACAATAACTGACCGGCTGTGCAGCCGTCATATGGATAGCGACCAAGAAGGCACGGAGAAGATGACGGACCCTGTTGTGGTACAGAACGAAGAGATGGAACCTCAAAAGAAGGAGACTTCGGCTGCTTATGCCTGACGGAATACCTGAGAGACACCGCCGCTGACGAACAGAATCGGACATCGTAATCCTGACCCGGAAAGGCATGGCAAATGTCGCTGAGGTTGACTCGCGATCAAGGTCGTTGTCCTACCTTAGGAACTTGAGCACACGAGGCGTCTGAAAGCGTTAGATATGGGTCAGTCCTGCCAGTTGTCGCTGTTCGGCGCATAGCCACGAGCGAGGTAACACGACTTAAATACTCAGATGGTTGGCACATCCGCGAGCGATGCAGTCTTCTGTGAGACGATGTCAAGGAAGCCGGAGGCCAACGCGTCAGTATGGCGTCCCAAGACCTTCGATATGGATTGTATAAAAAGCCGGTACCGCCCCCTCGTTCCATGCTCTTTCAACCAATTGGGTGTCGACCAACTGCCGTGTCACACAAACTCCATGCAGATGACATAGGTTGTTTATATGGAAACCGTCAGAGCCGTTGACTCCATGAGCGCGAACGAATCCCACACGCGGTGACGTTGCCGTATCACACAGTGAATACTAGACAGACGACGACATGAATGCAGAACGGCACGGCATGAGGTTGACAAACCCCCGCGCTGTCACGAGTTACGTGACTGACATGATGAAGTTGATGAAATCGAAGACAGCAGGTGCGCCTTTTCTATGGAAGGAGACGATTGGCCTACAACATTATCTGGTGCTGGAAGCTACCGGATACGACGAGGACCTATCATATATACCGCAGCATTAACCCAATAAGAATGAGCTGATGTGTGATGTCAGCGATACTCGTATATAAACAGTAAACGCAGCAGATGGCCTGTCGAGGTGTGAAAACTGGTTGTTCTTGGGCGTCTTATCTCTGCACCTCAAGCACGGCGAGAAAGGCCAGGAGCTCCGAGTCAAGTCTAATGACCTTGGAAGTCGCAACTTAAGCTCACGTTGATGATGCAGACATACACCCTTCTGTTGGAATACACGAGAGACGCCGACGTTGGCGAACGCCGAGAAGACATCAGCCTCTCGAGAATCAAGATCTCTCAACGCCGCCACATCCCTTACATGAAAGGGACCTTCTGCTTGATGTGAACGACCGTCAAATCGTCATTTGACATACAACCACTTGCTCCAACACTTTGTTAAGGATACACCACCCGCGCCATCGGTATATACCCAGCCACTGACGCGATGATACGACGGGACCTCCTCAAACCCGATGTCCCCAGACCGATATTCCCAGATGCACTGCGGGCGAGCGATATAAATGAGTGAATGGGGCCGCTTCTCCTGGCAGTCTCACAGACACCTCGTAATAGAGGATTCTCCCCTCTTTCCAAATAGCCTGCAGAAACGAGAGCGAAAATCGTCGACGTCAGTGTTGGCTGACATGCAAGAGACCACGCCTCCAGCAGCCCGCTGCGCAAGTGAAAGCTATCAATCACCTCAAGTGCACTGGACGAATACGCAGAGAGCGCTGACAATCACCAGAACCGGACGTCGAGTATAAAGCATCACACTCAGTCCGTTCGCTCGTTCATCCTTACACACATGCACATCCATCAGCTTGCCTGCGATGATGGTTTCTCGGCACTGTCATGCCTGGAGTACCTCTGCCCTTGCTTGAACTCAAAGCTAACAGCGCTGATCAGGTTCTTATACTCCCCTCAGCAGCACCAAATCCGCCTCTCACTCACTTCACACAACACCACAAAAAGACACAGCACTCGCAGCGACACCCAAAAAACGTCAAAAAATGAAAAATGAGTGCCAATCGCGGACGGGGATGGAGCCCGACGTGGGGGTCGAACCCACAACCTTGAGATTAAGAGTCTCACGCTCTACCGATTGAGCTAGCCGGGCGACTGAACCCAGCTGGTTTGTTGAAAGTCGCGAGCCGGAAGCCACCTATCAAGCGCGCGCGTGGGGCGCCCGTCGTGGAGCGCCGTCCTCGCCCGCCGCCATTTTCGCCCGTTGTCTTCGCCGGCCCTCGAGGCTCGACTTTGCCTACCGCTCTCTTTGGCCGTGACTATATTTGTCCGCTATCGTCTTTACCCTCTATCTTCACCCGTTGTCGTCACCCTATATCTTGTCGTCTCTCATCAACTTCTAGCGTTATTTGCCGTCTCGTCCCGCCGCCGTGTCCCGATGTCTTCGCCTTCGTCGCCTTCGTGGCCGTCGGAGTATTCGGCCTCACGCGTTAGGAACTGATGCACTAACAAACAACTCAATTAATCCGCACTTTGTGCCTAACGCCTCCGAATCTAATGCAAAGTGGTATGCCATAGCCCATAAAACCCCTGATCACACAGCCCACGCCCAAAAAAAAGCTTTTCTCCTTTTCTCGCAAAACTCCCCAACAAACAAATGCCAACAAAAAACCGATGCCAGTGCCTGTATCACCAGAAGACTGGTCTGGGAATGCCATAATTGGAAGGGTAAGGTACCCGTGGAGGAGGTGGGGGAGGAGCAGGACGTAAATCCTAGTCACCGTCAAGCAAGGCATCCATGCCATTTCGCTCGCTTTCCAGGCTTTCGGCTGTAATCGGACCGTCGAACGCTTCCTTCTTCTCATCGTCTTGATTCGTCAGGTCGTCAAACATCTTGTTGACGGCCACTTCCTCCTCCCGAGATCTGGGTGCGTCGTCTCTGCCGTTAAGCATGCCGACATCCCCCTTGAACACGTCGGGTCCGAACATTTCTACGGCACGTCTGCGCCCGACCTCAGTGCGACGCAGGATTTCGAGAGCCTTACTCTTCCCAGCCTCGGTGTGCAGGTTAAGCCCATCTTCCTGGCCCTGGAGGAGGCGCTCTTCAAGAGACATCGACGCGTTATCACCCACGAGCTGAGGGCCGCGTCCGCCAAACAAGCCGTGGAAAGTTGGTCCGTTGTCGACGTCCATGGGGTCGCCCTTGCTGCCAATCGACTGGCGATGAGGGTTGCCGTGGGAGGTGCCAGGCGGCGTAGCAGACGAGTGCTCCGACTTGCGGTTGTACGATTGATGAAGACCCGGTATGACAGTGGCACCGGATGCAGAGCTCGCCGCAGCTTGGGCAGCCGCCTGAGCGGCCGCCTCAGCATTCTGAGCTTTGCGCTTCAGACTGGCCGCCTTGGCCTTCATGTTTTCGGGGAGGTCTTCAGCGTCATCCACGCCGAACTGTGCCAAGAGCTTCTGCAGTTTCGTCGGTCGCGGCTTGCGGGTGCTCTTCGAGACCTCGAGTACCGGCGGTGCGTTCGGTGCAACGGGGCACCATTTGTGCAGTTCTTGCCGGAAGAAATTGGTCTCGTAGGCGAGTAAGATCTCTGCGCCTTCGATCTTGCGCAGGTAGAACCGCTGTGTATCCGCCTGAGCTTCGGTCGACATGAGGGGATTGCAGTAGCAAGCGATATGGTTTCGGAATTCCTGAGCATTGTCGATGATCTTCTGCAAGACATCCTCTTCCTCGGGCTGGAACGGTAAGCTTGGGATCTTATCGGACCAAGCAATAAGCTCTTCGAGTTTGGGTCGTGCAGCGTCTCTCGGAATCTTGACTCGCCAGTCGCAAATGGGGCAGGTATATTTGTCTTCGTCCTTGACCTTGCCGCGAGCAATCTTGAGGCATTTTCCGTGATACCTAGGGAAGTTAGCAGTGGACTATGTTCCAACAGGACAAGGAATCATACCATTCGTGGCAAAGCTCACACTCAATCATCATGCCAGCCTCAACCTTTCTGCAAATACAGAAGACCTCCCGGAATCGGGGGTCCTCCCACCGGTGAACCCTTTCGTCCGCAGGGCTGGCTTCTCTGGAGGCCGGTTCGGCAGGCATGCGGGGCTTGTCGTTCTCAATGTCGAAACAGTCCTGGTTACGCTCGAAGACGTAGTCCATATGACTCTTCAGAATATGAAGGGGCGCGTTGGTCTTGCCGAACAACTTCTTGCCCTCTCTCATCCAGTCTTCGTGACGCTTCTGCTCACGCTCCAGGTCAAGTGTGCCGTTTGGTTTCGAGTTCAGGTCATCCAGCTTGCGCATGATGTCGGCCACTTCGGCATACTTGGGTCGGTTGCGGATGTCGCGGTCTCGCGATCTCTCAGTCAAGTCGACAATTTGCCGGTGTGCCTCTCTCTGCTTGTGGAGAATCTGGTCCACAGCAGCCAAGGTCTCGGCTGAGACGGGCAGGAAATTGACAGTGACCTGCATGGACAGTGCCTCCAGCTGAGGGTAGTGGACGATCTCTGCGTTGATCAGCTCCCTGGCCTTCTTCTCCCATTGTTGTCCAGCGTTCATCTGCTCGATGTAGTGTGACAGATGGTCGTTGTACGGCGGGATATCCAGGCGCTTGCCTTCCTCGATGAGCTCGCGGACTTCGTTCAACGACAGGAGCACGATTCTGTTATTCCTGGCCTTCTCGTTCCACTTAAGCTGCTGCAGAACGTGGGAAAGACGTTCGACTTCGGGCATGTCGACGTTGAAAGTCCTTCCCTCCTCAAGTAGGTCTTCGATTTCTGAGAGTTCGGCGAGGTGGATCTGTTCCAGCGCTTTAGCTGCATTCTTCTGGAAGGCCTCGATGGCCTCGGCCCGCTCCCTCAGCTGGGTAATCTCAGGGCAATCGAATCCGATTTGCTCCGCCTCACTAAGCAAGCGGTACACGTTGGAAACATTCCGCGCATCTCGTTCTTTCTGGTCCAGCGAATTCTTTCGGTTGATGGACTTTTCGCTCTTGCGCCTGTTTTGCTGCTTCCGGACCGTGTAGTTGGTGGCCTCCTCCACCCAATCGTTGCATCGTTCGACGAATTCCCGAAGCAAAGGGAGCGAGGGCAGGTCATGGGGTATTTTCTCACCCTCGTGTAGAAGAGTCCGCAGAGTCTTGAGAGAAGGGATCGCCTCCTCTTCCAGAAGTTTCTCATACTTCTCTTCCCAGGCTTCCGGCGTGCGGGCCTTCTCAAGCACCTTTTCATAGACCTCGTTGATGGTCTCCTCGGTCTGTCTGTAAATGACGGCATGCCTTTCGCCATTGAATCGTTGCTGCTCGGGCACTTCACAGCATGGCTGGTGACCAGCGTGCGCGAGACAAAGAACCTTGCCCGACTTGAGGCACTTGAACCTAGACAGGTATGTGAAAGCTTTGCAGTAGGAGCACTGATACTCCTCCTCGGGCACATTCTCCTCATTGACCTCGAATTTCAGAGGGCAGGAGCTCTCCTCTTTGCCCGAAAGAGCGCAGTTGTGCCACTGTGGCTCGAGATGCTTGGCCACAAAGTCAGATCGGTTTGCCATCTCCCGCTTCTTGATTCGGTCGAGGGCAGGTGCCAGCCATTTTGCGGTTTGGATGTTGAGGCCGCCGTTAGTCGTGCCCTCAGCAGCCGTCCATAATAGCTCGTCATGCGAGAAGCACGGCTGCCTGCGGAATACCTGGAGTCTCTCAACGCCAGAGAGGCCAAATGGCTCCCAGTCGCAAGGGGCAAAGTTTACAGCCTCGTTGAAGTTGAAACCGTGGTTGAAGCCGGCATGATAGGCCTGGGGAAAAGTGATGACAAACTGTCCTGCTCGCTGGTCCAAGGCGTACACTCGCACACCAGCCTTCTTCAGTTGCTCGGGGGTGAGAAGAGTGACCAACTGGAACAGCAAATCCGGTTGCGTCTCGAAGAGCTCAGGAACGGCCTCACGCATAGCAGCCTCGAATTTCTCGGCGTCTTCACCCGGAATACCGTACCATGTCTTGGTGGCTCCGAAATGCTGGTAGTTGGCAGAATAGGCGTAATGGTCCTCGTTATGCCAGCAGAAGGTCGAAAAAATCATGCCGACGTAGACCCATGGCACCGTCATGCCAGAGATATCCGACTTGATGTGTCTGAACAAGCTCTCGGGATGGAGCGGCAGCAAGTTGAGGTTCCAGAGGTCAGTCGAGTAAGCGTTGTTGGGCTGCTTCTCAACAGTGGGGAAGCCAGAGCCATGGGTGGTGCAGTGAATGTCGGCGCCATACTCAACCTCGACGGTCTCCTCGATATCGGCAACAAGGCGCCAGAATTCGGTCTCAACATCTTCCTCTGTAACAGGGCGGTGACAGTTGAGGACAGGGTCGAAAGGCATCTTCTTCTCGAAGTAGCCCTGCTTGAAGTCTGCAGCCTTTTGCTGAAACTGCTTGAGAGAGTAAAGGCCGCCTTCCTCGAAGCCATACTGGCCATCGCCGACCAAGCATCGTGGACAGTTCCATTCGGACTCGGGCTTGTGCTTGAGAGGAGGATCGAGACACGTGCCGTGGTAAGCGTGGTCGCACGATTCGCAGACAATCAAGGGTCCTCCCTCTTCTGCCTTGCCGCATTGCTCACATTTCTGTGGGGTGTCAGCGCTATGAAACAACAGTTGGGATGATTGATCGCAACTCACCTCTCCAGGGGCCGACGCTTCATCTCGGGGAATGCTGGGTACGGACGGTCGGAACAGGGACATGTGAGATCCGGCCACCGTAGGAACAGTATCTGCAAAGACATGGGTTAGCGCACACTGCTCGTGCAGTTAAAGGGCAGATAATTGGTAAAAATTTGTCGTCTTTCGGAGCTGGCAGTAGGTAGGGCAGGCCATGGTGTCTGCTGGCATCCGGAGTCCGCCGCAACGGCAGAAGACAGTTGGCAACACACATGCTGACATGGGACGATTGCCGATTGGGACTCGTGCAGAAACGAGGGGAAGTCACTCACCTTTCTTGAGACGCTTACTTCGTCTGCTTCCACCATCGGCGTCTTCCTTGTCCGCGCCATTGTCCTTCTTAGCTGAATCGAGGCTATCGCAGCTCATTTGACGCTTCAAGGCTGCGGGACCCAAACTCGAGGGTCTGTACTCGGGCGTAGCCTTGGCGGAGTTGAGAGGGCTGAAGGACTTTTGAGGAGTGCTTGTGGCATCATCTTGAGGTGTTGGGCGGTTGACGCTCTTGAAGCCCGAATTGACAGCTGTGAAGCCGCCAGAGTTGATCGCTCTGAAGCCTGAAGTGACCGGCGCAGGGGTGGGCGCGGGCGCCGAAGCAGGTGGTGCATCCGCCATGGGAGTGTCCCGATCGCCTTCCTTTTTGAGCCCGTTGATACTTGCTTGAAGGGCGTCGGACGCCTGGCGAGCTGGCGAGTCGCCACGGGCACTGGCAGGCGTATTGACGTTGGAACGCTTCATGGGCGTCACGGCGGGGCTTGGTGTGTAAGGGCCGCCGTTCTCGAGCTCCAGTTGCTGGTGCACACCTGGTTTGGCGAGGCGGAGATACTCCTCATACGGGCAAAGCCATCTTTGGTATGAGTTCTTGAGTGAGGTGGAAAGCGACGACATGATTTTGCCACTATATCCCAAGTCGCGGCCAATCTCAGCCCACTTCTTCAACTTGCAGACCTTATCGAAGCCGCCCCGAGCCTCGACCGCCTTCTTGAGCCTGTACAGGTCAAGGGGCTTCTTGTCGACGTAGGGCAGGCGATGCAGGTTGTTTCCTTGTTGCCGGTGGAATTTGGCGAGCGCGTCGAGGTACGAAATGTTTGCTCGCGTGCCTGCTACTGTCAGCGTTGACCGAGAAGGGTGCGCACGTGGCGACTTACTGCCTTCGACCGAGTTCAACTCCTGTTTTCGCGTTCTGAAATGGAATCTCTGCAAGTCTTCTAGTCAGCACGGTTCCGTCTCTTGCCGACCCTGGTCTCGTGGTCGATCGCGCACCAAGGCGAAGTCGTAGTATCACCCACCTCTGTATCAATAGCGAACTCTGGGTTCCATGAATCGGGAGGGATGATCTTGCAGAGTCCGTAGTTCTGTGCCTCCGGAGAGATCTTCTTGATGTACTCCATCGGGTCCTTCCACTCCTCTTCGGTCGGGCAGTATGTAGGCGCATCCTCGAGGCCGTGGGGGCGAGACTTCTTCTTGACGGGCTCCTTGATGGCGGTAGGCTGGCCTCGTCGTTCGACCGAGGCCAGGTCCAGCGGCGTGCTTCGCATAGAACTGAGAGGGATCTGGGGGTTCGTCGGGTGGTAGCCGTTGGAGTTGACCTGGGCGGCCTTGGACTTGGCCGAGGCGGTCGCTCCGACGGCTGGAGAGGCTCGCGAGCTCGCATTCGCACTGCCGGTGCCGTTGGCGCCGCTTGCTGTAGAGACAGACACCATTGCAGCGATGGTGTGGCCGAAGCCTGTTCAATAGGCGAAGGGCGAGGGCAAGGCTTGTGGTCGGATGAGGGCGTGTCGAGTGCGTGTCGAGGGCTTGGTATCGCGGGTCAGAGGTAGGCGGGTTGGCGGAGGGCTCCGGAGGCGATCATGCGAGCGGATGGAAATGGGTGTGCTAGGGAGACTGTCGCATCACAGCCGGCAATCGCAAGGTCGCAGTCAGACAAGGTAGTAGGAAAAGCCGATTGTCGTTGTGTATTAGAAGCCACTACTTGAAGGACAGTATCGGTCTGAAGCAAGAGCGAGGGATGTCAGCGGAGATACCTACGGTACCGGAAAAGCTTAAAGAGTAATAGGGCCAAGAGGTGCGAACAAATGATATGCACACGGGGGGACTCACTGAGCGATTCACTTCCGGAGAATGCGGTGCAGTGCACTCTTTTCAAAGGCGAGTGAGCGAGTGAAGAGGTCACCTTCAATTATGGCCGGATTTGGTGGATAGGCCGAGTCATGAAGGTGTGTTGTGTGTGCGTGTTGGTGTGTGTAGGTGAAGAAGGGAAGCCGGGGGAGAGGAGGTGGAAATGTGAAAGTGTGGATATGCTTCTAGGGAAGGGAAAGGGAAGATGGAGCGGAAGGCAAGGTGCAGGACATGCGATGAAAGTGGAAATGGCAATGGCAATGGGAATGGGAATCAAGGTACACTGTAAGGCGCGGTGTTCTTTCCTCGTGCCAGACCAACAGAGAAGAGGTGGAAGGTGCGCCTCTGCGGCAATAGTGAGAGCAGGCACGGGTACGGATACCTGAGTACCTTACACTGAGGTCGCAGGAAGGAAGGAGGAACCGTCCACGGTCCACGGGGCAGGCGCGAGATGGAGGGCGAAAATGGGCGGAACGGAAGGGACAGCTCACGTCTGTCGGTGCAAAATCCCACTACAAGTGGGTCCGCACTGGACTTCAAGTCTCCACTCCGTCTGGGAAGGGAAGTACCGGGTACTTTGCTTCATGACGTTCACTGAGTCTTTCCCCTCCCCTTGCCTGCCTGCCTCTGCCTCAAGCCACCAGATGAAGCCTCACCCAGAAGCTTTGCATTTTGTGCGCTCTCCTGCACTTTATCCAAATGGTGTGCCTGGAAACCCCTCCAAAGTCCTGGTTTATGCTTGTCAATTACCCAGATAGACATATGAATCAACTGTCATACCAGGCTAGGGAAATGTCCTCGTATCAAAGGGATTGGACATGTTAGTCCAGCTAGCAGTCCATAGTGCCTACGCCAAATATCACCTCGGCCTGCCCTTTGTGCCTCAGACAACCCTGTCATCATGTCAGCCAATTCGGCCCCAGGTACATAAAACATCCGATCAGCTTAGGTACCGCAGTACATGCGCACCCAAAGCTGGCATTCGACCTTGGAACCTGCGACATCAGACACACACACAAACAACACCAGACAGACACCATGAATCGTTTTTATTCCCCTTGGACTTTTCGCTGTTGGCGCACGGTCGCGAATCTGCCGCAGCCCTTTCCCTCATTCAGGCCGTCGGCAGATGCGCTCAGGAAGGCCGTCTTTTGGAGCCCGGCGATCAACCGACGCTTAATCGGCTATTGGCCGAGCGGCGATACGAAGAGCCGTTCGGGTGGTTTTCCTTTGCCTTCATGAGGTGTTGCCTGCCGGAGTCGATTCATGCAGCGATGCCCATGCTATGCAACAGAGAGATGACGCAGATAACTCCTCTCGCGAATGTCATCGCCTAGCCTGGTCAGCACACTCGGCACCATTGGCTGATTGAATTGAAGCCATCTCCGCCATCACCAACTGAGTGGTTCGTGGGGGCCGGCGACAAGGCGAGGCCGACCAGACTTCACGGGTGCCACGGACCACTCCCAACTCTCGCCTGCAGGAGAAAGAAACCGCACCAGCAGGCAGAAAAAAAAACCCAAACTGAGCATCTGATATCGCCAACTGACTCGACAAGGGTTAGCCATTGTCAATCGCTAAGCGAGCCAATCAAATCCGTATGACGTTGGAGAATCCCGCCTAGCGTCCCCAGATCGGTCCAAGGCCGAGGATAAGCCCTGTTTGCGGGGGCGGGCGACTCAACTTTGCAGCAGCCCGCCTGGTGCACTTCATCTCTCTCGCTCTTGCCTGCAATTGGCTCGGATTAGTCATCCGCGTCCAGACATTGGAATTGGATATCACGCCCATCTAGAGGGCTTTGATGATTCTGGGTTGGGTTGAATCATGCATGGTGTGTTCAAAATGGGCGATATTGAACACCTCGGACAGATATCCCGGAGTCTTTGGCAACATTTTCAGCTGGTCGTGTCGTGAGAGGGACTGACCCATTGGCCTTGCCTACTTGAATCAGTATGACCTTCGTGCTAAGACGAAGATGAAAAGACACAGGGCTTTTGTTGGCAACATTTTCACTCTCCATAGCGGCTGGGACAGGACAGCACCGTATCACAATGGCCTACGCTTCTGCGCCTTGGACCCAACTATTGCTCGGCAGCTTCATGATGTACGGCAGGCACTTCTCGAAGGGTCGTCAAAGATTATGTGAGATATACTGCCAGACACGTTAGACACTATCGGAATGCGTTCATTATCCAGTAGTCTTGGGCTCACTAAACCAGAAACTATGTCCTGGTCATCGACCAGCGCCAGTTATGCGAGTTGGCAACAGTGATCTCTTGGGAGAGGGAGGATGGTTGGGCTGCAGCCGTGGAGCGTCACAGACCCCAACCATCAACACCATTCGCCAGCATGCATTCCGCCAGCTCTAAGTTAGGATTGCTCCTTGTGATAGACTTCTTCATCACCACCGTCTCTGAAACATGCGGGGATGAATAAGGCCAGGAATTGAACGGGATCAGACCGCGTGAACTAACGCATGTGTCGCCACGATGAGGGCACCAAGCAGCCGCAATGTAACCGTAGTGAGGCGTCAGATCAGCTGGCCTAGGAAGACATACACCGCCCGAATGCTCGCCGAGAGATACAATCAGACTCACTGACAAGGTACATATAGACAAGAAGCATATAGAGGCCGGCGGGCTCGTATAAGGCGGCCAGCTCGGAACGCAACGACAGAAGGTTACGCAATAGGTTGAAAACAACGGGAAACGCTTCTAATGAGTAGGGGAAAAGTTCACCGGGCCATGGACCAGTTTCTGGGTCTATTTCAGCTTCACTGGGTTGACTTCACAGACGAGAGTGTCGAAGCCCCGATCAATCACCAGCTGTAACCTTGGGTTTGGCCTTAAAAACATCACAGGTCTTGACTGGAGTGACTTGGGCGAGGCAATGTTGAAAAACCCTGTGTCCTGTTCGTGATTGATGGTTGGTATCAGACGTACATCCAGCTTGATGTTGGCCAGAATTGACTTTGCTCATCTATGCCGCCAACATATCCCACTCACAAATCCAACCTCTCTTGTCAGTTCGGTCCTTCCCTGTCGGCTGCATATTAGATGCGAATACGACAGCAAAGGACGTTAATCAGTCAGCATGCAATATACACCGTTAAGGTATGCCAAAAGGACATCAATACGATTATCTTTGACTGAGAAACTTGGTGGACTGTCATATGTTAACCGGGCACCATAGCCAAACACATAAGTGTTGTGTGGACCCTGGAGAAACAAACTGCCCTTGCCTTAAGTACACCCCAATATGTTGAGTGTCGCCGAGATCATACATGTGCATTGCAGTTACGTTTAGTCGAGTCTTCGGTGCCATTAACCTTTGGGTACTGATGTACCAGATGGGAATCCAACCGCAAGCTATTTATACAACCAAATCCACTCAAACCTGATACGGCTCAACAGGTTATAAGGGAGGGCAGCCCCAGTTGATGGAGATTGCGCGAACCAGGGAGACGAAGAGGTCTGACACCGAGTCGTTGACCGACGTAGTTCGTGTAGTCTCTTCACTCAACCCCTAACCAACAGCCATCGCTTTCCCTCGTCGTCCTTGATTTCTACGAAAATGAATACATCCATGACTCTGGGACTTTGAGCATGTCGTGTCATTTCTACGAGGTGGTCGCGAATGTATTCATGGGCTAGAGTGGTGTCTTGCGCAAAAGCACCTGTGAACAGCGGTAGAAGATACATAACCTTACACCCTACGTATTGGTGACTCTGGAAGCTGTCCTGCTCACATGAGACTTAATCTTTATACCTAATCGAGGAACAGAATCCCAAGTGAGTCAATTCCTCTCACGACATTTTCCTACTAAACACCACAAGACGACTGAGTCTGCCTATTCGTTCCTCGTTTAGCTACTGCTTTCTCATCTTAAACAACCATAGAGTCAGCACCAGCATACGATATCAGTATTTATTGCAGTCTAGATCACGGACTTCAGTGCTAGGTCTCAACATCCGAGGCACTGCCTCCGGTGATCCGATGTTTTCTTCTTGGAGCTCTGCGGATCTCCTTCCGACCAAGTCTGACGAAGGCAAATATCGGAAGAAGCGGGTGCCATCATACTCAGCAACACCATATCATCACGTGTACTTTCGCTACCCAAAGCAATAACCACTCTCCATCACCGCCCCCGTCCCCGGCGTATTCTCAAAGAGTACAAAACCCAAGGACGACACGAGGTTTGTGGACATCTCATCACGACATGATTGCGCGTGAGAATGAGGGTTAGGCAATAGGCGACAACAGCCAATCCGCCATCTTCCTTTGCAACTGTAGGGCCGATAGTGACGCCCGCCTTGACGATGAGGAGAACGACCTTGATGACGTCAATCTTGACGAAACTCAGTTCTCAAGACTTCCCTTTCAGGTGGAAGTAGGGGATCCTCTATCAAGGCCGGCTTACGAAACCGCACCGATTGCTGGCCCGTTCATTTATAGAATCAGCCAGACGTTCACGGAACACAGAGCAACTACACATCTTGATTCTTCGAGGATATGCGTCTGGCGATACACTGAGTACATCACGGCCAGGTGATGAACGTCTACTGAGGCTTGAAACCAAAAGTACATATGTACCAAGACCCAGAACAGCGCACGAATCAAAACTGATACCGGCGAAGCGACGTCGCTCGCCAACGAGCTCTTAATTGAATACGAAGTCGGGAAAGAATCAGCACCTGCGGCGCGCCAACATCACGACGCCCGCGTATTCAAAAAGCCAACTCGAGCACCTAGCTGCCTTTTTACTGGTAAGCTACACCACGTCCCACGACGTGCGAGCTTCATGCCCCTACTAAAGACCAACGATAAGGCATGTACCCAGAACGACCTAAAGCGCAAAGCCCGAGGGACGAAGAAGCTCAGGGGCCATCATCTTGCTGAAGCGCAATCGGACTCTCGGTCGGCTGCGATGAGCAGTCGATGGACTGGCAAGTAGACCAAAAACCCAAACGCGGAGAGTCACGACATTCCCATGAATATCTTAGACATTGCGAACCTGGGGTCTGGAGAAATCTGGGGATGGAAAGGTGTGAGTCTACTCCATGAAAATACAGGCGGAGGTTGAGACACGAGGATTGCGACAGACGTCAAAAACGCGGGGATGCCTCACAAGACAAGTTTGAATCACCCGGAATTGAAAAATATTTGTTTCTGGGGAGCTTCTTCAATAGCTCGAATTTCTGATAACTATCTTCGCATGGTGTTCTGTCACTTGCATTCCAGCTAGTGGCAGCATTTCCACACCGCTTGCAGAGCTAGGTAGGCTCCGGGAGGTCTAAGACCTGTGGCGCCAGAGAGCTCACCGACGTTGAAGATCCCCAAACCGTCTCGAGCTCGTCGTCGGGCTTGTCCAGAGACGGACGACATCGGAGTGACACTTGTGCACCTAGCGCTGGACCTCACCTGTAGCCCCTTCAACGAAGTGAACACTACCTTAGGGTGTATCAGCACTGGGAGTTATCAGACCGCCCCGGACGGCGAATTGTGCCGCAACCGCCTGAATCGCGCATTCCAAATCCAATACTTGGCCGCTGTAATCATCGCGATGTGAGTTGATGATCAGCGGTCTGGAAATCGGATCTGAAGTCTTCAAGAATCTTACCAGACTGCTGGATTGAAAACTGAATCAAACTGGAGGAGAGTAGAACTGTGAAAGCGCAGAATTCCTCGAGGTGAAACGCAAGGAAGAGCAAGTAAACCCTACCGCGTGCAATTGCAACATCCATGAGCAGGTAAACATAGGGCCCTTCTATATTCCAAGATGAGCCCCAAACAATACCGAAGTCCTCCGCTCAGAGGTCGACCACTCTGATCCGTACTAGGGAGGGTGACCAGACTTGCGGGATTCGACCAAGACTGAGGAATGCCACTCATGTTTTCTTCTTTCGGCCCCTTTTTTTAATCGTCAGGAGAGCCGAAATTTCTTTCGCTCCCCTCTCCCTCAACGTCAGTTCTTTCATCATGTCGACCCATCGCACATCACCCCCACATTGAGGACAACGACCCTGAATGGGAATGACAGCTTGCCGTTCTCCTTCTTCGCGGAGAAAGTGACGACTCCAGCATGATAAGTGACCGACGCCCTCGCAACCATTGTTGGGACAGATAGCAATCAGACCCTGGCCATGAGGTAGTTCTTCGTGACAGACAACACAGCTGCCTTCCCTCTCAAAAGTCGTGATGGACTGCCCCTTTTCGACGTATTCCTTCGCCGGTGCATAGTCCAATGGCAAGGCATGGATGCCCCAAGGCGCGGCAGTCTCGTCCGAAGGTGCGGAGGGTTCGGGGGCGAAGTCGGTGACAACGGGGAGGGTGTTCCGGAGGGGCTGGGTCGAGTCGGCGACGGCGGTCAGCCAGGCCGCGTGGACATCTTTTGCGAAGATGTGCAGTGTCAGCGGCCAGCGACAGAAGCTCGGAACGCTTAATAAGAGTTGCAGGTTGGACAGAATCGAGGCCAGACTCGAGCGGGGTCGGCGGGGGTGGCCATTCTTCTTAACTCCAGTCGAAACAGTAATGCGCGAAGCGGTAGGAATGTGTAGAGAGAGATGCGGGTTGTTCAAGGCCCACCTGTTTGTGTCTTGGTTAGCAGTTGCAGTTGCAGGAGCACGAGCACGAGCGGGAGAGGGGAAGCATCGTGAAAGGAACTATGTAAGCTAGGGGGGTGGCTCGGGGAGGCTTCATCCGAAGGCAGAGGAGAGGGAGCAGCAGTGTCCGAGACGAACGGGAAGAGGACTCACTCGAACTTTAGAGCAGCGATGCTACCCGGGAAGCCGGAGACCAGGCCAACCATTTCCCAGGGGCGCAAGCTCGGACGAGAGGTGCGAGCAGCACCGCCGCGAGCCTCGCCATTGTGTTGCTTCAGACGGCGGGGGGGATTGGGAGTCGAGCCGATGTAGAGAGACGCGTGGCGGACGGTGGAACGGAGGATATACACCGTGTAAAGGGCGGGGATGGGCTTGGACTGGACGGGCATGACTCGGCAGGGAAGAAGAGACGGACAGGAGTCAGGACATTGTGCGACGTGTTTTGGAGGGCGGACGAGTTGTGCTTGTGCTGCTTGTGCTGCTTGTGCTGCTTGTGCTGCTTGTGCTGCTTGTGCTGCTTGTGCTGTGTGGTGTATTCGTAGACAACAGGCCTAGACTCGGGGTGCGTACGCGGCTACGGTTTTGGGCGTGTATCGGGGTGGTCGAGGACCGGTGAGCAAGTAATGCAGAGGTGCGCGGTGCTAATGCTGGTGTTGGCAGGGTGGTGCAGTTGCTGCCGTTGCTACTGCGCGAGTCGGCCCTGGTGGTGGTTTGTTGGTGTTGATGGCAATAATGCGCGAAGTGAGGCGAGCCTTGGCGGGGGGAGCGGCGTGGGATGAGGTGAGTGAGGTGAAGGGTGACGGTGAGCGGTGAGCGGTGAGCGGTGTGCAGGCAAGTTTGCGGTTAGAGCTGCCCAGAAAAAAAGTAGCCAGGGAGCGATGTCGGCGTGGGATTTGGGATTCGTGCAGGTGAACCCCGGGGCATGAGACGAAATTGAAAATGTTTTTGGTCTCTCGGTGTCGGAGTCGCACTCGGCCAGGGACCGACAAATTGGATCTGGTCAGGCGCGCACTCAAGCTTGGGGGTACCTAGTGTAGCAGTGTAAGACGCTGCAAGTCGGACGTGCTGGAACGCTGGCAGCAGAAGCGAAGCAGCGAAGGCAGGGGAGAATTGGCCGCTGCTGGGGTGAGATGAAGGTGAGTCAAATGGGAAAAGAAACCGAGATGGGGGAAACAAGCAATTTTTTGGGAAATGTCACAGTCACAGTCACAGCATGATTTTTTTTTTCTATTTTTTCGTTTGATTGGAAATAGAAACGGCGTTCGGGAGTTGAATCGCGCTAGTTCCTTTTTGGGAGATTGATGCTGGTTTGGGGGCAAGGGCGGAATTTGGGAAGGGAAGGCAGGGGCGGAGTGGAAGGTGGAAGCAGACAGATTCTGGAGGGAAGGGACTGGAGGCAGGGGGAGCTTCTTTCCTTCCCTTTGGCGACTTCCTCACGATGCACCAGCTGGAAGGAAAGAACGCACCCCCCTCCCCCTCCACCCTTGCGCCTTCCCGTTGGCAGGTGCCCTAGCATCGTGGTCCGGCTTCGTTCCTCGTCTTCCCCGATTCCCCGCTCTGCCGTGTTTCCCCCATGTTTTTACCCATGATTTTATTTTAAATTCCCATGTCGCGACTTTTCATCCCGTGATGAACAAACCTTGGGGGGCACGGGGGTCAGAGACAAGGGAGAGCTTCCCCCAAAGTATCCGACACCACGCAGCGACACCACCGCAATTGGCAAACCACAGCTACCGACACTCACACCAAGGAGCAATCACGACGGAAAAGCTCTTCATTCTCCAAGCTCCAGACGGAAGCACGCCGTGATGCCGGTTTCACATCCACGACCCCCCGGGCCCTTGCCATCCGTTGTCGAGCAGCATTGCGAAGCAGAACACAGAACGGACGCCTGACCAGTGTCCAAAAAATCAATCCAATGCTACAGACAAATTGCCCAGACGGCGACGTCCAAATGAGGGCCACCAACACTCATCGATCATCGAGGCTGGCTGGCTGGCTCAGCAGACCACGGGACCAGCTTCAGGAATCAAGATGATGAATTCAAGTCACCTCACTTGGCCTGGCCGTTATTACGAAGCACCGCATAGTCACGCGCGAGATGGTGTCAGGGCAGCGCCACAGTCGTGTTCGGTCTTCACAAAATAGAAACGAGCAATTGATTACCCTGCTGGTCTTGCGGTCGGTCTCATGCTTACGCAGTTGTGCCACTACCCTACCACTGCCACCAAATACCAACCACCACCACCGGACGCACCGATCGAGACTTCGAGAAACACAGACTGGGCGGCTGGCTGAAGGAATTGGAGGACAGACTGAGGAAAACACGGAACACGCACACTGAGGTGGTTAAAGCGACAGGAGCTCTCGTCCTTCACCTCTGCCCGCCTGCCTCTCCGCCCCGGAGATCAGACTCCAGAGAACAGACTCATTCCTCGATAACCGCTGGAGCTGCATCCAGTCGTCCCAGCGCACATCATTTTGCCTTCCTGCCCTACAGAACCACTCTCGCCCGCATGCGATCCTCATCAATACTCCGCAAATGATTGGAGCACGGTCAATTGCATTCTCGGATGGGCATTCTCGCTGCTTATCGCTCTTCGCTTGCTGATCAATGACCTGTGCCGTGGAGTCCGTCTTCCGAGTCTGGAGTTGACCTGCATTGGTGCTCTCCAAATGTCGCCATTGTTCGCCTCCGACCGCGGCCAACCCACGCTGCCTGGCATGCTGGCATGCTGGGTTGACTCCGACCCCGACTCGGCGTCTGGGGGAGGAATTCTTGAATCTTGACCGAGTTTGAGACAATGGGCGATGCGGACACCGCTGTCGACAATGCTGCTGTGGACACACCAGGGCATGCCATGCAGATTGCATTGCGAGCGCGCCACCGGTGCAGGTGCAGCTACAGACACCTACGCAGCCAAGCAACCTGTTCAATACTACTAATCCTCCAGAAGATCAAGCAGCGGTTCATACTTTTGGCTGTTTCCTGGGCAAAGCGGCCAGAAAGCCTCCTCAACTGACTGGCGCTACGCTTGCTGCGTGCGGCCTTCCGACTACGCGACGGCGGATGACTGTGGCCGCTGTGGATGAGAACTTGGACAGCCACCGACTTGCGGAATACGACTTGCGGCTCGCTGCTCACCGGAGCCTCCATCATCTTCATATGATCGGTCACCTCATCTACGCCACACCCACCTGACCCGGAAATCTTTTAGATGCAGGTGGTGCAGCGAATGCAACATGAGAACGAGTCCCGAACTGTCCAGCCCGCGACAGCAGGCATAGCAGGCACCGCAGGATAGCGGAAGCAGTCCGGTCTGTCGGTGACAGCGGCATGCCAGCCAACCAGACCACCTGAAGCGGTCACACTCTATCAACTCGTGGGTGCTGATGGTGTCCTTGTGTGCTGGGAGGGTGTCCAGGTTGGCTGCAGGCTGCAGACGTGAGCGCGTACCTGGGAAAAGGAGGAGGGGACCCCTACGATAAAGCTTGTCGAGCTCTGGCTGATCCCTGCGGATCAGTGCTCTCTGGACTCGTCTTCCAAGGTGAAGCAGCTGCAGACCTTCCAAGTACAGCTTACGGCGTCCCGTTTTCGAGCGGTTGGACACTGTGGCAGCAGTGTTTCCGTCTGCCAGCGAGGAGATCTAGACCGTCGGTGGACGGCCAATGCCACGGCGATAGACCGATAGGCCACCCTCCATGACAGAGTCCCAGCACTAGAACCATGCACTTACAGATGTAGCTTGCCATGGTAGCCGTTCGACACGAGCACTAGGAGAGAAAAATCTTTTTTTTACTCTCCCACGGGTATTCGGACCCGGATGACTATTGAACTGTTTCCCCCTTATCCGTACTATGCGGTAGCCCATCACTCAGTCACTCATCAGTCAGTTCACCGATACCAACAGGTCAGCTGTAGCGAAGCCTATTTGACGCCTCACCGCAGACGGCCGCGAACGACCCGTGGCAGCCGCTGGCTCTCCCTAGTTTAGATACTATAGTAGATAGCTACCAAGGTAGAGCTGGCGTCGATATTGATGCGCTGCCAGATGCTATTCCGGGCGATGGCCAGTGCCTGCCTGTCTCTGCCAATGCTGGATGATCAGAGACGGCGCTGATGCCAGTGCCAGTGCTGAGTGCTGCTAGCCAAGCCGCGCCCAGCCGGCACTCGATGATAGTAAAGAAACGTGCCCTTCTCCTCGCAGCTTGATTCACCGTGGCGGGAGACGCTACTCGATAACTCCGGCCGTGGGCTTGCTCAAGCCGCTGGCTGCAGCTGCAATCAGGGGAGAGTCTGGACTTTGAGATGCTGCTCGGGGTGCCACACACCTCAAGTGCCAAACCCAAACCTTACGGGCTTTACGCTAAAAGCTTGCCCTTCTTTCTGGGCCTTCCAGGTGCTTGGCTCCTTCTATTGCTGGCTCTGCCAAGGAAAGATACGTACCGGAGATAGGATCCACCGAGGGTACGTACCGCGCCTTCCAGCCCACTATAAGAACCCCTCCTGTAGCTCTTGGCGCTCACGCCCCCTCCACACCGCATCTCACACCCACGCCCACGCCTCCGCCTCCCCTGTCGCTAGTTCGGTCAGGTACGACCAAGAACCTAAGTACCCGGCCGCCCGTTAAAGAAGCGTTGCTCCTCCGACTCGACTCGCAGTTCTGACTTCTCTGCTCTGACAACCAACTGAAAAACTCGATTCAACCTTTTCTATCTCGACGACTTCGTCACTTTTTAATAGACTTTGCTGTCTTTCCGGATACGATCTACTTGGATGACGGAAACCTCGTGCTAGACCTTTCTTCCCCACAAATCGGCCGATATATCTTTCTAATGACCATTATCGACCTGGTATTTCTCAGACAGCCACCCGAAGCTGTTACATAAAGAAGTGAATATCACGACGACAACGATACCCGATACCGCGAATCGAGACCGAATTTAGACACAAACCACCACATCACAAACACAACACACAACATCGATACAATGATTCCCAGAGGCGTCGCTGCCCTCGGCACTCCGGCCTTGGAGATCGGCCAGATCCTGCTTGGAAATGCCAGCAGATACACCATCCAGAAAAAGATCCGCGAGGGTGTTTGGATCGCTACGTAAGTCTCGAAGTACAAGGCATCGCCGCTCGGTTACTGACCATCAACAGAAACCCCATGGGAAGCAAGTCGATTGTCAAGGGCGTCCAGGGCATCTCGGGTGCGCAAAACGAGCACAATGTCCTCCGCAAGTTCCAGGGCAACCCCTTCCTCCGCCCTGTCATCGACGAGATTCAGCAGGAGGCCCCGATGATTGTCCTCCGCCACATGGACGACACCCTCCTCAAGGCCACCGTCAAGAAGCCCCTGACCAACCGCGAGATTCGCTTCGTCGCCCGCGCCGTCCTCCGCGGCCTTTCCACCCTCCACAAGGATGGATACGTCCACACCGACATCAAACCCGACAACATCCTCGTCAACTACGCCTCCGCCGATGAGGCCGACCCCGACTTGCGCTTCTCCGACGTTCAGATCGGCGACCTCGGAGCGTCTTACTCGGTCGACTCTGATGTCGCGCGCAAGGGCTTTCTGATCGGTGCCCCTATCTGGACCAGCCCCGAAGTCCTGATGGAGGTTCCCTGGGGTACGGCAAGCGACATCTGGGCTTTCGGTTCCATGATGATCGCCCTGCTTCACGGCGGCGACTACAACCCTTTCCGTCCCGCCAATGCCTCCTACCACGACCGCAGCTATATCTTTGAGGTCCTCCGCCAGCAGTCTCGCCGTTTCGGTGCCATCCCCGAGACTTATCTCGAGCGCGCCCGTCCTGGCAAGGCCATGGCCGCCAAGGCCCTCACTGTCGGCCGCAAGGTTGAGCCTCTCGACTTCCGCACCGCCTCGCACTTCATCAACCGCATCATGCGCATGGACGCCGCTGAGCGCCCGACTGCCGACCAGCTTTTGGAGGAGATGTCCGGTCTCTTCGAGGACTAAACATGGCAACGAATTTTCCACATTTTTTACGATTACGCATGATATCCTACGGGATAAAGACATCCGAAAGACGGATGAAGCCAGCGATTTGTTTTTTTGACGGCGTCACAAAAGACCCGATTACACACAACCAGGGGATGATTGCAGCATAAAGATACCTAATGTGGAAGAAAAAACGGTGATGGTCACCAGGTTTTCCATTTGTTTTTGGGATCAGGGACAACAGGCGGCGGGTCTTTGTCACTTTCAGCGAGGGTTTATTACACTACCCGGTACTTGGGTATTCTGGGTCACAATGGGAAAAGACAAAAAGTCATTTGGGTTTTGTTCAGGAATTAAGGAAAAAAGAAAAGGACAAGGGCTGTCCTGTACATTGAATAGAACATAGACACTGGGGACGATAAGAGTATAGACAAGCTACCAGATGCGGCCATACAAAAAAGAATGGCTCGATTTCTACATCAAACACTCCTTCCACTATTCATGTGACGTTGATTTTCCAGATACTGATGGGCGGACGTCGATATGTGGACAAGGTGGAATGAACATGACTCTGCAAACCGCCTATGATGTCAGCGGCATGAATTGTGTCTGAGTTTTCCTCCTCATCCAATTTTTCGCCACCCGCACCCGCTCCCACCACCACCACCGATGATCTCCCGAACCCTGAAGTCCTGAGATGGCATCTCGGTTGCCCCTGATCTGCAAAACTCTGACGCCGATGTTCAGATGGTGGGTTTTCGGGCCCGCTGCGCCGTGAAAGTCTTTTTTTTGAGGCTTTTTCTTCTTGCGTGGAGATGTCTTGCGGATTTGGTGGTTGGCTTAGGTCGGTGACGTCGCTGGGAGGGGTTTAGAGATTGAGGGATTGTGGTAATTCTGAATCGACACGGCCAAATTGAGCCGTGATGGCGATTTTTGTCAAGGTTTCGTTAGTGGGTAGGTGATTGAGTGACGAAAGGAGAGCAGAGGATAATAGTATGGGATTGCTCACACCATACGACTACATGTTGATGAAGAACATGAGACTTGGGTTTGTCCCGTAAGCCTGTTGACCTTATATTACAGACGCAAGGCAGACTCTCCGTTATTAGAAGTGGTGAAGCTGGAACTAACAGCATGAAAACTCGGATTCATACCATGGCGCAATGAATACTGCCTCGACGCGATAGCTTTAGTCTCGATTAACGATGAATGGTATCATTAAATCCATTGTACATCTACACCTCTTGCTTTTGAAATGGCCTTTTGACCTCGACCAACTACATTTATAATGCTGCCCCAAACCACACCGTCCCGAGCTTCACCAACGCCCAATCTACAACAGACCCTGCTTCTGCAGGTCGTAGTACACCTTCTCGGGCATGACGTTGCCCTCGGCGTCCTCCATCTGCACGATGCTGCCCTCGTCGACCTTTGTCTTCTTCGTCTCCCTCTGGATCTTGTCCCACAGGTTCGTCGCCTCCTCGATGCTCGTGATGTCCCGGAACAGGCTCGTGTTCGTGATGCCCAGACACCGCAGCCCGTGGACGTGCCGCGCCTCGTTGAAGTGCTTGTCGAACGCCCGCCGGCCCATGTACACGAAGTTGCCGCAGATCTCGCACGGGAACTCCACCCCCAGCCCGTGCAGCCGGTACAGCCAGAACGGGATCGGCTTGCCGTCCCACGCCAGCGGCAGCTTGAGCGGGTTCGAGAACTTCTCGTCCTCGTCCTCCCCGTCCTCGTCGCCGTCCTCGTCGCCGCCGTTCTGCCCGCCTCCCGCGCCGTTCTGCCCACCCATCGGCGCGTACGCCATGTTCATCAGGTTCTCCAGCTCCTGCTGCCTCTCGCGCTCCGTCATGCCCTGCTTGCGCTCCACGTTGACCCGGGTGTCGCCGCGCTCCGTGGACATGGCGGCCGCGAGGCGCTTGACGCGGTACTCGCGCTCCGCGACGGCCCTCTCCTTCATCCTCGTCGCCGAGATCCTGGCCCCGCCGTTTGTCGTGGCGTCGCCGCCGTCTTCTTCTTGTCGCCCTTTCCGGGCCTCGGCGGCCTTGATGTGCTTGCGTCCATTGAGATGCGACTTGTAGACGTTCTCGTTCTTGAACTCCTTCTCGCAGTCGTCGCACCAGACGGCGTCGGCCGTGCTCGTCTCCTTGGCGCCGCCGCCGCCGGACGACGACGATTCCTCCTTCTGCCAGCCGGGTACCTCGTCCTTCTCCCACGCCGTCTCGAAGTCGCTGTCGAAGCCGTGAAAGACCTTGTCGAGGTTCTCGAGGGGCCGCGTGCGGCGCATGAAGGACTCGAGGTACTCGGACAACTCGCCGACGTACTTGAAGTACTGGTCGGTGAGCTTATCGCCCCTCTTCAGGCCGCCGTAGCCGGGGGCGAAGTTGTCAAAGACCTCGAGGTACTGCAGGTACGACAGCCTCTTGACGTTGGGCAGGTTGAGGTAGCTCTCGTGGCAGGTGTGCAGGTCGAAGAAGCGGCCGAAGCCCTCCTCGCCGGTGAAGATGCGGTCGACGACGTAGGGCATCAGCTCGCCCTCGCCGGGCCTCTTGACGCGGTAGCGCAGCTCCGAGTTCTCGGCCTGCTCGTTGGGGTACTTTGCGTGGTGGTCGCGGACGTCCTTGAGCTGGCCGTAGAACTCCTCAAAGGGGTCGCCCGTGCCGATGCTCTGGATCTCGCGGGAGCGCTGGCCGGCGGCGTCCTGGTAGATGTCGAGCAACTTGACGGACTGCGACTGTATCTGGTCGAGGAGCTGGCTGATCTCGTGGTCGCGGTTGAGGCGGTCGCGGATGTGTTTCGGCTCGTCGGCGATGCGGTCCGCGATTCCCTGCTCGAGGCGCTCGAGATCCTCGTGGAGGTAACGCTGCTCTTCGAGGATGCCGACCATTTTGGCGGTAATTGGACTGGTGGTGGATGGTGTTGGAGAGATGGTCTTTCGGCGAGGCTCTCTGGGGAAAAAGTCGCGGCCAACGAAAGGCTGCGCGCCTGAGTTCGTCGCGATCCACTGAATAAGGTCGCCTTAGCTCCACGAAATGCGCTAAGTGCGCTGTGGGAATTAGTGCTTTCCAGGCGGTTCGAGGCCCATTGTGATCGATTCCAACAGGCCGGATAAAGGATGCGCCGGCCCGAGACAGCTGTCGTCCCTTCTGCAGGCTGCAAGTCGCGCTGAAGCTTCGCGCGCCCCTCTAAAATTTCCGTCTCGACCTTCGTCTTGTGTAATCGACCATTGTCGCAACAACAATCAAACCACCACCCACATCACTCCCTCGAACAATCGACATTCATCACAATGGCGGAAGGCGGCAGCGGAATCGACCGAAAGGCCGAGGAGAGGATGGAGTTCTCCACCTCCAAGGAAGTCACCGTTCATCCGACCTTCGAGTCCATGTCTCTGAAGGGTAAGCAAGCCTGGTTGCGATATCAGCCATTGACCAACCGCGAACTAACATGATGTCCCAGAGAACCTCCTTCGCGGAATCTACGCCTACGGCTACGAGTCCCCCTCTGCGGTCCAGTCCCGCGCCATCGTCCAGGTCTGCAAGGGCCGCGACACCATCGCCCAGGCCCAGTCCGGCACGGGTAAAACCGCGACCTTCTCCATCTCCATGCTCCAGGTCATCGACACCGCCGTCCGCGAGACCCAAGCCCTCGTCCTCTCCCCGACCCGCGAACTCGCCACCCAAATCCAGTCCGTCGTCATGGCCCTCGGCGACTACATGAACGTCCAGTGCCACGCCTGCATCGGCGGCACCAACGTCGGCGAGGACATCCGCAAGCTCGACTACGGCCAGCACATCGTCTCGGGAACCCCCGGCCGCGTGGCCGACATGATCCGCCGCAGACACCTGCGCACGCGCCACATCAAGATGCTCGTCCTCGACGAGGCCGACGAGCTGCTGAACCGCGGCTTCAGAGAGCAGATTTACGACGTGTACCGCTACCTGCCCCCCGCCACCCAGGTCGTCGTCGTCTCCGCCACGCTGCCCTACGACGTGCTCGACATGACGACCAAGTTCATGACGGATCCCGTGCGCATCCTTGTCAAGCGTGACGAGTTGACGCTCGAAGGACTGAAACAGTACTTCATCGCCGTCGAGAAGGAGGACTGGAAGTTCGATACCCTCTGCGATCTGTACGACACCCTGACCATCACGCAAGCCGTCATCTTCTGCAACACCCGTAGGAAGGTGGACTGGTTGACGGACAAGATGCGCGAGGCCAACTTCACGGTGAGCAGCATGCACGGCGACATGCCGCAGAAGGAACGCGACAGCATCATGCAAGACTTCCGCCAGGGCAACAGCCGCGTGCTCATCTCGACGGACGTGTGGGCTCGCGGTATCGATGTGCAGCAGGTCAGCTTGGTGATCAACTACGATTTGCCGAGTAACCGTGAGAACTACATCCACCGTATTGGTAGGAGTGGTCGCTTTGGAAGGAAGGGTGTTGCTATCAACTTCGTTACTAGCGAAGACGTGCGCATTCTTCGGGACATTGAGCGTAAGTCTCTTTTGTAATGTTTCGAGCAACTGATACTAACGAGGTAACAGTGTACTACTCTACCCAGATCGACGAGATGCCCATGAACGTTGCGGATCTCATTTCTTAAGCGTAGGGGTTGATATCGGATGATTAGTTCAATGAATGGACTCAAAACAAGGCAGACGCAAAGGTCGTCAAGCCGAGAGAAGTGGAGGAAGGGGGCCTTCTTCGGAAGCAAGTGAGCATACCACCACAACCAGCACCATCACATCCCTGCTGACTCTTTGATCGCAAGATACCAGATTGTCAAAAATCAATAGTGGACAAAGTTTGAGGACAACGCAAGAAAATGTCATTACTCGTACTACTACAGACAGCCGCGCCCCGCGCTGAAGGGGTATACAATAGCACGATACCCTCGCCTCCTTTTCGTCCCCCAACGCCGTGAAGTGTTACTGTGATGTCGAGCCATGCTCGCTATATAATACATGGCGCATTTTTGCGTCAAATTTCAGTAGGGACACAGCCTTACAATGATGCTGCCCCGTTAATACATGCTCGCTAAATGAACCAAAACGCCTAGCTCATCGTACATTTCTCCGTCATATTAATCTTCTTCCAGGAACAGGCGGAGGCGGCGACGAGTTTTGCCGATCGATCGACTCGTACCTCTCATGCCTCACTGAACCCCAGGTTATTGTCGACCGCGACCCGAGCCGCTCATGCCTCGACGTCGTCGACGGACCCCTCGAGACCATGGGGATCTGCAGCCTCGACCCTCGAGCCCAGCTGGAAAACCGTCCAAAGGGCGACGGCGGCTGCACCTCGGGCAGCCTGAACTCGCTCCCCTCGGCCGCCGTTACCGTGGCCAGCTTCGTCGCGCTCGTCGGCGTCGCAACCTCTACATGCTCCCCTCCACCGCTCTTAACGTCGGCCACCAGGCTCGCGAAGGTGTCCCGCCTCACTGGTGGACGGTTCGATTTCGTCCCGATGGTGAGGGGTCGCTGATAGCCTTCCAGGTCGCCGGTGGTGAAGTTGTCCTCGAAGTCCTTGCGGCGGCGGGCCTCGGCCGCGGCGGTGGTGAAGGCGATGGGGGCCGGGGACACCAGGGCCGGGAAGAAGGCGCTCAGGAGGGGTTTGAGGGTCGTCAGACAGGCTGTGACTATGGCGATGTGGACTTCGACGACGGTCCAGTTTGCGATGCGGACTGCGGACCAGGTGATGTCCATCACCTCGTCCTGGGTCTCGTCGGTGTGGAAGAAGGATGTGAGGCGGGTGATTGAGATTGCGCATACGCTGCAGGGGATTTGTTAGGTTCTTTCTCCGGATTTGAGATGCGAGATGAGATTGGGGGCATGAGAAACGTACAGAAAGGCGAGGCAGAAGACGAAGTAGAGACCCATCTTTTGCCGGCGTGGTAGGCTCATACTGGAGATGACTGGCAGCGGGAGCATGAAGATCATGAAGTCCGTAAGGAGGTGAAGCATCGCGTTCACCCAGAACACGGGCACCGGGTGGCAGTACACGGGCGGGTTGGCGGGGTCGTAATCCCACGCCGCGCTCAGCGGGATGCACGTCGTGAGGATGCTGACGATGATCCAGGTATGCGAGACGAGGACCACGCCCAGCAGGACCTTGCCCAGCAGCCGGACGAGGTCGTAGGTGAGGATGCGGATGTAGAGCAGGAGGATGGAGACCTTGGTGAGGGTGAGCGAGACGGAGTAGAACAGGTTGGTGAAGATGCCGGCCTGGACGTAGAGCGGGAAGGTGTCCCAGACGAACTGGAGGTGCGCGCCGAGGCCGTAGTTGAGCTGGGCGATCATGCCGCCGCTGGTGGCGACGGCGAAGACGAGCGACGTGAGGATGAACCAGTCGTCCCACTTGACGGAGCGCAGGAGGCGGACGCGGACGTAGAAGCGCATGGCGACGAAGGCGGTCGAGAGCACGGCCGCGACGACGGCGACGGGGATGACGGAGCCGCCATTGTACTCGGAGGGGTCCGCGGGCGGGATGCCGAGGGGGAGGCCCGGCGGGGGGAGGGTCGTGTTTGTTTGTGATGTTACTGCGGCGGCGGCGGGGTTCGATGAGCGGAGGAAAAGGAATGGCGGCATTTTTGGTGCTTTTGTTAAGGGTTTTGTGTGGTTGTTTGGATCAACGCGATTCCATGGCTTGTTGATGGACGGCCTCGTTAAGGTTTGGTGAAGTCGGAAATTGTTCGAAATGAAGACGGTAATGAATGAGTGAGTGAGTGAATGAATGAATGTGTCGAGTGTTCGTCTACCAGCCACCTGTGGCTTCCTCGTATTTCGTTCCGGTTCGTTGAGTCCCTTCTTTCGCCTGGAAAGACGATACTACCTCATCATCTTCGTGTATCGTTCGTTTGGTTATTCGTCAAGCAGTACTAGCAGTTCGTCGGAATGAAGCTGTACAGATCCCAAGAGGACGAGAAAAGAGAGCAAGAAAGAGAGCCCTTTGGGAGGGCCGCATGGCGGGTCTCGTTCGTACAAATACCGAAGGCGAGAAAAAAAGGCCACCCTCCTCCTCCCCCTGGCTACTGTTACCGAGAGAGGGTCAACGATGTGAGGTTCCCAGGGGTAATGGATGGGTGGGGGAGAGGTTCGGTTGGCTGTGACGGGAGGCAGACGAGGGAATCCCGGTTTTTGCAGCCAGGTACGGGCCCCAGATTTCGGGAGAGGATCCCGTCTGGCGGTTTGGATTGGACGGAAGGGGGGACCTGGGATTCTGGGAATCCCAAATTTGGCCGCGGCTGAAGGGGACGGGTCTGCTTGGTGGCCCAGGCCAGACGGGAGAGGAAGAGGGAGAGGCAGGGGAGGGGTTTCTTGGTGGTTGGTGAAGGGATGTGGAGGGGGGGAGATGTGCCGTTTTGGTTACATGTATGTGACCGTGGTGCCATTTCCGTGCTGTGATGAGGCGGCGCGGTTCAGAGAGTGCGATTGGTGTGTTGGTTTGAGTGAAGGTGAGGTCTATCGACAAGGGACATCTTCGATCGCCCATCTGTGAGAGGAGAACCGTGTTTTTGGGGGAGTGATTATGAGTATCGGCGCCTACTGATGGTGATCTGCTGAGATCCCCAGTCTGATTCGTGAGATTTCTTCACCGTTGACGCTCCTGCGACTCATGCTCACTGAGTCCAGGCCGGACTGACGGGCGGTAGAAACACCGTGGACACGAGCCGAGCAACGACTTGTTGTCTCGGGATATTTCCATCTCGAACATCATACACGAAAAGGTGAAAACACCCGCGGAAGTCCTCCCGATCACTCGGGTCCAGCCAAGGGGCAGATCGGCAAAGACACCAGCATGAAGGCCGCTTGGCCAGCCAGGAACGCCCTCCCTCGGGACATTTCAGTGCGGTTGACAGTGGTTCAGGCCTATGATTGACAGCGGCCTCGACTGGGTGAGGCCGTTTCAGCTCGTGAGGTGATCCACAGGGTCCCGACGATTTGTGAATTTGAGCGTCCTCACTCTTCATCGCCTCACCCATGAATGAGGGTCATCTTGGTTTCGTTCATCTGACCGTGCAGCAACAGACTCTCAGGTGGCAGTCATCGACTATCGAATCGATATTGACACCATGACGACGGTAACGGGAAGAAGGTGAGAACATCGCAATAGAACATGAGAATAAGGAAGGCCGGTGAGACATGAGATATACCTGAGGAAAAGAAGAGGCAGGCGTCAAGTGAGACACTGTGAGGGTACAGAGTAGGGATCACCCCTTCTCATCGGGGCCGATCGGTAGTCTGTTGCCCCTGAAGCTAACTGAAGCCCGACTGACGCGGCTCCGCGTGGGCTTCATGCCAAACGTTTCCAGCGGTCCGTTGCCCGAAAATAACAACCGCCGGATGTCCAGCCAGGAGGCGAAGCACGGTGTTTCCCAGCAGTTTGGAGACGTCGCTAGCACGGTATTCTGGAAAGAAGAGAGAGAGAAAATGCCCCCTGAGATGTCAATCTCGAACCGCGGCTCATTCTCTCTCTTTCGGACCTTTGCTGCGTCTCATTTCGGAAAATCTACAACATGAGCGCCAGATTGACGGAAATTTTCCCTTCCCAATCCAGTCGGCTGGATATCGCTTAACCCGTTTCGGGTCCATCGCCCAGATTGAGTCTTGACTCGACCATCGCTCTACCGCCCAGAAGTTATACGAGGGTAGCATATAGAACGGAGTCCAGAGCGACGAGACCGAGCACACCTGAACTCAAATTCACTTTTGCCGCCTTCGTCGTGTCATCCGGCGTCTAAGCCAGCCTCTATCGCGAACCTTCGCGGCTGACGATGCCTACGAATGCCTCGGCCACACTCAGCCCATCCCTGTCACCACAGATCCCGGCTGACTAGACCTGTGCTCGGAGCCGGGGACCCCCTGGCTCCCAAACGGTTCCTCGAACGCGAACCGCAGGAAATTAATGAGGCCGCAGCCGCCGTTGGAGCTTGGGTAATTTACGGCTCCGGCAACCGCTGTCTTGGGAACGGCTACCGGCCTGGCGTGACCCACGGAAAATCCGTTCTCCTCGATCTCTCTCTCCGTTAGATTAAGGGAACTTTTGTGAGGAACACCGCATCTGAGGAAGATTGCGTTTTAGACTTTCGGTGTTGTTAATTAATTAGAGCCCGGCCGGCTGTCTGAGTATGCGGGGCTTGGTCACGTAAACCTCCGAAGAAACAAATCGTTGCTGGGGATAGAGGCGAATAAGAACGGAAACACTCTGTGGGATATGAGATGGAAGAAAAGAAGAAAACAACGAGGAATGCCAGCGCAAGCTAATCGCCGCACAGTAGTGTCTTCGAATAGACAGATGGATGATCAAAGGTCAGAGACAGACAGTGCATGAGCGTCGGACGATCGAGTTGCGAGGAAATCGAATCCGGGTGGAGAATTCTGCAGGTGTTTCAGGAGCGACCTGACAACGGCAATTTTCCGCGTAGTTGTGGGCCTATTGTCGGTGAGACGAACCGTTCTCGGTGACGAGACCGAAGACACCGACTCCCGGTCAATTTCTCTTGAAAAGCGTGGGACCCGGACCGGGCGGGGCCGGGATATATGGGGCCATCGCCGTGTGGCGCCGGCAGCAGTGTGATTGAAAGATTCCACGTGGCTATGAATGCACGAGAGTATGCCCAAGTATTGGCGTTTCGGTATTTTAGAAGACATAGGGTTGAAGTTTGTCGTCTGGTTTCAACTCTCGTCCAATTGGATGGACCTTTTACTGCCATCCGGGAAGACCTCGTCAACCATACGTTCCGGACGCGCATATCCTTCAAGAGTGTACCCCCCCCCCAAGTCAATTTGTGCAGTGTCAGCAAATCCCTCTTTTCGTTTGTACTAAAGTATGAATAGTCAAGCTCGATTGTAACCAGGTGTCCAGCATGATGAGGTCAACTGCAGGTTGCGCGGAGAAGGAGGCGAGATGTGACGACGATGATGAATTGAATTACAATACTTTTATAACATCTAAGCAATGGATGGATACGAATATGTCTAAAGAGCTCATGATAAATCTCCATGGAAATCGATCATCGGATCAAGCTGAGCGCCGAATGAAGGCTACTGGGCCTCACGCTTGGCTCCATCGGCCTCCTTGCGAGCCGCATCTTTCAAGTCCTTGTCATCGGGCCGGCTAAGCTCTACTTGCGGCATCAAGAACCATGCCACGAAGAAAGCCAACGCAGCAAGCCCCGCCATGACGAGGAAGATGATACGAAACGCCTTCCTGTAGCCAGGAAGAAGGACAGCTCTGGCTCTAGCCGCATCGGCCTCGGACATCTCCCCTAAGACATGCTGAGGGTTTGCGAGCAACTTCCTCGATTCATCGTCATCCAAGCCTAGCCCTGCTATGCTGCTAGCCAAGATATTGTTGCTGTTTCTGTCAGCATTGTGGCATACGCTAGTTGCCGAAGGTGAACTTACATGAGCGTGCCAGAAATCGCAAGACCTATTGTACTTCCAAGGTTCCTGATGAAACTGGAAACATGTTAGTATTCATTAATTCTTGAAACATCATTATCCTTCAACTTACTTGCGGAATGAGGTAACGACAGCCATATCCCTCCGGCTGACGCCAGCTTGGATTGCAATCAGGGCGCTATGCAACATGTCAGCAGAGGTTGGTATGATGTCTCGTGAGTCATGTTGAACTTACGGCTGAAGCGTGTTGCCAACTCCAGCACCGATGAGGAGAGAGTATCCGACTTGTTTGCCGACGCTGGAGTTCTCGTCAAGTGTCGACATCAATCCAACACCAACTGCCCACATAACCCAGCCGAGAAGGATGCACTCTCTGTAACGCCCGATCTTGTGGACAACGAGCCCAGACAGCGTACTGAACAGAGTTTGGGTCAAGGTGACGGGAAGCAACATAGCTCCGGCTTTCGTGGCGGAGTAGCCGTAGGCCAGCTGGTAGAATGCCGGGATGTAGTAGACCTGGACGACGAAGTTCCAGCCGTTGATGGCCATGGTGATGCAGGCGCCGTTGACGATCTTGGATTTGAAAATGTGCACTGGGGACGTATCATGATCAGCTCACGAAGCAGAACGATCGGGGTTGATGGATACGTACACGGCACAAGAGGAAAAATCGCGCCCTTCCACTGCCAGAGGACGAAGCCCACACAAACGAAGAATCCAACCACGATTGTGGCAATTACATGAGCTGAGTTCCATGGATACTCGCCGCCGCCCCATGTAAGACCGAGCATGAGAACTGCGGTACCGGCCAGAGCTAAGGCACTGCCGATGAAGTCAACCGCCTTCAACTTTCTGGCGTTGCACAACTTGTTAGCTTAGTCTCAGAGACAACGTGAATGAAGCTCAACGTACACCTTCCAGTCACCTTCAACCTTCCTCAAGGGCATGAAGAAGATGACGCAGAGAGTACACAGAAGGGTGAGAGGCATGTTCAGGCGGAAGATCCATCTCCAAGAGTCATGGGACTGCGAGGCCAGGGCACCACCGATGACGGGCCCGATACCGTTTGCAATCGCGACAACTGCTCCCTGTTGTGATCATTAGCTCAGTACCTGACGAATTAAGTCTCTCAGTGAACCTACCAGAATCCCCTGATACTTGCCCCTTTCCCTCAAAGGAACAACATCGCTGACAATCATCTGTGCCACGGTCATGAGCCCACCGCCTCCGATACCAGTCCAGGCCCGGAAGACAATGAGCTGCGTTCCCGTCGCAGCCACGGAAGACGCGAGAGAGCCGATGAAGAAGATCGCAAGACCGATGAGAAGAATCACTTTGCGAGACCAGATATCGGACAAGCGGCCATACAACAACTGTCCCGTAGTCGAAGTTCTATACCGCGATTGTCAGCATTTGGCCGACTCTTGGGTACTTCGCATCACTTACATGAAGTATCCACTGGCAATCCACGCAGTCTGGTTACTGGCGTTTAAGGCGTTGCCGACAATGTTCAAACTCGCGGCCAAGGTGGTTTGGTCCATGAGAGCCACGAGGTCGACACTGGCACAAGCCAGGAAGATCTAATCGCCAATGAGTTGTGAGCTAACGGTGACATACGACGTTTCGACTTACAGTGATGATGACCCTCGGACGAACATAGTTCGTCTGTTCGTTGAAGACAGGGCCGGTGCTCTTTTCGTCCTCCGACTGATTCAGCGTCTTACTGCCACTGTCAGACTTGGTCTCATCCGCTGTAGTTGGTACTTCAGTCCCTTGTGAAGGGAAGACTCCGCTCGACTGTTCGTCTTTCATGGTGTATGAATCTCCGACAACGAAGTTGACCGCAGATCTCCTGAAAAGATGGAAGGGAAGAAACTTCGCATGCGGCGGCTGAAGACACAAATGAAAGAACGACGAGTTGGGGACAGAAAAAGGGACTCCGGGATCGGTTTCCAGCATCGGAGACCGACTTTCTTGCTAGTGACCATCCGGGTGGCCGGCCAAATAAGCACCTTGAATGCTTGATGACGCTTTAGCGCGATGTAGGGGTCGACAACCCTGGTTTTTCGACCTTAAACTGCCGGATGCCAAGTTGAGACTATTTGCTGAAGCTCATGATCATCGTCGCGGTAAGTGGGTTTCAATCCTGGTCTGGAGGGTCTGATGCGCTGGGCAATCGACAGGGATTGGCATGGAAACAAGAACCCTTGTGGATGGCTCCCGTGAAACAAGCTCAACTGGAGATTGAACGGGAAAACCAGCTCAAACTCTCTCTATTGGAACGTCAACTAGCAGGGCTTTTATATATCTCTATCGAATCGAGTCGACTTTTGAATAATTAACTACGGCTACACGGCAGTTTTGCGATGTTTTGCGTCCAAAACTCAGCAATACGCTCGAACTCCAACGTTGCAACCTTCTCATAATGGACCTGCAGGAACCACAAGCGACGCGTCCCCCTTGCTGACCGACACTAGCCTCGCAAGGTGTCATGGAAGAGTCCCGAACGACCTTGATGGAACTTACGACGATCAATCATCTCCCAACGTTGCGTTTCGTGATGTCGACATTGCTGCGAATCGGAGCTAGGTTCTGAATTCCAGACCAATCATGTTTGGAAAGGAGACAACCTTTAGATGCTGAAGAAGGCAGGAGCCCGAGTTCCAATTATTCGCGCAAGTCATCTTTCCTCCAGGTTTCCAAATCAGGCATGATTTGACATGTTTTGAGACGACAACGTCAGGGACATGTCGTCTTCGTACATGTTAGCTCCATATGGGATTGAGAACATTTATGGCAATGTAACCTCACGGAGCTGGCTACTCTATTGTAATGTTAATCCGGTGTCTATGTACCCAGTAATGCTGAGTAGGCTCATATTGTATGCCCTGCGAACCGGGTATTGGTGAAAGCGGCTCAGATCCAACATCCAGCTATAAATCACCGGGAGCCGAAGCTTATTCTTATCAGATGTATCTCAACAGATACGCTTTCTTCAAGCAGGATCATCAAGCTTTTTCTTATTCTTAAACTCCGATATCTTCCACAGGGGTGTTTCAACAATGGCTGACCTGAGCCATCTTAACGTTTACAAAGGCCCCGATGCCGTCAAGAACTACTTTGACCCCGACATCGGTCCTCCGCTGCCTCTGGTCGAGATTCCGGACTGCCTCAACCCTTATCGCGATGATGGCGTTCGGATATACGCCAAGATGATGTCGATGCATCCTGCAAACAACGTCAAGGCCATGCCGGCGCTGAACTTGTTGCAGAACGGTGTTGTGCCCGGAAAGACCAAGACCATCGTGGAGTACAGTTCCGGCTCGACAGTCATTTCCATGTCGTTGGTGTCGAGAGTCTTCTACGGACAATCAGATGTCCGAGCCTACCTCAGCAACAAGACAAGTCAAGCTAAGCTACGACTGATGCAGTTCTTTGGTCTAGACATGTAAGTCTTCTCACTCTGGTCGACTTCCTTCCTTGAGTAAGTCTTGGTATATCAAGGGGCTAACGCAACTTCTTTGCAGCACACTGTTTGGTGGACCATCACAGCCCGAGCCTGCGGACGAGAGGGGCGGTATTCGTGCTGCCAAGGATATGGGAGAGAAGACGGGCACCGCTTTAAACCCGAACCAATACGAGAATGATGATGTGGGTGTCCACAAGAACATGAGGCGAGTTCAAGTGCTGACTTGGATATCCTACAGAACTGGAAGTCACATGTCCGCTGGACGGGACCCCAAATCCTCAAACAGTTGCCAGAGATTACACTTCTTTGCGCCGGAATGGGTACATCTGGTAAGTCGTTCTGCCATCGAGACTACATCGAAGTCCCATAAACTCACCGTTGCTTTGTAGGCACGATGACCGGTCTCGGTACCTACTTCAAGAACAACAAACCATCTGTTTACCGACTCGGTGTTTGCACGGCCCCAGGCGATCGTGTCCCGGGCCCTCGGTCGTTCGCACTCCTTCAACCTGTCGAATTCCCCTGGCGAGAGGCGGTTGACCATATCGAACATGTCGGTTCGCACGACTCCTACTCCATCTCTCTCGAGCTTTGCAGAGAAGGTATTGTCTGCGGCCCTTCATCCGGATTCAACCTCAAGGGTCTTTTCCAGTTCCTTGACCAGCGGAAAGCTGCCGGGACTTTGGCGGAATTGACAGGCGAGAACGGAGAGATTCACTGCGTCTTCGTCTGCTGCGACCTTCCATACCAGTACATCGATGAGTACTTCGCCAAGCTTGGACCTGAGCATTTCCCCCAGATCCACAACGAGGTGAGCACCCCAAGCTGCAAGAGTTGCGAGTCGCTCCGAGTCCACATTGCTGACGTTCAACAGGATCTCCAAAAGGTTGACCTCCACCGATATGATGAGGCCTGGGAGAAGGACCCCATGGATGCGTTCATGTACATTCCGCATACCACGATTACCCCGAACGAGCTGAACGAGAAGCTGCCCAGTACGCCCCGATATGTTGATACGAGCAGCTCCTCCCTTATCCCGCGACACGCAAACACCGTCATCATCGACCTGCGGCGCCAAGAAGACTATCAGACACTCCACATTCCTGGCTCTGAGAACATCCCCGTTGTGGAGTCGAAGGACTGGGAGCCCTTCTCCGACGCGAAGATTCTTGAGACTTTGTGGCTCAAACTTGAGGCGACTTTCGACAGCTCAAGCGAGATTGGAAAGAAGATGAAAGAGCATCGCCAGAAACCCATACTGCTGCTCTGCTACAACGGCAACAATGCTCGAGTCGCAGCCAGCGTTCTACGAAACAAGGGATTCGAGGCAGAGTGCGTAAGAGGAGGCTACCGAGCACTTGAGTCGTTGCAGCAGGATGGGCAGGCGAACAAGCCCACGATTCTCTCGAAAACGAATCGGAGCGTCCATGTCGAGGAGCTCGCGGCGAACGAGGAGAATTACTTGAAGTTGGTATGAAACGTGTTTACGAGATTAAGGAACAGCAATAGCACAAGATAACCATGAAGATCATTTCCTTACAAAGTCCTTTTACCATATTGAATGGTGATTCAACAGTTGAATACGAGAAGTGATTCACGACCACGCATGCTGACATGACTGATGTTCACTCGGCCCTCCTTAAACCTTGGTATCCAAGCCCGGGACGAGCTTTGGCTGCTTCAAATCCCTCGTGGTGGATTGTCGTACGAAGCCAAGTCCTCAGGTGAGTCAATGCAGGTGAGCCTCAATCAGGTTCTCGACCGTCAACCGTCAACCGTCAACCGGATTCCCGCCACCCCGTCCTTCCGTGTGGAATGGTGGCTCTTACACGTCCCAGGCTGAGCTTTCAGCTAGGCTTGTCGGCAGGGTGTTCTGGAATGGACGCTAACTTATAAAAGACCAAACTTGTTCCCTTTTGACTCTAACGCGCATGTAAGGCTACCGAGGGAGGGCAAGCGGGATTGGTGGTTCAACCTCTCACAGTCTATGACCCGTCCCCACGTGCCGGAGTTGTCTCCGTATCCAGGCATCATCAGGATGATTGACACATGGTTGAAAGGTTTCCCGACTATTGAGTCAGCATTCTGGGTATCGCACAAATGCTACGTGAAGTCCGTTCCTTGATTCTTGATGACGACTCGCTTGTTGAAGCATTTTGTTGAGTGACCAAAAAGCTCCTGTGTAGTTCTCCCCATTCAAGGGCACTCTCCAGAATTCTCAAACACAACTGGCGTTTTCACTTCTCAGTTGCCGGGCGAAGCCAGCCACGAGGAGGCTTAACCCACCTCGACTGGGATCGTCAGACCTTGAGACAAGGGAGGACGCCCGGGAAGGGCCCGCTTCCCCGGCCACGCTCCGTTAGCTCACCAACCACCCACTCCGTCCGGATGCCGCCGGCCCGCATACCATATGTTGGGTCATCTTATGAGAAGAGAGATCAACTGAAGATGAAATCTCACGTTCATAACGGGAACCTGCGAGGGCCGTGTCGGCATCTATCTGGATACACAGTCAGCTTCCCTGATCTACAGGGGTAACTGCCCAGAATATAGAATAACACAACACGGATAAAATCAGCCGAACGGTTGAGACTTTGCTTCTCAAAGTTGCTGTCAGAATAACCCCATGTCTTACTCTTGTTCTTACTATTTCGGACAAAACGAGTTCTGCTGCGTGGGAAGAAACGCCCTCAACATTTGCCAGCCGTTTCATCCTACCAGACTGGAATGCCGTTGTCTGAGGCTTCACGAAGGCTCCGGCTTACGGTCTTTGAGCCATCGACCAGACGTTTACCTTGAGAATGAGCAGCACGAATGCTACTTCGATAAACTATATAAACCGGTGCCTCCAAACTCTTTTCAATATCCAGTTCATCATCACAACAGCATCATTCACTCACTACCTAAGCTTCATTCAACTCTTCAGTCAACTCAAGCCAATCACCATTCGCTCTTCAATCATCATGAAGTCCCAAGTCTACATCGCCGCCGCCGCCGCAGCATTCGGTCTTGCGGATGCTCAATGCAACGCTGTAGGTTCCAACTTGATGAACACTGAAAGCTCGCTATGGATGACAGTATACTGACTTGCGAAACAGAACAACTGTGCCAGAGCCGTCACAGGAACTCGTCACGGACCGGCCACTCAGGCTTTGCGCCGAGCCGACTGCTCCTCATACCAGAGGACCACTTACACTATCTTCTCTAACACCGAATCGATCATTCTCACCACCTTGTCTTCAACTTTCACACGCACCGTCGCTCCTACTACGGTCACGGTCACCACCACGGTCACGCCTTTTGTTCTCCCGACCGTAACCATCGACTTCCCCGAGCCCCCCGTCATCACCGCTTTCTCTGAACCGGAGCGCCGTGACCTCGGTGACCTCGACGCTCGGCAATTGGTTCCCAGCTTCAAGCCCATTCCGTTCTACGCATCTGCTTGTGATGGCTCCTTAGCCTACAAGAGTGCTTGCTCATGCTGGGGTATCACGGCCACGGCCACCTTCATCACTCTGCCCGGAACTACCACCGTCAGCCGCACATCTTACGACTATGACTACATCACGATTGTTGACACTACCGGAATTACGACTACCACCCTTCGCATCACATCCACCCCTTCGGTCAGCGCCTCATCGAGCGACGAAGCCTCTCCAAGCCAGACCATTTCCTCCCTCGAGCCCTCTGTCACTTCCGAGAGGTCATCTTTCATTCCAACAGACGAGCCCACCTTCACATCAAGCGAGGAACCCTCCGCTACTCAGACCGACGATGAGGCTTCCTCCACTCAGACCGAGGAACCATCTGCCACGGAGACCGACGAGCCTACTTCCTCGGCTGATGAATCCTCATCCATCACCACACCTCCTACAACCTTGGTCACCAGCGTTGTCTCTGCGACTTCGGAAGACTCCTCTTCTACGGCAGACGAGAGCTCCGACGGGGGAATCGTGATTACCCTGCCTTCGCCCCTGCCTACGCTGACGATCATCTAAACCAAACCACTGATGAAGTCTCTATCTCTTGCACTGCCGGGCCCGAAATTTGCACCCAGCACTATCAGAGACGATTCCCCCCACACTCCTTTGACCCTCTAGTCTCAGGCTTTTGCACTTGCACCTACGCCAACCTGATCCGCGGAGAGGGCTTCAACGCGGAGCCTTAAGATGCTGGCATCGAACCGGCGTGATGTTTGGCCTTCGGGCCATTTCATACCCACACTCGCTTACCAAACAACTGTGTTTTCATCTGGTGGAAGAGTTGACTAGTTGGAATCTACAATAAATGAATTCACTATTAAACACCGTCCCGTTGAATGACCCCGGTGAACATGATCATGAATGAATCTTCCAACCAGCTATCTTATCTCAAACGAAACTTAAAAGGTTAGATACATGAGCTAACTGATTCAACTGATTGGAAGTCATTCTGCCTTGCGCCAACAGTCATGATTAGAAGTGGGAGCATTGAGATTCGATTAAGTAAACAAAATACGATAGATACGGTGAAGACCTCAACTCCAAATCCGTCCCCCACGCTTCGCTTGAATGCCCAAGTTTGAGTGATTACTCGGTTGACAGATTCCACTCCAATGCCGCGCGCAACATGTCCATGACGAAAGGTGGTGGCGAAGTTGTAAACATGTACCCTCTACTGGTGTATCGCAACTCTCTGATCAGGCTTTCAGGGCCAGTGAGGAAGCCCGCCGGCAGCCCGAAGATGCGGTTGAAAGAACCACAAACAAGGACGTGGATGTTTGACCTGGAAGGGAATGAGATGAGTTCCCGGGGGTTCAAATAGTGAGAGGTGCAGTGAAGAAGAATAGTCATGGAAGATTCGGGTCCAGTAATGGTGGCAATCTCATCCAGGACGTTGGAAAGCAAGTGGTGTGCTGAGTCTTCGCCGACTCGAACATAGACAGTAAGGCAAAGTCTCTGATTGGTGCGTGAAAGCCTTCTGACCTGTTGGACAAGTTGGAATAAATCGATGTAGCCCATCAACGTAGTGGCATCCTTTTTCGGGGCCATCACGAGTCCATCACGAACAAACTGGCTCACGCCCCTCTCAAAGAGCAAGTAGTGCTGGTTGTACCCCAGAAGAGGCCTTGAAAGAGCAGCGATGGTCGAAGCGAGTCCTATGGAGGAATCCGCGTAAGTCAGCCCAGCCTCCATACCAGTTGCTCTGGCGATGAGATTCTCCACGGCCAAGTGAGGCGGAAAAGTGCCACAGATCCAGCGAGCTCCACCGGCGCCAATGCCGTACTGCAGCCGGGACTTGTGACCGATCTCGAGAATCTGAGAACCGCAGGTGTTGTCGAATCTTTCCCTCTGAAGGCTCGTCGGGCTGGCAGTGGCGTCCATCTTGATCAAGCCTCGAACCCAGTCGAAAGACTTGGCGGCTTCGTCTGGGTCCTCTTCAACCGTGAAGGAATCGGTACTCGTCTTGAAAAGAAACCGGACTGTACCGGGCGATCTGCACATGCCAACGCTAACAGCCGCACGAATGACTGCTTCGATCAGTCGGTTGACTTCGTCATCCGTGAAGTCAGCGGAGAGGTTGATGCGGACTCTGCTCTCCCAGAAGGGAACGGCTGGAGTGCAGACAGGCGTGGCGAGGAGTCCAGCAACACGCAGGGCGTAGGACAACTTGGCTGATACGCTAGGCCTGCCGGTGTAGACCGGAAGTACCGGAGTGCCGACGTCTCCGTAGACGAAGATACCGAAGCGCTCCAGCTCCTCACGACAGAAGCGAGATATCTCGGCGAGTCGTTGCAAGCTTCGGCTGATTCTTGCAGGTTGTCCGAGAACCCAAAGGGTCTGCACCATGGTAGAGCTTGGGAGGGAGACATTCTCCTTCTCGGCGAGGTTCTCGATGCGTTCTCTTATCGTCTGTTCGAACTGGGACGTTCCAACAATGATACCACCGATACCACCAACAGCTTTGGAAAGAGTTCCGGTCCGAATGTCGATGAGGTCCCAAGGGAGGGTGCTCTCTGGGTGGTGATCGTTCCAGTACTCAAGGCATCCTCGACCGGTCTTGCCAATAGACAGAAACGAATGGGCCTCATCGCAGTACAATGTAAAGTTGTATTCCTTCTTCAATCGGTGAATATCATCAAGAGGGGGAACGTCACCTTCCATACTATCAGACAGGTTAGTGGCGATGCGAATGTTAGTCGGCTGTTAGAGTGCACTTACCTGTATAGACCTTCAATAGCGACGATAATGTTATCCGTACCATCAACACATCCACTCAAGAGCGTCTCCAAGTGGTCCATATTGTTGTGCTTGAACTTCCACAGGTTGGGACAGATGCCGAGAAAGACACCCGTGAACATGGAGTTGTGGCAGTTCTCGTCCATGATAACAATGGTAGCGCAGTCGACGAGTGCCGGGAGTGCGATGTAATTGGAACCATATCCCGTACTCGTGGTGAAGCAAAAGTCGGCGTCGAGAAATTTGGCGATGGCTTGATGTGTTTCGTCTCGAAGGAAGGGAACGGCTTCGCTCTCGGAGACGGGCAGCATCTCAAGACACAAACGCTGGAGCCTCTCGGCCTCGGCGGTGGCCTTGTAGAAGCCGGCATAGTTGTGCGAGGCGCCATTCACCAGCTTCGTCGCGGATCCGAACGCGTCGCGGGCCTCAACACGACCGAGGCACTGCGTCAAAAGAACTCGGTAGTTGGAACCCCACCAGTTGAAAAGGGGCTCGACGTAGTTGTATGCGAAGAGTCCCTTCTGAGAGATGGGCTTGCGAGCTGCGTTGCGCTCACTCAAGAGAACTCGGAGCCGAGTAAGAGCCAGGCGAACCAGTTCTCTCACTTTCTGAGTGCTTCCGACGTGAGGAGGACGGCGCGACTTGACAGAGACGAGACTTGATGTCGTGCTCGTTGAGAGAGTTGAGAAAGTTCTCCGGCGTTCCGATTCCCCAGCCACGGCGGAGATGGAAACCACAACGGCCTTAGTGTCTCCCATGTCAGTTTGACGTGTTCAAAACGACACAGCCTCAAATCTAGGCGTGAATCTGGCAAGGGTTCGTTAGACTTGGAAAGGGGAAGATAGGGGGTTGAGGCGTGAGATGTGTGAACGAGGGTAGCGATCGTCGATTGGAAAGAGAAGCGAGAGATGACCTCACGGAAGCAGGGCGGCTTTTCTAATCATCGTGAGATGACTTGCATCGCAAGTCTGGCAAACTTGAACTAGTCCGATGGGCATGCCGTTGGCTTGGCGGTCAACATAATGGAGAGGCGGGAGCGAGCACGGGGGCCACCAACATGGAGACATGCAAATCACCGCACGAGACCCGGGTCTCCAGTTCGGTTGTCAGCATCAAGCGTCGAACCGGCGGCAATTCTTCCCCTCCATTTCGCCTTCCACTTCTGTATTCCTCTCCATCATCTCTCATCCCTCGTCCTGCGTGCATTGCGTCCCTTAGGCCCTCGTGAGCGATTTCGACCCATTTGGAAAGATCTGTTATTGAAACTGCGACACCAGTGCGCCCGTTGGCCTGATTCTGCGGGGGTAATGCGGTTGTTGGAAAAAGAGGAGTTGTGCGGTTGACGATGGAATTGTTTTTGACAAAGTATCATGAGCTCAGGAGAATTAGACAAGTACAACGAGAGCATCTGGCGGAGGTTTTGTATGAGGGATTTGTCTTGGCGGCGCAGTGGGTTGGGGTTGATTTCCAATGTCTCGTACGCAGCGGGCGTTTTGTTGCATGGAGACCAAGCTTTTTTTGGCCGTCGTTAGTTTCGTCGGATAATTCTCTCAATCCCATTCGCTGATCAACTCCTTGTCCTACTTCGTGTCTGGGGTAAAGGCAAGGCCGTTGTGCGCATATGCAGTGCGGTATTAATCTCCTACCCTTTTCCCAGCTTTGACGGCAGTCTGTCCCATGCGGGATGCACTAGACAGAAGCTCGCCGTGTATCAGGAGGCCTCTTGGATGTAAACAATCCTCAGACCAGCAACGCAAGTGTACTTGTCACATGGCAAAATCCATCAGTCAGATACCTCGACTATCGTGCTGTTTGACCAGCACAGCCACCTTTCTGCTCTGCTTACGGTGGAGATGTTGTACAAGATGCAATGCGGTGTTTTGTTCCTCTCGCACGCGGCGGTTGTTGATTTCCCGGACGCGCGCAACCAACCACCCATCCCCAGTTGTCATCACGGCAGATGTTCTGGATTAGGATATCGGCCTGAGTCCGCGATGCCCACCGAGGTCGTATCGTCGAGGATCTTTTGATGAAAGTTTCAATGAATTCCTATCATCGCAACGGACAATCTGAGTCATTGCCGTGGACTTTCCTGTGACCATCGTGAAAGTTACAATAGTTCCATGCGTCGGTGATGGAGCGGTGAGAAATTTGTTCTTCGCGAAAGCGGCATTTTGACTTTTCTTTACAGGTCATGGGTCGAATGCTTGAGGGAAATATTGCACGGACCTGGGTGGGAATATCATCAAATCTCCCTCGAGATGACAGCAAAGATGCGGATCTGGTAGAAGATCTTGCTTCCGGGGCAAGAACGAGAGACTTCGATGATTAAATCAGAAGGGCCACGTGGAAAGACTTTCGGGATTTGAAGCGATTGACTTCTTGGTATTCTGATTCTCAACCTTGAGTCCTCATCTGTTGGAAACGATCGAAGACTTCTGCACTTCGCCGTTCTGGCTCAGAAGATCTTCCAAACCACCAAGCCCACATACGGAACAGCCTTCTGATTCAATATTAATCACCATGGACAGAGATCCAAGCATCAAGTCAGAAGCCACGAAAGCTTTCCCGTGCACCATCTATCCAATACCAGGACCACGGCGTACGTTACCTGCGTTGACACATGGGTATGGATGGAGGATGACTGAGCGTTTTCTTAGCATTGCCGCTCCTTGGGAACATTCTGGACATCGATCTTGTCAGCCCCCTCGACTCATTGATCAAATTGGTCGGGAAGTATGGTGAGTAGATTTTGTGTTGACTCTGTTCTTGCCTCTGTTATCGACCTGATTTCGACTCTGCTCTCAATCCTGTTCTTTGAGTATTCACATGCATACTATAGGTCCTATTTTCTCCTTGACCTTCGCTGGTAAGAGGGAAATCACAGTATCGAGCCGCGAACTCGTAGAAGAACTCTCCGATGAGTCCAGGTTCTGCAAATTGGTTACCAGCGGTGTTGAGACCATGCGAGCCGCCGCCGGCGACGGCCTTTTCACGGCCCAACACAATAACCATACTTGGGGTGTGGCCCATCGCATTCTCATGCCAGTGTTCGGCCCCCTGAAGATTAGGAGCATGTTTGATGAGATGAACGACCTTTCTGAACAGCTTTGCCTCAAATGGTTTGTGGTCCTCTCCTGTTCCACCACAACCCTCCCGACTGACACTGGCCAGGGCTCGCCTGGGTCCATTTGTACCTATTGAAGTGGCAGATGACTTTACTCGTCTGACGCTAGACACCATCGCACTCTGTTCCATGGACTATCGCTTCAACAGCTTTTACCTGGATAAGAAGACCCACCCTTTCGTCGAGAGCATGATCGCCGTCCTTGGCGAAGCCGACTTGCAGGCAGTGCTTCCTGACTTCGTCAGCCTGTTCCGACCTAGAGCAATGTCGCGATTCAGGAAGCACATCGAGCAGATGCAGAGCACGTGTCGAGAGATCATTGCGCAACGACGCGCTTCACCCATCAAAGACCAGAGCAACGACCTCCTCAACGCCATGCTCAACGGGCGTGATCCTGAGACCGGCGATTCACTAAGCGAAGAGGCAATCGTGCACAACATCATCACATTCCTGGTGGCAGGTCATGAGACCACGTCGGGCCTCTTGTCATTCGCCATCTACTATCTCGTGGAACATCCAGAAGAGCTGCGGAAAGCCCGGGAGGAAGTCGACCGGGTCATCGGCGAAGGACCTATTAACGTTCAGCATCTGCAACAGCTGCCATTCCTGGACTGCGTCTTTAGGGAGACCTTGCGGCTTATGCCCACTGCACCTGGGTACTACGTCACTCCCTTCAAGGACGAGATCGTCGGTGGCCAGTATCTCGTCAGGCCTGGCGAAGCCCTGTGTGTTCTCTTGCATACACTGCACCGCGACCCTGATGTCTGGGGCCCAGATGCAGAGGAATTCAAGCCTGATAGGATGAGGAATCTCGACGATATTCCAAACCATGCCTGGAAGCCTTTCGGAAATGGGATGCGAGGCTGTATTGGAAGAGTCTTTGCTTGGCAGGAGGCTCAGCTTGTAAGTCGGAGTACCATCTGAGATGTATTCTCATTTGCTGACTTGACACTCCAACAACAGGTCATTGCGATGCTTCTGCGCAACTTCGACATGAAGAAGGATGATCCAGACTATGAGCTCAAGGTCAAGCATCTTCTTACAATCAAACCTGCTGGCTTCAAGGTGCGTGTAAGGTTGAGGGACGACAAGCGACCAACCGACTTCCTCAAGAGTTTGAGATCTCGATCAACAGAGAGCACTATTGCTTCTCAACAGGTCCACAGGAACCAAGGCGCTGCAGAAGGCAGACAGATGCTGATCTTGTACGGTTCTGATACTGGCACATGCGAAGCTTTATCGCAACGCCTGGCCGCGGAGGCTTCCTCGAAAGGCTTCAGTCCTACGATGATGTCCATGAATGATGCAGTTGGCAAGCTGCCCAAAGATGTGCCTGTTCTCATCATCACTGCGTCTTACAATGGTTTGCCATCTCGAGACGCGTCGAAGTTTGTTTCATGGGCTCAGACTCTCCATCCTGGAGATCTGGAAGGCGTTCAATATGCCGTTTTTGGGTGTGGTAAGCTTGACGTGCCTTTTTTTCAGGCCTGTCCTCTGACTTCATGCTGACTTACATCTCTTCAGGCCACAGAGACTGGCCTGCCACTCTGTTCAAAGTACCAATGGCTTTGGACACCATGATGGACGCAGCCGGAGCTAAGAGGTTGACCCACCTTGGCACTGCGGATACGGCTACCACCGACGTGTTTTCGGCCCTCGAGGACTGGCTTGAGAATCATTTTTGGCCAAAGATGCTAGACGGCCCGCAAGAGTTTGACGTCAACCACGGCACTGACGTGGACATCGAAGTCACTTACGAGCCTCCGTCCCATGCAACCACGCGCAGCGGCTTCGTTACAGCTGTGGTTCAGGGCACCTGTGTGCTGTCGTCCAAAGGGGCTTTGCCAAAGAGGCATCTTGACCTCAAGCTTCCCGACCATGTCTCGTACGAAGCCGGCGACCACCTTCAAGTTCTGCCAATGAACGACCCTCAACTTGTTCAGAAGGCTTTATCTCGGTTCAACTTGAGCGGCGACACACGTCTCACAATCACCTCTTCAACCGGGCGTTCTCTTCATGTCCCAGCGAACACGCCGGTCACTGCTTGGGACCTGTTCTCCTCTGTGCTTGAGCTGTCACATGCTGCGACTCCCAAAGACATACGGATCCTGGCAGACGTAGCTACTATAGAAGATACGCGTGCGACGTTGAGAACTCTATCAACTCAGTCAGCAGCACCTGGCACTCGAGATAAGCGTGTTACTGCTCTCGACTTGATGCTCACATTTCCTGACATCAAGTTGGATCTTTCGGTCTTTCTCCTCATGCTTCCTCAGATGCGGCCTCGAACCTACTCGCTGTCTTCGACCCCTGGCTGGCAAAAGCGTCACGCAACGCTGACCTACACTGTCGAGGACAAGGGTGTTGCGTCGAACTATCTCGCTTCTCTGCTGGAAGGGGATGTTCTTCAAGTCTCACCGCTACCATCAACAGCAAACTTTTCCCTTCCATCGCCAGCTGTCCAGGCAAACACACCAATTATCATGATCGCAGCAGGAACTGGTCTCGCTCCTTTCAGAGGTTTCATTCAGGAGCGCGCATTGCTCCATCGTTCCGGCCAGGACCTAGCACCCGCTTTGCTATTCTTTGGGTGTCGGGCTTCCGATCTTGACGACCTTTACCGAAACGAGCTTGATGAGTTTGAGTGTGAAGGGGTTGTCATGGTTCATCGCGCATTTAGCCGTCAGGCGACTTCGTCTTACAAATATGTCATGGATCAACTGCGAGATCACATAGAAGAGATATCCGACTTGTCGAATGATGGCGCAAAGGTCTATGTATGTGGCGCAAAGAGGGTTGCGGATTCTGTGTTGGAGATTTTGGAGCCGATACTTGCTGCTGGCAATCTGGAGGGGAAGCAGATCCCAGACGGCCGTTACGTGGTTGAAATCTTCAACTAGCTTGTATGGAATTCAATAGCTAGAATTTCAGGTAATCCCTTTTGGGCCAGAAGGTGTCCCTTGCTGCCGCGACTGCATTCGGCAACGAAACACTCGGGTGGTTCCGAATCATTTCCGTACATGAGAAATGGTACTTAGAGGAAGGTCGTCAACGCATAATGAAAGCTGCCAGGCTCGCCGGCTTTCGATTGCAAATCTAGTCTGTTAGGGAATGAACAGCAATCGTGGTCAAGACATGCTGTTAGAAGTTACTTCACGTAGATGGTATTGCCTTTCTCCGGGCGTCATCAAAAGACCTAGTGGTCATGAAATCGTTTCCATTCGCTCATCTATGTTGCCCTATTGAAAAATTTATAGGGCCATCGTATCTAAAGAGTCCAAACCAATACACCGCTGAACTTTAGTCATCACAACTTCCCCGAAGGACTAAGAGACGTAATCTCGTCATAGAGCAACCTGAGAGTCCATTAGCGATGTTCTCCAATGTTACCTCAAATACGAGGGGTCCTTACGTCGTCACAAAGTTGGCGTAGTCTTCACCTGTCACCTGCGGTCGTAGGTACTTTGCCGCCAGCTCGAACTTGTTGTTCGCCGGGGCAGAACCGGCAAGTTCTTTGGTGAGTTGGTCCAGAGTGTTGAGCACGTAGGCCTTGTCGATCTTGTTGCCTTCAGCGGTGCTGGCACCATGCTTGACCCATTGCCAGATTTGCGTGCGCGAAACTTCAGCCGTGGCAGCATCCTCCTGTAGACTTATTAGTAAAATGAGCCTTCTGAACAAGCTGCCCGCTTTTACTCACCATCAGATAGTTGATGGCGCTGCATCCGACGCCGCGCAGCCAGCCCTCCATGTAAGCCAAGGTAATGTGTAAGTTCTTCTTCACGCCATCGTCCGTGATCTGTCCGGGAACAACGGGGTTGAGAAGGTCGTCACGTGTGACATCGACCTCAGGCCGCACGAACATCTGGTTCGCCGTAGGCATGTGCTCGTTGAACACTTCGCTCGCGATTGAGGCCAGCGCGGGGTGAGCAACCCAGGTACCGTCGTGTCCCGCCTTGACCTCACGAAGCTTATCCGCGCGAACGCTGTCCATCGCCTTTGCGTTGGCAGCGGGATCGTCCTTCCGTGGGATGAGAGCAGCCATGCCGCCCATCGCGTGAACTCCGCGGCGGTGACATGTGCTGATCAGAAGCTTCACGTAGGCGTCCATGAACGGCACGGTCATGGTGACGTCGGAGCGGTCGGGGAGGATGAAGCCGGGGCGGTTGCGGAAGCGCTTGAGGAAGGTGAAGATATAGTCCCATCTGCCGCAGTTCAGACCGGAGCTATGGTCTCTGAGCTCGTAAATGATCTGTGGCTATAATCAGTAACTAACAAAGGAAAAGAATGTGAATGCAGAGTTTACCTCGTTCATTTCGAACACCGCGCTAATGGTCTCGATCAGCACCGTGGCCCTAATTGTGCCCCGGGAAATGCCGATATAGTCCTGAGCCGTGTTGAACACGTCGTTCCATAGTCTGGCCTCGAGATGTGACTCCATCTTGGGCAAATAGAAGTAGGGACCAGTTCCTCTGGAGATGAGCTCCTTAGCATTGTGGAAGAAATACAAGCCAAAATCGAAGAGAGCCCCGGACATGGGCTGGCCGTCAACTGTGAAGTGGTTCTCGTCCAAATGCCAACCGCGGGTCCGGCAAATCAAAGTCGGCAGTGTGCGATCAGTCCTAAGCTTGTACTCCTTTCCGCCGAGCTTGAAGTCAACTTGGCGGCGAATCGCATCATACAAGTTGGCCTGACCCTGAATCATATTTTCCCAAGTCGGCGCATTTGAATCTGGACCAAGGTAAGCAAAATGCCATGCGTTGAGAGACAACGAAATGCACACCTTCGAAATCAGCCATGTAGGCCCATACATCAGAGTTGAGCGCGTTCACAACCATTTTGCGATCTGTGGGCCCGGTAATCTCGACTCTGCGATCAACAAGGCCAGGTGCGGGTGGTGCACCCTTCCAGTTGTTGTCATCGCGAATGTGCTTGGTTTCGGGGAGAAAATCGGGTAGTCTGCCCTGGTCGGTCTCAATTTGGCGCTGTTCTCTCAATTGAAGTAGGCGTCTGCGGGTTGGCTCGAAACTGCGGTGGAGGATAGACAGAAACTTAATCGCCTCCGGTGTGAGAATCAGGCGGGAAGCATCATTGCTTGCACCGAGTACGGCAACGCCGTTTGAGCTGGAGTTGGACTGAGACATTGGGAGCTTTCTGCGGTGTTCGTCTATGATAATTTGGTCAAGTGCCACTGTTCACAGCAGTATGAAAAGGTGATGTAACATGATCTTAAGTATATATGAGGCTTTTCGAGCTTTCTCCGATCGTAGCTCGGCTATCATCCGTTGAGTTTTCCATCATTCGTGGTAGAGCTCGGGTGTCTTCCGATGGTGTTGAAGTGCGGCAGTGAGACTTATTGTCCAGCTCGGCCCGATACCCGAGAGGTGCGGATGCCGTCCGATTGGCCTATCGAATCGCAAAGACGTCTTTCCAGATTACCGACGGCCAAATGGAAAGCTTCTGATTCATGCGGCACACCAATCAGACGTTAAAACCCCAACTTCATGTTTCCGGAGAAAAGGGTATAAGTCGGATATGCCGTTGTGGCAATGAATGTTGCTAATTAGACTTATCATGATCCGAATCCACCCGGTGCCATCATCTTCTCCAACTCGGCCCAATCCAGCTGGTCAACTCCCGTAAGCGGTAGCGTCGGATCGTTGAAACTCGCGTAAATACCCTCGGCCTCCAGACTGAATTCCTGGCCAAGGCTTCCGTTCAAATCCAGCCCGAAAAGCTGGTCAGGGTCATAAGATTCCGCCGATTCTGTGCCAAACATCTCTCCGTCCCATGACGGCTGGGTGGACGGGCTCGGATCGGGCGGGGATAAGACGACCTGAGATCCCGAGCCTTCTCCAGATTGCCCCGGAGTTCCCAGCGCCCCGGGCCCTCCCGTGCGGAGGTGATCATGCGGGGTCCCGGAGTCCTTCATCTGCACGTCACCGTCCTTTTCGGCTTGGCGATACCTGGCCCACACGTATGATTCTAGTTGTTTGATCTCCTTCAGACGATGCGAAGCAGCATTGTTACCTGCTGCTGAGAGATACTCAAGGACTTCCACAGCTTGATGTAGTTCTGGTGGTGGCGGCTTTTGGCTGTCGTTCTTGTGCGCGAAGCCTCGCATGATGAGCACGAATGCTGCTGAGAATGCCGCGTCCAGGTCGAAGAAGGCAAAGGGGGCTGTCGGAAGTTAGCATTGAGTTCTCCATAGACCAGATTCACACTCACCGATTTCGTCTTGTTTTTTCATGGCATACAGAATTCTGATCGTTCTCAAGGCCGCCTCGTTGCATAGTAAGCAGAGCTGGGAGATCGCTGGTGTCACGATTTGCTTCTGAGTATCCTGGACCTTGTCTTTGACTTTCTGAAGAAGTATCGGTCTGATACAGAGGATGATCGCCTGTTTGACACTTTATAAGCAGGAGCGTGACTGGCACTTGGTATGAGTGAACCTACCGAGAATAACCTCAAGTAGAGTGATGATCCAGCTCTCGTGACCGCTAACTCCTTGCTCTTGAAGTCTATGGCTATGTTTGCCGGGATAGAACGTCCTGTGTCGTACAGCGACTGCAGAACGTTGCGCATTTTCTTGATTAGGTCTCCCTGAGACAGACCACCGTTGCTGTACAGTGCTATGGGCGAGTTAGTTTGAACAGAACATTTCTTTATGTGGAAGAGACGCACAAGTCATTATTTCAGAAGTTGCACGGGCAATCCGAACGTTAATATTGAGTGCTTCGGGGGACTCAAAACCAGGTGATGGGCCGGGAAGGTCGAAAGTGATTTGCCGATCATCAACAGACGCCGGCAAGCCAAGTCCTGCGGAGATTCGCCTGAAGCAGTCTTCATTAGCCTGAATGTCACATTACTTTTGAACCTCGAGTGAAGACGTACTGATCGAGCATGTAGGCAGTCCACCATATCCTTGTCCTGTGGGCTCTTTCTGATGGAAGACATTGTTGCTCGGAGAACGGAAGATTACAACCCAGCGTCAGGGCAAGTCGGACAGCTGTACCAACCTGAGAAGTGTTAGCGCTTGGACTCTGTGTTGAAATATGAGAAGTTTGTCATACGAAGAAGTAAGAATCCTTCTTTCTGTCGCACCATTGCAGGTATGTTGTTGCGAGGCATAGAATCTCCACGCCGACAATACCATATTCACTGATGCTGTGAAGCGGTGGGAAGCGCCTCATGGCTTCTGCGAAATAGAAAGCCCCCGGAGGACCGTCGTAAATCCTTCTGTCAGCCTCCATCAGCTTGCCCATGGCCATCACCAGCATGTACAGCGTGAACCAAGGACTGTTCAACTGCTTAGTCCGCGTAGCATGGTTCTGGAAAAGTAACGTCAAGTTGTCCGCGAAAGTCCTCTGGTCGATGAAATGCTGGTTTCCGCTCATATAGTCGTTGAATAGTCCAAGTAGACGATTCGACTCCGCTTCCCCTGGTAGTGTCTGGGGAGGAATGCCCCTGATGAGTTCTTCTGTTGAGGTCCATTCCGGAGTAAATGGGGCGTCTTGCTGCTCATCATGTAGGGGCATTTCCGGGGAGTCATGTTCTGGAGATCCTTGTGCTGTGTCCCTTCCAGAGTTCTCGTGGAACAGGTTTCGCACGCGCTGTTCGAACAGCGGGCCGGGAGCGCGTTCTATTGAGGCTATGACATTGTGTGAACACTAAATATCTGGAGAAACAAAAATAAGAAATGTGAACGTGCTTACAATAACTTGGCGGCGGTTGCACTTCCCCTGTCGGTTCTGTAGGTGCAATGCCCAGAGTGTTCTCTAATGCGACTGAGACACCGCCGGTTGCCGGTGCGGGTGTTGATGACTTGAGTTCTGTAACGGGATCATGGTTAGAAACAATTCATTTCTTTTGAATAGAACGTGAGCGAATTTCTGGAGAATCCCTCACCTCTTATTTGAGACTCATAGCGCGTTACAGTTGCCCTCAACTCTTGGACATAACTGGTAAGGTAAGTCAGCTTAGTCGGCTTCTGCGACCATGATCAGAACGTTATGTACTCACGCTTCCGAGTATCGCTGCCGACCAACGCCAAATTCACAGTCAAGTTTGTTCCGGACGCAATTGCGACACGGCTGTTCCCCTGAACACTTCACCTTGCGACGCCTGCAGGTGTTGCAGCTGGGTTGAGCGTCAGTACCACATACTGCTGCGATCTATGAGGTCATGAGACTGACGCGTTCGCTGACCGTTGCTTGCCGGGTGTTTGAGCGGGCATCTCGATCGCATTAAACAGTACTTTGTCATGGAAAGACGTGCCGCTGAAGTCTCTCGCATGCGACAGGGTGTTATTAAATCGCAACGGCCGGCGCAATTGAGGCGCAAAAGTCTGTCCGATGCCGTTGAGCTCATCGGTGGGTGGCCAATGAGCAACCCGGTGGGAAACTCGAAATGAGGGGTGGCACGGGACTGTAGCCCGGGATACCGACCCCCGATAGTCGGCGTATTTTGATAGCCGGTGTATCGACCCCGCATAAATCTCTCTTATCTATGTACCCTGACTCATGCAACTACACAATGTCCGAGACCCGATCACATGACGATCTTCACAGTTGAGTAGCAAAGTCGAAGATAACGTACTGGAGAATGATAAGAAGCTATTCATCATGTTATCATATTTGGCTGCGCAAACAAGAAAGCATACATATTCTGATGAGGCGAGGGTTGATGGGAGAAGTGCTATTTGTAGGTACTTATTTGTGGCTACAAGCACAAGCCCTCGGCATGTACCCGAACGCATCTTCGGTTCTGGCAGCCGAACCTGAGATGGCTGACAGTGAAGGCAGTTCATTATGATTACAAGCAGCCAATGTCTAGAATAAATTATTCTTTGGGCTGCTTTATAACCGAATAGAATTTAGCATCATACTCGGCCGACTTACTGAGAAAGAGAATAACACGTCAATCGTAGCACCTCATTTTGAGTACGGGCGGAACTGCCTTTTCCCGCCTACAGTACGAGTCAAGGATGCTACAGTGGATTCAAACACCCCGCTGGCTGGCACTCGAAATAAGCCTGCGTTTCCCTCTCCTTTCACCTCGAGCACTGATTGATTGCGAGTCACATCTCATCAAAGGGCAGCCCGTCTTTTACTCGGTTCATTTCCGCTCACCATCCTCCTCAAGCCTCGCTGAGAGGCTTTCACAAAACTGCAAGAATGTCGCAATCACTGCTCTACTCCCCGCTCTACTGGGCTCCAGCCGTCCCTGTCGCATGAAACCATCGAAGGTTGGCCCGCGTTGCCATCTTCAGACCTATTGGCAAAATCGTCTGTCCCGGACCCGGTCGGAGGCCTTCATAGTGCCACTGACAGCTTCAACTACACGGCAACCTTCGGTGACGCATCTTATGACCATGTCGGAAACTGGATTTCTAGCGGCGACAATAGTTTTCTCAGTATGGGCCCGTTCCGCACTCAGCCAGACAAGATCGTTTCGAAGGACTGACCTAAACACAGGCCCGCCGCTCCCTCTTCCGCCTGAGATTGATGATGTCAATTCAGCCCTCTCAGTCACTGGATCTGAGGAACATGGCTCGACGACGGTATTTCCTGTGAATTTTGTCCATGGCTACACCAATCGGCAGGCGGATAGGACCGACAACACCACTTCATTCCCACTCTCATCAAACCCGGCATTTCTCACAGCGCCCGCATCTTCGTGGCACCACGAATCCCGTCCAGATAACCAAACGTTGCGTATTCTCAAACGAGAGCGTAACACGGCCGCAGCACGTCGATACAGGCAAAAGAAGTTGGACAGGATCGCAGAGTTGGAGGCGGCGTTATCAGCGGTTGAAGCAGAGCGAGACGAGTTGCGGTTGGAGGTTGAGCGTCAGAGAGCTGAGTCGTCGGCACTGAAAGCCGCATTGTGTCATAGCCGTAGCGGTATTTGGGCAGACTGGCCAGACGGAAGCTGAGTGGCAAGCCAGCCTGGGAACATGCTCTGGTATTGGCGACTTGCAGTCTTTTAAATACTTTCAGTGCAGTACTCGAATTCGGCATTCAGCTTAGGTAACGTTGATGCCGAGCAAGACTGCTCCATTGAATGCGTTTATATAACGCCGCAAGACACTTACAAGTAGATTCAACTCTGGTTGCTGCGTGAAAGGCGGCTTTAGTGGGATGCTTGCTGAATAATTAAGGCCGGTTCGACAATTACTTTCCGATGACCCAACTCACTTACAGATCACGGAAACGCCAAGAATTGTGTGCTCGGAGGCATCGACGAGAACAAAGAGGATAGATTAGGTTCTGCTGCGGCCGGTGTCTACCAACCGCTTGTGACCAACTGTACGTTACGCGTGTTTTTGATCTATAATCTGTTCTGCAATATAGGAGTTGCAAAATCTGGTTTATCAGATGTTTACAAGAACTACTCATCAATCGCGACAACCTCAATCTCAATCAGACCCTCCGGGCTCCCCAGGGCACTAACACCGACAGCCGTCCAGACAGTCTGGTGATCCGGCATGTACTTCTTGACGTTCTGGACACAAATCTCGAGGGCCTCGTCGCTCAGAGGCACATGGTAAGACGTGACGCGAAACACTTGGCTCCACCCCTTGCCTCCGGCTGTGCGTAGGTTCAGGTCCACGTTGGCGAAGGCGAGGTCGATTTGCGTCTTCAAATCGGGGCTCAGAAATCCGGTTTTGGGATCCCATCCACCTGCTAGCGTATTAGCCTCCTTCAGAACATCAATCTTTGCCGACATCTTCGGGAAGAAGCTGACCTTGACCAGAGGTTTCGATGCGATTGCCGAGGCGGACGGCCTGGGTGTAGTTGTATTTGGCCTTGCGATCTTCACAGTGGCCCTTGGGAATGAAATATTGGAGATGAGACATGACGACTTGTTTGGTGGTGTTTTGAAGGTTTGATTTGGCAAGGAGTTGTTTCTTGATGCTGATGTCCTAGATGTAACGTTCCATGGGAGACATTGTCTTCCTTTATACACGTCGAGATGATCGTGTTTTGATATAAAACCTTTGAATTTCATCTCTCAATCGAACTTCACATATCCACATTATAATTGAAGTATTGAAAGCTGCACGTATGATGCATGCGGTATGGTGCTGCACATCTGATGCGGCATGCATCATACTTGCATCTACAAAGTATGGGTCTCTTGTACTTAAGAACCAATGGCATTTCAATGAACGCCTCGGTCTGTGGGCCTTGGCCGTCTCTGTCAGGGGTGAATCATGTAGACTAGACAGCAGTTGAGGATAATGATACTACAACTGACATACATTCAGAGGAAAGAAATAATCCGTTTGCACTACCCATCTCAAAATGAGTTCCAGCCAGAACGTCAAACAGCCCGACAACAACCTGGCGTGTCGAAACATTTCTCAACCCTGCCAGTCTTTGCCTTCATACTTCCAAAGACGACGTGGATTGGTGACCCAGATCTTCCGGATGAGTTCATCATCTCCAGCACACCACTCAATACACTGGTCAAGAAAGCCAGGAATATCGGGCGTCATGAACTCCTGATGCTGAAGTCTATCACCCCCTGGATTCTTATGAGGACCTCCAACATGCGGCCAATCGCTCGCCCAGACAATCTTGTCCGGCGCTGTCTTCAGCACCTCCTTCACATACTCATCCAGACCCGGAGTCGTCGGAAACCGATACGTCCCGCTCAACTTCACCCACGTATTCCCAGATCGCAGCGCTTCCAAAATAGCTTCCCGCCCGGCCGGGTCGAGCGCCGGGTTCTGCGGGTCCGGGTATCCCAGATGATCGATGACGACGTCCACTCCCAGATCCGGTGTGAGAGATAGGATATCGGGGTACTGGTTCATCGTCCCGAAAACCTGCAAGACCCAGCCGCGGCCGCGGATCTTGTCCGCGTATGCTTGGAGAGTGGATTTGAGTGACGCCTTGTCTGGGGTTGCGCCGAAGCTCCACAGATTGAGGCGGACTCCGACCACGCCGGCGCGGTGCAACTCGTCGAGCTGGTCCTCGGTCACTGTGTCGGGGTGGATGCAGGCCACTCCTCTGCCTTTGCCTTTCATTCGATTGAGGGCGTCGATGATGCTGCGGTTGTCGTCGCCGTAGATAGACGCCGCTACGATGACGGCATGGTCAATCCCGAGATTCTCCTCGAACTTGAGAAGGTCATGGACGGTGGCTTTCTTGGGCGTAAACGGTCTATTTGGGCTGAAGGGGAAGTTCTCCTGGGCTCTTGTCAGTGATGCTTTTATGCAAATTGGGTGTCTCCGAACCCACCTCGTCAACAACGTGGACGTGGGAGTCCCACGATCCCGGGTGTAGCCTCGTAGTCCGTGGCATTCTAGCACTGTTTTATGCACACGTAGAGTGAGAGTTGTGAGAGGTCACTACAATCGTACAACGGCAGCTTCTGAGGCCAGAAAACGTCTTGCAATAGTCAATGTAACAGAAAGGGACGATGGAAATTCGGGATCGGTGTCACACAGCTTTCGGAAGAAGTCAAGATTCCCCGCGTTTTAAAAGGCACGTCTACTGTCCGAAGGTATGGTTATCTGATGGCACCCGGGTGGCATTTTGACATCATGGGTGACTGGTAGCCCCGGCTCTTCGGGAACTCGTCCGAGCGGGGTAGTCTGAGCACTCACTCATACATAACAATGAGACCGAAGCCCGATCGATGATCCGATATTTGGAGGTGAACCTTCCGGTTCCCGGGAGAGACCATTCATTTTACCATTTTGATTTCATCCGACTAAGGTAGTTCGGCTGCACAAAAGACCACAAATCACAATGATCAAACAAGACGATGTCATGTTCGAGTAACAGCGCTGTTATTCTCGGGTTTTCAATGCTATAATACAAATGCCCACGAAATCTCACCAATATCTACAAAGCAAAAAACTCGCCAAATGCCACCGCAATCATCATCAACCTCGATGTCTCATGCCTCCACCATTCCACCAATGTGTGTGCCCTTGACCTTCACTGACTGACCGATGCCCAGCGTCTCCTGGGAAGACAACCCAGACTCAATGTTGTGGTATCAGATTCGCTGCTGTATGGGCAGGGTCGGCTCAGTCTTGTCGTCGTCGAGGAGAGAGAACGCTTAAGCGCTCTGGGTAGGCGCGGGAGGAGCGCCGGAGGGAGGGGGACCGGTGGGAGTGCCGGTCGGCTTGGGAGGGGGGGTGCCGCTGGGAGCAACGCCCTCGGGAGCAACGCCGGTAGGGCGGGGGCCGCTGGGAGGAGTGCCGGAAGGAGGAGCGCCGGAGGGGGGAGCACCGGAGGGCTTCTCAGCAGGGGCAGACTCGGCGCGGCGGGCGTTGCCGGTGGGAGCGGGAGCGTCGCTGGGAGGAGGTCCGGTAGGAGTGCCGGTAGGCTTAGGGGGAGGAGTACCGGAGGGAGGAGCACCGCTGGGGCGGACACCGGAGGGAGGGGGGCCGGAGGGCTTAGCTCCAGACGGCTCAGCGCGGCGGGCGTTACCGGTGGCAGCAGGGGGAGCGCCGGAAGGAGGAGCACCAGAAGGAGGAGGGCCAGAGGGCTGAGCACCGGAGGGCTTAGGAGGAGGAGTGCCGGAAGGAGGAGGTCCAGAGGGCTTGGCTCCGGAAGGCTGAGCACGGCGGGCGTTGCCGGTAGGCTTAGGGGCGTCGCTAGGAGGAGCACCGGAAGGAGGAGCGCCAGACGGGGGAGCTCCGGAGGGAGGAGGACCGCTGGGACGAACGCCGGAGGGAGGGGGGCCAGTAGGCTTAGCACCGGAGGGAGCGGCCTCCTCGGCACGGCGAGCGTTGCCAGTAGGGGCAGGGGCACCGGAGGGAGGAGCACCAGAGGGAGGGGCGCCGGACGGGGGAGGACCCGAAGGCTGAGCTCCGGAGGGCCTGGGAGGAGGAGTGCCTGAAGGAGGGGGGCCGGAAGGCTTAGCACCAGAGGGCTCAGCGCGACGAGCGTTGCCGGTAGGCTTGGGAGCATCAGAAGGAGGGGCTCCAGAGGGAGGAGCACCAGAGGGAGGAGCTCCGGAGGGAGGCGGGCCGCTCGGGCGAACACCGGAGGGAGGTGCGCCAGACGGGGGAGGGCCGGAAGGCTTGACTCCCGAAGGCTCGGCACGACGAGCGTTGCCGGTAGGGGCCGGGGCATCGGAAGGAGGGGCTCCGGATGGGGGCGCGCCGGACGGAGGAGCACCGGAAGGGGGAGCACCACCGTGGCCCTGGCCCTGGCCACCAGGGAAGCCAGTCGGGCGAGCTACACCGCTAGGGAAGTCGGTCGGAGCACCGCTGGGGCGAGGAGGAGGAGTGCCAGAAGGCGGAGCGCCGGAGGGAGGAGCACCGCTCTGCTGGCGACGGTTGAACATGCCACGGCGGCGAGCCGCGGGGGTGCCGGCGGGTGGGGCGCCGCTAGGGGGCGGGCCGGAGGGCCTGAAGGTTCCGGTCGGGCGCGGGGGAGGGGAGCCGCTCGGGGGAGCCCCGCTGCCGTTGGGTGGGGGAGGAAGGCCGGTTCCGGAGGGGGCCGGGGGCGCGGAGCCACCAGAGACCTGGGGCGCCGGCGCCGCTTGGCTGATGGCCGCGATGGCGGTGACGAGAGCGAAAATGATGTTGGAACGCATCCTGGCGACCGAAAGAAGGTTTGAAAGTTGGTGAAAAAAGGTGGTCGAAAAGTTGCGATCAAGGTGGGAAAAAAAGAAGGAGCTTGTTGTAAGTGAGCTGTTGTCGAAGAGAAGGAAAAGATGTTGATGAGATGAGTGTGGTGAGGAGAGGGAAAAAGAAGCCGAAGATGATGGACATCTCGACTGTTTATATCCTCCTTTTTCCTCTAGAGGTAAGCTCTCTGGTATGACGCCTTTTCCATATTGCACAAGTCTGCAATACCTAGATTAGCACGCCTTCGACTCCAGGAGTTGGCGACAACGCGGCTCAGCTCCGCAATCAACCCCGTGGCTCCACGATGTTCTGGGCCCGTCAGGCAATATTCCGCAACGCTATGATCGAAGGACACGGAGAGAAGCCCCATTGCTGCGGGACTGGTCAATGCTTGACTGCAAACAACGATCATCCGCCGTCTAATGGCTGTGGCATGTACGCTTGCGCGGCTCCTATGCCGCTCATCGCTGTCGTTCCCAGTCGGGCGGTGTCAAGTTTAGTGAGGTGGTTCCATTGGGGGCCATGGATCGACCCTCGAAAGGAGGCCGTTCGTCGGGTCTAGGGCATCTGAAGTCTCTGGGATTCGATTGGTATTCCGAGACCGTTTGTTTCGAAACGTCTGGTTCCGAGCATCGCGGTTTGTCAAAGAGAAGTCGTCCCCCCTTGTCAGTCGTCAGGACGGCCCCCTTGTGGCTGGACACGCAAGCCCGCCCACTTCCCGGATTAGGATCCCGGATGGCGCCCCGAAAGGCTGGCTCCCGCCCGGGGCCAGGGGCGGATGGACCAACCATTTCGAGGAGTGTGGCGAAGGCATGCTTCGTCGACACAATGTCGAATTGCTTCTTTTCCATATTGCCTGCATATTGAAGTTGTCAAAAGCATCGGATGATGATGGCCGAGTTTTCCCAAATCGGCGCCCTCGGAGTTGTGAAGTCTTTGGAGTTCCAGCGCATGATTGTGACTGACATGCGGACTAGAGAGACGAAGTTGAGAGCGACGGAAGATTCCATGTCCACTCCCCTTTGAATGGATCCCACGATGACGTGGACTGGTGTTCAGGCGGTTCTGAGTAGACACGCATCTATTCTTGGAAGGAAACATGTTCGTCACATAGTTGAGTCGTCCCAATTGGGAGTTGTCGTCCTCGAGTGGAAATGGAGAAGGCTCTTGTGGAGAGCTGGTGATGAAACCGTTAGCTCGGACGAGGCAACGTACACCACAATCAATTCGATTCAAGCTCTCCTGTGGCGTCGATCAACCGAGATGGAGGAGAAGAGAACGGAGCCTGGAGAGTCTGTGAGTCCACATCCAGGGCCAATCGCGCGTTGGACGGTTTAGCCTCATGCACAGAAGCATAATCGCCGGCAGTCGTCACACCATCGCGGAGAATATCCTGCCATCTATGGATCGACATAGCAAAGTTTATCCATCCAATAGTTTCCTGATTTGTGGGTTTTCTTTTGATGATGATAATCAGTATGCGTACGTGTAGAGCTTCATTTTTGAGCAAGTTAAGCCCCGAGAACGGCAAGAATGTCACATCACGACATTACGGTAGTCGTAGTATGTTGCTTCTTTCCAGATTGCCACCAAACAAATGATTCTCCGCTGTATGACAGATTATCCAGTGTTTCTCTCGGTATCACCATTCCGCTGTGCCGTCCCTGTTCATCTAAACAACGTATCATCGACGACAGGGCATGATATTCCACCACTCTCCCGTCATAGACTTGGTAAACGACGGAGAAAATAAGCTCTGCACTGTGATCCCATCAAGGGATGAAACGAGCTAAAACGATGGGATGCTACTGGCGAAGCTATTTTGATCATCCAGGTTGTTGGATGAATCTCCAGGTTGACGTGGACAGGCCGATCTACACCAGACAAACAAGAACAGGTCTGACCGCTTGCCGCTCAGCGGTACCCTGGATACCAAACCCTTGACGTAGTAGCATATCCAAGTGAGCCTTTTCTAGGGTAATGGCTTCTCTGTCTTTGTTGACATGAGCTTTTGCTTAGAACTCATGGAATCAACTGAGGATGGCTTCCTGCTTGTTCTGGTCTCTTCAAGCATTAGAGAACACAATTGTCAACTTGAAAATACCTTAGCTGAATAAAACGACATTCAATGATCTCTAGGTATTCACACTTCAAGAAACATTCACTTGCTCAGATCCAAGATCGACGTCCATTGCGTGTAAACTCGGTTTCTCAAGCCGGAGGCAAGGAGGGAACCCAGCGAACCACTAATCCGGGCCCGCAACAGGGCGGGGTCTTCCCCTGACGCAGCGCATAACCGCCCTATAGTGCATCCAGCCACAGCGACGTAAGCTGCTGCTAACTCCCCTAGCTCTCGGCTTTCAGCAGGGTGAGCCCAGTAAAACCACCCCCAAGCTCCAACCGGGCTTTGCCCTCGGACCGGCCCCACAGCACGGAACGGTGCAGCCGCCGCCCGCCGCCGCTTAGCCGAAAACTGAATTTTCCTTCGGCGCGGCGCAGCCACTTTTCTTCACCCGCCACATCACGCAACGCAAGCTCACCCACATACCTCACAAACCCCTTAACCACAACTCACCTTGCACAACTCGCCTGTCGCCTTCTTCCGTTCCGAGGCGCCGGCGTGGCGATGCCTTCTCCGGCGCTCGGGGTACACAGCCTGTATCTCGGAATCTGCGGCGTAGCGTTCTGCCTGCTTCGTTCTGTGATCATCACGTCACTCTCAATCGTCTTAGTTGTACTAGCCGTCGTTGCCTATCGCCTGCTCTTTCACCCCCTTGCCGGCGTGCCCGGCCCCAAATCCGCGGCCATCTCTAGTGTTTGGTATGCCTACCATGCACGCAATGGTCGTATGCTCCAGTTGGGCAAGACTCTTCACAAGAAGTACGGCCCTATGGTGAGAGTTGCGCCAAACGAGGTTTGGTTTGACTCGGTTGACGCGTTCAAGCACATCTACAGTGGGTTTCCTCTCAGCTTTACTAAGAAATCACCCGCTAATCATGTGCAGGAGCTGGAAGTGGCTACGAGAAATCAGAATTCTATCGTACGTTTTCATATTCACTTCGTCATAAGCTCGACTCATCTCACAGCAAACCTTTAGTGTCAACCGCCCTTCAGAGACCCGACATCACATTCACCCCTTTCCCGAACTTCACATCCCCAGAAACACTCGATCTCCTCTCTGAACGCAACACCGCCCGATACCGCCTGCAACGTCGACTCATCGGGCCTCTCTACCAGACCAACCACCTGAAGCGCCACGAACCCGCCCTCGACGCCGTCCTCACGCGCGTCATCTCCACTCTTCGCGCCCTCGACGGAGCAGAGATCGACCTCAAAGAATGGATGCACATCATCGCCGTCGAGTCCCTCTCAGCCGTGGTTCTTTCCTGGTCGCCCAACTACCTCAGGGACAAGACGGACCACTCATCGAGCAGTCACGGCTACCTAGGCTGGCGCCGCAAGACCGTCTTCGGACTCTTTCCCCTGGCAGTCAAGGCCGAGCTGTTCTCGAAAGCTGCCGGCAGGGCGTTCGCGAACCTCTGGTGCATCACGTACAAGACGCCCAAGAACTTCAAGCCGTTCTTCACGGGCGTGTACCGCCAGGTCTCCCGGCGAATCACATCCTCCTTGGCCAACAAGCCCGTCTCCAAGAACGACCGCAAGGACGACTTCCTCATAGACCTGATCCAGCTGCACAAGGACAAGCCAGAGTTCACGGAGACGTACCTCCGGCGGATGGCCATCACCAACTTCGGCGCCGGCCACGAGACGATGTGCTCCGCTCTGACGTCCATCATGGCGATGATCGGCTCCCATCGCGAGGTACAGAAGCGGGTTTCCGACGAAGTCCGCTCAGCCGCCCAAGACCCAAAGGCCTACGATAACGCCGTCCGTCTCGCGTATACCCAGTCAACTATCAAAGAGGCCCAGCGCCTGTATCCAGTGCTGGGAATGTCGCTGCCCCGCACGGTACCCCCTGAAGGACTGACCGTACACGGCCAGTTCTTCCCATCTGGGACCACGGTTGGGTGTAACCCTGTGTCTCTGCATCGGAACATCTCGATATTCGGGACTGACGCGGAGGAATACAATCCGGGTCGATGGCTGGATGACGAAAGGGATATCCGGGCCATGGAGCGGTTTAATCTTACATGGGGAGGGGGCGGAAGGATGTGTCCCGGGCGGCACCTTGCGGAGTTGGTCGTCTACAAGACCATCCCGGCCTTGATGGAACACTTCGACGTTGAGGTGGCGATGCCGGCAGAGGAGGATATAGAGTACTACTTCATGGCCATGCTCACTGGCGTGAAAGCTCGATTCTTGCCAAAGAAAACGGTCAAGAACAGCGATGCAACTTGCTGAATGGTGAGCCATGGTTAAGTTTGACTCGGCTAAAGCCCTAACGACTTGACCACGTACGTACAAGAACGGTGCGTCATGAGAAACGATGATCACGACATAGAAAGGCACTACGGTGCCACTGGGATAGACAAAATTCAACTAGATCTCATGAAGTCATGAAGACAGACTTTTCTTCTTCTTTGCGAATACTCGAGAGCAAAACCAGTCCCACGTTAGATCTTGTGGTCTCCTTTGAAATCCGAGGAAGACTTGAATTGCCACATTCAGTCTCGACTGCTGAAGATCTCCCTCTTATAACTGCCTAGAAACCAGCGCCAATGGCTCGAGTGTGGCAAGGATGAATAGTACCCTAAGTGGTAAGAAGATGTCTTCGAAGTCGGAGATGCCGGATTTCTTCAGAAAGGTTTACTTGGTAATGCGACGGTTGATTTGAAACAGGAGGGCTATATATGTATATATTGTAAAGTGCGAGTCTCAGATCTCCAGGTGTTGACCCCAATCAGGCTGACTGAGATGTACTGTGTTCTGTCTGTTTGAAGTATGCATATCTGAAGGTTTACATCACGCATCAATGTTCCTGGTCTGGGTTCCGTCTCGGCTAGGCTCAACAAAAAACGCCATTCGCATTCCTTAGCGAAATAAAGTAAGCCTGGAAAATTCGAAAAAGATCGAATCGCGCATCAATAACAGTTGAACTGCTCTATTCGGAAACAACTCTGTGTGTATTGTCCAAAAGCATCCAACCATGCTTTAACAATGTGAATTCAAGAGGTAAATAGTACAATTCAGAATGAATTATTAGTTGGATTCATTGGATTTAAACCTGGCTAAAGCAACAAACACCAAATTCTAAATAGTAAAAGGGGATTCATTGAGAAATGATTTTAGTGATTAAAAGTGAAATAGTGGTTATTATGCAGACTCAGCTCGATTGTTCAAGTGAGAGTTACAGAAGATGAGGACAACCAGCAACAAAGTCGAGCAAACTGCGTTGATCTTGTCAGTCTGGTTCAAGAACCATCGGATTTACTAGCTCAAAATACATCCCTAAGTTTTTGCCAATATATAAAAAGATGATTTGAATTCAAACGAGGCTACTAAGGACTTCCCGAAACCTTAAAGCTGTAGAAAGGCCTCAGCGATACCAACATCGTGATGGCTTCACAGTAGATGAACAGGCTGTGATCGTCCCACTTCGCACAGTACGTACTATTCGTGCTTACCTAAGAGTCTGGAGAAATGGTCATTCCGAATCCCCGCAATTTGATGAGGTCAGTGCGTCACGGCCAACCCCACCTCTTGGAGGCTCTGGAATTCTGGACGGTGGCACTGGCTTCGGACGGCCTAGCGCATCCCACCCTGAAAGCCAAATTCCCATCTGCAACGTCGCCAACCGAGCATCACGAACCACCACCTACCCTCAACTATACCCAAGTCGGCTCCATAGCCGCAACCGCCCACCATGGTTCTCCAAGATCTCGGCCGTCGCATCAACACGGCTGTCACGAATCTGACAAGAGAACCCAATCTCGACGAGAAGGTACGCACTGCATGCCCCGCAGAACCCCGAGTCGCCTCTCCAGTCCTGTCGCGCGACCATTCGATAAAGACACGTTTGCTGACGGTTCGCTATCACACAGGCTTTCGATGGCATGCTCAAGGAGATCTGCGCCGCCCTGCTCGAATCCGATGTCAACGTGCGCCTCGTAGGCCAGCTGCGAAAATCGATCAAGTCCTCCGTCAACTTCAAGGAACTCCCGCCCGCCGTCAACAAGAAGCGCCTCATCCAGAAAGCCGTTTTCGACGAACTCGTCAAGCTCGTCGACCCCCATGCCGAACCGTTCAAGCCCAAGAAGGGCAAGTCCAACATCATCATGTTCGTCGGTCTCCAGGGTGCCGGTAAAACGACAACATGTACGAAGCTCGCCCGACACTACCAGGCCAGGGGGTTCAAGGCCTGTCTGGTGTGCGCTGATACCTTCCGTGCCGGTGCCTTCGATCAGTTGAAGCAGAACGCCACCAAGGCAAAGATCCCATACTACGGTTCCCTGACGGAGACGGACCCCGCGGTCGTCGCACGCGACGGTGTCGAGAAGTTCAAGAAGGAGAAGTTCGAGATTATTATCGTGGATACCTCCGGTAGACACAGGCAAGAGGAGGCGCTGTTCCAGGAGATGGTGGATATTCAAACGGCGATCAGACCCGACGAGACCATCATGGTCCTCGACGCATCCATCGGTCAGCAAGCAGAGTCGCAAGCAAAGGCGTTCAAAGAGGCGGCAGACTTCGGTGCCATCATCATCACAAAGACCGACGGTCACGCCAACGGTGGTGGTGCCATCTCCGCCGTAGCAGCAACACATACACCCATCGTTTTCATTGGTACGGGTGAGCACATGCTCGACCTCGAGCGCTTCGCACCGCAGCAGTTCGTCCAAAAACTACTCGGCATGGGTGATATGGCCGGCCTGGTGGAGCATGTTCAAAGCCTTAAGTTGGACCAGAAGGAAACGATAAAGCACATCACCGAGGGTATCTTCACGGTACGCGACTTGAGGGACCAGCTTTCCAACATCATGAAGATGGGCCCGCTATCCAAGATGGCCGGTATGATCCCCGGCATGAGCGGAATGATGCAGGGTATGGACGACGAGGAGGGCAGCATGAAGCTCAAGCGCATGATCTACATCTGCGACTCCATGACGGAGAAGGAGCTCGACTCGGACGGCAAGATCTTCATCGAGCAACCGACGCGCATGACGCGGATAGCCCGCGGCTCGGGAACATCGGTGCGCGAGGTCGAGGACCTCCTGACGCAGCAACGGATGATGGCCGGCATGGCGAAGAAGATGGGCGGCAACATGAAGAACATGCAGCGCGCGCAGCAGGCCATGGGCGGTGGAAACAAGGCGCAGCAGATGGCTGCCATGCAGAAGCGCCTGCAGAGTATGGGCGGCGCCGGAGCCGGCGGCGGCATGCCGGATATGGGCAGTATCATGAAGATGCTCGGAGGCGGAGGAGGCGGTGGCGGAATGCCCAACATGCAGCAGATGCAGCAGATGATGTCGCAGATGGGTATGGGCGGCGGTATGCCCGGAATGGGAGGCATGCCCGGTATGGGCGGTGGGCGTGGAAGACGATAGAATTGGCGGATCATATCTGTACATGATCACACAAGAAGACGGCTCTGTTGATAGCGACAACGAGAAGATGTGGATGAAGGCATGATACTGGAGTCGCTGAGGGCGGGACCACATTTGGAGCCCTCTTACATATAGGACTGGCGTTTGGCGGAGGGAAATACTATCAGACCCATTTCTGCACTCTCCACGTATTTCGAGATGGTGTCTGTCTCAAAGGCAGATGCACTCGCCGGCCTCTGATGCCATCCCCGCTCTTCGGCGTACAGCCCCACATAATCGGCGGACCCGCCGCGGATGGGTCCCGACATGCCGTGTAGTGGGTCCCCATACCGGCCGGTGCCGTAAATTTTGCTCGTTCTCCTGCACAGTACTCCCATCCACTAGGCAGAGCCAAGCCCAAAGCTGCAGCTATACTCCCCTTGCCCTGGTTCATCTACAATCCGGAATCCGGGCCAAGGGAGCGAAGTAGCTTTTGTGGCGTCTGTCACCAAATCGAAAGAACCAAGACACCGAGTAGATCTACAGTTCCCACAGGAACAGCCATCTCTTGCATCAAAAGACTCGGTGACAAAACTTAGAACCCCTTCAACCCCGGTTGGACCCCTATTTTGGCCCTTGCTGCAGCCCTACCAGGTCCGGGCCCAGTGGTCCTGCGACATAGCTGGGTCTATGAAGAGCCAAGACTCTTACCGCTCTAAGCAATTGTCGGCCGAGAGACGATACTTTTTCTCGGGAGTACTTATTTTCAACAAAGTATCAGGATGTCAACAGATCGTCCGGATGAGGCCTGGGGCATTTTGTAAGTGGGTCGGTGCGTGTAGTCTCGTTCTCGCTCTCGTACGTCCGACGGAAATGGGCAGGGAAACGAGGCCATGGCACGAGCATGGAGTTCTCTCAATACCAACGAAGAAGGGAGACCCCTTGCCCTAGATGTTTGAAGCATGGCTTGCAGCTTCAAACGACGCGGCTGCGGTTGTCATGATTCAAGAGACAAGAGACATTTTCAGGTCAAGAGGGACGAAGAGAGAGGATATTGTCGAATGAGTGGGTTCTATTTGTTTGAAGTCTCCCCCATCTTCATTTCGAATTTCTCAGCGCCAGGTTCTAAGACACCCTGGAGCTATCAGCACGCTGTTCGGCACAGCGCCCGAAAATCTGCCTTACCATCGGCCGTATGGGGCCGAAGTGACTGACCCTGCCCCCTGCTCTCCACCGTATCAAGCTACCAATCATTCAAGTGGGAAAGTCAGACATTCTAAGGCAGTTTCTGGAAGCTTTGTCGTGGAGCACGGACAAGAAGATGTCCGAGTTCGTCCGAATCGACTTTGTTCCTTGAACGGGCTCAACATAACGGACGTCGGCTCGGTCACAGTCGTAAGCCGAGTTACACCGAAGTATTTGAGTCTGGTATGTATTGACGCACCGTTACTTTGATGGCGTCCAATGGAGGCTGTGTCTGTATTCTTATGCCGCCTGCGTGCTCGCAGTCTGATAGCAAGGTGAACGAAACGGCACGGTACTACTACAGAAACACTGAAGCGAGCCAAGGGCGTGGTAAGTAAAGAGTCAGAGAGCTCGCCGGCTTACATTTCCCGCGTTTCTCTTGGCTCCCCATAGTCCCCGGACTCCGCCGCCGCTGCAACTCGACAAGCGATGCGTCAGCCACCATCCCCATCTTCATTTCGGCCCGTACGAAACGAAAGGCTCAAATGGGGAGTAGTAGATCTTGACTGGACGAGCACAACGTTCTATGAGCTTATCACCACCAAAGAGAGAGATGGTTGAGCTTGGCAGTCTCAGGGTCCACTGGTGGCTAGTCGTACAGGCCCGCAACGTTTTGGCCTCCATGGCATAGGTTTGTGATAATCCTCGTGGGAGGACCTCACAGATCATAGGACAATAAATCTATCACAGATCGTGGGGTGCTAACTTGCTACGATTGGGTACTATGCCTCTGAGTAACTGCAGGACCGAAAATTCGATGTGATCAACGTGCGCTCATCACAGAAAGAGATGTAGACCGTACATGCCGAGAATCCGAGCCAGCCTGGTCAAGCGGCAGTTTCCAGGGCTCTCGGCCTTAGGAGAAATGTCCAGGCTTAGAACCGCTCAAAGCCTGCGCTCCTGTCAGCCGCCCTGGTTCAAGGATCGTAGCTGTGCAGCCCACTGGGATGGCATGGTCACGTTAACCTTATGGCAAGAGTTTCGCGAAGTTTTGTGGTCTGATTCGCATCGATTCTGGTTTACCCCAGCAATCTATCGTAGAGAACGGCTACCTGATGCATGGAACTGTGGGTGACGTCGGAGAGGTATGTGCAGATGCCTTTGTAGACTAAACCAGATTCATGGAGGAGACAGCAAAAGGATGATATTCAGAAAATGACTAGCCTTTGAAGTATGGTTATCACCGTAACTTTACTACCCGATGTATCTTTCCGGAACGCCTTATACGCCTTCTAATTCCAAGCCAAAAGATCGCAAAGTTTCGAGCTAGCGGTTCGAAGCCCCCCTGGGGCCGAAATATGGGTTATGGACTACAGCTGCCGGTAGAATGCCGCTGGCTGGCTGGTGACCCTGATGAATCCAATATTGAAGGCGTTTATTCGTACAAATAGACACCTGGTGAATCTGCTGGAAGTATCAGATCAGCAAAAGAGCAGCGCGGAAGTTGAAACCAGGTAAGCTCAAGTCAGACAATTTGATCGCCGAACAAGCGGCGTTCCGGCGCGATGGGGGCTGTCAACATGTCGGGCCCACTGACCTTTATACTTGATTTGTGGTTCTGGCGTGTTGGCATCCAGCATCATCATATCCTGAAGACCATCTGAAGCACAGCTTGCTTTCCTCCTTGACTTTCTGGTCTTCCATTTCCATGTTTTCTTCCAGATAAGAGACATTGATGATGGCGGTTGGCTCGGTCTAAAGATGGATGTTCTATCTTTCGGGGAAGTCGGCAGCGGAGGGAGATAAATAATAATAGATGTTTTGAGGGGAAGCTTGCTGACTCGAAGTGAACCCTGTAATCAGCTGTATCTGACGCAACTATGTGCGTTCGAGTGAGGCCAACTGACTGCAGATCTGGACTTCGGACGACGCTTCCAAGAATAAGTACTCATGACCAGCGACCTTTCGAGCATTTTTCGTTTTTACTAGTAGTAATTTAGAGGACAGGTCTTGGGGGATCTGAGGCTATGTATTATGGAGGTGAGGCCCCACGCTCATCTGAAAACCGGCCGAGGGGTAGATCTCAGGCATAGTCGCTGCCGAGTTTAGGGGGAGTCTGGCGAGGCCTCACGTAAGGCTTTCTCTGGAAAGAACTCACGTTCTCGATTTGTGAGCAAGCAAGTGGACCTACCCATGAAGGATGCTCTTGCTATTCGCGAGGGACTAGAACTTAGCTCAGGCCAGAGTATGATGATGCAGTGGTAGGTCGGGTCCCAATTCGATCTGCACATGATGCAAGTTGGGATGGCGGCCTTTTAACGGCGTCTCAACGAGTAAGATAAAATGCATTTGTATTCAACATTACCCGGCCAGACGGAAGATAGGGAAGAAACATTTCGATGCGCATTCGGAGTCACGATTTTGCAGTTCCTGATGCATGACCAGTCCATAATTGAGTAAAGAAGACACTAGAAAGCGTCTGTTTATTTGTTCTATCAGATGGTTGAAATGTAGTTGGAGATAAGTAATGAGAAGGAAATGCGATTTATATCTCTCCTAGAGATGAGAAAGTCCAGCAACGGATGGTTGGTTTTCCTCAACCTCTTTACAGAGCAATGGCAGCGGCAGCGGCAATCAGCGCCATCTCCAGTCCTTGTCCCAAGGGGTTGGCGGCGTTGGTGGCAGTGGGCTTCGCAGAGGCCGTTGCGGTCGCCTTTCCCACAGCTCCAGTCATAACATTGGAGGCCGAGGCCAGCGCGGCGGTGTCGGCAGAACCGCGCACACTCTTGCACATGGTGTCAAGGACATTGTTGGTTTCTAGGCGTTCACACTGTCAACTCTTCCCGTTCTGCATCTGCACCAGGCACCAGCAATGTCGGAGGTGCTATTTGGCATGACGAATGAGACACTACTTACGGCCGATCTGATCCCGGGAGCACTCGCTAGTGAGGTTGCAGATGCTCATTTTGGCAATGAGCTCACCATCTGTCTCGCAGAGGCACTTGAGGTCGCCGACGTTGCACCCGATGGCAACCTTGATCTCGTCAAGGCACGACAACGCGCAAGAAGGAATGTTGGATACCAGCGCAGGGAGAGCAGTGGGCAGCGAAGAGGTAGTTGTGGTCTGGGCAGCAGCGTTGGCGATGGCCAAGCCCACAAGCGCAATGATAGAAGAGGATTGCATGTTTTTGATGGGGTGAAGTATCAAGATTTGGGTGAAGAGAATGACAGAGAAGCCCGAACGAATGACTAGAAAGAGAACAAGCGTATGAGGAATGAGAGCGATGCTTGAAGTCCTCGAAGTAAGTACCCCGTATCCTACTTATAGCGAGACTTCACTTTTTCTCAAGTTAGACTCGTCTCGCAGCCCTCTACCCCTAATGCCCCAAAAGGTTCACATCTGTATCCTCACACTAGTTTCGTTCTCAGGATCGGGTGCCGAAGACGCCGTCGCCTGCTCAGAGCCTCGGTCCAAGATCGTGGAAGATTAGCTTGGCAGCTACTTCGTGCCAAACGATCCCAGATTGAGTGGATGAACACCATCGCCAGTTGAGTCGTGGAAGTAAGAGATTGTCCTGCCTCTAAGCGAACTCAGCCTCACCCCAGGCATAGTGGATGAGGTGCCGCATCTGTCAGTCGGAGTCCAGATGTTGAAACCCTCACACTCAGACCAACTCCCGTAACCCCTGCCATACTAAGTATCTTCAGTCTAGGCTGGAGTAGTTCAGCCGTGGGCAGTCTGAGGGGCCAGTTTTACATTTGTCCAATGAGGCCTCTCAGACTTACCTTAATCTTAATTTTGATGGCAGTGCTGCCGTACGCCCTAGGGAGATATGGGGAAATTTCCGTAACGTGTTGTGACAAATGAGTGCCTTTCAAGCAAGCCTAGCAGTTTTTTCTGACCCGCATCGGCGTACCCGGGCGCCTAAGTACCGGGATCCCGGTCTGACTTCGAACATGGACCCATGATACTCTCCACTAGTGCTCTCCTACTAGGAGATGCTAAAGACTGTAATGCGGTCTCCGTACCCAAATTCAAACTTCTCTTCCTTCCCTCTAATTTTTTATGTCCAAGATTTTGACCTTTCGTCTCCTTTGCAGCACTTCTAACCACGTTCGATCTCCGTTCTAGCCACATCGCCAGCCATGCCTATCGTGTAGTCAGCCTTATACAGGGTCTAGCATGCAAGGAAACGGGGCATTCAGGCGCCTTTCGGAAGGTACATTCATGTCTTTTGGTCATATCTTACCCCTACCTATTCTTCGTACGAGTATCTGAAAGGGATAGAGCTGATCTACGAGTACAGGTGGCCCGTCAACTTCGGCTGTCAGCCTTAAAGGCTCGACGGCCAAGCAAGGCAGATTTCAGGGCCTGAGAGCTCGGAGAAAGAGCAGGTTGTGGACCTACTGTGGAATCCTGAGTGGATGGGTGATTACCTGGACCATTGTCGCTGCCATGTACTTCATGCTCTACTTCTATTCGGAGGTAATGCAAATCATGTCAAGCACAACGAAGAAACAATTCAACGCTGTGATCACTGGGTTGTCGATAGCGCTCAGTATCATGGTTGTCAAGAGTCTCAATGACTTTGTTTCGACGCTTCGCTGGTGGATACTCAGCCGACGACACCATTCGCTGCGAAAGGTATGCAAGACAACAAACGGAAGTTTGTTCCCAGACTTTCGGTCCCTCTTCTCTTGACTGGACTCTTGTCACAGACTCACAAAAACTTCGGATCTTTTACCAACTAATAATCAACAGGTTGATCTGATTTTGCAAGCAGAGAGCGCCAGCCGCGTCTTGATGTTGGCGACCAAAACACGCCGCTTCCCTGTTCATGCTGCCGCAGGCGTGTGGTTATGCACAATAATTGTAGGGACATCTCAGCAAGCCATATGTTTATTCATGGCTGTGATTTACCAACAACTAACATGGCATGAAATTAGGCTGCGCAGATTGGCATGGCCCTGCTCGGCCTCTGCTACTCAGTCGAAGATCAAGATGCTCTTGCCCTCGTAGTTACCGAGGGAAAGGTTTCGGTACCTGACATGTCAAGTATACAGACAGCAAAGATTGTCAACGGCCCTTCTTCTCCTGAGGCTGAAGAGTACACTGCCAACAAGTAAGGTTATTTTCTTTTCTTTGAATCGACTTAGTCTATGTATACGTGGAAACTAATTCGGTGAAGCTACGGCCAGATTTCCCTCGCATTTACCACTGGCACCCCCGACGACCATCCGGAAATTGGTACCATCTGGACCCCTTCGAACCCTCTCATGTTTTGCGGCGTAGACTACTGCGATTACATTTTCCACGAAGAGTCTGTCGATTCAAGCGTAGACAATGGTAACGGAGGCGAGGACCAGGACGAAGACAGCACGCCTCCAAAGACCCTCGTCGTCACGACAGACCGAAATATTGTCTCCACAGCTACATGTCACAGCTGGCGCGTCGTGAAGGGAGCCAGCGGCAACGAAACCATTATAACGATAGACACCACCGCCGACGACATCACGAATCGCGATAAGAATGTCACCATTCCTGTCCGAGGTGGCGTCAACCAGACAACATACATGACGGACAACTCTGAGAATTGTGGCGCTGGATGTCGACTCGTCAACGCATTCGAGGTATCAGATGCGGCGGCATGGTACTACAGCTGCAATGTGACAGTCAGCAGAGTAGCCAATGGCACCATCCCCGAGCACGAAGTTTCCGAATCATTGAGGTCAATGGCAGCCGCTTCAATAGCTCTCCAGGGGAGCGCGGTTCTGTCTCTGGACAACGACAACATCCAATACCAAATCTACCCGTCAGAGTCAATATTTGGCCTTCCGAACCTTGGCCAAAACAGCTCGATGGCGATGGTCATGGCCCGCTTTGCCATCGGAACCGTCGCCGTTGCCGCACACGCCAACGATCCTATCGTGGTCAACGGCTTCGCACCGGTAGAAGGCTCACACGTGGTCATTGATCACTGGGACTACGCGATTCTCATCCTCAACTCTGTCGTTTTTGCGCAGTTCGTGCTTGGTGTTGCGACTGCCGTCGTAGCCAGCCGCGTCGTGATACCGGAGGGAGGGCCGATTGCTATGGCGCAGGTGCTGAGGGCCATTGCTGATCGTGTCCAAGGCTGTGACGGAGACGATGCAATGTCATCGGGCGGAGAGGGAGGTGTTTGGATTTACAAAGCTGTGAAGACGGCGGAAAAGGGGACGTACGACTTGTACATGGAAGAGCGACCCTGCGGCCCGAATAACACGCACAGCATGGAGCTGTCTTAGCAGCATGAAGTAGCCTATAATGTGACGTTTCCCGATCGGCTTGCCGAGATGAGGTTTCTCCGATTCAAGCTGTTTGCAGTGCGGCGCCAGCAAGTCGTAAGCTTGTGTCAGATCGACAACGAGGAGTGAACATGACGTTGGAAGGAACGCGGCTTTCACGCGGTGATAAAGAAAACTCTTCCTCAGATGACTGTGATTGGCGGAGTAAGACGGATAGACGTGACATGGATACGGAGCCCGGCCGAGAACCCGGCGCGGCGGTGGACGGGAATGACGTCGGGTTATGTGCCGGGATGGCTCGCGGGTGTATTCTTTGAGGGGGGAGACTAACCTACACTCTCGCCCCGGGAAGTCACCAATGTGTTGCCGTTGTTATCCACGGTTGGTGCTATCGACCGTCTCATTTATTGCTGTTATCCTCGTGTTACTTAGTCCGTATTCAGCCTTATCATTCAGGCGCAGGCCGCTCGACTCTTAGAAGGCAGGGCAGCTATAAAATGCATCCTGCATTAGGTCTGTTGCGGCTAACCTCTACAAAGACGTTTGGTCTTTGAAAAAGCAGTCTAACGTTTAAGTTTGAAGCCACTAAGTCCTTAAAGTTGGGGGCATCATGTGGTAGGAAAAATGTGAAGTCACTCCCATCATCCCGTCAAAGAGGCATGATTAAGATTGTGTGGCCTGGTCGAACTCAGATCCATAGTCTCAGGGCATTAAATTTGCAAGTCTCTGAGTTAGTGAAAGGCATGCGGTGCACCAGTCCATCTGATATTACCAGTCATAAGTGCCTACCAAAAAGTGACATACTTTCGATTTCATGCCTCACCGAGTGCCTGTGAGTACCTAGGTAGGTAGTTTGAGTATCTAAAAGTGGACACCTGGCACCAGCTGCATGAGCTCACGCTTGCCATTATGGTGTTCTCATGTTTTCCCTCTCTTTCTCATCATCATTCTATACCCTGAGTGTCTCAGATTCATCTCAGTGTGGCAGCTCGATCACTACGAATACGCAGGTCGAGACCTTGATATTGCAGAAACGACATCAATAGTGGATGCAATGGGCCCACCAACCCGACGTTGTAAGCCCGCGATGTCGCAAGAAGTGGGCATGTTGGTGATCGGCGCCACACTGCAGGGAGAGTGAATCGAAAGAAGTCAATACGTTAAGCCACCGGAGCAAATCGACCGTTGCCCTGTGCGTGCCGTGAACAAACTGAATGTTGGGACGGGGGTTGAAATTCGACATTTTCATCGTCTCGTATGCCGTGGCTTGCCTCTGTGCATCATCAGGTCCAGACTTTCGCAGTCTCAGAAGGATCCAGGGATTTGATTGGCGAAGTCGGATCTGGAGTGCCGTGACAGGGGCGCCGACGACGGGAACAGACCCGGCTTTGCCCAGGATGCCCACGCGTCTTGGGCGGGATGACGTCGATTGGCATTTTCCTTAGCTTCCAGCAGGGATTCCTCTGTGATTCTCGTCCTGCACGACCACACCATCATGACCGCACCGGCTGCCACAGCTCCTCAGCTCGTCCAACGGCGTCAAGCCACTAGCCACAATCCGGGGTCTAGTGTGTAACAGGAATCCCAAAAGAACCAGAGAAAATGAGCCGTGTCTTGCGTTGCCAGGGCAGGCAAACCGAGAAATGAGTCTCTCAATCTCTGTACCAGACGCTAACGAGGTGCGGCTGGAATGACATACGGAAAACCCACTCCTGATGCAAAGCAGGCGCCTCGGGTGGCCTCTTGCTTGCGCGTGCGTTGGCTTTCCCTTCCCTCGGTTCAGTCGATTTCCCCAACGGCAAGAGAACTTCGTCCCAAATCGACGATGGCCCCCCATGACTGCAGTCTGGACTTAGACAAACATGACGTCAAGCAAAAAGACTTCGACCAAGCAAGCTCCCGCCTGCCAAACACCTTGGGCACCACTACCTTAATTCTGAGCTTAAAGTCGACGTCTGCCCTCCTCTCGACGTTTGTTTCCTCCTAACTCATCAAGCCACACATCCATCCCACACCTCGCCAAGAGATCTTGCAGCTCTTAAGGCACAAGCATAGCCATCCCGCCTTGGCATTGTCTTGTCTGTCTTAGTCCAACATCCATACCGTCGACATCCATACCAAATCATCGACAACACTCATCACCAGTATCACGATGGGTTTCTTCAACAAGCGTTCGCGCGACGCCTCTTCGGCCGAAGGCCACACTGCTGGTCATACCGGCAGCCATGGTCTGCGCCATGATAAGGGCGAACCGTACACCATGTCCCGCCGTCCCAGCTTCGGACAATGGCTGAAGGGGACTCTGCTCGACATCATTACCATGATTTGCATGGGTGCCATCGGCCTCGGTGTACGTTGACGGCTTTCCTCTTGCTAAACCCCTGCTAACGAAGTCGCAGATCTACATGGCGCCCCCCGCCCCGAACCGGTCGTTCGCCGTCACATTTTCCGATGGTGAAGTCGTCTACCCCGAGTTCGCATACCCTCTGCGCAACGAGATCATTCCTATTTGGCTCGCTGCCTTCCTTGCCTCCGTCATCCCGATCGTGATCATTTTGATCATGCAGATTCGCGTCCGCTCCTTCTGGGACGTCAACAACGCCGTCATCGGCCTGCTGTACTCCCTCATTTGCGCCGCTGTCTTCCAGGTCTTCATCAAATTCCTTATCGGTGGACTTCGACCTCATTTCCTTGAGGCATGCAAGCCTGATCTTTCGCGTGTTACCGCAGATCAGGGTGGCATCGCCCGCACCGGCTACAGCCCTGCTGGTTTCAACGCCATCTATGTGACCAAGGAGGTCTGCACTGGCGACATGAAGGAGATTAACGACTCCCTCGAGAGTTTCCCGTCTGGTCACACCACTGCGGCCTTCGCCGGTTTTGTCTACCTGTACCTCTACCTCAACGCCAAGCTCAAGGTGTTCTCCGACTACCACCCCTCGATGTGGAAGTTGATCGTCATCTACATCCCCATCCTGGGCGCTGTTCTCATCGGCGGTGCCCTCACTATCGACGAGTTCCACAACTGGTACGATATTTTCGCCGGTGCCGCTATTGGTATCGTTTTCGCCTTCTCTTCGTACCGCATGACCTACGCCGCGGTGTGGGACTTCCGCTTCAACCACATTCCCCTCAACCGCGGCCAGGCTTTCTCCTATGGCCCGGACGCCGAGCTGTACGATGCCGTCTTCACCCGCAAGGCCGGCTGGGGTGCGCGCGGAGGTGGCGGTTTGCTCCATCGCGAGAAGCATCACCATGGCGCTGCTACCGGTACGCACAGCGCAAACGGTTACGACGCGGGCATGGGTGCTCGCAAGCCTGTTGGCTCTGGGTCTAGAGCGCCCGACACGATGGTTTAATCAAGATGGTTGAGAAGCTTTGCCAGGCGGGATCTTGGCATGATCACTTCCAGACAAGATCTCAACAACTTGTTCTTGAGCCTGGAAATGCGCACTGGTGTCAAGGAGTTTTGAAGTAATGAATAAACGGCCTGTTGAAACCACAATACCCTACAGGAGAGAAGGTTGTATGATAGTTTATAGTCTTATTCCTAATCCAACTACACTAATGCCTGGAATATCGCGTCTATGTTATTTTGGCGCATTGTGCATAACAAGGGTGTAGTGAGCGGTTGGTGTCTTGGCTGTTGGTTGGCATTGCTGCCTGGTGTGGCACGCGCTTACATAAATATGGCCTCCTCTTCACCGCAACATATCCTGTGATCTCAATTCACTATTTAGTCAATCCGTTCATATGAAAGCTCTGACGCGTTCACGATATTCTTTGCCGGAAGAATTCGGCACGATACACCAAGACCACGCTATCCAGTGCCATGTCCTATCTTACTCGAGGTCTGTATCAGCAACTCCGGTTTTCCGACGAAGACCGTTACTCGGAAGATGACGACCCAACACTCGCATACCAGCCATGGGGTTTCTCGATCTATCGCACCGCATACGGGCCCGAGTCCGAAGGTGCATGGCAAACCCTGATCAACACAATAGGCCAGCAAGCTCGCGAGGACCTCAGGCTGTTCGGCGAGACCAAAGCAGATGAAGAGCGAGCTGCACGACTGTCATCGTGTTTCCATCTCGATCTCGGAAGTGACGAGGACGCGCTCCGCGGCGCCGACATGCATCGCGTCCGCCGCCTCCACAGGGAGGTGGCTGCCGAGAGTGGTGTATGGTCGGAAGAGAATTTTGCTTCTCGGCAATACTTCCTCCTCGCCGACGAGGAGGTCTTGGCTGACGTTGCCACTGGTGACTTTTGGGTCAAATGCGTCCAGGCCGACTATGAGGCCGATAGGTATGCCTCGCGGTGTGCACGTACGCCTCAACGCTACTTCGGTTGGATGAAGACGACCGCAAGAACCCTTTCTGAGCTATGGGGTACTTTGGAGGAGGGCCTGGATAGGATTGCGCCGCCGACTATCGGCGGAATGCATTTGGTTACTTGGGAAGGAGATCCGTACAGGTGATTATACGTGAGCTCGATGAAGCCGCTAAATAGGGCAATTAGAAGCTACGAAAGACAAAAACGCGTAGTTGACTGGGTCACGTTCAGCTGATTTATATCACAAAACCAAGTTATCACAGTTCAATATGATCCAGACTCTTGCAGCAAGGCTTATGAAGTAGGCAGTATTTAAGAATCTTATTGCCAAAACATATAACAAATGGAATTCATTTGGCCATGGGTTTAACAGGCAGCTACATCGGAGAGAGGAAACCTTAGTGTGCAACCTTGAATTCCTCATGTTAACGTGCAAAAAGGTAGGTCTCGACGTTGGCCTGATTCGAACAGACGCTCCCGAAGGAACAAGATTTCTAGTCTTGCGCATTAGACCACTCTGCCACAACGCCAATGAGTTAGGAAGCTCGAAAGCGGGTATAAGATGGATGGACTCCACTGGGTACCTGAGCTGTGGAGTTGTAACGATTCGTACTTCTCATTTGTCTGATTGTACACAAGGTAACATAGGAACTTATAACTAAAATCGGCTGATGACGCTATAAGGTATATCTAAAATACCCTCTTATTTAAATCTCGTTGATGTAGGTCAGTGAGGTTGCGTTATGAGGTTATAGGTATCCGCACGTGAGTGGGATACAGCACGAATATTAAGGCATGGAAGCTGAGCTACATCGTGCTCAAGCATTGGTTCATAGACACAACATGAAGTTTTTCATCGACACAAATCTCACTGAATAAAATGGATAAGCGGATGGTGCTCCTATCTACATCATACCCAGATTGGCTTTGAGGAAAACTGATTCACCGTATCCGCGACTGCTTCCAAGTCTCAACCACTTAAAATCATACTTCTGTTTTCAAACGCTGAAGGAGTTCATCTCCATCGCTCCCCTACTCTAGCACTGTTAGTGTGTATTGGTTATTTCTCTAGGAAATGAAACATGCTTGCCTTTCTCCTTTTTATGTTATCGCGCATTAATTGTGCGAGCTGCCGCAATTGCCCCTCGCTACTACCTCATTCTGCTTGTGAGACTCATCTCCACAAGTGTCACATCTTTTTCCTGTGGCCTTGGTGTATTCCTTTCCACATGTTTTTCCAGACGAAAGCTTTTCAGTGCAAGTCTCCCTGTCGTTGAATCGCGACGTGGTCCCCGGGCAATCGGTCCGAGTACACGAACCCATTGTTGACTGTGTTCCGTGTTTGAGAAAAAGGGTGGTGTTGATAGTATAGAATAGATAGCAAGATATTGATCTCGGATTAATTCAATGAAGAGCAAGAAAGGAGAGATTGACGAGAAATAGTCTCTATATATACACGCACTGGAGGGTGGGCAAGGCCCTGGCTTATCGCAAGCCGATGGTTACCTAGGCTTACATGCAGCTGATCGCCCACTAGTTTACCAATTGCCGTGTTCAATCGGTAGGAAAGAAGTCGCAGCTGATCCTACAAATGCATATTATTCCGTAATTGGCAATCATGTCGTTGACGTGTCGTCCTTTGCCTTTTTTTTCCAGTCGTTGATGTGCACCTTTCACTGACCTCAAGTCGCCATTGGTAAACGCGTACGCTCCCACTGACCGAAAATTGCGACGCACATGCTTCATGTGAATTGTATTGACAGGATTATCTGGTCATCGTTGATGTGAAGTGCCCCATTCGGATGAGTCGGCAACATGTCTTCCGCTTGTTGCAACGTGAGTATTTCAGGGTAAGACGGTCCTCTCAACTCTATCATCGTTGGTGTCGTTGGTGTACCTAATCGTTGTCATCGTGGTATTGAGTCCGTACACATTACTAGCGATGAGTCATTGAGATAATCAAGACCGCTATCACAGCTGTGAGGGAAGCGACATCGGTAGCCGGACCCAGTGCCACGAATCCGCAAGTAACCGCAGTCTTACGGTTGCCACGCAATATTACGCCCATTCATCCTTTTTGGGCAGCGTGGCGGCCTGAAATATTGATTGCATCGAGACACATATTGCAGAAGTTTGTATTTTAGTTCAAATGGAGTAGTCGATGAGAGTTTGATGCCGGTCACGTGTTGCCACCGACGCCTCAATGTGAATCACGCGTCCCGACGCGTCTGGGTGCCACACCCCTGTCAAGAAACCTCCATCTTCCATCTCAGGGGTTATCCGAGCCCCTATCGACGACGACAACGACGACGACAGGAACGGCGATGGCATCGGCACTCAGATCAGACCTGCGGCGGCGCCGACAGTTTATCCATGCTTCTCGTGTCATCGGCTTCGATTACGTGGACGGAAAGCTACTGTACGAGGGCATTCCACGTGTCGATGGAGACCGATTGCGCGAGCTGTGTTTCCCAGAGACCATTGAAGATCTCGAGAAGAGAAAATTGGCGATCCAAGAATCCAAAAGACTCTTTAGGAGAAAACAGTGGTTTGCTGCGCAATCAACATTTTACCATTTTCGGCTCACGCAGCTGGAGATGAAGACGCTCAGCGGACTACGCTATGATCTTTGTGAATTAGTCAAGATGGGCAGAGTAAGTGATGTGCTATGAAAATTAAAGCCCGGCCAGCCGATGGATGAAGTTGACGGCCCATAGTGTGAAGAGCCTACCCGTGAGGCTGCAGCGATAGAGGCGGCATTCGAAGACGCTGAGCGAATGTGGCGAGACCGCGAGAAAACTTTCCTGGAGTTCGAATCTCCCACCATCCGAGCAGTCTGGGACTTTGAGCTTTTCAAGGAACATTATTTTCTCACGGAAGGACGGCCAGATCCTACCAAAACGCCGGAGCCACTCGTTCTTCACGACATGGACGATATATTAACCGACAACATTGTGGATTTGGTTGAAGAAATCGAACTTGAACTAGACACAGGAACATATATGGGCAGACCCTTCGCTATTATCGGGTGGAATGGAGCAAAAGTCATGCAAGAAGCCGCGGAACTTATCGCTGAGCCATCTAATCTCTCCGCTCTACCAAATATAGTAAACAAGGCGTGGAGAGGGGCCATGGCATTGCATCGCGAATATCTGGCCAACACCGCCGCAGCGGAGCTCAAAGAAACCACTTCGACCAAACCGCGTTCGAGAAAGATGCGTCTGGATGATGCAGTCGGGTCCTACGTCATCAAGTGTCCCACGATTGTGGGCGACTGGCCCGAGTATGGCCCTGTTTTCCACCTGGAAATCAAAGACCGTCCGGGAAGAGAAGGCGACGATGGCCTCTTGTCTGCCAAGATGAACTTTGGCATCGTCGAGGGCACTATGCTGCTTTCTTTTTCGAAGGAGACGCTCAACATGACTTCAAAGGCCACCCGATTAGACGCTGTGGATCAATTGTCCAGAATCACCGTTGCGGAGATACCCGAATACCATATACCCAGCACCGCGAATGACGAGAGAAAGGATATCGCTATTGAAGAGCGTGTGGCCGAGTCACGGAAGCGCTCGGCTCCCGCTTCAAGGAGCAAATCAAATGGGTCATCACCTCCACACAAAAAGGCCAAGCTGAATACCCGTCAAGTCATGCGAGGTAGAAGGCGATTGTACTTCATCTGGAGAGGTACGGAAAAAGAAGATGAGCTGTCAGTCGAAAGCAAAGGCTACTTGGATTTCAACGATACATGCACCGGATTCAAAGGAGTCACATGGTTGGACTTCGCGGCCTTTGACAGGGACGCTGGCCTTGAGGACTGCACATTTCAAGGGTTCAAATATGAGACAATGAAGCCACGGTCAGTTAAGGAGGAGACCAGAAAGGTTCGGTTGAGTGACAGTGACGAGGAGACAGCAGCAAGCGACCTTGATTTCAACGGCTCAGAGAGTGACCTGGAGGAGATACCTGCGAGCTGCCTGATCAACTTCCAACTGCATCATGGTGCCTAGGAGACCTGAAGCCGCAAGGTAGTATGTGGCGCAAGAAACTACGAATTATATCAAATGATGCCATGCATGGGTCGTTCAAACTTTGAAGCCACCGGGCAGGCAACAGCGCGTCGCTTTTGGCATGGTGCCATGGACGGCTGAAGCAAATCTAAGATCGACGGTCATATATAGATACCACCGAGTGCCTTGCAGGCAGCGTGAAGCATGCCTCCAAAAGACCTCGGTCACATATCTTCATCCCGATCAGCACCTTTTTTCAGTCCTTGATGGTGGCTTAGCCCCCGACTCTCCCTGTCACCGCCAACCGCAACAACCGCCATGGCCACTTTTCACAAATTTCAAGATTTGCCGAATGAGATTTGTCTCATGATATGGCAAGAGTTCTACCTGGAACCGAGATTCTTCATAGCTAGGGATGAGTGGTGGAATGGATTGAGAGCTAGAAGTTCATACTCAAAACTTTGGGCTGTTGGCAACCGTGGCTCTAGTTCCCTTAAACCTGATCCTCTACCGGAGAGGATCCTGGCCTGGACCTTTTATCCCCTAGACAAATCGAAAGAACGATACTACAAATCTGTTGACAATTCAATTGATCGGATGTCAAGGGAGGTCGCTAGGTCTGTTCGCTCCAAGTTCCAACCACCTGCGTGGGGATTTTGGTCACAACGGTCAGGGCAATCGGACAAAATCACTTCTTTGCCACCCGAAAGATATCTCAACATGTTGAACTTGGAGTCTATTGTCATCAACTGGGACGTCGACTTCATCTGCCTGCAGGGCTATGGAAGAATGCGCGACGAGGGGAAGTTTTGTGAGTGGTGGAAGCTCATCCGAAACTTAGTGTTGACCTGCACAGAAGACTGGTATCGAGTCAAGGTCTCAGTTACACAGGGGAACCAATTTTTGTGGTCAGCAAAGCATCTGCTCAGCGAACTCAGAGAGCTGCGGCAAGTATACTGCCCTCTTGTGGGGAAAACAACAGCAAGCTGTGCCGGCGGCGATGGCGCCTTCTTTCAAACAAGATACCTGCTTCGGGAAGCACCTGGTACACCATTGGGATGGAAGTATATCACATTTTCCCAGGTTCTCTCAGCCAATCTGCCACCAAAACAGCCCAAATGGGGCCAATTTGTTCAGAGACTCATCGACAAGCCAGGGAGGCTTTACTCCCCTTCTCATGTGAACTTGAAAGAGTTATCCAAGGAAGATGAGGAGGGGGGAGCGAGAATTTTCTTCGGCAGGATCATTGAACAGATCAGCAGGTAGCATCGACAGCGACGATCAAGAGAACATGCTACAAGCAAATTGGACGATAGGGCTCGGCCCACTGCGGGTGGTTACAGCATATTCTGCCTGGCCTCTCTCTTTCGTCTATTGCACAAATGTCGGCCGGTGATTGTGGGATCTTGGGACCTTGGGACGCACAGAAGACACGGTGCTATTACCCAATAAGCGTCCGAGATCTTACATTCTACATGCGGCGAAAACTGGATCACCAAGTCTCAGTGTCCAGAGTGAAAAGACGCGGCATGTTTTATCGGAGCCCGCGAATACGGACACCTCCCGGGTTCATTTGGTGGAAATAAGAGACGTGCCCTCAACAGTAGTGACTGGGGGTTTCCTATTGACTCAGTGGTTAGACGGTCTGGCATTTTTGTCTCCGCTCATTGGTTTGATCAGACATGTAAAATTTGAGACTGGTGGGAAACCATGAACAAAGGAAGATCATCGAAGATGAAGAATATAAGTGAGCGACTTGATGTACTTCGAAAGTCAAATTACTGAGCCCACTACTTAAATAACACGTGTCCAGTCATCTAAACTGCCTGTTTTCGACTGACCTTTTCTATCTTGATTTCCACAGTCTTAGTGATTCCCAATGGCAGAGTGTTCTGCATTGCATTCACTCCATTGCCACTGTTCTCGACATGAATGGCTTCACCTGTATACTCTGATGGCCCCCGGAACAGTGACGAGTGACTGGTTCCCGACCCCCTTCGGCTGTGTGACCTCACTCTCTGACTAGGGTTCCATGTTGGCGCCATGCTATGGCGATCCGATCGAGGCCGCTCGTATTTTGGTTGCCACCGGGTGGGAAGTTGAAAAGACGAATTATCGTGACTGCTTTGCTCGAACACCAAGCGCGATGCGAGTATGTCAATACTGAAGTACTGTCAGCTTTCCTGATCTTGATTTGTCTTAGCAAATGAAAGAACCCACAAAATCATGACTGGAAACATGCACTCGAGTGTGTAGACGAATCGGTCGATCTGGCTCGCCACAGTTTCGGCCTTCTGCATGGAAGGCTGGAAGAAGTATGCTACCGCTCTGGTCACCCCAATCAAGGCCAGCACGGCGAGGCGGATTTCCGTACTTCGCATAAGATGCTGAAAGAGGGTGGGTGCTATTGAAGCCTGCAATGATGAAGTCTTGGCTGCTGAAAACTTGCGTAGTAGGAAGAAGGCCCCAAGACACTCGAGTAGAGCCATGGAAGTGAAGTAGCCTACGTGGAGCCCATTGATGATCCTCTTGAGCTCTGGCTCGCCGCTGACCAGTATCTTGACTCGAGCAACTAGAATACACAGTCTCAAGACAAATATGGCAACAATAACAAGCCAGAATAGTGACATAAAAGCCACTCGGTCCTTGTTACGTAGAACACGAACAAGAATGGCATAGCTGTAGAAGGAAATGCCAGCTTCTTGAATCTACCCGGAATCAGTCTTCGCGGATGCTAGGGTAACATGGGGAAAATAAATCGGTCTTAGTATACCATCCACATCACATCTGCAAATGCAGATGAAATAGCGGTGTTCAGGAGAGGGTAATCTGCATAGAAGCTGTAGTAACAGAGACCATTCGCAACCGCGCCAGCTGCAGAGACGATAATTGGGATAAGCGAAACAGGGGAGAAGGCTGTGATGCCAGAAACGATGAACCCAAAGAGCACGTTTGCCAAACCGATCGTACTGAGAATGGCCCAGCTCGTCTCGAAGTAAACTGATGCCATGCTTCTTGGCTGGTGAAGGTATTACACCTTGAAAAAGCTGTACGTCGACTCTCAGTTTCCCCACACACGTCTTATACAGTCCGGACTGTCCGAGAAGGCGGGCGCAACGTGAAGGATTCTGCTGCACACGTGAGTATGGATGTTGGTGCTTCTAATGCAAAGGTACGAGACGGCACGAGGCCTGGTCAAAGCAATTTGACTTGCGCTCCAATAGACCTCTGTAGAGCCACACCAAAGAGTTGTGGCTGGGGATGGTATTTGACGCGCACCAATGAATCCCGCGCAAAGCCTCTGCCGGATTGTGGGGAGGAACCTGGGGTAGGCATGATCTACGCTCTTAGTGTTGGTGTGCCTTCAATTCCTGATCAATGAGATTGACCAGGAGGTTGCGTTCAGCTCAGAGTTGGATAGGGTTGCAATGTCAGAACAAGCCGGTGGGATGGGAAATTTCCCCGCATCGTCTCTCGAATGACAGCCAGTCAACTTGTTCCACTTACGTTGTAAGACTGGCATCTCCAGGATGATTCTCACCGTTAGGAAATTATGTATATGCAGCAAAGATCACAGAAGAAGCGGTTATGGCACCCATTGCGCCCTGAACTAGCAGCTTTCGAGATGCTCTGCTGCCGAAACAGGAAACTCGCGGTGGAGAGGCGAGTATTATTCACCCGTTTGATACAGCACCGTCTGGTCAGACGATCTGCGACCCCCTGGCCACTTGAAAGAGAGCCTCGACTTCAGTTGAGGCAACGAACAGCAACCTCAGTCGATGTTACCCGGACTTGACTGCCTAGAAAGAGAAAGCGGCCGGACATGGCCATGCCTTCAAGGAAAAGGTTGCGAGTCTTTCAGCTCACTGTGTCCCCCATATGCATATTTGCCGGCAGAGCACCATCGGCTAATCTCGCAAACTGCCAGAGATGATGACGAGGAGGCAAATGGGAATGGTTAAGTGGCTCTATATGCAGGCTGTAGCTTCTAGAAGAGGGGGAAGATTCTGAAACCGTCCGAACTCAACGTACATGCATATCTTGGCCACATGGTTTCCACATGGCAGTAATATCGGCATGCAATCTTTGCAGATCTTCGACAAGTATGGCACAAGGTCAGCATCGGGAATCGCCTGCCGCGTGCGCTGGTAGGCTGTTCTACTGCAAGTCGTGTCTTAGTTGCGACTCTTATAATCTTGAAGAGTCATCCCGGGTTTGGAGTAAGAGTATATGGCAGTTATTCGGACCGAGCATCCAAATGATATCGTCCTTCCGTTTGAAACGCCACACGACAAGACACCCAATCTTCAAGTGTTATTCGACACATAACCACGATGCTGCTTTTTGCGAAGCCAATGCCACCAAAGATCCGAAAGAAACGAACACGAACGGGTATATACTCCATTCAAGATGTCAAAGTTTCTATGAGCCTCTTGCTAATTCAGGCAAATTGGCAGGTTGTGCTGCTTGGTCGGTAACCCATGTACCCCGTTCTGGTCAGTTACTAAAACAGTCTCCAGCAAAGAGGCCAGGAAAAAGTGCTGCGAGCAGAGACCCCAATGCACTCGCTGTGTTGAGAAGGGATTGAATTGCCTCTACAACCCAGTCAAACCACGTCGAAAAGCCCGTGAACAGCCTCCACAACCACCCAATAAACCTAAGATCACGAACGGCATACATGGTTCTGAAGACAACCATTCCGTGGAACATCTTTATGACGAGCCTTTCGCGGAGGCTTCCGAAGCCCTCCCCACCGAAAGTGTGGCGTCCTCTGACACACCGAATTGGGCAAGTTCTTGCAGCCAGTTTGATGTGTCAGATATCGATGAGCACTTGGACCTCTTCGACAATTTCAGTCGTGGGAGTGGATCGGAAACATCCCTAAGACTTGAAGACAACTTCCTTCCTACCGCTGCATCCTCGCAATTGGAGCCGACAAGCATGCCATCGATACTTGAGCTTTCTTACCCAGACCTATCCACCATCACCAACCGTGTCCAAGACCGAAAGCTCATACACCACTTTTGTACAGTACTTTCTCACCTGATTGTCTTTACAGAGGAGCCGAACAATCTTTTCCAAAGGCTTGTACTGCCTCTGGCGAGCGAAAACTCTCCAGTCTTGCACGCTATTTGTGCCTTTTCCAAGGGCCATCTTGAGTATATGGGGGTGCAAGACTCTAATCATTCAACCAACTTTCGGGTTCTTGCTGCCGAGGGAGTTTTTGATCTCGTGCAGAAGAATTGCCGCTTCGAGGAGGTGTTGGCCGCTACGATGCTGCTCGTCTACTATGAATCGGTAAGTGGAAGCAAAGTACCTATTCGCTTTTCTTCTGAAGCGATTTGCTGACTGACGCACATAAGCTTACCTTGACGGGGTCTACGAACATGGTTCTCCAACATCTCCAAAGCGCCTTTTTCGTCTTGAGTTCAATGCCAAAGTCGGAAAAGACCCAGAGCGTGGTGTTTCTTGAAAGGGTGAGCTTGGCCCCTTGCCGTCTCCAATCTGCAACTTGGGTATCTAACGCAGCCTAGGCTTTCCACTTCTACGATGTAATCACCGCATTCTCTCTTGCCGCCGCCCCTGTCTCAGCCATGTCTGCCTCATCAGCTCCTGATTGCAGTCCACAGCCACGAGCAGCCCGTAGCAGTTCGGGAGATCCCCTTCTAGGAATGGCTGGCGATCTTTGGCCCATTCTGTATCGGCTAAGCTCTTTGAAGCAGCTGAAGGAAGACTTGGAGTCTGCTACTGCTGCCTCCCAGCAGGCGAGACTCCCCGTTCTTCAAGCCGAGTTTGACGTGACTGCCAGGGCAGTTGACAACGCCTTACAAGAGTGGGTTCCACCGGTGCAACCAAGGACCATTGACGCATCACTTGGAAACCTGTCACAGCAACTTTTGCAGGCAATGGTTCACAATTCTCTCGCCTATCGCTACAGCGCACTTGTTTACTTGAATCGGTCTATCTACAGATACCCGCTCAGTCATCCAGCAGTACAGACGAACTGCTACCTCTCACTCAAGAGCTGCGTTGCCGTGATCTCATCAGGCGGGCCAGTGAATGCTCTTCTGTGGCCTCTTTTCGTGGCAGCCTGCGAAGCTATCACGGACCATGACCGAGGCTTGGCTAGGTATGCTTTCATGGAGATTGAAAGACGACAAGGGATGATTAATATCGAGAGAGCCCGGGCAGTGGTACTTCATCAATGGGCATCAACGACAATGGGAAATACCAACGGCGTTGACAATGCCACGGTCGATGCTTGGAGAAACATAGCAGGAGATATGGGTTTGACTATCATCTTTGGATGAAGCCAAATGCGTTATTTTAGAGCCATATTTTTAATGTCTAATACGTGACCGGTGGTTGTGTGGGCTATGACAATGTCTTCATCCCACTTTGTGCCGATTTACACGATGCCGTTCACCTGAAAGTGACATTTGTGGCACTCCTGGTGACACCCAATGACCAGGATCGCGAATTTATGTACTTGAGCACAAGCTCTTTGGCACGGAGATGAGAACTTTCACCAAAGTGTGCATGGCTGATGTAGACGAAGAGGTTGGGTTTAGTTTGGGAGAGTTCATGACTGCCATGGAACCTCACGAGAAGAAGGTTTGCAACTTGTGGAGACGTGATCCATTCGCATTGTGCTATGTGGAAAGTTACTCGCAAGGTTGCTTGATATGAGACCTTTCTTTAATCCTTGTTTTCACGCATTTACCATCTTATGAGAGATCAAGTTACCCCATCTGACAGTATTTTCAGTGTTCGCTCGTTTACCAAAATAAGGGGATTTTATTTTGTTTTTAGACCTCAAACATCACAATGGCAATACGCTGCGCAAAGGTTTCATAGTAAGCTTTTGGGCAATTATAGCTATATAGTAAAGTTTTGCCCCTCTTAGAGTAGCAGCTGAGAACCTTACGAAGGAGGGGACCTTAAGGAGATAGGCTAGACTGCGTTACTTAAGGCGGCTACCTGCACCAGCTAGATAAGACTGGACATCCAAACCCCAGATATCACATCACGCACAGTCATGGACACGACTACTTCCACTCAGGGCCATGCCATTGCTACTGCAAATGGAGATTTTCATCAATTCGCGAAGTTGCCGGTGGAAATTCGAATTATGATATGGCGAGAGTTTTACCTCGAGCCGCGAAACTACATTGCCGAATACAAAGGAAAATTCGTCCAGGACATCAATAGAGACGGCGTTGATGTTGGATCATACTCTTACTGGACCTGGATCCTACGGCCTGTAGGCCACTTTCCTGGATACTACAAAATGATCGACTCAGGCATCGACTCCTTGTCGAGGCATATCGCACACAGTATTCGCCGTCCCCATCTGTTTCCCATTTGGTACAGGGGTAGGTCGCCTACCACTGTACGCTCGCGGCTCGGGACTGATACACGCATCGACTGGGAGCTCGATTATGTTTTGATCGACCGAAAACCTCATTCGAGATTTAAATGTATCTTTGTGGAGTGGAGAGACAGCTGGTGGAGGGAAGTTCGAAATCTCCTCTTGGAGACTGATCCCTGTTCTTCCAACTACGAGGTAAAAGGCTACCGCACCGAAGACAACTCGTGGCTTTGGCGACACAGACACATCTTTCTTGGCTTGAAAGTTCTCAGGCGCATACATTCATCATCCACGCCCCAACTACACACGGAGTGGGCGCACTTTCAGACAAGATACCTGCTCCGCGATGGGCTTCAGATGCCACCACAATGGCGAGATATGAGATACGAGATGGCACCGAATGACTTCCGGCAATCAACTGAAAACAGTTCAGTCATACCCCAATATCCTGTGTTCTTGGAAAGGCTACGGGGCATGAAGGCAGTCACTCCTCGTGGAAACAGTTTTTGGTTTACCGAGGAGATGCTCAATAATGGAGATGAAGTATCTGGGGCCGCAAGTCTGTTCCGCTGGCTTTCGTGGGCCGATGCTTATCTCGACTTTCTTTCGGCTCAACCCGCACTGGTGTGTGCAACTTCATTGCCTTGAGATGCGGCATCGGCACTCGGACTGATCATATGGAAATGGTCTTGAACTCGAACATTCCATCAGAAGACCACCTCGGAGCGAGAGAAATCGTGGAAAATACTGAAATTGGGGGAAAGCCACATTTTCCAATCTATGCAACTTCATTTGGCACGGCAACTCTTCTCTGACAGTCCTACTGGGTACGTCGAGACTAGCGGTGGCAGGTCGGACGGGCGGAGTGTCTCGCAGGAAAGAAGGCGGACAGACATTCAGACGGATGGGCATTTGAGGATAGTACACAGTCACTCGAGAGACAGATCAAGTGTTTCTCGGCTCAATGTAGTCTTTTAATAAGGGATAATACGAGCTCGCCCACACGCATGCGCTCTTGGCTGTAACGTGACACTTATGGCCCAAAGAAGCATTAACATCAGATGTCAGCTCCCGAAATGGTACCGCTCCCCGCATTCTTCTTCGTGGTTTCTGCGGCTCTTGGAAGTTTGGCTCGAATTGCCGTTCTGCACCCCCGCATGAGTCCGAGTTGAGCCTATTGTAACGTAGATGAACAAGCATGCCTCAACCAATGGGACTAGAAATGGCTGATGTCGTTGAGTTGCCAAGACATGATTGTCATATCCCGCTGTTTGTTTAACGGTACCGGTTGAATAGCCTCTTAGCTACTCGCGGCCGTATTTCGAGATAGCATGACTTTGTAAATGTCATTCTTCAACTGTCAACAGCTTCGGAGGGAAATATATAAGCGCTCAGAAACTATGCCAACTCTTCATCTGGTTTTATCATCTTCAACATCCAAATTCCAATCTTAGCACTCGAACATCAGCCGCGTCATCAAGTCAAGATGTTTTCTCTTAAGGGAGCGGCCCTATACGGCCTGGCTGTGACCTCACAGCTTGTATCTGCATGGCCAACTCAGTACCCTGAACACGTCAACATACTCACTCGCGCCGAGCAGATCGCAACGGAGTATGACTATGTTATCGTGGGAGGCGGTACATCGGGTCTGACTGTTGGAGATCGAATTACAGCGGATGGAAAGTGTGAGTATTATCCGTCAGATACTAGAATCAGACCATGGGAATTGACATCTGGTAGATACGGTGCTCGTGGTCGAGTACGGCTACTACGACAGCCAGACTGGCATGAACCCCAGGCGCATGTTCAACATCACGTCCAAGCCGTGTCCGAATCTGAACAATAGGAGCTTCTCTGTCGGTATTGGCTGCGTAGTCGGAGGTAGTTCAAGCGTCAACGGTCAAGTCTTTCTCAGGGGAACTAAAGACGAGTATAATGCCTGGAAAGAGCTGGGAGGACCTGGTTCTACTTGGGACTGGGACAACCTGCTCCCATACTTCAAGAAGGTAAACCCGCTTCCTCTAGACACACCATGCTTTATGCTAAAAGTCCCAGGGCATCACTCTCGCACCACCTGACGCAGCACAAGCTCAAGAGTACAACATCAAGTATGATGCCAGCTACTGGGGCACCACCTCAAAGATCTATGCCGCCTTTGGCAAGGGTCCCCTCACATCCATCATGAGTTCGTACACGCCCAATCATGTCAAGCTGATTCTGGCTGACCGCTCAATCAGAGATCCTCTACAACGCCATGGCCAAGATGCCTGGCATGACAATTCCCGTTGACAGCGGTGCCGGCGAGGCGGGTCTCTACTGGTATCCCATGTCTCAGGACCCCGTCCAATTCCAGCGCTCCTACGCTCGCACCGGCCATTGGGACGGCCTCAATCGTGCTAACTACGAGATGATCGTGGGTGCCAAAGTCAACCGTATCCTGTTCGACGGCGACACCGCCACCGGTGTGCAATTCGTCTCACGCAACAACACCGGCGCTGCCCCTGTCCAAGTCAAGGCCCGTCGAGAGGTCATCCTCGCGGCTGGTTCTGTACACACTCCGCAAGTCCTCATGCTGAGCGGCATCGGACCCCGCGCCCACCTCGAACAAGCCCGCATCGCAGTGAAAGTCGACCTACCAGGTGTCGGATCCAACTTCCAGGACCACAGCTACATCCCCAGCATCTCCTACCAGTGGGGTGTGCAGCCTCCCAACTCCGGCGGTGGCGGCTGGGGTGGTGGCGGTCCTCCGTCTCTCGCTTCCATGATCGGACTGCCTGTCGTTAGTCCCGATAGATACGATACTTTGGCCAGGACATACGAGGCCCAGGATCCCAAGTCTCATCTGCCATCGAGCTATACCGCGGAGCAGATCGAGGGATACAAGCAACAGCAAAAAGTATACGGCCGCCTCATGCGCTCCAAGAACACCGTCTTCTCGGAGATGATGATGTACGGCCCTGGCGGTTCGGTGCAGAACCTTCACCCCATGTCTCGCGGCAACATCCTCCTGAACACTGCTCAGCCCGAGAGCGAGATGCTGGTCGACTACCGCGCTGCTTCGAACACCATCGACCTCGACGTCATGGCGGAGATCATCAAGTTCATGCGCCGGTTCATGACAACCGGTGATCTTGCGCAGTACCAGGCTCGCGAGACATCGCCAGGCACTGGTGTCTCGACCGATGCTCAGCTCGTGAACTGGGCCAAGGGCCAGATCATTCCGTCCGTGTACCATCCCGTTGGCACAACCGCTAAGATGCCTCGTGAGTGGGGTGGTGTGCTCGATGAGAACCTGTTGGTGTACGGCGTCAAGAAGCTCAGAGTCATCGATGCGTCGATGATGCCTACGACCGTGGGTGCGACGACTTCCATGACGGTATACGCTGTGGCTGAGAAGGTTAGTCAACTTTATCACAAACCTACTGCTTCGAATGAGGATACTGACGTTACCAGGCTGCCGACATGATCAAGGCCCAGACTCAGTAGTATGATTTAGATACCTGCTGAACATATTCGGGCATGGTAACTGTGGATTAGGACGTCGTGGTACTAATCTTCTCATACCTCACGATACAATCGCATCTCCGTTGAAGAACATTGTCTCGTGCACTACCTTTTGTGTGACGTGTCCAAAGGGCTTCCGTGGTTTTGATACTCTTGACATGCTGATCGAATTGGATTCCTAAGACTGGTATCTCGGTAAAGCTGTTTGTATATCTACTCGTATAATGAAGCGTTGTGTGTGGACAGAAACGCGTGGCGAAGGTATATACACTCCGCTGAGCCAACAGTCACGACTCAGAGAACTAGTCTGTTGCAGCCTCCTACAGCTCCTCGGAGATCATGCCTGTCATAGTCAGCATACTATTGACATGAGTGGCGGGGTGCGACGTACTCTCTTCTTCGCCCAGGCCCTGCGTCTCCTCCCATTCCTTCATCCAAGCAGTGACAAACTCGACCTCTTGAGCCTGTACCTTCTTGATAGAATCGGGCGGGAAATCCGAGGTAACATCCTTTTCCTTCGCACCGTTCTCATCCCAATGATGAACGCCGAGTGGGATAAGAAGGAACGGCTCGCTGGTAGTCGACTTGCGGTCAAGGCCAATCTTGTGAGGCGTGGCAGCCCTCCATGGGTCAGCTTCTCCGTCGACGATCGCGACGCGAGGGTAGCTGAAGTTGAAGCCACCGTGCTTGTTGATGGCCTCGACGTCCGGGTCTTTGCTGATGTTGAACGCCTTGCGGCAATAAAGCGAGCTGTACTCTAGATCTATAGCACGGGAGATGAGCGGGAGCTGGTCCTTGGGTACGCCCGATCCCGTCTGGAAGTAACCCCATCTTCATCGGCGATTAGCGCTCAGGTGACCTTGTGACGGAGGTGCAAGTACTTACTCTGTGCAAACCTGGTAAGTCCAGCTACGGCCAGCACTCTGGCGGATAGAGGTGTTGTTGTAGTTGGCCTCGTTCTTGCTTGAGAAGCAGCGGAAGAGATCACCATCACGGCAGGCTTGCTTGACATCATCCCTGACATATCCAATGTAGTTGAGCAGATGATTCGTCAACTTCTTTTCGGAACCGCTGGCCGCAAGAACTCTCTCGGCAGAGGCCTTCAGATGACGCGTGCTTCCGAAGAGAACGCTGTCAGAGGAGACAGTGGCGCAGAACTTTCCGAACGAAGCGCTGTCCTGGGAAGGATCCCAGTTCGTCGATTGCAGTCCAGTGATGCCCCAGCTGAGGACGTTGGCGAAGTCGGCGTCTTCAAGAGGCTTGAGTCCAAACAGATCTTTGAGTTCGTCGACATCGGCAGTAGTGACACCATTCCCCTTGCCAAACAGAATGTTGTCAACCACTTGGGTGAGCTTTTGGGTCGTCTCAGCACAGTTACCCGGCGCGAAAAGGCGAGCTGCCTCGAAGTACTCCCAGTAGTCGATGATAGCGGCGGTGACGCCAGAAGAGGAGATCCCACCCCAAAAGACATCGGGATAGAGCTTCCTCAAGAACGCAGCAAACGCGCCAGCGTAGGAGCCCCCGTAGGCGATGTAGGCGGTATCGGGCGCCGTCAGATTGAGGTCCTCGTGACCGGGGAAGCTGATGTGCTTCGCGAAGTAAGCTGTGTCGGCAAGAGCCTGGTCGGTGCTCAGGAATCGCAGATTCTCGGTGCTGAGATCGGGAACAGGGAAGCTTTTGCCATAGTACCGATGCTCTAACACGACTCCGACGCCACCGGTGGCCTTGGCGAGGATGGACAAGATACCGTGGTCGAGGAACGGCAGACGGTCCTCGGCGTCCGTCTCACCAGCAGCAAGGATGATCACGGGACCTCCCTTGCGGTAGTGCTTCGCGTCAAACCAGTAGCGAAGGTTGAAGTATTCGTCGGAATGAGGCTCATATCGTGAGTCGTTGTGGAAGTGGTCGATCGGGACGGACAAGTTGTATTCGGGGTACTCCGCGAAGGCCGAAACCGACTCGGACTGGAGATCCGAGTTCAATTGCTGCAGCGTAGCCCAGCCTTCAGTGTTCCCAAGGTGAAGCGGACCGAGTCCTTGAACGGCCCGGGCCGCACTCAAGAGAACGCAAGCTCCGAACTTCCAGTAAGCCATGACGCCGGCTGGTGATGGAGAAGCCAATTATGTCCTTCCAGCTGATGGAGGTTGGGTCGGTGTTTGTTTTTGTGACTAAAATTGCGGAGCTGACGCGATTGGTGCGGGGTGAGACACAAAGTACACCGGCGCCGATGCGCGGCGGCAGCGTCGGGGAACTTGTGGATTACGCACTAACAGCTTCATTATTGTTCATGACAGCTTCATGTGCCTACGAACCAGCCATTGACATTATTTTTGACGTATACGAGTGATCTAATTATCTGTTGAAATATAGCGAACATAATCTGAGATTTTAACTGATCCAAACTTGCCATTGAGTGAGCCTGTCAGGGTCATGGATTGCACAGCATCATAGTCGGTGACTGCGCGGAGTGATAGAACACAGTTGAACCATCGTGTGCTGATCAAGACGCAAGTGTGGCAGCCAACAGTGAACAGGCGCGGCATGCAGGCAAGCAAGCTGCGCCTGCAGAATTTCTTAAAAGCCAATGATTCCCGAGCTGAATCTGACTAGGCTCTGGTCGTCTCCAGGCTCTCCTCGGCGTCCAGCAGACCTCATCCAGACCCCCAGCAATGAGCGAGAGACGACTGCAATCGCCAGCAGGCCCTCTCACGAGGAGCTCCAAGAGCTATGCGGAAGATGACAAGGCAGCCCTTTCCGAAGCCTTGGCAGCCTTCCAAGCGGCCCTCACCGACGCCGAACGTACAAGGCTACAACAGACCAAGACCAGTTTCTGCGACGCCGATGCTGTCATCAAGTTTACTCATGATCTCGACGGACTTGACCCCGCTCGCAGAGGCAAGAGCATCGCGACAAAACTGTACTCGTTCTTGCAGACTATCCAGCAGTTCTACCAGGTCACGGACACTTACGTGTCTTCTACCCCAGAGATAGCTGCGCTGGTCTGGGGTTCAGTCAAACTAACGTTCATGGTTCGCAATTTCCTCCCAAAAAGCCATCAATGATGTCACTGATAAATAAAGATGTTGGGAAACTTCACGTCATACTTTGAGAAGTTTTCTGATCTTCTTCATGGCTTTGACCAACATTGCCCACGATTCGCAGAATATCGTCTTTTATATCCGGACTCGGTGCGATTAAGACGGGCTACTTATGCGTTTCATGCAGCAATTGTAGTGTGCTGTACTCAGATCATTGCCGCTATTAGGCGTCCTTGTTCGTGCTTGCTTTTCTTGTTTTCTCTAATATACCGTCACGCGAGTCATTCTCGAGATCTTCAATAGTAAACTGATCACTGCAACCAGGGAAACAACAGCTCCTCCATAATCTGACTCAATCTTTCCAAGCCGAGATACGGCCGTATGTAGATGCTATCCAGGCGAAAGCAGACCAAGTCAAGGACGAAATTACACTGGCAAAATCTCAGGCTGATTCAAACGAGCAAGCAAAGCAGGCTGAAGAGCGCCGTGAGGCCGCGGAATCTCGACGAAGGTTCTCTAGATGGCAGATACATTCCCAGAAACAATTCCAAGACGTCAGTGCAGGGCAAGAAGCTCAGGCAAAACGTAAGCAAACTGAAATCGTTGGTGAGAAACAGCGCAACAGTCTTTGACATGGGCAAGCTAGAGCAAAATTGGGAGTCGCTCCTGATCAAACTGTCATCTTACGACCACGCCGCCGCCTTTAGGAAAGCGAGATTACGAAGGCATAATGGAACAGCGGAGTGGGTATTTCCCACGCAGCAATTCCAGAACTGGTTTCACAGCGATAAGTCTTCAATACTTCATTTGACGGGCAAGAGTAGGAAATTCCTTTTGCTGCAAAAAGATGAAGATGAGAACCAAAAAGCTGATGAGTCTAATAGTTGGCTCAGGCAAGACAGTCCTGACGTGAGTGACGCGAGATTATCTCTCGAACTGAATGCGAAGCTGACGGAATCTTTCTGCAGCGCAAACGTTATTGACCATCTTATTGCGGAACGGAAGAGTTGCCAATTGGTTTCATTCTTCTTTGTCGCATTCGATGATGCCGCAAGCCTGAGCGCCGAACACATCATTCGATGTTTGATCAGACAGGCTTTGGACCACAGTTCAGTCAACGACAAGTTCATCCACGGTCTTCGAAAAGCCGAATCTCGGTTCTTTTCCAATGACGCACTTCTGGGGCTGTGGGCTGAGAAGGTGAAATCGGTCGATGAGTTGTTCGTCGTGTTAGATGGGCTGGACGAATGCTCCGAGTCCGAACGAGAACTGCTTCTGGGATGCCTTGCCAAGCTTGGCGACGCAGTTTCCGGAGAGTCGAGAGTGAAGGTACTCTTGTCATCAAGAGAAACAATTGTTGACGAAGTGGACCGATCTGATCTGTCTGTATCTCGCCTTGGCTTAAGCACTGCAAACATCCAGAGCGACCTGTCCAAGTACGCAGAAGAAATATTGATGCAGAGGGTCTCCACCAAGAAGCTCAAAATAGATAACGAACACTTGCTGCAAGAGGTCATTCGACAGGTCCAGCGAGGTGGCGAGGGAATGTAAGTTGTCCAGGTCAAGTCATTAAACGTTCCCATTTTACGTTGCGGACCTAACGAGTGTGCTGCGTCTAGGTTTCTCTGGGTGTTCCTTACCGTCGAGGACTTATGTACCCGTAAATCTGATATCGAGATCCGCAATGCCCTCCAAACGATTCCTCGGAATCTTTCAGGCACATTCGACAGAGCTCTCGCCCGAATCGTAGCAAACGGGCACGAGAAGGTCGCCCATGATACCTTTCGATGGGCTGCTGTTGTTCGCCGGCCTCTCGCAACCGACCAACTCCGAGAAGCGCTGGCCATCGAAATCGGACAAATGTACTACAGACCAGAGCGTTTAATCAACGGAATTGACCAAATAACCGCCTGGTGCGAGAACTTGGTTCAGATCGAGGAGACGGACAACACAGTACACTTCAGCCATCACTCTATTCGAAAGTACCTGTTAGACCCGACTTCTGAGGTTTCTCGGAGCTTCCACATCAACTTACAGGATTGGGACCATCACGTTGGGGAGGTTTGCGTGACCTACCTCAATTTCAATGATTTTAAAGCTGCATTGATCAGATACTCTCGGCTCAGACTGGAAAGCACGATTCCTGATCACTATCCTGCAGGTTTCGCATCCGAGGCCGTTCGTACAGCTCTTCCAGGTACTACCGGCGCACGAATTGCGAAGGTTGTTCACAACGTCATTTCAAAATCTAAGCGACATTCCTACACGCTTCCAAAAGCACAAAATCCACTATTCGGAAACGCAGGAGCTGGAGAAACAACCATTCCAGGGCATCCCTTCTTGCAATATGCCGTTGAAGAGTGGCTGTTTCATACAACGCGGTTTTCGGCATCTGGATCTAAAACATGGTTCTTGTGGCAGGCGATGATCTCCGGCGACGATGCCCCGTGGATGGAAGTTGAGTGGCAGCCGCCCGGCATGTGTGAATTAGACTTCTGGGGATGGCTGAAATCCGATGACAACAACACGGATGAAACCAACAGATCCCTTACAGTCGTATTGCACAAGGCCATTGTGTACGCCGACTTCATCGGTCACTATACCCTCATGGAGCAGTTCATTTCGATGTTCCAACGTAGGGGCATCCGGATGCATTGCGAGATGCTGCAGAGTTTTCTACCACTTCGGAAATCCTGGGTCTACTCTAGCGGCATAGGGATGGAACGCTCTGGAAACAAGGGCGAGATGAGAGACCCTCGTGTCGACTTTGTACATCTTGTCACTGATTTTATTGCTTGGGGTGGACGGTATTGGCCCATCTGTCACTGCGGAAGCCACGTCGCAAAAAGCAGACGAGGGATATATGAGGACGTCTGCACAATGCTAAACGACTCCGACCGTGAAGGCTCTATAGATCGTTGGCTGCAAACATTTGCCCGACTATCTGTCTTCGACATAAATGAGAGGCTCTTCGACGAAATGGTCACTCCCGCTGCTCAACAAAGAGGATACCCCCTCGAGAACCGAACGTATTACGGTAAAACGATTATCAACGTCGTATTGGAACAAAGCGGTGAATGGCCCCTAAAGCTAGCTGCCTGGTTCTTGCGACAATGGAATTCGGATTTCTCTTCCGCGATTGAAAAGGATTTTCTTCTTCGAGACAGCCTGCGGCTTGTTCTCCGAGAAGGGACCTGGAAGACTGCAAGCTACATATTTCAAGCCAGCGTTTTATCATCGTCCAGGCTTGAATGCGTTGATCATCTTCTCATATCGGACGCTACCGAGGCCTACAACCTCACTTCGGAGGGAATGAAGGGGTTCATCCGTACGTGTATCCCAGAACGCTCCTGCGACCTAGCAGATGAAATGACGCAAAGAAACCTGGCCATCTTCAACACAGCTCGCCGGAGGCATTGGGAGATTGCGGTGGCTCTTCACAGGTGCGGGGCACGCTTGAAACCAGCAGATGATGACGACAGCTCCAGTCTTGACTTTAAAGCCTGTGAGCTGTTGAATTCGGTTTTTTCGTGTATCCATCAAATGTCCCACTGTAGCTTGGATGAGATTGAATGGGGAAGGTTAAAGCCTTTGAGGCTGTGTCGTCGGCATCTCAATGAGGCACAGAGCTTGAAGCCACTGCTGGATGAAGACAATTGGAGAGACGAAGCCGGGTCTAAGATCTTGCTGAGTATTCTGGATCATAGATTTGTATATATCTAGTTATTAGGTCAGCTTGAATAGACGTTCCATGCACTTTGAGGTTCGAGGACACTGTCCGGAGGGTGATGAGAGATAGGGCATACGGATTTGCTCGGTGCTCTCGCGTGAAGTGACTTATATTGTGATGCTCCCCCAAGGTCCGGGCAGGCACATCTCCTTCTCCCCGGACAACTCATTCTTACAAACATCTTTGGAAAGATTCAGAACCCGGAAGTGTCTGAACTTCACTCGAACGTCGAAAGCTCGCTCATTCGTAGATGGAAGGGGGTATGCCTTCGGTGACGGACATTGGATCGTAAGAGATGGCCCCATGTCGTTGTTGTTGCTATTCATGTATGAATTCCCATTGTAGCTCTCTGAATATCACCACGTCAAAGATATCGCAAATGTCTAATACTATCTATTAAATTACTTCTTGCTGAGTACTGACTCTTACCTTCCCTATCTAACTATACCTAATCCATCCGCCTGCCGTTTCTCCGAGTCCTGCCTAATAGTCCCGTAAAATTCATCTTACTATCCATTCAAAGGACACGAGTTCTGCCAACCGAGCCGCACGATAACCGTCGTTTATAGACATATCTATCATGTAACATACAATGGCACGAGTAGAATTGTACCTAACACACAATTTGCGAGGTTTGGGGCGAATCCGGAATTCTAAAAGAGACTATGAAGTCACCATCGCAGCTTCGGATCGATTCGAGACGTCCTTTTCGACACCCTGACGCTTTGCACAAGCCATTATCGTCTCCCCCGAAACATACCTAGGCTCTAGAGATAAGAATCTTAGCCAGTTGGAAAAGGATAAGATGTGGGAGTCCGGCGACACGCGAATGGGGCTTGTAGGAGTCGTCGGGTGTAAGGGGTGGCTGATCTTTGAGGGGGCATCACCACAGCCAGGAACCGTGTCAAAAAAATCACTTTCCACGTCGAAATCAAGACCTCACAATGCGTTGCACGACACCAAAGTTCATCCGAGTCCAAGGCTTTATTTCATATCCTAGTCATAATCGTAGAAAAGTGGTATATCCTCCAAGACCATATGCCCGCTGCCAAATGTTCCGCTGTCTACATGGGAAATCTGTCAAAGAAACGAAAGTGCAACTGAGCTCTGTCTTTCATGTCGTCAACCGACGACATTGCGCACAATACTGACCTCCAATTTAAATGCCCGGTTTATATGCCTTGGTAAATGAGACCAAACGTGCCGCCATCATGATGTTCCTAAAGTCATTCAGTGGTAGCTCGCCCCTGGCGCAGCGTACCAAACGAGATGCATCCATGCAAAAAACTGAAATGCAAAAAGTCGTAAACGTAAAATGGGTCCTACCTCGATACCGCACTTAGCCCATGGCGTTGAACTCGTTCTGGCGGAGGAAGGACGTTGCGAGCTCGTCGCCGCCTTGTTCAGCCGCCTGGAAGAAGTGGACGGCGACGCACATGAGTGCGGGGTCGCTTCGCACATCTCCATCCTTCGAGGTGGAATCCTGACCAGGATGTTGGGAGCCAGCAGCACCCAGGCTAGATGACCCAGCCGATGAACGGGCCCGATCGCCAGCATACAACCTACTGGCGCCAGGGCCAGTGCGCCCGGAGGTACCAGCATACTTGTCCATCACTGTCTGCTTGAATACCTCACGGGGCTTGGACAGAGGCAAGGTAGTGCGCTCAACGAGCTCGGGGTTGGACAAGTAGAAGATGGCGAGCTCTCGTTGAGCGGTAGGTAGACCCTCCTTGGCTGTGATGGTCCACATCCTGCCTGCCTGTGCCAGACTGTATGCAGTCGTCACAGGAGGCGGCGAGTCGGTATCCAGCCGCTCGGTATCTTGAATTTGTGTATCGTTCGTTGTTTTCCGGGTATTGGTGTAAACCCCTTGAACCTCGTCGGCCACCTCGATCATGGTACGGCATACCTCTTGCTTCAGACTCAGCGCAGCGAGACCAGTGTCCCAAAATGCTGTGCCCTTGTCGGTGTTGTCCAGAATGGTAGGGTTCACAAAGGCGGCGATGAACTGCAGATCGCGGAAGAGGGTCTTCGGTCGTATCGAAGGGTCTCGGAAAAGAGTGCGTAGCACGTTGGTAATTGCGTCCTTGGTCGTTGGGTTGCTTGAGGCAATCGTTCGAGCGTCCGACGTGCCCGGCCGAGTAGGGCCACCGGCCGATGGCAGCGAAGTAAGAGGTGATTGCTGAAGCGCGTGTGACCGTCTCTCTCTGACATTGTCAATCACCTCTTCCAGAGGGTTCGAGCGAGCATTTGCTGTTGATTCGTCCGCCGCAGGAGACATGAAGTCGGATCTGTTCCACCCAAGCCTGGACCGCTTCGAGCCACTGGCCAACGAGGCCACGATGAGCTGCTCGAGCTCATGGAGAGCGTTCAACTTGGCATGCGGGTTGGGATGAACACTGAACATACGCAGCAGCCGTTGGAAAGCCTTCTTGAAAGGGAATTCCGCCTTCGATTCCTTAGCCGGTTGCTTGGAACGAGTGGATACAGTCTCGCTCGTGGCTGCGGAGCCGTCGTTCCCTGGAGTGCTGCCAGTCTCCGTTGTCTCGGAGTTCTTGTCGGTCTCACCAGCGCCGCGTAAGTTGCCGAAACTCTTCTTCTTTTCGATAACGCGGGGCTTGAGAGACATCTTGCCCGATTTGCCCATTCGTCGCGCTCGTCGGTCGAGAGCATCGCGCCTGTCAATACACTCTTGGCCCAAATTTGAGAACCAATCGTCTGTCTCGGATCCTCGAGCAAAGACAAGCGTGCCAAGGTCAGAGAGCAGCAGACTAACCAAAGTCTGGCGCAACTCGTTGAGGAAGCGGGCCTTCTCTTCAGACTGACGCTGCTGATAGACTGTTTCGTTGGATGATGCCGATGTACCTGGTCGGCCAGCGGAGTGTCCAAGATGGGCAGCGAGGGAATGTGGAGGATTCTGGAACGATGCGGACAGGTTGGTCATGCTGGTTGTAGGGGACTGGGCGCGGGACGTTGCCGAGCTCGGGGAGATCGCCGATTGGAAAGGCGACCAAAACGTAGAACTTGAGTCGATGGTGTGAACTGGCGATGAGACGCCGAAGTAGTCTTGGCCGTCGACAATGTCGGACAGAACGGTGCTTGCCCTCGAAAACCGATAGCTGCCGGAGTCGAATGACTGCTGGCTGGAGTTGTGGGCAGACATAGCTCGAAGATCGCGAACAGAGTTAGGCCGACCGGTAGACATAAATCGCCGCTCCGGGTCGCTCATGACACTGGCGGTATCATCCCAGTGGTGCTCCCTTTCTCGTGGACCTCTACTGTTCTCCAGATTCCGTCTGTCCCGCTGGTACAACTCGCTTGACCAAAGGACGGGACCATCCAAAATTGACTCGCCGATCAACTTGGAGATGCAGGTGTCCACCTCGCAACAGAATCTGTGAATTCGCTCCTCTCCGCAACAGAAGTTCTCAACGCCCGCCTGTTGCAGCCAGCGGGATGTCTTGTCGGCCTGGTCGTCGCTGAGTTTGTTGGGACCACCTTGCTCTTCCGAGGCTGCCAACAGATCCATGATCTGGGTTTCTGTACGGTAGAGATAGCTGGAAGCCGGCGCTCTGGCCAGATGCGCGCGGTTGCGCTGGTAAGAATTGTACCGCCGAGGCATCCCCATGGTCTTGAGGGCAGCGCAGATGTTGCGACTTTGCTCGTATGGCGCGGAATTGCGGACGTCGGTAACATACCACATCTTGTCGCGAAGAGCCCGCAGGCGCTTTGTCATGGTCTCGATGAGCCCTTCGTGCCTTTCTTGGCTTTGCTTCAGCCAAACGAGCCAGGCGTCGTACTCCTCGATCGCAGCCGCGCAACGGCGGATAGAGTCTCTCGGGCCACGAGAGAAGATGTTCAGGAGGATTGCGAAGCCATTCCGCCTGAGAGATTCGGAGCTGAGGGCATTGAGTTGTTGCAAAGTCTTCCAGTAGAGATGCGCCGAGACAAAATCAGCTTGTGCTTTTGACTGAGCAGATGCTGCAGTCAGCATGGCAATGAGGACGGACGGAGGCTCCGTGTCTTGTTCGGGGGCCTTCTCTTTGTCCGAGGTCGACGCGGCATCCTTGCTCTGAGATTCTTCCTGGGCTGCCTGCGCCTCGGCTTCGCGTCTGCGGTAGGGGTTTCTACTGGGCGTGGACTTTTCGGCAGTGATAATCTTGTTCTTCGATCGGTACTTCTTGATGCCAGTCGCCCGATTGCTGAATTGAGCCCGGCTGCCTTCCGGTTCGATGCTTTGTGGGATCTCGTAGTCCTCAACAAGCTTCAGGATGGAATCGCGAAGCTGATGATAGTCCTTGTCCAATTCGGGCTTGTCATCAATCTCCTCATCGTCAGTGTCGCTGGTCGACGAGTTCTCTTCCTCCTCAATGTCTTCTTCAGGGTCGTAAGTCATCTGGCTCGACAAGCTATTGCCATCCGCGGAGATGAACAGGACAGCCCAGCGTTCCGCACAGGGATGACAAGAACCTTGAATCACATCCGCTCCAACCTGGGTGCTCATCTCTCGCAGAGCGAATCGAAGACGGTAGCCGTCGTCTTCGTAGTTGCTGAGTCGTCTCTGTGATAATGGTTCCAACATAGGAGGCGAGTATCGCTGTGGTGAGCCGGTCCGTTGGTCGTCCAAGTTTGTCTCCCTTGATGTGGTGGCGTCACTCAGCACCGAGGACGCGCTCGTGCTCAGTACTGATGCCGTCTCGAAGTTGTGCCGATTGCCTCCCATGGAGATGGGCTGGGATATTGCTGAAAAGCCAGAAATCGAAGGAGCGCCGGATCTCAGTCCGCTGGATTGAGACATGGGTCGACGCTCGGGGAATAGAGCGTTGACCAAAGTGACCAAGTCAGCCGGGCTGACAACCAGGTACGGGTGGACCTCGACCGTCTCTCTCAAAGAGGTGATGGAGCGAGCGGGCAGCAGCCTAGGTGGAGGTCTCTGGGATCGGGATCCCTTGAACCGGTTCAAAATGCTCTCAACATGTCCTTGGATCTTGGGCGGAGTAGAAACTGTACCCTTCTTGTTCCAGGTGATCTCCACGACAACCTGCTGGGCTCTCATGGCAACCTGCTTGAGAATCTTCTGGCGGCCGTACTCGGTGATGTGGTAGTCGCCCATGAGACCGTGGCTTTCTGGGTGAATGACAACGCCAAGGAGAAAAACTGAGAAAAGCCACTTGTACACAAACCAGTTGCGGGTGCCCTCGACGAGCTTGCTGTCCAACTTCTTCAAGATGGCGTTACCTAACTCGATCAGGCCCTCGGGAATGCCTGTCGCATCCTCGTCGTCGATGATCTCGAAGAGCTCATTGACGGCGCGGTCGTAAAACTCCTCTGCGGCAATACTGTCCTTGGCTGTCCAATCCGCAAGGTTGAAGCGGGTTCCGTGCTGATCCTCGGCTTTATCCAGGAGAAAGGCACCATCCTCGAGGATCTTCATCAAATACCACTCCATATTGGACTTCCCAGACCAGTCACGCATGGACGTCCAAACATTGAGGACGGATATCAGCATAGGCTCGCTGGCAGATTTGGACTCTGTAATGAGCCTGGCCAAAGCTGTTCCCCAGATCTCGGTTCGTCTCCTATCCTCTGCGCTGTCGGGCCCAGCGGAATTGGCAAAGCAGGTGTGGACCAAGGCTGACAACGGGTCGTGTCGCTGGAAAGAGAGCAGGCGCTCAATGGCAGTGGGCAGATGGGCGGGTGTCCGACTACTCGAACCAACATGACTCCGCGCGTTAGAGCGGCCGTGATAAGGCAACACGGACTCAACGGGTTCCAGTCCCTGGTGGAAACTGGTGAAAGCGTTTAGTTCTGCTGGGGTTAGAGAACACAACCTCGTGGCCAAATAGTGCGGGTTTGTGCGAATCTGGGTAAGGAAGTTAAGGAAAATCTCCCGAACGGATGCTGGCAATTCTGAAAGAAAGGGGGCAATAGAGCCAAGAGAACTGGCGCCAGATGTCGATTTAGGTGGTGTTTCCAGGCTTTCTGACGATGCCAAAGCTGGCGACTGTAATGAGTCCAATTCCGGCTCCACAAGCGCGTAGCGGCGCAACTCGTCGCAGCTCTTGCGCACATCGTGAATAGCGTTGAAGAGAGCAGAGAAGGTCTTTTTGTCATCGGAACGGAAACAATCGACCAAGTTCTTGCGGGCAATCTCACCACAGCGATTCAGGCGGGCAGAGAGGGCGGTAGAGATGAGGTTTCTCTGCAGGCGAATCCTTGTGTTCGCGCGCTTGCGCTCTTGGTATTTGGAGAGTCTGACCAAATGGGCAAGCTCGTCCAGCGTCGTGGTATCGGGTTCGGCCGCCATGTGAGGGTTCGTGTACATGGAGGGGTCCGGGAGCAGAGCCTGGGGTAGTGCAGGGGAAGCCGTCTTGTCGGCAGCCGGGGCGGGCGCCTTCTCGGGGGAGTCCATGGTGGCCTTGACGGGCGAGGTAGCAGTTGGCGTCACGGGCTGAGCAATCACGGGCTTCTGGTGAGATGCTCTTCGCGGTAGGTCTTCGCTTCGGCGAACGGGCAATGTTACAGCCTCTGTGGTCGGGGTAGGACTCGGAGAGCGCTGGCGGCGGGATCTGAAGGTATTGTAGTTCTCGGCCGGGGGCGTGGGCGTCGGGGATTGAGGAGGGTTCGCGCCATCTTGTGAGGCAGCTATGTCGAGCAGGCAATCATGGTCAGCATGGGGAAGCACACGAGCAAGGAGCCGATGTTGGGCGCCGGGGAAGACGGGTGTGCGACGTACGAGCAGACACTATTCGGACGGGCGAAGAAAGAGAACGCTGCATGGAAATCATAATGCGATCATTAGAAGATGTGCTAGGAGACGGGCGGGCAGCTTCAGCGGCTGCTCGAGGCATGCGCAGGCTTGTAGCTGTGCTGTTGCGACCGTCTGAAGTGCAAGTTGCGCAGTTGGGCGGCGACGATGAAGCTCGTCTTGGTGGATCTGATGCGTAGACGGTGCGGTGCAGGTGCTTGGGTACTTCGCGGGTAGGCGGGGCAGACGTGGACTGGGCGGCAGAGTGAGAGAGAGAGGCGGAAAGAGGGGGAGGGAATAGGAGGCCGGCGCAATGCCAGATCCACGCGGGCGCGTTCGTCGGTCGGTCGGTGGTTGAAGATGTCAAACGTCTGGTGTTGACGGGTTTTCCTGGAAAGAAAGAAAGAAAACAAAAAACACCAGGCCGAAGCAGGAGTCGAGGTCTGGTCGCGGTTGGAGTTTAAGGTATCCGGAAGGAAGGGACGGGACAAGAAAGACCAGGGTCGCAAGGCGAGAATGTGGAAGGCACAGCGCAGCGGCAGCGGCAGCGGCAGCGCGACCAGGAAGGCAAGGAACGGTAGGCGGTAGGTACCATAAATGGTGTGGGGAGATACGTACCTTCCCAGCAGCTGGATGTATCCGTACATTTGTACCTGGAGCAGGAAGGAGGAAGGCACGATACTGACAGGTATCTTGGGCAGGTACGTTCCGCTGGTCAGGCACCTGCCCTGGCGGTTCGCAAGGAAGCGACCTGGCGACGTGCAGGAAAGACGTGGAGCAGGAACGAACGACAGCTGGAAGGCCGCAACTTCCCAACAGGCAAGAACATTGGAGCAAGTGGCAGGAAGTACCCTGCTTGATGCTGAGGTGGGCAAGAGCATACCGTACCGTACCAGGTACGCTGAGGTGAGAGGCGACTGAATGCCGGCGGCAGGTACTCCCCACGACTTCCAGCTCACGACATCTCCACGTCCAACCTGCTGAACAGCGGACATGGAACGGAATTCATGGGTTAAGTCGATGGGGCCGCTGCCCGGACCGGGACCGACCGGAGAGGACGGAGACCAGAAGAACAACACATCGGAAAGGGTCATTATTCTCAACCAGGGAGGGGGGACTACGGATACGCAACTGCCTCGACTGAGAAGGCAGGTACGGATATCTAGCATGGTGGTAGTTTGAGGAAAGAGATACTTCTCTACCTTAGCGTTCTGTGAGGAAGGAAGCATAGAAGCATGCTTACCTCAGGTGAATTCCAATACCTCAGGTAGGAAACTGTTGAAAACAAAGCTAGAAGGAACGAGATGCCACGGAGGAAGGAATATCTGGCTGCACACCTGCCCTGCTTGACTGCTGCGGGTGGAAACAAAAACATTGGACGAAAACGTTGGTCAGCGCCAACGCCAACGCACACCCGCACTAAAAAAAAAAATCACCACAGGAAAGAAATTCCCATCAACAAATCCCAGTCCTGGCCGACTGTCACCACCACCAAAACACAGTCATCAGGGAATCCTTCCTTTGCTTTTGTTTGTTCTAGGCTGTTTCCATTTCAATTGCCACGCGAACCAGCACCCTTTCCAACGGCCTTTTCTATCCAGCAATACCAGCCAAGGATATCCAATACAGCAACGGCCAACCAGAACAACCGCATGACATTGCCTTCTGTTTACTTTGCCATCATCATCTACCCTACTGGAGCTGTCCCTGTCACAGACTCAAAAAGACAACACAGCCAACCCTAAACCGACAGGGAGCCGCCTGAAATGGGGGTCCGGGGTCTGCTGCAGAGTACAACAGAATCGATGTGAAGTGCCTTACTTCACCATCACCATAGCATCCGTCATCTTCATCTTCACCGTCCACCATCGCCTTGTCGCACGCTTCACGACAGGAGCCGCGAACCGCGAACCGTCGCCTTGCGCCGCCTCGGTCCTTCGTCCTCCTGTCCGCCTGCTGTGCCAGGTCGGACACAGCTGTCTGGCGATGAATCCGTATACGTACTCATCAATTATTCGCCGGTTCCAGCGAACATGCAGCAAGGAGCTGTGCACATCCAGAATCGGAAGCATATCTGCAACCACCGAGGCATACCCTCCGGTCCAGAGGCGGTCTGCGTCAACACAACAGCGAACGCGCATATTTCAGGCCCAGAATGCATGACTTTGAGGAGCCGGAGGACGACGACGGCGACAAATCCATGCATTGTATCCGTACAGCCTCCGGCCTATTGCGGTACTCATTCGTGCATCCGCCGGTCTCTCCAGACCTCGGTGCCATGCTGTCTGTCCACTTGGTCTCGTGTTTCTCAACAAGTCGGACGAATCATGTCTTCACCGACGGCCAAAATTGCGGTATGCTACATGCAGCGACAGCAAACACCAGCATGGAAACAGGGCATGCACAGGCACCGACAGGCAAAGACAACGGGGCAGCCGATGCATCAGACAAAAATTACCTCTGCTTCTGGCCGCTGGATGAGCTGGCATGCATAGCCTTTGGACCTCTTGTTTTACATGTTCGGCCACCCTGCGCCCCCCAAAAGCTCTCGAGAGGGCCCCCTTTGGACTTTGGAGCCCTCCATGACCACCGCACAGAAGACTGCCCTGGTCTCCCGCTATCCAATCTGCGTCGTCCACGAGGCTGGCACGCCATGCCAACGCATCACAGGGCCCAATCAATCCCCCGCCAGCCCAACCAGCATCAACCCACACCCACCCGCTTCACCACCACACTCGACAACCTCGACACCATCCCTGACCGCTGTCTCCAATCGTCCACTGCCGAGCCGCTTGCCTCCGGCCACCAGCTTGCACCTCCTGCGACCTCTCGCAGCCGCATCAAGGGCCTCTCCAACCACTGTTTGAGGCCCGCCGCCAGACCGACTGGCCGGCAACTTCACCCTGCCACTCAAAGTTTCGAATTGCAAAACTGCACTGAGAGAGGTCAATTCATCTGGCCACGTTTCGGTCAACTTCTTCAGCCCCCGTCAGACATCGACATTCTCACGACCTTGTCGCCTTCAACAAGCAACTTCTCTTCGCCACATGACTGCTAGCCCGTCAGCTCCAGGCAACGAAAAGGAAGCAGAATTTGTCTGTGTCACGATGATTGGAGACGACGCCGTGCGCTCGACGAGAAGCCTTTTGTCAACTCAGCGGTGCTGCACTTGGTTCGAATCCCGCCAAATCAAAGCTCCCTGTCCGTTCTACGTCTGGACATATCCCGGCTCCGGGTGTGGCATATTCGGCCTCTAAACTGGCCTTTACCATACTGCTGGATACCTAGATCCAGCCACTCGCACCGCCAGCGTGGTATCACCATGATTTCGTACCACAACCATCTGCCGCCCACTTGGAGACTCCGGCCCAGGTACTGAGATACCTACTTCTCCATCCCGCTCCTAACCTAACCACCGACAGATCGCTCGTCTCATGCACGTCAGATTCGCCAGTCACTCGCTACTGTTCATCCGATACCCAACCCCATTCGCTGCACCGTCCCTTGTTCATCGTGCGTCCGGTCCCGCCTCCCGACGACCTATCGAGCCCAAGATGCCACGGGGCCCGCGACTCTGCTCTTCGTTTCCTTGTTTACCTTGCATTCTCTGACTGATTGAGGCCTTTGCTTTGCCTCGGGTACTGCGCCCCTGTCTTGGGTTATTTGTTGACCCTTGGTTCACTGCCAGCAACGTACTCCAAGACGTGGATGCGGCCCCAGCCGAATCAAGATATGGTCATGCCACACCGCGATTTGCTCGTGGGAGGAGCCGTTCCGGGTTCTTGAACAGTACCGAGTTGCATCAGCACGTGGAGGCGTTGTGTCTGGGAACCAACAAATTAGTCGTCTAGCGACAACATGGCGGACCCGTCAGCCGACACATGACCTCTTGACGCAATCCTTCCGACTCTCCATTGACACCGCATTCTAAATGGGTCATTGAGGTTAGGGCTGCATATGCCATCGTTGGTAATCTGCACTCCCGGCGCTAACCCACAGGCATAAGCCTAGTAGATGGCCCCGTTGCCACACTGTCGTGTCACTGCTGTTGTTGCCAGGGTTCCGGCGTGTTGTTGAGGCTATGTAAACATTTCCTCGCACGTAGACAGTCCTCGTCAGCCGAGACCAGCCAGCTTTTCGTCAAACGACTTTGTCAGTGACTAGGTTGCTAACGTGAAGACCAGAGTCGCTAGTCGACACCCGGCCCAACCAGATTTACCATTTAGCATGGTCTCAGGTTGTTCTTCCTTCCCTTAGCTTCGTACGGAAGATATGGAGATGGCGATCTCTCGGTCTGAACGAGGGTGATCCTCAGAATTCTACAATCCGTTGAGGTGTCAATGTGTGAATAACGACTATTCTTGACGCCTTGATTGTAAGCTGCTGTCATGATACTCTCGTCGTCGCTACTGCTGTTGCCGTCAGTGCCATCTTCGTTGCTGGCACTGCTTCTTTCCTCGAAGTGTTCAAGTAATACTTCTTCGTGGACAGCAGACGGTCTTCTAAAAGATCTACCCTTTAACCCGAAGTACTTGTCTCATCGCATCGCGAACAGCATGTTTATGCTCCAGAAATTTCGACTTATCCGCAGCCGCCAGAGGTGTCAACCCAGAACCATCTCTCGCTCCCACATCAGCTCCCCGATCCATCGAGACACGGGCTACACCGACGGCCCCTCGCTCAGCTGCCCAGTGCAACGGCGTGACACCTTCCTTCACAACATCTGCCTCCGTCTCCGCGCAGAGTGAGAGCGTTCTTGCCACTCGAAATCCCCACGGCTCGCTCCCATACAAGAAGTCTCTCACTTCATTCGATATCCGCGGTAGCCGGGTCCCATCAAAGACCCGGGCAGGACTGTTGATCGGCGGCAGAGCATAGTGCCCCGGTATCAAAACGCCGTACGCAATACTCGCGATCGAGTAGTTATCGTTCTCCGGGCCGTCCGGTAGCGACTCTACTCCGCTGTCGAGGTAGCTCCCGATCACATGGAGAACAGTCCACCCCTCCGCCGTGACGACGTTCGTCTCTGCCCCGTTGTAGAGGAGCAGCTTGGCAGATTTCACGGCGTCGATCTCCGGTTTCCTGCGTCCGTTGGGCTGCGATCCGCGATGATATCGCCCAGTGATCACAGGCGCGAGAGAGCAGATTATGGGCGTCCAACCGTTCTCGCTGACGGCGTTCACGTCCAGGCCCCTGGTGATGAGCATCTCCATCGTATCGTACCGCCCCCCGGCGGCGGCGTAGTGAAGAAGCGTCTCGCCGTGGTTATTTGTAGACTGGAGCGCTGAAGCGGGGTTCTCGGCGCGGGCGAGGTACTCGAGGAAGACTTCCCTGTCGGCGTTCATCGCGGCCCAGTGGAGCGGCGTCTCGCCCTCGTCGTCTCCTATCGTGACCGAGGCACCGTGTTGAAGTAGCAGCTGGATGCCGATTGTGTGAACTTCCGTCCTTCGCGTTGAGCCGTTCATGGGGATGGGATTTGTCAGGAGATGGAGTACCGTGCAGCCCCTATCCCCTTTCACGTCGGGGTCAGCCGCGTGTTCGAGGAGGGCTCTCATGGCGCCTTGCAGAACGATGCCGCCTGCTGTTCTGTGAAGATTGGGTATACCGTCCTTCGACCCGTTCGCATCTGCCCCTGCGTCCAGGAGACGAGTACATACGCGGTAATGTTTGACGAGGTCGTCTTCGTTGTAGATGATTCCCGACCTTTCCTCCGAGACCAACATGAACTTGAATCCCACGCCCGAACTCAGCGCCGCGTCTGTCGTGATCTTGTCATAGAACGTCCGTTGCATGAGCAAATCCACGACGTCAGCCTCCCATCTATGAGCGCCGTGTATCAGCGCCGCGCGCTTCGCCATCTCGCTCCATGTATACAGCGGTGACGGCGTTGCTGCCCAGTCCAGATAATCACCAACCACATCCGCATGACCGTATGAAGCAGCTTGAATCAAACAGCGTTCAATCAGCTTCACGTGAGATGTATACTCGGTGTCGACGATGCCATCAGGATACATCGAGCTCAGTCTCTGCCATATGAGCTGCGAGATGACGCGGTTGCCCTTGATGGCGGCCAGCTCCATCGCCGTCATGTACTCATCGCTACTCCCGTTGTCGTCTAGGGGGTCCGCGCCGGCTTCGAGGAGGACGCGGGTTGCGGCTGTGTTGTTGAGGAGGATGGCGACGTCGAGGGGCGTGCCGTGGGACGAGTGTTGGTTGAGGAGGGACGGGGTGGATGATGAGAGGGCTTGGAGGTGGGGGATGTCGTTGTCGCGGATGCTGGCGTGGAGGATTTCTGAGGGCCGGTGGAAGAAGCGTTCCATGGTGCTGAGTTTGCAGGTTGAAGATGAACTTCTCGGTGGAGGGTGTGATGATGAGAGTGAGATGAGGACTGGGGTGAGTTCTGTGCCGCTGCGGCGGGGCTTGGCGGACTTGGCATGAATCCTTCGACTTCAAGCTTGATTTATGCCCCTCTTTTCATTGAAAACGGGTGTTAAATCTTCTTTTAGATACTTTCGCGTCGGTCGGAATTCATGTTCTGTAGGTTGAATTTAGATGAAGGCTTGCGCTGAGCTATGTGACGCACCTATGTCGATCTGAGCTGACATTACCGCTAATAGTCACACATTTTATTCTCCAACTCATCCGGAAGTCTAGGGAATAGTGACTTGCTGACGGGGAGAATCAGTTGACTGCCAATCAATCAAAGTGAGGCTGTGCGTGATGGTTACACGGGACGATGTCACCCTTGAGATGAGGCTCTTAGACAATGCATCCATAAGTATTCACGCAGCCTGCTTGACACTTTCGCAACTCCCCACTCCTTCTATTGCTAAGCCTCATACACCTTGATATCATAGGTGATTTACACTCAAGATGACATCTCCTGAAGAGCGACCACTTGCCCCCAATGATCCGTGGGCATCACTCGTGGATCGCAGCATACGCGAATGGGACGCGCCGAACCGGAACATGTTTAGGATTGCGAGGGACTTTTTGCAAGCGAACACTAGCCTTGACGACTTCCTCTGCAGCCCGCGAGAGCTCCCGCTCTTCTGGTTCTTCCAACGTCGAGAAACGTTCCTGTCACAGACGACCTTGACGAAATGGAGCAGAGATCGCCTAGACGATTACGTTCTCCTCCCCGCACTCAACGGTTTCGTCTTGAGATCGGAGTGCTTCTTCGTCAGCCACTTCTGGCTCACCAGCAACGACCCGGACCCGGACGGAAAATACCTCCGTCTTCTTCAGCAGGAGCTCGAGCCCCAGAGTTGGTCGTACATCTGGGTCGATTGGACGTGCATACCACAGCACCCCCGGACCGAGAGGGAGCAGGCCTACTTCCTGCGGGGACTCGAGACGATGCCGGGGATCATCCGCAACTGCGGGTTCATCTGGTTCTACCCGCCCTTCGAACCGCGCCTGTGGATCCTGTACGAGATCGCGGAGTACAGCCTCACGTGTGACGGCGGGATCGAGAATTTCGACGACATCAAGGAGTTTCTGGAGCATATCAAAGAGATGCAGGAGGTCGGGGTGCGTGCGACGCTGAGCAAACACGGCTACAGGTGCGCGGACGACCTGGACAAGGAGTGTCTGACGTCGTTGCTGGAGTTTCTGTGCATCTTGAGACGGCTGCGTCTTGACGTCGAGGATATCAGAAAACTGATGGATCGCATGACGTGGTCTACCCGGACGCACACCGTGATATGCGGGACTTTGGACGGTGTGGTGGAGCTTTGTCGGTTTGACGGCACTCTGAAATTGAATGGAGAGTGTCATACGTTCACGCCGTTCCCGAGATGGGTAAGTTGTCTGTGACCGTTAGAAGACGTTTGTGGCTGACTTGAGACACGACGTTTAGGAAGACAGCAAATACTTTTCAGCTATCAATACCATATCACACGAATAGAGGTATGATTGGCAATATCCTGTTGTTAGTCATTGAATGAATGGAGTCGACTGTGGGAGAGCTAGTGACAAGAGCAAATTGTTCACAGTTGGAGTGATGGGTAACGAAAACTTCAGCTTTCTAGGCGGGAAGACGGACATAAATCCGTCATCTAGCGTATAGGCCTAAATTTTGACCGAGAAAGAAAGCTTCAACCATGAACTTATGAATATGAACAGATCTGTTTCTATCTTCTTTAGATGATGTCCGAGTATGACTGTATGAATGGGTGTAAGTGGCGTGACCTTGAGGATGAGGCCATTCAAGCAAGCGCCACCACATACGCCGCCAGGAAGTTTATCAGCATAGAGTTTCATACTTTCAGAATAATGAATGATAAATGTGTACTCATTAGGTATGGCGAGCTAAAATAACAAGAGCGGATGCAGTGTAATGCGCAGGGTATTGCATTTGTTAGTGGCGTGACCGTGGTGACTCAAGCCGGTTCAGCCTGGCAAGGCAAGCAGCTATGGCGGTCGCTGAGCTTCGCATCTCTTTCTCCATGTCCCTTTTCCAAGCGATTTGGATTCTGTCTTCGTTTTTCTGCTGTGAAGTAGTGATGTAGTCGAGCTGGCACTGGCAAAGAACGATCCTCGTCCAGCTGGGAATATGAGTAACTGTGCTTTACGAGAGAGCAAGCACACAAACGACCGCAAGAGTTACAGGAGATTTGGGACTCACAAGTAGTTCACCAACATGACGTTGGTGTACAGAACGACGGGGTCCTCCTCCTTTGCGAACGCACCAGAGGATGACACAGCCGGCAGCGTCGACCTGGATTCCGCGAACCATTTGGAAAGCGCCTGTCCGGCTTTCAAATACTGCTCTTCACATGCAGCTTCCGAGCTTTGTGGAGACAAGGAAGTGAAGGCCAGAGTGAGTGTGTCCGTCATCGCCACGCAGAGCCTGACCGTGTCGTCCACGACCCGGACCAGTCTTTCCCTCGTTCCATGACTATACACTCTCGTGCGATTGATCTCAGCACACAATAAAGATGACCCGGCCTCGACGTATTGCTGGGCTATGAACTCTGCAGGACCGATGGAAGGTTTCTGTTTCGAGGCGAGAGCTATGAATCTGTCGCGGATAAAGCAACACCACCACAAACGCCTCAAGGATTCGTCGCCGTCGACGGTCGTACGAGACGCCTCATATGCTTTCGATAAAGCATCTGCCTTAGCTACTCGGGCATTGTCGATGGCCTTTGCTAGCCAGGTGCTCTCGTGGAACTCGGGGCCCGTCGTGTTGAAGGTCAGGAGAAGGGCAGCTTGGGCTTTGGCGACAGGGCTTGTCTCAGCGCCAAGGTCGTAGAGAAGCTTCCGTGATTAGGCGTGTTTCTCGTTCGTTTGGTGGAAGGTTGCATGGAGCTCAACGTACCTTTGCCTTTCGGTAGAAAGAGTCTTTGGCGTTCTGGATGCCATCATACCCCAACATGCTGATCGTTTCCGGCGCAACGAACTATGTATCGCCATCAGCATTCACCAAAGCGTCGAATTCGATCTCAGATACCTTGCAGGATGCCAGAAGCATTCCTTGAAATAGAAGCAGGCTGATCTTCTTCTCCTCTCCGGTGCCGAGGCCAAAGTAGCCGTCCCAAAAATCCGACTCGCTGAGCATCGGTAGAAGAGGATGGACATGTAGAAAGTAATGCACCACGAATTGGTCCAAAACGGGTCGGGAGGGTATTATGAAGCAACCCTCTGTAAGAAGTCTCTCGACCTTCTCCAGCGGAAGCTGATTCAGATCCCTCGTGGTGAGATGGAAAGGCAGCGAGTTGTCTACTCCCGGGCCATCTATAGGGAGGAGCGGGGATGATTCTGTAATGTCGCCGTTGACTATCGCTTCTACATGTTCGAGGAAGTCATGTGGGCTCCGAGAATCATCGTCGCAAGGAGAGCCATCGACTTTTTGGATTCGGCTTCTAATAATTATCACGTAAGTATTATGCTGCTCGAATAATAGAGCAACAGTAGTCCTACATTTTCCCCGGGATTGTGGACGCGATGTGTTCGGAATTCTGACATTGTTGTTCGTCGCCGTCAACTTCGCTTCGGGGTCTTTTAGGCCGACAACTGAGGTGCATCGAAGCGGCGGGTCCATGAAAGATCGGCATCGCGGGCTCATCGCTAGGGGACAATGGCATGTCGTTTTACTTACTGAGCAGCGACGTTTTCACTTGCAGGACGGTGCCAATTGGTCTAAATGAGAAAAGAAATGCGATTCTGGCAAAATTACTTCAACAGTCGGCCTCCTTCTACACAATCTCTTCCGTTATCCGGAATCTGGTCTCCGAGATCAAGTCTCCACTGCTCCGGGAGTGGCCCGATAACACGGCCCGGAACATTGTTTCTTGGCGGCGTGCAGGCGCCTGCATGATGTATCGGAGAAAAAAATGTTAAGCTACTTCCGATGAGGCGCTTCTATTTCAGCGACCAATCCGACCTATCTTGCGCTCAGTTGTTTACTTTTTTTCATCTCATCCTAATCCCCCTGAATTTTCCCAATTTCAAATGTCGGTTCCGCAGCCGAGGCTACTCCAATTCCCTCGCTTCCAATCCGGAACGCACATCGCAAGCGTCGTACTCAGCTGAAATAAAAAAGAAAAGGACGTGAGTAAGCAACGAATACGAATTGGCTCATGATGTCTCAGCGGAACATTCACTCCGCATGAACATGCCTCGCCGCAAACCTGCTTGTTGCCCCCAGAGCGGCCCAATCGAGAGACATCGCGATCTTCCCTCTGTTTTGGTCGCACAGTCGCGTTGAGCCTAGCAACCTTTACGTAGTGATCGCCTCTCCCCGAAGTTCTCGGCCAATCCAGAGGATTCGGTACCTCACGGGGGAAATTTCAGAGTCATCATTCCCGCTCTAAACCCTTGTCGCCCATTGAGATGTGGTTACCAATGGCAGAGCCGCAACGCGTTTGTGCCACGGCCGATCACTCATCGGCCTCTCTCAACGTCATGACGTAGCACAGACAATGGCAGAAGCAGGATTTAATGAGTGTGGAGATGACCAAAGCGACTAAGACGACGCAAGTCCCATTTGGGCCGTGCCGCGTGTGCGGGCTAAGAACGGCTTGTGACGTCGGACTCCGTTGGTGGAGAACCGGGGTCTTGCTTGGCCACTTTTCCCGGCTCCTCAATGATCTCACTTGTTTACCGAAAGCAGCTGATGGATGACATGGCAATGGTGGTTCGAAAAATATAAGTAACTCAAATGAGAGTTCGTCTGAACTTGAGGCTTGGCTATTGAAACTCAAGCCTCCTGCTGTCTTTACCGTTGAGTGCGACTTCGAGATACCCACCGCCCTCGCGCGACCCAACTTACACCATGGCTCGACAGAACATGAGCGCCAGGCTTCTCCAACTGCTGCCTTTGGCGGCATACGCTTCGGCATCATCCCTCTACTCAACTTACAAGTTCAACCCGTTGGAGCATCTCGGTGGTATCGCTCCCTACTTCGAGCCTCTCGACCCCCTGTCATCTCCCGACGCACCTCAGGGTTGCACGCCAGAGCGCGCCGCCTATCTCGTGCGCCACGCTGCCATCTACGCCAACGACTTCGACTTCGAGGAGTATATCGAGCCGTTCCTTGAGAAACTAGGAAACAAGTCGATTGAATGGAGCAAGGTGCCGCATCTGAGCTTCTTGGCGGACTGGGAGGCCCCCGTTTCCGAAGCCGAAACCTCCCTCCTCACTCGCGTCGGCCGCCTTGAAGCCACCCAGCTCGGCGTCGACCTCGAGTTCAGATACCCCAACTTCAAGCTTCCCCAGCGCGTATGGACCTCGTCGGCAGAGCGAACCTACAAGTCAGCGCAGTCGCTCGTGCGCGGATTGGAGACCGACGACAACACGATGAACGTCGTCAGCATCTACGAGTCCAAGGAGTCCGGCGCCGACAGCTTGACCCCGTATAAGGCCTGCCCTGCCTACTCTTCCTCTGCAGGCAGTGAGCAGTCCGCCCAGTTCCAGAAGAAGTTTGCCACGCCCATCATGAAGCGCTTCAACGACTTGGCGTCCGACTTCAACTTCACCGTCAACGACGTCTTCGGCATGCAGCAGTTGTGCGGTTACGAGACCGTCATCCGTGGCAAGTCTCCCTTCTGCGACCTCGACCTCTTCACGCCCGACGACTGGCTTGGCTGGGAGTACACCGAGGACATCCGCTACCACTACAACTCCGGCTACGGCAACAACGTCGCCGGTTACGTCGGCATGCCGTGGCTCAACGCTACGGCTGGTCTCTTGATGGGCCAGGACTCCGACGAAGACCTGTACGTCAGCTTCACCCACCGTGAGTTGCCTCCGATGGTCATTGTTGCCATGGGTCTGTTCAACAACTCCGAGGCCGGCGGCGGCTCCGAGGCCACCATCAACGACACGATGCCCCTGGACAGAATTAACTATCGCCGCGCGTGGCGCAGCTCCCACGTCCTGCCTTTCCTGGGCAACATCGCCATTGAGCGATTGAACTGCAGCGGAAGCTATGGTTACGACGACGGAGAGTACTACCGCGTGCTGGTAAACAGCTCACCTCAGCCTCTGTCTGATTGCGCGGACGGCCCTGGAACCTCTTGCTCGAGGAACGGTTTTGAGAAGTACATCCAGGACAGAGTTGAGAGGTTCACTGGTTTCTCGGAGCAGTGCGGTGTGAAGTACGATAACTCCACAGACGTCATGTCGATCTACCAGGACGCGTCGGTGGGCAACGGGACCACCGTTGGCAAGCGTTATACAGCCACTTTCCAGTAAATAGTTTGAACTTAGCGTTCATAATTCTAATGATTAATGTTCTTTGATACCATCACAATCTTTCGAGCTTAAAATGTGATGAGCCTGGCATCAAAGGCCCACCAAAGTTGGGGATTTGAGATAAAGGATTGCAAATGCTGAACGTAATGATTACTACGGGTTGAGCCAAGATTAAGTATCGAGAAAAGTATGTACAAGAATAACAATTGAGTTGTTCAACAATTGAGTCAAAAATACGATAAGAAGTATTCAAGAGAGCAGATCAGTCGCTGCATCTTAAGTCGAGCTCCTCACATGTGCAGCAGGGGTAGTGCTCGCACTTGTCGGCAGACGGGCGATACTCCCCGCCAATTGCGTTGAAGTTGCGGTAGGCGGTCTTGTAGTCGCAAATAGGGATCGAGAAGACACCCGGAGTCGACACACCATCAGGATACAACGTCGCCTGCTTGTTTCCATTGTGGTCCCTCATCTTGTTCCCAGAGTCGGCAGAGATGTTGTAACCGTTGGCGTTGCCGTTGAGCTGGTATCCTGCCCAGGAGCTGTTGACCATGTCACCGACTTCCAAGCCTCCCCAAAGAATGGACCCGAGCGTGCCCAGACCAGGAAGCCCCTTGAAGGCGTCCTCGTCGCAGTAATAGCTGGAAGTGCCGTCGTCCGTTTTCCAGTTCTGACAGTTCGTCACGCCGACGAGGAAGAACGTCTTTCCATCCTTGATGATGCGAGCTGGCTCGACGTCTTCTTGGTTGAGAGTCTCAGGCTGGCCGTTCTGGCCACCCTTCCACGCGAAAGGGTTGTAGTCCTCGTCTGTTTCATCAGCCATGATGATGACAGCGTCCACGGTGGGATTGGCGATCCAAGCCTGCTGAATGAGGCCGCCGTAGATGACCTTCTTCATGGTGTCGGCGATCTCAGTGGCTGTCACGTTGGGGTTACCCGCAAGCCAAACACCGCCCTTGACCTGCGAGTTGAAGAAGGACGGGTCGGCATCGTTGAAGTAGGCCGCCCGCATGGCTTTCAGCGTGCTCTCTTGGACCTCCTTCAGGGTACTGAGCATCTTCTCAACGTCGTCCACCGTCATCATCTTGTTCTCCTCGGCGTCCTCCATGGCTTTGTTGATCTTGTCCACCACCAATGAGTAGGCCTCCGTCCACGCACTCTCGGCGAGCTCGCTTTCGCCAACGAACGAAGAGAACTTCTGGAAGATGAAGCCGCCGGAGACGTCGAATATCTGGTTCAAGAACCAGTTGTTCAATTGGGTAGCGACATCCTTCGAAGGGTCGTACGAGAAGGTGTTGATGAACTGCCAGTCTTAAGTCAGCAACGCACCACGCAATATTGATTGAAGGATACTCACATTTGTCTTCATTCCGGCCGCATCGTAGGTAGCCTTGTCCACAGCATTGAGCCATTCCTTGAACACGGCGTTGATGCGAGCCATTGATGTCAGAATGAGAGACGCTGCGAGTGACCAGCCGTCGGATTTGTGGCAGGAGATGTCCTCTACGCAGCTGTCACCTGCAGTGTTGTCGAGACCGCAATCGAACCTTTCGTTGTACCTGAAGAACCCCGACGCAGCTCGAGACCAATTGCCATCGGACACGATGCTGTAGTAGTCGAACCGCTTATCCTTCCACCAGTCAGCGAAGTCATCGAGAGCCGTGTCTGCCTTGGCCTTCTGCCAGTTCGTGTAGGCGTTTTGGAAGATGGTGACTTCTTCCTTGGCGCAGGTGATGCATTTCCAGTCGCTCTCGTCGCCTTCGCACTTGGGAACGTCCATCAACTCGTCTTCGGTGATGGGCATGACCTCGGTTCCGATGGGGATGCAGGCTTCATCGTTGGTTCCGTCCTCGAACGGCGAGACCAGGTAGTTCATGTTGTAGATGCCTTGAGGGCAGCCCGAAGAGACGCATCGTTTGGACCGAGCCGTCATGATGGTCTTTCCAGATGGGTCCTTGAGTTCGATCCACTGCTGTCCGGGTTGGATATTCCCAGCACCGTTACCGTAGTTGAGGCCATCGTGGAGCACCGTGGTGTGATCATCCTGTCCAGCATGCACGACGACACTGTACCCATTCGCCAGGCCGGGCTTGAGGACAACGCTCCAGTAAGCCTGGTTCTGACGTATCGCGTCATCGTATCCGTCGGGCTTCCCGGTATAGAGAGAGTCCACGCCCGAGTTGCAAACGATGCCGTCGACGATGGGTCTGTGCCACATGGCACCGACTGCAACAGCTCCGTTCTGTGGAGTCATCGCGGTGGAGAGCTGGCGGTTCTTGAAGGCATGGTTGAAGGACGCGACGAGAGGCTGCCATGCGGTGTGGTCGAACATGTTCTGATTCATGTACAGCCAAGGTTGGGCGTCGCTGTTCTGTTCGGGCCACAGCTCTGCGATGTAGTGACTCTCAGGGCCGTCGTTCCACGTGAGGAATTGCACGAAGTCGGCTTCGTTGAGGGATCCAAGAATCCTGTCCATCCGCATCGGCATTCCGTTGCGGCCGTCTCGGTAGACGTTCGTCTTGTAGCTGTTCTTGTACTGGAGCGGGCTGAGGGGGACCATGTACAGCTTGCTGTGGTTGTGGGCGCCTACGGCGACTAGCTTGTCGACGGAGATGTCGCCGACGTAGGCGCTTCCGTAGCCGTCTCGCTCCGGCCATGCGGATTCCCAGCTGAAGACGCCATCAACCATATCGCCCCAGTACTCCCTGGAATGTCGGTCAGCCTTGACGTCTCTTGTGCGTGTTGGATGAGTCGAGTACTCACCACCATCCAGGGTCAGACTGATAGTAGCCCTCCGTTTTCTCAAAGTCCGGAATGAAGAACATCTCGTTGGCCAGGCTGTCTTTCCAAGATTTCCAGAAAGATCCGTTGAAGTCGGCGGCCGAGAAGGCTTCACATCGAAGATCAGCACGTAATTCGTAAAGCGCACAAAGGTGTGTCACCACTTACTGCTGATGACTGGCATACCATTCCACTGGTAGTAGGATGGGCGCCCCTTGTAGTTCTGGAAAATCCATTGATAATCCATTGGCTAGATATTTCGTTAGGAACACCGCGGTAAGGTCGTTCAAGAAAGATAAAATCACATACTCCCTCGCAGGAATCGCGGCCGTTCCAGCATGCATCTCCCGAAGCCCAGACGTCCATGGAAATGTACAGTCCAAAGCCGCCTACCAAGTCAGCGGCGTCGAAAAGCATGCCGAGCGACTTGTCAACGAAAGAGGCGGTAGGGTCGCCGACGTTGAGGGCAAAGCCGTCGAAGCTGGTGATAGTCAGTAAAATCAGCGGTCAGTATGATTGCAGACAGACTGACCCGATGGCTTTGGCGGATTCGATGTCCTTTCTTGCATGTTCAGCAGTGATAGTTCCAAGCTGAGTCGGACGTCAGTTGAAAGTCCACGGCGCATAAACTCTTGAGGCTTGGCATCCTGAACATGACTATGACCTACCATGTAGTGAGCGAACGCGGCTCTCTGTTGGGCAATCGCCGACCCCGCGAGAGATAAAGCTCCCGCCAGAGAGGCAGCAACCTGTGAGAAGCGCATGGTCGAGAACCAGGTGGTTGCGACTTCGGGCGATGTCTAGAGAATGTGAATAAACGAAAGTGGGTGGAATGCTCTGAAGCAAATGTTGACTGGGCACATCGCCTTTCGAGGCCCTTTTATCATGAAGATTATCCGAGGCATTTTTTCAACCCGTGTAGGACTCGTATGTCTCTGCCTTTACGAACTACAGGATCGTGATCCTTCAAGCTGCGGAAATTTGAAGCCGCAACGAAGCGTCTAGACTGTCTCTGAAGGTCCCTTGGGAACACCAAGGTCCACTCTGAAAACAGCTGGCCAAGCCAGGCTTCATCTCGGCCGATTAGCCCTATGTTCCCAGCAGGCCTCTAGCCATCCATCAGGCACCGCGGGCCTTGGATGGGGCAAAGGAAAATGGACAAAGATAGCTGTTCGCGATTTCAACGCCATGTGGGTGCCAGATATGTCGGCTACTTCCGAGGTAGGTAGGCTAGGCAGAAGTTCCGGGAGGGTTTTGTTAAGTGCAGGATCGTGAACTAGAACGAGAATCTGTCGGCGTCGCCGGGGCGAGTCAAGGTAGGAAACCGGCCACCCATGTGGCTTTACCGATGTCGCCGACATCTATTGCGATCCATTGGCACAAGAGAGCGACGAGCCACGGTGCTCTTGTTGAGATCGCTACAAGATAGAAGATTTCTTTCTCGTAGGACATCCAGACAACAACTATTCGAATGTCTTGATTGCGATTTTACACAGGAGCAGACGCCGGGTCATGCGACAAGTGGCCTATCTGGACCCTGGATTCATCCTTCCAAGGCAGGGTTCACGACGAAAAGACAAAGTCTAATCACATACAACAGCAGGAGAAGCACCGAGCTCATTAAGCTTCAAGTTTAGCTCGACAGCTTATCGACGGTGGATGTAACCATGCTGCCTGGGATCGGGCCGCCTTGTGGGTCGAATTCCACGGAGGTGGTCTCCGTCTGACTCCAGCGATCAGGGGCACCCCCCGCGGCTCAATCTGGGCCGATATGGGATACGAGTCTGGGTTAGACGCGAGCGAGCAATTAATTGAATTGATTGATTCGTCTTGAGAAGCTGTGAAGTCAATTCTTTAATGTTGGGAGATGTCCGCTAGAAATCGCCACCTTGCACCACGGAATCAGTATATCTAACCTCTGCAGACTTTATTCATTTATTCCTAAAGCAGACTATCGCAGATAACAACCTATGGGCAACCTTATTTATGCATATATACACGCATCAATCATTATGAATCGTAGGCCGTTCTAGAATGACGAGAGCGGCGAGCACCGGCTGCGGATTTCGGCTCCGATCCAAAGGCACCGGAAGCGCCCCACAAAGCCGGCCCGTGTACGCGGACAGCCACGGGCTCCAATGGCTCCGTGCTTTCGCGGAACCTTTGGAGAAACCGGCTCCGGTATCCTGATTGTCGGGAACCTCGATAAGTCGTGGTTCAGACAGCAATATCAAGGACAACAAAACACTGCAGAATTCCCACCATGAGCGCATTTGCGCAAATTGACTCATTGGCCTATCCAGGCCGTAAAGGTTCCCATTCGATTACCCCCCGCGATCGGCCGCGCCCTTCCCGTAATACTACTACACAATGAACGTCATCTCTCATCCTTCACAAAAGAATCCTCACACCTTAAACCCAAGCCACTAAAACGTTCAACGTCCAACAAACACAAACCCCCCGTTCCACAAACGACCAAAACGCCACAATGCTCTCCCCGCGCGCCCAAAAAACGTCCTCCGCCCTCTCCCGCCCGTGGCGCTTCGCCCCGACCCAGACCTACACCCCCTCCAACCCCTCCGGCCTCATCTCCTTCGCCTCCGCCCAGAACAACCTCATGCTCCCCTCCGTCGCCGCCCTCGCCGCCCGCGTGCCCCTCCCCGCCGACGTCTTCTCCTACTCCTACAGCACCGCCGGCGGCCCCCGCCTCCGAGCCGCCCTCGCCGCCCACCTCAACCTGACCTTCCGCCCGCACGCCCCGCTCACCAGCGCCGACGTCCACGTCGCGAGCGGCGCGACCGCCGTGCAGCACATCCTCGCCTTCGCGCTCGCCTCGCCGGGCGACGGGATCCTCGTGAGCAGGCCCGTGTACGGGCGCTTCGAGCTGGACTTCGGCAACGAGATGGGCGTCGAGGTCGTGTACGCGGACACCACGCCGCGGAACTGCTTCTCGCCGGACGTGGTCGGCGCGTTCGAGGAGGCCGTGAGGGAGGCCGCGTGGAGGGGCGTCGAGGTCAGGGCCGTCATGATCGTGAACCCGAGCAACCCGCTGGGCCGGTGCTACCCGCGCGAGACGCTCGTCAAGATCATGGAGTTCTGCGGGCGCCGCGGGATCCACCTGATCAGCGACGAGGTCTACGGGCTCTCTGTCTTCTCGGACGCCCTCGAGCCGTTCACGTCGGTGCTGTCGATCGACCCGGCGGGCGTCATCGATCCGGACCTGGTGCACGTGGAGTACGGGCTCGCCAAGGACTTCGCGTCGTCCGGGCTGCGGCTGGGGGCGCTGGTGTCGCGGAACAGGGCGCTGCACGACGCCTTTGCGAGCGTGGTGCGGTTTCACAGTCCTGCCGGCCCGTCGGTTGCGCTTGCCGCGGCCATGTTTGAGGATCGGGAGTGGCATGACGAGTTCATCGCGCTGTCGAGGCGGGAGATCGCGAAGGCTTATGAGTTTGTGACGGGGAGGCTGAGGGAGTTGAAGGTGATGTATCTCGAGGCGAACGCGGGCTTCTTTGTGTATATCGACTTATCGCCTTGGTTGCCGCCGGCGGACTTTGGGTCGGCCCAGGAGAGGGAGTTTGCCTTGGCCGAGAGGTTGTTGGCGAAGGGCGTGTTTTTGCACCCGGGAGAGGAGCATTGTCTCGAGCCTGGGTGGTTTCGGCTTGTATACACCCAAACAGAGGATGTTGTTGGGGAGGGAGTTAAGAGGATTGGTGAGGCCTTGAAAACTGTGCCTTGGAAGGTCACAGCTTAAGGCTGTCAAGAGCATCATCACGCAGTACAGGATATGAAGTAACGAATCTATGTTCATGTAAATGAGCGAAAAATGTACAACGCCCCCGGGCAAGGGATTAAGAAATTAAACAATAAGTCATGTACATGCAAGCCGGCCGTGACTTTTCTTCTTCTCGAATGTTCATGGGCTCGCCCTCGGTCCTCATTTTCCATCGTCTAGTAGTACTTGTTCATGCGGCGGTTGAACTGGCGCTGGCGGGGCTTGCCGTGGTGGCGGGGGCCCTGGGGCTGGCGGCCGGGGATCTTGGTCTGGTTGTACGTCTCCCACTCGTAGGAGGCGAACATGAAGGGGCCGACGCCCTTGTAGTCGTTGGCGGCGAGGGGCACGCCGGTGTAGTACTCGAAGCTGGCGTCGCTGTTGAGGGAGCCGACCTCGACGGTGCCCTCCCAGTTGACGGTGCCGTTGGCGTTCTCGGTGACGAAGTCGGTGAGCTTCTGGTAGCCCTTGGCGGCGGGGGTGAAGTACTTGGTCTCGGGGATGAGGCCGAGCTTGATGCCCTTGAGCCAGGCGAAGACGAAGAGGGCGGAGGCGGAGGACTCGATGTAGTTGGCGGGGTTGCCGACGTACTGGGGGTCCATGATGAGGTACCAGCCGCCGGACTTGTCCTGGGCGTTCTTCAGGCCGTCGGCGAGGGTGACGAAGTAGTTGGTGAGCTTCTCGATGCCGGGGTGGCCCTTGGGCAGGAGCTGGATGACCTCGAGGAGGGCGACGGCGTACCAGCCGACGGCGCGGGACCAGATGAGAGGGGAGGCGCCGTTGACCTGGTTGGCCCAGACGGCGGTCTTGGTCTCGTCGAAGCCGTGGTAGAGCAGGTTGAGGGTGCTGTTGCGGGTGCGGCGGTCGATGATGTCGAACTGGTTGACGATGTCGTCCCAGGCGGTGGCGTTGTTCTTGTCGAACAGGCTGGTGTACTTGGCGTAGAAGGTGTCGGCCATGAAGATGCCGTCCAGCCACATCTGGTGGTCGTAGATGGGGTGGCGGTGGACGAAGCCGCCCTCGTCGGTACGGGGGTGGTGGCTCAGCTCCTCGTGGATGATCTTGGCGGCGGTCTTGTACTTGGCCTCGCCGGTGCGCTCGTACCACCAGAGGATGTTGTTGCCGATGCGGTACTCGTCGAGGGAGTAGGCGGAGGGCTTCCAGTTGGTGATGCTGCCGTTGGCGAGGACGACGCGCTCGTCGATGCGGCTGCGGTACCAGTCGGCGAGGGACTCGTTCTTGGTCAGCTCGTAGGCGGCCTCGAAGCCGTCGTAGAGGACGGCCTTGGTGTAGTGGTAGGGCTTCTTGTTGTCGATCTCGTGCTGGGTGAACGAGTCGGCGGTCCAGGCCAGGTAGGGGCCGGCGGCCGCGGCGGCGGTGGCGAAGAAAAGAACGGACTTCATGTTGATTGTCTCAAAGAGTGACTGTGTCGAGCGAGGTCGAGACTGGGTGAGTTGAGACTGAGATTGAGTGACGGCAGCGTGAGGAACCGAAGCTGAGTCGCCAAGCTGAGCCAAGTTTGGTGGCTGCTGGGGGAGCTCGTCTTTATATCGAGATCGGAACCAAGCCGGTTCGGCAGCGCCATTGTGTTGGCTGCTCGAGGGACCCGCGGGAGGGTCGGGGTGATTAGGGACGACGGTGGGGGTTCGAATTGCCAAGTTCGCCTTAATTCATTGTCAATGATCGACTCGCGAGCGAGCGAGAAAATGAGCATGGCCAGATGGAGATGCGACGTCGAGGGGTCTGCGCAAAAGGTTGCGGGCACGGGGGTCATCGACCGGGGTGGTGAACAAGATCCAGGAACCGGTGGCTCCATCGCGACCATGTCGGTGATTGTACCATGCGGCTATCAACTGGGCGTTGCTTAACGGTCGGTAATTGTTTGGCCGCCAAGTATCGTCGCATTGGTTCCCTGATGGTCATCTCCGCCCATGGCAGCCGGAGGATGGAAAAATAAGGTCCGGAGCCAGTCGTGGACGATGGCTTCGTTGAGGCTCCCCGCCGCGACCTCTTGGCAGCGTCTTGGCACGCCGCAGGAAGATGAACCAGGCCATCGACAGCGACGGCGACAGCAACATCCCCAGCCGGCTCGTAGTAAGCACACCTTTCTTGATCAGTTTAAACTTATGGGCCCTCTGCCGCAGGTAAAGGCCAACGAGAGTCGCGAGAGATTCTGTAATTCGCCTGTCGGGGGCCACACGCGGCGTAATGTGGGCAATGGCCGCAACTGTGCCTGCGAGATGCGTATTCGCCTCTCCCCCTTCATCTCGAGAACTGCTTTCCCATGGGCTCGAGCCTGCAGGAAACGAAGAAACGGCCCCACGTGGAATGCGACTCCGACGGCCCTCGTCTGATTTTATCGAGCTTTTGCGGTCGTTAGATTCTCTGTTGGGGCCATGATTGACGGCCGCTGGACGGGGAACCGGGCGTGGAGGCGCGCCGAGCCGGACAAACTACTCAGTCGAGAGAGAAATCGTCCTGCATCGGGTCGAATCCCGCCAACAACAAGACGGCTTGCGAGAGCAAACTCTGGGATCTGGCTGGCTGCAGACATGCCTGGTGATTAGCGGTATTGCGCAATCTGAAGCCTATTTGCACGGGGACTCCTGTAATCAATGGAACCTGCAAATCTGGAACGGGTTCGTATCGATGACCCCAAACGAGCCCGAATGAATGACCTTGTCGTTGTTGGTGGCAAAAGGGGGACGTTGAAATAAAAACCATGACCGTTGAAGGACGTCGTAAAGCTGAGACGAAGGCCGATCGTCAACGGGCGCGGGCATCCGAACGACAGAGGTCATCGTTGACATGGGAGGTCTTGGCCCCCGACGCGATGCGACTTTGACCGGTTGATTCCGAGAGAACAGACAGAACAGTTTCTCCGCATGAACATCATTCTAGGGCGTGTTTCATGATGAAAAGCAATTGTCGATGTTGATTCGGGGGGGTTGCCAAGACGCCTGTTGATGTTCTGGCTGGGCTGAGCCACGGAGCGAGCCAGGGAGTGAAGGAGGGCGCCGCAAAAGCAGCGGCAGCGAGAGAGTCAGCCGCTGAAAATCATTGATCCACCAAACGGAGCATTGCTTTTGAGACCCGACGAGTCAAATGGTCGTCGTAGATCATAACGGTGCTGATATTCTGCAAGTTGACAGTTGAATCGTTTCTTCTGCTCGGATATCGGGCCGTGAGAGTGACGATGAATTAAGGTGTTGATGGACGAGCCGTCGAAACCTTGTGTTTGGTGAAGGGTGACCATGTCGTGTTTGCTGAGAAAGCCAAAAGGGAGATTTTCGCCCTCTTTTTCCCATTCTCTGAAATTATTTCTCCCTCTTTTTTTTTTCTCTCAGGAAAACCTCCGCTGGAGCAGCCCGTTGACTGGCTGATTCAGCAACCCATCTAATAGTGGGTATCTCCTAATTTGGGTTACCTAAGGTAGGTAGTGGATCATATCGTCAACGTGGGGCGCTGCCGCCTGAAGGTCGGACGGTGGCCCAAGCTCCAGAGACAGTCACACTGGACTCCGGAGAAGTTGTTTGCTCTCACAGATGCTTCATCAGAGGTGAAGGCTTGGTTTCGGCGATAGCATATGGCTGATGGTATTCTCCAAGATTTGGACGGCATGTCGCCTCATCCGACGATATCAAGAACGCAATCAACGCTGAAGTGAACACGATGATGATTGTGGTGGTGGTGATCGGCTTTATTCGTATCTCGTTCTCTAACCCGAAGCCTCAGAACATCATGGGGTCGATCCCGTACGTGTCAATCATGAGCATGTCCTCCAACTCGTCAAACGCGTCTATCACTTCATCTGGATAGTAGCCGTGCATCATCATAAACTCTTCTAGTGAGTCGTCAGGTCAGCGATTATCCTTCTTCACTCGTCGTCATCTTCATCTTCGTCTTCTAGCAGGGGCGCATTAGAGCTGAGTAACACAAGGGTAGAGGCGTAGACAAGAAACAGCCAAGAAAACTGCGGGAAAGGGCAACGTAGGGGAACCGTCGAAACAGCCGAAATAAAACAACTTACCATCCTCATCCGGCCCAGAGTCGTACATTTCGTCGTCGTCATCTTCGTCGTCCTCCTCCTCCTCGTCCGTCTCCGGCGGCGTATCCATCTTGATACGAGTAGTCAGGGCGCCGACGTAGTGCTTCCAGTCAATGCCCGTGTACGATTCCATCGTCAACTTCTTGTCGGGTGCGTCCTTGGGGTGGAACCAAACGTGGCTGTTAACCATGTACGAACCGGGCGCCTTGAAAGAGCGCTGGTTGGGTAAGCCGATCATGATGTGTTCCAGATCCAGGCCCGGGATCTCGCAAAGGCTCTTCAGCATCTTGCTCCACAAGTTGACCTTGTACCTGGCGCTTTGGTCCGACTGATCGACTGCGTTCGTGTGTACGGGTTGGTTGGCGAGGGTGACCCTGTACAGCTCGAGACTTTTGAGCGTGGGTGCAAACTTGCGGACGACCTGGACGAGGTCTTTGTGGTTAAGGTCACAGAAGCCCAGGTTCAGCTCTCTCAGATAAGGAAAGACCGGGGGAGGTGGGGGGGCAAGCAGGCCGGTCGTGGTGTTGGCCGGATGAGGTGCCGATGGAGCTTTGGGGGCAGGTGTGGCCAGCCAGTTGAGAAGCTTCTCAGCACTCCCTCGTCCGTTATAAAAGTTGAGGCGGAGATGCTCCAAGTTGGTCATGTAGCCCAAGAATTGGCGCAAGAGGTAATCGTGGCTGGTATCCTGCCCGTTTGGTTTCCCGGGGATGCTCACAGTACGGGTGGGGCCGATGGCAGCGTTGACGACCAGGATGAGAGTCTTGATACCCTCGAGGACGGGTAGAACCTTGGGCTTAAGGTACTTGGTGAAGAGGTTGAAGGCATCGTCGTCGGGGACGCGCTGCTGTCTGCGCAGCATCTCGAACGTGCTTGGGCGGGCGCCAGCATTGCCAAGAGCGGTGAAGAGGGTGATCATGACTTTGTTGGCGTATTCTTGGGCATGCTCGGAATGCATGGGACTCATGAGGTCGATGCCCGTCTCTTTTTGGATGGTGGTGGCTCCATAACTAGCCCAAGTAGCACCGGGGCCGTCGCGACCGGCACGCTCGCGAGAGTGATAGTCGCGTATGCCGACTGTCTTGAGATTCTTAAGGTTCTGGAAAGCCTCGGTGAGCATGACGACGTCCTGGCCGCTGCTGACGAGAGTGCGGTGGTCGGCATAGGCCTTGCGGTATGCGTTCTGCTCGGCGGTGTGGTGTGGCCGAAAGGGCTGGATCTGGAAGTAGTTGAGGCCAATGATGACATGGTCAAGGCAATCACTCAGACGCGACTTGCTGATGTCGACGAGGGCTTGTAAGCTGTCCTCGGTGAGCATGAACTGGCGCTTGGTGAAGAATTCCCTCATGAAGGTGTTGAACATGGACTGCTCGATGGATTTGCATGTCAGGCGCAGATTGCCCAGCTCGGGGGTGGTCAGATGCGACGATATGCGTAGAAGAACCTCGACGGGCACTTTGCTGAAGGGGGTGACGGCATCGGGGTCTGGGGTCGCGGCGGACGGCATCGTGACCGTCGCTGGCGGCGAAGGTTGGGACATGGCCAAGAGTGATGTGAAGTGTCGGTGGGAACCTGGAAGTGACGATGGGAGGCAGCGGGGCCAAGGAGCTATGACATGAATTGGATGACAAGAAAGATGAGATGAAGACAGACGGGGAGGGAAACCGAGGGCGTTGGAGAGAATGGAAACAAGAAGAAACGCCAGGAAGTGGGATGAAGGACGGAAACCACCAAGGACAACAAGAAGGGCAAGAACGGTTAGAAAGGTCTGAGGGGATACCAACAGAGGTAGTTGGGTTGTTTGTTGGTGGTGATTGGCCGGGTGGCGCGTGCTTCCCAAAGTTTACCTAGGCAGAGGCAGGCAGCACGGAGGTTGGAGATGGAGCTGGAGCTGGAGCGGGGACGTCGTCTCTGGAGAGTGTCTTCCTTGACAATTGAGGTCGGTCGTGACAGGATAACATGGCCAGCTAAGAGAGAGAAAATGACGATGGAGATGATCTTCAGCCTCGCCACAGCCAATCGATTGCATGCTCCTGCCTAGAGGTGGTCAAAATCACGGGTGGTCGCAGTCGAGGGAAAGTGCGACCAACAGTGGGTGGGTCTTCTGATTGGCTCGCATTGTCTTACGGCCCGGTGTTTTAAGGCAAGACCTACCTGCCTATGGAACTAGAAGTAGCACCCTTACACCGCGGCAGTCTCCGTTGTCTGCTGTTTCTTAATGTGTGAATGCTTGCCTATTGACCTGATTTACAGAAGATTCGTATAAAATTATATCTCTCCACGTCTAACAAAATCAATTAAAACATAAATCACCTCTACATCTTTAGAGATCAACCTGTCCGCTCTTCTGAGTTGCGTTTGTTGATAAGGAGCTTGGGCCAACTTGTGAGACTAACATCGTCATTGCTTCTCAGACTGGGGAGGGAGCTACCTGAGGTGGTATTCCTCCATCTGCTGCAGCATTATCTGCAAGGCAAAGTAGATGCACAGCATTTGATCTCCATTTTCTTGTGGTACTCATGCAATTATCGTCCAGGCAGGAAGGACCACAAGAAGACGTGCCTGCCCACGTGAACACGCGACAGACGCACCTTGGGTGGTGGAAATGGCTCGTGCGCCAGGCACCAACGCCGCTGGTGCCTGCTGTCCCATGTTGGTCGGTGCCGCAAGGTGCTGAAAACGTGCAAGTGGCCTTGGGGGTCGCGCTTTCCTTCGCTACCGTCCAGGGGTGAAGGGTAGGGAAAGTACCTTCCTGCTGTTGTTGGTATCGGCTCATACCTTCCCAAGGAAAAAGAAAAAGAAATAAAACATATTCCATCACTGCCGTCAATCTCTTCTCCCATTCTTCTTTCTTCATTGTTCCGGTTCATCTTCAGTATCGCGACATCAATTGACGTCAATTAAGTATTATCATTACTCCTTCCACAACCCTCGAGCTCGAGTCACTCTTTCTCCCGTGTCCCTTCTCCGCACCCGCCCACAATGCCCCCCAGGAGATCGGGCAGAGCTGCTGCTGCTGCAGCGGCCACCCCAGCAGCACCAGCACCGAAGGCGCAACCCCTCGACGGCGCTGTCGTGGCCATCAGCGGCACCTTTGATCAGAAACGGGCTGAGCTCGAGTCTTTTTTGACGTCACTGGGTGCGACCAACGCAAAGTCAATCACCAAGAAGACGACCCATCTCATCACCACCCAGGAAGACTTTGACGCCAAGACGACAAAGGTCGCGTCTGCTCAGAAGAACAACATCCATATCGTCAGCTTGGAGTGGGCCCAGGAGTGCGAGTCCAAAGGCTCCAAAGTTCCCGAGGATGACTACGCCATAGGCAGTGGTAGCCAATCCAAGATGTCACAGCCTCCGCCCCCTGCTGCAGTCGCTGCCGCAGCCAACGCGCCTGCAGCACCAGCGAAAGCTGGAGCTGGAGCTGCTGCTGCTTCCCAGAACGCCTCTCAGACGCAGCCCGCCGCCACCAAAGCCAACGGATCGCGCAAGCGTACCAAGGCTGCCGCCCAGTCTGATAATGAGAGCGACGCGCCTCCTGAGCCCAAGAAGAAGAAGGCTGCCGCTGCTGCTACCATTGGCAAGGGAAAACGCGCTGCCGCCGCCGCTGCCGCCGCGTCTCCCGACGATGACGATGACAAGACCGTCGTGAAGAAGGAGGAAGATGCCCCTGTCAAGAAGCCCTCTAGCGATGGCCAGGTCGCCAAGTCCAAGAACCTAGTGATTCCGCTTGACGAGGGTTGCAAGGTTCAAGGCACTGTCTACATTGCGCCCGACGGCGTCATTTACGATGCTTCCCTCAACCAGACCAACGCGTCAAACAACAACAATAAGTTCTATCGCATTCAGGTATGGTCTCCTCTGCTTCGGTCTCTGCCATGTGGCCCTCCCGACTGTTTGACTAACGCTTACAGCTCATTCAAATGGGATCCTTCTTCAAGACATGGACCCGCTGGGGCAGAGTTGGTGATTCCGGTCAGAACGCAGTCCTCGGCAATGGATCCTTGGATGATGCCCTCAAGCAATTCGACAAGAAATTCAAGGACAAGAGTGGCTATTCCTGGGCCGACCGCGGCAAGGACCCCAAACCCTCAAAGTACGCTTTTGTCGAGCGCAGCTACGAGCCGGATTCTGAGGACGACGATGACGCCGACGACGTTGTCAAGGCCGACGAGGAGGCTCCTGAGAAGAAGAAGGCAGAGGCAAAGAAGTGCACGCTTCCCAAGCCTGTCGAAGAGCTTATGGGTCTCATCTTCAACATGGGATACTTCGCCTCGGCAATGTCCTCCATGGATTACGACGCTAACAAGCTACCCCTTGGTAAACTCAGCAAAGGCACAATCCTGCGCGGTTTCCAGACCCTCAAAAATCTGAGTGAGCTGCTTGGTGATCCCTCGCTTGCCGATACCAAGTACTCCACGACCTTTGCTGCTGCCATCGAGCAACTCTCGAACCAGTTTTATAGCCTGATCCCTCACGCATTCGGCCGGCGTCGTCCTCCCATCATCAGCACCAACGACATGCTGAAGAAGGAGCTTGACCTCCTCGACAGCTTGTCAGACATGAAGGTTGCGTCCGACCTTATGAAGGTCGACCGCAAGCTCAGTGACGTTCATCCTGCCGATACTCAGTACCGCACTCTCGGCATGAACGAGATGACTCCTCTTGAGCATAAGAGTACAGAGTTCGACCTTCTCTCGCGCTATTTGACCGGCTCCAAAGGTTCGACTCACCATGTCAACTACAAGGTGCAGCAAATCTTCCGCATCGAGCGCAACGGCGAGCTGGAACGCTTCCAGAAGAACAAGATGCCCAAAGTCAAGTCCGATCGTCGACTGCTCTGGCACGGTTCCAGAGTCACAAACTTTGGCGGTATCCTCAGCCAAGGTCTTCGCATCGCGCCGCCCGAGGCCCCCGTTACCGGATACATGTTCGGCAAGGGTATCTATCTGGCAGATATGTCGTCCAAGTCGGCCAACTACTGCAACTCACACAGCTCTGGCGGCGAGGCACTCCTGTTGCTCTGTGAGGCCGAACTGGGTGACCCCATTCAGAAGCTCACCAACGCAAGCTACAACGCAGGTGACAGTGCCAAGGCCGGCGGCATGCTGTCCACTTGGGGTCAAGGCCGTACAGGCCCGAGCAAGTGGATGGACGCTAGCTGCGTTGACCCATCCCTCCAAGGCATCCAGATGGTCAGTATTGTCCATTCCCCGTCACTCTGATCAACCATGGGCCCGATCGGTTCCAATGGCGTCTTCCCCCAAGCCACACAGAACATAGCTGACATCTTTCTAGCCCGACACAACGGTGACTCCTGGAGACACTGGCATCCAGAGTGCAGGTCTCTTCTACAATGAGTTCATCGTGTACGATGTGGCACAGGTCCGGCTCCGATACCTGTTCCGGGTCAAAATGTAAGACGGCGGCGCTCTTGCACACAAAATGTGATGGATTGTTTCGGATAATTGCAATATCGTTGAGGGAGTATTTCAAACAGTAGATGAAAGTACGGAGCAGTAAGTCCTGGAGGGCGCTAGAGATTCCCTGAGGTAAGATGTTTCATTCTCTGGGTTGAAGGAAAATGGCACACGGCGTTATAGTGTACAACTAACATAAGGACAATTGACTTGCTATTATCTCATGCTTAAGATGTTCATCTGTGATGACCTGTGAGACGCCGTGATGATTGGCGAAGGCTTCACAGCAACCGGCACATTCCCCATGGCATCTGCCTCGCTGTCCAATCTTGTCACCTCTCTTTTCTCCCAATCAAGGTACCCCGCTCTCCCCAGCTGACTTTTGGGGCTAACGCAGCTGAGACCGACGAGCATGTCACCTGCGGTTCCGAGAAATTGCCGATTTGATCCAAGCAAGTTCAGCCGCACTCGAAAATCACGCGAGGATCGCCTTCATCTCCTCACACCGCCGTCCTCTGCAAGCTTGACCTCAGTCACAGGTATGGGATCCCAAGCTTCAGCAATGATGAAGGCGCCTGTGGTCACCGAGACCCAAACTCGGCCTGGACCACAAGAATTCAAGCCCGTTCGTCTTAGTCTTCTCTTAGAATGGTGTGAGCGAGTGGAAGCAGATCCCCAACTGTTTCACCAAGGCTGCAAAAAGAGCGTAGAGGACGAAGAGTTTCTTCGAAAGGAGGTCGAAGACGGCTGTCCGTTCTGCACACTGCTTTACGAAGCCAAGTGGAAGCTGTACGGCGGATATCTTCTGGCAGGTAGCAAGCTCAACTGGTGGTCGTTTCCTCGCATCATTGAGCAGGTTCGGGATGATGTCGGGAACGCGATTCACTTCTGCATTTCTGACGGTGGGTGAAGACTTCTTTCTCCCCATCACATTGTTTCCATGCCTTCATACAGGATGCTGAATTCGAGATCTAGAGGAAATGCGTCAGCGTCTGCGCCCTTTCCGTAACTTGCAACTCGGCACGGGGGAACCGACTACCCCTAAGGTGATACCACGCAACACCTCGTCACAGGAGACCCTGAACACCATCAATCAGTGGCTCCACGAGTGCACGTCTAGCCATCCTCTATGCGGCGAAGACGTCGAAGTTCCTTTACCAAAGAGGGTCATCTCCATTGGACCATCAGATTCCGAAGTTCGCTTGCTAGAAACCAACGGCGCCGAGGGAAAATACGCGTGTCTGAGTCACCCTTGGGGAAAGAAGCCCCTGGTACGCACACTCAAAGACAACTTCTCCAAGTTCACGACGGGCATCCAGCTATCCTCACTCCCGCCCACATTCCGCGACGCCATCGACTTCACCCGCCGCCTCGGCCTGCAGTACATCTGGATCGACTCCCTCTGCATCATCCAAGACGACCCGCTCGACTGGCAAATCGAGGCCGCGCAGATGGCCGCCATCTACACCAACGCCCACGTCACCCTCGCCGCCTCCAAGGCCTCCGACTCCAGCCGCGGCCTCTACACCTCGCCCCTTGACCCGCCGCACCACGCCCGGCAGCTCTCGCTCGTCAACGACGTCAACGACGCGGACGTCCGCCTGCACGCCTGCTCGGAGCTCGTGCACGTCGGCGACTTCAAGAAGTTCTTCCCCATCACGACGCGCGCCTGGGTCTACCAGGAACGCCTCCTCTCCGCTAGGGTGGTGCACTTCGCCGGGTCCGAGGTGAACTGGGAGTGTCGGTCGGCGCTGACGTGCGAGTGCGGCGGGATCTCGGCGGCGGTCGTGCCTGAGAAGATTCAGTTCGCGGGAAGCCTGGCTGATTTGAAGGGGAAGTTCAAGGCGGTTGAGAAGTCGCAGGGGTCGGAGGCGGACGGTCGAGGATCGGCGACTCCGGATTACACCAGGTTTTCTACGGCTCTGCTGCAGACGCCGAATTGGACGGAGAGCATCAAGACGTGGAGGCACATGGTGCAGCAGTATTGCAAGCTTGACCTGACGTTCCGGAAAGATACGTTTCCGGCTCTTGCCGGCGTCGCGAAGGTATGGAACCCGGACTACAAGGGCCAGTACCTTGCAGGACTCTGGTTGGAGACGTTGCACTTGGATCTCCTGTGGCTCGTCTACCTCCCCGAGCGGCGAGCCGAGACGTGGAGGGCTCCGACGTGGTCTTGGGCGTCCGTCGACTACCACAAGCCTGACCAGTTAATCCGGTTCGACTCGGACTCCGACACCCTGAACACGGGGAAGGGAAGCTGGTTTACGCAGGGCAGAACGGGAAGCGAGGACTATGCGGGCGTGGCGGAGGTCTTGGAGGCTGTTTGCGTCCCTGCTGGTGTTGACCCCTGTGGAGAGCTGAGTTCTGCTCATCTGCTGCTGTCGACGTACGCTATGCCTGGTGTCTTGATCAGGTGGCCTGGAGTGCTCAAGAATTGGGGTTCAAGTCCCATCTGGCTTGTTGTCGGAGACTTGTGGGTTCCCCAAGGGGGTCAACATGATCGAGGATTCCAGCCGGATGCGCCCATCAATGATGATAATTCGGCCTGGGCGATGCCTGTTGCCGTCATCCGCGTAACGGACTTTGGTCTCAAGACGGGCAGGTGTCCCGAGATGGCCTGTCTTGTTATTCGACTTAAAGAGGTACAGGAAACACCGGGTGAGATCGAGTATGAACGCTTGGGTTACGTTCGATTTGTAGAGCACGGTTTTTCTCCAAGTCCTCTTGCTGGGGTAGAGTGCCCAGACACGACTTCGAGCGTGAAGGATTTCCTTACCATGTACCAACAAACCACCCAGACGATGGGAAATATGAGGTCGAGTATGGGCAAGTCGGAGCTGGAATGGCTCAAAACCCTTTTCGAATTGAGGGGACGACAGGAGGTCAAGCTCGTGTAGTGAGATATTGTACAAGATTTACCCAACAGCGTAAAGATCTCAGACTTGCACGGGAAATTAGAGAGTGAGCAATATCTCATAAAAACCTACACCAGAAATGTGTACTGTATGTAGTGTTAAACCGGACACTTCATGGTCCCGGCACGGGATCGGCTGGGACGCAACTCCGGGCCTCCGGACTTCCGGTCACCTGACCCGGCTCCTCGACGTACGGAGCCGATGTTCCCCTATGCCGTGTTGTAACACGGCCAAGCACGTCTGCTGCCCGATCCAAGGGAAGCTATAATTATGATGCGGAGGCGGCATTTCAGCCATGCAAGTGGCATCCATCCTCAGTAAACAGACAAGAAGAGAATATCTCCAAAGCATCCTTAGTCATCCTACACCACATCCAGCCCGTCATTCTTAGAGTCATCATGGAGATCCAAGACATCACAGTATACACATACGATGCCAACTACAGTTTTGGCACTTACACAATGTCCGGAGGCCGCTCCGCGACCGGTCAGCCATCCATCGTCGTCCGAATCCGCACCAAGGACGGCATCGAGGGCTGGGCGGAGACAGCGCCGCTCGACAGCAACTACCTACCGAGCTCCTTCACAGGAGAACTTGCCGCGCTCAAAGAACTGGGACCGCACGTTCTCGGCCTGGACCCCAGATCACCAGCAGCCATCAACGTCGTCATGGACCGTATCATGATGGGCGGCACGGCCGCCAAGGCCGTGATTGACATCGCTTGCTGGGACATCCTCGGCAAAGCAGTCGGGCTTCCCACCTCAACCCTTCTCGGCGGGTGTCTCACCGAGAGTCCACCAGCTTTCGCGGTCATCCCGGTTGAAGACCCCGAAGCCGCCGTCAAGCAGGCCCTGGAAGAAGTCACCAAGGGCCTCACGGCTCTCCAGCTCAAAGTCGGCGATAACCCCCTCAGCGACGCCCGTCGCGTCCGCGCCATCCGCGAAGCTGTCCCCGAGACCGTCCAAGTCTGGGCCGACGCCAACGCCGGCTGGAACCTCGAGCAAGCGTTGACCTTCGCCCGCGCCCTGGGCCAGGACGTCGCCGTGCAGCTCGAGCAGCCGTGCCGCGCGCTCTCCGACTGCGCCGAGTTCGGCAGGCGCACGGGGATACCCGTCGTCCTGGACGAGAGCGCCGTGACGATGGCCGACCTCGTCGCGGGGCACGCGGCGGGGGTCACGGGTGTGAATATCAAGTCGTCTCGCGTCGGGGGGTTTACCAAGGCGCGCGCGATGCGTGATGCGGCCGTGGCGCTTGATGTGGTGGTCGTCGTTGATGATCCGTGGGGCGGCGCGTTGACGACGGCGCAGAACTTGCAGATTGCGGCGTCCACGCGCCCGGATCGGTTGAGGGCTGTGGATTTGTTTGCGGAGTGGACGAAGCCGTTGGTCGCGCCTGAGGTTCCTAGGATGCAGTCGAACGGTAGGGTTAGTCGGACGACTGCTCCGGGAAACGGGGTCGGGGAGGTTGATATGGGTGTGCTTGGAGAGCCTTTGTTTCAGATTGCTTGATGAGGCCTGTGTAACGTTAGCTCCCTGAATACTTGAGCGTTTAGAAAGATAGTCTACAAGCCGAAGATATTTATTGAATCACGGTATACCGACACGAACTTCTCATCCTCGACGCAATCTTCTATCAGCACCCAAACATAAAGCTGGCGTGGCCTATAGTCGACATCGAGTAGGTAGGATAAGAAGCCTCAATAGCCAGCAAACTCAAGCCTGAAAAGTCTGCTAAATACCTAGGTATCTATCCTATTTATCTAGGTACCGTAGTATGCTTCAGCTGTAGTTGGGGTCTCGACAGGGTGTCAGCCTACCTACTGGTCCCATGACCATTCGATCAAGGGTCGTTACGGCCGGTAAGGACTCAGCAAACGCTGACGTGTCACCGCTGAGACCTCATGCCAAGGTATTTACTATTTGATCCGCTGAATGCCTCAGCTGGGGGTCTTTGATCGCAGGTTTGGTACCGCGTCATTACTGTCTTACTTGGTTGGCTTTCGATGAGTGAAAGGCAGAGGCTGTGCTGGGGAAAATCCCAATGTTTGCTGTAGATTGATAAGATTGATCAACAGCCAATCATTTCCCGGGGCGCCGTGATCGTGATGCCTCAGCACAGCCACAGCTGAGTTGCCTTGTTTGGCGAGTGGAAGCTGAATACGGGATGCCTCGTCATTCGTTCGGCTGCGTTATTGCGCCAAGGGGCCAGTCACAGTCGTTTAAAAGCGTGAAAGGTCCTTCTGTCTCTTTCACACTTCCTTCCGTTGTCAGCTGGAATCGCGGTTCATACTTTAGAAAGTGGCAAATCTTAGCCTTCCACCTATTTCTGCAGCGAATATCTGAAACTTACTCAAATCACCCAATCATCATCGCTTCATCATGAATCAGTCAACGGACTATTTGGTCACCAATTCGAACCGTACTTGCGTAAAGCTTGAGGAAACGGCAGATCCCGATGTTACTGGGCTTGGGGTATGGATGTCACACGTTGATTGGCTTCAAGCCCGGGCCTAAGATTCTGTCCTAACTCCCGTCAGGTTGTTACTTCCTTCATGGTCTCTATCACCTTCAACCTTTTTGCCATTATTGTGGCCTACTTTTGCCGATGGCTTCCCGAGTCCCGATACAGTCGGATCGACAATGCATTCGCCCGTAAAATACAGTCTTTTATTTCATGTTTCAACTTTTCTGGGCCCCTGTCGTCTCAGGAAAGCGAGGCTCAAGTTCGACACCGCAATCTAAAGAAAGACAAAAGAAAACGAGCCTTTGAGTCCTTCATGCTAGCCATGAGCGATCAACAGCTGATAACAGGAGTGGCCCTCATAATCACGACGACGTTTATGACGTTCAACGATAAGCTGAGCGAAAAGTTCTCAGTATATTCTTTTCAGATCGCGACCAGGCTCGGATACTTTTCTTGCATCACTCATCTTTGCACTATTTCTCTGCTTCACGAACATTTTGACACCAGCAAGCGCTTGAGAAACTTCCGAGTCATACTCGTGGCTATACTGCTTGTTCTCTTGATCATATGTATGGTTATCTCTGACTCCGTTACTTTCCGATTCAACCGTCACATCTCGGTCAAATGCGCGAGAGAGAACTTCCGCTTCGTCGACCCGGAGAGACCGGGTTATGTCTGGTTCTCTGACGAAGTGGTCGTGATCTTCAATCTGGTGGTGCTCATTCTCGTTATTCTTCTGGGCTATCTGAGACGCTTTCTCGAGTTATACTGCAGACCTGCTCGCACTGACTATCACTACTGGCCTCGGCAGTCTCTGCGTGTATTTTTTGGTCAAAAATGGGAGGAAGCTTATGAGAGAGTGAGCCCCGGAATCGCAACGTCGTTGAGAAAACTTCGAAGTTGTGGATTCCGTCGGAAAGACCATAAACGAAACATCAAGCCTTGGGTTTTAGCCATCGAAATCTGGGTTGAGACCATCTCCACCAGCCTTCTTTGGGACATCGTCTGGTTGTCTTTTTACTTCACCTTCGGCATGGCCAACTTCTGGAATTTCTACCTCGATGCAGACGTGGAGCCTAATATGGAGCCGAACTTTGGTCAAGTTGTTCCCTTGATCCTCGTCTGTCTTCCATTTTTGTCTGCATGGGAGGCTTTCTCAGGCAAGTATCATTGTGACCGATCGATTGCTCAGCTTTGCATTGAAGACGTCTAGCTAATGCCATCTTACCAGCCACATTAACAACAGATACGCCATATTCAATACCCAACCCACAGAACTCCGACAGACCTTTCGACTACACGCAGCCAGATGGACTTGAACTGCCTGAAAGAGCTATGGACCACTCTACTCGTAGATCCCGAGAGCCATCAGAGTCACCACATCGCGGCGACGGAGCCAACGCTCGTCTGCTGCAAGGCAGTTCAGCTCGATCGCAAAACGGTATCAGAACTCAAACTGAGAACGAAGAAGACGAGGGGGGGATTCTGGAAGTGGCAAGAGACCTTCAGATGCCACTCAAGTGGTTCAAAATTTGCACGACTCTGTACTGGTTTGGGCTGATGGTGTGGGCTCTCATGTTCGCAGGTGTGATTCCTGGACATGGAGCATTCTACGTCTCCATTATAGCATGTCTTATTTTCGCCGGGTTTGCTATGGCTAGTGCCGCTGCTTGGTTCAAGGCCGCATTTGATGTCCTTTTTGAGGGTTTCTCATTTACCAATTTGTGTAGTTGTCTGCGACGATGACATCGGCTTTTTCAGTAAAGACGGCCCACATGACGACTAAATGTTTTGTATCAAATAATAGCAGTTGGTACTTCCCGAACTCAGGACGGCGGTTGGCTTTGCTGTACCTAAACGACATCGTTGAGTGAGAAGTTTTTGTCATCTTGAAGCAAAAGCGGGTTCCGAGCCCATCATGACTTCAGAAAACATCTGATTTTCAATGGAAGACTCTTCAAACCGGATGCCCAGGAGAGTGTACACGATACTGCCTTTTTCCAGAATTCGTAATCGCTGTCCAAGCGGGGTGGATGGTGTCCACGAGCTGAACTTGCGATGAACCCATGAGTCTCCTAACTCCCGACGACAACAGCAATGAGATGACGACGCAAAACAAAACAAAAGTCCAATTGGAAGACACCAAGTGAGAGAATTATGATGTCTAGTTGTGCCGATCAGCCGTTGTTCGAGAAAACCTACAAGTCTCGTTGAGGGCTTCGTCATCACCACAGCCGCAGTCGATCACCATATAACAAGTGAGTTAATAGTTAGCAAAGTAAACGGCAACCACAGCCGTAACGATCCAATCGTGGCCATCACAAAAGTGGTTCTTCCAAGCGGATGTCACTGTGCGTAGGGCTTCCCGCTAAGGCATTCTGTCAAAATCGGCCGGGGGAGATTGGAAGCATAATTTTTAGAGCGCAGCTTTACTACTGCGGTTATTCTCTGTGGACTCGTCGTCACTCGATCTGGCAAGTCCTCCGGTCTCAGAGTCCCTTTGAGGGCAACCCGCCGCGAACATTTGGGTAAAGTACGCAACTAAACCCGCGTCCATCGAGGGGTTCCCGGGCCACGGAATGGCAGAAAGGGTCAGAGTTCCCCCTTTCCGGCTCAAGGGGCTTCGGGAGCTATTTTCGTATGTGGGGGTGGGGAAATAGACATCGGGAGCCGCAAAGCTTGGGAGGATGAACGGCAGGGATATCCTAGCACGGGAAGTCCACCGCGGACCGTCTTCCTCCTGCGCCACGGGGGTTGGCAGACCAGCAGGACCTGTTCCGAGATCGCGGTTCATGCGTTTCTCGCTGATTTGTTGTGAAATCAGATGTTGGTTTGTTGACTGCCGCACAGGATACCCATCGCTCGTTCCGCATCAATGACAGCACTGGCTTGGCTGCCAGATGGATATCCCAGCCAGGGGCTCGGTTTTGCCCCAGTAATATTGAATCTGCTACGAAGACTTTGAATTCTTTCCTAATTGGCGCTTCTAGAGACGAGATGGAGGTACCGAAAAAGAGTTGTTTAACAGCTTTTACACATCGATTCGGATGAACCCTGGGAAACGTGCCCACATCAACGGGCTCAGTCCCTCAATTCCCCGGGAGTGTGGACATCTAGAACTATGCCGAACCGCCACATATCAGATGATAGAACCCATCTTATCGGTAACCCCTGGCGGATCATGACGAAAGCCGCACGTCTACAGGGTAGCATCCGGGATCGTGGCCCAGTCACCAACATGGTGTTCCGGGAGGAGGCTGAGTGTCGAGCCGCTTCGACGTCGTCGTAAGCATCTTGCAAGTTGAGTTGACAGAGTTGAACGTGGACCAACAACACATCATCTGTGAACTGAGTGTCTTTCAGGAGAACTCATCTGCAACATAAAAGGCAACCTTTTCCACCTCCAATCCCAACTTTCATTCAGCTCATCACCAGCACACTCAAGCATCAATCAACTATCCAACACTTCGCTCTTCAGCACTAACACACTCTCTCTCTCTCTCACTCATCTTTCAAACAACTTTCAAGTTTCTTCAAACTTCCACCACCACCAACCTTCAAAATGCAGTTCACCATCGCTACCATCATCGCCTTCGCCGCCGCCGCCCAGGCCGGCCCCCTCGCCCGCCGCGACCAGTGCAACGTCGCCCCCTCCGCCGCCTCCAGCGCCAACGTCGCTCCCTTCTCCCAGCCCACCGCCGCCACCGCCGACGCCTGCCAGAAGCTCTGTGAGGCCGACGCCTCTTGCCAGGCCTTCGTCTTCGGCCTCCCCGAGTCCGGCAACACCCCTCTCTGCTGGCTCTACAACGTTCCCGCCGCCCAGATCCCCACCCAGTCCAACGCCAACCTGAAGGTCTTCGACAAGGCCTGCACCGGCGTCCCTACCGCCGCTCCCACCCAGGCCGACAACGGCTCCAACAACAACAACGGCGGCCAGACCGACGCCAACAACGGCCAGGCCCAGAACCAGGACCAGCAGCCCAAGAAGCGCAACGTCTGCGGCGCCGCTCCCACCGGCCCGGCCACCAGCGCCCCTACTCCCCTCCTCACCCGCGAGGACATCACCACCCAGGACGCCTGCCTCGCTCTCTGCAAGCAGACCTCCGGCTGCCAGGCGTAAGTCCAGCCCTTGATCCAAGATCAGCCTCGAGAAACACATGACTAACACACATCGCAGTATCGAGTTCGGCAAGCCCTCCGCCAACGAGCCCGTCCAGTGCCTCCTCTTCAACGTCCCCTCTTCCCAGCTCCCCGCTCCCACCGACGGCCAGACCTTCGTCGCCTTCGACACCGCTTGCTAAATGCATCAACGGCATCCGAAGCCCCGTCTCGGCTCGGGCTCTGAGTTCGCGACGACGAGAACGAGTCTGACGGCGCTTCTCCGATCACCCACCACCCGAACGAAGCTGGATCAACATGCGCGACTAGTTCGGGTCTTGGGGGGTTGTACATCACTTTTTCTTTCCATATGTCCTTTCCTTTGGTCACGGGAAAACGTCTCTCTTTTACTGTCTTGATTTCCTAGAATAGGGCCAAGAGCCCAAGTGTGGTTTATAGATTTACAAATTGAAGCTGGAGTGCGCTCAAATATGTGGTCCATCCTGATATCGGTGACTTGAAACATTTTAACGCCAGAGAAATAAGCCTCAGGTTCTGTCTAATTTAACAATAAATCCCAACTTGTCCGAAATCTGGTGAAGATATGAGGCTGGGCCCGCTCGATATCTAGCATCTCGACTTTCGAGAACTCAGTCGACCCGTGACTTACGAGAGCCCGGCATTAAGAATAACACTGAATATTGACCGTCTCATTATATGCCCTATCCAATCAAAGGCAAATTACTAAACACGGGTCGCCAATAAACATCTGTGTACTACACCGGTCCGAATGACTTTCAAGCCTGGTAAGTCATATTGCAGACACTGAAGCAGAAGGTGCTCCTCAGCAGGTCCTATTACCGGGTCGGCAGAGATCATGCCGGGGGGAATCTCGAGATTCTGAACATTGGCCAGCCAAGCATACTGTGGTCTATAGTCCCGACTGGAACGGGCGGCAATGACGGCGCCCGAAAAGTGAACGTAATCAACTTCCCAGCTGATACGCATAGTGTCCCGGCCCGAACACACGCAGCCATAGAGCGACGGGGTCGCTGACCATTCCGAGGCCGTGGGAAAGGTCGTCCTGGACCACGTAGGGAACCAGAACCTGGGGCGAAGGTTGCAGGCGATCTTCCTCGAGAGGTGGTTGATGGACGTGTCGATTGAGCGAAAGTACTGCAAAGTTGGGTATTGAAAATGGCCGACGTGGCACGCGTGGAAGTCCGCTTTGCTGATTGTTAACGGTAAAGGACACGGCTCCTCGCAGCACCCGCAGCCGAGTTTCCGGCCGAGGTACAAGAATTCTTCGTCCGAGGTGCGCCATACGTCCGAGGCGAAGTAATAGCAACGTGGCTCGAGATAGAATTCTTCCCAAATCAGGGCCTGAATCTCTACTGGGAGTTGCAGGAACCTGGGAAACCGTTCAACTAGCGCCGGGTTGGTGCCGTAGCCTTCGCGGGGTTGAGCGAATTCCATGATTTCCGGTCGTGGGTTATGATTGTGGCGAGAAATGCGAAGAAGGATGGTTGGAAAGGTTACATGTATTTTGAAAACAGAGTGGACATGAATTAGGTAAACTTCTTAAGCTTCTTTGGAGCAATGGCGACGGTGTAACGACACTCACACAAAGAGGAAATGGCGAGTGGGAAGTCGGAAGTGGGTGGTTAATATATGTCTCTGCAGAGCCTTAACGGAGATTAGTTGGGACCCGGATGATGTTCCAAGTCTCGAAACCAGACTCACAGCAAACTTTGTCTCATAGAACGTTTAAATAAGAAACACCGTGATGGGTCAATAACGGGCTGCTAATCATCTGTCTGGCTGGTATTAAGCTAAATCAGCAGCTTCGATACCGCAGCGGCAAAATTGGCTCAGACGAGGGTGTCCTCCATGATGCGAGATTTAATCGATACATATAGCACGTACGTACCGCATGAATTTCTCGGAGGGATCCCATCCCAAGTGCATTTGATCTTGCATGTAAAAATCAAAGAACCAGCGGGATTGTTCTGACTCGAAAATCAAGTCCATGGCCTGCCTCGTCGACTTTTCGCAGGGCATCTGGCAAATCTCCGGCACGTACTCACCTCATGCCATCTCCGTGGCCTATTCAGGTCTAAATACGAAAGAGACGGTGACGAATGACAGAAAATGACCTTGATGGAAGGATGAAACTCACATTTACCAAGGCTGGCAAACCTACACTATTGCCGTGACATGCCTCTTTCTGGGGACACTGGAGAAGCAACACACTCGTCGCAACGTCCGAATTCCAGATCAAGAGGAAAGCAACCTCCACTCTTTGAAGATTGCTAAATGGGAGAGGGATCTGTCATTTATATGCGCACTTGGCCTCTTCCCGTAGTCATACTCAACAGCTATATAGCGTACGACGAGTCCAAGCGGGTGTACACATCGACTCAACCAAAGAAGAGTTCGGCACTGATGCGAAGATATAAGTCCTGAGATGCGTGCGAGGGTAGGGTCTCTCTAGCTGTGCGTGCATTCTCGGCTTTGGAACTCATGTCTCAATTACCTGCACGGCCGACCATGAATGAAAGATGCAATACCGCAGGCTACATGTATATAGCTGACCACGAGGCCAACTATCACGGGTAGGTGCGTCACGACCTCCTTAGCGCAGGACTATCGTTTTGCCACAGATCACACTTCCCAGTATTCCTCGTCTCTGTCTGGGACTTATTCAAACCCAAATACGGTGAGAAAACCATTGCATCTCTTGCTCATCGCAATGCTGCATGCGTGGGATAAGGTAGCATGCACTTAGTGTATGGTGACAATCAGAGATGTCACAAAACCTCGACCTTAGTGCCAGTGCTGCAATACCAGACAGGGATGCTGCCAGGCTTGAAGGTACGACGAGTATTACTGAGATTCAATAGTCAACACTACATCCTTCCTGTACGAACATGCATCACTCGGTGCACAATATTACGAAAAGCATGATGTGATGATCAACTCAAATATATTTCTCGCCTGAGCACATGGCATCGCGAGGTATTGAATAACTAGAAATTCCACGAGCACCACCTGTCATGGCCCGTATTGAAGCCATGCAAATCCTCCTTTTAAGCTTCCGTGCACCATCTGCACTGCTTGAACATAGATACAAGTCTCGAACACCGCAACTCCTTTTGTTCATCCCACATCAAGCCATTCGTGTAATTCAGTAGTCCCAACCACAGCCAGCGCCGGGGTAAATGTCAAGCTTTTGATAACCGCCCACCCAAACCAGAAAGAAAACGGGTATTTACTGCCCTCTTCCGAAGCGTATGTCAAAGTCCTTGAGCACGCTCATGATACTCGCCGCCTCGACTTCGATAGGCAGTCGCGAGGGGGAGGGCAGCTTCTGGCCGGGCTTGGGGGCGGCACGCAGCTTGGGAAGCCAAGAGCCGATGTCATCCGCGGCTCTCTCGAAGTTCCTGTGGCTGGACAAAGTCTGGTAGGCCTCGGCGCAGCTGAGACTCAGTCCGAGCTTTTCTTTGGGGGGAAGACGAGGAGGCGCTGACTCGGACTTGCAGCAGCCACCTCCCGCTCCGGCCCCACCGCAGCAGCCGCCTCCAGAGCCGCCCTTGCGCTCGAAATTTGCCGAGAGGGCGCGGCAGAAGAGGCCTGACTTGGGGTCAGCGAGACACTGGGCACAGGTGCCTGGGCCGTTGGCGCCGCAGCCGCGGGAAATTGGGGCGGTGGGCTGCGTGGTCTGCGGACGAGGACGGAGCTTGACGGCTCCGTCGGCGTCGATTTCCATTGGGGCCGGGGGTGGAACGGCATCGTTCTCTGATGGGGGAGGGGTGGTCTGCTGGCTGTAGGCGGGAGGAGGTCCGTAAGGGGTGGTAGCTGGAGGCCCGATCGACATGGCGTCTTCGGCGCAGATGCAGTAGGTTCCGTCCTTACAAAACCCACACGAGTCCCTGAGTGCCATGGAGGGAAGTGGCTGAGGCTGGACGATCTGAAAGGTCTGCTGGGGGGCGGGAGGTGGTGCCTTTTTGGAAAACATGGCGGTGAAGTCGATCTCCGTCTCCTCTGCGGGAGCAGGCTCGGTGCGGATGCGCTTCACAGATGTAGGCGCGGCAGACGGTGAAGGGGCTCGCTTGAGGTCTGCCATGATCTGGGTCTTGAAGCTCTCCTCAAGGCACGCGCAACGGCCTTCCGGGGTGCAGCCGCCGCATCCCGTGATGGTGTCTGTGAGGACGTCTTCGGCACAGACGCACGAGCCACTAGGGTCGCATGACCCGCAGCCAAACGGGGCCGGCGAGTCTTCCATCTGGGTAGAGTCCTGAGGGGACACTATTTGGGAGATTGAAAAGGGCTGGTTCGAGTGACCAGCCGAGGGAGTCGGAGGTTCATGGTGAACGGTGACGGAGGAGTCGCGGCGGACTGGTGAGGGCAGGCGTCTGGGACCAGAAGCAGCAGTGGTCTGATCGCTCCAGCGTCTCTTCTGGCCCTCAAGCTCGGCTTCGGCCTTGACGCGATCCTTTCTCTCGCGCTCGAGGAGGTTCTCCAGAACAAGGCATCGGGACTTGAATGCCTGCACCTCCATTTCCAGACCGTGGACCTTATCCTTGAGTTCCTTCTCGGTCTTTTCCTGAGCTTCACGCTGCTCGTCCAACTGCTCCTCCAGCTCGCCGACCCTGGCGGCCCTGCGCTCGCGGAATGCACGCTGAGCGGCTCGGTTCTGGGCCTTGCGTTTGGTGGGGGGCGTATCGGTGGCGGGCTTGCGGCCGGGCTTCGGGCGGGGCGGAATAACCCATTCCTTGGTGGTCATGGACATTTTGGGAGCAGCCTCGGTGGGTGGAGGGCTGATGACGGAGGCCATGGACATCTTGTTCACAGGCGGAGGAGGCCTGGCAGAGATGGGGGGAGGCGCTGCGTTCGGTCTGATGGCTGGAAGTTGATGCGGGTGGGAGGCATTTGTCGGGCCGCTGCTGCCGGGGGTGGATGCGCCGGGAGTCGAAGCAGTCGGCGAAGCAGCAGCGGTTGGCGTAGAGACGGCGGATGAAGCAGCAGAGGCAGAATAGACGCTGCTCCGGCGGATTTCGGAGGGTGGTGAGGTGACGGAGGTGGTGGGAGAGAAAGTTGACGAAGAGTGGGAAGAAGAGGAGACGGAAGTGGAAGTGGAAACACCTGAGGCGGCCATCGTGGAAGGGACGAACGAGCAGGGTTACCGCGGGCGGGGTTCGGTATGGGCGCTCATTCGCTGGCGGCTGGCAGAAGACGCCGTTGCAGGTGGCCGACAGGTGGTGACGGGGTGACGGGGTGGGTGGGTTGCAGAAAGATTGATAGCGGGAGTTTAATTCCGAGAATACGGTTCGGCGGAGTGCGTGACGCTCGGCTTAAAGATGAGATGGGTTTTTTCTTTTCTGTTCGTGCTGGAAAGAATCGAGAGAAACCAGACGAAATGGCTGGATGGCTCGTCGTTGTTGTTATATCGTCGGATGAGAGCTGCAGTCTTTTCGGAGAGGAATCGGCGTTGTCCAAGTATTGGGTTGAGATGATGCAGTGATCTGAGCTGATGCCGAGCAGATTCGAGCAGATACCCCAGAAGCGACTGCACAGCTGATAGGCGCAGCGGATGCGGGAGACTTGGTGGTGGTGTTGAAGTTGACGGTTGAATGGTGGACTGACAGTCTGTTGCGGATGATTGATGTAGTGTAGTGTAAGTGAGAAACAGACGTGGAAAGAGACAACGTCTAGGTGAATTGAGACGATGCGAAGAACTGCGTCTTTTCCGGTATTCGGAACAATGTAGGCGAGAAAAGGCTGCGGCAGGAATCTGCGTTGGTTTGGAGGGACCAGAGCAGGACCGGAGGGGATTGGAGGGAGGGACAGCTGGAGGGGAAAACGGGGGGACACCGGGACGGGGGAGAGGTGATTGAAAAGGAATTTTTGATCTGATTGATAAGATTATCTTGCTCGCAAGGCCCCCACTCAGGGCCAGCGCTAGTCCACCACTTTTGCACTGTTTTTTTACGCTGTACCTTCTGTAAACAAGGTACGTACCCGCTTCGCCCTCAGCATCACCAGGTTCACCCCAGCCAAACTGCTTCTATAAGGTACCTTAGTATAAAGTGCCCGTCTAAGGTGTGGTTGAGATGAGTGTTCTCTCACTGTACGAAGTAGGTACTCTCGGGTCGGGTCATGGAGACGGCAGCATCGTTCGATGGACACCCTGTTCCGGCGCTGCGATCTCGGAACAAGTTCTCGTTGGCTCACGATGCCAGAAAGATGGACGGATGGTCTGCACAGCCCGACTTCTCCCACGCCTGTCCGCCCTCGCCCACGGATCACCGCCCTCGTTGACGAACCAACTCCACCAAGGCCTCTGAGTCTTGCAGTTTCCATGGCGTAAGATCCAACCCCTCATGGCTGCCATCGCCGGCCATCTGCGCCAAGCTTCACACGAGTTGCACCACATCCCGAGGGGGTTGATCTCAGGGTCTGCCGATGTCGCAGCTTCACAGTGTCACCCACGACCTGTCATTCTCACCGACAAATAGGAACCGCCCTTTGTCCGATGACTCGCTCGTATGCCGAGAGATGTAAGATAACTGTAAGCTTATTCGGTCACTGACGTACCTATCATATTGAGTTTGATCAAGTTTGATCTTGTCTCGAAAACAATGAAGGTCAAGTCTGACTCGACCTAGTGAGAGTTTAATTGAGAAAAGTGAACACGATTTCCTTGGTAAGGACATGAGTACTCATCGCAAAGTTATCAACACTCAAAAAGCCTCCTGATCATGAAGACCAATAAAACCGAGCCGGAAGTTTATGCCTCAATGGTAAAGACCGTGTCACCGCTAGTCGTCCAATCGCCTCGGAGCAGTTGATCAGGGACAAAAGATCAGGAAAGATCAGAAGGTACTTGATAAGATGTAGCCACCTACCTACCCTCCATCTCATCTCACCCTATTACCGCCGCCTGCAGGACCCTCACACCCATCATGCCATTTCCCTCCAGCCGCTGCTTCCTTCCGGTTACGTCTGCTCTGTACCAAATCCTCAATGCTCACATGAGATGTCGAATTTTCACGTCTGTCCCCCTTTGGCGTTTGATGAGACTCGATGAGACAACCGGCTCGCGTCTCCTCCATTTCTCGCCCCCAAACGTCGACCTGCGCAATCAGATCGGCCCTTCATTCCCACTCGAGCTGATCCAAGTGGAGGCCACCATGTGGGAGACCGGAGCCATGACCTACGAAGCACCGGAAATACTGGTCGACCACGAGAAGTGCCAGTCCCGGTACCACGTTGTACCTCACGGGTCAACGGTAATTGTCGGCGCTCATCACGTTCGTGAGTGGCTCCGAGAACGCCTCTCTCACAAGGGATTCCCAACCGTCGAGTCAGGGGTACGGGCAGCTCGGCCTCCGTGTTGTATTCGTATGTAATTCTCACTAATAGCTTCACACGGGCTTGGCTTTTCGTGAGTGAGGAGCACGGCTGCTAATTCCGCCAAACTCAAGTGCTGTGAGACGTTCGTGAGAGTCTTCATCACATACTGTAAAATCTCATCAGACAGAACACACTCAAATGAGTGCCGTGAAAATAGCGATGTGCAGTCATCGTCGCAATGCAAGACCACAACCCCCAAAGATTTGCGCTCGGCATTGCCCAATCCCAACGCCCACAGCACTCTGACTTGCGCAACCGTGTCCACTGACATTGGTGGGCGCCCCCCGGTGGAGCTCCATGCACCGTTCAGGCCCCCCGAATTCCCACCGTGATGCATCCCCGCGAAAGTCGACGGAAACTGGGAATCCCACTCTCCCTGATCGAATCACCCAATCAACATCCGACACCACCACGAGAACTCTCGAAGCTGCACGACACCAACGCGCAGAAAGGGCACCACGATATCCATCACCGACGAAACATTACCCAGTCCCAACAATTCCCGCGCGTCCGACCCTCACTGGGCTGAAATCTTTTCACACCTTAATTCCAGCCCTTGCTCCGAGCTAAAATACCTTACGCCGACGTCGACCGGCCGAGCCAAAGCTACCTAGCTAAGCTATCGAAGGCTACCGCTGCTATCACCAAAGAAAAACCAACAGAGCAACTGCTTGCGCCCGGGCCGCCCAGAATGGACGTCAAGTCACCCCGCCAGACAGCCGCCTTCCACCTCCCCTCGTCCTCCTCCGGCTCCTCCTCCTCCGCTGCCGGCGAGGACTACGACGACGGCGCCCCGCTGCCCTTCCCCGCCGCCCTCCCGCGCTCCGACTTCCTCGCCCCGGACTTCCACCCGGCCAACTACCTCTCCGCCCTGCCGCACCGCCACCAGACCCTCGACGACCTCAAGGCCGAGCTGCGGGACCGCAGCGCCGCCATCAGCGCCGAGCTGCTCGAGCTCGTGAACGCCAACTACACCGCGTTCCTGTCCTTGGGGAACGAGCTCCGCGGGGGCGACGAGAGGGTCGAGAATGTGCGGGTGGCCATGCTGGGGTTCCGGAGGGCCGTGGAGGAGATCAAGGCGCGGGTGAGAACGCGAGGGGAAGAAGTTCAGGGGCTGAGTGGGGAGTTGAGGGAGGTTCGGAGGAGTATCGAGGCGGGGAGGAAGATGCTGGAGCTGGATGAGAGGGTTGCGGCGCTAGAGGAAAGGCTTGCGTTGGCGAGTATGCCGGGCAAGGCTGCGGAGGAAGACAAAGAAGATTGGGACGAGGACGACAGCGAAGAGTCCGATGAAGAGGAGGACGACGGGGGGCTGGTGGGTAGCAGCCCTGCAAAGCTAGCTGGTTTCGCGCAGGACTTCTGCATCGTCGAGGCCCTGGCCGATGCCATCGGACGAGATGTTCAGTTCGTGGTAAAGACGGAGGCTCGCATGACGAGATGCCGGAACACGATCTTACTCGACCTGGGCACGGCTATGAAGGAGGCACGAAAAGCAGGGGATAAGGGCCGGCCGAGAGTGGTCAAGTACCTCGGTCTCTACGGGCTGCTGGATGCGCAGGCAGAGGCAATCAAGGCCCTGAAGAGCAATTGAGCGGCCAACGCAGAGGAATAGGAGTGGCAAAAGTAGCGATGCATATGATACCCAAATCTCCAACATGTTCTAGAGCGCTATGCCACTTTGATACACGTGTAATAACACATATGATACACTGATTTTGATCTGACGCCTTCCCCGTCTCTTTTTTTCTGGTTATATATTACATAGCGGTGGACAGATGCTCAGGCTTCACGTTCTCGTCCGTCGGCTCAAAGTTACCGTTCAAGCTGAAACCGGGACCTTGCGACGAGCTCAGCACCACCTCGTGAACCTCCTTATACGTGTCCAGCTGCGCAATGTCGTTCTTGATGCTACCGACAAAAGCCTTGACGTTGGCCGCCAGCATCTTGGGCGTGAACCCCAGCTGTCCGATGGCAAGACGGATGACCCCCATGCGCTCGCGGTAGTCGTCGGCGCCCATCGTCTCGCGGATGCCGCTGATGACGTTGTCGGTGATGGTCTTCATGCGGCGGTTCGGCATCAGGCCCTTGGGGCCGAGGATGCGGCCCAGGTTGGCCTTGTTGAGGGCGGCCTCGCTGTCGACGTGGCAGATGAGACGGTTGAAGACGATCTTCTCGTTGCGGATGTCCTCGAAGATGGACTCGCGGCCCGCGACCACGGCGCCGGCCTGCAGGGCCTGCTGGGCGATCGGGGAGCCCTCCTCGCAGATGACGCCGACGCGGACGTCGGACTTGACGGGGTTCGGGAGGCGGATGCGGCTCTTGACGACGGAGCCGTTGCGCGGCGTCTTGAGGTGCACGTGGACCTCGTACTTGATGGCCTGGGGAGGCTTGCCGACTTCGAAGGCGCGGAGGTAGCTGCAGACGGGCGTGTCAGTCACAAAGATCCAAAAGCTTCCGGGATTTGACGAGAACTTACCGCATTGCGTCGCACAGGGAGAACTGGGGAGTGTAATGGGTTTTGTAGGTTGTGTAGTCCTTTGGTACCTTCCTCTTCTTCTTCTCCGTCTTCTTGGAAAAGGCACCGCCGTTGTTGCCCTTGCTCTTACCGCTCGCGCATCTTGTTTGAGAGACGGTCGGCATGAGGAATCGGGGTATCGTGGAGGCCGTTGGCCTTGCGGAGGTGGCCAGACTGAGGCGGGCCATCGAGGCCACGCATTGGGACGTTGACGCCATCGTGGGTTGGGTATCTGTGTGCGATGGGGAACGACACCGAACCGGCCTTCTCGATATCGCGTGAAGCTCTGGCCAAAGGCTGCAGAAAAATTGTGCCGGCCTGGAGTCTCAGGCAAAAAGTTGTTATCTTATCAGTTCAGGTATCTTATCCGAACTGGCCCCACATCGGTATATCGGTGTGCTCGGTACGTACCCTCTTCGTCGAAACACACCACTGTCACCAGAGCTTGCCGAACTTGAAGAGTCATAGGTACGTTCCTAGATAGTAAAAAACATTTTAAAAGGCGGTTTCGTAAAGATTTAGAACAATTTCATGTCTACGATTATAACTTCCTACGATATTCCCTTGTTGTCGTATTGTAAGGCGAGGCCTAGATTGTAGACGTCATAAGTTACCCAGTTCTTAGTCCTCGGTGAAGAGCTTCCTTCGCTGAACCGCCAATCATTGCTCTCCTTTCTGTCCTCCCTCGGTGAACGCCCGCTGTCGGGTGGTGTTACCCCTCCATCAATTTTAACCCCACCACGAAATATCAGCCCCCCAACTTTTGACTCACGAGACATCAGGACCGTCCTGCCTATCACTCGATCTCGACCGCCCGATAGCCTCAATTGGATCCGAACACCGCAACCATGAAGGCCGAGGAGCTTCAGTCCCTGCCCACCGCCCTGAGCGGCGACTTCAAGTCCATCGAGCCGCATCTCCGCGACCTCGACAAGCACTTGACGCTGCGCACCTTCGTCGATGGCTACTCTCTGGGAGAGATCGACACCAAGATCTGGCAGGCGCTTAAGTCCAACAAGGCTGCTATGGGCTTCATCCGCAAGGGCGCTGCGCCCAACGTCACCCGTTGGTACGTCATCGACTCCTTCTCGGCTCTCTTCTGCAGCTAACCTCGGCGACCTAGGTTCACCTTCCTCGAGCAAACATACCCCGAGATCCAGGCCGAGACCAAGGCTGCCGATGCTGCACGAAAGGCCAAGATCGTTGCCGCCTCCAAGGCCGGCGCCAACTACTCCCTCGCCCTGCAGAACGCCGAGGCTGGTGTTGTCACCCGTTTCCTGCCCGAGCCTTCGTGAGTTCCCCGACTGCGATCTCTATAACCGTCACACCCCTAACGATGAACAGAGGATACCTTCACATCGGTCACGCCAAGGCCGCCCTTCTCAGCGACTACTTCGCCCACGAGGCCTACAACGGCAAGCTTCGTCTGCGTCTCGACGACACGAACCCCGCCAAGGAGAGCGAGGAGTTCCAGGATGCTATTGTCGAGGATCTCGCCATGATGGGTATTACCCCTGACGCCCTCTCCTACACCTCCGACTACTTCGACTACCTCTACGAGATCTGCGTGCGCCTCATCAAGGAGGGCCACGCCTATGCCGACGACACCGATATGGAGACCATGCGCGAGGAGCGTGGCAACGGTATCGAGTCCAAGTGCCGCAACCGCCCCGTCGAGGAGAACCTCCGCATCTTCACCGAGGAGATGAAGAACGGTACTCCCGAGGGTCTCAAGAACTGCATCCGCGCCAAGGTCTCCGTCGACAACGTCAACAAGGCCCTGCGCGACCCCGTCATCTACCGCTGCAACATCGAGGACAAGCACCACCGCACCGGAAACACCTGGAAGATCTACCCCATGTACGATCTCGCCTGCCCCGTTGTCGACTCCAAGGAGGGCGTCACCCACGCTCTCCGCTCCACCGAGTACACCGACCGCAACCCTCTGTACCAGTGGTTCATCGACACCCTCAAGCTGCGCCAGGTCTACATGCACGACTTCTCCCGCATCAACCTCATCCGCACTTTCCTCTCCAAGCGCAAGCTCGCCAAGATCGTCAACCAGGGCACCGTCTGGGGCTGGGACGACCCCCGTATGCCGACCATCCGCGGTGTCCGCCGCCGCGGCATGACCATCCCCGCCCTCCGCGAGTTCATCATCAAGCAGGGCCCCAGTCGCAACGTCGTCAACATGGACTGGAACTCCTTCTGGAACATCAACAAGAAGATCATCGACCCCATCGCCCCCCGCCACACCGCCATCCTCGAGAAGGACGCCGTCAAGGTCAAGTGCACCGGCGCCGAGGCCCCCGCCGCCCCCCGCACCGAGGACAAGCCCAAGCACCCCAAGAACCCGGACGTCGGCACCAAGAAGGTCGTCTTCTCCAGCGAGCTCATCCTCGACCAGGCCGACGCCAAGAGCTTCAAGAAGGACGAGGAGATCACCCTCATGGGCTGGGGCAACGCCTTCGTCCGCGAGATCGGCGCCGGCGAGCCCATCGCCGACCTCACCCTCGAGCTCAACCTCAAGGGCGACTTCAAGACCACCGACAAGAAGGTCACCTGGCTGTCGACGCAGGGCACCAAGCTCGTCAAGGCCGAGCTGTGGGACTTTGACTACCTCATCAAGAAGGACAAGCTCGAGGAGGACGACGTGCTCGAGGAGGCGCTCAACCCCGTCACCTCCACCATGGAGACGGCGTGGTGCGATGCCGGCGTTGGTGCGCTGAAGAAGGATGACATCATCCAGCTCGAGAGACGGGGTTTCTTCCGCGTGGATAAGGGTCTTGATGAGGGTGATGTTGTTGTTCTGTTCAACATCCCCACTGGTAAGGCTAAATAAGTAAAAGTAAAAAAGCGAGGGATTTTTTTGTGGATAGATACGTCATGAGCAGATGAGGAATTGAAGCATGAATGTAATTTGAAGTCCATGATTGTTCACGTCCCTTAATTGACGGCGACGAAGTGCCCTTGCATGCTCAAGAGAGAAGAAAGCATTGAGATGGAGAATCAGAACTCAGCAGACATGAGAATAACCCGGAAAACGGAACGAATAAATGAACTGATTCTCATAGACTTGAAATTACGCTGGTTTTCGGATACTAGATACTTGAACAAAATGACGTTGAAAATGAAAGAGGTTCACTGAGTGTTGATTGAGAGCTCGGTCTCCGATATGAAGTCCGACTCACTCAGGTATTGCGCCCAAAGCACGGCACTCATCGAATTCAGTGTTTAGATATCTTCCCTCTTGCCAAAACTTATTGTAACACATTTCCTACCAATTAACAAGAACTGCCATACAGATGGGAAACAAAACTCGTGGTTTTAGCGGCGGGAGAATCCTTCGTGGCGCAAGAAGACGCAGCCAGCTGACCACAATGTCTCAGAAGCCGAAAGCACGAAAGAGGCAAGGGGCCTGCAGCGTGCATCCGACGTTTTACAGCGGCCGGAGACCCCTGAAAGACCGGAGCGCGTCAGGCGGCACGTGCGACGTGTTGTCACGAGCTGAGATGAGCTGAGCTCTTAGCTTGGAGTTGGTCCTTTCTTAGTTGATGAGACTGGCGGACTTCATTCTCGCGATTTCATCCCACCGCCTGGACGTTGTTTTCCCGTTCACACGCGTCGCATCATCTCATCAAATATCTCGTGAGAAGACGAAACAGCGGGATCGAATCAACATGGCGCCCTCAACACGCTGGCCGGCGCCAATCCACGTCTTCTCCTACCGCGTCCTCCTCATCGTCCCCATCCTCCTCGCCATCGCCACGTTCGCGCTCCTCTTCATCCACTCCGACGTCAACATCGCCCTCCTCTACTCGCAATGCGACTCCCGCGCGCGCCTCCCGGGCCTCAGCCGGATCCCCGTCCTCGGCACCCCGGCCTGCTTCGGCGTCAGCTTCTTCCAGCACGCGCTCGACTCGGCGCGCACCTTCGCCAGCATGTCGGCCATCCTGTCCTTCGTCGCGGGCCTGATGACCGTCACCACCGTCGAGGCCGCGCGCATCTGCAACGCGTCCAACGTCATCATCGCCAACCCCACGGGGCCCTGGCTGGTGTTCAACCTGCTGGGCGGCGCCGTCGTGTGGGAGCTCGTCATGGTCCCGGCCTTCTTCCACCGCTCGCGCTCGATCTACCTCGCGAGGAAAAAGGCCGGGCAGGACGCTGTCGACAGCGCGGCGGCCAAGGATCCGGACTTTGGCAAGGACTCTCGCAACCTCAAGGTCGATGCCGAGATCATCGCTGTCCCGGTCGCGGTTGCGTGGGGCTTCGTGGTGCCGTCGATTCTGATGCTGCTGTATAACACGCCTGTAGTCATCGGTATCTGGTTTTTCTTCCCCATATGGGTCTCGCTCATTCGCCAGGCTGTGCGATGGGCTGTGTTGCGCTTCCAGAAGCGTCAGCACCGCAGCTTCCATCTTGAGTCTCACACCGTCTCGTTGCTGCTCGTCTACCTCGTGCCTATGGTCTGCTCCTTGGTCTCTCATGTGCTCCTCATCTGGAGTCTCTTCCAGAAGGACGACCGAAAGGAGATGACCCGGGCCACAGTCAAGTTTGTCGAAATCGACGCGACGTTCATTGGTTTGACGGTGCTGTACTGGCTTTTCGTCGAGGCTGGGTGGAAGGTCGCGTTGGTGACGGTCGCCGCCGCGATTCCCCTCGGTCCGGGTGCTGGTATCTGCATTGGATGGATCTACAGAGACGCTGAGATTCGTGAGCACCTCAAGCACTGGCTTTCTGGAGAACATAGTCATGAGAACCATGAGGAAGGCAGGACTGCTGCGGACGAGGAGACACCGCTGCTACAGTGAATTGCATTTCAGGCTTAATCATGAGTTCAGATACCCATCAAGTAATACGATCTTTCTATAACATGCTTCGTACTGAATGATGTCGTGCAACTACTGTCTCTGCATCTCGATGAAGTACATGATGCTTCAAAACTTCCCCTTCACATGAGAGCCGAACGCCTCCATCTGCCTGTCCAAGACCACATAGTTCACCTCGGACTTCACAAGAACCTTGCCGTTCTCATCGGACATCTCTCCCTCAACGACGAACTTCTTATCTCCGTCTACTTTGGTCAGAGTCGCCGTGACAAGCACCGTCGTGTCCACGGGCACAGGACGCAGGTACGTGACGCTCATCGAATGAGTAACGTGCATCAACGGCTTCATGAGCCCGAACATCTTGTTTGCCACGCCAACGGCCCCGTTGCATTCATCGAGGATCTCGGAACGTCGTGAGCCCGTGGCCCAGTGCGAGGAGAAAGTAGACCTTTGTCGCGAAGCGTGATTCGAGGCTCTGCTTATCGGAGTCTCCCGTTGGCGCATCGTAGACGTTGTCGGTGGCTTCGACTTGCGATGCCGGGGGGTGCATGAAGGCAAGGAAGAATGGGATGGTAGTCGGGGTGTTGAGTGTTTTGGCAAAGTACTCGAAGGCATGGTCCTTGTGGCTATAGGCTCGACTGACGAGGGGTCGAATGATGAGATTTGGATCGGAAAGGAGTTTGGAGCACCATGGGATGGAGTTGAAATGGGCGAGCTGGTTGTCTAGGGAGTCCATGTTGATCGATTCCTGCCCGCAATGCCTGCAATGATGGAGGATCTGGGCATAGAAACGGCTTGCAACTTGAGACGAACTTATTATTTTAAATAGGTATGCTCGGTCGACTCCTCCTCCTCTCCATCCTCCCATCGGTAAGCGTCCTTTGGCCGTGCCGCTGGCGAGCATAGAGATCTTGGTCGGGTGCTTGAATTTGGAAGTATTACTGGAACCGGAAATCAATTGGCGCCTTCGTCATCCGCTTACCTACCGGACCCGAGGCTCCGATAAGAGAAGTTGCGGGAAAAGGCCTACTAGAGGCATCTGATCGAAAAGCAGACCTATCATCCGAACCAGTCAATGCATAGATAATACATGGGTATCAAGTTTACCATCTCCTCTGACTTTATCACATCCTTGATCCGAGTGAGAGCCTCATTTCCTAAGCTTGAGAAGAAGAACCTCCACCTCCTTTCGCGAGTTCTCATAGAATTCACTGTCCTTTCCGACGGCATCTTCGTCAAGTTGTAGACCCTTAAGCGCCAGTTGCCGTGCCTGTTGCGACTTGCCGAGTTTGGAAGCAAGTGTCGCAACATTGATCATCATTGTCGCGACCTCCCGGCCTCGAATCCCCTCAGCTTCATAAGTCTCCAGCATGGCGAGCGACGTCTCAAATGACTTTTCCAGAAACTCTCCCTCATCAATCAAGTCCGCGTCGTGCTTCGAGTGAGCTTCATTGAAACTCATGAGTTGACGGTGGAGCGCCATCCGCCTCTCCTCGCTCACATCCGCCCTCTCACCGGAACAGGCGGGGCAGGCGCATAAAAAGTTGTACTTCTCCGCCAGCATGGCCAGCCTCGGATCGCGCACCGTGAGATTCTCGGGCAGGTATGAGATGGTGATCTCCTCGTCATGCTCGATGTCCCTCGTGGCGTGGATCGTGAAGGCGTCGATGTTCGTGTTGAAGTTTCCCTGGGCGTTGGGCACGCACGAGTGGTTGATGCGCGCGACGTTCGGGAAGAGGGCCTGGACGCCGTTGCCGATGTCGAAGTTGTTGTTCCGGAAGATGTTGATGATGCCGTGGGTGGCCGGCTGCAAGTGCGGCGCGGACCTGCTTTGCCACAACGCCTCCAGCCAGCTCAGGACGCCGAACTTGGTTGTGTTGATGGAGAGCGAGAGGAGCGACTTCAGCTTGGCCGACGGGATCGAGCGGTATTGATGCACGATGGAGCCGGTCGGGTCCGATGGCGAGAGGGTGATCAGGGCCCGGTCGGCGAGGATGCGCGTGCCCCGGCTGATTGGCTTCGCGGCGAAGACGCCGAGGCCTTTGCCGGCGACTGCCCGAACTGTCAACATCGAGGAGGTGTGCTTGCCGATTCACAATGGTTGATTGGGGAGGACAGAAATATTTTGTCGTTTCGTTTGCTTCCGGAATGGGGATGGTGAAAGGGGGGGCGGCAAAACGGGTCTCAGAAAACAAGGGTCCCGGGGAAAGCTAAGGTAGCGCGGAGCCGTCCCACTTCCCCGGGTCCACCTCGCCTTATCAATTGTCCAAGGTCTGGGCAGTATCCTGACAGTGTTTGCTAAGTAATTCTGAGTTCAACCGGAGTCCTGAGAATTTCAAGTGCTTGGGCGTTCTAGGCAAACCAATTTTGAGCAGTCTTGAGTCGCCTTTTGAAAAAAAAAAAAAAATTTCATCTGCAGCTGGTGGTTGGTGCTACACGAAGGAGGGCATTTAATGAGTAGCACTTGGCACGAGTGAGCGTCGGCCAGAGGATGCTAGGTGAACCGCCTTCATAATGTCTGATAAGAGTCGATGTGATTAATGAGAGGTTCAGGTTATAATTGTCACACCATCTAACCAATAATTCAACAGCAAAATGGCAAGATGTGCTTCATACTTCTATTCATAATCTCGAGACCAACAGTAATCATGGATGAAAACACGCAAAGCTTAGCACTTGACTAAGGGGGTTGTACATTTGGTGTGTAACTGTTTAGGGCGACCGTGAATAGAGAAAGCTCATGATCTAGGACGCCGAAGGCTGTAGCCCGATTTTGGTCCTCGAGCATTGGCATCTAGTCGCTCGCATGACTTGAAGCTTGCTGTGTACAACATTCCAAAACATGCACACATGGCTACAAGCAGCAGTTTCCCAGCGACTTCGACGACGCCCTTGAAAGCGGAACCCCACGAAGCAGATGGCAAACATCGTGTTCAATCAAGGTGTGTTACCTCCGGATCAAAGCCGACCTCTCTGAATCCAAGTTTGCGTAATGCGAATAGCTAAGAGATGAGTGAATCAGCTCCATCTTCCATCCACACGAGTGATCTCAGGACGCCCCAACCCAATCGAACTTGACGATCCTCCGAGTTTCCAAAATACACGTCGCTAGTCATGTTTTTGTTTGTAGTCATGCGTCAAGCAATCAGTCTGCGAGTCCGTGCCTAAGCAGTACGATGAATCGAAGTGCGATGACGATTTGCGTCGTTCCCGATTTCCCCAGCTCATGAACTCGCCGAAATTTAAGTAAATACACAAATACTGCCCATGTCTTGGATTTATCTTGCCCATCTTGCTCCGTCCTTTCGCTGGAAGTGTTCAGATTGAATTGTCCAACCTCACATATTCACATCTTATTCTTTTTTTTCTTTACATACAAGATGAAGGTCACATCCTTCGTCGTGACTCTCATTATTAGCTTGGCGTCTGGAAGCCTTGCCGCTGCTGTCGTTCCTGGCAACCCGAACGGAGGACAGTTCGGACTTAGCTGCGATGGGATCCGGCTTGCCACGCATAAAAAGGAATCTGGATTTGACTACGTCACCCTAGAGGCATCCTGCAGGAACAAGTCCGGAGGCAAGAACTTGAATAAGCTTGATCTTACCAACTGCATCGAGAATGACCAAGGCACCACGTTACATTGGAAAAACGGGTAAGTCTACCACTCTGCCTTGTACGTTGTTGCCTAGAAATGGTAAGCTGATAATGTTCTAATGCAGGGGCTCATTCGATGATTCTTGTGTCGCGTGCCAGATCACTAAGAACGACAGCAAGACCGTCGAGATAACTTGCTCATGCTTTCCAACCAAAGACGTCAGAAAACAAAGGTCGACTATCAATCTCAGTAAGTCTAGTCTGCAAACTGTCCCAACTCCCAGTTTATGACTTACAAGGCTGTTGTACATAGACGACCGAGTCCGCAACGAGGATGGAATTCTTTGGTGCGGCGATAAAACCGGCTCCTTGTTTGACTAATTAATTGGTGCAAATAACGACAAGATTTTTCAAGTCCACCGTTCTTTGTTTGCGAAGGAGGATCATTGGAAGGCTAGCTAGAAGTCTTGATTAGAGAGTTTGTAATATTAAAACAATGGATTCAAAACAAGTATGACTCATAAAATATGTTACTGTAATGAATTGGGCACTAAATCGTCGTGCCTTATATGTGACATGACTGCCTGCGGTATATGAGGCTGACGAGAGCTAGGACGGACCAGTAAGAACGACTTCTGATTGCCAAGAGAGGTCATTCCTACTAACGGAGGCCTCCTGAAGGCTGGTTGGAACATACGTGTCGAGGCTGAAATCCAATAACAAGCAGCATGACAGGGGTGATATGCAGGCCATAATACATGTATCTCTAAGTTCATATCCGTACGGTGATCCGGCATCACATGCAGCTATCACACTGCCAAACCCCGCTCCATCGACATATAAACACTGACAGCCGCCCATTCCTGCCTGGCGATTTGCATCTGTTGGTTGGTTACCTTCATTTGAAGGATCGTCTGCAAACCAACGAAAGCATCACAGCGTTTGAAGCGAGTGTGTGAAGCGAAAAGGGCCTCATGACGTCTAGCCAATGAGCCATCGACAACCACGAAGAGCACTCCTTCGTATTTGACTCCTGTGCCCGTCCTCACATACCAGAAGTCAGTCAAGTCTTTCATCAAAAGGAGTCCGTCACAGCTCCGATTCCTGCCTGAACAGTTTGTACGACATCCGATCAAACCACAACTCAAGTCACGCAGAAGTCTCGACAACTTCTAAAACATTCCACTTGGTCTGCAATGAAGAGAAAGGGCGACGAAGCACGCCGGCGCCATGAACGCCGGCAGCGCAGGAATGTGCGCGTCAACGAAAACTGGGCCAATTCCCCTATGGCTTGCAGAATTATTGCGAAGTTGCGCAATCACAGCAGTGCCGACTTCACACCTACCAGACTGGTAGTTGTGTCGTCATGGGAAGTTGTGAAGCCGCAAGTTCCAGTCAAATACATGGCCTTGTCATACGTCTGGACGCAACACCCGGACAGGGAAAGACTACGACATACAGTCACAAAGGCGATACAGCAGACAGGAATCGACTACGTTTGGATTGATGCCATGTGTGTGGAGCAGGACAACCCTGACGATCTGGCCCGCGAGATACCGAAAATGGGTCTTTACTATGAAAGAGCTACTGGAGTGCTAGCAATTGTCCCTGAGCTGCAAACGGCCATGATGCAGTTGGTGGACCCTGTTGGAGACAGACAAGAAGATTGGATAAAGGGAGCCAAAGGTGACGAACTCCTTTTGAGTCGTTGGCTGGAAACTCGCTACCGGGAGCTAGGAAGGCAACTGAGGGGTAGCAGATGGAGTCAAAGGGTATGGACTTTCCAGGAAGCAGTGCTCAACGAGAACACTCTAGCATGGAACGGATGGGGTTTCTGCGCCATGGAGGACTTGGCAGTGGCACAGGTCGTGGAAGCTTTTACAGGCAGAGCCAGAGTGGTCGTACGGCTGTTGAAGAAGGTATGGGCGGTTGGGGACAAGAGGGGAGGAATTCTGACCGAGGCCACTACATGGAACCCCTTTCTTCGGGACCTGCTGTCCCCAAAGGTGGAATTGGCAGACTTGCCGATTCTCTGGAGTCATAACAGGGAAAGACAATGTGCAAAAGAAGAAGACCTTGTTTACGGATACATGGGACTGGTGAGCGATCTGCCAGAGAACATCACCATTGATTATGGTTCGGGCTTCGAGAGTGTCTACGAGAGGCTGATGAGAGGACGAGCCGTCAACCTTACGGTGTTGCGCAGCTTGCCCAGTGCGGTATCTGGGAAAAGCTGGATGCCCAAAGTTGAGGACAACCGGTTGCAGATGGTACCAGATGGACCACCAGCAATATGGAGCAAGGGAACGATCAGTGACAGAGGCCTACTACAAGTGAATGGATTCATGACGAAGTTGGTTAGCGGGGGCCTTGTTGTGGGCTTGAAGCCAGTACATGAGCCAGCTGAGTCGGGACAGGCTGAGAGAGTCGAGGTTGAGAAATCAACGAGCGCATTGGTCTCTGGCAGGTACAATCTGACCAAGGAGCAGTGGGACCGCCATGCCAACGGGGAAGTTCTTTGTGTTGTATTGAAGGAGTCGAAGGCGAACGTTACCTTAGGGTTAGTGGGACGGAGTTCCGGAAATCTGTTCCATCGGGAAGCGACAGTGTTGCTCGGACCTGTTGAACTGCCAAACTCGGCTCAGAGTACTTGGGAGGTGGGATATTAGGACGCGGGAATCCTTGACACAAATGGTTAATTATTTTTTAGCTTAGACTGCTCTACCGACTTTGAAAAACGATCACTGCTCTTACAGCCAGCTATCTGCAAACTTGGCCGTGCACCCGGCGCCGTTGATCATAAACTATCAATCATTTAAGTTTTGTTAAATAAAGAGAATTCTTCAGCTGATAGATAGCTCAGTTTAACCTGTTGCGCTCCAAGTTTCCGGAATGAAGCTCCTCGTCCGTGTGTCGTTTGTTGCGCCGTCATTGAAACCCCGCACGAATGTCGGTGCCGACGCGGCGTCGCACTTATTGCACCAGTTGCGTCCACACAGCTTCCACTTCTGAGCTTCTTCTTATCAAAACTGACTTGCTTGTATCTACTATGATTACAAGCTGATCCAAAAAGAAGGAAATGGCTCAAACCAAGACCAACGATCAGGAGTATCTCGCTAAGCCCCCGGGGCCCTGTTGCTTCACGGGCACCATCCACGATGGAAACCCCGCTGGCAAAGTGGAAGACATAATCGATGTGCCGACCTACGTTGTACGACCCGCCGACGTGAAGTCATCGCCAAACGGTCATGTAGTGCTCTACTTTCCTGACGTCTGGGGACTCTCCGTCAACGCCAAGCTGCTCATGGACGGGTTCGCCGCCGCCGGGTACATAGCGCTTGGAATGGACTACTTTCGAGGAGTACGTACATCTCTCACATGGAAAACCAGCCCTAACTAACAGTCTGAAGGACCCAATCTCTAAATATCGCACCAACAAGTCTGACCCGCTGCCACCTGGGTTCGATCACGCCGCCTGGCGCACCAAGCACTGGACCTTTGCGGTGGAAAACGTACCCAAGTGGACCACGGCTGTTCGTGAGAAGTTCGGCGGGCAGGTTCCGGGTACGGAGACTCGCTATGCCTGCACCGGATATTGCTTTGGTGCACCATTCGTGTGTGATCTGTTGGCCGGAGTAGCTGGAGATGGAGAGCCGGTGGTGTCCGCGGGAGCATTTGCCCATCCGACTGCGTTGAAAGAGGAACACTTCGCCAACCTGAAGAGTGAGTTACGAGAGCAATGTCATGATCCTCTGCAATCGGGAATGTTGAGAGCTTACTTTGATAGAACCGCTACTCCTGTCATGTGCGGAAAACGATCAGGCATTCAACACCGAGTCAAGGCGAAAAGCCATCGATGTCTTACAGCGCGAGCAAAAGGCCTATCACGTTCAACTGTTCTATGGTGTAGGTCACGGCTTTGCCGTGAAAGGGGATCCGGCTGATCCGTACCAACGTAAGTGTTGTTTTCAACTTGCAGCGGTGTTGAAACTAAACGGATGCAGGTTGGTGCAAGGAACAAAGCCTTCGTGCCATGGTCGATTGGTTTGACCTGTGGTTGGTCCACAAGACGCGATCTTCTAGTTTGTAGCCTCATCAACATGGTAGCACGGAAACAAGTACCAAGTAATACCTGATATTCTCAGCATGAAATCAAATGAGCTATCTGGCTCGAATCAGTCAAGTCAATTCTTTATCCAGGTGCCTCGCTAGTTACAAGTGACACGAGTGGTTGGGGTACTTCTTGTAAACGAACTGCCTCGGAGCATACTCATACTTCTATTCTGAGATACACGCTATGATTCTTGCCCTGAAGAGCTATGGAGGAGTAACCTTCATCATCTCTGCCACCAACATGTCCACCTGATCACCGGTGACCTTTGTTGCAGAGGTCTTGAACCCCTCATCGAACGGGAATCTCTCTTGCTCAAACATGACGTTCATGTAAACCGTCGGCGCCTGCGGGTTCTTGAAGTCGCCAGCGAGAACACCCAACATGAACGCGGACTCGGCAAACGACAGCTTCAGCTGAGCAGTCGTCAAGTTGAATTCGGGGTTGGTCATCATTGCCACCTTGACTCTGTCCCTCCTGGCCAGCGCCATCGTCTTTGTATCGATCGTCGGACCGGTGAAGTGTGCCTTGACCCCATTCCAGACCCTCGCGTCGAACTTGTTGGCATTTCCGGTGACGGCAACATCTGCTCGAGACAAGCTCCCATCATGTTCGATGACGTTATGCTTCTCCATGTCCTTCAGGTTGACAGTACTCGCGTTGCCCGTAGTCGAGATAGGGAAGGTTGGCTCGGCAAGCTTAACAGTGACCTTTTCGTCGATGTTGAGGGCCTTCGTGAAAGCGAACTTGAGCTGCTCCATGTTGATGTTCATTCCGTCACGTGGGAGGTAGCCATGGTTGGCTAAGGCGTTCAGGACGGGACATGGTGATCGATTGGCCTTCAAGTCCGGGACCTGATAAGGGAACTTCGGGTCTTCGGCAAGAGAAAATGCGGATGCCAGGCGCAAAATGCCGAGGGCTAAAAGAGTGACTTGGCCCTTCATGTTGGATTACTGCGAGTAGGTGCTGAGAACCTGAGAACAAGTGGGATAACGATGCGTAGGTGTCCTGTCAGTCATCTGTATAAAAACCACTGACCTGTCACGACGATGTGACCAAGGAGGGAAGTACGGTTTAAATGATTCCTTCAATTTAGGACGAGCCATTCCACGTCCACCTATCGGGTGGGATATTAATCTGTTAATAATGAGTCCAGTATAGTAAACTCTCTATGTCTACGACGCCGGCTGACCCTCAACCGAGGGCTTAAATGATAGGCACGACGGCAAGTGGGAGGACTGACTAAAGCGTACGGCCTCTAAGCTCCATTGCGCGCAGCTTCTGACTCTCTAAGACTGAGACTATTTGCCCAGTTGTCTTAGCTCAGATGGAATCGCGTTATGTATAAGGTTACCGGTGGGCAGGGCTTCAATTTCAGCTTCATTCCTGAAATTCAATCAAACTTGAGCCGTTTTGTGCTGGTGGACAGCAAAGTTTACCCATTTCTACTACGTGTGTAGTGCTTCATCCCATATAATGAGAAGCATAAACAAACGCTTAAACGTCCGGAGTAAACCGATCCGATGGTCATTCGGCAACAACGGACTCGGACGAAAGGGGGCATCTGTTCACTAACAGCATCCCATATCAAAGCATCGTCGCACAGTTATCGGTTTGTTCAGGCAAGCGCCGCCGGGTTCTGCCATCTGAAGCCACAACGCTCTAAGCGGAATAGCCGTTGTCCTGTTTCGTGAAGTTGACGATACTATTGGCGAACCTTAAAGTCGTACGAATTGTTTCATGGGATGAGAAACATGAATGCGGCGGATTTCATGACATCTCGTCGTTTGATGCTAGACCTGACAAACATCCGGACTTTCAATGACACGGCTGATGGTTATTCTCCTCGCTTGAGCCAAGTTCCTGATATCGAATATTGAACATCAAAGCCATTCGGTGACGACCGCGGAAGTCCTATCTGGCATGTGTATCAAGGAAAGAACAAATACCAAATCTCTCAAACCAAATGAATATTTCAAGGCATGTTTAACGACCGATGAGGTGATGTAGTGAGGTATCAATTGCGCAGGTAAGGCTGTGTAAAACCTTATTGGACTCTCCCGTTAGCATAGACGAGCTTCCTCAAGATTTTATTGTCAGTCAACACATCCTTCCTGAGTCAACCGGAAAGAATACCCCGTTAGCATGGAACATCATTCGGAGTGATGCAACTCGGAATGGAGGGAGCTTTTAAGGATGGTAGCGGCCCGGGCGATCACTGGGCTCTGAATAGCTTCACCCTCGCCTCTTAAGTTTAGCGGCGCCAGCGCTGGCCTCTTGTGGTAACCTTTGCTGCGTACAATGCTTTCCTGGTAGGGCTTTTAGATCTGTCTCCTTGGTCTTTTACAACATCGTCTCAATAGCACAATTCCATCTGCAAAGTTTCGGGTTGCCTCATGTCCTCAGTGCATTTACGTAAAGGTCACTTGCTTGACCAACCAAGTCGCATCACTTCATGGAGACGCTGGGCAAAATCCAATGAAGAGCGTATTGCGGGCTATTATTGATGGATAATTCTGCAGAAACAGCCTTTACAAACGAGAGACAATCAGACCATTTCACAATCAGCTAACTGCTTGCCGAGACACGTTTCTTTCTGCCCTACAGGAAAAGATGGGCTGAGACGTGAGGTTGGAGCAGGGGACCACGCCGAGCTGGGGCCTGGACCGGGTCGTCATCCTCACCCCACACGAGCTCCATAGCGGGGTGCCCCGGATACTGCACCGGGTTCCCCCAGTCGTCCCCGCGAGCCGGTCCCCAGTTGCAACTTCAAATGAAGACTCCTTATTCACCCCAAAGAGAATTTCACAGATTCAGAGATCAAGTGATGAAGTTCTGTGAAATACCGTGGTGTGTGAACATTCTAGCGCCAGTCGGCATAACCAAAAGAATAAATGCAGCAGGCTCATTCTAAACAGTGAATTGCATAAGATGGCGGGGCGCATCTGCAGCAATTCAGCTACCCGCAGTGTTTACCAGCTCACTAACAATCATGGAATAAGAAACGGTCAATCCAACCTTTTCACCGGACCGGTTGAGTGGAGAGACAATCACCGACCAGTCCCGGAAAAGCGCCCATCGAAGAATCGCCAGAGAGGCCTGATCTCGCCTCATCCTCTCACCGACTTATTCACTGTGAATTCCACCAATGCTGCCCTGCTGTTGTGTTACTTCAAATAGAGGATTCCGGCCCAGTCATTCCAAGTTCCCATATCTTCATCAACTAGTCCTCATCCATAGCCTTATCGAATTGCCTCGAGTGGTCGAACACGTGGTCGTGCTATCTCCCCTAAGCTGTCACTGTTTGCTTGGCTAAAGTATCGGGAGGTATCCTTGTGCTTCCATATCAACCCACCGCGACCCGATCATTGCCCTCAAACCCCTCACCTCATCAAACACCGGGCATCAGCCGTTTTGAAAACATCAACAACTGCATCATGGCAGAACCAAACAACACCCCTTATCCCCCAGCAACGCCCGCATCCCAAACCCCTCGCTCCACCTCGCCTCACCACTCCCCAGCCGTCATCCGCCCGAACCCAACAGCGTCGTCCGCAGCACCCATCACCACGACAAACGGCACCTCGAAGCTCAAGGTCCTCCACATCGGCGACCCCATCAAATACAACCCCGAAACCTACGCCGCCTTCTCCTCCCAATTCGACGTCATCCGCCCCTCAACCCCCGACCGCCAGCGCCCCGCCCTGACCGCCGCCCTCCGGGACCGCAAGTGGGGCGACTTCTCCGCCATCTTCCGGCCCTTCTGGGGCACCGGCGGCGAAATGGGAAAGTGGGACGCCGGGCTGGTCCCGCTCCTCCCGCCCTCGTGCCGGGTCTTCGCGAGCGCCGGCGCCGGCTTCGACTGGGCCGACACCAAACTGCTAGGCGAGCGCGGCATCATCTACTGCAACTCCGGCCTGGCCGCGGCGGAAGCGGTCGCCGATTTCGCCGTCGCGCTGGTGATTTCCACGTTTCGCCATCTGCCATGGTGCATGTCCGCGCCGGCCGATCCGGCGACGTTCCAAGACTGCCACGAGCGCGCGACCGTGGTCTCGCACACTCTGCGGTCCCACGTGCTGGGCCTCGTCGGGTTCGGGAACATCGGGCAGCAGATCGCGCAGCGGTTGGGGCTGGGGTTCGGCATGGCGGTGCACTACTACGACGTGATCCGCAAGGACGCGGCCACCGAGACGCTCTACAAGGCGACGTTCCACCCGACCCTCGAGTCCCTCCTCCAAGGCTCGGACTGCGTCGTCCTGTGTACCCCCGCGGGCGGAAAGGTCATCACCGAGGAGTCGCTGGCGTGGTTCAAGCCCGGGGCGAGGTTCGTGAATATTGCGAGGGGTAGTCTGGTCGACGAGAAGGCGCTGGCGGACGCGCTTGAGTCTGGGCGGTTGAGCACCGTGGCGCTGGATGTGCACGCTGATGAGCCGAGGCCGCATCCGAGGTTGCTGAAGATGGCGGGGACGAAGGCTACGTTGACGTGCCATAATGCTGGAGGTACGGTTGAGACGCATGCCAACTTTGAGGAGTTGAGTATGAGGAACATTATGGCTGTGCTGGGTGGAGGAGAGCCGATTACGCCAGTAAACCTGCACTTTTTGAAGAAGTAGGAGGAGATCAGGGTAAGAAGACTTAGGGGACGACGAGCGATATCGAAGGCAGAGGACGGAGGACTTGGGCAACGGAGACAATGGGGATGATAGTGCAGGGTGAATGACTTGGAGACAAGAACGAGGTGGATGGGGTTATTGGTCTAGATAGTTGAGTCACAGTATATTCACCGTCATATCCATGACTACCGACTGTCTTCTTTATTTATGAAGCTCCAGGTCTATGTGTATCTAAAGCCCGAAATCTTCGTGGCATTCGACACCAACTGCCTCAGTGGAAACACTTCCAGTCAATGAGTTTACCCTGTCCTAATTCCAACCATCCAGTGGCCGTGCCGTGGCATCAAGGCCAAGCCAAATCGCCCATATCCTGATATCATTCCCAACGCCATGCTTCCAGTAATCAACGTGATGCGGATCTAAGCTCTGATGCTCATGTGGCCGCTGGCGCCTCTTGGGGCTTCGCAGCTTCGTCGTCTTTCTTCTCTTCCTTGGGCTTCTTTCGAATCAACCCAGCGCCGAGTACGTTGACCGCTGGCTTCTCGTTACCCGCCTTCGTCTCGTCCACCACCTCTTCAGTCTTGGGCTTTTTGCGGATGAGCCCGGTAGCAAGAACATTAACCTTGCCCGCTGGCTCATCTGTTGCGGCATCTTCGGGTCGCTTGCGCTTAACAAGGCCGGAGAGATTATTGACCTCCCCAGACGACGATCCGTTCGATGGCGGCGCAGTAATTTCCCGCTTGCCTACGACTTCGAGACCCCACGAGTCGCCCATTCCAACTTCGTTAATCCATCGTCGTGTGCTGCCCGTTGCCAGATCAGGCTTTGAGAAATCCAGGTGGAGCAGCAGCTCGTTGACGCGCTTGTAGCCATTCTCATCGACAATCTTTCGACCTCTTCCTTCGGCTGGCCAGTAGTAGTACGCGCTGGAAATGGGCTTGTCTAGAAGGTAGTTGCGTTGGTGCTTCTTGATGCGAGGTTGGCGGGTCATGACGATGCCCCGCTTCTTCTTCTTTTTCGGCTTCTTCTTCTCCTCTGGCTTATTTTTCGACGGCGTGCCGGACGGCGACACCGGAAACAACTTGCGAGGGGTGGACGTGGGTGTGGTGGGCCGTGCAGCTTTCTGGCGAGATGGTGTTGTGGGCGGGTTAGACGGATCAAATGACTGGTTTAGCGTCGGCAGGCTTGAAGTGACGCTTTCGCGTCGCGCTTGTTCACTCTTTTCATCATTTGGGTCAAAGACAACCCAGATGAAGCCGGTCAACCTCCCACTGGAACACTCCTGTCTGAACGCCATCATCTCCCAGAACGCGTCAAGAGTCTTCACACTCTTCCACAAGCCCGTCGTCTTGAGCTGCTTCGACTTGCCAGCCTCCTCATCCAACTCATCTCTGAATCGCGACTTCGGGTCGTCGGGAAACTGGGGAATGAGACAGCGCACAGGCACCCAGTCGTACTCCTTGGTGTAGTGCGAAATCTTCTCCAGCGCGTGTCCCAGAACCCAGTTGGTGGCGCTCTTTGGTCCACGGGGAATGAAGGCTTTGGTCTCGTAGTTGTCGAGACCCGGAATGAGGAGGTACCCTTTTACACCACCCCACGGCTCACCCTTGCCAACAGGGGGTTTGTCAAGAAGGGGATCCAGCACCTTGCACCACCACTTGACGAGCCCTCTGTCATCGAGGACATGCTTGCCATTGTAATCCACGCTACCAGGAAAGAGGTACTGGTTCTGCGCGCGGGCGAATAGGCTGACGACGAACTGCTTGCCTTGACGTCGTCGCTGTTCGACAAGGTAGGTGACAAACGCACTGGCGATTTCCTTGATTGGCGACGGCGTGCCCTTGGGCAAGTTGAGAAGCTTGAGGTATCCAGTCGAGTCGGCCTTGGCGACGAACAGCGTGCTGGAGTGGGCAGTCGTGTAGATGTAGACCTCCAAGGCCAGGACCAGGACCTGCTTAGAGCCGCTGTCTTTCGCCGTGATGTCCTTGGACTGCTCGATCTCGGTGGTCGGGCGGGTATCGATCGAAATGGCGAGGAAGTGCTTCTCGCAGAAGGTCTTGTCGTCTCGTTCCTCGGGCGGCGCAGAGTAAAGCGCGTTCGTCTTGGTCGGGGGCGTGGACAGGTGATAGATGCCGAAGCGGTAGCCCTTGGGTAGAACGGTAGAGAGCTTTTCGAGGAGCAAGGCGCTGCTCTGGGCCCTGGTTTTGGCCTTGGCCCTTCTGGGAGTTGCCATTGTGAGGTGAAAGCAAAATCGTCGCAGAGAATCGATTCTCCCTTTTGAATGATCAAACCATTATTATCGTACCAGCAAGATTTGTCGACGGACGGAAAGGAAAAGAGGAACAAAAACCAACGGCACGCCTCAGCTCGTTCGACGCGTCGCTGACGGGAAGGAGCTCCTTCACATGCGTGTCAGGACAAGTGGAGAAAGCAGGTGGATGCAACGGCCAGGGGCCCCGCCGTTGGTCGCGCGGAAGCTTCAATTGGGTCCAGTCCCGAAACGGAATAGCGCCGGTCATCGCATGATCCTCGTTCCGCGCGCGCAGCCACGTGACGTCGAGAAATTGTTCCGTGCAGCGATCGCGAAAAAGTTCCTGAGCATCAAGAGCTGCCAGCTCTACCAGGACGAGATCACCACCCCCCACCCCGCACCGCAACTTACGACCCCTCAGTTGCCAGCCGTCCCAATGGCAACCAACGGCTCCCGGTCAGCATACGGCCTCACGAGGCATGCCGTCAGGCATTGTCAATCGGCACCCCGAATCGTCTCCGCTTCGCCTGCGCAGCGGTGCATCGCCAGATCCTATGCGACGGCGACCGAAAGCAAGATCGAGGAATTTTCGAGGAGAACCGTGGAGTCGGAGCGGCCCGACGAGCTGCGCCACCGTCCACGATGGTCCTACACCCCCGAGGCTATGAAGGCGCCCTTTTCACCGCACATCACCAAAGACCCCAGGCGTAGTATCTGGCAGGTGAACAACGACCCCAAGAAGCTGGACGAGATGTACGTGCGGTTTTTGGGACGGGACGGAGACAGGCTTCTGCCTGAGGAGGTGAAGTGGTTGGCGGTCACGCACAAGAGCTTCGATCAGGGTCGGAGAGGCTTCAACGACAGGCTGGCATATCTGGGTAGGTTTTCTCTCGCGATTTGGAGCTCGATTTGGGGGTCTTGTTGGAGAGGTTACAATTTTCGCTGACTCGGAGTTTGTGACACTTTCAGGCCGGCAAGCAGTGGTCGTCGAGACGACACGAAGCATAGTATCGTCGGAAAAGGAGGGCGCCATGGTTCCGGATTCATACGGCCGCAAACCGTTCTATCACCCCGCCCTTGCCAAGATCGACAACTTCAACGTGCAGCTGCCGAATCAAGCCGTCACGAAGGAGAAAATCGAGCAGCTGGCCCTCGATGCGGGCATCGACAAGGTTTTGCGGTGGAAGCCGGCAAAGGTAAGCCGATCTCACATCTCGTCTCACCGTCCCCTCAGGAGACCACGCCCGGCTGACCCAAACGTTGCGCCCAGCCCGAAAACCTTGCCGGTTCGGGTCAGCAGATTGTTCTCAACGGGGCAGTTTTTGCCATTGTCGGTGCCATCTCGCTCCAGCACGGCGCCGAGGTGGCGGGTAGAGTTATCAGGGAGAGAATATTGAAGCCGCTCTCGCTCAGGCAATAACGCCCGATCAAGAGAGACGTCTGTTGTATCATAGGTGTAAAACAGTGACAAAAGGATATCATCCCAATACCGCAACGCAACGCAACGAGCAGCCAGACGAAGTCATGTTTCCGTCTTCACTCAACTCTCTCCTCTTCGCATGACGATGTGCCGGTGTCGAGTCGCCGACGAGTGTGGAAGCAGACGAACGGTTATAGAAACATAACCCAAAGCAGTACATCTTTCGCCACTCACGCCGCCAACGGACCCGTGGTCAGGTGCATGACATGGGATATGGTTCGGTTGGGAGGCTGCCAGGCCAGCTGGAGCACCCATCCTGTCGTCGACGACGAGAGGGTATTCGCCAACGAGGTGTTGCGGATGCGCGTGGTCATTTCGACGGTGACGAGATCATCAACAACAGATCGGTCAACTTCTTTTCCTATGGCCAGCGCCTTGCGGATCATGCTGTTACCCGGCGTTCGCATTAGCATGCGCGAGTGCGCCGCCCAATCGACCATCCGCATACCGGCCTGGCCAATCTCGCCAGTCACGGCATGGATGTAGCCCTCGCCAAGCGGGCGGGCCATGTCTGACGTAGACCTCGTGCAGAGGACGAAGCTTTTGAGGAAGGCAAACGATTCGTTTAGAGTGGCCATGCCGAAGCCGGGATCCGGATTCACCTGCCAGATGCTCCTGGGCCAGTCGTTGGACCCGTAGTGCGCCACGCCCTTGCCCTTGGGGTCGTACGCCAACAGGTCGCTGGCAAGGATGGGCATGGTAAGCGTACGGCTGGCGCCCTGGTAGAGGACGAGGTCCCAGTCGGGGTTGATGTAGATCCGGTCCCACGCCGGGTTTCGCTGATTCAGGTACGGGAAGCCATGGCGGTCCGGGTCGGGGGAGCGCATGGGCAGATGGATCCTGAAAAACGACAGCGCCTCGCCGCGGGATTCGGCGCAGACGCGAAAGAGGACGGGGCTCCTGTTCTCGCAGTACCAGTGGGCGTTGCAGGCGACGTTGCCCAGCTCGTTGCCGGATGCCTCGACGCCGGAGCTGCAGTCCATGACGCCGCGTATCACGACGATGCGCGGCCAGGCGAGGTGCATGCGCCAGATCTTGGAACGCAGCTCGTAGGGCAAGTCGGGAAAACGGTGAAAGGTGGCATCGCGGCGGGCGCAGCTGTGGGTTGCCGCGGTGGACAGTGGGAACAACACCGGGGACGGCGACGAAGAGGGCGAAGCTATTGCTGTCGTCGGCTCGCTTCCCAATGCGGAAACCCATGTGCGCAGGTCAAAACCTCTACAAGCCTTGAGAGCCTTCCAGGGCGTCGGGGGCTTTTCCCGTGGAGCGGACGAAGCAGGGATGGCCGCTGCTGGTTGGGTGCGGTGGCTACCGTGCTCGTCGTGCTCGGTCACTCCTCCAGCCTCACGGTCGTCTTCGTCTTGCGAGGAGTAAGATGGTCGGGGTGATGGTAAGGCCAGATCTATCGGCCGATGACTGGGAGAGGCTGATGACGACGCAGGATTCGAACCTGGCAGGCCAGTTTCATCAAAATTGTCGGGGGTCGGTTGCATATCGCCAGCTGGATAGAAGGTTGGATGTCAAACAAAGTGTAAAATTCTGACAGCTCCAGGGAACCGAAAGACGACGCTAGCAGTGGCTCGGACGATGCCAGCGGCGGCCGGTGTGCCGCGCGGTGGGAAGTCGTCGCGGACGCTAGAAGGTGTCAAACTGCGTGGTATGGGTGTACTGCACTGCAGAAGAAGGCGTCCGGTGTATGTCGTGATCAACAGAGTTGGCTGCATTCGGTGTGGGGAAAGGAGGAGGGAGGCTGTACACTAATGGCTGGTGCGAACGGTGCGTTTGACAGTCGGGCAAGGTTCTATGAGAAGCGAGATGTGTTTGGGCTTCATGATACGAAGACGGACACGACGTTGGATGAAAAGGTTCCCTGATCAGGCAATCGGGCGGGGATACGGCACGGTGAAGAAGGTGAGGTACGTACCTCCAGTCTCCTCCCCGGCAGACGCCGAGGTGGCGCACGGGAGAACCTTTGCGGTTGCCGGTGCCGGGCCGGAGGTCGGAGGGTGGCTGGTAACTGGACCGTGGATCTGACTAAGACAGGACATCTACGATAAATGTGGCAGAGCACTGGAAAGACGTCAAGAAAGCTGTCAAGTCAATGGCATGACGGCACCGAGTACGGGCCACTTTGCAGGGTCTTTCCGCTTTGGGAAAGGTTTTGCGGGCAGGTTCTGCAAGACACTCATTCACGTCTTCCCTGACCTGGGCTGTCAGAAAGATCTTGTAAGAGGACTGGATACTTGACGCATAGTGCTTGGATGACGCTGTGGCCCACTGCAACTCAGCGCTCCCGAAGTACCTTCCATCCTCGGTGTTAGGTGCTGTCTCTGTCTTCCCTGTCAGATCGTGTCAGATCATCGCGAGAACAGACCCCAAAGTCGAGACGCTGCAATCTGCCGCCGCCACAATGGGCAAGGCCATGAGGGAACCGTTGAGATGTGAGGCTGGGAACCCATGAGTCGGTTTCCGTCTCTTGCCTCGTCTTCTTTACAACTCGACTGGGGAACTCCTGGCCTCTTCAGCCATGGAACAAACAGCTTAATTCGCCCTTCACATTACATCAGCAACTATGGTTCACCAAAGTGTCACTAACACCGGACTGGCCAATCACCGAGGCATTGCTGGAACGTCACTCAACCGTCTGAAACTCGCAAACTCCAACTCAACTCGTTGACACCAGTGCTTCTTTTCTTTCCTGTCTCTTTCGTGGCGCTAGTCCTCCAAACTCTGCCCATCCCTTTTCCCTGCAAGCCGTCCGTCCAGGATGGCTATGCCATGTCACCTCACCTTTGCCAGTACAGCTCCATGATCAAGTTGCCCCATCCGTCGAAATGGTTCGTATCTCGTACACCAACGCCGTATTCAGCCCAACTTCGCATCGCAGCCACCTTCTCCTTTCAACCTTTTTTCTTCTTCTTCTTCCTAGAGATGTCGGACGTGCACACCCTGCAGACACAACTCTACGTGCAGCCAACTCTGATGCTACGCGCCAACTAACATCTACACTCGCCTTTAGCTTCGATTGACACATCTCTATAGCCTACTGTAACTTCGTGGAAACACTCTTGGCTCCGGTCTAGCGCTGCCACTGACAGAACCTTCTACCCACCCCATCCCGGCTCTCTCCCGACGACGACGGTGGTGGCTGTAGCCTGTCCCAACAACACACACACGCAAGCCCGCTGTGTGAGCCACTCCTTCAAAGGCCTGACGTCGTCGGTCCGCTCGTGCGCCTGTCAATGGACGATGATTCGGCCCCGGCAATGGACGTCTGGGATCCTCGCAAAGGGGTTCCTCCTGGTTCCACCTGCGTGTCCAACCAACGGGCGGACCACATCAGCGTCTGGGCCCTCCCCGGACGACAAGTCAGTCAACGTCCTCTCCGGTCGTGGAAGCGGAATCCCGCTGGCGTGTAAGGAGTACTATCCCCTGCACCGAGGACGTCTCCATCGCGGTGATCGTCGGTCCATGTTTTAGGCTCGAGATCCGGCTGGGACGTGGACCATCTATCATATATCTCGCCGTTCATCCCTCGGCGTTTCTGATTAGGTCTTCTTTCGTTTCTTCACCCTATCTGGTGATCCGGGCTAGGCTAACCATAAACACCCCCCTTTTCATCTTCGTACACGACTGCTGGCAGCCTCTTTTTTTTCTTTTATGGTGTTCTTGATTTCTAGAGATACCCGGATTCCCGTCCCCTTAATGTCAAAGTAGACCCGGCGACTTCCTCCCTATCGCCACCATGGATACCATCATGGAGATGAACACCAAGATATCACCACCAGAGGAGGCCTCGGAAAGGCAACAGACCCCTCCTCCTCCTCCGCCACCCCGACACAACACTATGACAACTATCATGATAGGCTTTCTCATGGTCTTCTCCATCTTCAGCGTCGGCAGGGAGATCAGAGACCAACTCTACCCACGTCCCCAAGCCAACAACAGGGTGATCAACAAAGCAGAGTTGACATCATGGGGTCAAGCCCTCGATGGGATCGTCTCAGCAGAGACAGTCGAAGCCCTCGGAAGCGATCCCAAGTTGAGGCGGACTCTGATGTCCATGGTAGACTTCACCGTCGACCTATCAGATACCCTCGCTGCTCGGTACGAGTCACCTCAACTGGAGGAGACGAAGCAGATCCTGCAAGACTACAAGGAGAAGCTCAAGCGAAACCTCGAGGGTTTGGGAGACGACCTCGACAAGACCCACGACGAGGGCTCTAAACCGGTCAAACGACAATTCCCCAGTTTGGGAGACCTCTTTAGCGCCGCCGCCGGTGCTGCGCCCGGTGCTGGTGGTGAAGGAGGCGGACCAAGCCCAACGAATCCCCTTGGCCTCCCTGGCCTCCCAGGTGCTCCTGCTCCAGGCGGTGGTGCAGGAGGAGGTGGAGGCGGCTTGCCCGGTCTTCCAGGACTACCGGGAGCCGGAGGAGGAGGCGGTGGAGGAGGAGGAGGTAACCCTCTAGCCGGACTCCTCGGTGGCGGGGGCGGAAACGACACAGCAGGCGGCATCCTCGCGCCTCTCCTTCAACCCCTCAAAGACGGCCTCAGCAACATCGGCAACTCCCTCGTCCAGAACCTGAACGGGCCCGCGATGTTCCTCGGTATTGGCGTCGGAGCCGGCGCAGCCCAAGGCCTCAACCTCTCCTCCCAGGAGAGGACGATGGAAGTCGCCGCCAAGGTGGCCGCGGACAACAAGATGGAAGCCACGGGCCTCAATCCAGCCATCCAAAACCTCGGCGTCGGCTTGACGTCCACTCTGATCGGCGCCGTCGACATCAACAGCCTCGGAGCCAACGTGACCAACCAACTCCAACCCATCGCCATGTCCCTCGCAACAGGCCTCGGCAACGGCACGGTAGCAGGCCTCAAGCTCAACGCCAACGCCGCCCTGAGCCTCGAGCCCGTCAACGACTCCAGCATCCCCAACGTCATCGGCACCTTCGGCTTCGGGCTGACCAAGTCCGTCACCTCCAACATCGACATCAACTCCCTCTTCAACCAGGCCAACAACGCGAACACCACCCGCGCCATCATGCGCGTCCTCCCCGCCGCGGCCTCGGGCTTCGGCAAGGGCCTGGGCCAGGGCGCCACCGTCGGCCTCGGCCTGCAGCCCGACTCCGCCGTGCCGATGCAGCAGATGCCCGACGGGCAGATCGACTTCGGCGGCATCACGCAGACCTTCGCAAAGGGCCTGACGAGCAGCTTCCTGCAGAACGGCACCGCGACCGAGCTGGTCAACAAGATCGGCAACTCGATGAACATGCAGAAGAACGGCGGCGGCATCCCCAGCACCATCGACTTCAACGGCCAGAAGATCGAGGTCAGCCGCGTCGCGCAGGGCTTCGCGAGAGGGTTCCTGCAGGGCGCCGGTGATGCCATTCAGGGGATGGGAGGCGTGCAGTCTCTCATCCAGGGCAACGCCACCATGCCCGCCAACGGCCTCCCGGACTCGAAGGTCCAGTACGACGACTCCCTCGGCGGCGCGGCGAGCGGTTTCGGCGTCGGCATCGGAGGGCAGGGCGTCCTTGTCGTCTCGGCCCTCGTAGCGAATCCCCAGGGCACGCCGATGCCGCAGGCCGGATCACCGGCCCAGCCCCAGGCCCCGGCAGCGACGCCGAGCACACCCGCGCAGCGCCGTGAGCTGGGTCTCGTCCCGCGACAAGACCCGAACCAGAACGTGCCGCCCGTGGTCTCGGTGAACACGACCAACGGCTTCAACCTCTCCGTCGTGATCAACGCCCAGACGATCTCCATGGCGGCGCAGGCGGGCGTGAACGCCTTGACCTGCCAGGGCGTGGGCGGCATCGGCTTGGTGATGTTGGGTCTGGTCAGGAGCAAGACGATACCTCTCGACGCCTTCACCAGCAAGGGCAACGTGACAAAGGTGCTGAAGCAGGCGATTCCTTCCGGGACGATCAATCTTGCGAATGACGGCAACTTCTACGCCATTGACGGGCAGATCATCAAGGACGCGTTGGGCGACAACATCATTGGCGCGGCGAACGGGGTGGAGATTAACGGGATGAAACTCCCAGGATGGATTGCTTTCCTCGTTCTTCACAGTAAGTTCATTCTTTGACAAGTGGCGGTGGACTTGGCTAATGAACCCAAACAGTCCTCTTCGCCATCGTGGCCTACATCAACGTCCTACCCCTGGCCATCGGCCTCGAACACTTCCGCAACCTCATGATCCGGGTCAACGTGCCTCAGGTCCTACCCAACGTGCACAAGTGGAATAACATCATGTGGCTGTTCATCATCGCACCGTCGTTGATCGTGGTTCTCGTGTTCGGTGTTCTGGTCTTTGGACAGTCTACCCATTTCCGGACCGCTCACGGGGTAAGTTTCAAACATACACATCAAGTATCATTACTAACAGCACGAAAAAGATCATCAGCCTCATCACGACCCTCGTCGGAATAGGCGCTCTCCTCCTCCACCTCGCAATCAAAGCCCGCGCGCCCCCTCCCCTCCCCAACACCTCCCGCCCCGCGCCCGCGATCCCCCTCACCGCGCTGCCCAACATCAGGGTCTACGTCAACCAGCTCTTCCTCGTCCTCTCCTTCGCCTCGGTCATCTCCGGCTTCGCGGACCTGTCCTCCGTGGCGCTGTGCTTCACGCAGGTCGTCCCGTTCGACCTGGCGCTGATGCTCGGCTTCGGGCTGTCGACCGTCTTCGTCCTCGGCTCGACCGTGTCCGGGCTCGACATCGCGCTCACGTTCAGAGCCGCCTTCAAGAGGAGGAAGGGCGACGCCTCTGCCGGCGCCGTGGAGAGCGGAAGAGGCGGCGTGAAAGGAGGCAGGATATCGCCGCCGAGGAGAATCAGCGACGAGAAGGGCAAGAGTTTTGCCTGATTGAGCTGTCAAGACTTACGGGTACAAGACTTGAGCTGGGCTTGGTCTTGTTACTTTATTTCTGTTTCTGTTTTTTTCTTTCTCTCTGTACATACATACCGGCGCATGTGCTTCCTGAGCTGAGATGGGGAGGCGGGGAACTGGCACAAGGGGTTACGGGATGGGAAAAGACCGGGCGAATGAATCCTGTGCATTGCGGATGGATACGAGATTACGGACATGGATACACTCTTCCTGCTTATGGCGCCGCAGAAAACGGAGCGGCCTTGACTCTCCTTATACCCCGGCTTGCTTCAGGAGGCAAGCTCTGAATTTCAAATTTCATACTTATTCTCACGATATGGTGCGCCTCGCAGATTAACGTATCGTTTTTTTGTACTTATATGTCCGACGCCTTGGTATCTTCTTCTCATCGTACAAACTGCCTAGCCCTCTCCGGCCAAGCCAGTCCCTTGACGCCTCTGCCTCAATTACATATGAACGCCGGCCCTTGATCCCATGTTTTGAAAACCATTCGTCCGTTTGAAACACATCCCATGCCATTACTCGTCGTCCCACAGATGCCAACTACTACTCGGGCGTACTTCTAGCGCGGACCTTCTCTTCTTTCGAGGACCCGCGACTTCTCGCCCATTACTCAAAAAGAATTCTTCTGTTTCTCCTCCTGGAATTTGCCTGACCATGCCCAGGCCAGCGAGGTCGGTTTTCGTGCACTTCATCCGCAGATGCCGGAAGTACTTTCGATAGAACATCCTCTGCATTACCAACTTTTCCGCAACGCTCTTCGGCAAGTATTCTCCGAGCTGCGAGCGCAAATCTTCCAGTGCGTGTCGCTGATTCGCCGCGTCTGGTGGCTCGTAGTCGTTGCTCAATAGAAGCCTTGGTACGTCCTGGTAGAATGCATCCTTTGCAGGAATACCACTCGTAAGATATCCCTCATGGATCATCCAGACCGGGAACCTAGCAGCTGCGCGATCATCCATAAGCTGAATTGCCTCCGTGTACGACTCCAAGTTTGCCAGGCTCTTCGACAAAGGCGCGCACCCAGGGACCGGCGTGAGGTCCCACGTCTCCGGACCGCCCCGGTCTCTGGTGCCGAAATGGCGAATCCCAACACCCAGAGGATCAAACGCAAGGCAGTCGCTCAAAAAGATATCGAGGGGGATTTCGCTGCTCCACGGGAACGTGAAAATGACGGTGTCGTAATCCGGATTGATGATGACAGGCCAGGCAATCTTATTCGTCGGGTGCATGGGCAGTTGCACGCGGTAAAAAGCGCGTGTCTCGGCACGGCACTCTCGGTTCACCCACATCAAGGACGGTAGGGTATTGTCAGCGCTCCAAGCAATATTGGACGCGAGGTTGCCCAGGGCATTCGGCGCGAAGTGAATTTTCTTGAGATCATTCATGCATCGAATCTCGACAATGCGGGGCCGCTCCAGGTAGAACCTCAGGATCTTGGAGCGGAGCTCCGGGGGCAGTCGAGAGAAGGGATGGAATGCAGTTAGTGGCCCGGGCGCGGATTGGATGGCGCTCGCAGCCTTTGGGGCGTGAACCTGGCAGTGCTCATGGGGTAGAGCGACGGTTATCGGCATATGCGGGGGATGGGTAATAGTCCATGGTCCGTAAGGCACGCCGGAGCGGAAGTGAAAGCGGTCCTCGGGCTTCACCGGAGTCGGAGGGCGGTGGAGATCGACATGACGGCGCTGGCCGCAGGTGGGACACGGGGCGGACGAGGATGGGAAGTGTCCGATGGAGGCGCCGACGCTTACGCTAAGGGAGGTGGATGAGGATGACGACGAGGACGAGGGTACGGTAGTGGCCTGAGCGGTACTCGATGTCGCGGGCGAGTGTGAGGTTGTAGTGCCAATTGTCGAGGGATCGGAGTCCGTAAGAGGTTCTGACTCGCTTGGGTGCGCAAGCGTTTCTGATTGCCGCAGTGTTTGCTGACGAGTGGTGGTCTGGGTGCCCCTCTCGATGCCGGCCGCGTCCACAGGACCTCGTCCTTCAAGTCGCCCATTTGCTGGACCATCGGCCGCCGCTGTGGTGGCTGCCCGTCGCGGCGTTTCCTTGCGAGGGCGAATACGAACAGATAGCCCTCTAAGCCAGATCTTCTTCCATTTCTTCTTGAGTTGCTGGTGCTGTTGATGTTCTTGGTCCCGGTTCTGATCCTGGTGTGATGATTGGGCACGAAGCCGGGGCTGGGACTGGGAGGCGATGGCGGTAGTGTCCGGATCCGTCGCCATGGCGGACTGCGTCGGACGTTCCGCCCTCGTCCTGTTCGGCTTGTCTTCCTGGTCAACTTGTTGCGCCGAGTCTCCTGGCGGCCGCGAAAGAGGTGACTCGGGCGATTGGCGAGATGATGGTGATTTGGCGACGACAACGGGAACGCGCCAAGTGAATGCAGGAACGAGGATGTGACGCTCAATTACCCATCCGGATGCTAGGCGTAGGAAATGGGCGTTGTTCCCACCGGCTCGTCTTCCTGTCGTCGCTGTCGGTAAGTTGTGGTTTAGGCGAGACGGCGGCTGTTGATGGATAGAAGTCGAAGAGGGAGAAGAAAGCAGACCAGAAGATGGAGAAGAAGGCTGATCAGGTCGAGGTGAAGAGATGGTAATGGTAGTAGTGGACGCGGGAGTTGGAGGACTGGGCGACGCGGGGGAAGAGGTAGAGGGCATGTTTGTGCAGATAAAGTTCATCCATGTGCCCCGGCCGCGTCTGGAAAGGTCAGTGTCAGTCAATGTCGCTGTCGGAATCGCCTTCGGAAGAACATGGCCATGGGCCTAGACGGGCCCGGCGCGCTGTCTGCTGTCTGTCGTATGTCCCGAGCGGTACGAGAGTCAGGTCCTGCTGATGCGGTAGGGTAAGGTCAAAGGAGGAAAAAGGGCCACGACGGGGGAAAGATGATGTTGGTGCAATGCAAAGCGCAAACCAGTGCGTTGGTTCTGTTGAGTTCAATTCGTATGGATGTGTGGTGTTGAGATTGGATGTTACCTATTGTTTCTATTTTCTGGGTTGGAGCCCCGGCCGAGAGACTGGACGTGGACCTGCTGCTGCTGCGGCAGGTGCGGCAGGTGCACTGCGCAGGTGCGCCTGCCGTGTGGAAGGTGGAAGGAAGCTCTTTCCAGGCAGTCTTCCAGGCCGTTCGTTCCTAATTTGCAGGGACAGCAAAAGGCAGGTGCGCTGCAGCAAAAGTGGCTGGGTGAGAGGTGCCTTCCTTCCTCCTTGCCGGCATGTCACTGCTCGCTTCAAGCCACCTGTCAATCATTGCCTGCCACCTGTCATCCGCGTCCCCGAAACATATCATTCAAACGCCATTGAAAATGAAACACACCCGTTGATTGTGCTACTTTAAAGTGCCTATAGAAAACTCCCATGTAAGCTTCTACCGGGCTATAGTTTGATTCGAACGGAACATGGAATATTGGGACTGAACAGACCGTGCTCACCGAGACCGCCTCGTACGCCCGGTGGGCCGACACAACTCCGCCAGGACCTCCCACGGACTGAAACACGCAAAGGGGCCGATGCGACGTTTGTGAGAAAGGATGACGCTGACAATCTTCGATGGAACTTTCTGCAACAAGAATGAGTTTGCAATGGATTTCTGCCTCACATTCCCACCATAAGCTATCATTCAGTGCAACTTGAAAGTTATCCCGGTCATGAACCAAGCTTAACGAGCCACCTGCAGAGGAAGCCATGGAATATTCCATCACACAGACTGCACACCCACTCTTGTTCAAGAGTGCACAGTGATCCCCGGCCGACTTAGACCTTGAATACTTACTGTACATCAATCCAATGCTGGGCTAGTCGGCAGGTACGGAAACGGTCCGACCATGCGACCCACACGGGCCGTTCGATGGCCCCGCTCGACCTAGATTCCGGGCCCGGAGTGGGGCCGGGCCCTGAGCCCCGACGGGGCGGAGACACGGCGAACCACACAGCACTCAGTGTTGTTGAAGAGGGAGGGAGAAGGATCATGAGATACCGGCTTTCACAACTAATCATATTTGAACGCATCCAGTTAATGTCCTACTTCCATGGATACGCCTCAACTACAGGACGATCCTACGTCAAGTTTCGGTTCACGAAGGCCAAGTCATGGGAATCTCAAACACAATTCATTTAGTGCGAAACAAACGCTTTATTGTCTATATCGTCAGAATCATTTATCAAGTCATCGGCAGCCCAGCAGTGAGGTACATAAGCAACCGTCCGCGACCGCTAGACATCTGTCGAATAGAATACTTTCACCTCCTCAACAATCCACCATGCGAAAGATTACCGAGCCCATGAGCGAGCCGGGAGAAAAGAAAAAGGAAAGACCGTCTCGATGTACAATGCCTCTCAGACGAGGATGGCGAAGCCGACAGCGACGCTGAGGGCCAGGGCTCCGAAGCTGGCAAAGGACTTGCCGGAGCCCGCGGTAACCACCTGGGAGGGGCCAGGAGCCGGGGCGCCGTTGTTGCCTCCGGGCTGGCCAGCACCACCCTGGCCGCCAGGAGCACCGCCGGGAGCGGGGGCACCGCCAGGAGCGGGAGCACCGCCGGGAGCGGGAGCACCGCCGGGAGCGGGGGCACCGCCGGGAGCGGGGGCACCGCCAGGAGCGGGGGCACCGCCAGGAGCAGGGGCACCACCAGGAGCGGGAGCGCCACCGGGAGCAGGAGCACCGCCAGGAGCAGGGGCGCCTCCAGGAGCGGGAGCACCGCCGGGAGCGGGAGTGCCGCCAGGGGCGGGGGCACCGCCAGGAGGGGTTCCAGCCGGGGGAGTCTGTCCAGCGCCTCCGTTGCCACCGTTGCCACCGTTGCCGCCATTTCCACCGTTGCCTCCGTTTCCACCGTTGCCACCATTGCCTCCGTTGCCTCCGTTTCCGCCATTGCCTCCAGGGCTACCGGAGCCGCCAGTAGGAACAGGAGCGGGGCCAGGAGCAGGGCCGGGTCCGGGTCCGGGAGCAGGGACAGGGCCGGTAGGGTAGGGAATCTGGGTGACGGGAGGAGGAGTAACAACAACCTGAGTGCACTGTCCGTTGGTGCAGGCGGTCTGGGTAACCGGGGGAGGCTGGACGACGATGTTGCAGGCGTCACCAACGCAGGGAGGCTGGGGCTTGCAGGTCTCGCAGGGCTTGACAACGTCGCACTTTCCGTTGGAGCAGTCGAACTTCTTGTTGACGTCGGTGTAGGGGCAGGTCTGGTGCTGGCAAGATCCGTCCTGGCAGACGTACTTCTTGTTGCACTCGTCGCCCTGGCACTTGTCGACCTTGCAGACGTTGCCGTAGCAGGTGATCTTCTCCTTGTTGCAGCTGCCGTTGCACTTGGCGTACTCGCAGGAGTCGCCGTTGCAGATGACCTTGCGACCGCAGTCGTCTCCCTTGCAGACCTCGGGCTTCCAGCAGCCGCAGTCGGAGCCCCAGACGAGGCGGCGGCCGCAAGAGTCTCCGTAGCAGGGGTAGTCGTACGCACAGTAGTCACCGTAGCAGACGAGCTTCTTGTAGCAGTCATCGCCCCAGCAAGGACGCTCAGGGTTGAAGGGGGGTCTGGGCTTGTAGCAGAAAGGACCCTGGCAGTCGGAGCACAGAGGGCAGTAGGTGGTGGTGACGACGGAGACGCCAGTGCCGGAAGTGACGGTGAAGGTGGTGGTGAGAGTCGCAGTCGCGGTGGCGGTAGCGGTGACAGTACCTCCGCCGTCGATGCGAACGTAAATGTCGAAGCGGACGTCGGACGGGATGAGCTGGCGCTTCTGGAGCGGGGCCGAGCTGCGGCCACCGCAACTCTGGGCTGGGTTGCCGGGGCAGGGGATGTTGCACTGCGCGTCATCGACTCTGACCTCGTTGGTGTTGTCGACGAAGTCACCGCAGAAGCAGTCCCTTCCGAAGAGAGCAAGGTAGCGCTTACCGGCAGGGCAGGAGATAGCGCAGCGCTCAATGTTCATAGAATCAGCGGATTGAACCAGGTCGAAGGTAGGGAAGCTGCTGGAAGAACCGAAGCATCCGAGGAAAGAGAAGTCACCAACGACGAGCGGGTTGGATGTGGCGGTGGGGACGCCGGTGGTGGAGACAACTCCGGTGGATGAGACGGAGTCAGTACCGGTAGGAGGGAGGTCAGTCGAGCTATCAACAATGGTTGATGTGTCGGTTACCGGTTCGGTCGTGAAAGGCGAGTCCGTGAACTCGCCGGTGGAAGTCGTCGCGACATCGATGACCGAGGTGATGGTGGTTGACGGCCCAGTGATGGTGGTGGTCAGGCTGCTGGAGATCACAACGGTAGAGCTGATGACCCTGGCAGAAGACGAGCTGGAGCTGCTAACACCGGCCGAGCTGGAACTGCTGACACCGGCCGAGCTGGAGCTGCTGGCACTGGACGATCTGGAGCTGCTGACAACGGCCGAGCTGGAGCTGCTGACACCGGCCGAGCTGGAACTGCTGACACCGGCCGAGCTGGAGCTGCTGGCACTGGACGATCTGGAGCTGCTGACAACGACCGAGCTTGAGCTGCTGGCACTGGCCGAGCTCGAGACCGAGACGACGGCAGAGCTGGAGCTTGAACCCGTGGAGCTGACAGTAAGCGAGGTCGAGAGACTGACGGGGCGCGAGGAGGAGGAGGAGGACCCAGAGGAGGAGGCAGAAGAGGACGCAGAGGAAGACACCGTCGTTGTGCGAGTGGTGCTCGAGTTTCCCGCGACCTGGGCGTAAGCGACCTGGCCCAGAAGGGCGAGCACAGCAACGCGACGCATGACGAAAGAGCGAGTGACTGAAAAAACAAGTAAAGAGTGACTAGATACCTCGGGTACTAAACGAAAGAATCGAGGCTGAAGCGAGAGTGAGGAGGCGAAGGATGCCGGAGTAATGATGGTGGGTGAGGAAGGAAAGAAGGCGTTTGGAACTCGGAAACGAATTCGTCTCTTATACATTCTGACCACTCCCTTTCCCTCCATCTAAACAAACCAGAGAAGCCCTCATTGCTCCACTCCTATCTTCGTCTGGTATTGTCTCCTATGTGACAAAATGAGCTCACATGCCAGCATTCAATGCTGACACCCACATGCAGACCCCACTGCCGGTCTTCCATCTTGGTGACCACCATATCGTTGCTATCTTGAGTTGAACATGGTTTGGACCTGTTGGGTTTAGCCAGGAGGTGAAGAATGGATCGCCTCGTCTGGGAACTCGCCAGTTCGTGTTGTCTCACTTTCTCCACAGTTCAAAGGAGGGAGGCAGAAACCACAGAAAGAGACCAGTTGATTGGCCCAAAACGAAGAAATGAAAACAAATCTCTCGCTTTCACGCTTCAATAAGCAAGCATTCCCGCCGGCTAAGCTTGGAAATTGGGCTCTGCCTTCGGCTTTCCGCCCGGCGCCCTTCCCGAGCTTCTCCTTGACGATAGTTTGCATTTCTTGCATCCCTGGGCCAAAAAGTCATTCCACTTCAAAATAACCCGCGCCATCTTCGGGAGGCTTTCCTCACATGCCTCACCTCTGCCCTCTCCCAGGAATCTGTCGCCCCTTTTTCTTTCGATCTGCCCCTGTCTATCTCCATCTGGCTCCCGATCCCGAGGTGATGCTTCTACGCCACGGAAAATGAATCATCAATCTTGACTGCCATGGTCTCGGCCCGTTATAGATCTCAAGCCGCAAGCGGATGGAACATCGGCAGGTCTCATTCAACGTTCTCTCCGAAGGACAAACAATTCTTCTCTCGGGCTAGATTGAGGCTACCTAGGACTGAAATCGCAAGTGACTCTTGTCCCATGTTGACATCTTACGAGATGAATAGGTTTATGACTGGCGTGGCATTTTTCAATGATCCGGACTCCGACTATCATATCGTATTCTCCACAATGACGATATCATTACCAGATCGAAGAACGCAAGCTGTAGTCTATAGCAGCAGGACGCCTAAAATCTTCCACGTAAGCCAGTCATCCCTTGAAAGGCAACTTGGCTAACATACCGACATTCTGCAAAATAAATACTGAAGGGCTCTCCCTGAGCAGCACCCTCCTTACATGTATGTGTGGACCTCCTTCAACTTGCTCGAGTCTTCGATTTCGTCGCCATCGTCATTATCTTCCTGTTAGTTTCTACTTCTACAGTGTTACAATGCATCAATACCAATACCGATTCCACCACCCCGGCCGCCGCGGCCACCACTACCAAAGTTACTCACCCCGGTTTCGTCCTGTTGCTTTCTGTAACCATGGAGCATGCCATATTATTTCAAGATGGTTCTCTAATAGGTCAAAAGCCTGCAATTTTTCAAGTGTTCCACGCCTCGTGAATCGTCGCAATATCAATCTTTCCGATCTCCCGTAAATAGCCTGTGATGTCCTCTTCGTCCCTCCTTACCTCCCGTGCAGTCTGCCCGTTCCCAAAATACTCGAACCTATTCTTCTCAGACCCAGGTCGCCGGACGAACTCAAAATCTTCCCATCGGGGATCACGAAGAATGTCGGCGCGGTGATGGAATGTTCCTGGCCACGCGATGAGCACGTGAGTTGCGCCGGCCCCCTGCTTGAACCAACTATTGCACCGGTCCGCCGTCACCTTGTTGTCAAAATAACCGTTGACGATGTCGTTGAACTCTTGGGCAGCATCCTCACGCGGATTCAAAGATGCATAGCTCTGGGTTTGAATTTTGCGGATGCATTTGGCGATGTAAGTGGCCGAGATCTCAATCTGCACCGGGACGGTTCCACCACGCGCGTTGCCTTGAGCCTGGAAACAAGTCAGTCATATCTCCAACCCATTGCAGACTTTCTCACCTGTAGAACGGTAAAATAGTTCGGGAAACCAGGTGCCATCATTCCGAGATATGTCTCCGGATACCCAATCTCACCATCTGTTGCCCAACGTTTGGCCAGATCCAGGCCGTTGTTCCCTAGAAGTGGAAACGCAGCAGAGTAGGTTGTGTCGAAACCCGTTGCTGCAATGATAACGTCCACTTCCCGATGGGTTCCATTTGCATCGATGATTCCCGTGGCATTAACACGGCTGATGGGCCTCGCTATATAATTTGCTTTATCGGATTTCAGCCCCTCCAAGTACCCAGGTGCAGGGGTTAACCGCTTGCACCCTGGTGCGTAGTCGGGTAATACTCTCTCGAGCCACTCTTCGTCGCCTCCAAGACGCTCTCTCATGCACTGAACTAGTTTTTCTCTTAGATCGGCGTTTTCTTTGCTTCCAAGTACATCCGCGGCAAAGCGGTTGTGAAACTTGACTTCAAAGGCTCTCCGGTGCGCGAGATAGTAGGCCGGGTCTTGTCGAAATCTTTGCTTTTCTTCGTCGCTATACTTTGGTCCACCCGGAGAATCTGAAGTGGCTTCATGTAGGTCTCCAGCAAACGTAGGCGTGACCCAGGTCTTTGTGCGAACATAGTGGTCGAGATGCGCCACCTGGGGGAGAATATTAGGTAGTATTTGTTGACCTGACGCACCATTCCCAATGACGGCAACTCGCTTCCCCTCGATGTTTATGTCTCTTGGCCACCTAGCGGTATGAACCACCTGCCCTTGGAAGACATCGTGAAGACCGGGAATGTCTGGATACTTCGGATTGCTGATGCGACCTTGAGCGTTGACGAAGAAGTCGGCCGTTTTCACGAAGACTTGGCCGTTTTGTAGATTTCGTATCTCGATAGCCCATTGAGACGCCTCGGATAACCATGTGGCTTTGACAATTTCATGACGTAGGTGCACAGAATCCGTCAGACCATGCTTTTCGATGACTTTGTCGTAGTAGGCTTGAATTTCAGCGCCTTTTGGGTAATACTCGGACCATTCTGTGTTCGGCTCGCAACTGAGTTCTGTAAGAGTCAGTGAGTTCTTTATACCCTTTCAGAAATGATATCTTACGGTAAGCATGAGAAGGCACATCACATCTGACTCCTGGATAGACATTTGCTGCCCAAGTACCACCCTAGATTTGGAATCAGAAATCATCTAAGTGTGTACCAGCCGGGAAAAATAGACTTACAATCTTGGGCAGTCTATCGAACACATCGATGGTTGCGTTATTGATCTTGTGAGACAACATAACGGCCGAGGTGACGCCGCCGATACCAGCGCCGACGATTATGATCTGTGATGTGTCAGCTAATTGGAAATTCGAGGTAGCGCAGCAACATAGTGGCACACATTGACGGGACGAAAAGGCTCCCAGGGAGCATGGTTCGGAAAGTACTTGTCATGCCCCCGTTGATGGCTTTTGGTGTCCTCCGCTCGAAATCCCGTCCGTGTACTTGATTTGTCTTGTGGTGTCTCGGTTGGAGACATGATAAGCTGATTTCAGGTCGCAGTACCTTCAGAATGGAGAGTTGCGTGAACGTGCTGTTTGTCATTGACACAAGCCTTGGTCGTGAGTTTCTTCGTTTCTTCAAGCAGGTTAGAGTGTATTTCTTGCTCTTGAAATCGTAACAACCTCTTCAGTCCACGAAACCCCAGCTCGCTTCGGCGCTTTCAGTCGTCCCATAACAGTAGCTGTCTCCGATATCGCCCATCGCTCGTTACGCCATGATGGAGGCTGATCACGTTGATCCAACTGTCCCCGTCAATACGCCAACGACCAGCACGACATAATAGGTCCACATCGCCTCAGACGAGGCATGGCGTTGAGATAAGGTATCAGCCATCAACGACGATGGTACCATCTTTGTGGAGCATCTATATATCTCCGCTGGTTTGTTCAATGGATCTCCGTCTGGCTTACAATGCGCCATCTAGGTATCCTCAAGCCCCGATGTGTTCCCCACGTGTCGGGCCTGTGAAATTCGGAGCTGCAACGGCTTTGCGTTAGCCCCGAATATGACACCGGGAAACCTACTTTACACCCAATTATCGGAGACTAGGCTGCTATTCAGCCCCTGAAATGCCTTCATTATGTGAGAAGATGCTTGATTTGCGCCATCGCGGCACCCTGTTCTAGTTAGCCCGATGAGAACGCTGTTGCTTTTTGTTTGATTCAGGCCTTGCAGATTCACACACACACCTTGAAGGAGATCCCTCTTTTCGCGTTAATCTTAGTTTTCTTGATGGCATGTACATAAAGGCTTGTCGAAATTATAACAGATATATCTTCCGCTTCAATCTTTTAATCGTAGCGATCTAAAACCGACCTCAGAAACTGTGATTGCACTATACGCAATAGTCTTCATCATGGCGAAGGGAGGAGACACTCCCATGACAGCAATCGCATTCCCACAGGAAAAAGACGACAATGACGGCTCAGGTGTGGGTGTTCCCAGCCTCAATCCAAAGCCCAATCGCCAATTCAGCAAGAAGAAGTTCTTCTCTTGGTTTGACGCAAATGACGGGCCTTTGGAGCGTCGTGTGATATTCAAGTTGGATTTCTTCATTCTATCATACGCCTTCATCGGCTTTTGGGTGCGTTTGATATTCTTCACTTATTGCAGACTCGAAATTCAGTCTGACGTTGACAGATTTTGTACATTGATCGAGGTATCTTGGCTAATGCGTACATCAGTGGCATGCGAGAAGGTGAGCTCGAGAGGCGCTGCGGTAACCGAACTAAAGGTTAACCTATACGCTAGATCTGCATCTATTCGGAAATGAACTTGTGCAGCTGGGATCTATCTTTAGCGTCGGATATTGCGTGTAAGTTCACTCCATAATGCGTAGTCTTTGATGTTCTTTACTTACATGCTTTCTAGTTCCATGATTCCAGCAACACTTCTTGTCACGAAATATACCGCTCATTATGTCATTCCAGGGGCGATGACCATATGGGGAGTATTCACACTGTTGTGTTACCGTGCCAATAGTTTCTCAGAGCTGGCTGGCTACCGTTTTATGGTAGGACTTCTTGAAGGTGATCAACTCTAGTCACATCTTAACTCCGGTGCCCAGAAAGTTGACTGACTCATGAATCAGGGCCATACTTCTGCTCAATACACTATGTTTTGGGAAGCTGGTCAGTCACCTCATACCCGCAGCTACGGGACAACGCCTGCTGATGTACGGAAAATAGGTATCGTAGTGATGAGTTGGTGAGACGAGCTGGCATCTTCTATGTCAGTTCAGGAATTGGCACCATGACGACCGGTCTTCTTGCTGCTCGTATATATGAGTCGCTCGACGGGGCCTTGGGACACCCAGGCTGGCGTTGGATGTACATTGTCGCTTCCATCATGACCTTTCCAATCGCCTTGTGGGGTGTTGTCAGTTTCCCTGGAACTCCCAAAGACGGCAAGAGGTGGTATTTCACCGATGAGGAGTTTGAGATGGCGAAAGAGCGAATGGCTCTCGAGGGAAGACTTGATCCTAAAGGAGTAAAGTTGTCCTCAAAATCACTTAGGCGATTTTTTGGACGCTGGCATTTCTGGGTGCTGGTGCCCTGGAACGTAATGTGGCTCATGGGCTACGAAAGTATGGTCACAGGGAGCCCAACATTGTGGCTGAAAAGCAATCAGCAGTATTCCGTGGTTCAGGTAAACAACTTCACAGTAAGTCGGATCAATCTGGGTGAAACATCTCTGTTCCCTAGCTAATCTGCTCTTTAGGCTATTAGCCCGAGCTTCGGTATACTTTTCATCCTCGCATTCTCATGGACAATCGACAAAGCGGGCCAAAGAGCAATTGTTCCTCTGATTGGCCTGGTCAGCCTAGTTCATTTCATCTCCAAGTTCGCGTGGATTCTCTACGATGAAACATCATTTGGCTTCAAATGGTTCGCAGTTGCTTTGAGCTACATAGAGGTTTCGCTGTCGCCTGTCAACTACAGCGTGGCCAACCTTGCTTGCGCTGGCGATGCTGAAGAGCGAGCTTTTGTCATTAGTTCTATGCTTGCTATCAGCACGGCCTTCGGCACTTGGGTACCGATCGTAGCTTTCCCGACTCTTGAAGCGCCTCGCTTCTTGAAAGGCTACATTATGGAGGCTGTCATGCAAGTCACTTATTTTTCATGGACATGCTTCGTAGTCTGGTACTCAGCAAGAGAACATCGTAAAAGCGACACTGAGGAGAGACCAGGGGAAAAGGCTTCTGCTTAGAACCTCGACTCAATGTATATTGGTTTTGTAGAAAAAACGAATACAAAGTGAACTCTGTCTCTCCCGATGTTCATGGGCGCCGTCTTAGAAGGGAGAAACATCTTGAGAAGTAGGAAAAGACTGTTCTAAGTTCTACCGAAAAAGGAAAACATGCTGGTCACTTTTGATACTTGCTGATACCAAGTAACCATGATGCAGCAACGCTTCAGACTTCCGGTATCGGACCAGCTTTGTTCGGAGGATGTCCGACACTCCATGTCAGAAAGCTGAGCAACGAAGATAATGTAGTGTGCTGACGCGGTAGAGTTGCAAATGCGGGGTGCTTGCGATTGCGTGCTGCTTGCACAATAATCGTCTGAGGATCTAGTCCTGCTATTATCAATGCGGCCGCCGAATACGCCTTTGAAGGATCAATCACGTAAATTTACGTGACGTTGGCCAGTATTATTGATTCCAAGGTACAAATTGGAATCAGGAAAGCAATTTGGAGGCAAATGCTTGTCTTATATCCGGCTTTCTGGAAGCGTAAGACTGACAAGGACGAGTAGCATCCTCGCATTTACACCGAAAAGCCAAAGTATCCAGGGACAGTGTTGTTATCAGCGTTACACATAAAGACAATGGCGCCAGACTCCCCCCTTCCCAAGGTTGAGGCCACTCCAATCCAAGTCTTGCAAGGCAAAGTTGAAGGCGAAAAGCTATATGGATATACAAAAGATGGCAAGAAAAAGAGGATCTTGCTCAATGCATTTGACATGAACGGGATCGGCCATATTAGGTAGGACTTTACCCAGAGGTTAGCCAGTGGTGTCCTGACCGTTTCTCAAAGCATAGGACAATGGCAGAACCCAGAGGACAAAAGCTCAGAGAAGAATCGTCTCCCGTACTGGATAGAGTTGGCGAAACTACTCGAGAAAGGGAAGTTCAACGCGCTGTTTCTCGGTATGCATGCTAGTTGAAGCCTTCCAGTCTTAATATAAGTCCAACTGACGTATGCTGGGCAGCGGATAACTTCGGCAGTCACGATGTGTATCAGAAGAGCCATGCACCAGCGATCCGATCAGGCACTCAGTGGCCGCTCTATGACCCCTTTGTTGTAAGTCAAAACTGTTCTCTTCAAGTGTTCTTGAGGTTTGAAACTCACTGATTGAGGTTATTTCTGCGATGGCCGCTGTCACCAAGAGTCTTGCATTTGGTGTCACTGCTTGCACAACATTTGAGCCGCCGTTCATTCTGGCGAAGAGGTTTTCAACGTTGGACCATGTAACTGATGGCAGAATTGCATGGGTAAGCTCGCCACACATTGATCCTAAATTTGTGACTCTAATACCCTTTACAAGAACATTGTAACATCTTGGAGTGATAACGCCGCCCGCGCGATGGGCTTGGATAAGCTGCCTGAGCATGACCTGCGCTACGAGATGGCAGACGAGTACCTCAGTCTAGTTTACAAGTAAGTCACCCTACCGTTTACGGTAAACCTATGGTGACGATTGGCCTGCTGACTGATGGTATTATCAGACTCTGGGAAGGATCTTGGGCAGATGATGCGGTGGTCAAAGACCCTATCACGTCAACATTTACCGACCCCTCCAAGGTTCGCAAGATCGTTCACGATGAACGGTTCTTCAAGTCGCAAAGTGCCCATCAGGTTGACCCGAGTCCTCAACGAACCCCATTGCTTTTTCAGGCGGGGATGTCTCCAGCGGGCTCAGCCTTCGCAGCAAAGCACGCTGAATGTATCTTCATCGGTGGACCGAATCCAGCGTTCCTGGCCAGCAAGATCAAGAAGACTAGGGAGCTCGCAGTTGCACAGGGCCGAGACCCCTACGACGTTAAGTTTTTTATCCAGTTTACTCCGATCCTTGGTGCAACAGACGAGCAGGCCCATGAGAAGTACGAACGCTACAAGAAATATGCAATCGGCGAAGGGGGCCTCGCCCTTCTCGGTGGTATCTCGGGCATCGATGTTAGCGAGTTTCCGCTGGATGAGGAGTTCCCTACGGACCCGAACCATCCGCTGATGGCTAAGCTTACTCCGCAGCAACGCGAACGTCTGTTGTCTCGTCCACAAGGGTACGATAAGTGGACACCGCGCATTCTTTCCGAGTTCCAGTCCATTGGAGGGAGCGGAAATTTCAAAATTGGAAGTGGAAAGACTGTCGCCGATGAACTAGAGAAATGGCTTACGATTGCCGACGTTGATGGATTTAACATTGGCCATGTCGTGGTGCCTGGTGCTTGGGCAGACGTGATTGAGTTCCTCATTCCTGAGCTTGAAGCAAGGGGTTGGCTCGGAAATGGAGATTATGAGGTGCCCGGAGGAACGGCAAGGGAGAACTTGTATGCAACCCCTGGAGACCGGAAGCTGAGAGCCTCTCATCCAGGTTCGAAGTTCAAATTCGGCGTTTTCGACGAGCAGGCTTAGATACAAACATTACCTTTTTCTCTTTTCTTAGAAACAGTTTTTGTTCTCGTTCATTCTGTGCTGTTCAAGAAAGGAACGTCAAGATTTTGCTGGCCTTATTATCTTCTAAATCTACCTAGACACTTAATGTCTCAAACGATGACGAGATCAATGAGGTGGCGGGCATCAGTCAAGTGCTTGAACAACCTGAGCCCAATCAGCATCGTTGTAGGCACCAGGAACGCTTTCTCCATCAAAAAGACTGGCCAGGACCACCCGATCAGATTGTTCGCCTTGCCAGGGCTGCCTCCCATGCTGCGCAATGATATTGTCGTAAACAAGAACATCGCCCTGGTGCCATTTATGAAGCACTCGTATTTCGTCCGTTATCTTTGCCAAGTGCTCCAGGTACTTGTCTGGAATGGGGGTTCCGTCCCCGTACAACTGTCTCGTGACCTCCTTTCTTGAACCGTTGCCACCTTGCGAATTCTTCCAGTAAGCAGCAAGGCCTGTAAATAAAGTCGGGAGATTCGACCTCGGCTGAGTTCGGATGGCAGGCAGCTTATGCGTCAGAATCACACCATTCTCAATCCATTCCCACGTCGTGTGCTTGCCTCGACCATATCTGGCAATCTGGGCTTCGATCTTCGTTCTCTTCGTAGCCTCGTCATCTTCATCATTGAAATCCTTGCCGAAAGCCTGCCTGAGCGTGGAACCGCCAGCATACTGCTTGTCGAACTTGTAGGTGACTTGACTAAGTATACCCTTGGCGGCAAGCTCGTCAATAAAGTCAGGAATCTCTTCTTTGGCACGATGAAACAACTCAAGTGACGAAGAGATTGGGGTTTCACCGCCTCTATCGGGTGCCTTGTGATTGTAGAAGAAGATATACTCCGGAGCGTGCGGCACCTGTGGAGACTCGTTGTGGTTGTAGATCAGGACTTCCTTGGGCGACTCGTTCGCTGGGGCCACGTTTGGTGCTAGCAAAGGTCTGTTGACAACGATGCCAATGATCTCATGTGGTTTATATCCGAACGCATGGGCAAATCTGCTGAAGTCGTCTGCATTGCGCACGGGCAACCCTCGGAAAAGCAGCGTGCCGTGAAGTGCAAGTTTCTTGGTAAGAATTCCATCTTGGTCTTGCAACACCTTGACTGCCTGAATAGCCGCTTGCAAGTCAACTTCTTCATCTGCGCTGGAAGGTCGCAGAGCTAGAGGTGCGACCGTTCCGCCGGGATGAGGTGATCCAAGAATTCGTTGATTGCCTTCTGGCAGTTCGAAGGTTTCGAATGTGACTGATGATGCAGCTCCATCAAACTTGAGAGAATCTGCGACAGGTGTAAGAACGGAGGTCGCCATTCTGTGTGTCGCTGTAAATCATCCAACAATTTGGGTATTAAATCTTCGAAGTAATGGCTAGCTCCAGCCGGTTTAAAGTGAGGTAGAAGGAGGAGATTAGCTCCTCTATATGGACTTACGAAGCCTGTCGCACACAAAATCACGTTATTCCTGACTTCAATAACCATTGGATCGCTTTGCATGACGCAATACACCCTCGAAATAACCGCGGCTTAGGCACATTAGGCTCCTAACCTTCCCATCTCGCTCCGAAGTGGTTGTCATCCTAAAAGTTCTGAACATGCCTCAAAGTCGCAAACTACTTGAGTGTGTAGGTCTGGCATCATGGCTGAATCTTTTCAAAATATGAGTTTCTAAAGACTCGTCCTTGAAATCATGAGAATTGTTGTGACGTTGACGTTTCCTCCCGCGACCGGCGTCATCCGGGAAGAATCGCCGGTTGACCAAACGGTGCGGGGTTCGGGTTCTGAATTGGATGCCGACCGAACAACTTTGAACGGAGCGGGGAACCGATTATCGGCACCGCTCGGCCCAGGGCCAGAGCACGCAATTTTTGTCCCGCAAGTTACTCTTATCATTGACCTCCCGTTCATTGGTTATGATATTGGATGACAGCTACGCAGGGAGATGGAGGTCTTGGCGTCGATGATGCTGAGCTCCGGCAACGTTGCGTGATCCCACGACGCAGTCTCTGGCGCTGATAAGAAGGGCGGGCAACCCATGAACATACTACTTACCCCGCGAAAGTCCTTCTTGCCTCGAATTACTTGTTTTTCGAATCATCAATATTGCAGGATCTCACTTATCAGTATTCACCACCCAGATCGCTTGGGTCATTTCGCGGGCCCCCTTTTCCAGATGTCCCTAGAATCCGCGAGTACACGAGAGAACGTGCTTCAGCCACAGGAAGTCCCCGAAACTTTGCAGAAGACAGCATTCCTCCAAGACGAAAATGTATCTACACGACCCCCGAGTCGAACTCCGTTCTTTAGGGGAACCCTTTTCCAAATCCTAGTCGTTGGGATATGCGCCTTCAGCGCTCCTGGCATATGGAGTGCAATGAACGGTCTGGGAGTGGGCGGCTCACAGAGTCCAGATCTCGTCAACGCAGCAAATGCTCTGCTTTACGCTTTCATGACAGTGACTTGTTTCGCCGGACCTTGGCTGACCAACGTCATCGGCTTTCGATGGACACTCGCGATAGGCTCATTGGGCTACCCTCTGTACGCTGCCGGTCTCTACGTCAACAACCGTACAGGCTCTACATGGTTCGTGTATTTTGGCTCGGTTGCTTGCGGCATCAGTGCCGGGTTCTTTTGGAGCGTTGAGGGAGCCATCGCGACTGGATACCCCGAACAACACAAACGCGGACGCTACATTGCGACATGGTTCACATTTCGCAACTTCGGCAACATTATTGGCGGAGCAATCTCTCTGGGCATCAACCATAACGTCAGACAAAGGGGGAAGGTTGGATACCAGACATATCTCGGCTTCATCGCGATTCAGTGCCTCGGATTCTTTTTCGGCCTGTTACTTTCAAACCCCGAGAAGGTCCGACGCAACGACGGGACGAGAATCGAAGCTCCTCGGGGAATCCACTGGCGAGCTGAAAGCAAGGAAATGTGGAGATTGCTCAGAAGCCGCTCCATACTTCTTCTTGTTCCCTTGTTCTGGTACTTTGGCTGGATTCAGGCTTATCCGGGAACATACCTAGCCACTTACTTCACTGTCAGGTCTAGAGCTCTCGGTAGCTTCATGTCGGCGGTTGTGGGGACCTTCGCGACATGGGTGGGAGGTACTCTCGTCGACTTGCCGTGGGCCAAGAAGCGCCAGACCCGAGCCGTCGCGACATATATCCTGATTGCCTCACTCAATAGTGCGACTTGGATATGGGCTGTCATCATCCAGAACGAGTATCGATTTACACTGCCAGTCCTGGATTGGGCTGTCCAGAGCGATTTTGGTCGCGGCTTTGGTGTATACATGTTCGAACGGATCAGTCTCGGCATGGTAGAGAACTACATTTACTGGTGTATCAGCAATCTCTCGGACTCCCCTGGCGACCAGATAAGGTATAGCTCCCTGCTTCGAGGTATCGAGACGGCTGCCGTTGCCGTAGGATTCGGAGTCCAGGCTGTTCCAACCGCCCTGATTGCTACGGCAAGTATCAACCTTGGCCTTTGGTTTGTTGCTCTGCCTTTCAGCTATTTTGCCACGCTTCAGGTTGTACGAAGGTTCGGCGAGTTGAACGACAAAGGGATGGCAGCGGAGTCAGTGGGTCGATGATGCCCGACCCGAAAGCTGTGAATGTAAAGTGCGCGAGTTACTTGCCTGTCTGGTGATTCGCGAGAATAATCAATGATCTGGTTCATCTTGGGATAGGCCGGAAGCAAAGGCAGGGCGTCGGTCTGGCCAGCTGAAGCACAAGCCCCTTGAATAATTGACGTTATACTTTTACACCGCATGAGATTCAACTGCTTCATCACGATACCGGTTTCCTAAACTGTCAATTATAGTTGGATAACAGCAACATCACTGTATCTGATTGGCGGCAAATGTGAAAGCACACTTCTGCAGCTCGTCCGGACTAGTAGCTGATATGGGTCGCTAATTGTTGGGGTTGTACGTTTCAGCCTTTGCATACAACCCTGACATCACACTGCGTCAAGTATGAAAGTGGAATGCGTGGAGCAATTTCAAGTCCAGCCGTCAGCGGCGCAACATGTCAAGCCCTGCCAACAAATCAACTGGCTTGGCAACTCGGCAAGCCGCAGTTTGCCCAATCCACTTAACGAGAATGGAATTCTAGAATAGGCTGTTCAATTCAAAGCATCGGAAAGAACTTCGGCGAATAACAGATACAGTTCTTACGATTCCCAGCGGGGAAGGGATCTCCCTCACTAGTGGTCTTGGACGGTTGAAGTCCGAGGATGTTCAGTGAAATAGCAAGCTACTTTCACTTTGATCCTTTCCGCTTGATATCACGTCGGTTCGGAGTGTTGAAGGATTCACTCTCATTCTGCCGCTGCTCAAAGAAAGAGACCCTTTTAACAAGTCAAGCTGTTTCTCTCCGAGTCATTGGGTATTTTGGTTAGTTCATGATATGATTTTCCACCGAGGGCAGAAGATTGACTGGGTAGAGAGCAGGGGATAGATTGACAGGGCAGTGGAAATCATTCGCCTAATAATGCCTGTCGATCAATGTCGTATCCGCCAATTATCCACAGTAAAAAGGCCGGCGCTGAAACGGTCGTCAGCCTTGATTCGTTCTAAGTCCAGCTGAAGGCGGGGAACGTTGCATTTAGCACACGGGAGCGGCTGTAGCCGAGTTCAGGTTCAGCTCCATTTTCTCCATTTTCTCCATTTCCTCCACACGGGTTGATATTGCTGCATCCGCGGCGGCGTCAAGATTTTCTCGGGGCATTCGTAGAATCTTCTGTCACATATCGAATCTGCAGTGGCGTGTCGAGGGCAATATTTCTCCTAGAGAGCTCGTGTCAAGTGGGTTGCTGCAGACTGCAAGTTGCAGACCGGCGCGGCAAGAGTGGAAAGCCAAGCCAATATTGAACTGCATAGCTAAGTCATCGAAACGGGGAACTTCTTCCGACCTAGCCGTTAGTATCGTGAACGTGATTTGTCCAGTGAGTCTACGGCCTCGTCTTGAGTTCATGAGGACACTATTCCGGTATGCTTCACGATGGGTCTAGACTCATGTCTATGCGCAGCATGTCGACAACGAGAGCAAAATGTGTACTGACTGCAGTCATCGGGAAGACGGAAAATAGTGATTCTTTTCCGAATCAAGTTGCATGGCCCTTGACAAGCGTCTTGTACAGTCCATTCTCGAGTATATAAACCTAGGTTATCAGCAATCTCGAAGCTTCATTCTTCTCATCATCAGCATTCACATCTATCTCTTCAGTCCCCAGACTTCAACAGCCTACCAAGCTTCAGTTTTAGTTCCTCTTGCCGGACACTCTTTGACTACATACATCAGAATGCAATTCAAGATCGCTCTCGTTGCTCTCTTTGCCAGCGTTGCCATCGCCGTGCCTACTGGCGGTGACAAGCCCGGCCACGGCGGCGGTGGCGGTGGCAGCGGCGGTGGCTCCACCCCGTACGACCCTTGCTCTGGTCTGTACGACAGCGCTCAGTGCTGTGCCACCGATGTTCTTGGAGTTGCGAACCTTAACTGCGGTTCTCGTGAGTTTTCCCTATATGTATTCAAGCTCAAGCACGCCTCTAACCTCTAGAATAGCCCCGGCTGTCCCAACTTCTGCCGATAACTTCAGCAAGGTTTGTGCCTCCATTGGCCAACGTGCTCGATGCTGTGTTTTGCCCATCGTAAGTAATCAACCTCGCTTTCTGCCACAAACTGATGTTGACGTTAACCTTTTCCGCAAAACAGCTCGGACAAGGAATTCTCTGCCAAACCCCAGTTGGCGTCAAGAACTAGACGTTCAAAGCCTCATTCACGCAGGCATGGTAGTTGCAATCTACCGACCAAGTCTGGGGAATAGTATCAGGAGATGGAACTGAGGTGGACCTGGAATTTCTCTTTCTATCGCGGGAGCTCCATATTTTGAAACGAAACACGAAGCTGGATTGAGGCACGAAAATAAAGTCACTCCTTTACCACTGAAAACTTGCGATCCGTAACAAAGTTGCCTATTAACTCATATGAAGCGTGTAGATGACATGAAATCCTTGTGGGTGATAAGGAAACGAAATAGGCCTCCTTTATCAGTTTATGGCTGGCTGATGTGTACTTGTACTGAGTATCTGTGAACAGCATTAGTAGGGGTCTCTTGAATTGGTGGGAATAATTACGCGTTACGTGGGATCATTTCAGTGCCGTATTATCGAGCAAACACAGACTCAGCCCCCATACCGTCACTGTTTCTAGCACAACCTCTATCATCGCCATGGTGCAAAATCTTTGTGAAAACGTCCTTTTTCCATTGTATATCAATTTACCGTTTTAGTTACAGCAAGTCTCGTGAGAATAACAGCTTATTTGTAAATCTGGTGGCGCTTCGAAGATTTCCATCCTTCTCTGTGGACGTCCTATTCAGAGGAGACCTCGGATTCGGTGACGATTGTCATGTCCAGTCAAATAGCATTATAAAAAAATTGAGTTTAAACCCTGCGAGCGAACGTCAAAGTGATACGACACACGGGCAAGTATCGCGGACCGTGTAAACCTTATCCGATGAAACTACACTTCTGATTGGAGACGAGCTAGGTTGCCATGTGACTACGCTAATCACCGAGTCTAACATCAGCTTGGAACTTCAGTGGTGATAGGGATATCCATGTTTCTTAAAGCTGCGGCATGGAGCTACCCCGATTGAAGTTGGGGTTGCGAAGATTAATCATCACGTCTACGATCTTTTCTGGGAGACACACACCCGTTGTTTTGAACTTCTCTCCATGAAATTCTCTGTTCAAACGGCTCTCGACCTGACACTATGTATTTGGTTACAGCCATCTAGAAAAAAGAATTGCGATCAAGAAACCTCCTCGGAATGGTGTCAGCGTTGGACCCAGAGCCAGGGACTGCCACCTTTGGCGCCCGAGATATCCTCGGACTCTTCCCTGAGTGTGCGGTGAGATTACCCCGCAGGTCAAATGTTCATGGACCGTGGACCAATGACTATACAATCAAACTCTGCTGTTTCTTCAAAGCTGAATCTGGATTCAGGGAAAATGCGTTAGCGATGCTCTGTCATCTTCATCTTCTTCGGTCTCCCCTATACGTTACCTATGCTCTGATACTCAGCTTTCCGGGATAGTTGGCTGTGCGTTCCAGAATTGCACCGTCATTGATGGACTAAGTGAGTTTGCAGAGGAAACCCACACGCAGAGTACACGATACCTTAGGAAGACATGCGACTCAACCATACCTGAGCTTACAAGGTCCATAGAAACGCAGAGAATACTATCCGGAATATGCGGCTTGCCAGTCAGAGACAAAGGCACCTCCGCAACTGCTAGCGCTGTTGCAGGCGCATTGGTTGCCATTGTGAGCGTTGGTATTCGCGAGTACTCCCAACTCTCGCGAATTGACTACAGCATGGGACTTGATGACTATGCTCTTATCTTCAGTGTGGTATGGTCAAACGCAGATCTTACACATTCATACTGAATTGAGTTGTCATATGTACTGACAAATACCTATCCAGGCGTTGTCCGTGCCTATGAGCATTCTCGTGGTTATCAGTGAGACATTTCGGGTGGGGTTTCTGCGGAAGTTTAGCTAACTTGTATGCACAGCAGTGCAGTCCGGTCTTGGAAAAGACATGTGGACACTCACGCCAGATCAGATTAACGGGTTCTTCAAAGTGAGCCAGTGCTTTGCAAATTTACGGATCCTGAATCAATGAGTGAGTAACCGTTAACATGCCTACCTTAGCTTTTCTACATCAGCGAGCATTTTTACGCATTCACGGTTCTTTTCGCCAAAACCAATTTTCTTTTCTTTTATTTACGCCTCTTTTCCGATAGCCGATTCCGCAAAATGACATGGGGCGTCATCTGGGCTTGTATCATCTCGGCGATCTGCTTTCTTGGCGCTACGATGTTCCAGTGCTGGCCAATCAGCTACACGTGGACGAGATGGGATGGACAGCACCAGGGCCACTGCCATGATATTAATCTGCAAACTTGGATTCACGCCAGTGTAAACATCACCTTGGACATCATTGTAGTTAGCATGCCGATCTCACAGATCTTGAGGCTGAACTGGCGTTGGAGGCAAAAGATTGGAGCCGGCATGATGTTTGCAGTGGCGCTTCTGTAAGTCTAGAGGGGCACATGAGGGTCATCTGAGTAACACGGCTCTCAGTAGGATTGGAGATTGGCTTATGTTTCCTAGGATCACTCTGGTTTCCATTCTTCGTCTGAGTACGATCAACGACTTCATGAAAACATCTAATCCGACTTGTAAGTCGAGACTAGAAACTGACTTGCACTCGTAGGTACTGACTTCTACGCAGGGGATATTGTGCCGATATCTAACTGGTCATTCGTCGAGCTGAATGGCTTCATATTTTGCTCTTGTATGCCAGCATTCAGAGACTACTTTCGGCGAATCTTCCGGCGGCGGAGAAGAACTCTCGTTGAAACGTCATTTGTTAACCGCGTGAGAATGAGAACTGTCGGGGAAGCTGCGACCAGACGCGACAATAATCTGCATGAAATTGTCTCAATTGATAGCGACGAGCACGATGCGGAGCATCAGCTCGAGGACTTAGATCAGAGAGACATCGCTGTCGGACGTCTTTCAACAGGCGTTGCCAATTCGGATGCAGAGGCCACCGCAACAAATCCCAACGGAAGATTAGAAGACGACGTCGTCCAGATGGAACCGCAGCCGGAAGAGATGGATCTGACAGATTTAAAGCACTTAGCCACACTAGTTTCTACAGGTGTAGGGGACGGGTAGTCCTCTCGTTCAGTTGATATGAATTGCTCCTCCCTCTGACTTGAATAGCATACGTTTAATTTCAGACTCGTGCATATTGAGGTGTGGTTTCTAACCACGAAAGCTGCAATGACGTTGTTTCAGTGAAGGTTGAGGAAATCTTTCAAGTATGACATAGCCCTTACATTGTTCCTCTACTTCATGTTGCGAGGGGAAAATCCTCACAGCCTTGAGTTGCATATTCCTGCCCCAGTACGACCGGCTCATTTGACTGTCTAGTGTGTCTTGGCGACTCCTACATGTCTGAGTGGCTGCGGCTAATGGCATAGTGTCTTGGTTGTGTGTACTAGAGTTCGGGATAAGATGGTGAGCTTATGTCAATAAACCCGAATACGCACTAAAGGTGCCCAGCCATCTCACTCGTACCGAGCTCCGAAACTCCGACTTTCAGAGCATGCTTATGAATTAAGGATTTCAATCAGTGGCTAGAAGTCTTGGAAGATGGTCTAATGTGCGATGAAGTACGCAAAAGCTACTACACAGCCTTCAAGTTGCGCGTTCGCAACATCAAATGAATGAATGATCTCCGCTTGGCGAACATAGAGTCAAGCCCTGAGACTGCGCCGCAGTCTGTTCATATACAATATCACAGAAACACTTATGATGTTCATTCTTGGCGTTGGGATATAAGGTGCCGCCCACACCTCTTGGTTGTTGCCCCGATCAATCATAACTACACAACCAACAATCAAGAGAACCCAACAACTCAACTTTCACAATGAGGTCTATTTTCTCGTCAACGATACTTTTTCTGAGTTATTTTGCTGCTGCCAGCCCGATCAATGAGACTGCATACGATTATGTCGTCGTCGGTTCAGGGCCTGGCGGAGGTACCTTGGCGTAAGAATTGCTCTTACATACATCAATAACACTTGCTCACTTTTTCCAGTGCGAACTTGGCAAGAGAAGGATATTCTGTCTTCCTCATCGAAGCCGGCGGAAACAACGGAGACAACCCTCTTCAGCAAATTCCGGGCATGTGCGTAATGATGGTTCATCATCTAAGTGTCATGTGTACTAAGATAGTGTTGCAGGGCAGATGTGAACGCTGAAAATCCGGAAATGTCTTGGCAATTCTTCGTTTCGCACTACCGCAACGACACCCAGGCTCGTCGCGATCGCTATTTCACCTACCGTCTTGCCAACGGCACTTTGTGGTACGGCCTGGAACCGCCTGAAGGATCTACTCCGTAAGTGTAGTACTGATAAGATTCCTCATGCGATTGGAAACAACATTGCTTACTCCCCAACCAGGCTCGGCATTTACTACCCCCGAGGAGCTACTGTTGGGGGTTCTGCAATCTCTAATGCCATGAACGTCGTACTACCGCCTGACAACGACTGGAACTACTTTGCTGAGATAACAGGAGACGAGTCCTGGGCATCTGATAACATGCGACGACATTTCATGGAACTGGAGCGGAATACCTACGTCCCGGAAGGAACCCCAGGCCACGGTTTTGATGGATACATCTCGGTAAGAAGTCCACAACCCTTCGTGTCGTTGTCATTCAAACTCATCAACATCAGACGAACCGAAACAATATCTCATATGTGATCGACCGCCCCGGTGTTCTTCGCGTAGTGCAGAACGCGATCTCGCAGACAGAGGAAACTGAAATCCCCAGCGTTGACCGGGTAGTGGAACTGATGGAAAGGGATTTGAACCGCCCTGATTCTAACCGCTATGAGATACCTGGTCTCTACCAAATACCCCTTCATATTGACGAAAGACGACGAAGGAGCAGCCCTTGGAATATCATTGCCGAAACTCTGGGCGCCAGGAAGGAGGATGGCTCACCACTTTATCCTCTAACCCTAAGCACTCACAGTTTAGCAACTCGTGTTCTGACTCGAAAGGTCGGTTCCATCGTCAAGGCATACGGTGTGGAGTATGTTGTCGGTGAAGGCATGTACGAAGCTGATCGCCGTTACGACCCGTCTTTTGAGGGGGAGTTGAGGACTGTGAAAGCCAAGAAAGAGGTCATCGTTGCTGGTGGAGCCTTCAATACCCCTCAATTGCTCAAGCTCAGTGGTATTGGACCGCGTGAGGAATTGGAGCGTTTTGGTATTGACGTCCAGGTCGAGCTTCCCGCAGTGGTGAGTAGCGAATCCTTGCTTATCTTCCGTGGCGCTATCCTAACAACAGAATCAGGGAGAATACCTCCAGGAAAATTATGAAGCTGGCATCAACATTCGTTCTGCGACTTTGTGGGAGAACAGCCGCTTCCTGGAGTGCAACCCGGACACTGCAGAAGCCGATCCTTGTCTTCAACAATGGCAGGCTGGGTACGGCCCATACGGCGAGGGGGCAGCGCCAATGTTCATGCTATACCGAACGAACCAGTCGAAAAACGCAGACGCTGATCTTATCATGTTCGGAGGAGCAGGCGGTGTCTTCGATGGACATTATCCCGGCTTCAGTCAGGTCTCATGGCCACCTTCGTCTTTCTTCTGGGCAGTCGTGAAGATGCAAAACGGCAATCCGACGGGCACTGTCAGGTTACGATCAGCCAACCCAAGAGAAGCACCAGAAATCAACTTCAACTTCTTCCAGGAGGATGCTAATGTTGACATCACTGCTCTCTCCGAAGGCATACAGCATCTCATGTCGGTTATGAACGCAACGGGAGAGCCTTACCAACCGTTTGAGATTATCGACCCGCCATCTGATCGCTCTCTTGAACAACACATCCGAGACCATACCTGGGGACACCATGCAGCTGGTAGCTGCCGAATGGGAAGAAATTCGTCAGACAGTTGCGTTGATTCGAAGTTCAGAGTTCATGGAGTGCAGGGCTTAAGAATCGTCGACGGCTCGATCTTTCCAAGAGTACCTGGAGGTTTCCCCGTTGGTGCAACTTATGCTACCAGTCGGAAGGCCTTTCATGATATTGTGAGTGGGGGTATCTAGACGTAGCTATTCGTAAGCAATACATTTCACAGAGGGTGTCGTACCCAGCAATACAAGTCACTCTTTTAATGAAACTTGAATTTTGGAATCACAACATCCTCTCGGGCTTAGTCCGGTACATACTTAAATCAGCTTCATAACCTTGTCATACTCTGAAGTCTATAATACGTGCTTTCAAGAAAACTATCACAGGATAGCTGCAGATCACCGGCCACTACCACCAAAAGGTCTGCCAATCTGTTATGAGGTGTAGGGACGCTGGTAGCGGTAGTTTTGACGTCCGTTCGCCCGGCTTCTACCATCAAAGGAGGCCGGTCAGCGCCGGGGTTATGAGTCAAGCATATCCGACGTCACTGCCAACTTGGGACGGCCCATCGGCGTTAAGGGCCACTGAATTCGGCGCCGTCTAACCGGTCCTGTCTCTCTTGACTGCAAACTCTATAGTCGAACGATATCTTCGTTGCTTTAATGAGGACTCCATTATTTTCCAAGCAAGTGCCCGCTTCAAAGACTTGTTTACTGCTGTTAGAGGTAGTGCTTCTGTCCAAGAGGCGCTCGTTGCAGCTTTCCCGCAACCACACAATGCAACTACTAATATTTAACAAGAAGGTTGCAAATGCCCGTCGTTCCCCCAAATCATGGTTGCTTGTGCCCTTCGGAGCGCTGCGGCACGTCTTATCTGAGTACGGATAATGTCCAGCAATATGCAAGATCTTTCAAAGGTGACACCCCCCAATGGTTCATAACGACATCCCGAAGGGCTGGGTATAACATCCCACGAGATTGCGTGATAGCGGGGGGACATCGCGCTGGTGGGGCAAAGCCCGGTGAACAGCCCAGCACTGGAACGACAAGACTTTAAGTCGATTGCGCCTTTCGGAATTATCATCTTGAAGCTCCACCACATCTGGAAAGGGGCGCAATATAAGTCGAGATGCCACGCATAATCTTCATAGACCTCTTTCGTGATGCCGTTGAAGTCAGACGTGTTCACATTTTCCCGGCATCACAGCTTCCCTCCTCTTTTGAGTTTGACCTGGAACCATGGCCGGCGAAAAGGACGTTCAGCCCTCTGTGACGAGCGCTCCCAAAGCGAAGACCGTGACGGAAAAAAATGCGGATGTCACATTACGACTTCTCGAGCAACATGGAGACGACTTCGGGCCGTTGACTCCCGAAGCGGAAAAGAAACTGCGTCGAAAACTTTACCTCCGCGTGATGACGCTGTTGTCTGCCATCAACATCATGCTATTCGTAAGTACTGGAAGGATTCGCTTGACGTATGTCTTCTCTCAAGTATTGACCATCGACTGTTACGTAGGTTGACAAATCGACACTCGGATACGCTGCTATTTTGGGCCTTTTCGAGGAAACAGGTATTCGACAGGCGCAGTATAACAATCTAAACACTATGTTTTACGTCGGTGTGTAGCCTTTTCCCCAAGGAACCGAAACAACGGCTTGCTGACCACCAAAAAGGTTACTTGGCCTTTCAATGGCCGGGCCATTACCTTATGCAACGGTTGCCGTTCGGCAAGTATGTTGCTATCACCGTCTTCACCTGGTCGGTTATCATCTTCCTTCACTGCGTAGCGACAAAATACGCTGGACTTGTTGTAATGCGACTTGCCTTGGGCGCAGCAGAGGCTGTCATCGTACCTGCCATGGAGGTTACCATTGGCATGTTCTTCAATCGTCACGAGCAATCCTTCTTGCAACCCGTCCTCTGGATCACTTGCCAAGCGGCGCCTGTGGTCACCGGCTTCATATCCTATGGCCTTCTCTGGGCCACTGGTCCAGTTCTTCCATGGAAATTTCTTCATATCGTCACAGGAGGTCTCACACTCATCCTCGCTATCTGGGTGTGGGTAGACTATCCCAGTAACCCTGCTGAGGCGCGGTTCCTTACTCTAGAGGAGAAGGTGCAAGTCATTCGCCGTGTCCACAAGGCTCACCAAAGTTCCATTGAACAAAAGCAGTTCAAGAAGGAGCAATTCATCGAAACCATGAAAGACCCCGTCTCGTGGCTTTTTGCACTGCAATCCTTCACGCTGATGTACTCAAATAATCTCAACTATGGCCAGAAGAACCTCATCACAACCTCGATTGGCATCAAACCCCTAGGGTCAACCTTGGTCGCAGCGGCGGGAGGCGCATTTGGCGTGGCATGTTGCATTGTTGCCACGCTAGCTTTGCGCAGGTGGCCTCGCAACCTGGCTTTGCACGGGACAGTATGGTGTATGCCTGCGGTGGCAGGCGGAATAGCAATGACTACTGTCGACTGGGAACAGAAACTCGGTTTGCTAGCCTGTCTGATTCTCGCAGCGTCGACATACGGTGTCACCTACATCATCGCCCTTGGCTGGACTACATCCACTGCTGCTGGATACACCAAGAAGCTGACACGCAACGTCATGTTCATGCTGGGATACAGCGTCGGGAACCTTGTCTCGCCACAAATTTGGGTGCCGAGCAACGGGCCAAGGTTCTACGGTGCGTGGGTCTCCATGATTGTCGTCAGCTGGATTGGGACTCCGCTTATCCTCTGGATTATTCGCTTTATCCTGGCGCGGAGAAACGCTGAGAGGCAGGAGTATATTGCGGGCTTGAGTGATGACGAGCGGGAGGGATATGTTGAGCAAGTGGACGAGAACGGAGAAGTTATTCGGGTGAAGGTGGATATCGCCGTGCTGGACCTGACGGACCTGCAGAACAAGCAGTTCATATATCCTCTGTGAGATAATATGATGTAGGGGCTGACTGAATTGGACTGTACCAACCTGTCCTGGCTAGCGATAAATGAAACATACCCCCATGATATGTTTTTCAGATCCAGAATGTTACATCCCCAAGAGATAATGGGCCAGGGAAAGGAACGGTCGTAGCCATGCTTCATAAGCTCCATCCAGGGCCAAGCGCACGAAACATCCACTAGCTCGAGCCGATGACGATGGGTGTGAATCGAAATGGACATTGAACAGAATGAGATGTGGCGGCAAATGTGGCAAAGAAAGTTCAAGCATGAAAAAGGTATGAGTTAAGAGGAAAACGGATCAAGCAGACTTATCACAATGTAGGTACAAAGATACGAAAGGATGTCTGAGAGTGTTGAAGTCAACATTGGGGGACTTCGTATTAAGTATGTAATATTGGTGAATGGGTAATATTGACTCAGAAAAGATCAGTCATGCCCATCCCTCACTGCAGTCATGTCTCCCCTGACTTGCTGACTCGGGCGTTCGTGTTCAGCATGCTAGCGATTGGCATAGAGGGAGGCGAAGGGGAATCTTCTTCCCAGCCCCAAGCCTCTTTGAGTTGGACCCGTCTACAAAACTGTCAGCGTAAACACATCCATCATTGGTACAGGTGTGTACGGGGAATATCAAGAGGGAGCTCCTACGAAGCATGGGTCGGCCATCCAAGTCGTCTGTCGGTTTTAAGGAGAATTCTGTATAATTCTTCCTGTTCTTTCCGGTCGGTGAAACGATCGCCAGCCATTGCTATGGCTATGCATGCATTTCTGTGGACTCTGGGATTAGCTTCTGTCTACCTCGGACGCTTTCAATCTAGGATTTAACTCACACATATGCAGGAACCGTTCGTTCGTTTGCCTGTTTTTCAGGAAAGCAATGTCAGGTTGAGTGTAGTCTTGCATGCAGGTCGAACTTGGACGACATACCACGGCAAGTCCACATACGACACGGACCGTCTCTTTTAGCTCCTCCTCAGTTGTTCGAAAAGATGTTCCAAGCCTGGGGACTTTAGGATTGTGTGCAATCAACAACATTCGAGACAGATGATAGTTCTGCAGCCCGGTGACTGCGGCATCGGTGATATACTGCTCCTCGGGTAAAAATCCGGCATCTTGGTTCGCCCACATTGGTTGGAAGAACCACGGCTTTTCCCTCCACCAATCTTCCAGCTCTTGCTTCAACTCCGCATAAGTCCTACCATGATGGTTTTCGTGGCCGTAGCAGTGGCTGAGACACGCTGCGCAGATGGCGATGACTTTGTTGGCGTAGAAACAATCTGCGGCGTTCTCGTCCGCGTCGTTGCGTTCCAAAATCTTGCGTATGCTCGGAAAGAAGTTCGGATGTACAGGACGAGTGTGTACAAAGGCCATGTAAATCTCTTGGCGTAGCGCCAGCCAGAATGCCGATAGTCGAAGGCTACTAAAGTCAGCAGCGTTTGCCTGGGCCGCGAGGAGAATTCTTGTGCCCATCAAGTGGGACTGGAGAGCCATTGAACCCATGTCTACCTCTTCTGTGAAACGGAGAATGACCACGGCGGCCAACAGGTTATCGTCGACCACAGCTGTCGAAGATGACAGGGCCGGAATCAGCGACCGAAGACATCTTTGGTGATACCTGTCCGCGACGACGGGGTCGACGCCCATCGTACGGCTCAGTCTTTTCGCTGATGCCGAAAACATGGCATTCAACAAGGTCGGGCAGTACACTGCACGTTTAGGAACTATGTTGGCAAAGTGTCTCCCGCTATCGCATAGGTCGAAAAGCGGCGCAAGTATGTCAATAAAGTACCGATACAGGAACGCCTCTTGCCGGTCTCTGAGAGGCCACAAAGGCGTTTCGACGTAGGTTCGGTCATGGGGAGTAAGTGTCGCGTCAAAGTTCGGATCGATCGGTTCGAGTGCAAAGTGAATATCGTAATTGAGACCGCTTCCAATGTCCAAACGCTCCCATGGTATGACAATGGAGGCGGCGCTATGTGCGTTGCTCAAACTGCGCGTCTCGCCGTGCAACTCGGGTGAATGATTGGTCCCCGCTGGAATTGTTGAATTCGCTGTTCGTCTCGGTCTGGCTGGGCGTCGCTTCCTCTCGTTGCCGTACAGATCACCGTGTGACGCCCTGGTCGTCAACACGGAACTCCTGAAAGCAGGTTCTAAATTCTGGGAAGTAGGGTCCGGGACTGGAGATGTTGGTGCTGACAATAAAGCCAGATAATCTGGAGGCGAATCAGGCCGTCGCGGCGCTCCTAGATAGAAACTTGGCTGTCCATCGCCGTCACCGTGTGATCCGATTGCCGAGGCGTGGATGTTGACAACATCCTCCGTCTCGTCGACGAAGCTGAAAGATCGATTCGAGGTCCGCACCCAAGTCTGATTGTTGGAAAAGCTGTACTCGCTGCGGGCAGCTCCTGTTCCCTTTTCTGGCTGAACACTGATGGAAAGAGTCTTGCCTTAGCCTTTGGATCCTTTACACAGAGCAAGATTAAAAGCAGTCAGAAGCACCAACCTAGGGTTTAGCGTGTGCCTAAATCTGACAGAATAGCCGCGCGTGCACTCTACGCCAGACTTGCGACAGTTAGAGCAGGTTGAACGACTGGAATCACCTGATTTTGGTTAACAACAGACCGTAAGATCAGGGTAGTGTTCCTTGAGCTCGAGGGGAAGCAGCATGGCTACATCCCCAACGCTCAGTGGTCAGGTCGCCAGTCGACTGGCACAGGAAAAATGACCAGTCGGTATTCGCTGAAGGGGGCGGCTTACATTTGAGATGCCTAGAGCGTGAAGCCAGCAAGCCGGTTAGATAACACTTTTTGTGATAAAACGAGGATATTGGTGTAAGGTAATCGGCATGGGGAGGCAGGCCGCATCAGCCCTAGATGTGAATGAATAGCTGGGAAATGGCGCAGCGTGTGGGCAGGACTCATCCCACCGGTTGATATCCCACCGGAGGCTACTCACCTTAACCTGCAAATCTATAACACGAAGTGCATTATTAGCAAGCAGTCGAGCCGGCGGCGCCTTGAACTTCAGTTGGCTTCAAGAGGCAAGTATGTGTGAATACTTTCCATCTCATCCCTAGCGGCGAGAGAAGCCAGATATGGCAAACACCAAGCCACAACAAAACAGGAAAGACATGACAGACAGGGAAAGACTTACGTTACACGGATTTGTTCGGGTTTGAATTCGGTTCACGTTTTGGACCCGCCTAGCGCCGGACGCATCATGCATCGCTTCGAAGCGACGACGTGCGGACGCCGTAGATGTACAGAAGACAATGACGTACAGGAGTTAGCGGGCAGATATTTGCTACTGGTTGACGACGTGGGATTCATGGGGGGGAGGAGAGACACCAGGTGGTTGTGTGTGGTTTGCGGTGGAGGCGAGACGTCTGGTGCAGCGGTGGCGCCCCGGCGAAGTCTGCAGTTCTCGGTTTATGGCAACTTTGGGAATTGCTGAAATAGCGGGTTAACGGGCTAGTAGAGCCGTCTCGGCCCAAGCGGGAAAGTCAAGGCAACGAGTTGGCTCAGAAAAAAGCAAGGGAGAATGGTGGATTGAAAAGGGGTCAAATAGGAAGTGGGAGGGAATTAGTACCAAGTTGCCTATTTAATACTCAGTCGGCAACTTTCCCCCGCTCCGTATACATCCACCGCCCAACTCCACAGGCGCCGCTCCAACCTCGTGGCGATTTCCTGCTGCATCGACGCCGGGGAACTCCTCAGACAGAGAGTCCCACGAATTGCAATCTGCGAGAAAAGCCAGCAGGCTGAGCTGTCAGTCTAGTGTAAGTGTAAGACCAAGGGGGAATCTGGGGTAAGCGGCCTGACTCGGCTCGTCTGAACTGATTACCTCATGTTGGATGCGCCGGTACGGGTACATTGCGCTTGGTATTAAAGTTCGATAACTCTAGTTCACGACATCATATCACCTTCTGCTTCCCCGGGTTTGATATCAAACGGAATTATCCCGTCTCAAAGTCAATTTCGCCGAAAACGAGCATGCTTCATTTGCGTGATACGGGGTACGATCATACGTGTATTACTGCACAGTCGGGGTTGCCCCGGAGGTACTCTTGCAGCCTGTAAAAGCTACTAGGGTACTACTGTATGGCTCTCTGTTTCGATAGAAGGAAATGTGCGTATATTTTCCCCGGACGTTGATGCTGGAGCTGTGTTGCGGCTTGATGAGCTCGCCTCTTTCAACAGACTCAGACAGATGTCGGCGGTGTGCTACTTGGATACGAAGCCGAGATCATTTCAGCTACTGCGGTTAGCACCACGAACTCGGAACCAACTCAAGCTCGTCTGAACAAGACCTCGTTGCGTCCACAACATCCGATCGGCCTTCTTCGGTACCATGGTTGCGGGAGCTACAGCGGACGCTTCAGATGAAAGATTCAATGTTGCCATACACGTCGTCGGCCCCGGTAACTTCTAGGCAAGTTCTCAGGTCACTCCATTTTCCCTAGCACCAACAACAGGCGGCCGCCTCGTCGTTAGCCCCGGTGTACGGGGCAGGGTCCTCTGATATACCCCGGAACTCAAACATATCAGAGGCAACCAGGGCATTCCGGAAACTGAAACGGAGAGAATTCTTTACCGATTATTGAGTCGTAAATTGTTGGATTTTGTCTCGAAAAGTCAGGAGATCGCAAGTTTGCCTGGACACTCTACACGTCACGGGCAATGGGCTAGTCAGCTACGGCGTCAGCGCCGGTTTTGCGCACGTCCAATGCGCGTGGCGCTTCGTGGTGGGAGATTGCGCCATCCCGGCTATCATTCTAGCGAGTACTGTTTTGGTTCTCAGAGTCTCTTGAACATCCTGTATATCACGAGAAACCTGAATGAACCTCGGAAGTCAATAAGACTGCGGTTTCTAACAAACAAGATGGAAAGTCAAGTGAGAGTGAAGTTCGAAAAAGGGAACCGTCGCTACCCGAACAGCTCTGCGCGGTTGCTACAGCCCTACGCGTCGTATCTCGGCTTGTTGTGTTACGTGCGCCTCGCAGTCAGGGGGCTTCAGCTCGTGTTCTTCGCTCTTTGCGTATTGGCTTCAATAACCAGCTCGATAACGATCGGAACTATTCTTGCTGGGTGAAACTCTATCTTTAGTTTTGTCGATATCCTGCGTAATGACAAGGTTGGGCGACAGAGAATTTCTTTTTGCACGGGGCAGTTCATGAAATCCCGCTGATTACAGGCACGGCGTTCAAGTGCTGTGAACACCGATCAATCATGTTGTATCTCTCGGAGCCGGAGTCACGGTTGGACCTCCCCTCACTATGACCCTCATGAACATTATCTTTTTCGGTGTGTATTTGTCAGGTATCGGTAACACATCCAATTCAAATACCTGGTGTGTTCTGTCCTATACTAGGACACGGCATTCGAATGATGACCTACAGGAGTTCCGAGTCCCGACTTTATTGTCGCCTCTTCCTACACAATGTGAGTAGACAAGGTGAGTCCCATCTTGAATAAGTAGCACGAAGACTCTTCCGCATCATGTCGCTTAGAGCATGACTAATAAGGATAAATACTGTTGTTCTTTTAATGAGTACGAATGTCACATAGCAAATGAAACTGCTCACAACCGAAGACGTTCAGGAGTAGGGCTGAGAGAGTTCAGGTTTACAGTTCGACGGGCGGCGGTCGGTGGGGTGGTCCCGGCTTCGGCGTGTTTGGGAGGTATTCTCTAGAGTCCGGAAGGCCTGAGTATAAGCTTAAACCTGTACAGCCGTAGTCTCTAGAGTACAGGATGCAAGCAAGATCACCCACTTACCGCTGCCAAGTTTCTGATCTCATCAGACGAAGTTGAGGCGTATCGGAAGGCCCGGGTGCAGGCTTCAGAGTAATAACGACGAGTATTTGCGCGAATATGCGCAGAAAGTGTCCGCGGCGATGGCTTCGTGGTGATGATTCAGAGTACCAGGCTCTGTTTGGAATATGTCGATCTCTAGAAACCGCTCCAAAGGGAGGCAGACTCAAACGGGGGCGTCCTCGGAATATTTGTCCAACCACACTGTTCCGCCCACCTTCTAATTGCCGTAGTTTTTCACTGGTGTAGCTGACTGGGACGAACTGGGTAGTCCGTGACCCCGAAATCCACGTTCTTTGCTAGAATGTCTTGTTTGGACCGTGGAAGCGTACATCGTATCCAATACGGAGCACACACCCACCCGACGTTAGCTTAAGCGCACGCTCTGAGAGGTCAGAACGGTCCTGGACAGGGACAGGTCTTAGTCGCTTCGCAGGCGAGCATTACTTCCGCGGGGTAGCCTTCCCTGTCAAGCTACATGGTCTGTAGATGGACTTGCCTAAAGTAGACAACCGCGTAGTACTCGACTCCCTTTCGACGCGTCGATGTATAGGTAATCATTACCTACTAGACTGTAACACGGCTTCTTAGTCGAGTCCGAAAGAATCTCCCAGTTTCGGTTGGAGCCGATATCTCGGTATTCTTTTGCCCGCACATCTTTTTCCCGGCGGCCCTAGGTCAGCGTCGATTTGGGGCGTTGTGCATGTGGCTCTTACTACCTAGCTTCAGCCGGGGGGGATCCAAACCATCTCGGGACTGCCCGACGAGCCTAGCATAGTGCATAGGCCCGGCATATTGTAACTAATCTTTCTAGTCGATGTTGAAACGGCCCGGTTGACCGCCGGTACTGTCTGTTAAGGCACGGGCTGACATGACTCCAGAGGGTGACAGGCGCCTGCACCTTGGTAAGAGTTCTCATTGTGTGCTTCACTCTATTCCTCAGACTCTAAACCGAGAGGAGACCCTTGAAGAAGTACCAGCTAAAACCTGTGGACCGTACTTACAGCAAGTGTACCACGGTTGCATTGGAAAGAGAGTCGTTGCGGAGGTTCCCGTGGTGGATTAGAGAGAACGGCTTGAAATTGCGCGTATCATGGCAAAGTTATTTGAAGACTATTCTTGCGAACTTCTCCCAGCACGAGGAGATGGACTTTACAGTTGGTAGATCTTGATTGGCAGTGGTCAAACCTTGTCCCAGGGTCTGGCTAACAGAATCTGTAGAGAATTGCTGGATACGGTCAACCCAGGCCGATAGAAAGGCTACGATCCCGATTTCGTTCCGAGCCGACCGACACCGTTGAATCCCTGGCACCATGTATTCATCGTACTTAGGATTCCGGGCGTAGTTGAAAGCACGTACTGTTGCATGAGTAGCTGTTGCGTCGTTTCATTGACGAACCAGGGAAAAAAACATTACGTGTGTGGTTTGTTTCTGACGCCGAGTCAATCGATGTAAGTAGCGACTGCCATAAAACTCGAAGTTTAGCAACCGAGAGAATCCCGAGCAAAGTAATGTGAGGAAGCAGGCATGATGGGTAAGATTGACCAGTGTGGGAGCTTCATTATCTCAACCTATCCTCAGCAGTACCAGTGCGAGTGCACCGCTCGTTCTCTTCCACAGAGATTAGACATCTTCTGTCACCACGAGCATGCATTCCGGACATATTAGAGAACGATGGGGTCTAAGAATAAACACAGTTCAACGGGATCATGATTGCGTGCATTCCAGCCTCCTTACTAAGTTGAGGGCCGTGCCACAAGATCATCGGGTTTCCCCGGTTCCCGTAGCGAAGTAAGAGAGAGGTCTGGCTGTAAGATATCGTGGAACTCTGACTCGAACCTAAATCTCCCTACATGGCTCTAAAGTCCGTAAAATCAATTGGGATTGGCTGCATTCACCACTACGTATGCCAAACCCTTGTCGAGAATACGATCTCAAGTCTAAGATTTCAGTTGGCTTTGACACCCATGACGGCGCTTGGCTGGGGCGCCGACGACAGTTCAGTTCGAGAAATGGTTGATCTAGAAGCCGTCGGCCGGGAAGTGGAGGCAGGCGTTCCTTGTGGATCCTCGGTCTCTAGGACCAGAAATGGTAAGAATCGCCCCAAAAATGGTCACCGAGTAATGACGAAATCCAGGCCCTAGAGTTAGCTGAGGTTCGAAACAGGTCCGGAGATCCGACGAAGACTTCAGCAAGTCGGCGGACGAACTACGGTGCCGCGGGAAATTCTTTGACGGGGAAACCCTTTCCCGGTTAATGATGGACCGTCTTTGGGCTGTTGGGTAGGAACTGTGTAGGTCGCTAACGGAAAGATCCGATGCTTCAGTCGAGTTTCCGGTGAAGATGTCGGTGAGAGTCTCTCGTCGGTGAGACAATCGCTGGGTGTTCGGTGAAGCGGAAGCGGAGCCTCGGTAAGCTTTCGGTCAACCACATGTTATCGGGGTCCGTTCACCGCTGATAAGGCAAATGCCCCACTCTGATCGCCCAAAATTTTGACTTTTGGTAGGACGACCTGGGGACTTTTTTTCTATCGCCAAAAACAAATCATCAACCAAACAGCCCATCCGCAGCCAATTGCCCCCAGAGGAAAAAGCCCGCAATCATGGCCGGATCGACAAAGAAGAGAACAAACGACGGCCGTCTGGCGCCCCCTTCCAAGAAGCAAAAGAGGCAAGAGAAGAAGCAAGTCGAGGCGGCTTCCGATAACGAGGAGAGCTTCGACGCGGTCAACCTGCTCGACTCCGACGACGATGACATCCTCAATGCGACTGTTGACGATGGCGCTCACACAGACGACAACGACTCAATGAGCTCTGGCGACGAGCGCCCGGCTCCCAAGAAGAAGTCGACAAAATCCTCCAAGACGACAAAGTCGAAAAAGAGCAGAGATGCACCCCTCGATACCGACGAATTCGAGTCTGGGTCAGAAGAGGAAGACTCAGATGGCGCACCGCGCAAGAAAAACAAGCGAGATGATCCCTCCGCGTTCGCGACATCCGTTTCGAAGATTCTGTCCACAAAGTTGTCTAACTCGAAACGCGCGGATCCCGTCCTCGCCCGCAGCGCTGAGGCACACGAATCAGCCAGGGCTGCCGTTGACACTGCACTCGAGAGCAAGGCTAGGAAGCAGATGAGAGCCCAGAAGAAGGAGGCTCAGGAGAAGGGACGCGTGCGCAACGTCTTGGTCGCGGGCGAGGACGAGGGCACGTCAACGGGGGAGATGATCGAAGGCGAGAGGAGGCTGCGCAAGGTGGCGCAAAGGGGTGTGGTCAAGCTATTCAACGCTGTGCGCGCAGCACAGGTCAAGGCGGTCGAGGCGGAGAAGAAGGCGCGCAAGGATGGTGTCGTGGGTGTAGTGCGGAGGGAGGAGAAGATCAACGAGATGAGCAAAAAGGGTTTCTTGGACCTCATTGCGTCTGGCGGTGGAGGACTCAAGAAGGGTGCGCTCGAGGAGGCTTAAGGTGGCTTGAGAGAAGTAATGCCATGCCGATTGCCTGGATATGGCGCGGCCAAGTTCTTGTTTCTTCAAATGTGTGCTTAGAGGAGTGATGCCATTCCCTCCCATCGTCCTTGATACCCGCCAATATCTAGCAAAAGCCCAAGCTTGATGTATCCGTCCCCAATCCGTGATGCCGTGTTTGATGAAATAACACGCCCTTTTCTCCAGAACCCCTCCTTTTTCTTTCGCGGTATTGCATGCTATAGTACAGATGATAATTAAATAATGAGGTATGCAGCCAACGCCTTGCTGGAAAGTTTCTCATCAGGAAAAGTCGCTGGCCTGAAGATTGCGGGTCATTGGTGGCAGCTTGATCCTGAGGCCGTCGAGCTCCTTTGTCATCGTCACCTGGCATCCCAGCCTACTTGTCTCAGTGAGACCAAACGCCAGATCGAGCATGTCGTTCTCGTCGTCCTCGGGCTCAGGCATTTTCTCGTAATGTTCTTCGTCCACGACAATGACATGGCAGGTCGAGCAGGCACAAGATCCTCCGCAAGCACCTGGTTCGCGTCGTCAGACACGTTGCTTTTTCAATTATGGAACTGTTGACGTACCTTCCATCTCCAAGTCGTTCTCTTGCGCAATTTCGAGGAGGTTGTCTCCTTCGCTGACAGCGATCTTGTGTTCATCGCCATCCTTATCGACGAAGGTCACCCACAGCCTGAACCAAAAGTCAACAACAGTCCTGGCAACCCTCAATATGACGGCTTACTCTTCGCCAGGCTTCGGAGGTGTGATGTGGCCATGCGGCTTCACAGCCGAGACCGAGAAATTGCGCGCCGAGGGCCATTGCATGCGCCTCACCGCCGGGACTTGTGTCGTCCTCGAGGGCGCCGCCGAGCTAAAGAGGGATCGAGTCTGTCGCTGCAATGGACGAGCCTGCCTGCTTGCGCTGGCGGCGAGTCTGCAGAGGGATCTGGGGGAAGACATGTCGCTTGTCCGTTCTCGGCGGACTTTTCTTCGGTGTAATCGCGAAAAGGGTTGAGTCGGTTCGGATGCGCTGGAGTCGGTATTCGAAGCTTATAAGGGGGTCATGTACCCTGGTTCTGGACTGCACTGACGTCGGCAGAGCTGGTAAGCGGTCATTCGTCGATGTTTGCTTCGTTGGTGGCGCTGTGAGCAAACATACCAAACTTGTTGGAGGGCTTTAATGAGTGCGCAAGGGACCGATGGGGATGTATTGGATTCAGCAAAATTTCTATAGGTTCGTCGCCCGCGCGGGAGCTCCGATAAGGCCCGCACCCCTCGGCCTTATCGGCCGGCGACTCGCGATGTTCCTTCTCCGGCGGTACCGTCCCCGCGGATGCCGCGGTTACTTAGCCGACTGATGGTCCGGGCACAGCGCGGCTACTTTGTCATCTTTTTTTTTTTCCCTGTGGCTGGGTAGGCGCCTAAGATAGGCGCCCCCCGCTAGTCTTATCTCCGAGGATTCCCATTTCATCATGCAAATTTGGGTGCTTAAGTGGGAAGTTGCCGGAATCATGCATCGGTGAGGGTTGAGGCACAAAACACCACTCATCCGCCCAACATGTCGACACCAAGAGAGGGCGTAAACCCCCTCAGACCATACTACAAGCCTCCTACCATCGGCGAAGCTCCCGATCCGACATCTGCTGCTTCGGCTCCCAACCCGTTCGCCCGCCATGCTGCCAATGCGACCAGCGAGAAGTACGCCTCCAAGGCACGCGACATATTTTCCGACATAGATTACAAGGACTACATCAGCGAACCGTCTCCCTCTGTCGTTCAGACCGTCAAAGACCTCGTTGATGAGCTTTTATGGAAGTACACGTCCGTTCTTATGGCACAGCCCTTCGAGGTGGCCAAGACGGTTTTGCAGGTTCGCAGCCATGATGATCTGACCTTGAGCCCCGCGGTGCCGACGCCTATCACCACACCGGTGCCAGAGAGGAGGCAGCCCGCCTATGGGAGCCCGATGTACGACGAGGCCGAGTCCGACTCTGATCTGGACGAGCCTGCATACTTCACCCAAAATCTTCCGGCCACACCGTCCCCTTCGCACTCCAGAGACCGCCGAAACCGCCAGCCTTCCCCTCCCCGAACACCGGCTGCCAAGGAAGCGATCCCTCCGCACCAGCTTACCATACGCCGAGCCGATTCGTTGATGGAAGCCATCGGGCAGCTCTGGCAAAAGGAGGGTGCATGGGGCGTGTGGAAGGGTTCCAACGCAACGTTCCTCTACTCCATTCTCTCTTCGCTGCTGGAGAACTGGTCACGAAGCGCCCTCAGTGCCTTGTTTAATGTTCCAGACCTCGGTGTCAAGGAGGATATTGATCGTCTGATTGACATCGCGTCACCCTATCCTTGGGCCTCGTTGTGCGTAGCCGCCGCTGCCGCCGTTGCAACTGGCCTCATTCTTGCACCGTTGGACCTGGTCCGCACAAGGTATGTCATGCAACCCTTCACGACTGCATTTTGAGGCCTTTGCTAACCCTTGGTAGACTCATAGTCACCCCGACTTCAAAGCAGCCTCGACGAACACTGTCCACACTCCGAGCTCTCCCCTCCTACGTCTGCCCTCCGCTTCTCGTCATTCCCACGGTCCTCCACTCGCTGATTCACCCGCTCCTCACCCTCTCTACACCGCTGGTCCTCCGCACGCGATTCCTGATCGACAGCCGTGTTTCCCCAACGACCTTTTCTGTCGCCAAGTTCTGCGCCTCATCCGTCGCCTTATTCGTCAAGCTTCCTCTTGAAACTGTCCTCCGACGTGGCCAGGTCGCTGTCCTGTCCACCGCATCCCATGTCCGCGCCCTCGCCGGAAACGACCATAAGTTGGAGACGATCGTCCCCCCTGGACGCTACAACGGTGTCTTGGGCACCATGCTCTACATCATGAACGAAGAAGGCACCCGAGCGATTCCTGCCCCGCCCGCTACGGTTAGAAAGGGCAAGGCCAAGCCCAAGGTCGCAGAAACAGTCTTCCGAAAGGGCCAAGGACTCGATGGCCTCTGGCGTGGATACAAGGTCAGCTGGTGGGGTTTGGTTGGTCTCTGGACCGCGGGAATTATTGGAAACAGCACCGAGGGTGAGTTCTAAGCACCGGGATATCAGATCATGAATATCCGCAAGTCATCCGCTACACCACCACCACCACCACCACCCACTGCTACGGCCGGCTGCGAGTTCAAAAGCGAGAAAGCGGGGACATAAGACGAAAAACTGCATTTTTGTTGAGCTAGACATGTACTGGGACTCGGCAACTTCGGGCGTTGAGGACATTTCTGGGGACTCTGAACAACTCTCCTCCACGACGACCATGATGAGATACGGTATGATATCCTCCTTCTAAAAACTGCTACTGTATAAAACGAGTCAATTCAAAGAACAATCCCCATCCGGAAAACGCTTTCCTTGTTTTCTACGGTCGCAATTTGTCTTCAGCTAGCATCTTGCGCTGAGCCATACCCCTAATAGAAACTCGTGCATTAATTTTAGTTCCTCTTACTGTGTATTCGTCACCTCAACCTCACGTGCATCATGTCGTGCGGCGAGCCGTGTCACGTCCCCGTCACAATTAGACCCGACCCGTATCTGTGGGATTTCGCTAGAAACTTCTCAGTACGACTTGGAGGCTGGCTCAGAGGGGACAATGATGGGACCGAGACGCCCACGAAGGAGGTATGGTAGGACGGGTGCCTGCATCGAGGATGAACTGACGCTGCTGGCAGTCACACATCGGGGGCTTATTGTGGTAGTCGTTCCGGCGAAAGGGACTTCGGATTGAATCTATTGTTTTAGGAGTTGATGACAGGAAGAGGGGCAGAGCAAGGGCACCAAAGTGCCGCTTACGCGCGCCCCCTGCCAAGGTCGTCGTCTGCATGCCTCGCTTCATTATCCGAGGCTCAAGGGGGGAAAGAGGAATGTCGCGGGCCGGAGTGTTGGTTCTTTCGGTTCGTATGGGATTCCGGCTGCCTTAAGATGGATGATGACAGGCTGACGGGGGCAGGGGGCCTTGCAGATATCACTTTGGGTGGCTTGGGGTCTAGAAATGGAGGCGATGCTAGGCGACCGCGATGAGTCCATCACAAGACCACCGCAGAACTTGATAAAGCTGCGCCATGGACCAGACACTCGTAAATGATTCCAAGCAAAATCAATCATCACATCTTACCGTGTCTCACTTCTCGGCTCCACCACCACTCAATTTCCCAGACATCGCAAAGCAAGCAATCATTCACAATGGCTCGTTCGTCTCTATTCCCTCTCACTTCGGCCTTCAATGCCTTTCTCCTCAGCTGCATCATCCTCAAGCATGTCGCACTCGGCGTGGCCCGCTCAACGCTGAGACATGCATGCATGGCAGTTCTCTTCCCTGTCATGCTCCTGCACGTTCTCATCTTTGAGGGTTGAGGCACGTCTCTCGCCCAAACACAAGGGCGTTGTCACGATGTCGCCCGCCTTTCTCATCTTTACCCGCCAACCGGTATCGACAGCATTCAGCACACACAAATCCGCACCGGCCCTAACACCTCGGTCTTCGAGATTTAACTTCTTGTCCCTCCCTGAGTTGTTGGCAATCGTTGGCTAGAGCCAAACACCCCCCTCAGCAGCTGGTGGCAGGCAGGCCGCTGCCGCTGTGCTGGCAGAACCAACGACAGCCTCATGGCTTTTCATCGGTCAGGACCATTGCCGCTGTCATGTTGTCCTCGTGACGCGCAAAAATAAGCCGGCCATGCTTTGGTTAATGGTTGCCTCTGCCAGCTGATTGTTCCCGCTGGTTCATGGCATGTGGTTATGATATGTTGGTCAATCGGACGCAAAGATATATTGCTTTCTACTATGTTTTCGTTTGACGCAATCACGACATGGCGTTGAGCCCTAAGCAACAGTGGCCATGGCTAGGCCGTTCTGCGACGAATGCGTTTCCTCCAGCGCCCCGGCGGACGGGAGACAGTGCAATCAGCCGTCTTTCCGGCGCTGCGGCCTTGGGATTTAGCTAGCTACATCAAATAAATCATTGTTCTGCCAAGTTTCTTCGTCTTACAAGGGGCGGCATAGCTATCCCTTTTGGGTCATGTCAACACCATAGCATCACAAATTCGGACGTCTGGTGAGACATTTTCGTCTCCTAATTAAGCCAAAACGCCGATTGCGGTGGTCAAAGACATGCCTACTGTACGAATCCCACGGGCCCGACTGCGTGGTGATAGTATTATGTGAGCTACGCGTGGTGTTCGCATGGCGAAACTGGTCCCAACGATCTATGTAAGTCGCTGACAACTACTAACGTCTAGACAACTAAACTACTTCGAGATGATGGCCACGGACGAATTATACCATGCTTGGCGCGATCTACTCTAATCCAGGCAAGGCTTCTGAGTCGGCCTCATGACCGAGAACTCTCCCTCGTGTTCATCGTGAGTATGCCCCTCTCGACTCGTTCCTGCCGAGGCCTTTTGTGTCATAAAAGTCAACGATTGGCTGCAGGTTCCAATGGTGGAATACGTCAAGTTGAGACATGTGGCCCCAGATTTACTCAGTATCGATCTTGACGGGCGACCAGACTGCGGAATAGCGCTAGTCGGCGAGTAACTGAGACTGTGCCATGAGGATACAAGGATTCGGCCAGCCCAGACTTTCCATTTTGTGGAAGATGGTGGCCGAGGCTCTCCAACACATTAGTCGCATGAACTCTGACAGCTCAACATTACATTGAAATTGACTTATGCAGTAAGTGGTATGGTTGACTGTGCGTTATTACTCACGAGTACCCACGGGAGGCACACTCCGAGCACACGTCTCTCGTTAAAGGTCTGAAGTGACAAACTTCCTTGCTCAACTACGAAACTGGAGAGACGCTTGTAGTTCTGGACGATATGCTACGTTGAATTCTCGCCACAACGGATCTCATCTCATTACCGAATTGGATACCGATGGCCGTGGCAAGCCACATGGCCAGGTTCTAGACGCGGGGCAGGTTTCGCGACTAGTTTGCCCTCAGTTGCCGCATTCGAGCAACACTAAACCTTATGACAGGCTTTCTTGAACGGCCGAGAGACTCATTCGTGGGAATTAGTACTCTCCTTCCTCATTCAAAGATTGTGGCGTGTTATGTGGCTTCAGCTGTATCTGGTTTCGGTAATATTTCGTTGGCAGGATTCTTCGAAGCTGACTTCAATCCTGCAGATATTTCCATATGCCCGGAGCTCTCAGCGAGACCCATGGTACCCCGATGAGAAACACAACCAGCCCGGTCCTACTCCCTTCCATTCACTAATATCGCATGAGAGGAGACTCCCGAGGGGGTTTGTGTCTCAATCTCTCCCTTTCTCGCCCGTATTTACTGCCGGAAGCCAATCTGGAGAACCATCTCGGCGACATTGCGAGTATAAGACTTGGACATCAGCTAGTATGTGAAAGACCTTGGAGCGGAGCATCATCAACTACTTCACGAGCCTTCCCAGAGTCACACTTCAACTGCAGATTCATTTTCATTTAGCATATCTAACCATCATCTCGCTCCTTTCGAATCAAGATGGGGATGCATACGACGTCTGGTCTTTTGGTCGCCTTGGCATCAGTCGCTTCCGTGGCCGCACATGGTCATGTCACCAACGTCGTCGTCAACGGTGTCTCTTACAGAAACTACATCCCAGTTCAAGACCCTTACAACAGCAACCCACCCCTTGTTGCTGGATGGTCTACCAACCAACGCGATAACGGCTTTGTTGAACCAAACAACTACAATCAGCCAGATATTATTTGTCACAGAGAAGGGGCATCTGGCAAAGGGCGGATAACAGTTACCGCTGGCGACACGATCCAACTGCAGTGGACTGAATGGCCCGATAGCCACAAAGGGCCGGTCATGGACTTCCTTGCGAACTGCAACGGCCCATGTAACGGTATTGACAAGACTGCTCTTCGATTTTTTAAGATCGATGGTGCCGGCCTTATAGATGCTCCCCAGCAGACCAATAAATGGGCCGCTACCGCTCTCATCGACAACGGCAACGCCTGGCTTGTGCGCATTCCGGAAAACATCGCTCCAGGTCACTACGTCCTCCGCCACGATATCATCGCCCTTCACAGCGCTGGTCAGTCCAACGGAGCGCAGAGCTACCCTCAGTGCATCAATCTTGAAATCACGGGAGACGGCACGTATTATCCACCTGGAGTTCCCGGCACTGCGCTGTATGGAAAGGACGATCCTGGTATCTTCTACAACATCTACCGCGACAAAGTCAATGACTACGTCATTCCAGGGCCATCAATCATCTCGGGCGGTGTTTCCATGCTCCCACAGAGCAAGATCACAATCACTGCGTCGGGAAGTGCCACTCCTTACGGCACAAGCCTTGCCTCATCGATAAAGGCCTCTAACAGTGTTATCACATCCAGCTCTCGTGGCGCTATCACTTCAGCTTCTGTCCAGCCCCCGAAGAGCGTTGCAACTTCTGTGGGAGCAACCAATGACTACACTCCATCAACTAATACCGTCGTCCCTCGACCGACAACCACACCGACGACTTTATCGACACTTCGGACGTCAAAAAGTGTCAGCACACAGGCCCCTTCCAGCGACGAACAAACCCAAGGGCTGTACCAACAGTGCGGTGGCAAGGGATACACTGGCCCATCGAAGTGCCCGCAATATGCAGCTTGTTCCACCATGGATGCTTACTATGCGCAGTGTAGACCAACTCCTGTCTCAGGAGGAGGTCAGCCATTGTATGCGCAGTGTGGTGGCAACGGATACACAGGCGAGACCAGCTGCGTGGCGGGTTCTTCTTGCAAGGTCATCAACCCTTGGTACTCTCAGTGCCTTCCATAATGGTGATTTAATGGGGGAAAGAAACCAAAATGGCCGGCGATTGATTATATGTTGAAATGCTAGATGCCATGGAAGAGACAGCGCCTAAGTGCATGGTCTTGAGGGGTGACCTTTCTGCAATCTTCCTGTATGATTTATCTCCTGAGGATCATATGCAAAGTCGCTTCTTATCCGAATACAAATGATAGGAAATGTCTGTCAAACAGCAATCATCCATGTCGAGCGCCAATACTGAATCCATAGTATACACAGTACGCCCGATTACTGCATTTGGATATGTCTTCAACAAGGTCTTGTGGTACGACAAGTATGTAGCTAACCAGGCATGAGACATCATCAGAGTCACAGCTATGAGCAAGGTATAAAAGGCCTTGTCACCCACGCGAAAGCTGCAATATCAGCAGACCTCATTTAAACAACATCAAGGCTAGATTTTGACAGCTGTAGCACGAAACCTGGCAACTCTTCTTTCTATACTTGTCACTCTAGTACTTGATAGATACGGAAAATCATGGCACTACATTACGTCCAACTTTGTATCGTACTCTTTCTACTACATGTGTTTGCTTTGCCGCAGGGAAACCAGTGCGGAGTTACCACACGATCATACACAATTGATGTACGTCTAATGCCTTGACGTAGAATATTGGGATGTCGTTAACAAAGGTGATAGTTCAACCAAACTGGTGCCAACGACCCTGTGTGGCCTGGGGCCCCTCTGCTCCAAACTCCTTACTTGGGCCTGCGATACAGCGGATTCGGCATTGAGAATCTGAGAGACCAAGACAAACGATTCAGTGGTCAGTATCTCGTCTATGGTGAACCGACAAAACTCCCAACGCGTCGAGACCATCTGATCAGCAAGGATTACGACGGATCCCCGGTGACGACCTTTAGCTTGGAAGAATTTCGCTTCAAGTGTGTCGCCGCCATTTCGGAGCCTAAGAGACGACGATGCAAGATCACTTTGACCGGCGTTAGGGAGGATGGCAGTGAGATTGTCCGTAGCTGTGTGAGTGATTGGACGGGGACTGATGGCAGCTTGATGTTGTGTGATACAAGGGGGCTCGATGGTATTCAGAGGGTAAGGTTCAAGACGACAAGTCGAGAACCTCCCACAACTGAAGTTAGCAACATGAACCTGATAACTGTGATAAATAGTCTGAAGTTCACAGTCAGACAGCTCGTATGCTGAGGAATAGATATCACATCACATGATATCAGTTCTGTCGCGATGCGATAGACTCCCGAGGATTGCCGTAGGGCTGGCAAGACCGTTTCATTGAAGTTCCCAAGAATATCTGGCGACTGCAAAGTGCATGTTTCACTCATGAGAGCCCACTAGAGGGCCGTTACAACCATTAGCCTTTAGTTCGAGACTTTTCGGATACACCACAGCCGTAAGAGGTAGCTGGCTGAACATTTGAATAAAAATCAATTTTTATCGTCTTGAATAATCAAGGGCATGTTCTTAGCCATTTTAGATGATCTATGGCCCTTACATGTTAAGCATAATTGACGGTTCACTCATCGTTCCCATTGTCCAAGTCGGCATCAGAATCAAGGCCAGAATCCTCTGAATCCTTGCTCACCGAATCGTCACTGTCTCCTGAGCCGCTATCGTCCTCTGAGTTGTTGATGTCTGACGCATTCTCGATGTATGCGTTTTCTTCGTTATCAGAGTTGTTCCCGCGCTCAGAGTTGTCATCGTCCCCAAGGTAGTTGTTGCTTTTACCAGAGTTGCTGTGATCCCCAGAGTTCGTGTCGTTCTCAGAGCTGCTGTCGTTCTCGGAATTATTATCGTTGTCGATATTCTCGTCACCATCAAAGTTTATGTTATTCTGAGAATATTCTTCGCCCTCTGAGTTGTTGGTGGAATCCTCCTGGCGGGTATCGAGGGAGTTTCGTGTGACAATACCGGCTCCATCAATGGCCTTGGGCGAACGTCAGTTCGAGTAGTCCAGTAAGAACTCTTGCTGACTTACAGAGGCATCGCCAGATCGCTACAACGACTGTTAGTCAAGAGCTCATACGACGAATCTGGAAAGATGACACACCGCGACTAAACCATTATCGACCATTTTGGTTATAGGAATAGCCATAGAGGTGGCAACGAAGCAAGCCATACCAAAGGTAATAATCTGGCCAACATTGAGAATATGCATCTGTAGAGAGCTAAGAGAGCGTTATGGAAACAATGCGTAGAGTTTGAAACAAAAACGATTGGTATATAAACTTAATCTCATAGAATACCATGCAATTGAAGAAAACAAGGTGATTCCGAAGTTCGAAAAAGTCGGAAGATAGGTAGCACTTTTACTCATTTATACGAATTCTCCCGCAAAGATTATTTCCCAAGGCTTTCTAGATTATAAGCCTTTTGGGTTATTTCACCCCATAGTCGTCTACTGTTTAATCTAGAAACGATGGGAATCTGGTGGGAATTGTGTCCTAGCAAGGGCAAGATCGTAGTGTAAACTTAAAGTCATACTAAATCAGCCTAAAAGTAGCCGGGTTCGAGGGTGGTCTAGAAGACTCGACTCAGCGAGGCTCAGCTGCGTTAGTGTCAGCTGCGTTTGGCTTCAATAGTCTACGCATTAAGCAGATAGCTCATTGAGTCAGTTACATGTTCCCGATGTAAGACTGTTCGCTATAAACAGGCTTCTACATGTAATTTTACTTCCGGTTGGTGGTTATTACCTTGGCTGATGTGGACGGCCTCGGGCCAAAGTCAGCCCAACATCTGGTCAAACTACTCCAATGAACGTCTACGGAGTGATTAAGATGATGGATCGCATGGTTCGTGGGGACGGAGAAGTTGACGAGCAGTGGCGAATTACTAGGCGATAGTTTGCTTTACTGGCTCGCGTGGTAGCTACTGCCTAGCGGGTGGAGCCGTCGCCGAGTGCTTTCCCGCGTCAATGCGTTTTCACTTGATCACGGCTCTAGCAACCTGGAAGAAAAAAGAAAACGTTGCTGACAATATAATGACAATGTTTCAAGTAGTTCCCCTTGACGCATACATCCAGTACGACTAGTTAAAGCTTTGCATGACACATGCCATGAGTCCGCTCTCTTTTGGGCAAAGACGACGCCGCCTCCGAATCATAAAACTTACACTATTAGAGACTATTTTAAGGGCCAAGCTAAGTTACACCCACCCGAGGGCAAGTCAGGGCCCCTGATTGTTGGCAGTATTACTCTCATCGTTACTCTCGTTGATGTTGCTGTTAGTTTACTGCTGTTGTCGCTGTAGTATTTGCTCTGTATACTGCCTTGTGTCATAACGACGTGAGAAGTGTTGAATTCACTGGGGATGGGTGCCATTTAGCCCGTTAATCTTCTCATGTCAGTATGGCTATTCACGATTATAACCTCCTTCAACATGCCGCGCTGTAAATGCCCGTCCATGGAATTAGTCTGTAGTGTTGGCGGGCTCATTTTGCAAGGTAGGATGAGAAATTGGGAGATCAAATGTTCAGACTTTGTTCGTCCTTCATAATTAGAGTTTGGCTTTCAGGCGTCTTTGGCGCGGGCGCAAACGCTGAGCAAGGCCTTTAAGGCTCGCTGCCATCTTTTACTGCGCTTCCCTTTGGGTGGCGGCGCCCACTGAAATGAATTTCTTATTGATGTTCTCAAATGTCGACTAACTGCGACGTATGCTGCTCTTATGCCCGGCCAGCCGGTCCTCAGACGTCGGGCATCCGTGTGCGGGGCATCCCCGGGCCGTCTTCAATGGGTCCACCCGCACCCCCCCCCCCCCCCCCACACACGGCGCCGAAAGCAAGATTTCGGCCCCGGTGTGCCAACAGCGTGCGAGCGGAAGATTATTCCAGATGAGTAGACAATACACGGTAAAAGTCAACCACACAGTTGAACTCAGTCCAGAGGTCTGTACTGTATTACAGTGCTCATCTTCTCTCAAGTTACGAAACAAACGCATACGGACGCCCAAAGCACGAATCCCAGTTTGTGTGCTGCCCATCCCAAAATTTACGCAGTACACCCTTTGCATGCATCGGCATAGGGGTGCCGAAGTCAGTTCTTTGCTCCAGGAAAAGCTCAGACACCATTTGACGTTTTTCAACCCTTGCTCCCGCTTCTACCCCGGCGATTATGAGTGGCCACTGTACTGACTTGTGAATTACGGGACGCTTCCTTGACTGCTCCAGAAGAAGAAACAACCGGTTGCTGTGCACCGTTTTTACCACCATCAGTCGATTTGACGACGGCAGAACAGACAAGCTCTGCAGGGAAGAGATGCAGAATAGAGCCACTGCAGACTGAAACATGAGGCCGATGATTTCGTTGTTGCTTTGGTCTTCGTAGTAGCCATCCCAAGTCCCAACCTCAAAGGCTTCGATGCGCTTGAGGATATCCGAAGCTGTTGACTGGGCCATTTCTTTGTCAAGACGTCTATTAGACACCTCGTCCCGGATGTTGTTGATTCTGATAATCTCCAGGAATAGGGGCATGGGACAGGGAAGGTTCGGATGGAGCCCGAGAGGGTACAAGTCTTCGGTGAGCTCAATCAACTCGTCGTGGGGTGCTATTCGCACGTGGTCCCCTGGAGGACTGGATGTGTTGGCAAAGGTTGCGCATCTATTCAGATTAGCTCCAGAACATGGCTGGGGACCGAAGCTTAGGATAATCTGCGCTTGAGACGTACATCAGGAAAGAGAGTAAAATTCCTTTTAGCAATGGTGAGTCTCTCGCCCACTGCAAGGCACCTCCACGACACTGAAGCATTGCGAGAAGACCATTGACATGCTGCCTCCAGTTAGGTGAGATACACGATTGAATCTATGATAAGAATTGGTAAGCGGAATGCGGATCGTTGAGAGAATGGTCGAAAAACACACCTCTGATTGAAGGAGCATGATCACGCCTGTCAGTACAACGTCGCTGCTCTGAGTCTTTTCATTGGCAATATCCTCATTCAGAGCCCGGATGGTGATTCCTCGGTGGTGATGTAAGCGCGCCTCTGCGTGCTTCACTGACGGGCAGTCTATCTTCCACTGTGTCTGTACACACACCCGGTGTTGAAAAACAACGCAGACTAAGTTGTGTGCAATTGCTGTTGGAAGATACCGAACCACTCCTAGAGGTATCTGGTCCACGAATACGTTGATTTGATTCATTTTGTGGCCAAAACTGGTATGCGGGTAGAAAACAGAATTGTCTAACTCGCCGTTAGTGGGACTGGTCCAAGGAGGATTCTCGATAACTCACAGTACTGCACGGCATCGTACACATCGCAGACGTCCGTTCTCAGTGGTACGTGAAGGATACACTCTACGCCGCCGAAGAGTTCTGGTTTCCTGTTCTCTGAGGGGTCCTCTTTCTTCTTGTCTGCCTTCTTGGGTACAGCTTTGGTGGTACCGGTGTTGCTTGGCTGAGCACGGCTCTTGCGTCGTGTACGACATGTGACCTTTCCCGGAGCAAGCCAAGTGAGCGGCTTCTTGTCGTCATATCCTGGACAAACAATGCCAGAAACCCGGCATTTGTTGCATACGGGCCGGATCGAATCGCAAACTAGTCGACGGCGGAGGCATTCCCAGCAACGGCGTCGTTCTGGAGCTTCTGGGGATGCCGATGTAGATGACATATTCGGTTGTGTTAACACTAACGTCTGGGTTGACATGGCGCTTAGGTGTTGGGTGTGAGCCGATGCTCGGGTAAAGCCGAAATACTGCAGATAACCTTCTTTCGGGTGAGAAGTGGCGCACAGATGCTTCCTTATCAAGCAATAGAAAGTAAATAGGACAAGGCCAGTCAAGATTGACAGTGTAGAGCCCGGGTCCAGGTCCGGCCCCAGGTCCGGTTCGTTTGGTGGATTCTTATAAAGGCATTGCTTCGCGCCCGCGGAAAGCCTTACTGATTGCCACGATACCCACCCCCGGGTGAGACGCCTCTCTTGGCGTTGGTCTTGGCCAGAGTATTATCCTAATCCGGTATAACGCAATTGAGTTGTATGCGTGTGTACAACACTCACGGGTAACCGCCCATCCATCTCCAATCAGCCCTAACAGACGCAGCCACAGAGGAGACATGATTTCGTGGGGGGTTATGTCTCGAAAAACGGCAAATCAACTGGTCGAACGGGGACGGCTCCGAAGTGAACCCCCGATGACTTCACTGTCTAACACCAATCAACACTGATCCACAGTCAAGGAGAAGGGCTTGATTGGCTCTACTCGTCGGGGACCTCGAATGTCCGTGGGATTACACCCCAGCATCGCCGCCTTTTGCCAATTTCCCTCGTCTGCAGGGCAAAGCCAATCGGCGGTTTCTTAGAGTCAATATTCGCCGTATCGAATTAAACATATCAAGTTCAGCTGAAGGCATCAATATAAACGTTGCGCCTAGCTAGCTCCGCAGATATGCTATGAAACAGGTTTTGACCCAATTTTCTATCAATTGATAGCAGCCTAAAATGCTGTGTATTCTGCGTGCATTCGTAACCGAGTCTGGGCCCGGACCTCGATAAAATGCCACGTCTTGGTTGCCTACAGCCTCAAACATGACCTGAGGACGCGAGCTGGCAAGTGCCCCATCGCTATCACGAAGGCCGCGGAAGCGTTTAATTAGTTGACAGTTCAACGATGACTGGAAACGAAGATCACGGGATGCGCGCTTGGGCTGCAGAAGTGAGAGTGACAGCTCCCCATTACCGGGCTCCTGCCCTTTGAAGTCCGCCTGTCCTGATGTATAGGTGAAATCGACATTCAAAGCTCAGATAGTTGCAGCATAGGCGTTCAAATCTTGGCGAGAGGGGCAGCAAAGTCGGCCGACCTTTAATGCCACCTTCCGCTTACATCGCCGTAAGGTCGTTGCAACACACCATCTTGACCCCACCGTAGCAATGTTGACATCAGCCCTATGACGGCCCGCGGCGTTACGTGGTAGGCTGAAAGATGCGAGTTTTCTTTTCTGAAGCCAACCACGCGTCTCACGCCGGTACATAATACATATCCAGGCCAGCTGAATGCCAGGCAAGTAGTACGAAGTCTCACGCCAGGTGCAGTACTGCAATGCGGATGTAACTCCGAGAAATTTGTAAGACATTGATCCTCTGCTTCATATGTATTTTGGCCCACCAGGCTCTGTCGGTACCTCGTTCAAAATTAAATTTGAAGGTATTTTGTTGAGCCTCATCGGGTCCATGCAGAACAAACAAGCAGCCTGCTGGTCGATCTGTATTTCTATCAAAACTAAATATCGAGAACGTCAGATTCAAGTAATTCAAATGATTACATGTACCGTTCTGCTAGACACTGGCTCAAGAGAGGAAGGTTTCCGCGACAAGATCTCACTCATCCGATGCGGGGTAACATACGGGTGAAGTTACTGGCAAGCACCGGCTAAGTAGCAAAACCGAGTAGGGGAACGTAACTAAAGCACTTACCTTCCAGTGCAATTGAATAAGTAGGCCTCTTGGTTCCGGGTTTCTTTCTGAATTATCCGCGTTCTGGTGTCATTACAGCACCCAATCTATTCACGTCGACTGTCGAAGTAGAAGCCTTCCAGGCTGTGTTAGCCCAACATGAGATCTACACGCACCATCACAGTCGTCGGATGTCACGCCGAGGGAGAGGTGGGCGACGTCATAACCGGCGGAGTCTTGGATGTGCCTGCGCCCACCATGTGGCACAAGCTCCAACACTTCTCAAAGCACCAAGACGACCTAAGGCAAATGCTTCTCAATGAGCCTCGAGGAAGGTCGCCCAAGAATACGAACCTGATACTTCCGCCCTGCAATCCCGATGCGGCGGCGGGATTCCTCATCATGGAGAGTGATGAGTACGCGCCAATGTCCGGTTCCAACACCATTTGCACCGCGACCGTTTTGTTGGAAACAGGGATGATCCCTACGAAGGAGCCTCTGACCACATTCTCCCTTGACACCGCCGCAGGGCTGGTCGGTGTGACCGCGGAGTGCCGAGGCGGTAAATGCAAGTCTGTGGCGTTTGATAATGTTCCCGCATTCGTCGACAGACTTGATTTGCGCGTTGAAGTCCCGGGGATCGGAGCCGTGTCTGCCGACATTGTCTGGGGAGGCATGTGGTACGCCATCGTTGATGCTGCATCCGTGGGCCTTCGTATCGAGCCAAATCAGGCCGCAAAGATTGTTGAGCTTGGCGAAAGGATCAAGCAGACAATTCGTGCAACGTATACGCCTCATCACCCAGAAAACCCTGAAATTAAAGGGGTGTCGGTGCTTGAATTTACCGAACCGATACAAGATGGCTTCAACAAGGTTGCCAAGAACACCGTCGTTGTCTCTCCTGGCCGGCTTGACAGGAGTCCATGTGGAACTGGCACGAGTGCGAGACTTGCCCTCCTTCACGCCAAGGGACAATTGGCCGTCGGCGAGGGCTTTAAACACACTAGTGTCATTGATACGGCCTTCGACTGCCGTATTTCCAAGGTTGTGAAGATTGGAGATCGCGATGCCATCATTCCAACGGTGAAAGGGAGGGCTTGGATTACGAGCTACAAGCAGGTTGTGCTAGATCCTGAAGACCCCTTTCCAACAGGTTACAGAGTTGGCGACCAGTGGCATGTCTACGATGCCGCTGCATGATCGAGGAAGTTGCTCCTTCGTAAAGTTTCAGGATCGATTATTTCGCCCTGCTTGTATGTAAGACTGCGGAATTTATTTTATGGAACCAATGAGACCTTGCACGTCTACCACCTTGCTGTGTTGGCCTGTGGTCTGCCTCATTCCCGGGTAATTCTGGCCTCAATAATGGACTCAGAAGTCCAATAGTATTCTGACTCGGCTATGCATGCCATTGATCTGTAAGAGAAATTCTTGAAGAAATTCTTGAGGCCTGACCAAATGCCAAGACGGGCGCCACCTCGTGGCTTGAAAGCTGCCGCTCCTAAGATGTGGCTGTCTTGGTTACTATGAGGTTGATGGAGTTCGTTGGGTTTTCGGACCAGATCTGCACTATTAACGTATTTGGCAATAGACAAAAGAAAGCGAGCAAGCAAGCTGGTGCCGAGCCGAACGCCAGCGGCATCTTCACCATGAACGAACCGAGCCGAAGTTGTGTTAGTGCCAAGTCCGGGGTTGATCTCCAATTAACCCCACTTCGGGGAACGGGGGTCGCCCGTGTTGGCCTCCAGTTTCCGACGAACACCTCATCAGATGACAACATGCGGCAATTTGAAAAGAGAGCCTTTTCAACTATTTGAGTTCCGGACTGTGACATGTACGTCTCTTCTCTTTACATAGTAATAGAGTTGGCTGTCTTTACTACCCCTGCAGTTGCGACGGTTAATCGCAGTCGTAACGTGTTGTGGGCTACTCTTTGGCAAAGAGCTACTTGGAAATTGCGACGCGCGCACGCCTCAGCCGATTTGGCGAGCTCCAGTTTCCTTGACGAACATTCAGGACACAAGAAAATATGTCTGCGGCAGCCCCGATTCCCGAAGACACCAAGATCGACAGCGGCGTTGAACACCTTGAAGATCTGAAGCCGGATGTTGGCAACAACCACGGCCATGTGGACGGCAATGCACTTCTCATCAACAGAGATGGCGAGATTCGAAAGATTCCAATTCCATCTTCGGATCCAAACGATCCTCTGAATTTCAGGAAATGGGAGAAATATGGTCTGGTCTTTTGCTGCTGCTGGTTCTCCAGTATGGGCTTGTCGATCGCTAGCGGCCTCGGCGCCATCCTCAACGTCTTTTTCCAGATGTACGCCCCTCAAGGCTACTCATCTGATGAGATTGTTCTCCTTATAACAATCCCTACGCTCTGCATAGGTCTCGGTAGGTTGCCTCAACTCTAAGACATTAGGCCAGGCTGCCATCAATCAAGGGCTTTGCTGACATGGAAGCGCAGGGAACTACATCATACTTCCGCTTTCGCTCGCCTACGGCCGCCGTCCTGTGTTTCTCGGCTTCATGGTCATCTTGCTCATAGCTACTATTGCTGCGGCTCTGCAAGACAGCTATACCGGACATCTAGCCTCACGTGTAGTCCAGGGTCTGGCTACTGGTGCTTCGGAGTCACTGCTTCCACTCATGCTCACCGAAATCACATTCCTACACGAACGGTCTCGGATATTTGGCCTGTACTGGATGGCACAAAACGCGATCTCTTCTACAATCAACCTGGCGTCTTCTTACATCAACCATGACTTGGGCTGGAGGTGGTATTACTGGGTTTTTGTCATTACAGTGGTTGTCGGCCTGGTAATTGCTTTCTTTTTCGCTTTCGAAACGCAGTTTACCCGGCCACCGGAGTCATTGGATGGCCAACTTGTCATTACAGACGAGTTCGGTGTCACCAGAGTCATTCCTGATTCAGAGGCACAGGCATACCTGGAAGACATGAACCGCTCTGGATTGACGGCACCCAACGCCTCCAATGCTGCCGGTGCCATTGAACGGAAGACGTACATGCAACGGATCAAACCCTGGTCGACGCCTCATCCTCAACCAATGCGCGTCATGTGGATGAGCTGGAAGCATATGGCAGAGTCATTCTCCTCACCTGGAATCATCTATGCCGTTCTCACCTCCTCAATCGCTCTCGGCTGTGGAGTAGGCATGTCACTGACTTACAATGCCGTCTTGATGGAGAACTATCACTGGCAAGCCGCCGACATTGGCCTCATCAACGTTGGTGGCGTTATTGGCGCTGTTCTGGGAATGCTTTTCTGCACTTTCATTGGCAACCCCTTTGTGATGTGGCTGGCTCGTCGCAACCGAGGCGTCCACATCCCAGAACACCACTTGGTCACAATGGTGCCACCTGCTATTGTTGGTGTTGGGATGTTGTTGCTATACGGTTACACTGCACCCGGAGGAACGACATGGTGGGGGCCTTACATGGGCTGGACCATCTTCCAGTACTCGTTCACGGCGATTATCATCATCTCGACGACGTTTGCTTCCGAAGCGGCTCCCAAACATCCCGGACCCGCACTGGTGGTGGTCGTTGGGACGAAGAATGTGGTATCATTTGGAGTGACATATGGGCTGACGCCTATGGTTGAACGGTTTGGGTATGAGACTGCTTTCGGTGTCCTGGCTGGTATCTTCGGTGCCATTTTCTTGCTCGGTATTCCTGTGTACATTCTCAACCCTAAATGGCGTGCTTACATGTCTGAGAGGGATAGCAAGAAGGCTGAGACTGGTTCCGCTTAAGCCAGGCCTAGTTTGCAATTTGGAACACATTGTATCTAGATAGCTTCGCGAATGAAATTCAAAGCCTACGAGGGCTTCCTCATAATGAACTACGATCATTCATAGAAGTGTATTCACACCTAACTATACTGACTTACATCCCTCGCTCGAAGGTTGTGTCGGGATCAAGTCTCGCACTTTTTAACGCTACCATGGAAGGTGTTAAGTCAAGGCAGAAATATGGCTTCTTCCTTTAAACTGTCTGGTCGGTCTATATCTACGCTACCAAAGATCTAACACAAGCCTGTCGTTCCTGCATCTCGATACGCAGGTCATGATTGTACTGCCTTCGGCTCTTTCAAGTGGGGTCAAAACGGCATCGCGATGGTCGGGCAGGCCACTCAACACTCTCACTTCACAAGTACCGCAGAGACCCTTGTTGCAAGTTGATATCACTCCAGCACCAGCCTCATTGATGACATCGAGGATTGACCTATCCTCAGGCACCCTCAGCACCTTCCCACTTCGACCCAAAACAACATCAAATGCAGTATTCTCTGTTGTTTCTTGTGAGGTGACGGAAAATCGTTCCACTCGCAGGACGTCCGGCGGTGCATTTTCCAAGCTTCGTTCAACTTGAGTGAGGAGGCTTTCGGAGCCGCAGCAGTACACTCGAAGACCATCCAACTCCATGGAGTTGAGAAGACCATCTATATTCATTCGGCTTCCGCCGTGATCGTTGGTGATCCAGGTGATGCAGCGGTTTCCGTGGTGTTCGACAAGCTCGTCAACAAACGCCAGAGTCTTCCGGTCGCGACCCAAGTAAATGATGCTATAGTCCCTACCCTGCAACTTTGCCTCATTAGCCATGGGCTTGATGGGAGTGATGCCTATTCCCCCTGCGATGAAAACGGTTTTTCGGAGTCCGGGTTCGAAGTGGAAATTGTTCCTTGGTCCGCGAATGACCAACTTGTGGCCCTTCTTGATTGTAGTATGAATGAATTGAGAGGCTCCCGATTCATTTGTCTTGAGCACCGCAATGTCAATTGATCCAAGATCATGCGGATTTGAACAAATTGAATACTGCCGGAAGCCCAAGTGGCCAGCATCCACATCGATGTGGGCACCTGGAGTCCAGGCTGGAGCCTTCGTGCCATCGAGAGGTTGCAAGGTAAGTCGCATCACACCAGAGGCAATTTCAGTGGCATCTCTGACCAATACTTCCAGATTCTTGTGCTGAGCCAGCAATCTCTTAATGGTGTTGCTTTGTACACGGCGACCTGTCTCACGAGAAGCTGGGGGATCCCACAAGACCCTGACCGCCTCTGGCCCGCGACCTTCGTGGACATCGCTGTACTTGATCTCTTCATAAGATGTTTCCAGTCTCAGATTAGCGAGACGTTCATGAAGTACCGAAAGCTCTGTCCTCAGAAGTAGCCGGGCGAAGGGAGCTCCCAGGCAGGCGTGAACTCCCCGCCCGAATCCCAGGTGCTGAGTCTTTGAACGGCGATCGATGTCGATGTGATCTGGGTTGTCGAACTTGGTGCTATCTCGACTGCCCGAGTTGTATGCGACGAATAGCCTCTCTCCTCGGTGCAGAGTTTTGGTTCCAATAGTCGTCTCTCTTGTAACGACGCGTGGCATGCCTGTTATGGCAGACTCGTAGCGTAACAGTTCCTCGATCGCAGCCACTCTGGCCTCACTACTCTGATTGATGCGTTCCCACAGTTCATGATGCAGTAGATGCGCGAGGCCCATGGATAGCACGTTGGTAGTCGTCTCATGCCCTGCAAGTAAGAGGCCGGGAATCATGCTCAGATGCTCAAAGTCGGTCATGCGGACGTTTCCGGCATCTCGCTCGTCCCAAATGTGACTGATCAAATCATCCCTGCGATCATTTCGGCGGTCTTCGATGACATTGGCGATGTATGAATGAAGGTCCAGAACATCCTGAACCTTTTGCTGGATGCTGACGTCTTCTCCTGTCTTGGTGATACCGCCGAATAAAGAGAGACAACGCCCAATCCATTCCCACTTAGATGGGTCTAACCCAGCCACCACCACGATGCATCGCAAAGGCACCGGTAGCGCGAATTGACTCTTGATCTCAACGGAGCCAGACTCGATGAAACCATCAATCATGTCGTGCGCAGCGGCGCGAAGCATTGGCTCGAACCTCTCTAGTCTTCGGGGCACGAAAAAGGACGCGACGCTTTTCCGTAGTCGATCATGATCCGGATTATCGTGAGCTAGTAAAGTACCCTTGTCAGGCACTTTGTTGGCGAACAGATCACGGACCATTGGCGGGAACTCGGGGACGGTGGGTCGGGAACTGAAGAATTCCGGGTTGTCAAGTACAGATACGATATCGTCGTACCGAGAAACGACATAGCCTCCGAGTTTTTGGCTGAATTTAATCCCATCACTTTCTCGGGCGGTAGCCAAATCCTGAAAAAGGAGTCGAGAATCGCTGAACGGACAGGTCATTGTGTGAGATCGTAGCTGTCGAGGTTTGTCCCAACGATATACCGTATCTTCACCCTCCGCTTGAGGAATGGAAACAGGTGGTATTGAGCTAATTTGCCCAACAGGCTGGGAAGACAGTGTCGTATAGTTCTAAGAGTCGCTTCAAACTGCAGCAGGAGTAAGAACCGTCCAGGGGTTGCAGTTGTTATCGGGTCGGCATGAGTACATGTACTCATCAATTCTATACATTACCGTGCCGAACCGAAAGTGGAGACTTCGGAGCGCCGAACCTCGGCCCCCACCAAACCGGCCTTCCGGGGTATTCGAACGCGGGGGGCCGGCGGAACCGAGATGGGTTAGTCTAAGTCATCCGCCGGCCCGACTCTCGCGTCTTGCCTGACCAAGTTTCAATCCTCAACTCACCTCTCCGTTCCAACTTGACTAATTGTGATTGAAATCGGCTGGGGTCTGTGATGTCCTGCACCCAAGGATGGTATCGGCCGACCTGACCTACGCTCCACGCTGGTCATCGTAAACTACAGTGGTTAGGGACTTGCGTCTGCCACGTTTGGTTGATATACCGCGCATCACTATGCACTGCTGTAGTCACCGTCTTTCGCTGCATGGCAAAGAGATACACCCTGCGCTCGGAATCCTAACTCAGGATTCCGGTGGTGAAGACATGAGAAGCCAGGGTGAACCGGTGGGGGAGCCGAAAGATAGTACGCCGTGGCTGGATACTTATGTATTTGTTATGACACCTCTAATGTCTCGGTTCGGGTTGATCGACCGAGCCTCGGCCGGACGATACCACTCGGTCAACCACACTGGCATGCAACGGCTTGCTGATCAAGGTTACGGGTTCTCGGTAAAGCCTTAGTTAAAGTTGATTGAGTGTTTTAGTTTGGAGTTTATTGCGACATCAATCACTTTAGCCAAGTGTGGAGGACAAAGGTTTGCACTTGAAAAACAGATTGCCAGTGAGCGAGAATCAACGAAACTGGCCGAATTAGACGCCGCACACTGCTGTATCTATCACAGCAACCCCTGTAATTTTTCATCAGCGTCCAAATCCGGAAGACCTATTTCCCAGTTTCCAGTCTCGCAGATGATGCGAAGGGGCATCAAGGCACAGGTGACGATTGCGAACCCCAATGCTTTCTTCTTATTATGTAGGGTATGTAGTACTAGTCTGCATTATTTCATTAGACTCTGAATCATCCATATCGTCGTGAGGCGTCTGGATTATTTGAGGATGCTCAGATATTCCAGAACAGCCCCAACCATGTGCCGCAAGACACAGTGCCTCTCTTGGCAGACCCGAAACCGGGATCAGGTTCAAGGCTGTTAGGCGTGAGTCCAAGTGAGAACATTTCGCAGACGTCAACGTTATCATTGGCACATATCCTGCGTCGCACATGGTCGTGGGCGACCGCCTGAAATCCGCTCGGAACTCCGGATTTGTGATACCAAGGCCGTCGAATATTCGGTCGAAGGCGGCTAGGTACTTCTCATGGTCGTAACCCTCCAAGCTCGGCGCCGTTTCTGCCCATGTCCTGCAAGATTCGTAGCGACACTGAAGGATGAACCGCAGCGTCTTCGTTAGGTTTTCCGTTCCAGGAGAGTTTCTTCCCGGAGGTGATAGTGGCCGAGCTTCAAATTCTTTGAGAAGTCTCTTCCACTGGTCCAACAAGAGAAGCAACTCTGTTTGCTCGGCAAGAAGATGTTGTGGCGGCGGGCCGCTGTTTTCTGGATCGATACGATACCGGTCGCTGCGGCGTACTAGTCTCAATGTGCGGCTGAAGAGATCGTCGATCATTACTTGTGCGTCAGTAAATGTGAAGAAAGCGTCAGGAACGGGATGCTCCAAGCCGGCCAAGTCTGGAAAATCTGCTGGGTCGTCGGTCCATAGAAAAGCGCTGATGGCAACGCGTCTGAAGAGAGGTAAGAGGTATTGTCGAGTCCAAGCATACTCGGATGCTGTGCGTTGCAATAGTGAAAACCCGTGTTTACAATGTTGGATAAACGTCCCACGGTTCTCCTGAAGAATCTCAATGCAGATAAACAGTATACAGACTAGAAGCACGACAGGATGCGTATCCGTCGACGTTAAGCTTCTCACATTCTGTATCGCTGCGTTGTAATGATGGAGAGCGAAAGTTTGCTCGCGGAGGCGAACTGCTTGGCCACTCAAGCCCTTCTGAAGCTGCTCAGCAAGTGTGCTGATGGCCAGAACAGAGTGGCGAGCTGCTGGCTCGTAATTTGTGAATTGCATGACGAGTTTTGACATGAAAAAGGGGTCTACAGCGCCTGAGAGCTGCGGGCCCGCAGTCTGACAGAAGTACTGCAGGGCCCGGCTCTCGCCGGCAGTCTTGATCCCTGGGAAGCCATCTGGCCTGTACAAGCTGAGTTCTGAGTCCGAACTGTTTGCCGAGCCGGAGTGGCCGGGAAGGTAGCCGTCGCAATGCCGGCCGGTCGCGGTGCAGCGGTTGCATGTTGGCTTGGCCTCGTCGCATTTGACTTTGCGGATTCTAGTGACCGTTAGACGACTGTTCGCCTTGTATCAAGTTCAATTCCCTTCAATCCAACACAGCTTTCTGGAGAAATGACATCGGAGGGAATGTCTCAGACGCACTCACTTGCAGGTGATGCACCCCGTTCTGGTCTTCCGACTACCCTTCCGAGGCATTGTGAGTGCCTGAACTAGGTAGGTGGATGCCGTGAAACCCCTCCGATGTTCCCTTTCGCTCTGTTTGAGCCTTATGTCAAGCCACTTGCGTTCCTACACAGGTGCTGAGGGTGGCGGAGGAGGAGGCACAACCCAGCCGCAGAATGGGGAGAGAGGACATTGAGAGCCAGAGAATTGAGGCGGAGAAAGAGAAAGTCTGGACGCGTTGGTGCGTTCACTTCCGTTATCCCTGCAAGGAGCCACTGTGGGACGACCAGGGTCGAGTCCGAACGAACCAATGTGACCAAGGGTCCGTTGCAACCATGAAGACTTCAATGGCTGTTCAAGGCTAATCTGGTTTGAAGAGTTCGACGACTATGTGAGGAAGCGAACGTTGAAAGTCAAAGCTAGATGTCCAAATAGCAAATAATATGTGATAAGATAGGTTTGCTTGCTTTGAGTTGTAACTACGGCTGGCTATTGAGTTTCCTTCGCCATTGGAGTACCTTCATCCAGTCCTCTCATCAGGCAGCCAGATCCAACGGACGCAGTGAGAATCCATCTGAGTGGAAGGATCATCTCAAGGATGGCATGATGGTTACTTTGCTTTGTCATGGTTATTTCAAGTTGTTTCTGCCTAGCCATGTGTATGTCTTCTCCATGTCAAGAGAGTGATGCCAATTAAGTGCCGATGCGACCACTGATCAAGACCAAACGATGCGTTTGTTAGCGTGTTTTTATTTAGACTCGATGCTCTATGTCTAGATTAGACAATGACATAGAGTGGTGGGTGAACTTGGTGAAGCGTATTGAGATGGATCAAGGTTACAGGTTGAGTTCTGAAATAAGTAAGACAAAACAGTAAGAAACAAGAGGTTACTTCAAGAAATATACGATGGCTTTAGACCAAAACCTTTGTTGTAGTTTGAGCCTCAGTGTCAGATCAGTAATTCAAGACGCTGGGGGTATCTATCATCTCATCTGCCCTTTCCAAACACAAGTGGGTGAGTGAGTGAGTGAGTGAGTGAGTGCCCGTGCGTGGGTCGATCCACCGGCTGGTGACATGATGACTAACCATCACGTGCGTCCGCGCGTACGTCGTGTTCCCAGAGGGCGCGACGGGTCCCAACTTCCCAAATGGGGGACCACACCACCGGCCGTCGCTGCCTCGACTCCAACCCCGGCCGCCGCTACTATCATCCAATCCATCTACCAATACCACCCTGGTCATCAAGTAAGATACACAGCGTCTCATCATAACACCAGGTCTGTCATCGACGATCATGGATGACGACTTCGGTTTCGATTCGGGAGACGAGGCAGACCTGATCGCTGCTGCCGAAGCTGTCAATCCCGGCGCCAAGCGCTCTCAGAACGACGACGCGGACGGTTCCGAAGAGCCAATCTCCAAAAGGCTCAAGTCGGACCCAGAAACATCGACACTCTCCCAGCGAGTACTCAACGAACGCTTTGGCTTGAAAAGCTTTCGTCTTGAGCAGGAGGCCGCCATCAATCGGATCATTGGCGGTAAAAGCGCCGTTGTCGTGTTCCCTACCGGCGGGGGCAAGAGTTTGTGCTACCAGGTACGCTCTATCCTTCGGCTACGAGCTGGCCTTAGTCGACATTTCATGACTCAACATCTCAGGTTCCCGCGGTTGCTATCAAAGAGCTCGATCGCGAAACAAACTCCAGAAGCCCAGAAGACAGCGGCGTCACGGTCGTCATCTCTCCACTTATCGCCTTGATGAAGGATCAAGTCGACGCTCTTCGCCGTCGTGGTATCAGTGCTGCCGTACTTGACTCGACCCAATCCAGGGAGACGTTCGTGGACATTCACCAGAAGCTCTCGTGTGGGAAGCTTAACTTGCTTTACTGCGCACCCGAACGCCTTAACAACGAGGGTTTTCTCGCTTCCCTTAAAACAATCCGTGGTGGTATCCGTCTGCTGGCGATCGATGAAGCACATTGCATCTCCGAGGTGAGCTTTTAACCGGTCATCTTACCGCTCGTCTCTGAACCCATTGGACTTGAGATTCTGACTTGTTTGTGGTTGTAGTGGGGTCACTCCTTTCGGCCAGACTATCTCAAGAGTGAGGAGGTTTCAAGTCTTCGACCCCTTCAAGCGCCTTGCTAACAGACTGTGTAGTTGCCCGGTTCGCCCAAGAAGCCAATGTTGAGAGAGTCGTCTGCCTCACAGCTACGGCAACTGCTGCGGTTGCTAAAGACATCCGCACGACGTTTGATATTCCTCCAGAGGGTTTGTTCGTCACAAGCATGTACAGATCAAAGTCAGTCATCACACAGGATACTTCTCCGCGCTCTCGTCTAACTGCTTTAGTCTTCGTCTAGCGGTCCAAGCGATCACTGAGAAAGATGACCAGGTCGAGATCTGTACCAGCTTCTTGAAGAAACATCCCGGCCCATCCATCATCTATGTCACTACTCACGCGGTGAGTAAGGCGGGTCCAAGATCATGCTTCTTCCGCTAATTATGCCTTCAGGGCGCCGAAACGCTTGCCAAGTCGTTGGCCAGCAAAGGATTCAAAGCGAAGCCCTATCACGCAGGCTTGGACAAGGATCTTCGCACTGACATCCAGGATAAGTTCCTCCACAGCCCTGACATGGTTGTAAGTCGAGAAATGCCCTGAGCTTGTCACGAGACCTCTGACATTCTTGTGTCTGTGCAGATTGTTGGCACAATTGCCTTCGGCATGGGAATTGACAAGGCGAACGTTCGGACTATCATCCACTTCGACCTTCCCAGCAGCATCGAAGCTTACAGTCAACAAATCGGCAGAGCCGGTCGCGACGGACTACCCAGCACTTGCATACTGTATTTATCCCATAAGGATTTCTTCTTGAGGAATGTTCTCATCCATGGAGAACGTCCCTCGCGGCTGGCTCTTCGAGCACTATTCGATGAGATCTGCAGCAGTGAGAATTGCCAGCTGCCGCCTGGGGAGACATTCTCTGTTGGGATAACATCGCAGTCGAGACGTGTTGACATCAAGGTTTGACAACGTTCTGTCCTGAGATGCCCTGCGCTTACATTATATGGTAGGAGACCCAGCTTTCAATCATATATGCCTATTTGGAGCTGAAGTTCAATCTTCTCCGCGCCGGAACCCCTCAGTACTCCGAGTACAAGTATCAAGTCCTGCAAGATAGGGCCTACGTCACCGACAAATCTCCAACGGCAACTGCAATAATCAAAGGGTCTCGCAAAGCAAAGTTGTGGACCAATATCAACATAGATGAGGTGGCAGACCGCAATGGGCTTTCTCGCGCCGACATCACCAGAAAGCTGGACTCTTGGGCTGAGTCTGGGATCGTCAAACTCCAGAAATCAGGGGTATTGAATGTGTTTCGCCTCCAACGGAAACTGCCGCGAAACAAGACGGAGATCGACAGCATGATCGACCAGATTGACAAGGAGATCACTAAGAAGGAAAAGCAGGACCTGCAGCGAGTGCAGGATCTTGTCAACCTCCTGACAGGGACAACATGCTTGACGCGGGCTCTCGCTGCCTACTTCGCTGATACCACCCATGCATCGATCAAGGAATGCGGGCACTGTACCTGGTGTGAGACGCACCAGCAAGTGGTGCTGCCTGAGTTCAAGCCAAAGCCTCTCGACAAGAGTCTGATGCAAAGCATTGCAGGTTCCTGTAGAGCTCTTTGCAATGAGGAGGCGAGGAAAGGCAAGGGAGGCACAACACCTACTGCTCGGCAGTGCCTTGCGAACAGCACGGCAAAGAACGACCCGCGCTTTATGGCCTGCGTGGCTTTTGGCATCAGGACCCCCCGCATCAGCAGTATGCAGCTGTGGAAGAATGAGGCGGTTTTTGAGAAGATGAGTAACTGCGATTTTGATGTGAGTAACGACTGCGCCATTCAATCTTTGACTCAAAACGAGACTAATTTAACAACAGGAGCTTGTCCGCGCGTTCGAAAAGATGACAAAATAATCAACTATACTGGCAAATGTGGACATTTCTTTTCGGAAGAACGACGACACAGGCACACTGCCCTGTGTGTCTACTACAATACGGGGAACTATGAGGGCGGTGCGGTGCATTCAGAGGTGCTGTGGTCATGTAGTGAAGTGTGGCAAAGGTAGCAATGGCATGGCCTATTAGCGTGTAAGCGCGATGCGATGGTAGCTTCATTCAAAATGGTATTTGCAAGTTAGGTATCGACAACGCACCGTCGGCCTTGACTAAGAGGGAAACTGGGTCAGCAACCCTCGCTCGCGGCAAAACCGTTGGAATGAATCCAATCTCCACCTTTTCCCCTCTTTCATGCGTGATCATAGGCAGCAACCGTTCGATCAGCTGAAAATAATGCCAGGCTAAAGTCTGACAACAATGAACTCGGTTCAACAACAAACTTCGGACCAAGTCAACCAACCGTCATGTTTGCCCTGTTGGACTTGCCAGTGGAAGTTGTCCGGCACATCATTTCGACACTGGCTGATTCCAACCGGGGAAGACACCGCTGTTCCGACCAGATCAACAACTCTAACCCCGTAATTCTCGATGTTTTACGTCTTGAGGCCGATCTCGCCACGATGTCGGCTCTTTCTAGAGCTTGTCGCTTGCTTCGCCATTTGACGAGACCCTTTCTGTGGAGTTTTCTGTGGCTTCCGAGGCCGACCATCTCGCAGCTCGTGTGTATCCTGAAGACTTGGGATGCAAACCCCGAATGTGCCGGATTAGTTCGGCGTCTCCATTGCCATCCGGCCACCGTAGACAGATACATATCGGAAAACGACACAGACTTTGTGGAGGGGATAGCTATGGAGATGGGCCTTGAGCTTCCCGTTCGTTGGTCCACATCTTTCCAACTTGTTGAAGTTGTTGTCGAAATAATGGCACTTCGAGCCATCAACAACGAGAGCCTTGAGCTGAACTACTACTTCGTCGCTGGTACTCTCTTCAAATGCCTTTTCCCGACTGAAAACCACACCTTGTGGGCCAACGGAGGTCCTCGTTTCAGCAATTTACGACATTTGTACCTGGCAAAGTCAAGTCTAAGCACACCGTTTGCTGAGGACGGCGGCATCCAGCACATTCTAGATGAAGCACCAAATCTCACCAGCCTGGAAACAAATGGCTGTGCCTACCGCACGCCTTTCAACTCGCCGAAAATCGCTAGACTCAGTCTAGCGTCTATGTGCTTCGAAAACGACTGGTTGCAGGGGACTCTTCTATCCGTTAACGAACTCGTACACTTTGAAACAGACATATTATATGATTCTTCGGAAGTGGGCAGTGTCTTATTGGCCCTCGCACGGCATTCGGGCACACTGAAGACTTTGGCGATGTCTTTCGGCAGGGAGAACAGAAGCTTCAATACACTGAGCCCGTTGAGGAAGTTGGCCAACCTGGAAATAATTACTACTTATCTCACGGATGTGGGTTCAGGGTCGACGAGCCTTCTGCAGTTCTTACCCCCCTCTTTGCTCGGATTATGGCTCATCGAAGACTTCGGTAACCAGCACGGATGTCTTGAAGTTGGCCCTTGGATCGCAGAACCCTTACTGGAGAGGAAGAAATTTGGGCTCACTGGTCTTCGAGTTTCGCTCATCAGCTCTTCGCCTGACAATAGAGGTTTAGAGTCGGATGTCGATTATGAGGGTATCGTCAAAAGGCATCGTGACGAAGTTGGATTGCGTGCGCAGGAGGACATTATTGAGGATGTGGCTAAGATGTTTGGGGACCATAAGCCTTGGAGATTTGGGACATTCAAATTGACTCGCAGACTTGCAGGTCATGCATCTGCAGAGGGGACTCCCGCGTCAACATAAACAAATGATAAAGACTGATGGAATTCCAACAAGGGAGGGCAAAGACGCCAGTGATAAATCAACAATAGACAGAGTTTCTTTCTCATTGACGCAAGACAAAAAAATGTATAGACAGTACATGTATGAACATGCTCCTGGACAACAGTGTTCGCGTATCAGGCTACATATGGTGTTCTTGAGCCTTGATTTGTGACACTCACCGCTTGGTGGATTCTGTTCCCCGCTTTCTAAGCCCATTACCAATTTCATCCTGTCCGTAGACAACGTTCCATTTCCCTGAGTGGCTTCACAATCCCATGGTAGTAACTCTGCTTGAAGCCTTCCTCAAAGGTTCCTCCAGTATCACCCCCGAGAGCCGACAGGCTAATGCACTGCTGAATAACTTTAAGGTATCCGGCACCCATATGAGTTTGAACGTCTGGGGCAACTCTTTTTATGTAGCTTCGCCGACCCCTGAGATCTTGAGGAGGATCATCTCTTACACGTGTTTCCTTCACGAGACCGAGCTGTAGCAGAACGTGCCCCAGATTCGCTAGTAAGTCTGACCTTCTACTAGCAGAGTTATCCTCTGCATCGACTGCATGGTCGGGTTTCCTGATCACCTTTTTTAAGAAGGGAGCAAGGTCCATGTCCTTGTGAGGCAATTCGTAGAAGACGACGCATTTTTCTGGGCTAGGATCTGAATCTCGAAGATCGAATCTCAGAACTGCTTCAGCGATAAGTCGAGATAATCGAAGAATATACTTATTTCGCTTATCTCGGAGAGTGTGTCGGCCTTGCCTCTTGCCCAACATCGCAGATAGGGTGATGGGATCTCCTGCGGCACTATTGATCGGTCTCTTCTCCTTTGGAAGGTAGAAGATGTTGTGGTTATGTCCGCAATCGTCCGTAAAATTCATGACAACCGTATCAAGGTCATGTTGTGCCAGAAGCTCTGGACATACTTCGAATCGGCTGGGCGGGCTCGGCGGAGGGGCAGGCTCTGATATTCTTCTCACACTCTGACCGGATCGAAGTTTTGGCGCCTTCAGAGGTGGTTCAAGTGGCGTGGAAGCCGCGCGACGCTTTCTGGGGTTGTTTTCGGTTGATTCTGCCGTAGTTTCGGAGCTGTGGATTTCGCTTTGCTCAGGAGCTTCCAAGCTTGCTTCGGTGAAAGGATTCTCGGCGGAACCAACGACAGATGACACCACTCTCAGCCATATGAATGGGTCCTTAGCTATAGTCGACCTGAAGGCCATATGGCACTGCCAAATGACTCTCGCTATATCAGATGGACTAGACAGCGGGGTGGCATCCATATCTTCTGGTTGAAGACTGAGATATGTGGTGTGTAGATCGTGACATTGCTCCGGGCAGGCGCGGCACAGACACTGATGGAGCATACTTGACACGCGGCCTTCAACTGATAACTTTTCCACCTCTTGTAATTCAAGCCTCATGTTCTGTGCATCCATCTGTGTTGTCGGTGGCTGAGGGATCGGGTCTCTTGGAATCATGGAGACAATGGCTTTCTCGAAAGTGTCTATATGTGACACGAGGGAATTGAAGCAGTCCGCCAAGTCTTGTTTCTTCTTTTTGTGCTTAGTGTGGCACATGGTTGCGTTAGTCAAGGTCTCCAGGATATGTTTTGCGTCTGAACTCTTACCTCGGCCGTACGAAATCTCTCCACGTTGACACGCAAGTTGTGTATCTGCGCCCAGACACTATCCAGGGCATCACAAGCTCCATCGCACAAGCACTTCGTCTCAGTATCCAGCTCCTGTTGCTCAGGGGACATAGCCATTAGCGTCGTGATGAGCGACTTAGTGACCCTAGCAAAAATGTCTCTTTGAAGCTCAATGTCGCGCTTGAGTTGCTTCTTCTGCTGTCCCGATCTTCGAGCACGCGTTGCGTCTACCTTCTGTAGGACGTCTTCACAAGTGTCTTTGATTCTCTTGCCCGCTTCCTCAAAGTGGTCTGCCCATGTTTGAGGTCCTCCCATTTCAGGGCGCTGCAGAAAGTTGAAACTTTCTGGGCCAGGGCTGTGCAGATCAGAAAAGAAAGAGCGAGATGTGGCGGCGTCTTGAAATGCAGTTGGGGAAGACAGAAGCCCGGTTGTATTGTTCAAGGGAGTGGTTTGAGACGGTGACAAGGGAGTCGTCAGCCTTCCCTCGCTACTTTCCTGACGATTAGAGTTCGTTGCCCCTTGTACAGAATGGTTGTAGTCGCCTGCGCAGTAAATGGTGTTGTAACTGATCGTATTGTTCTCTGCTTCGTTTTTCAGGCCCGTAGCAGCAGTCGTAATGCTCCTGGTCTGTTCAGTTGCGAGGACCGCCCCGGTTGTGAACTGATTACCATGTACACCAACGGAGTTGGACCTCTGTGAAGAGTCCGATGCTGGCGGTAGCGACATCTCAAATGCTGTAGGGCGTCAAAAAGAAAGTCTGAGGATGTATGAGAAACAGACGGGGAAGGGCTTTTTTTAACTGAACGACAACGAAGGGGGGATGACACAGAAGAAGGAGAAATTGGGGTCTTCCAGCAATTTTGTCGGTTCCTTTGGATACAACACAGCCAAGCACCCTCTACGGAACGCCCGGTGTGAGGGATATGCATTTGTGTCGGCTTATCAGTCAGGTTGGCAATTTGAGTCTGTCGGTGGTTTTCGGAATAAAATCATGGGTTTCAACCACTCACAACCTAGTATTTTGTGACAGTGTTCATGGCCTTAGACCAGCTATTTTCAGCAAAGTACACAGTATTACTTCTCACACTGCATGTCATTATCGGTCACATCATTCTCCGCCAATGGACAGTGCCTCGTGGTGGTGTATGATTGGTGCATGGGATCTTTCAACTGGATGGATTTTCCTGCAATTATTGGTTGAGCTTACCATCCTTCTTGACAGCCTGCTTGAAACATTCAGCAGCTGCATGTATGTGGTGCATAATAAGCTCAGCATATGACTCTTTTTGATCTGGGCCTTTTATCCGGGGTACATAGCAGGACTTATCTGACGATTCGTATAGGTTGGTCGAAATACTGATTAGCTTGGCATTTGGAAAGGCCAGACTCGCAAATGTGCCGTGCACTAAAAAGGCCCTCTGTAAGTCTTTTCTCCTCATTTCTTGGTGCAGATAGACTAGCTTTAAGTAGAAGACCTCCTTGGTCATGCGGACATCCAGTATTTCTTGGGCTTTGTCTGCCTTGGAATATCAACCGCCGGGACTTTCCAACCTCCAGGCTTCGCACGATTGCTAGGGGCATCACGCATCTGCACTTTGAACTTATACCCAGGTCTGCCTTGCGCCACTTCACGAGGTCCACATCGTTAATTGTAAGCATTTTTGCACAATGGTAAGTATCCGTGAAATCGATCGTTACAAGAGGTCATGAACGCTTATTTCCTGCAGGAGGCTCTCGGGGCTGTAGCTGCATGCGTCGACATTCTCGCCCGCGCCTTGGGAATTCTCGAACGAGCCAGAACTGCTTGGGTGCGTCAGAAAAACGGCATAGCCTACCTGGACAATGTTCACAAGGATGTGGAAGCTACAATCACCCTCTTGAAACTGGTGGGTGCGGAGAGAGAACTCCATCAAGAACATGTCAATCACGCGGTCAATCTGGTTATGGCGAAAGCACGACAGCTGTTCGATGTGATTCGCGATCTAGGGGAGAAATCTGACATAGGCGGTGGCTTCAAGAAGTTCGTGGGACATTTTCTCGATGGCTGTAGCGAGCAGATAAAGCTGGATGCCATGCGTAAAGAACTGAACGAGTCGAAAGCGACGTTGATCCTCGCTTTGCAAATGGCACAAGTGGGTTTGATCAGATCTATGGGAAGAGGCGACATCATTGTCAACATCGAGATCGTAAATCAGATCGACCAACGAGTCCAAATGTGCCCTGGCCTCGAACAGGGACTTCGCCTCGCTCAACTACTTCAGCAGCGAGCTTGGAAAGACGAAAAAGGAAAATGGCATCTCAACGATCAGGACCTTGTCGAGCTCCAAAAGCCACCTCCGTACGAGTACAAGCCCGCCCCACTGGCCCTTGGCCAGACACGGGGTGTGGTGCAATCGAACGAGGTGGTGGGTGCTACCTTTGTTGGTATGGGAGTGGGTAGGGACGGGGGCAACGAATTCTCTGTGAATCAACCAGACGAACTCATCGTCATGAACAACAAGGCCTCCCAGGGTGGGTTGTTCTTGGGTGGCGGCATATCGGCAAGCAACCTGGTCTATCTCTTTCAGCATGGAGTTATCAATTCCATGCCCACTACGCAGCAAAAGTAGGGTCTTGTCTATTTAGCGGAGGACTGGAAAGCTGGCCTTAGTATTGTCTTCAGGTCCATGGTTCTCCATTGAAAGTAAGCAGTGTAGTATTTTCCAGATAATTCAGCAACGTTGTTTCCGTTCACTTCGCGTTGTAACTGTTGGGGATTTTTATCAAATATCTTCACGCTTGCAGCGTCATTTCGGCCTTTCAAACGTCGTTCCATGCCGCCAAATGTGACATCTATGGGTATCATAGTTTGATAACTCGCTGGACTAAATATTGCAGCTCCTGCTTTTTGAGTTCCCATCATAACCTGTTGTGATTTCCGAGATTCTCATGGCACATGTTCATAAACTTCCGAGGTCTTCGGATGGCATGTTCCTGCCGTAAATTCCTTGTCGACCTTTTGGTCTTAGCTTCTGGCAGAATAAGAGATCTCTGGTGTGGTTGCCTACTTACCTAGTTTTCCATCTCTGTCAAAGTTTGGGAAATTGAGAAGCTCAATCTTTGGAGCTTGCCAATATCGGTTTTGAGAACTTGGTGCAAGCTTGGTGGTGTCTCTTCCGATGTTGGGAAGTCGGTCATAATCGACTCGTAGGTGCTTGCATGAGTCTCTGCTTCTCCATCATAATACACGCTGCGTCCTAGACCCTTTCCTCTGTTTATCAGAGATTCCAATTCTTGCCGAATTCTTTTCAGCTCGCCAGCAGAAACACTAAAGCTTTGTATGTCTTAGGAAAGTTAGCTTTTGCTTATAATCCTCAATACAATTGCTGAGCATAACGCTTAAAACCTTGATATGCCGCCAAAGGTGCTTGGAAATTTGACCTGTAGAACTCCTGATACACTTTGTACTTACCTGCTTCTTCCATCAAAGCTTGCCCAATGTTCACAAGGCTCTGAATAACAGCACCCCCAAATAAGCTGGCCTGATTGCTTGTGAGACGATCCAAATCTTCGTCAGTGAAATTGAACTTCCAAAGACAGAGTCGATCGCACTCTTCAGCTAGCAGAAAACGCTCCATATTCCAGTGTCTGAGCTCTTCGTCAGGAGTGGTCGAGTTTTGGAAGCCAGAGGTCATCTCGGAATCTTCTTGACCGCTACCATCTCCGTATTCGACATCGCCTACTGACGACTGGAGATCTGGCTTCGAGACCAAAGCCCATGATTCTTGTTGGAGAACCAAAGACCAAAATTCAATGATCGTGGCAAAAAGTCTGGAGGCAGTAGTATCGGCTGCCTGATCCATCATGAAAAAGAGAAAGACAGCACGAGGAAAAGACGTTTGAAATGGCGAACCATAAGGCAACCAGCACTGGGTATTGTTTCGGCTTAGAATACTCGAGAGAACACAGAGATTCTGGATCATTCGTGCCCATCGATGGATAGATAAGAGGGGAAGAAAACTGGCGGTGAGAAGGAACAGGGCATGGCAAACCCCCTCTGATCTTGCCATACCCTTGACCCGTGTGGTGGGTGTAAAGCCGACAGCATACCACCACACCACCAGCATCTTCCAAGAACAAAGGTTCCACGCATATGTACCAGGTTACATACTTGGTTCATGAACTCCCTCGAAGGTATCAGCTCGTGTACAGGGGAACCATTGCCACGGTCACTTCAAGCAGCCCATCATATCCCAAGTCGCACTTGACCGACCCCTCAGTACAACATGCAGGCTCTGCATTAGTGAAGTCTTTGTAATCCTCGTACATGATGGCAATACCAAGTCTGGATTAGTCTGAAGGGAGTGGATGGAAGAGAGTATGGGACGTAAGATGCATACTGCAGCCATGTGAAGTTCCCATGCAGCAGAGACTGGGAGTTAGAAGAACACCCAATCATCAATGACTTTTATATTCCCTCATAGAATGCAATGCAATGAATGGACGCTGCCGGCTGGTCACATGGCGTGATTGCTACAGCATGATGCTTCCGCGACGTTTAAGTGCCTAGTCCGCTTGAAGTACCGAAATCTGTTGATGATTCTTTCGCACTGTCTTCCTTTTATTATCACTTCATGCTTGGTTCCGAGTTCCATTGCTGTTGTCATCAAGACTCCACTCGCAACAGTAGTAAGCTCGGTGTTGAGTTGGGATGGAGAGGAAGTTGCCACACACACGCACGTGATACATTGCTTTCACATTTGAGGCTCTAAGCCTCCTTCCAAGTAATATGAATAAACTCATGTGATACATTTGAATCACTATACTGCTTTTTGAAGGTAGGTTATGGTTGATGATTTGGTTTCTGGGGACTTTATGGAAACTTTCCTCGCCAACACGCATTTCTGAGTGATCAACTCCACAAACCCGTGCAGCTGACTATTATTTTTCATTACAAGCTCAGGTCCTCGGCGAGTGCGGTTAGTAGTATATGGTATCTAAAAGAAGATTACTTGCCACGTAGTCTTGAGAGACTTCCCCAGAAGGTGGCTATATTCGCAAACAGTGATGAATACCAAAGGCATGTTTCTTAAGATTAAGTCGCACTATGCCTCTTGAATTCCTCATTTAAGCATGACACATACCTAAGTCTGAGATATTTTACGACGAAGAAAGACAACAGAATGACCGGCAGAATAGAAGGGACGTGGGGCATTGCAGGAAAGACAACATAAGAAACACCAAGTATCCAACATATCGGTCTTAATCTCGACATATTTCTTGATTTAAAAGTGCTCAAGTTCTATCGTGCAGCGTACAGAATAATAATCATCTCTGCTCACTTGGCAACGAAGAGTCCATCACAAGAAGGCCTCAAGTGCTTCATTTAACGTCCGACCTTCTCTCAGAGGTTCAGCCTGCCCTTTCTTTGGCAGGCCAACCTTGTTGTGCCAAACGACCTTGAACCCTGCGCTTGTCGCGCCCTCCACATCTCCATTGCTTCCAGCCACGAAAAGCACCTCGTCCACCGCGACGCCGAGCCTCGGCAAAATAGCTTGATAGGCCTGCTGGACCGGCTTATAGAAACCGCTTTCTTCGGCTGTTATAGTAGCGTCGAACTCGAATTTGCCATGGCCCTTGTCTGCAGCCGCCTTCTCTGCATTTCTCACAGCCGCAGTGCCGCCCTCCAACGAACAGTTTGTGATGACACCCAGTTTGTAGCCCTTCGACTTCAGGCGAACGAGGACGTCGCCAACTTCGGGCCAGGCTGCGAGTCGATACCAGTCACGAAGCAGGGCTTCGGGCGCTGACCGGGGTAAGTTGACGTCGTCAGCTGCTTGGGTGACAAGCGTCGAATACGGCACGTAAGCGCCCTGACCGAAGGTCAGCTCCAGGTATCGCTCACGCCACTTTCGGCCTTCGGCCGCTGTGCCTGTTGGCGTAGATTCGTCCCATAATGTCCAGGAATCAAGCAAGGCCGTCAGTAGATCGAAAATGATTGCTTTGGGAATGAACGGAGTTGCAGATGAGGCCATGATGCAAGATTTGTTGAGAGTTTTGAACGGCGGCCTAGAGAGAGTGTGGGTTGAATGTCATATCCAGCCAAAATACAAAAGCTGTAGTTTCCTGTGGTGTATACCGATGGAGGCGGGTTTCGATGGACAAAGGCGAGGAAGTTCTTATTTGCTTCCCAATAAAAGGGAAGTTGCGGAAACGCCGGCCGAAATCGGGAATCCTTCCTCAAAACATTGTGGCGTAGGTATGATGAAGATTACGTGATCAAGAAACTAGCCGGTCTAAGTATAAATCCCGTATCCCTCAAAGAATGCCTACTTCAATTACATTTACAGATGGTAAAAGCTGTGGAATGACGCGAATGTCATAATGAGACTGCCCGAGTGAGTCAAGCGGGCCGAGTCTAAAAGGACAGTCAAAAAGGTACCACGGTAGGTCTGCAACATCGGCCCTAGATAATCAAAAGAGAGTGAGAATATCATATTTAAAAAATTCTTAAACTCCTCATTCAGCAAAGTTATACAACAAATTCAGATACATCATGCTCAATTTCAACTGTGTTAGAGTTCTTCATGCTTTACGGTTGACATGGTGATCTGGGTCTCACGCTGGGGTCGGTGGGTTAGGTGAATTTGCCGCGACCAAACACAGTGAATATGTGTGAAGTATTTTCTTCGCACAGTGTTTGCCGCAAAAAAAAATTCGATCGTTGGATCCGCGACGGCGTGAAGAAGTACCGACTCACTAAGCTCACGAATTACAACATTTTCTCGTCTAAAAATCATTGGTCTGGGTCGAGTCTCAAATTCAAGCTGAAGAACCATCTAATCATCGACATCATGGCCGACGAATTCCAATCCAAGTCGCAGAGCTTCCTGGCTTGGTTCAAGTCGCTGCCGGGCGCTACCTTCCACAACGATATCGAGATCGTCGATCTGAGAGGCCAACACGCCGGGAGAGGAATTGGTGCGCTCACCTCCTGACCAAACCGTTCTCCTAATGCTGACCATGAGATAGTTGCCACCAAGGATATCCCCGCCGAAACGACTCTTTTCACCATCCCAAGAAAGAGCATCATCAATGTCGAGACATCCGAGCTCCCTAAGAAGATCCCTCAGGTCTTCACTGGAAACGACAGCGATGACGAGGACATGGAGAATGACCCTCTCGACTCTTGGGGCTCGCTGATCCTGGTCATGATCTATGAGTACTTGCAAGGCCCTTCCTCGCCCTGGAAGCCGTACTTCGAGGTCCTTCCCGAAAAGTTCGACACACTCATGTTCTGGAACCCTTCCGAGCTTGAGTACTTGAAGGGCAGCGCCGTATTGTCAAAGATCGGAAAGGACGAGGCCGATGAGATGTTCCGTTCTCAGATCCTGTCGGTTATTTCTGCCAACCCGACCATTTTCTACCCCGAGGGAACGTCGCCTCTGGCCGAGACAGAAATGCTGCAGCTGGCTCACCGCATGGGAAGCATCATAATGGCTTACGCATTCGATCTGGAAAACGACGAGGAGCCGCAGCAGGATGAGGACGACGAGTGGATTGAGGACCGTGAAGGCAAGACGATGCTGGGCATGGTTCCCATGGCCGATATTCTGAACGCCGATGCCGAGTTCAATGTGAGAGAGAGGATGGCATACAGAATACGAGCAGGAGCTAACATATTCCCAGGCCCATGTTAATCATGGAGAGGACGAGTTGACGGTGACTGCGCTCCGCCCCATCAGTGCCGGGGAGGAGATCCTCAACTACTACGGCCCTCATCCAAACTCGGAACTTCTCAGAAGATACGGCTACGTCACCCCGAAGCACTCGCGGTATGATGTGGTCGAGATTCCGTGGGATCTCGTTCAAGCCAGCGTCACAGAGTACTTGAAACTGTCAGATGACGTGTGGAAGCAAGTGGTTCGTCGACTCCAACCCTTGATCACGAGGAAGAACAGCTAACATGGAAGCAGGCAGAGCAAGTCGACCCTGAGGATCTCGAGGACGTCTTTGTCCTCGAGCGCGAGACCGGAGAACCCGATTCCGAAGGCCAGTTGAGGACGGCCGCAGTTGTCCGCGAAATCTCCGAGGAGCTCGAAGAGCAGCTCAAGGCCGTTCTGAAAGCTATCAAGAAGGTCAATGCTGATTTGATCCCTGACAAGCGCAAGAGAGATGAAGTTTTCCAAGCGGCCATCGTGTCTACTTTGCAAAAGATTTTGGCACAATACCCGACGTCAATCGAGGAAGACCAGGCTCTACTGGCCTCTGGTAACCTGACTGCGAGACAAAAGATGGCCGTCGAGGTCCGGCTCGGTGAGAAACGGCTGCTGAAGGAAGGACTTGTGTTTGCTGGATCAGCGGGAGCGGCGGAGGCCGAAGGAGAACCCGAGAGGTCGGCCAAGAAGGCAAGAACAGCCTAAGAAGGCAGAAGTAGTACAAAATGGAAGTCAGCATTGCCAAAAGTAGTAAACGGGTCTTGCCATGATGTAAGACAAGGAGACCAACGGTCAGCAGAGGGTAACAAATCAGGCAGGAGATGATGGGGACGGACCACCTCTTTCTAGGAGCCGAGCAGCGCTAAAAACTGCCAAATTCAACGTCACACAAACAACCAAGGCAAAGCACAACAGTCCCCAGACTTCATCAGCCCCTCCGTTTACTCAAGAAACACGCAAGCTGGATCTCCATGATACTGTATCCTGTCTCGCCAAGCTACCGTAGATGCCAAAATGTTTTCAGGTTCATCATTTGCATTAGCAACGGTCGCCCCCGAAAAGATGCCGCACGCCGTGCCAGCATGCAAGCACCTCCCACGTCGCGTTGGTGTGCTGGCAGACGTTCCTGACACCCAATAATGCACCATCTCCTCGGCCAAGTCCTGAATGAACCCCGCATCGGTTTTCTCCAAACCAAGCGTGGTGGCTTTTCCTTCATTGGTGCTGAGAGTTTGCCGGTCAGCCGTTTGCAGACCGGTGTTATCAGCACGGAGGAACAGATAGGTGGACGAAGACTATGGCGCTCAGTACAATGTAAGCCATCACTCACCGGTCTGTTCATACACCCGTGTCAAGCCTGGCGTATGACGAGTCAGTTCCGTACAAGCAGGCCAGAAGCCGTTGGATGTCTCCGCCGCCGCCCTCGAACACCGAATGCCTTGCTCATTGGACAACATTGCATTCGCTACTGTCGGCGAGCTCGCACAGAAATCGCGCCTACCTACCGCTCCTCAGTGCCATTAGCAGCAAGACCCGGCCAAGGAAAACATGCACATGCTGAGCTTCCCAACAGCAACAGTGCAATTTCGTCTCTTTTCCATTTATATGGCCAATACCCGCAAGATAATTATCAAGCTTGCTTCTTAAAAGCCTATTTCGAATGGCTACTTCAAAGTTAGAAAAATAGTCGGAGGCAGCAAGAATCAACAGGGAAATCTAGGAGGGTAGAGTTGTTAATTCCTCCCAAGATTTCATCGCCGGAGCTAACCATCATCCTCCCTTAACATCAGCAGGACAACGACCATCTTATCCGCAGCCCTTGCGTGTCTACTATAACTGACATTCTTCAGGCGTTCAGCCCCCCTCGGCTCATTGTCCAGCCGGATCTCGCCAGGCTTCATGATCTGGCGAGGAAGCCGAAGTTGTCGACAATCCGCCCTCGGGGTCCTAAGTGTGGGGGAGCGTCGCACAAGCTTACCAATGGATTTTTCAAAGTCTGTTACTTCAGCCACTGATAGTTCGGTTCTTCGATGGGTCCAGAGAAGACGGCCGTTGGTTGTTAACGTCATTGGACATGGCTGTGAGACAACGGCTGTCGAGCTGGATATTGACTCACTCACCGCTTGCGCGCCTTTCAAACACCCTCTATCAAGCCTTGAAGCGCTTATTCTTTGCTTTTTAAAGTTCTGAGGGCTTGTATCCAAATTTCAGAGTAATCTGGTCCCCCGAGTTGCCGCCAACACCGGCATTGCCAGCGGCTAATTGGTTTGCCCAACGAACCTCAAGCATGTGGGAGATGGTTACTTGCACCAATTGGTCTACTTTCATGCAAGTCATCCCCTTCCACAGGCTCGAGAGAGAGAGACCCGCACACTCGCCCAGCCTTAGAGCAAGCCCATCCTTGTTGGCCAGCTCAAACTCCTGCAGTCAATCTCAATCATGACGACGCACCCGCAGGCACACGTGGAGGTGTCGAAACTAGGTTTCTACCCGATAACGAAGGATATGCCACAGCAGTAGACGTCTACAACTGGCAGAAATCTGCATCGATATCGCTAGCTTTCCATTCGTTGGGTTCCAGCGGCACAAGGACAAAAGAGGCCGATATTGCACGTCTACGGGTGCTGGATACATCGCTGTTAATCATGGAATAGCATCGAAGCCCATATGGGGCCCCATGCAGTCATTCTTCACCGGGGAAAACGTGGCCGCATGCAAGCCAAACGACGTTTGACCACGGGACCAGTGCGGACCACCGCCTTCGCCGTCATTGGGACATTAGGAAGAGATCATGAAATGCCTTGTTGATCTTCTGCAGGAAAACACGTTTACAGGGCGTCGAAGGCCAAGAACTGGCCTCGGACACTCCGTAGAGTGCCGAAGATGTCCAATGAGACGACTTACCGCTGGAACGGTCAGAGCCACGTCGTTGAGGCTCACTTGAACCAAGAACATCAGGCCGCTGCTTTGGGCACGTTCGACATTATTCCGATTCCACGTCAAGCCAAATGGGCGGACGACGCGAGATATCTATATTTCTATCACTTTCGGTCAGATCGCCTAAGACTTCACGAGGCAGCCGCGGCCGCTGTATTTCTGCACTTAGCTTGACCAGTTCAGACTATATCCCTCGCAACCTGTCTTCTCAATCGTGAACGTCTCAAGAAAACCCAGTGCCCCATGATCCTTCCATCAGGAGTAGGTGATATCCCCGATCTTGTACAAGATTCAAGACTTACAATCAGAGCAATAGCATCGCCACGGGAAGAAGAGTAAGAAAGACCGAGATCACAGACCCAAGGAGCCCGGCACCAAAC